AGGCGACAGTTGACGTTCAGGATGGAGTCGTACCCGTCCACGGGAGGCAGACCGGTGATAAAGTCCAGGGACCAAGATCCCCAAGGGCGGGTAGGGATACTGTTGGGCTGGAGTAGGCCATATGGTTTGTGTCGACTGGATTTCGCTTGGCTACAGGTATCGCAGGACTTGACGTAGGCCTTGACGAAGCGCCACTGGCTGGGCCACCAGTAGTTGCGGGAGGCGAGTTCAAGCGTCTTGGACATCCCAAAGTGGCCGGCTAGGGGTGTATCGTGCATGTCGTGGCAGACTTCAGCTCGGAGCTCGTTGGTGGGGACATAGACCAGATTATCGTGCAGCAGGATCCCATCTTCATCTGAGAACCGCTTGATACGATCTTGGGTTTCCTCGGTTCGTTGGGCAAGGGGTATCTTGAGCTTTTCGCGAATGGTCTTAGCAAGGGGATCAGAGGCCTGGGCGGCCTTAATCTTGTCAAGCAGCGTGGTATCCATGGGTGTGAGGTAGGCCGCGGCGAGTCGAAGGCGTTCAGGAGTCAAAATTGTGGTCGCCTGGGAGCGGAACACTTCTTCCCCCTCCTTTAGCTCATGTTCGGAGCGTCGGGAGAGGGCATCGGCTTGGTGCTGCTGGGAACCGGGGCGATAGGTAATGACAAAGTCAAAATCTGAGAAGAATATCGACCAGCGGGCTTGGCGGCGGTTCAGGGTGCGGGTGGTCATGAAGTACTGAAGGTTTTTATGGTCGGAGTAAACGGTGATCTTGTGACGGGCGCCAATGAGATGGTGTCGCCACTGGGCAAAGGAGTCTTGGATGGCCAGAAGTTCCTTGTCGTAGATCTCGTAGTTGATCTCTTCGGCCGTGAATTTGCGAGAGTGGAAGGCCACGGGGTGGAGCTGATTGTCCTGGTCAGGTTGGAGGAGAACTGCGCCAAGAGCGAAGTCGGAGGCGTCAGTTTCGACGACAAAGGGCTTCTCTGGGTCAGGGTGAGCAAGGATGGGGGCGGTGGTGAATGCTTTCTTCAGGTTCTCGAAGGCGGTGTTTGCGGCGGGTGTCCAGGCGTACGGGATGTCTTTCCGGGTCAGGGCTGTGAGCGGGGTAGCGATCTTGGAATAACCTTGGATGAATCGGCGATAGAAGTTGGCAAAGCCGAGGAACCGCTGGACGCCTTTGACAGTCTTGGGAGGTTCCCAATCCGTGATGGCAGCGATCTTCTTGGGGTCCATCTGGATGCCTTTCTCCGAGATGATGAAGCCTACGAACTCAACGGATTCGCGGTTGAATTCGCACTTCTCTGGTTTGGCGTACAACCCATGCTGTCGGAGGCGGGACAAGACTTCGCGGACATGTTTGGGGTGATCTTCGGGGTTCTTGGAGAATATCAGGATATCATCAAGGTAGACGACAACAAACACATCGAGAATGTCGCGGAAGATGTCGTTCATTAAGTACTGGAAAACGCCAGGAGCATTGCCAAGTCCAAAGGGCATGACGTTGTATTCGAATAGGCCGTAGCGGCAGCGGAGAGCGGTCTTCCATTCATCGCCTGGGCGCATGTGTAAGAGGTTGTAAGCGCCGCGGAGGTCGATCTTGGTGAGACGGCGGGCGCCGCGCAAACGATCCATGATACCGTTGATCAGGGGCAGGGGGTAGCGATTCTTCACCGTGATGCTGTTCAGGCCTCGATAATCCACGCAGAGGCGGAGAGAACCGTCCTTTTTCCTTCACGAATAAGACTGGCGCACCGGCAGGGGACTTTGAGGGTTTGGTGAATCCTTTGGCAAGGTTTTCTTCGAGGTATTCGCAGAGTGCCTTCATTTCTGGTTCGCTGAGGCTGTAGATCGGGCCGAAAGGTGGCTGCTTGCCTTCTTCCAGATCGATTGGACAGTCGTAGGGCCGGTGCTCGGGGAGAGTGTCAGCAGTTCTCTTTTCGAAAACGTCGGCGAAGTCTTCATACTCGGGGGGCAGGAAGTCTTTGATGTCTTTCTCGGGTGTCGGGGGGTTACTGGGGCTAGGCGTGGCCGGGAGATCGGGTTTCGCAGGGTTGGCGTAGGCGACAAAGACCTGGTCATGCCTTGCTGCGACCCGGAAGGCTGGGGCGGAGATGAACGAGACTCGGAGCGGCAGTGGGAGCCGGTTCTGGGGTGCTGGAGCGAGATACCTTGGGTACTGGAATCGACCATGTTTCGTCGACGGGGACTTCATCCTGGGGGATGCGGATCAAGGGCTCGGGGGTTCTGGCGGGTGCTGGGCTCGGGGGTGCTGGAGAGTTGTCCCAATTCGCGAATTCATGGTACTGACAGTCGCAACGGAAACTGACCGAAAGGTTCTTGAAGTCAAGGTTAATGTCGTGGAGGCGGAGCCAGGGGAGACCAAGGAGGATTGGAGCATGGGGTGATTTGGTGACATGGAAGACGAGTTCTTCGAAGTGGTCGTCGACCCACATGCCTACTGGTTGGGTGTGATGGGTGATTGGCCCAGCAGAGCTGGGTTGACCGTCAACGAGTTCGATCGTCAGTGGACGCTGATGCGGGACTAGGGCGATGCGGTGTTTGCGGGCAAAGTCTCTGTCGATGAAGCAGGCCAGGGCACCGTTGTCGATCATGGCTGAGGTAGGTATTGGGGCGCGGCTTGATGATACCATGATGGTAACGGGGTAGTTGAAGGGTTCGACGGGACCCAGCGCAAGCATGGCGCGGGGGTTAATTTCGGAGTTTTCGACATGGGCAGCGGCTGGGAGGGTTGTGTCGGCTATAACGGAGTTGGGAACCAGGGGGGTGGCCTCTCCCGTTGCAGGAGCTGCGAGGTTAGGAGGCCCGGGGCGGTGTGTGTTGTCCAGTCGCTGGGGCTTTACTGCGGCTGGACTTTGGGAAAACCCTGTTCAGTGGAGGGTTCTTTGATGTCGACGTTGGCGGCACGGGTGGTGGTCTTGTTCTTGACGGGGCAGACTTTTGCAATGTGCCCCACGCCACCGCAGTAAAGGCAGAGGTTGTTGGAAATGCGGCGTTGGCGTTCCTCAGGGCTCAGAGGGCCGCGGGGACGAGCGGCATCAATCTGCATAGGCTCGCTGTGGTCGACAGTGGTGGTAGTAGTAAACGAGGTGTGGGGAACCGGGAAGGTCTGGCGGCTTCTGTTTCGCTCCAGGCGGCGCTCAAACAGCCGGTTATCGCACTGGATAGCCCGCTCCATCACCACATCAATGGTGGCCGCAGGGGGCATTGTGAGCATCAGGTCTTTGATGTCTTCTTTGAGGCCACGGCGGAAGGTAGCAATCAGGGCCTGGTCGTTCCAGGAGACATCGCATTGTAGCTGGCGGAACTCAGCGATGTACTCGGTTGCTGCACGGGTTTGGCGAAGGTTCTGGAGCTTGTTTTCAGAGGTGCGGACCCTGTCGCTGTCTCCGAAGACCGATTGCATCTGACTGATAAAACTATTGAAGTCCTGAAGGCTGTGATCTTGGCATTTGACTAGGGGCGCCATCCAGGCTTGCGCAGTGCCGGTGAGGTAGGTGCCAATAGTTTGGATCTTGATGATGTCGCTGGGGTAGCGGTCGGGCTGGAGAGCAAACATCAGCCGGATGTTGTTCAACCACCCACGGAATTTGCTGCGGGTACCATCAAACTTCTCGGGCGAGCTGATTCTTGGCTCCAGAGCAGGGTTGGCGACTTGGGGACGGGTGTACGTATCGGCTTGAACCTGGGCGGCGATGCTCTGGGCAGCTTGTGCGTCGGCTTGGGCTTGCGCAAGGTTGGCCTGCAAGTTGGCGTTTTGGCTTTGCAAGGCGGCGATGGCTTGGCACATATCGTTCCATTGCTTGGCGGTGAAAGGTACGGATTCGGGATTGGGACATGGCGAAAAAGGTTTGTCGGATGCAGGGCTGGACAGGTTCTGAACTTCTCAGTGTTGGAGCAGATCAAACTGTTATGATCTCGACGACGGGGCGGAAGCGAAGTAGAGAAGACAGGGCGAGTGTGATAGGCGACAAGAGATTGTATTGGCGAAACAAGAAACAAGGACTAGAACAGGAGATGAGAAGAACTGGTGTTGATCTGCTGGGGAGGAAGGGAATGGACGAAGAGAGGCCGGCTATTTATAGATAGGCAACCCAGCAGATCAGAGAACAACAACAACAAGAGGGGACTGGGGGGCGCCAGCTATGCTCCTAGAGCGTGCGTGGCGAGCGTAGAGAGCATTGCTACAGCTGCTGGCTATGGGGAAGCAGTGGGGGGTGTGGAGAAGCCGAGGGGGGATTGGCGAAATGAGAGGAGAGAGGAGGAGTGGCGATATTGCAAGAGGATTGGCGAAATGAGAGGAGAGAGGGGGAGTGGCATTGACATTGACATTGACACTGACATTGACATTGACACTGACATTGACACTGACATTGACATCTGACATTGGCGTTTGACATTTGGCGGTTGACATTGGCGGCTGTCAGTAGGTAAGCTTATGGTATGGGCGCGTCGTCCATAACAAGGCCTTGAAGCAGTTGATCTGTAGGTCGTGTAGGGTTCACTCGATAGGCGGCGTCAGTGTCCGTAGACCAGACTTCACAAGGTATCTTCCGGCGGGCGTAAGCGATAATCTGCTCGGCGAGGTGTTCAATATGGTCGAGATGACAGTCGCCAAAAACGGAGCGAATGATCCGATCGTTAACGCTTGATCCATCTCTGGGCCAACTGTGGTCGTGAATGATTCTCATCTTATCAGGTTTGTTCGCCTTGGGTACCGCGCCCATCGGGTTGATGACGAAGTAAGGTGCGCGCATGGTATCGGTAGAAGAGAGCAGTGTCCGACGACCAGACGCAGCCTCCTCCAGGATGTTGTCCGTGACGTGTGTGTCTGCCGCCAAGGCCCACGGATGGTTGCGTGATTGGAATGCTATGTGCGCTGCTTTTCCGATGAAGAGAAAAGGCGTAAGAGTCGCTGCTTGCCTGCAAGCCTTTATTGGCCTGAGCGAGCAGCTGGCAACCAAATGGGTCACGGGGCTTCACGTGCACCCCACTTTATGGGCTGAGCCCATACCGATCGGCCTTCGGTGGAGTGAACTTTGGGGGCCGATCCACGACTCTTGAAGCGACGCCTACTCTATAGGTCCTGTCAACCGGATCCAACCGGATCTCAGTCTCCCGTGTCTGGATCATGGGGTTCATATTCTTAGTGTTGAGGTTCAGCTTTTCCTCGGGGACCTCCTTACCTCCAGCAGGAGCTTGAAATTGGAGCCCTGTTTGTGCGGTCACTTCAGCCGGATAGTTGTAAACATATCCTGTTTGATCCGGGATAGGAAGTCCGCTCGTAGAGGTGGAGGTGCCAACCGAAACCGCCGTTCCCGGCCTCCTCGAAGGCGTAATGCGATCCAGGAAAAGTTCCCGTTCGCGAAAACCCTTCTCAGCTTTTAGAAACTCCATAGCGTCTTTGTAAGCCCTGGTTTGGAGCTTAGCTGCGTTGAGCTTCAGCTCTTCAACTGAGGAGATGACCGTCTCGTGCTTTGGGTCAACATAGTTCTGTTTAGTTGCAAGATCCCGCTGATGAATGTTCCTGTTCCATGCGTACTTCACATTGGGACGTCCATACGCGTCGAGGTGACCATAGTCCAAAGCCTGTCCGATTTGTTGGCGTCGAAGATACGCAATGGACTTGGGCCGATTGACGCCCTGCGCCTCTTGATAGTTAGCCCTGTAAATCGCAGCCATTCTTCGTACTTTCTCAAGTGCTGAGAAAATATTCTATGATAGTATGCTAAGACAACCTAGCCCTCCATGCCCAGTTTCCTTCAAAACGTCAAGACAAAAGCGCGCCATCTGTTTACCAATGCACTGTTGTACCTGAACAAGGCGAGATCGTTCGCTACGCAAGCCGTCAGGCATGCAGGGACAGCGCAGAAGTACATCACTCACGTTAACAAAGCTGTGCAAGAAAAACCAGAACTTTTCAGCAACAAAATACGCGAAACCAGCAATAAGATCACCACGGCTAGCCATGGGCGTCTGAAACAACTACAGAATCTGCATGGGCACACGGATGACTTTGTGGAGCGGCTGCAAGGGGGACCGATCGAGTAAGGAAAGAAAGAGTTTTATTGATGAGTTGGCTTTGAGCCAGACTATCTGCTGACTGTACAGCTCCAAGGTTGTACAGTTGGAGAAGTAGTGAAAGGAGTAAAATAGTTAGCCACCAGCGGTTCTAGATGACGGCAACCGTACCGCCGATCGATAGCGTGACGTTCTTGTGATAAGTGGTAAGCAAACAGACCCGTTGACTTGGCGCCTCCGTTGATTCCATCTCAACAGCGCCTGTTGATTCCTCCTCACCAGCTGAACCCTCAACAGCATCCGTCAATTCTTCCTCAACCGTTGAACCCTCAACAACAGCCGTAGAATCCTTGTCAACAACAGCGACTGTTGAATCCTGGTCAACTCCTGAACCATCTACCGCTGACTCCTTTTCCACCACAGCAGGCATTGGGCTCCTCTCCAACACAGCAAACGGTGAGTTCTTCACAGCTGCGACCGTAGAATCCTTTTCCACTGTAGATACGGTAGCAGCCCCCAACCCTTCCGCCGCACCCGTCCTCTCATTGAGAAACACAGCAGTGTCCGAAGTCTTGTTCTTGTTGAACCTACAGTGCTTGCTTCGAATGCTGGCGTGCGGAGGAGCGTCAAGAAATCCTGCTTTGATGCACCGGGGACAAGTAAGCTTCTTCAGCTGGTTCTGATCGACGGTTGGTATAGATTTACTGAGGGATGTCTGTGCTCCTGGGGCTGCCACGAAATCACTGTCGGAAGTCTGCAGGGTCTGATGAAGAGGGCTGACCGGAGTCTGGGTTTCAAACATGCTGGAAAGTCTGTGTTTGCGACGTTGGCACAGAGTTGTTGCGGGTGTTCGAAAGTCTGTGTTTGTGACGTTGGCACAGAGTTGTTGCGGGTTTTCGAAAGTCTGTGTTTGCGACGTTGGCACAGAGTTGTTGGGGGTGGTGCATAAAGGGTAAAATTTTTGACCCTTTATATACTACTTTTTTTATCCGATAAAATCTGGATGGCACAGACCGGTGTCACACAGAGATGTTGCAAGTCTGTGCGCACAGCTCTGACTTGGTTCCAATTGTAACTAATTGGCAGCCTATTGGGTCCGATCCCAGATTTAGAATCTGAGCCGTAATTGAGGCTGTTTGTCTCCATAAGCAGCGTATTGGACTCAAATCAAGGAATCAACTTTTCACCTTGTTGAGTGGAAATGGAGGCTTCCTAGGACAGTTTCAGACTCTCACCACTCCGTTGGACTTTTTTCCAAGCTTGACAGTTTTAAGCCGAATTTGAGACCTCTCTGGCTTGATATGGGGCCTATCCAGGGGGTTTTTTCCGAGATTCAGGTCTGAGGCCTGTTGGACCGGGTTTGCGGTTCAGATGAGGGTAAATAACGGTTTTTCAAAAGTGTAGTTAAATGGTGGCCAATTCTATACTACTCGTTTGTCACCGCTTAGGCCGAAAGTAAAAGGGAAGCAATTCTCGACATCCCCGTATTCCAAACTCGTGGGAAATCGAGCCAAACTCGCTGCAATCCTACCACCTTGTGTGTCTGTCTGTCCCACCGCATCACCGTTAAGGGTTATCATTAGGCTTCGGACGTCGTCTCCCTCCAGTTTACTCGGCTTCCCTTCTCAAAGTCCTCGACACCATGGCTGCCATTACCATGGCCACCCTCGACGGGGACATTTGTCCCGTCTGCAAGTCAGACAGATACTTGAACCCGCATATGAAGCTCCTTGTCAGTCCTTGTTTCCACAAAATGTACGGTCTTCAACGTCCAATTGTTTTGCTGTGGCACTCTCTGACTCGTTTTGATCTTGTTTTGAACGTGTGTGGAATGAAGGTGCGAAACGTGCATCAACCGACTCTTCTTGCAAGGCGCCGCACCATGTCCTATCTGCAAAGCCATCTTGAAAAAACAAAACTTTGTCGCACAAACGTTTGAGGACTTGTATGTGGAGAAGGAGGTGCAAATCCGGAAGCAGATTGCAAGAATGTGAGTTGAGTTGTGCACAGCGTGTGCACCCGTGGCGGGAAATGGAGGCATCCTCTACCCATCCTACATCTGTGGCTGATTGTTTTCGCTCATCAAGATATAACAAGCGGTTAGAGGACTTCAAGGGCAATTTGAAAGCGTTTAACGACTATCTGGAAGAAGTAGAAGAAATCCGTATGTGGGCTCCCCGAGCATTTTTCTCGTTGAACCAGACGGTTTCACTGGCAAATCACACTGAGCCCTCATCATCTTCCAGTGTTCAATCTGATAAACGAAGTAGATGTGAAAGAAACGCGAGAACGCGTGAAGAAGTACGAAGCAGAAAACAGGGATACCATATCGGCAAACATCCAAAAGCAGGTGGGATCATGAGAAGCTCAGTCAACACCTCTAAGAGGTCCGAGCTAATATGCTCACATGCCAATTTCCTGTGGTTAGATCATCGAGGATCGGACGGTGCAAGGTCGATTAGAGCGCGAGAAGAAAGAAAAGATTATTCGACGAGAGACCTACGAGCAGGCGATCATCGAGGACGCTAGAGTGAAGAAACAAGCCAAGGATGATATCATCAATCGACTCGTAAGTGATGAGCTAAGTCGTTCGACGACGATACAGAAGCACGCCTTCCCTAACAGTTGTCCACACAGGCGGACGAAGATACAGCAGCAAGCGACGTGATTGCCAATGCACAAGCCAACCGTCCGCGGGCAGTCGATATTGATCAGCTGCTGCAACAACGCTTGCCTGCCGCATTTGTGGAGTCTGAAATAAACAGCTATGAAGAGATGGATGAGGAAGAAACGAGACCGTTTGATCCGATGGATTACAGTTACTCGCTACCTTCCTATACGACGGTTAAGGATGCCTACTACGACCCGTAAGTTCTCATACTTCTGCAGCATTGCATTCTAATCCCTAGCACGCTGGAGCTGACCCCATGTTCGATGCGCAGATGGCAACGACATCTGCACTGGGAGGATCCCGAAAAGGCAACCAAGCTGAAAGCAAGCGGCTTCACCTCCAAGTTTGTGTACCAACGCGCCGTGTTCTCGGCGTTCAATGGGATCTTTGCCGGACTATGATCCTAGGGGGCACATATGAGGACTCTCAGTGGCTCGACGGCGGTTCATAGACGGGTTGCCGTATAAGGTGGCATCGGTACGCCTCGGAGCCGCATTTTTGGCTAGAGTTAGTTCTACTATTAGCAAAGCAACGCGGCGTGCCGGACCTTTTGGAAAACCCTCATATCACTAGCAGGGTAGCTCTCCCACCATCCCCGTCTCCGTCAAGAAGCACCAGACTGCACATTGCTCGTCTCAAAGTAGAATAAACATCTTATAATATGCAACGAAAAAACCGAAATGGAAGCCAAAGAGGTTGTAAGAGGTGTAGGAAGCGAAAGTGTGAGAGAAACACGGGAAACGGTATTCCGCAGCGGGGAGAGGAGGGTTCCGCCTCATGGGAATGGGTGTCAATCGATTGATGAAAAGAGGAACACAGCCTAACGTGGTCGTAGGTGGAGGTATACCGTCTGCAAAGGTGTAGGGAAGGTTGTGTGGTGTGTCGGAAGTAGTCCCACGAGGGAAGGAAGTCGTGGAAAGTGGAACGGATCAAAAGCGGATGTCTAGGTGGTGGAAGGGGAAATCGTCTGCAAATCGGAAGAGAGTGGGATGTTAGTGGAATGATCGTTTTGCGGACGATGGATCTCTGATCCTCCTCAATTCCTGCATGCCATAGATCGCCGCATATCCATCCCACAGCGTCTCCCAACCGACCGCCACGCAGGTAGTCCCCTCCCATCTCATCGCCCGACCTGAAAAAAAAAAAGACGGAAAGCACAGATACCCACCTCCAGCAGGCCAAAAACCCCCCTCACGTCAATGGCCCCCGTGCGCGCCTTTCCCCCCACTACAATATCGAGCACTTGGACCCTCCACTCTTCTTCTTTGTTTCCCGCCTCTTCCCGGGACTGCCGGCGGCCGTGCCCGTGTTTGGGAAGTATTTCCGGCATTCGCGGACTAGCGAGTGGAAGGATTCTGTCACGTTTGTGTTGTCCTAAAATCACGGGAGGATCAATAATCGGATGAGCAGTTTGTTTGGGACCTGGAAAAGTGGGTTTCTTGTGTGGGGGCTGGACGCTGCGCACCTTTGCTGATGTCTTCAGCAGTGGGATCTTGTGTTGCTGGCAAAAAGCATCTACGGCCGCGTTATCGACTTCATGTTGCTCCTCCGGTAAATCCTAAAATTTCCCAAAGGCCCCCGTCAACACGGCGTTCCGTTCGTCCCACCCGGTCCACAACCATCCCAAAAATAACGGGAAAAACTCACGCATTTATTCCCACAAACAACCAACGGCACCCTCTTCGTATCCTTCAACTTCACAATCTGCTCCCTGAGCTGCTTAACCTCCTCAAAGGTATGTTTATCGTTCACCGCAAAGACCAGCAGGAACCCTTTGCCGTCTTTCAGGTGCTGGTCTCGTAGGGCCGTGTACTCGTGTTGCCCTGCGGTGTCGATGATGTTGACTGTGCAGTTGGAGGCGTCGACTGTGATGTGCTTGCGGTAGTTTTCCTCTATTTGAGAAATGGGGGGAGGTGGGGGGTATCAGCGGCGGGGTCCTGTTTTGCGCGGGACAACCCCACGTAAACGAATTTTTTGGAGAATGCGACGCGGGTTGGGAACTGACCTATCGTAGGGTCATAATCGTTCGTAAACTCATCCTTCAAAAACCGAACGGTCAAACACGATTTGCCGACTCCTCCAGATCCCACCACCACCTGCGATCAATCATATCATTAAATGTCCGACCATCAGCCTCTCAAAAAAATAGACCCCGGTGTCATATCAAAATCGCATCAACGTACGAGCTCCTGTACTTCCTCGACCTCAGTCTTGGGCATGACGTGCGGGTCTGTACTGTTGTATGCGCAAGACCGAAGGGGCCTGAACAAATTTCTTCAATCGGTGGTGTTCGAACGGGGCGGCGTGTCAGTTATGCGTGGGTGCGGCCCGTTCGTGAGGTTCTGCCCGGGTTGGTGGGGAATGTCGTCCTTTGATGGATGTGAGGTATTGGGTTGCAATTGATGGGTGTCTGTGGAACGAGCAAGTTTAATTAAGATGGGTTTCGCGGCCCGATATTCTTCACCAACGGACTACAGATGCGTTCAAGCTAGCCATAGAAGCTGCAAGTCCCTCCCGCCACTGTTTCAATATCACAGAACCTCAACGCTGTTCGCGCCCACGGCAGCTAGCACCGGCTATCGATGTCGCACCCACGATGATCCACCCCAGGACCTGTCCCAGCGCAGCAACCTACAAGGTAGTATTATGCAGCAACAGCAAGCGTAAGTTTTCGGATTCGGTATACAAAAGTGGCGGCGGGAGTGCGAGTTTTTTTTGGAGCCAGGTATATAGCGTTTGCAGTCGGAACTGGATGTAAGTTTGCTGTCCCGGATGCGTGCGTGATGTTGGCACTGTCGTTGGCTCTCGGTGTAGCCAGCGTGGTTTACGTTAACAAGGTTTTGCGGCTAAGCCAAAGTGGTGTGCCAGCCAGCCTGGGCGTCGAGAATCACATCCGTCTGTTGTTATTTTTAGCCGCCCGGGATTGGCGGGGTTAGCATTTGCAGCTTACGTAGCGTGTAAGTCACGTGTGGCGTCACTTAAGCGCATTTAAACTCGCTCACGCGTGGCCTCAATCCCGTCGTACGTTTCCTCAATCGTTTCCAGTTTCCCCACGCAACGACAAAAACGATGAAAGTGCATCTCAAAAAGTACACGGCCGTAGCAACCTGGTCCTGGGACGTGGGCGAGATCGGCGACGAAGAAACCTGTGGGATCTGCTACAACCCTTTCGACGGGTGTTGTCCCGATTGCAAGATCCCTGGGGATGACTGTCCTTTAGGTAAGTGTGGGGCAATTTATACTTCGACACCTATACGTGAGCGCAGTCCTGATTCTCTCTCTCATAGTCTGGGGAGAATGCAAACACGTATTCCACATGCACTGCATCGAAAAGTGGATCGGGAAAGAACATTCGCGTGAACAGTGTCCGATGGACAGGCGACCATGGCGAATCCGGTCCGATTGATGAGCTCCTATTCTCACGACACAGAAGGAAACTCATTTTTGGCGGAATCTGGGCATCCGGGGATGGGGCGATTGACAATGGCGGACAGGGGGAAAGGCTAGGGGAAAAGTGGCAGCCCAAGAAAGGCTTCTTGATATCGGTGGCGGCCCGCCGGCGTTTTCAACGCTGCTATTCGACTTCAGCTCACGAACGGGGATAATGATCGGTTCCAAGAGCTTGCAAAGTGAGAGGACACATCCGAGCTCTGCGCGTCGGGACCGTACAAACGGTTCCCGATCACCGGATTCGAAAGACCTGCGGAAACCGCGAAAACGGGAGATTCTATCACGACCATATCGCCACAGAACGCCGCGTTGACATTGTTGAGCCCAACACACATGAAGGCGCAACACACATGAAGGCGCAGCACACACTGCAGCAACACCGCGGGCTCGTTCTGCCGCTCCAGGTCCCCGTCGTCACCTCAGCCGCGCGAAACAGGCGCTGGCTTACGAGAACCATTCGTGGCGCGTTAAGTGGTGTAGCCGGGATACACATCAGTACCTGGGGCAACAAGGGGATGGAATCGACCGAACGACTCTCATATGGGGATTTCTTCGTCATCGAAGGCTGCGCATCTCCACCAGTTATATGGATAAACCCCGAAACCCTGTGATGGCGTATAATAAGCTACGGCACGTAATATGTAGCTCCGTTTCCATTATTCTTGCTTGTACTAAACGCAAATACGCAAACAAAACGCCCCACATTCCCACGACCTCTACCGAAGTGTACGCCCCCGAATGACAATGTCACAAGCTATCTACAATCGCCCATTCCTCCATATCCGCTCTACACAAAAGGCTCGTCTCTAGTCTCTATCGAACCATCCCAGAACTCTACTCTCCCCCATCCACAGAACCTATTCGGAAGTCCTGAGGGGCGCAACGCCATATACCGCGGATATACTGTATGGTGGGGACCCAAGATTGGGGATGTTAGTTCCACCCCCGTGTGTGGGTGTGTTGCACTCGGTTTGGTCCCTCCGCTCACCTCGGCAGCACCGAATTCGCCTTCAACAGCATCTCCCTGTACTCCTCCTCGGGGTCGGACAGCGCAATGATCGCTCCACCTGCACCGACCGATATCTCTGTAATCGCAACATAATCAATAACCCCCCGCGCGTCCCGCATGCCAGCGTGATGGTGCACGTGCCAACATACCGTCCCGTGTGACAACCGCGGTCCGGATGACGACGCTGAACTCCGCGGCCCCGGTGAGGGAGAAGTACCCGAGGACGCCGGAGTAGGGCCCGCGCGGGGCTTTCTCGAGCGTTTCGAGGATGTCGACGGTGCGGAGCTTCGGGGCGCCCGTCATGCTGCCTATCCCAAAGAAACCATTCATCAGTTTACCAAATCGGGGTGGGGGGGTAATAACAAGTAGGGAGATATTTCCTTACCTGGGGGAAACGAATGCATAACGGCATCGACGGCATTCAATTCCGTGCGCAGGCGGCCCTGCACGGTGGTGACGAGCTGATGGACGGTGGCGTACGACTCGACGTGCATCAGGGCGGGCACGCAGACGGTGCGCGGGCGGGAGATGGTGTTCAGGTCGTTTCGGATCAGGTCTACTATCTGCGCGTTTTCAGGGGTATTCACAAACAATGAGTTGGGGATTGCAATGCAGTTGCAACGAAGACAGGGGGGGAGGCAATTGGGATGTGTTGGGTTGTGGGTACGCACCATGAGATTCTCCGCCCGGTTCTTCTCGTCCCCCTCCAACGCCCGCCGAACAGCTTCGTCCCGTCTCGTCCAGGCATCCTCGGGCTCCCCCGGGGTCCGCTCCGCGCGTTTCGCGGTCCCCTTGATCGGTTTCATGCTCACGGTCGCGTCTTGTTCGACGCGCATGAAGCGTTCCGGTGAGGAGGAGGCGATGGAGAGGTTGGCGCCTAGGCGGAGGAAGGCGCCGTACGGGGCCGGGTTGTGGGCGCGGAGGTGGGTGTAGAGGGTGTAAGGGTCTGGGTGGGAGGGGGGGAGCGGGGTGGAGATGCGGGTTGTGAGGCAGACCTCGTAGGTCTCGCCGTTGGTGATTTCGCGAAGGGCGGTGTGGACGTTGGTGAGGTAGGTGGGGTGGGGGTGGGCGAGGGTGAAGGTTGGGGAGGTCGTGCGGGGTGGTGATGGAGGAGTTCCGTCCGCTGTGGCCGTCCCGTTGACTTTTACATCCACCTCTTCCGCCGCTAACCGCACAATCCTTCCCTCAACATCCTCCAACCACTCCCGCACCTCCTCCTCCTCCTCCCCCTCCCTCGCACTCTCCAACGCCACCCCCCAAACCTCCCCCTCAACATGATCGAACACCACCACCCGATCCGCCCACACAAACGCCGCATCCGGCACACTGCCCCCATTCTCTACCCCAAAATGTTTCCGTCCCCTCGCCTTTGTCTTGGCCGCCACATCCCTTCCCAAAGACTCTTCCTTCATCTCGTACCCGAAGAGACCGACGAGGCCGCAGGTGAAGGGGAAGGGTGGTGAGTTCGAAGTGGACGTGGGATGGAGGGTGGCGGTGTGCAGGCCGCGGGTGGAGAGGAGGGTGGAGATGTAGGTGAAGAAGGTTTCGGAGGGGGGGAGGAGGTGGGTTGTTGGGCGGATGGGGTGGGTGGGCTGGGTGGGGTGAGTGAGGGTTACGGTGCGTTTGGCGGTACAGTATTCGATCAAAAAGCTGTTGTGCGAGGTGACGTTAGCGTATGGCGTTTTCTTTCGCGGAATGATATGTCGGCGGAGGGTAGGAACGCACCTGTTGCGCGATGTCGCTGCGCCCATATACGAAAACCGAGCAATGCTCTTTTCAGTCTGCACACCTCCCAAAGCTCCCATTAGCGAACGCGATCCACCCTACCCCAACCAACTTCACACCCCTCACCTTGGCAGAATCCAACCAAAACGCCACCTCCTCCCCACTGAACATCTCCGTGAACACCCGCTCGGCATCCACATACGGCGTCTTCAATCTCCGAGCATGTATGATTGGTTTTTTTGCATTCATGTCGTCGGTGGTGTTGGTGCGAGTAGTTAGCGGTTCAGGGAGGACGGAGAGGGTTTGGAATTCGCGGGTCATGTCTCGGGCGTCGTGGGGTCTTTTGCCGTGCTGAAGGGGGAGACGAGCGTGAGGGAAATGGTTGTAGGTGTTCTTTTGGGTGATGAACGAGGACGTACGGTTTCCCAGTACCGCGCAGCCAGCGTATGAAAGTTCTCGATGATCCGAGATCCATCTTCTGTGCATATCGACTGATAGTGGAAAGCACCGTCAGCGTTCCGATCAAGCTGAAGACCGATCCACACATGTGTCGCTTCCTCACCTCAGGATGAAACTGCACGCCCCAAATCGGCTTCTCCCTATGCTCCAGGCCCATAATCACGTCCGGTTCGCCCGCTTTCCCTTTCGTCGTTGCAATGATCTTCAAACATTCCGGTAATCCTACATATCCCGCGCAGAAAACACATAAGTGCTGTGATCTCAACATACCGAAAAGCCACGCCTCATGATCTAACCTTCCGGCGAGACAACAAGCGAATGATACCTGACTGCACTGAACGGGTTCTTGAGCGTGTCGAAGAGACTGATGGGGTGGTCGGGTGTGGGTGTGTGCGAGGTGTGGGTTACGGGACTGGTGCGGCCGTGGAAGGGTTCGGCAGCGTGGACTACCTGGGAGTAGCACGTATTAGATCCCACAGTCATCCGCATCAGGTACTATACTCTCTCGTAGCCTCACCTGCCCGCCACTTATCGCTGCTAACCCCTGATGCCCCAGGCACACGCCGAGGATAGGTACTGCTGCGTGTTTCAGGAGGTCGGCGCATATTCCAAAGTCCTTGGGTTTGCGATGATGGGATTAAGCATATCAATATCTCCAAGTTCCGTCTCTCTCCTTTGCGGGTACCTCCTACGCGCTGAACATACCACCTCCCTATCAGGCCTCCCCGGTCCTGGAGAGATCACTACGCAGTCAAAATGCGGTAATATATTCTCTCGAACTTCGTCCCTGCACAAAGCAAAATATGTTTGAGCTCCGTCCGCGGTTATCACCCAAATACAACTGCACACAGGAGGGTGCGAACTCACCAAGTGAATTGGTTATTCCGAATAACAACCGGCAACAGCTCGTCACGCCCCAAGGCTGAACAGCAGTACTGGTACAGGTTGAAGGTGTACGAGTCGTAGTTATCGACTATGAGTGTACGGAGGTGGGGTGGTGGTAGAGTCATGGCGGATAAAAAAGTTGAGACTGGGGGGGGGGGGGGGGGGGGGGGGGTGTGTTGGAACGAGTTTGAGTGGACGAATGGACGAATGGTTCGAGTGAGGGAGCGGAGCGGGGGAAGCACCTGTCCAGCTCGAGCTATATATATGCTAGCTTTAGGTGGGGAGATCACCGATAGTCAGGTCAAGCTGAGCAACGCCGATGAAGCACCCCAAAACAGCGGAAGTAAAGTTATGCAGAGGGGGGGAGTCAGGCAACGGGGTCCCCACTCTTTGGGCGGCGAGAACAAGAGAGAGAGAGATCCGAGAGAGGCAAGAGGACCCCTCCCACCCGTGTGTTTGCTACGTGCACCTCGCTACCCCGTAACATGGAAGAGGACACATCATCTGCAAGGGCCATGCTCAGTGTCTCCTGTTTTGCGCTGCTCGCCGTCTCACAGCCGTCTCAAGAGGTCTGTTTGTGTCGACTCCAAGGGGTCATCGCGTGAGGCGGTGGGTGACTTCCCACGCGAACAGACAGACACACAGACAGCGCCTGCCGCTCCTGGGAAAAAGGGAACCCCCGACATCGCCTGACCTCGTTGGCAACTCCCACGCACTCTCTGGCAAACATAAGCATCCCTTGCAAGAGCTTGCTTGCGGCAGGTACTTGCAGTATAAAGTAACGTACTCAAGGCCGGCTGCATACTTCAAGATACCATTTTACGTTCCCACTCACTCCCACAACCTCCATTCCCACGTCCCACCACCAAACCAGGCCCTCTCCCCTCCGCAACAATGTCCCTCTCACCCTGGATCCCCGAAGGCACCCTCCCCAAATTCCTCCTCCTGGTCGGCACAGCCGCCTTCTACAACGGCCTGCAATGCTTTGTGCCCAAGATGCGCGTCACGGGGAGGATCTATAGTTTGCAGCCTGTTCAGGGTATGACCAAAACGACTCCAATTCTGGAAAGGCGACGGAGGATGGTGGAAATGTGCAAGTGGGGGGCCTGATTATTTCCCTTCCAGCGACACCGCTGATGGCCCGCATGATGGGTCTCTGGACGCTCACCTCGGGCGTCGTGCGGGTCTACGCGGCCTATAATATCTCCGACCCTGCGTACGTATTCCGACGGCGTTTGATACGATCATGTCTGCCCCCACTCACTCACTCACTCTGATGACTTTTTTTTTATTCCCCCCCGTCTCGTAGCATTTACGCAATGACAATGTGGACGTTCGCATTCGCCCTCTTCTCATTCACGACCGAGGTGTTTGTGCACAAGACCGCGCCCGTTTCCAGTCCTGGGTGGGTGAAAAAAAAAAGATGTCGTCTTTTCGGTCGCTATCAACGGAAACAAACCTGATTTAACCCCGATTCTCTTGCGTCTCGGAAAAATCCCAGTGTATGGCCCGCCCTCCTCATCTCTCGTACGTCCACCCCCAAAAACCTCTTGATGCTCTCTGCTTTTTCTTTACTCAATTCTTCTGATCCCCCTCTTACAGCGATCTCACTATTCTGGATGTGGACGCAGTACGGCCATTACGTCCGATGAGAGAAAAAAAACCCGACCCTGATCCGGCAGACGACAGAGTGGCGGCGGCGTTTGGAGACTCGCGGCACGTCACCCCCTCTCCGAACGGGGAAATTTGTTATTACAGTAGACGTGTACCACATGCGGCGTACGTAGTAGTGTAGACCCGTAGACCCGGAAAATCGCCATGTTTTCACGGGTGCGTATTATTTCAACCAGCGAAGCACACCCACGAGCGAAACTCCGCCAAAGCCATATTTTCCAATTCAACAGTCGAGTGTCTCGATTCTCCCAGCCTCGCAAAAAACAGTACAAGGGGCGGGGGGGGCCAAAAGACCCACAAAATGAGATCATAAACAAAAAGGAGGAGGAGAAGGGTGAAGAATCCCCAGAAAGAAAATCCGCCGATGGGGCCGCATGTTGTTGTGATATCCGGCCGGCACCCAAACTCGTCGGGTCCCCCCCAGTACATCCCGCACCATACATGACTCCGGACATTCCACCGCCCAATTCCATTCCCCACTGCGTTATGTACACCAAGCTCCCCCACATCCAGGTACCCATCCGCTGACTAACATGAGGACATCATCTTCTCCCTCCCCCGATGCAAGCAAACCACCCCATCCGCTTCCCAGAGATAGCATCCCGACGTCGAACGTTGATGTCGACAAGTAACCGGGGCGGCCCCGCGAGTTGTGGGGAGGGTGTTCATGACAGAGGCGTGGTTTCGTTCGGGGTACGTAAGAAAAAGGGATATGCTGAAATGAGGGGGCGCTTGCGGCATGGGGAGCCGAAAAAAATGAGGGGAAAACGTTGGGAGGGTGGTAGTCATATAAACATGTGGTGTTCCTCAAATGGACGCTCGAGACAGCCGGGGGGGTTTTGCGTCGAGGACACAGAAAATCATCCCTTCCACTTCTAGGGGCACATCCCAAAAAAAAAAAAAACAGATCAGTATGGCCGCCCATTCGAAAACAATCTTGGGGTGGTCCCCGGGCCGCTCACACTCAAAATCCCCAACAACAAACCTTATCATATCTCTTCCTCCCCTTCTCCCCCCCACTCCCGCTCCCATTCCCCTCCCTCTGAATCGGCGGTAACCCCTGTGCGCCGCCCGGTGTCGACCTCTGCGGGGCAATGTACGCCTGACCTTGTGACTGCGGTTGCGCGGAATGCACCCCCGCACTCCCCTCCCTCGTCCTCGCAGCGCCCGCCGACGCGCCACGGGGCGGGTTCTGTTGTTGTTGTTGTTGTTGCTGTGATTGAAGGGTGGGGTTGATACCTGACCCTGATGCGTATCCTTTGCGTCCAGGCTGTGTCCATGTAGCGGATCCGGTAACGGCCGTACCTCCACCTCCACCTCCACCACTACGTGATTGCAATTGCTGCTGTTGTTGTTGTTGTTGTTGTTGTTGCTGCAAAGCCCACTGCTGCTGTTGTTGCTGCGACCGTTGATAATCCGGTGTCGCGCCCCTGCTTCCACCAGCAGGTTGGAGTTGCTGGGCGAGCGGTGATGCCTGTTGAGACGTAGTGTATGCGGTAGCTTGTTGTCTGTACTGCGGTTGTTGTCGATACGCGCCTGCCGAGCTTCCGTACCGTGAGGGCTGCGAGGAGGAGAGACTGCCAGAGTCGATGGAGGTTTCGCTGGTGACGGTATTGCGGGAAGATGTGTTGGATGCTCCGACGACCATGCCGTTGTTGTTGCCTGCGAGGCCGCCGGCGGTTGCAGAAGTCGGTTGCTGCTGCGCTTTTCGGCGGGGTTGGTCCGTTGATGGTGGCGCGTAGGGTGCGGTATACTGTTGCGATGGGGGTACACCGTTCCCACCGCCACCAACACCCACAAGCCACTCATGCCGTAACGCCTCCGCGGGCGTAATCCTCCTCTTCGGATCCCACTCCAAACACCTCCCCACAAAATCCACAAATCCCCTCTCGGCCCCCTTCAACACCAGCTCCAAACACTTTGCGCCGGGTCTTCGTTTCCTCCCCTTTGAATTCGTGACCAATCTGGGGTTACCCGAGGGCTCAAAGAAGACTTTACGCCGGTTACCCCTGTCGACGAGGGCGAGGTCGGGGGCGCCGAGGACTTCCATGATGCAGGCGAGTTGCTCGGTTTCGTTCTCGCCGGGGAAGAGCGGGTAGCCCGTGTAGAGCTCGCAAAGGATGCAGCCGAGGGACCAGATGTCGATTGCGGTGTTGTATGTGAGGCCTATCATCGATCCAGGTAGTGTGAGTTCCAATTCAAAGGAGGCAGTTTGAAAAATCCAGCAACTCACCAAGTATAACCTCAGGACTCCGATAAAACCTGCTCTGGACATACGTATACACCTTCTCATCCTCAAAGCAGCTGCTCCCGAAATCAATCACTTTGATATCATAAGCCGGGCGGTTAGGATCAAAGTCGGTCGGGACGGGGTCCACGCTGAGGGCGGAGGGCTGGGGCTGGGACGATGATGCGATGGCGGCGGAGAGGGGGTTGACGTCTGAGCGGTTGGGTTCGGTTATTGAGGGGTCTTTTAGGAGGACGTTCTGGCGATTGTGGAGGTGGAGTTAGTGGGTTGTGTCATCATACCTTGAGAGGGCGATGTTCCTTTCTTACCTCAGGCTTGAGATCGCAGTGAACAATGCTGGCTCTACACAGTAGCTCCAAGCATTTCAACATTTGGAATGTGAACCTTGGATGAAAAACAATCAGGAACCGTCACAAAGTCCAGCGAGCAGCCAGAAACAGTCCTCCCCTCTCTCACCACATACCTCCTAATAACCCCCACATGCACCCCCCTAAACCCGCCCGCCTTCAACCACTCATAAAGATTAATCCCCAGAAGCTCAAAAGTAACACAGAGATGGCCCCTAAAGGCAAAACTCTCCACCATCTGCACCGTACTCTCCCCCCCACCCCTCCCAATCTCCTCCCTCAACCTCTCCAGAACCTTAACTTCCACCGCCCCTTGTCGCTCGAACCGTTTCTTATTACGGATGATCTTGAGAGCGACGTTGGCTTTTGTTTTGTGGTCGTAGCAGCGGACGACTTGGCCGAAGGAGCCTTTGCCGAGGAGGGAGAGGATCTCGTAGCGGTAGTTGATGTGGTCGTGTTTGGTGAGGTAGTAGTCGCCGCGGGAGTCGTCGTAGCCTGTTGCGGTGGTGATACTCGTAAATACTCCGAACCCTGTCACAAACATTCAGTCAAATGATTTAATGTCTTACCATGATTAAAACTCCCACCCCCACCCCCCTCCTCCTTCGAACTTGTCCCCGCCCCAGGCACATTGCACTGATCCGCCATATCAGCTCCCGTCCTTCTCTTAGAACACCCGATCTTCGCAATGGTCGCCGCACCAGCGAAATAGATCTCGCGATACTCCATGATCTCGCGTTGCTCGTAGGTTGTGAGGAGTTCTTTGTAGTATTGTAGTGTTGCTGTGAATTGGAAAAAGTTAGCGGGAGTGTCCCAAAAGTAGTGAATTCTGACGTGTAATATACAAACCTTCAGGCGACAAAGGCAACTTCAGATCCTTCAACCCGGTGGTGGTCGTGGTAGTTGTCACCGGCGCCCCACTATTCGCATTCGCACCAACAACAGGTCTCCCACCCGGTTTCGCCGATTTCTGCCGCTGCTTATCGTCCACATTCACAGAATATTTGGCCGTGGGTCCTGGTCCAGTGGCAGCATTGGAGCCGCTCGCGTAGGAGTGCCGGTTGTATTTGTTGCTCGGTGGCGCGGTGCCGCCGACGGAGGCGAGACGTTGCCATGAGCGTTGGTTAGAGGTTGTGGGTGGTTGTGACTTCATTTGTGGTAACTGTTGCTGGTGTTGTTGTTGATGAGGTTGTTGCGGTTGGTAGGATGGGTGTTGCTGATAGTTCTGCATGGGTCCTTTCGGTTGGCCATCGTCCTGCTCGTATTGGCTTGGTTTGTACCCGTGTCCCTGCCTCTGTCCCTGGCCCTGATGGAGCTCGATTCCGCTCTGTGTCAGAGATACTCGCCAGGATCCAGTATCTGGCGCTCGTCCTCCCATCACTTTGACTTCACCCTGCCTCTGGTTCCACGACTGTTTGTTTGACAAATCGTACTCTCCTTGTGGGTTCCCATCGACCATATGGACAACATTTGTTCTCGTCGACCCGTGAGCGGCTGCCATAGGTAAAAGGGTATCGTCCGCTGCCCGCCCCCCCGTCGCAATCGGTCTTTGGATAGGAGCATTCGGCCCCGAAGTGGCACTTCCATCTGTTTCCCACGTCGCAGCATCTTTCACAGGTGCGTAGAGCATTCTACCCGTTTCCGACGCCAGTGGTCTTTGCGTGTCCTCACGAATGTTAGTAGCTGATCCATTGGGCTTCTTGTACGCTGGACGATCGCCTGATTGCACCGCGGGCGATGACGGGCTATTTGGAACGGGCAGGAAGCTCTTTCCGTTGGCGCCAGCGCCGAGAGGTCGAGCTACATTTCTCGCATTTTGGTTGTTTGATGCGGCGTAATCTGCTGCTGCTCGATCGTACTGCGGGTTTGCGTGATAGGGTGAAGGCTGACTTGACCGCTGCTGCGGTGGTGCGGCGGAGTACTGATCAGTCGGATGGTTTCCGTGATATGTTCGTGCGTTCGATGGGTCTGCTAGCTCCTGGTGCTGGGTATATGGAATTGCACCAGACGTGGTGGTTGGGTATACAGGCCGTGTCGATCTCGCTGAACCAGGTGGCCCTCCGCCAGAGTACCTATTATCCTGCCGGCTCCCCTGTTTGTGGTAGGTTGGAATCGGCCCGCCACCTACGGGCGCACTCGACTGCCCCATCGCTATCGCCCGCCAAGTCGTGGCGCCCCCGGAATTCGGCCGAGACGTCATGACAGTGTGTAGGTCGCTGTCCGACTCGGCTGCGGCGGCTGCAGTACGGTTTGACAGGTTGGAAGAGGATATAGCGGGGTAGAGCGGCGAAGGTAAGGACTGCTCTGACGTACGGTGGTAAGGTTGGTGGGAAACAGATGGTGGCGTCGACAATCGGCCGGTTGGGCGAGCGAGTGGGAAATTCTCGAACGATGCTGCTTTCGTAGCCTCTCCGCGCAATGACCCGGCGCCTATAACCGACTTCCTTCGAGTGGCAGCAGCTGCGATCGCACCGTCTGGTTGAGGGAGGTGTGTCTGGGAATGGGGTGACAGGAAGTACGGCGCGTGATTGGAGTCCGTGAAGCTGCTACTACGAGGGCTCGGAATGGCCAGCTGGGACGGATACTGGGAGTGCGGTGTCAAGCTGCTGGCGGTCAGGCACCCAGTGAAGTCTTCTCTACTGCCGGTCTTGTTGCTGACGGTGGCTTTGGCGTAATGTGGCTTCTCGCCACTATCGTAGGCTAGAGGATTCAGCCTGTTGAGCGAAAAGTGTGGCTCCGTGCCGGCAGTGGCTGAGAGGGTTGAAGTCCGATCCACAGGTCGCCTATGAGGAGACGGCAGCGAAGAGGAAGGCGCCCAGGATGTTTGCAATGTCTGGTGCTGCTGTTGGAGTTGCTGCTGATCCCGAATGCGGCTGGTGCTGTAGCGCTGTTCCAGGTGTTGAGGAGACGCAAAGTGTCCAGCTTGATAGCTCATTGGACGCAACCAGTTTGAGATGGGACTCTCTCCTGCACCTGAGCGACGTCACGAACGAGACCAGCTTTCCTTGGAAGCAGATGGCGGGGTCGTCAAAAAGTAACCAGAGATAAGGGTAGAGTGTGGCGACGGGTTATGCCGCTTGCCGAAATGGCAGCACCACGATCTTGGGACCGTTGTCAGGTATCCGAAAGAACGTCACTGGAGGGTAAAAGGCAGCAAGCCCCCAGCTTATTCGCGATACAGGGTGGTTGGCTTGGATTCCACCAGGCTTCGCCGGGTTCCAGACTGGGATGTTGCAGGGCTTTCTGAGGAACGGGAACGTGGGGGGAGTATAACTTGCGCAATAACGTCAGTCTCAATGCATCAACCAGAGCCTCCAGAACTGAGCGCAACACACACGCCTCAACTTATGGTACTCAAAGCCAGCATAAGCCATCGTTCAACTGGAACACGCTATATGTATACGCCAAGGAAGCAGCTCCGTTTGACAGGCGGCTATACCTCACTCGCATTCCCACTCTGGCGGCCTATCTCCACAGCGGGTGAGGGCTGGTTGGACATGCATATATATCACTGTTTCTGCGCTACTATATACAGCACACTGTCGTTTTGATCCGGCACTCCTGAGTCCTGATATGGCTTGCTGGCTGGCTGGCGGCGTACATATTTGATTAGCGGCAACACCACGCAGAATGTCCCGGCCGCTAATCATTTCCTTTAAGCATTTGGCTCGCAAGCGTATCAATCAAGAATCCCACCGATTACGTCAGACGCGTGGGCCCCCGTGATTTCCCGCATAACGCGTTGACAAACTTCCCACCTGGCGACCCAGAACTAGCAAGAGACTAGCGGGTGCGATGCTACTACATGCGCTAAGAGGCCAGGAGAGTGGTTTGCTTGTTTGAGATGTCGAAACATCCCACCCGCCATCCATATGAAGCCTCAACGAATTTATTGGAGGTCTAGCATTACAGAGTCCGGCTGCATCATTATTGGATTTTATCTCGTTCCCACGACTCCTCGAGTGCCGTCAACATCCTGCGACAATAATAGTGTTGCTCGTCCCCATCCCCAAACGAACAGAGCGTCGTATAACGTTTTGGTTTTCACCCGTCTGATACATTCACGTACGGTGGGAGGTAGACGCCCGGTCGCGGAGGGAGATCAGGCGGGATGGCGTCGCAATACGTTCTGTATCTCCTCACTCGCATCCCACGGCTGCAGCGATGAAAGCTGACAGATGTCTGGAATTGGAAGGGGAGTGTGAGTGATGAAATACTCCAATTGGAAGCTACCCTTGCCTTCCATCTAGCCAATCCAGGTTCGCTGGCCGAATCTCAACATATTGATCTCTAGCGGGGAGGATGTTGTTTAGGAGAATTTCTATGCTTCGTTATGTGAATGCATAAGAGCTCTTCGGCTACACGACACAAAACACTGGCACACGATAGTCGAGTTGGACGGGACGGTTCGGGGTCTCGTCGGCTTTCATCTTCGTGAGGCAGGAATTGTTGACATAGTGCCCTCTGCCACCAGGCCATGTTCACTTCTTGTCGATTGGGGTAGGTGAACCACTCGCGAACTCCCGGGGCTTGACATGGAGAGGGTGACGGTCTAAATAATACCGACCAAGTGCGCGTATGCAAGCCTCGGATGTGATGTTGTGAATGCTCATCGGTACCGATGCAATAATGTACCGGCGTTTTCGGTATCTAGAATTGTCGCCATCGTTGGCGACGTCCATCTCGATCGACGTTGCGAATAGTGCGACGGAGGCACTTCTATCAGCCTATCCACAGATCCCCCGAACAGTAACGACTGTATTTCCTCTGGCAGCACGAGATATGAATAATCAGCGATAGCGATCGGTCCAGGAGAGCGACGACCTCGTCCCCAAACCCGTTATCACCTCTCATGACCGTTCTCAACACGACACACAGCGATGTTACTGCATTGTTGCTAGTGTCGGTTCAATAGACGAGCCCCGTCCAGGTATCACCATATGATAGTGATGTGCGATATGTTCCAGTGCCATATTTTCGTTTGCGGCCCAGAATCGTCTCGGATCTCCACTCGTAGCATGAGAGTATCCCACAGAGCTGAGAGTCGGACTCGCTTCATATTCAGGTAGTGTGCAAAAACGTACTCCGTTCCCACTTGCTCAACGCAGCCGTTTCTCTTTGCTACGAGATATCGGGTCACCGTCGGATTCTCGGTTACCAAAGCCTGAACCAATCATCGCTCGGGTCGTCACTCAAAGCGCTTCCTTCCTTGATCCCTCCAGGAGTTGTATTGGCCTTGACTACTTTCAAAGTCATGCATTTTGCTAGGGTTCTCCGGTCCCGATTTGCTGACAACCGACTGCGTTCTTCAGATGCCCGGAAATAGGAAACGAAGGAGTCTATCTCCCCCGCCTGCCTCGTCCTTGATGCCAGACCTTGACGTCCTCGAGAGAGCCAAGTAGAGAGGTATATCTTTCCCATTGACGGACCATACGCATATCGCTCTCAATGTAAAAAATAGTGTACCGCGTCGCCAGGTCGCTTCGTTATGCTCATCCCGACATGTCGTGTTTTGCGGCTCGTCATCCATGTGGCGAGGATCATCCTATGCATTGTGGTGGAAAGATAGAGAGGGGGAGTGTGCCGTGAGGGTTGTTGGTGAAGTTCTGACCGTAAGGATGGAAAGCGTTGCGAGAGATATAAAAACAAGGGCAGGCGAAAGAGGGGCAGCTCCGACAGCAAGAGTCACGCGTCGCTTCTCCCCTTCCCCACTTCGGCTGGACCAATTCTGGACAAGGGACGTGGGAGGTCGCATGGGCGGCAATTAACCAACCACACAGCACAACTCGGAGCAGCACAGGGCACGTCTGTCACCGGCTACCCACACCGACGTCCCCACTACCACCGATACCCCTTCCAACATGGCCGCAACGCAACAATCTCACCTCGCCTCAACCCCCAAACCCCCCTACTTTGCCGTCATCTTCACCAACATCCTGCACGCCCCCTCCCCATCTTACTCCCTCCTCGCAACCCGCATGTCCACCCTCGCCGCCCAACAGCCAGGCTACCTCGGTCAGGAATCCACCCGCAACGCAGAGACGCTGTTGGGGATAACTGTGTCGTACTGGACGGACGAGGAGAGTGTCCGGAAGTGGAAGGGAGTCGCGGAACACCTTGCGGCGCAGGAAGTGGGGAGGAAGGAGTTTTATAGCGTTTATAAGGTTAGGGTGGCGGAGGTCAAGAGGGATTATGGGTGGGGGAGTGAGGTGTGAGCCATAGCCAGCCGCTTGAGCTGATCTGAACGATCGACCTGGGTGGGCGTGTGCGCTCGGACTCTGGCGGACGCATCCCACTCATCGCGGTAGCCAGCACACCGCAACGACTGGCCAAGCAAGCGCCATCTCGCACTTGACGCTTGAGCGTCCCCGACCTATGGGACATTCCCAGGCAATCGGCGGTAACTTGAGGCGTAAAGAGCGGAGTAGCAAGGGTATCTTTTTTTCCTGCATGCACACTAGCCCTACACCTCAATGACGATGTTCACAAACTTGAAAATAGAACATGAATGCATCTGTATGAATGCATTACACACCAAACCGAACCGTATTTGCCACAAAAGACGCTTACAAGTCGCTCTTCTTTTGATCCCATAAAGGGTAACAGATGGGCCAGTTCGCGCAAGACCTATTTTCACCTAGCTGTAACTCATCGGATGGCTAAGGTGCAACACGCTATATACAAGGTTGACCAGGAAAGTTCACTGATATGATGGGCAAGAAACCACAGCATCGTTTCATCCCAATATATTTTCCTCCATGATACTAAAGCTAAGAATCTGTCAACGCCGCCATAAAAGCTCGTTCTCTCACTACAACATGGCGCTGCCAAGCCCGCTCTCCAATAGACGGAGCTTGCTGCGTCTCAGCCCCCGCCGCAATACTCGCTCGGGCCTCCTCATACATACCCCGGCGCGCCCTGGCATCTCCCACGTACAGTCCATCTTCTTCTCCATCCATTCCATCTTCCTCTCCACTTCAGTGTTCTTGGTTTGCATTTCCATTTCAGCCACACGGTGTCGGTCCGCTTCTGGTTCTGCTTGACGCTCGTTGAGCGCGTCCGTGAGCTCGTTGAGGAAAGTGGTGCTCGCTGAGAACCTGACACTCGTCGTCGTCGCCTTGGATGGCTCTGCCACCTTTGTCGGTCGATGATGGTGTGGTCGATGACGTGGAAAGAATCAGAAGAGCCCATGGTTTGCAGGTCGGGCGGGTTGTGATGCACCGTTGATTTTGGAGGTTGGGAACCTTAACCCGGAGCGACGGAGGTTACAAGCTACTACGCAGCATAGGAGGACGATTGCGCTTGGGTATGTCGATATATTGAGTCCAGAGGAAAGTCTGACGGAGTTTCGTCGCGAGCGGCCTTTTGTAATGTGCGACTAACGTGTGGGTGGGGTCCAAGTCGCATTCGGCAAATGCTCAGAGAATTCGACAGCGCGGTCCCGTCAATGTCCATGAACGTTCTTCGATTGCCTGACGTCTGAAACCCAACTTGTTCAAGTGCTCTCTTTCCCGCAGTATCCCCGCTCATACAGACAGTTTCACCCTCCCACACCACCTCGTCTCCCGCGAACAACCCAGTACGGCTCCCTCCCTCTCTCTACACGTCATCTGCAAGATCGCCACCCACGTAGAGCGCCGACCCGCCGACCTGGGGAAAAACCTAGCTTTCGCATGCCGAGCATGGCCCGACGCCCTCATCAAGAATGGTTACCGCACCGTCAGTCCCAGGAACAATGCGGATATCAAGTCGCTGTATCAGAAACTTCAGACCCGCCCGGACCGCGCCAGTTGGTTGGGGGCTCTCGCGTGGTGCGGCATGTCGTCCGTAACTTGTATGTTGCGGGAGCCAACACCGCCACCATCCTGGAAACATGCATGGCGCAAAAGGACTTTTTCGCCTCACCTTTGAGTGGATGAAAGAAACCGCTTCCACCATCACTTTCGGAACGATGGCACTCTTCATGTTGATGACGGTCCCATTGTGCTCAAAAAGCATGTGTGTACCACGAAAGAACAATCGTGCCGTGACGAGATTTCTGCTGTTACGGGCGAACGTGTCGCTGCCGAGACCGTACCCGTCAGGTGGCTGCACACCGAAGAAGGGATCCGTTCCCTGGCCAAGGACGTTGACGGCTACCAGCAAACCGCCCACTCTGGTGGTGTTTTGGGGGCCTTCAGAATAGATCGAGGATTCGCAGTGATGAGGAGGAAAGGTGCAACGTGGCAGATTTCCGTTCAGGTCAATCAACGTGAGGCATTAACTACATGGAGAACAAATCATCGCCACACACCTGCTCGCCGGGAAACATCGTTACTCAGGCCATCGGAAGACAAGTGCCAGCCTCGCGTTCGAATGGACTTCGGAACATAGGATTGAGTTGACCGCTACCGAACCCTTTCCGACGCTCTTGTGCCCAATCTCGACTAATGGAGACTCGGCCAAGAATTGGCGAAGTGTAGGCATTATCCTATCGGAATCCGAGTCGGGATGTTTGACATGACCGAACAATACGCCCGTCGAGACCGTCTTTGGAGTACATGTACAGCTCGTCAGCAGCAGAAAGAAAGAACAGCAATGGAGAGAATCTTTCGGATGATCCACAATGGTCAAATAAGATTAAGGGAAAACAGTTTGCAAAGCACAAGTACACTAGTCTGGCTAGCCTAGGTTGAATTAGAGCTCTATGAAACGGAATATCGAATTATGTATATGGAAAAAAAGGTATCTCTATGGCTCAAGTCCCTGGGGGAATGCCGGGGAACATGATTCTATGTAAATGGGTTACGCCGTGAAGATCATGGGGGTAGCGGAAAAACAACGGCGGATGAAGATGTGGGACACTAGGTAGAGTTTAGTGCTCTCCATGGGCATCACGCCACGCCTCCCACTTTGCATGTTTGTCCAACCACTCCTGCGACGGGGCCACGCTCTGCGGTCCACTGCGGATGTCATTGGGGCGCTCCACAAAGATGACCGCCAGCCCCTGCTCCAAGTGCCAGTCGATGTGGCAGTGCATGAACCACACGCCGGGGTTGTCCGCGACGAAGCGGAGGGTCTGGCTGGACCCGCCGATGGCCTGCACGTCGCGCATGACGGGGTTGGCGCCGGCGGTGAGGACCGAGAAGGCGTGGCCGTGCAGGTGGAAGGGGTGGTTGAACCCGTTGGCGGCGCCGGAGAAGACGAGGTCGACGACGGCGTTGGGTTTGTCGAGGACGAAGATGTTGGAGGATTTGGCGAAATCCGCTTGGGTCGTTGCGCCGTGGCGGAGGACGGCGTCGAGGACGTTGTCGTGCGGGGCTTCGAAGGGGGAGTTGTTGATCTGCCACACGCTCTTGCCGCCGATGGTGGTCTTGCTGAATTTGATGGGGATGGTGATGTCGGCTTTGATTTTGGGGTTGGAGAGGATCGGGTCGGGGCGGGTGGGGTGCAGCATGTCGTCCTTGAGCGCTGGGGCGGACGCGCGGCGTTGAGGGAAGACGAGGCCGCGGGGGGCGACGGCAGGAGCGCCGGCGTAGCGGAGGATACCGGTGGTCGTGACGGGTGCATCGGGGCCGTCAAGCTGCTTGATGGTGATGGCGTAGTTACCGACAGGCTTGTCCGCCTTCAGCACGACGGAGTAACGTTGACCGGGGTAGATGGTGAGCTTGGAAGCGCGGACGGGGACGTGGTTGACGGAGTCGACCTCGATGACGTCGAATTCGTGGCCGTCGAATGCAATCTCATAGGGCACCATGGCGCCGCTGTTCAGGAGACGCAGGCGGTATCGCTTGTTCTTCTCGACGTTCACAACGTAGCTGCCTTGCTTGCCGCCGAGGCCGTTGATGAGGATTACGGAGGGGGTGGGCTCGGAGCCGGAGGCGGTGAGGGCTGCCATCGACACCCTGGATTTCTGGGGGTACCAGTCGGAGAACTGGAGGAGATGCTGGTGACGGAAAAACAAATCTCTGTTAATGTCCCGCCTCTTGATTGCAAGATCTCAACCATTCAAGCCAGAACATACCTCATCCAAGTCATAGTCGTAAAGCCCCTTGTGCTCATCATTGGGGTCACGGATGATGATACCAGACCGGCACCCATCAACGTACTGGGCGTGGAAGTGGGAGTGGTACCAGAACGTACCCGCCTGGTCGCGTGCCTTGAACCTGTACGTGTAGCTGTCCCCAGGCAAAATCGGCGCCTGGTTAACATGACTGGGCCCATCCTCATGCGCCGTCCTAGCCTGGAAGAACCCATGCCAGTGAATGGCGGTAGGTAGATCCATCGTCTCATCCGTCAACTTGTTGTTAACGGTCAGCTCGAAATCATCGTTGATTTCTCCCGTGATGACCGTTCCGGGGAATTGGCCGTTGACGAGCACCGCGCCGCGGGTTGTGCCGTCGAGGTTGACGTTGCCGTTGACGATGTCGAGGTTGTACTTGCGCACCGCGGCCTGCGTGAGCGTGGATGTGAGGAGGAGGACGAGAGCGGAGGCTTTGATGAACATCGCTGTGGGTGGGGTTGGGGGGAAGGGGAGATGGGTGGTGAGAGGAATGGGACGAGCCCGCCCTGCTCCCCCCTTTTGTAGGTCGCTCGGTAAAGAGTGGGAGACAGGCTTTTCGTCCCCAGTTAGATTTTCCGAAGGCAGGTGGGAAGGACGTCCTCCTAGCAGTGCGCTACGTGGGCCGAGGTCATCGACACCATGGTCAGGCCCCGCAGCGCTCTGGAACGCCCGAGTCAGAGTCCTTCACCGGACGATATCTTCCGCCCACTCGGAAGCCCCGCGCTGCACGACAGATCTGCGAGGGAAAACTTGATGCCTCATTGTCCATGCACCGTTGTGGATATTCTCAGTTTTTCACCGAGAGGTATTTCTGCCCAATCGTGAAAACGACAAAGATGTGAAAATGGGAAAATTTGTGGGATCGTGAGGTGTGGGGGTCAGTGCAAATCTGTATACATACGCAGGTAATACTCTAGGTATCTGGCAATGATGGGGCGCTGGGATGCTTTCGAAAGATTTGTTTCGAAAGGCGTCGGGGGTTTTTCTTTCGTCAAGGCAGAGAAAAACTGCGTGAGAAGGAGTCTTTGCGGTCCGTCATCGGTTTCAACGGTACGGTGGCCCAGGCCTACGTGCAGACATGGTGGTTGTACGTAGTAGCATTCTGCGAAGTGATGTGGGGGTGTGACGGGGGCACCATGGATGGATGTGATGTGTGGGTGCCCTCGACTGCATGGTGTGGTATGTATTGCGGAATCATGGATACATATATCATAAGCGAAATCCTCGCTCACGACCAACGTTGTAGCTCACGACCGACCGAGCAAAAAGTTGTTGAAGTTGTTGCATCCGTCCGTCGTTCGTTGCAAGCCCCGTGGGGGAGGAGGAGTCCTTGCGCCCGCCCCGAAAAGAAAGCGTCAAAAAGCCAAAAACTGTCAGTCTGTGCCTTCCCCCCGGCGTCTGGTAACAGAGGGGTGAGATTGGATGATCGACGCGTTTCAGACTCTCCTGGCTCTCGGATCCTCCGGCGGGGGACTCCGGTTCTCCCATCGCCGATCTCGCATTAATAGCGCACCTGTTGTTGCCCAGAGAGGCAAAAATGGTTTCTTGCAACACGCCAACCGGGGAGCGGGCGGCCGAGGAGTCTCCGAGGAGTCGAGCGCCGTCTCCCGAGGATAAGACAATAAGATCTTATTATGGCAATTTGCAAGTTGTATCTCAACTCAACTCAACAGGAGCCGAGAGCGCTCCGGACAGGACGCCTGATGAGGAAAAGCCCCCGATCAATTGATTCATGGTGCATTCGATTCAATTCAAGCCTTGTATTACGCACGCCTCGAAGCATGAAAGCCCCCCCCACGTGACCACTACATGGCATCGCCGTCGGACGTGAATCTGGCAAGTAAGTCCCAGTGCTGCTGAAAGGCTGCAACTCCGCACATCGCTTCATTTGTGTCCTTTCTTTCAGCTTCCCTCCCCAACCACGGCCTCATAGCATCCGCGCGGTGGGACAATGTATACAGTATACCCTCCATGTTTCCATTTTCCCGCACATAGTCGCGCTCATCAGCATCATCGATGTCAAACGGGGAATCCAACTTCAAGTTTCCAAAGTGATCACAGTCTTTGTTCTTTCTTCCGCACGTTTTGGTGCCACGGTTGGGGCGCGTTCTCATGCGCAATTTTGGAAGCCATTCGGCGGGAACGGGGCCCCAGATCGCCCGATCATCGGTAAAAACAAAAAATGCACCGGCCACGATCCTTTGGGTGACGGGCTTTTTTTCACGAAAAACTTTGTGGCACAATAGGCTCTTCAATTTGCGCTTACGGTACCGATCAAGGCATGGCGCCGTGCCACCATTGTGAACAATTGATCGTCGGAGCTACTACCTTCCGTGAACTTCCGTGTTGAAATCCGTACAACATGTTGTCGCGATTCGGGAGCTTTAATCAAGTTTAACAGTTTAACAGCTTGTGAGCGTGATACGTAAAAATGTCCCAGCGGTACATTGGATATTCCGGCCATGTCAGGAATAGACCGTCAAATTTGAGACTGACGGACAAAATCTGCTTGCCATCAGTTTCCCTACCCCGTTCAAACTCAGACAACATCTGTGATAAACACAGAGACAGAGAACCGCGCGGAGTGAACAACCACCTGTTGCTGCCATGCACCATCATCATGCTGCATCGTACAGGAAAATAATCGTCCATGATTCTTGTTCAGATTGGGAGCCTGTAGAGTCACAGGACGGGATGTAGCTCGACGGCCCAGCTGACGACACCAGTGGGGATACTACATTTTGTGTTGGGGCCTCCAAAATTCTCATGGAGGCAAAAAAAAGGTGGGAGACGAGCATGGGGGCGTGGGTGAGCGAGGGTCTAGGCCATAGGCGAAAAGATAACCGGTAGTGAGGACAGCTGACAAGGAGCCGGGGGGCAGATTTGCATAGGTTGTCCGATTGTGGAAGCCTCGTTGTGTAGCATATTCCAGCGGTAGATACGAGCGTCATGCCTCCCGCTGGAACCATTCCCCACATACCCGTTAGTACAAAAGGAATGGGCAGCTGGCAGTCCCCTCACCACATTCACCGCACTCCGTCCCTCCCCCCATCCACCAAACGATGAAGTTCCTCGCCACCCTCGCCCTCGCGGCGCTCTCGGCGTTCACCGCTCAAGCCGCCCTCCCCGTGGCGCCTTCCAACATCGTCGCCTTCCCCATGCGCGACATGGTCACCATCGAAGGCTTCGCCGAGCGCACCGGCCAGCAGATGAAGGTCGAGGTCCTTCGCGGGACCACCGTTGTCGGATCCACCATCGGAACCGTCTCTGGAGACGATGTCGCGTTCGACGTCAACCACCCTGGCGGTGTGTGCTGGGGCGCTGGCACCAACTTGAAGGTCACGCCTTCCCTGCAGGCCGGGGATCGCATCCAGGTTTCCATTGCTGGAAGTGTGATAGCCGATTCCACCATCCTGGACACGAACGTTGAGAGTGTGGATTACACGGCCGGAGCATTGTCTTTCACCGTCACCGGACAGATCGCTGCGAGCATCCCGATGGCGAACTTCGAGTGCCGGATCGTGAACCCGGCGATGACGACAACCGTCATCGCCAAACGCGACATTCGCGCCGTTCTGGGAGACTTCAACACCAAGGCCTTCACCAACGGGTACCGGTCCGGTGTTGTTGAATCGACCGTCGGTGGTGTCAGGCGCTGGAAGGCGACCTTCGAATTTGACCCTAACGCCGCTAATGCTGTTGCTGTTGCCCAGACCGCCGCTACGGGTGGAGGCGCGAGGGCTAACGCCTGGATGGCTGGCGCCGGACAAGGAATGACGATTTGGGAACTCGGTGAAGTGAAGGGGCCTGGTGTGGGTGGATGCCCCGCTGGACCTGACACGACCGCCCCCGGCGTCGGAACCGTTGCCACTGTTTTTGGTGCCGGAAACGTTAAGGTTTCCTGGAGCACCCCGGCCGTCGTGCCTGGCGGCGCCGCGATCTCCGGCTACGACGTTATTGTCATGCCCAAAGCGGTCACCGCCGGTCTCCGCAAGACCACCGGATTCCGCACCGCCGCCAACATCAACACCGTCACCGTCAGCGACGCCTCCATCAGCCTCGACACCTCCACCGTCCAAGTCCGCAGTCTGGTCGGAACCGCATTGTCCAACCCTTTCATCCCTGCCGCCAACCCGCAGCCCGTCGTCGACATCACCCTCACACTGACCCCGCCCGCCGGCGCCGACGAGACCGCCGTCATCACCGCCACCTCCGTCACGATCGCCTCCAACGTGCAGATCTACTACGCCACCAACCTCGACACGGTCATGACCGGCGGAATCCCCTCCGACGCCGCCATCGTCTACGACGGCCAGCCCATCCTCATCGGAACAAAGACCACCCTCCACATCGCCGCGATCCACGCCAACGGCCAGTTCAAGGTCCAGACCGTTACCTACCAACCCCCAGCCGCCGTCCTTCCCCAGCCCCCTACCGCCGTCAAGGCCACCGCCGCGCCAGGTGGTGCCATCCTGACCTGGACCGCGCCCGCCGACGCCTCCATCACGGGCTACGCAGCGCAGCAATACGACGCCACGAACACCGAAGTCGGCACCCTCCACCTTGCGACGGGCGGCGAAACCCTCGACCGAAGGATGGTCGTCGAAGGTCTCGCCCCGGGCGTGTCCACCACCCTCGCGCTCAAATCCATGAACAAGGCCGGCATCTTCTCCGTCGCGTCCGAGTTTGTCACCGTCACGCCCCTGAAGGCCGTCGACACCATCACGATCGCCAAGGCGCGCCAGCAGCAGAGGGATCTGCGTGTGGACGGGACCGGGTCGGATGTGTCCGCGACGTTTACGCTGCACAATGCGTGTGGGAATGCCCCGTGTCCCGAGGTGCTTGCTACGGCGGGTGCGGATGCGGCCGGTGCGTTTGTGTTGAGGAATAAGGCCGCTGCTCCGGGCATTCTGAACGTGTGGGTCAAGTCGTCTAAGGGTGGCATCGCCGGCCCCGTTAAGGTCGCTGCTTAGAGAAAAGTAGCTGAGGTGAAGCACACTATGTTCAAGATAGTGATACCATATTTACATAGCATACATACTACATAGAGATGGACTCGTTTAATTCAGAGATCTGCGCAATGATAATGAAAGCGTTAGGCTCACATTGCTCTACTGTCCCTCATCTTGCGTCAAGGAACGAGTGCACAGGTTTCTCCCTTCTTTTCCCGTCTCTCCGTGATACAGGTAGTAATCCCCAAGACGCTTTCTGCGCCATAGACACTTCCCGTGATAGATGTATCACTCCCGGTTCAATGTGACATTCGGTCTTGGGGACCTTCCCACCTCCATCCGACGCACATGTTTGAATTGATTGTGGCATCGGACCTCTCATTCTCCTCTTTCCTCTTTCTCTCCTCCTTCGATGGTAGAATTGCCAAGGCTTTTGTAAGGAATCGCACGTTGTAACGAAGAAGCCATCAATTCAGTCTTGGTCTTTTTCGTGCTCGACGCGTTGACCTTGAAACCGCCCCCACACTCTCAAGTCCCAACTCAGTTCCAAAAACTCCGAGAATTCTCTTCAACGTTGCATCAAAGTTCCGGTCGCAGTGCCCTACCTCAAGATGGGCCCGTATTTCGTCCTCGGCGATCAGCTCATCAACCTCGACCAAGTCAAAACCGCCAGGCGAGTGCCAGGCGATTGGGACCACAAGGTAGTCATCAACAACGAGCTCTCCATCAACTTCGGTAGCCAAAGCAACAACGAGCTCGAAACGCTTGCAAAGGCACTTAACGCCCGCCACCACGAAAAGGAAGTCGGTCCGACGGAGCGCAAAGTCGAGGAGTTGGAGAAGAAGGTTAATTGTCTTTGGAACATGCCGGGTGCGCCGGGGTTTGAGGCTGCGAAGGCGAGCTTTGAGGCGGAAGCGGAGGCGCAGAGAACAGCTGGGCACGGGAAATGATGAGGTAACCGTTAGCGAGCGGTTTACGAGAAGGGAGGATGTTTATTCTATGAAATATTGCGAGGGGCGAAAGCGGAACTGTGAGGAGTGCGGGCACGTCTACAAAGATATAACGTAAGAAGACCGCCATCAGCATGTGCCAATATGCTCATTCTGTTTCTAACCTTCCCATCAGATTCGTTCCCTAAGCCTAAGAAAGCGAAATGGGCTGCAAATGAGTTTAGAATGGCAAACTTCGGCAAAATCTCGTGCGGTGCTTTCGGGAATCATATCACGACTTACTAAGGCACTCTCAGCATTTGCTTGGGATCGACATCGCAAATAAGGGAAACCGTGTATCCATTTCATTTTGGGAATTATTTTGCACGGCCTGACAAGGGCCTCTCTGCACACATTTCTGTCATCAATAAAGCAAAAAATGCCCAACTCGTAGTATCTACATATCTATATATATTCGTTCATAGTGAATCTCTTCGCATTCCGCAACGAATCCTAAATGTTGTCGAACGTAGTCAATTTCATGAAACTCGTCCGTTTTGCGCCGCCCTGCCTCCCTCAACATTCGAAATGCTGATTGATTTCAATACACTCCTTCCCAATGGATTCTGCAGCTTGAGGGCAGGCTCAAGGTTGGGAAACCAATTCGAAACGGGATGGAAATCCGATAGAATGCGGCCTGAATTGACAGGGTTGGTCAATTGACGGTTTACGCGCTGTCGAGTTTTTTGGTTGCCCCCCCACAACCCGTAAACGCTCAATGATAGGGAAGAAAAATAGGTGGTGAGCAACGCATCCGGACTGAATAGAAAGGTGCAAAATCTTCACCCGCAGTGCCTCATACTCAAAGTCCATACCTCCAAACTTCCGAGCGACGGCGCTCTGCAAACAGTACGGTAATCACGTCCGGACGTGCCCAACTCCAACAAGCTCTGCAAAAATGGGTCCTTTTCACCCCTTTGGCTTCAATATCATCAATCTCGACGAAGTCAAAACGATCACCACCCAGAAGTTCACTGGTATTGACGAAGAAGTGGTCTGCGTCATCAACAACGAGACGCCCGTAAAGATGGAAGGTTATTGGTCATTTGAGCAAATGCAAGACTTCATCGGGGTTCTCAACGCCCGTGCCGCCGAGAGGGATGGTTCCCCAGCTGAACTGAAGACCAAGGTCGCCGACTTGGAGCGAAGGCTGAGCTGGCTGGAGGGGAAGATGGGCTGTATTTGGAATATGCCAGGCGCACCGGGGTACGAGGAATCCCGAGCCAGCTTTTCGGCCTCGGTTGGAACGCAGAACGTACCAATGCAGAGTGAGAATGTTGCCGACAACAGACCAGCAGGGTCAACATGAAGATTTGGCGGAAGAGTGGTCGAAAGTGAATTGATGTAGCTAGCGGCGATGTGGTGGTTAGCAGTCGATATCATTAGCATAGCAGAGGAAGATCAAAATAAGATGCACTTCCAAGAGGCGCGCGCTTTTCCTGCCCATTGCCTCTCTTGTTGATGAAGTTTGTAAATACTCCTGGCGTGCGCAACAAAGATCTATGAGCTTGAGAAACGAAGGAAAAGGGACGGATTGTTGTCGGCATATTACTCAGGTGTGGGGGAGTCTCTTCTATTCGAATTGTTGACCCCCCCCGCAAATTTGCATAATGAGTTTTGAGGGCTAGCCTTGAATTTTGTGCTGTGCGGGGACCCAATCTCTTTTGTGCGAAATCGAAGTTCAGCTCTTGCGATAACTCCTTGATACACTGCCGAACCTGCATATTCCACATCCTTGGCGACGTGGGTCCATTTTACGTCCTTGGCCGCAACCTCATCAATCTAGACTGCGTTGAGCAAGCTATCCCAGAAGACGACGAAAGCAACTTCTTTCAGCTGAATGATAAGCTCAGCATCGAACTTCCCTCGTACCAAGACCAAACCGCCCTCCTTGAGGATCTCAGCGATGCCCTCAACGCGCGCCTGCTAGAGAAGGAAAGCAGCTCCATCGAAATGATGAAACGTAAAATCGCCGAGCTGGAGAAGAGGATGGAATGTCTTTGGTATATGCCTGGCGCACCCGGGTACGAGGAAGCCCGCGGAAGTTTTGCGACGGCCACTGTAAACCAGCAAGCAGAGGCGCAAGTGCACATTGAGGAGGCCACCAACGGCACTAGGTCTCAACCGCCAATCGCTGCGAGAACACTGAATCAGACCTCGACTGCCGGAGGCCACGAAACTCCGGATATGATGCGTTGATTAGCGAAGTGACGGGATGCTTGATTAGTGACGACACGCCGGTTAGCACCTATCATCAGCATAGCGTAGGATTGTAGTCGGCAAGGTTAAAAAAGTCACGAGCTATACACCTTCCGTTCCCTCTGCTCATCGTCTTCGACCAGATTGTATCAATTGTTTACGCAACAGAGATTCGGCTGGTTCACCTGTTCCAGATAAGCGGAGTAGATCTTGAACTCCCATACGTTTATATATAGGCTGCTAGTATGTTGGTTTGAGGTGAAGCAATTTCACATAGTTGCTCCGCATGTATTTGCTTTCTATCACATTGAATAGCCGGGATTCCGGAGTCAGATTAAGTCATGCGCAGTGAGTCTTTCAAATCCGCCCCTCCATAATTGCAGCGGCCGCCCGCAGATTCTCAACGGTCAGCTTCACCTGCTTCTCGTCGGTGTAGGCAGCACTCAAAGCCAGCATGTGAGCGAGTCTGAATCTTTCAACAAGAAACTCCTCAGCAGCGGTATGCAACGCATCGATCGCTCTTTTAGTGAACTTGAAGCCTGCTCGGTGCTGCTGAACCGCCCACAGCGGGTGACTGCTCGCGGCTTCCCGCACAAGTTCCTTGATTTGATCGCGATCAATACAGAGATCCGTACGAAGTTGTTCATACCATATCTGGTCTAACGCGCGATCTTCTGAATATAATCCTTCCAGCCTATCGGTACTCGAGCATTCGTCAGCGCCCTCTTCCGAGGCGGGATCATCATTGCGACCACCGTCCGTCTTATTCAAATTCTGAGTTGCGGCAGCAGCAGGAGTCGAGGTGGAGGAACTAGTCGCGATATTATCCCCACTGATGTGCATGTCATTCACCATATCTGGTAGATAGATATCTTCAAGAGAGGAGGCAGGGAGCTCCAGATTAGTACACGTACTGGCTTCGCTGTCTGTTGAGATATATCCTTCCTCGTCGAAACTCGGGTCTGCCGCTTTCAATTCTTCTCGGCGTAGCTTATGCCGTTCACCTCGTTCCTCTTCCGCATCGTCCAAATCCACATCTGCTTCATCTGCTTCTTCCGCCTCGTGTTCGTAGAAAGAGTCAGAATGAGATTCGGGAGAGTTGCCACTTTCGGGCTCGGAAAGTCCTTCCCAATACCAATGAGCAAAGTAAGTCGGATCCGACTCTTTCGAATCCGCACTCGCCCTTCCGTCATCATCGGGATTGGAATACATGGAGCCCTTCTCAGCCTACATCTGCCCACCCCACCACAGCTGATCATCCTCTACACGATTTCCCGGACATCACCGACAAGCACATTAGTGTGATATTTGAGCGGCTAAACAATCCAGGCTACAACGGCAATCCGGTCATCGCGCAAGAGTTGCATCCACGGGTTCAAGAGTACTGTAATGTTCACGGATTTGCCCCCATCTGCATGCGAAATAGCCAACAGACCGCAGCGTACACAGCTACGAGCATCTTCACCAACCTTAAAGTCAACGTACAGGAGCATTTTATGCAAATGTTTCTGCGCTATGTCAATGAAAGGCTTGGTGTGAAGCAAGTCGTACTGCATCTTCGGAGAGCCGGAGTCAGCCGAGCGCAGCGGCGACACTATTATCGGCGTGTCAATCGGTTTACAAAGTACGCGACGTTCAAAGAGTACCCAACCGAAGAGGAGTTTGCTGGCCTCACACGACTTGAGCGGAATCTCCTTGACGAGTTATGGGCTCTGTTTCCTCCCCAGGATGAACCGCTTGCATACAGCCTTGCGGTGGATGCAATGCCATATTTAGGTGAGTTGCATCCCGTATGTTCACACTCCCCCCCCCTCCCCCCCCCCCAAAGCGCCTCGCTTGGTACGCCGATCTGGCCGAGTGGTTGCCTGCCGGGACCCCGGCCGACGTGGTTCTCGATGCGCTCTTGCCGCTGGGCACCCGCACGCTTGGCTCCGGCCCCCTCCCCCCCCCCCCCCCTAACCCTAACCCCTCCTCCCCCGCCTCGACGACGCCACCGGCCCGGGGCGCGGCTGATGCTCTTGCCCACCGCCACGGCATTGACGTAACCATCGCCGACAACGTGTTCGCCGCTCGCTGAACATACACGCCCCCCCCCCTACCCCCCCTTCGCTCCCCACCCCGCGGCTTCCTCTTTTGGCTAATCATGGTCCACACCTGCCTCACCAGGTGCCTACTGTGAGCTCTCGCGCCTCTATGAGCGCCGTGGAATGCGCCTGTTTTCCACTGTCCCGCTGCGCAAATCTCGAATCCAGTCATCTGTTCGGATCGACTCTCTGATCCTAGCCACCCATATCCTGGGCTTGAGCCGCCATCGCATGGGGAAACTCACCGATCAATGCAAGCGGGAGCTGTGGGGGCAGTTTCTCAACATGAATGTAAGTCTCTATCCTTATGCGCTTATTTCAATCAGATTATGTCGCTGAATGACGGATTATAGGACAAGGTCTTCAAACATCGAAAGAAGCTGGGTCTCAAATTTGATGGGTCAATCAGCACCAACGGGTATTCCGTGACCATCCACTTCAAGAAGCCATCGCTCAAGTATGGCCATCGGGCGCGGAAGCGCAGCAAGGCCCAAATGCGGGAAGAGGTCAAGCAGCTGTATTTTGAGCACCACATTGACGAATTAAGGGAGGCTCCAAACATCGTCTGCATTGATCCGGGCAAGCGTGATCTCCTGTTCTGTCAAGACATCAAGAAGGGGCGGCCATTTCGGTAAGTTTCAGTTGATTACTACTGCCCTGCTGTCCCCGCTACCCCCCCCCCCCCCCGTCTCTGCCCGCCAGCCCCCCGTCTCCGCCCGCCAGCCCCCCGTCTCCACTCGCCAGCCCCCTGTCTCCGCCCGCCAGCCCCCCGTCTCCACCCGCCAGCCCCCCGTCTCCGCCCGCCAGCCCCCCGTCTCCACCCGCCAGCCCCCCGTCTCCGCCATCCCCGTTGCGGCGACATTCCGTTGCAGCGTCCTCACAATGCACCACCCCATATCAGATACACATCCAATCAACGGGCGGTCGAGACAAAGTTGCGGTACTTTCGGAGAGACACGACAGAGCGGAAGATCAATGCCGGCGTTGCTGAGATGGAATCACAGATTCCGTCGCACAAGAGCATGAACATCGAGGCGTTCTCCGCGTTCATTGTGGATCACATACATGCAGGTATGATGTATCATGTATCCTCTTCAAATTTGGGTAAACATGGGCTGACATCCATATTCAAGATCCCGCCCTGGATGAGTTTTACCAGGATGAGATTCACGTCGCTCGCAGATTCAAGGCATTCTCACTGCGGCAAAAGTCTGAGAGCAAGCTCATCAAGAACATGCGGCGCCGGTATGGAAAGCATTTTTCGGTCATCTTGGGTGATTGAAGCGATGCTGGGAAAACGATGCGCTTTCAGGAGTCATCAAAGACCAAGGGGTGAGTGACCATCATTGTTTTTGATGTACTATAATATCCTAACTCATCATGGAACAGATTCCGCACACTCTTTGCGAGAAACAGCATTCCATGCTACTTGCTGGATGAGTATCGAACGTCGTCCGTGTGCCCCAACTGCCACGGTCGTGTGAAGAAAAACATCCGACAACGGCTATCACCTCGGCCGTGGCAAGCTAGAAAGGGAAGAATGGAATTCGTCCATGGATTGGTGGGTTGCCCCAACCCCGAATGTATCAACCAAGACTGGACGCCATTTGAGATTCCTGGAAGACGACCACTACGGATGAGAGTGCACAATCGGGACGTCCTAAGCACCAAGAATTTCCTCTCGATTGTGCGCTCGGTGGTGTTTGGCGATGGCCGCAGACCAGACGCATTCTCCCGTAGCCGTAGGTAGTCTAGAATTTTCACCCCATCCCATTTTCCGTGGTGGTTATCTGCCATCCACATCATTGTACCTCTGCCTGAGGCGTCGCCGATGATGGCAACTTGTAGCGATGGCTCAATAGTTGAAGCGAGCGAGCGAGCCAGAGAGGGGCCCCCCCTTTATGGTATCTCATTATTCCATCGAAACTTTCCCGACCCCCTGCGATCCATCGCTGTTGCCCACACCGCAAAGCGGCGAAAACCACGACCTTACAAGCAAATCCGCCGAGAAAAGCCCCTCCTGGGAAATCGAACAAACCACCCATGTTACCGCCGTCGATGAACAACCCGACGGCGGCCTGCGCGGCTGGCTTACCGTCTTTGGCTCCTGGCTCTTTCAGTTCTGCATGGTCGGCGCGGTAACCTCTTTCGGCGCCTACCAGGATTTCTACAGCGAACGCTTTCTCTCCAATGTCGCGCCGTCGGCTATTAGCTGGATTGGGACGATTCAGTTGTTTTTGGAGTACTTTCTGGGGCTTTCTGTGGGGCGGTTGTAAGTAGAATATGCCTTGAGATGGGTTATCCTGTTTGTTACGCCGTTCGAATCTGATGAGAACACAATGCAGGCTCGATGCTGGCCATTTCAGAAAGACCGTTTTGTTTGGCACCGTGGTCTCTGTCGTGAGGTATGTCCATATGAACACATGAGGTTTTTTTCGACGTAGCCAAACAATCAATGCCCTCTCCATTAGCATATTTGCGCTCTCATTCTGCCAACAGGGTCAATATTACCAAGTGCTCCTCAGCCAAGGTCTCGGCATGGGAGCTGGACTCGGGATTGCCTTTTTGCCCACATCTGGGGTCATTTCCTATCATTTCACAAAACGGAAGGCGTTGGCCATGGGGATCGCAACGACTGGAACCTCTCTCGGCGGCTTCGTCTTCTCCGTCCTTCTCAACCGCTTTTTCCAAATGGATGGCGTCGGGTTCGCCTGGGGCGTTCGTATCATCGGGTTCATCGTCGCACTTGGACTGGCAGTGGCCAACATCGTCATCGACCCCAACCCGCGCAAGCCAGCAAAAACGTCGGAAATTTCTGTTGACAAGAATGAGAAACCCAGCGAACCGACATCGCCGCCTCTCCCCATCTCCGCCCTCCTCCGCGACCCTGCCTACGTTCTCTGCATCTCGTCGGGCTTCATCGTCTGTCTCGGTCTCTACTACCCCATGTTCTACATCCAAACTTTTGCGCGGCAGCATGGTATCAGCGAAAGTTTGATCTCATATACCCTGGCGACCATCAACCTTTCGGGAATCCTCGGACGAACGATGCCCAACTATTTGGCGGACAGGGTTGGAGGAGGGTACGGCGCGTTGAAGGTGTATGTGCCGTGTACGCTTGCGGCGGGCGTGCTGGTTTTTGTGATGTTGGCGTGCACGCAGCCGGCGTCGTTGGTGGTGTTTTGTATCCTGTATGGGTTCTTCTCGGGGTCAAGTAAGTACATGGTTTTGTGAACGTTGCGTACCCGCTTTGCACAAAGACTAACGCTTTCCTTGTTTCTAGTTGTGTCGCTGTACTTCCCCACCGTAGTCTCCCTCGATCCAAACGTGACGTCTACTGGGTAATCCACACGCCCCCTGCGCCGTAATCCATCCTAGCATGCCCTTATTGACTTCCTTTTATCCTACAGAGTCCGTCTCGGCCTAGCCTGTATGCCTGTAGGTCTCGCATCCCTAGTCGGGTCACCGATTACCGCCACCATCGTCGGGGACGTAGACTTTCAATGGGCTCGGGGAGAGATATTCGCCGGTGTAAGTTCTCACGTTCATATGCAAATCGGGCGACCAGCGTGGGTTTTTATAGAATTTCTATACTTTTCTACAGGGCTGCGAGATCATCAGCGCCATCTTTCTGTTCTTGTGCTTACGGATCAAGTTGAGGAGAGAGCGGATGCGGGAGGTAATGCAGTAAAATGGGGTCCTGTGGGATGCCAACACTTTTTGCCGGCATTGTAGATAGTCCTTTTTCACTCGATTTAGACGTAGGTCACCGCTGTAGTTCTCTTCTCATCCAAACGTTCTTGATCCGTACATGCGAACGGCAGCTCGCGAAAAGCGTCAACTGAAAAAAGCGACAGCGCGAAACGCGTTAGCTAAGCCATGACTTGGCCCACTGACAGCACTTTTCCACCTCCGATCATCGGGGCTGCCGGACATCGGACCGAGGAAAAAAGTGGACGGTCTCCGCCAGAAACTTGAAAACTTAACCATAACCTTACTCTAAACACAACACAATCCCCCTACCTTCCAAATACCGAATAATACAGCTCAGGACCAGAACGTCAACTGCACGCAAGCCCACGTCGCATCGGCATTGGTCAGGGCTTATGTGCCGCGTGTTCCGGCACCTGAACCCTGTATTGTTTCGCAACGAGGTTGGTGGAGTGGATATGAGGGGAAAATACACGCCCCATAATCTTATCGTCCTCTGGGTCTCGGGACCCGAGTGACGCTACCCGCGAATACTTCATTTCTAAGGCAGTCATGCCGAACACGTAGGCGTGCGAGTCATTGTTGGATTTTACACTGAACTCACACACCGGACTGCGGCGTTAGCGGTGTGCGACGCAGTTCGTACGCCTCAATACTATTCGGGAGAAATCTTGCTGCAGGGGAGATCTCGTTGTTTTTGTATACATTTCGTATTTGTGTTTAGACCTCGTCGTAAGGAAATTTCATGCGAGATACTCGATCGCTACTGGAGAGCCGTACCGTTACCGCCTCACACCATTTGGCCGGGCTTTGCTGTTGTTAAGGTGCGCATTGTATAATACTGGAGAAAACGAGCGTATTTGGGAGCCACAGGTGCGTCGTTGGAGACCGCGCGAGATCGGGCTGTCTACTGCAAGGCACTGGTTTTCACACGGTTCTTAAGGAATTATCACAAAACAAGAGCGAGCGGGCCGCTCACACACATCCACTGAAGACCCGCATCCCACGAAACCCAACACAAGACCTTCTCTCCATTTCCCTCACCACAAAAGCGCTTTCTCAATGGGCATCCTCCCCGGCACAGCATTCAACAGGCCGTCAGCGCTCGGTAGCGGCGGCAACCTCTTCACAAATCCCGCGTCGCGGCACCCCTCCACCGCGTCTTCGCATCATCACCATCCTACGGCGAGCAGGTTCAGTCTACATTCCGCGTCGACGGCTCGATCGCAGCCCGTTTCCGTATCGCAACATCAACAATTGCAGTCGTTGCCGGTTACTTTACCGCAACATCAACAACAGCAGCAGCAGCAACAGGGGAGTGGATCGTCGCTGCTAAATTTCGGTTTGGGGGCGGTGGGGGTTGCGGGAATAGGTGGTGGAGGCGGCGGATCGTCGGGGGCTGGTGGTGCCGCGGCAACCACGGGCGGACATGGGCTCAAACGGCAGGGCTCTGATCTCAGCGTGGCGTACTCACTGGGCTCACACTATAACACGCCATTGAAGGAGGCTATGGCTTCGTGGGAGGAGGCATTCGTTGCCGGAAGATCGCATGATGCAAACGAGGAAATAGGAGGCTCACCGGAGGATCCGCAATGGACCTCACTGCATGAGCCGGAAAAGGCTTCTACACCAGCAACAAGAGCCGAATCGCCATCACCAGCTGCATACCTCACAACTCCCTACCAACGCCAGCCGAGCGTCCGCGAAGACGCAACCGCCAGTATAGCTGGAAGCCGCGCCCCCTCCCAAAGCGCCCGCTCCGCAACCCCCATCGCAACTGCCGATTCGCCATTCCCTGCTTCGCTCCATCACCCGCTAAACCACGTCCTACCTCACCTCCCATCCAATGCATCAGCATCGTCGTTCCCGCGGTGGCCAAATATCCGCGCCGGTTCCGGGTCGGCGCGGACGGTAATCAACGAAGCCACCTCATCTGCATTGCTGCTCGCGGCGGGGAAGACACGGACGGAGTCGTTGTCCCCGCTTTCTGCAACCACGCTGGCGCGAGATCTCCCCGAGAAAGGCCACAAGAAACTGGTGGAGACGCCTGGGTTGTCTCGGTCGTCGGTTATTCCAAACACGATTACGGACGCAACATCGGAGGGCATCGAGTCCTTCGAGCGTCGGAGGTCCGTGTCTTCGCCACTGGATAACGCCTACGACACGTCCGCGCAGACCGTGGTGGAGCACGGAACCTCGGGGCCGGGTGCGGTGAAGACACGGCGGAAACGACGCAGATGGGTTGTGTGCTTGTTTGTGACTGTGGGGCTGCTGACGGTTACGGCGGTGTTGGCGGCGTTGACGCTGTTGGCGTTGGATAGGCTCGGGGTGCTGCCGTGGAGCGCGGTGAAGGATCGGGTTGTGATGGCGGCGCAGAGGGTTGCGGATTGGTTCCGGATGAACTTTACCCCGAAATTATCTACAGGTTCGTCAGGATGGGCTTCTGCGTTTCTTCCTACAACCGGTTTTACCACGGGTGTGGAAACCGCCATACGCTAAACCTTAATGGAAATTTTGCCTCTCCCAGCCGGAACCGTCGTCGTTGCAGTGGGTTCAGCAACAATCGGCATCATCCTCTTCGCGTGCATCATGGCTCTCTACCGACGTCGAAAACGGCGGCAATCGCGCATTTCTCTCCCGGACAGTCCAGCGCATACCCGAGGTACGCAGGCAACGGACCGATGTTCATCCCTCCATAAAAATCTTATTCTAACCCATGTGTTGTTGACAGATCGAGCCAGAGTGAAAAACTTCAGCCATGCGGGCGTTCCGCCAATACAAGCCACAGCAGACGCTTCCGATGACATTCGTTTACAAAGATGTCCTTCTTCCGCCTCCTTAGGTATGTCCCAACCCGCTGCCCGCATCCCACATCAAGAACCCCTGCTGACACCTAACCTCTTCTCTCAGGAATGATCCACTACAACTGCGACTTCCTCCTCCCCTCCCTCCCCGCCACCGAGCCCACAACCCCCACCTCCCCCGCCGCCGAACCCCACTCCCACCACCACCCGCTCTCCACCCCGCGGCGTCACCCAACCCACACCGCCAACAACTCCTCCGCGGCCGGCACAACCGTGTCCATCACACCTGTCACGCCCTGCATCATTTCCCCACCCGTGGCGAGGCAACAGGGTTATTTCTCGGGAGGTGGGGGTGGGAATGTCGTGCAGGTGTTGCCGCCGATGGCGGCCGAGGGGGCGGGGAATGGGGCGAAGGTTAGGAGGGTGCCGGCTGGTGGAGGGGGGGAGGAGGGGGTTGGAGAGGGTGGGAGGAGTGGGAAGGGGTGGGAGGGGAGACGGAAGGCTTCTTGAACCCGGCACGGCACCCTAAACCGAGGCTCGCTGCCACTTTTACGCATCGCTGACTACGTTGGATCCGCACGAACTGGTGGTGGTGGCATACGGGGGGGAAGGTAACTCAGGTATCCCCTGGCCACACGCACAGATCCAAACCCTTATCTCATGCCAACAACAGCAGTACAACTGGCTGTTATACACTTAATGTCTTTTCTTCTTTGTTCGTCCCCGCTTATTCACATATCTTGTAAATTCTACTTGCTCGCACTTAATGAGACTTTGGAGTCCGTCCTCCTCTGCCGTTGGACATGGAGTCGATTTGTCTTGTCTTTGAATCCCTGCATACTTGCGGTGCCAATGAGTTGCCAATATTCCATCGCTCTCCCTTCTTTCTTTCAATCCTCTTCAATGCATACGTACGGGGAGATAGACCAAATGCTGCATCTCAAGGCGAGTTTTTCGTCAACTCACATCGAACATCTGCATTAGCTAAGGAGCGCTGTACACGTGTACTATGAATCTCTGCTTCTATTATTGCCTTGCTATCTATGTACTATTCTCGTTGGTATGCCTATGTACATCAAGGTCGCTAAGATTCAACTGGCTGTCGAGTCGTTGGTGGCCAGTGCCGCGACGGCCTCTATGAAAGCCGGACGATCGGAAGCCGTGGCTGCAGCGGCGCCGCCGCCGGGTCCTTTCCGTCCGAAGGCAGGAGATCCCCAGTCTGCGAAGCGGTTGCTAGGCTCTGGGCATAATTTGACGCCGTATTTTTCCCGGAATGCGTTTGGGCCCGTTTCAGGCATTCCAAGGAGAACAGGAGGAACAGGTATTGTAGAGGCGGGCCCAGCACGGACATTTGGCTCAGGGTGTAACCTACCTGGCCGGAAGCTCCGATCAAGTAGAGACAGGAAAACGTGCCGTCGGCGATCAATTGGCATATGGCTGGGAATCGGATGGCCCGCGCGGTTTTCTGGACTTGCCGACTGGATACGGACGTGGAGGAGGATTTTCCCAAGGCCCGTATCATCGCGTCGTAGTTGGCGCAGATGTTTACGGTGGCGACGCTTAGTGCGGTGTCGACTACCCCGACGAGGACGAACACGAGGACGATGGGAATTGAGTAGTGGAAAGGTACGGCCTGTGGGCCATGCGTCGTGCCGATGAGAAACGCTACCATCGACGTGCTGGCAAACAGCAAACAATGGCTGACGAGCGCACCGACGATAGCCTTGTCCCAATGCCGAGGTCTGTTAGTTGCGATCAGAATGAACTCGATCCGATTGCGCTGCACCACGGTGAGTGCAGTGCTTCCAAGGAACCAGAACACTATGAACGAGCGAACGTGTTCAATGAAAAGGGGCAGAAGCTTGGGAATGCAGAGCTTTACTGGTTGCTTCGTACCTTTGGTGATGTGCGCAAAGTTTGGATGGCCCCACAACTGATACCAGTCAATGCAGAACCAAAGCTCGATTACCTAGAATTATTATGAGCAGTCAGCAAATGGAAAGCGGGAAAATGCATTTACAGCAGTAAAGGCGCCATCCAGAAAGGCCTCACCTGCCCAACCAAGAGGGTGACGGGCGCCAGAACCATTATAATATTGTGCGACGTCCAGCCCCTAAACTCCAAGGGTTCAATGTCGTTGGCCTCGGGAGAGAAAGAGAGAAAGAAAAGTTTCGTGCCACTTACCTCCGTCGTCCATTCGAGACGGCCATGTATATGCCTGCAAAGGTCAGCAGCATGGCGATGATCATGATGGCAATATTGGCGGTTAATAAGTTGACACCTGTGCACGCCATCCCCACGGTCTCCCAGGTCCCGATGTATCCGTCGTACGTTAGAACGACGGTGCCATTTTCGAACTGAGTTCTTCGACAATGCGGATCGCGGTTTAGATTTGTCTGGGGGAACATTACGATGTTGTCCCTCGCTCTCGGACGTTGAGATGCTGCTTGCCGAAAGGGTGGAAAGCTTTGAGAAAGGTTGGCGTCTTAGAATTTTGTGCAGCGTTGCAGGATTGCAGGAATCATGCTACTTTATGGATGTTGTCGTGAGACTGGTACGGTTTGTCGGTAATAGGTGTCGCACATTGTACGATGAACCCTTTCCCACTCCGACTTCATGCTCCGAAAATAGAGCAGAACCGTCAGGCTCCGGACCGACAATGCAATCATAGTAGCTTACCGGGATACACATCCACTGGACCCAGTCCGTCGCCTGAGCGCAATGTCGTCCATGGGGAGCCAAATCAAGCTTAGGTTTTGCAATTCCGGGGGGGTGTTTGAACGAGAAGCAGAATGGGCGCGCGCTGTCGAAAGCCGTCAGACGGAAATCGATGAGATCAACGCCTTCAAAGTCCTTCACAAGCAACTTGGGCCTCCCAAGCCAACCTCATCCCATAACCACCAAACAGTTTACACCACACTTTCCACTGCACTTCCATTCAGCAGCGAGCATGACAGCACCCAAGGAAAAGGCCTGTCTCATCGTCATCGACGGTTGGGGCATCTCCGACCAAGAGGACCCCGCAGGCGATGCCATCAGGAACGCCCAGACCCCCGTCATGTCTGGCTTCGAGAAGAAGTACCCGTTCACGCAACTGGAGGCCCACGGGCACGCCGTCGGGCTACCCGAGGGTCTTATGGGGAACTCTGAAGTCGGTCACTTGAACATTGGCGCTGGACGGATTGTTTACCAGGTTTGTTTTTTGCTTGGGCGTTCAATGTGGCCATGTGCAGACAGAGTCTGTGCGGAACACTGACATCTTGTCGCTTTCAGGACATTGTGCGAATCGAGCTGGCTATCAAGCAAAAGAAGCTGAAAGACCAGCCGGCGTTGCAGGCTGCGCTCAAGCGTGCAAAAGAGGGCAACGGCCGTCTCCACCTCCTTGGTCTCGTCTCCGACGGCGGTGTGCACTCCCACATCGACCACCTTTTCGCTCTCCTCGAGATCGCAAAGGACTACGGCGTCCCCAAAACCTTCATCCACTTCTTCGGCGACGGCCGTGACGTGTCCCCGAAGTCTTCCGACAAGTACCTGAAGCAGTTGCTCGAATTCACCAAGAAGATCAACTACGGCTCCGTGGCGACCATCGTCGGGCGGTACTACGCTATGGACCGCGACAAGCGTTGGGAGCGGATAAAGATCGCGTACGATGGACTGGTTGAGGGGACCGGTGAAAAGTCGGACGATCCCGTCAAGACGATCGAGGAACGATATGCGAAGGATGAGACTGATGAGTTCTTGAAGCCGATCATCATTGGCGAGGAGGGTCGTATTAAGGATGACGATACGTTGATCTTCTTCAACTACAGGAGTGATCGTATGCGGGAGATCAACCAGGCTCTTGGCGTGGACACTCCTTTCGAGGCCAAGAAGCCCAAGAACATCGTGAGTGCCGTCTGATAGTTGAATCACATCTCGCGAATAAGTCACTCAAACCGCATTGATCCTCCCTAGGCCATCACAAGCATGACCCAGTTCAAAGCCGACTTCCCCTTCCCGGTCATCTTCCCGCCCCAAACAATGACCAACGTCCTTGGCGAATGGCTCGCCAAACAACAAGTCCCACAATGCCACATCGCCGAAACGGAGAAATACGCGCACGTTACCTTCTTCTTCAACGGCGGCACCGAGGCCCAGTACCCGCTCGAAGACCGCGTCATGATCCCCTCCCCCAAAGTCCCCACCTACGACAAACAGCCCGAGATGTCTGCCATCGAGGTTGCGCAGAAGGTCGCCGAGATTGTGGAGACTGACAAATACCCGTTTGTGATGTGCAACTTTGCACCCCCGGATATGGTTGGCCATACGGGTGTGTATGACGCTGCGATTAAGGGCGTGGAGGCGACGGACAAGGGGATTGGAATCATTTACGAGGCGTGCAAGCGCGCGGGGTATGTGTTGTTTGTGACGGCGGACCATGGGAATGCAGAGAAGATGTTTGGGGATGATGGGCATCCGCATACCGCCCATACTTGCAACAAGGGTAAGTCCCCGTCTCCGCTTTATCCTTGATCAACCCTCCGATACCAAACTTTTTCTCCGCTATCCTCGCACAGTCCCTTTCGTCATGACATCCGACAAATTCAAATTCATCCCGAACAAAATCGGCGCCCTCGCCGACGTCGCGCCTACCCTCCTCGACGTCATGGGGCTGCCCATCCCGGACGACATGACCGGATCCTCTGTGTTGCAGAAGTAGACGGAGAGATGGGAGTTTTGACTAGGAGTTTTTACTGATACGCAATTAACTCGTGTCTCTTGCCTCGGGTTTTATCATCATGTTTTGATTGCACTGCACGTTTTTCCCACTCCCCCTTGCATAGGTAGAGTTTGTAGAGATGTAGGACTTGAATGACAGGTGCTTTATCTTTTTTTCAAATCCGTCTTGAACGTGGGAGAGCGTCTCTCGGGATGGATCCGGTTCAGAATTGCATCTTATATGTATGGGTGCATAGCCGCTCAGCAGCGAATACAACCTTCGTGGTCCAGTGTTTATACGGAGAGCGGCGTTTGCTACCACGCCTCCCTGCATCACCATCCATCCGCCATCTTCCTATTCCCCCCACTAGAACCCCTCACTATTTCCCACTCCCGCCAAAGAAAACCCTCAACTCCTTTTTCGCCGCCTCCCTATTCCTCGAAAAGTACAACAAATCCATCGCGTCCCCCAACGGCGGCCGTGACGACTCCAAGATCAGCAACGCGTTGGTTTCCGTGCCTTCGAGTTCCGCTGCTATACACCTATCTGTCATGTTTTGTCGTTTCAAGAAATCAAAAATATGAGTCTAAAAAAGTAGGGTGGAGAATGGGAGCTTGCATTTAGTCATCGTTACCTTTTCCTTTAGCCATTTTGAGCAGCTGTCCATCCTCCAGGTGACTGAACAAGAGGTTGATATCAGGAGGTGTGTATTTCCGTTCGCGGATCCGCACGATGGTGACTTTTTGTTTCAGGCGACGAAGGATGTCGGCGGTCGTGGGGTCTGGGAGGAAGGATATGAATACCATGCTCTAAAAACAGGACGGAAGGGGTTAGTGCATGTGGGATAGGGGTGGGGAGGTTTTGTTGACTCACCCCCGCTTGATTCCGGGGAAGGTTTCCTAATGTGCAGGGTACGACATCGGTGTTGTCTAAAGAGACGTGGACGAGGGATTGGGCGGGGGGTGGGGGTGGGCGGTACTCTTCATTCGCCTGTGAACAATAGGGTATCATGGAGCTGGATGTCAGTGAAACCCCCCAAAAAAACGGGGCAGGCGGGAGGGTATTTACCAACGGCGAGTCTAGTGCCCAGTTCTTGCCCTTCGATGCTGTGAAATCGTAGACGTCGCTCCACTCGTTGAGGAGAGTGGGCAGGTTTGCGAGCGCGAACTGATCTTGCCGTGCCGGGGTTGGGTCGTGTGCGTTGATGTGGGTGGAAATCGGTTCGTAAATCGGGGTGGGGAGAATGATGAGGTGGAAGAGGACGAGAAAAGAGGATAGATACACTCGTCAATCATTCGCAGAGGCATACTCCACCGCTCGAAGGGAGCCAATAGACAGCCATCCGATCATGGTTGTCACATACCTCCCAGCTGCTTATACCCATACCGAAAACAACTAAACGCAATCAACTTCGAGTTCTCAATCACTGGCTGTGTCGCGGAGTACAACGATATCCGCAATTGTCTGCTGTCTGCCACCCTAAACAATCAAAAAGTAAACGGTCATCAAATCCCCATTCAATTCCTTCCGCTGATAACTCTCAATAAAATCATACCGGAACTGCCGACACGCAACAACAAAAACGCATTCTTCGCAGTCCCGGATGAACACACTCCCTTCACACGGCCCGATGACGATGAAACACCGCTTGCACGCGTCAACGGTGACCTGCGACGTGACATCGAATATGAATATATTGCTGTCCTGTCGTACACATGAAGGAGCGTCAGTGTGCCTTCGACGCAAGGGAAATGGGTGATGATGATGTGTGTGCCCGCACCTCACAATCCTCGATAGCAAACGGAAACCCGCTCGGGATGTCCCCAGGGACTTTGGCAACCACCTCGTTGTGTAGTTTGGAGAATGTGTAATCCGCGATGTTGTATTTCGGTCGTGGGGGTGATGCTGCTACCATCCCTCCCACCGCACCCGTGTTCTGCGGCCCTGGGCCGGTCTTGATGGGAGAGGCAGACCCTTTCCTTTGCAACTGCTTCGACAACCGTCGTGTAGGCGGCCGTGCCGTTTCTACCGGCGCCTGTGTCGCTGAAACTGGCGGGGCTACATCCGACACGACAGCAGACTCTCTCTCCTCTCCATTCCCTCCCCCATCCTTCCGTTTCCCCTTCTTCGCATTCTTCTGCTGCTTCCGCCTCTCCCTCTCCTCCCGCTTCTCCCGCTTCGCCTGTTCTTTCAGGAGCCGTTTCTCCCTCTTCGTGCCTGAACTCGTACTCGCCCTTGGTGTCGCGTCCTCTCCTGCTTGTGGTGCGGTTATGCTGTTCCGGTTGTCCTTGGTTGTGGTGCTCGACCGCGGCGTGAGGGAGGGGACGTGCAGGACGGTGGTAACTTTTGCGAGGAGTTTTTTGAACATTGTAGGTGGTATACCGGTGTGTGGACTAGGACTGAGCGCGGATATAGAACAATAAGGAATATGTGTGTTGGAAATGGTGGTTGGTCCAGATCATTTCCCCGGGAAAGGGATCTCGGTGATGGGAAAAAGGAAGCAATTCAATTGCTGCAAAACTTCCGGCGCAGCGACCTGCACGGCTGAGACTCCTTCGTACAGTGGGGATACTACGACGGCGGGTATGGTATCGGCGTCGGTGTTGGTATGTGAATGGGGTTTATGCAAGTGCCCGAGCGTGGGAAAACCGCCTGGAGCTGGGTTCTTTCCAGGTCTTCCAGAAACCTTCAAGCCTTCAACGCGCGCGAGACGCGTAGCCATGACACACAACGAGCCCTTCAAGCTTCACGCAGGCAACCAACGATTCCAGACGTATGGGCTTTTATTGCTCAAGGCACGACCACAAGACAAGAGTCAAGGCACGCGGTAAAGCGGGGCGCGAGGAACAAGGTAGTATACACAAGTTATCATAGTTATCATTATCAAGCAGGCGTGACTGCTACTTTTTTTTTTCTATCCTCTCTCTTTTCTTCAACCCCTCTGCTCCCGCATCCTCAACTCATCATCCAGATCCATCGCCTGGACATCTCCATAATCGTCCTCTTCCCTTGCGACGGCGCCTACCGCGTCTCGTGTCGGGCCGGGGAGGCTAATTCAAAAATCAAAATGATGTCAGTTCGTGTTCGTTGTTGGGGGATGGGGGAAGGATTGAAGGCCTTACCTTTCTTTGGGCTTAGGCAACGACCCGTTGACTTGGGATAGGGCGAGTTTTTGGGCTTTGAATTCCATGACCTCTTGTGCGATCAGTCCTAGGAGACGGAGTTCCGCGTTAGATTTTGCGCGAGCTGAAAACGACATGACGTTGTCCACATACTTTTCATCTCGTCAACCTTCTCGACGGCCTCAAACCCAAAGTCAAACTGTCTTTCATGGGATGGCTAAAAACAAGTGGCGAATGGGTGCACATTCGTCAGTCATCGTGCAATGTGACACATGCATTGGGCTAAATGTCGATTGCGCATACCTCATCAGTGATATCGTGATATGCCTCTAGGTATGGGTGGGCCAGCGCCTCTTCGACGGTGATACGTGCCGCGGGGTCGAAGGTGAGGAGCTTCTCCAACAGGTCCAGGGCTGCATAGACAAAGTATTCACATGAGTGTGAAGTTCGCAAATCCACACAATCCGCGGGTGCCAACAGGTTTTGGATTCGCACCAGCGGGACCAGCTCTCGGGTATAATTGAGCCCACGGGATCTTCTTCATCCGCGGCAGACTCCTGATGTAGAGCTGGGCGCGCTCGCTGCTGATGCGCTTCAGGGTCGCGTCGTCCGGCGTGCCAAGGATGCTGAGGATTTGGTTCAGTTGGTCGACGTCTGCGATGAAGGATGAGTATTGTCAGCATTGAACATTCCGGCAGAGAAGGGAAGGTAAGACAGGTGCTTACAATCCCGCCCTTTGAATAGTGGCTTGTTGCCGCACAGCTCCGCGAAGATGCATCCGACCGACCACATGTCAACTAAAGATCAGCGAAGGTGTCAGGATTTTCTACGGTGATCCTGTCAGAACAAACGAAGATAAAACGACTCTTACTAGCTTTCGTGTAGCTCTTGAACGAGAGCATGATTTCCGGAGCGCGGTACCATCGCGTGGCAACGTATTCCGTCATGAAACCGGTTTCCGAGTCGGACAGACCTCGAGCCAGGCCAAAATCACAGATCTACAAATAACCATAGTCGTCAGAAAATCGACGTCCCATTCCGTCGCCACACAACGCCCCTCCCAGGGAACGATAGTAATTTCCTCACCTTCAACTCGCAATCCGCATTCACAAGCAAGTTCCCCGGCTTCAAATCCCTATGCAACACATTCGCCGAATGGATGTATTTCAACCCACGGCAGATCTGGTAGATGAAGTACTGGAAGTGGCCGTCGGTCAAGGGTTGCTCTGATCGGATGATCTGGTGCAGATCGGCTTCCATGAGTTCCTGGACGAGGTAGCTGGAACATGTGTGGGTGACGATCAGCCTCCTCGTACGAGGGGGTAAGAATCTGCATATATGCAATGGGAACCTACACTTCTTGGAAAGTGTACGGGTCGGTCACGTCCATGTCCAACAATGAGATGATCTGTTGTACGAGGGGAAGTCCTTTAGCCTCCCGATGAACATGCTGCCATCAAAATCGAACGTACATTCTCATGTCCACTAAAGTGACGCAGAAGCTTGATCTCACGCAGGGCACGCTTGGCCAAGATCGACTTTTCGAAAACTTTCTGGACCTTCTTGATGGCAACCTCCTGGCCCGTTTCCAAAACCGTGGCGGCGCTGAAAGAGTAAAAACCGTTGTGAGACGAAACGAGGAGTACGCGAATGCCTCGCAGATACCCAAAGTGCCTCTCCCGTTCTATATGCCGCTAGTCGCGGTAGGCGAGAGCGTGTAGATGCATCTTTGGCAAACCACATCCAAACCCATCTGGTTCCATTCCGCGCGGGCGCTCCACATTGCCGGGCAACCCGCCACCATCAAGATTACTCACCACACAATCCCATAAGCACCCTGCCCAAGCTCACGACTGAGCTTGTACCTCCTTTCCAGAATGGGAGGCAGTCTGAGCTCCTGCTTAGTCGACATCGTGATGGTATTCGTTCAAATTGGGTGGCGTGCGTGTTCCAAAATCCGTGATGTGACTGGAAGCTTCGAAAGTGGGATTTCCGCGTCCGAAGTACAGCAAAGGCTTCAGTGAATTCTATCTGTGTTGCAGAGTCACTAGTTCTTAGTTCGTTCCACGTTTACGGATTGTTTGGTCGAAGGGAATTGAACGGGATTCTAACCTGGATGAGGTCGTTGGATAGGGTTTGTTTGAAGGGTATTCAAGCGGCGTTTGGGCGACGCTCATACCCAGCCCCCTTATATGCTAGAGAGCGAGTGTATGGCAGCGGCTCTCAAGGAAAGACTGAGCCAGGATGACTTGCGTGTGGAAGACCGACTCGGAGGATGGTGTTCTGAGCAGCGAGCACTGACCCCCCTGGAATCCGAGGGAGGCGAGAAAGCGATGATGACACGCAGAGGTGGCGCAGCCGCAGCACTCGCACACACAGCGTTTCTCCAACCAGGTATTGCATGGAGGAGGAGGGATGGGGCTCTGCAGGCTAATTCATCCGACTGGCAGGGTACTGGCGCTGAGGTCTTCGAGCATTCGCTTATGGATGGATCTCGGGACATTGCACATACATATGTTTCTCGAAGGCATGATTTGAAGTGTCCCTTCGGAAGACAACAAAAAATGACAGAAATGGAAGGGAGAAGTTCGACGCTACAAGATTTTCCTAAGTATATACGCCGTAAGGAAAGATAGGAAAGACTATGTATAGCAACCCGGAGGTACGCCCCAGAACCCTATGAACTTTTACGAGCGAAGAGCGATTTGTGCAGACTCGCCATCTTTCGCAGGCTATCTGGCTGCTTCCATACCCGAATAACTGTAGCTTCTCCAGACGATTTTGTCACCCAAGCAACCTTCGTGTTCGTACTTGCACAAGGATTTCATTCACCTCGATTGGGACGCTTCTACTGTGGAAGTTCGGCGGCTATCGACAGGTGACGCGCTGTCGAAGTTGCAAATCCATTCCGCAATTTCAACAGCTCCCTGGGACTAAAGTTGCAAGTGCTTACTACTGAACCCTTCCTACATTCATCTTTCATGTGGCGCCCACCGCACATACGCAAAACTCCCAATTCCTATAGCCTTTCTCGCTACGCCTTCTGCCGCCGACGCAATTCGGATAATGCACTTCAAGGTGTTCTCCTCTCAAGTTAATCTCTTGCCTTGCGACTAGCCGGCTTGAGTTCACCGGAGGCAAGGCTGGCTTGGGCTTCGGCAGATCTAGGAGCGCCATGCTCCACAAGCTGTTGACCTTCGTGTCGATATCCTCCATCTTGAAAATGAAATACTGCACCCGAGGCCCTTTGTCCAACCAGCAATTAGTAATCGCCTTGGTGAATTGTTGAAGTTCCGTTGAATTCTCGTTCTCTTTGACCAAGACTCGCCGCTTTGCGAGCCCCGTAGTGATGGTGTAGGTGACGATGCCCGGAGGGTTTCCAGATCCATCTTCGATAGCGATATTGTCCACCCAGCCAATGGCGCGCAGTGTCGATGGATTGCAGTCAGCTGGTTTTCAACTCACTGTCTCTCATATTCGCATGTCCGTTTGAGAGTAGCAGAGCGATTTCCACAAGTCCTCAGGCTTCCCAAACAAATCTCCCTTGAGATCGATTTCAGAGCTCACACCACCATGGCGCTTCCCACAAGATGGACGAGTAGCAGGTTATTTGGGGATCCGCTCGAAGAGTCACAGACCTTGGTGCATTCAGATAGTTCTTTTCTTGCAGGCACCGAGGCGGTGTGCTTTCATGAGGCCCAACAACTTGAGCAACTCACCTTTGGTCCATCGCCAGACGGAGCAGTCATCACCGCTATGTCTTCTCCCGGACGGCTTTTAGCAGGTTGATGGACACATTTCCAGGCCATCGTCTCGGGAAGAGAACTAACAGCTCACATCAGATGCCAAGAACAGTCGTCCGTATCGAATCCAAATTTGCAACTTTGGCGAACTCGGCCGTGGGGAACGTTGTACAAAACGAATACGAATCTGTCGAAATGGTGGCCGATCGTGAGTATTGACGTGAGTTCTGTACATCGCACAACGTTCCAAACATCTTCCGCCGGTCCCTCCTCTGGTGTGTCCGTTCGCCCCAACTCAAACTCCCTTATCCATTGAAAACGCTCGGGATGAGCGCGAAGCGTCTGAAACAACGTTTCCAATTACTTTGGCTGAACTATGCGGATCTTCGAGTATAGGTCTCGGAGAAAAGATGCGCCAACCTCTAGACGCCTGGAGCACCGAGTACCGGGCCTTTCTGTCAGCATACTTGAAGATTGTGAGATGAGCTCCAGTGGTAGGTGTGGGTCGGAGGAGTTTTCGCCTTCCTTCGGTTCCGCATGAGACTGCTGAGCTTCGTGCGCCTGTGTCCGTTCGTTCTCCATGCCCTGAGCGCCGCCGGGGCCGGCAGGAGTTCGATGTGCTGGACCCTCGCGGTTGCTCCGGGCTGCCTCCGGGCTCGCTCCTTCGGGGGTGTTGGTTTTTGCTTTATCCAACCTTCTCCACCAACTACCAAGAGGTGACTGGCCTGGGTTGGGTTTTGGAGACACTTTCGGCACGAACAAGAAGCTGTGCAAAGTCGGAAAGCAGGACCCTGCAGGAGCGGCCAACGGAGTACACTATGTAGCGGTAGTTTACCGTGCTTGACGGGTGGCTGGTAAGGATTCCTCGGGGTACGTGGGTGCTCAAGCTGTCGATGGGATTCGGAAGGGGGTTATAGTTGGGACAGGGCCAGAAGCGGAGATTCGTAGTTGCCACCTTTCCGGCGTGTCATGCAGCCCACTGCAGGCCTGCTTCTCTGCGTAATTCTCATATTCACACAGCACATATACAAAATAGTCGTCAAATACGGGTTTCCTATACAAGTTGGACGGCGCTCGCAGCGGACTCGTAGCATCTCTTCTTACCTGAGGTTGCGTCGCAGGTTCCAAGATGTCCACCAGACTCGCGTTGTCACAATGCCCTCGGTTTTTCCGGTTGCTGACGACGAGGAGTTGCAGACCAACGCCGTGCAGTATTAATATACCGCAGTCCGCCGTCGGGGATGTTCGGTGCTTGTGGGTGTCCTCACGAACCCGAAGTTACTCCAGCACCGCGAAAGGTTTCGGTGTCCCGTCGACCCGCCTGCACACCTCAGCTACTTCATCACAACGACTCTCCCCAGCAGAATGGTGGCGGCGGCGAGGCAGCAACCCTCCAGCTCACGGAACCGTAGTCCGACCACGTCGCCGAGGAGCAACCGCATTCATCACCCTCTTCGGGTTTCTCGGCGGAACCGTTCTCGGTTTCTACCTGTACGACCGCGAAGGTTTCAACCACAACGTTCTTGCCCTCGTTCGGAGTTCGCGCGCGTTGAAGACGGGTTTCTTGATGGGAGTGGATTACAAGTGGTCGCTGAGAGATGACGAGGCAAAAATAGGGAAGGAGGAGTATGAGCGGCGGAAGAGTGCGTGCCATCAGAGGTCGGCGGATCGGATGCTGGAACTGTGTAAGGACAACCAGGGCATTTACATCAAGTTGGGACAACACATTGCGGCGATGGTGTTCCTTCTGCCCCTCGAATACACCGAGACGATGCGACCTCTCCAAGACCGCTGCCCAATGACACCCTTCGCGGATGTCGAAGCCCTTTTCAAAAGCGATTTAGGCTGCTCGATATCCGACATGTTCTCCGAATTCAACCCGCAACCACTCGGAGTCGCCTCGCTCGCTCAGGTTCACCGCGCCCGCCTGCTCACGGGACAAGAAGTCGCCGTCAAAGTGCAGCACCCGTATCTCGATGAATACACGCCAGTCGACATTGCGACGACATGTTTCATTGTGCGCCTAGCGAAGAAGGTGTTCCCCCAGTTCGATTTTGATTGGCTGGCGGAGGAGATGCAGGAGAGTTTGCCCCAGGAACTGGATTTTGTGAATGAGGCGGCGAATGCGCAGAAGGCCAAGGCGCTGTTTGCGGATCAATCTGTATTGCATATTCCGGAGGTGTATTGGTCGGCGCGTCGGTTGCTGGTGATGGAATGTAAGCACAAAATGGCGACTGCTGTTGCTGGAGTTCCTGGACTCTGAGCTAATGATTGGAATATGCAGTCTGCGCGGGAGGAAAGATCGATGATGTAGAGTACTACCGAAAGCACAACCTGAGTGTGATGGAGGTCTCCGCGGAATTGTCGAAAATCTACTCGCAGATGATGTTCCTCCATGGTACGTAGTGGGGTGTCAGGTGTTTGCACAAAAGAAATAAGAGGGTCTCACTGTAATGTCGTTTCTTGCATAGGTTTTGTACATTGTGATCCTCATCGTAAGTACCTTCGATGTTCGATTACGTTCCTCCTTCCACATATCCACTCATCGCCCATCCTCTTCCTCCCAGCCGGTAACATCTTCGTTCGCCCCCGTCCCCGCCCTCTCCTGTCCTACATCCCCATCCTCCGCTGGTTCCTCAGCAACCCGCACAACTTCGAAATCATCCTCCTCGACCACGGCCTCTATCGTCAACTCTCCAACGCCTTCCGCCTCGACTACGCCCACCTCTGGGCCTCCATCCTCGCCGGAAACGAACCCGACATCCTCCTATATTCCTACAAGTTGTTCAGCTACGGTAAATACGGCAGCGCATCACCGGCAAAAGCAAGCGATGGGATAGAATACCACCGCCTTTTTGCGTCGATGCTAACCGGCCGCAGCTGGGACGTGATCTCCGACCACGAAACGGGCCTCGCGCAAAAACGCACCACCCACGAATTCGAAGTCATCAAAGCAAAAGCATCCACCGGTAGATTCTTCCTCGCCATCGCCGACATCCTCGCCAAACTGCCGCGCGAACTCCTCTTGCTGCTCAAATCCAACGACCTCCTCCGCGCCGTCGACGAGAAACTCGGCGTCGCTGACGCCGGCGCGGAGGGTGGGATGGACCACATGCTCCGCACGGTGGCCACGATGGGATGGTACTGCGCGCTGGCGATCAAGCGCGAGACGACGAGGCAGATGGTGGCGCAGAGGGCGGAGATGGGGATTGTGAGGCCGGTGTGGACCGAGGAGGCGTATTGGAGGAGTGTGGTGGGGTATTGGAGGGTGGGGATTAGGGTGTGGGCGTTGGAGGCCTGGTTGTGGGGGAGGAGGGTTTTCAGGCGGTTGAGTGCTGCTGGGTGAGGCACATTTCTCCGACGAGCGCCTGCCCAGAGTCGCACGCTGATCTTGCGTAATCCTTGCTTGGTTCTCGGCGAAAATTTCTCCGCGCTGGAGATCCCAGTCGATTGCAAAGCTTTTCCCCTCAAGTTATGTATTCGACTCCACATATCTCTAACTACCTCATCCTGTATGCATCTGTAACATTCATTGTGGGAATAGAAGACATTACTGTAGAATGCACTTTTCAAGCTTTGTAGGTTCATGTTCCATTCATGCCAGTTACCAAAATCTATACGTAGTCAAATACATGATCACCAACATTCCTCTACCTATTCTTCCGCCCACCACCATCGTCCCCAATCTCCTGCTCCTCCAACATACTAAACCCTACATCCCTCTCCTCCCTCTCCAGCAGCCCATGATTAGCAAAGCTAAACCTCACATCCACAACCTCCGGCTCCAAATTGATCGACAAACTGGGTATCGCAACCACATAACTCCTATCGCCATCGTCCTGCTCAAGTGCGATACACGGGATCGTCTCCTGCAACGATTCCGGGACTTTTTTCTGGTAATGCATGATAGATCGCTGTACATGTTCGCTGTGGTCAGCGCCGCGGTGCGGGGGGATGCGCATGCGGTTTATAACGGATTTCATGTCGGCTGTTGTGAGTGCGCGGACAACGAAGCGGAGGTCGCGCGGGGGTACGCCGTAAAAGGTTGTGTCGGCGGGGGCGTGTGGGGAGGGTTGGAGGGCGATGAGGAAGCGGGCGTCCCAGAGGGCTGTGTCGCCGAGTTTGAGGACGATGGCGGTGTTGCGTTGTTCTTGGGATTGCATGCGGGCGCGGCCGACGAGCCAGATGTAGGCGCCGGTGGCGTTGGCGCGCGGGCGGCAGAGTTGGACGTGGCCGACGGATGTGTCGCGGTCAGGCCTGCTCCGATTGAAATGGGACAGAATGTCGAGGGGGATGGATGTGGGTTGCGTCCAGGTGCGGTTGTCGCCGGCGCGGGCGCACCATTGGATGACGCGGGAGAGGACGCGGAGGGCGATGTGGGGTTGTTTTATCCAGGGCGGGCCGAAGGATCCGGCTTTGGGACGGACTTGCAGGAAGCAGGTACCGGAGGGTGGGTCGAACAGGGTATACTCGTCCAGGATTGGGCGGACCTTCTTCTGGTAGGCCTCACGATGTTGATTCATGAGGGCCATAAAATGCGCAAATGCGTCCTTATCGAACGTGTTCGGCGCGGAATCCGCCGGTGAGGCATCTGGTCGATCCCCATCTGCATGCACTAGTTTCCGGAGATAAAGCGATAGCCATACGTCTTCTGATATGAAGAGCAGATCATTTGTCGGTCCGTTATGTATAGGTGCTCCAAAATGCGTGCACGTTTCTACCAGCCGGTTCTACAAGTATCGCTTCAGCATGACCGTCGCCCATTGTTCAGCTTCGTGTGCCCCGCACCCACCTCATCGAAACATAGTAGCGGTCGCAGCAGCTGCACCTTCTTTGCAGCCGGCACGAACGTATTCGGCACCTCCGAGCACAGCATCTTCATCCCACTCAACCCTTCAATCCCAGATCCCGCCGACATCCGTTTCAACCCTATGCGTATTTGATCATCCAGCGAGTGACCAAAGATCAGAGCTGGGATCCCGCGGTGCCTGCATGCCTTTGCTAGTAGCGTGTGACGCCTCGCCCGTGCGGCATCTCCCTTTTTCGAATCTTTCAGTTGGTCTGGGTTGTGGATAGGTGGATCTTTTCTGTCCCCTAGTAAACCTGTTTCGTACTCAGTCCAGTCCGCTGTGAGTATCTCGTGCCGTACTCCTTTGAACAGCGTATCGGTGAGGCAGCGATTTTACGGAACACGAAGCGAAGGTGTTCTTTCATTCAGTCATCAAGCTGGATACATTTCCCAAATCCATACCTAGAGCAGTTACGGTCTTATGCAACCTCTGCGCTTCCTCTCTACTCCCTGGCTTGAGTCGGTGGTCAACAGTGAATGCCGTCACACGTTCTGGCCCGACCGCCTCGCGCAACAAGAGTAGGGCCGCCATGCTCTTCGCATCTCCAGTGACGCCCACTCCTAGAAAGTCATCGTAGTCAGCCAAAAGTGCATGAGAGTTTCAACCGAACTTTCGAAAGGGTGTGGCTCCTCACCGAAGCGTTGGTCCGTCGGCGTTTTCAATTTGCGCAGAACGGCTTTGAATTCGGCCAGGCCGACTGGTCCTTTCCGGCCCATGCTGGACTGCTTTCAGCTCGATCTTTGGTGTTGGCCCTGAAGATCCCTTTCTTCGCCCTCGTCCGTGCGTTTGAAGCTGGTCATGACTTTCGAAGTTCCGAGTTTGGGAGTATTTACGGTGCATTGCGCGCTGATGTTCGCGCCTCACCTCTCTCTGGTGTGCTCAATTCCATGCTCAATTCCTCGGACAATTCCATCCTCAAATTCCTACAATCACCACTGCACATGACTAAATCTCCCTCAGAAACAAGAACGATGGCCACTCCAGATGCCTTCACAATGAGTGAATTGCCCTCAGAAACAAGAACGACCTGAACTTCAGATGCCCCTCTCCATTCCGCCGATAATATAAGCGACAGCCACTCGGAAGTAAGAAAAAGGATCTCATGGCGCAACGGTAGCGCGTCCGACTCCAGATCGGAAGGTTGCGAGTTCGAATCTCGTTGGGATCATCTTTTTCGCCAAGATTCGTTTGATTTTTCGGGAGTTTCGCCCTGATGAAATCACTTCGAACGTCCAGGATGGTCAAAGAACAGATTTTCTTTTGCCGAATTTCACCATTTTCGAGGCCTTTGCTTTATTGCGCCATGAGATCCTTCTTATTTCTGAGTGGGATTCACTCATTGTGAGTAATGATTGGCGGAATTGAGAGGGGCATCTGGAGTTCAGGTCGTTCTTGTTTCTGAGCTGGATTCACTCATATTCAGCGGTGATTGTATGTAATATTACCAGGTATCATTGCCAATGGCTAGAATTGTCTACTCTATTCATCTGGAAGAAGTCTAAGTCTGAAACCCAGTACGTCCATCCCAGCGCTTGAACAGCAACCGCGCAGAGTCACCGGTCGCTGTTGCCGGTAACACCTCTCCGCCATCGTCAACCCATACGGTCATCATGAGCTAATCTCCGTTTGGATCCAAGCTAACCGTATTCAGATCAAGCGCCAACCCCGGCACAGTTGTCTTTCCACTGACGGACCATGTCCTGCGAGGCGATATCGCTATCGACGTCACCGTACCCTAGGCTTCCTGGGGTGTAGATGTATGCCGTCTTCTTGTCCACAGTTGCCCACTGATACATACAGTACCTGGCACGGGCTTTCCCTGCTCCTTTTTCTTCCCTTTGGACCGGTCCGAAGCCAGGAGCCGGCTCGGGGGGCTTATCCTGAGTCACGTAAGCCAACCAGACTGACTCCTGATGACGCAACGCGCGCGCTGTCCCTACTTGCTACCCCATATCAACAAGGGTACTATATCACAGCCTGGTCCAGGTTGTGTCGACAGGTGCAAGGGTGGACAGCGATGCGGTGCAGGTGTCAAGGTCATCGGTGTGAAGAGTGGTAGAAAGGGTGGGCCAGGTTGAGGGGTCCAGGTTGCCGGGGCCCGGATCAGATGGGTGGCATCTGCGTTTTTTTTTGTGCTGGGAGCTGGTGGCTATCCTTGGCGTCGGGGCTGAATCCGCGGTTCTTGGAGTTTTGGTCGTCAGTGCAATGGAGTCGTTCAGTTCTCCAAACGTCATTCACGAGCCTTTTCCGCTGAAAAAGAGGTAGTGTTCAAACACACGGTACCGTACAGTGTCCCCAGGTCTTCGGACTACCGGCATTCCCATAGCGGCATCCCCTTGTAAAGGAGTTGCTTCTGTTGTAGCTTCTTCTGTTGCCCCGGTCGCGGTTCCCTTGCTCGAGGTCGCCCACTTCGGTCCTTGCCACCTTCATCAGATAGGGAATCAGGTCCCCAGAAAGATGTTGACATTGGGGTAATTGTTGCACCTTGACATTGTGGGGGTAAGTTGACTGCGCGAAACACGGTAAACTACAGCAGGAGCTTACCTTCTAGAATCATTCGCAAGACCAACTGGGAGTAAGTCTTGTGAAGCCAGAAGGCATCATGCAATACAGCCTACGGATCTATTTCAATTGTTAGTGACAGACATAGAAAAAGGTTCATACAGTACTTCCTTTTACCTCGCGGTCTCTCTCCCCAAAGAATGTGAGACGGAACTCAGTCGCCAGTTTGTCACCACCGGATCCGGAGAGGGGTGCCCCTTCTTCGTCATTGTCGCATGAGGCACAAGTAGCCGCCGGACCCACTCAATCCTTCGTCTCCCTCAACCGCTTCGGTGTAGAGCTGGTCAAGCGGCCAATTCAGCGTCTGCTTTTTGGCCGGCGGTAACGACCAGCCATCATCCCAATGCAGCTCCTCAATTTCCTCAACGTCATGGTCGTCGTCGTTGCCCTCGTCGGCGCCGTCCTCTTTGGTGATGGAGCCGCGCTCGCCGGCGCAACCCTCGCGACTGTACGTACCCAAGGTCATCTTGGACTTTGACGGCGTCTCCGTGTTGGCCTTCGGCCACAGGGGGGTCCTGCAGGACATCGTCTTGGCCTTGAGCGATCTCCCTGTGAGTCGAACACATGAAAGAAATGAATGAGTCTGGTGCGAAGCCTCGACGATCGAACCTAACGAAAGCCTACGGAGGGTAAGAACATGGAGGAGGAGGATATACGTACACAGGAGGAGTCGCGGAGTGGCTTGGACTTCGTTTGTGGTTTGTTGATTGCCGGTTGATATGTAGGTTGGCTATTGCGGGTGTTTCTGTGTATATTCCCCGGTGTACCTTCCCTGTACATTCCCTGTCGCCTTTCTTTTTGCGACAGCTTTTTGCCAAGATTTGCTGAGCGAATCTCTTAGCGAAGAGAGAACACAACAAAGGCCCGAGCGAGAACACAACAAAGGCCCTCTTCCGCCCAGAGGGGTTTCATATCCGCAAGTGTGGACTATATGAGAAGAGGAAGAACACGGACGAACGAACAAAGTGAGTGAGTGTCCATGAAGGGAGTTTTGGGTGTCAATGAGGGGAGGTTGGTTGACAGACCGCGTGCGAAGCGATGCATGGCTGGTTGGGAAAAGACTTACCCTTTTAGCGGGTTTCGAGGCACGGAGTTCGTACGGCTATTGAGCTGCCTTGGCACTCGGTGGTTGAGGGTCGCAAGCTCCTTCACGTCCGTGCCCCAGACCTTTGACATATCCACATCGAGGAGGTCTGGCCCACGTAGTTGGTCATGGCGGTGTTCGTTACGGGGCCATGATCGAGGACACGTTTGACGGTATCCAAACCTGCGGTGAGACAATAGCGATAGGTTTAGCAATGGAAGTGAACTCGCGATAGTGAGTGAACTCAAGCACTTACCCTGCGCTTTCAATGTTGCGCGAGCGACACCGTTTCGGTTCGAATACAGTGTTGTAGCTCCTGGGTCCAAGTTCGTATGTTTGACAACATCCTTGAAGCGATGGTTCATGCCGCCGGCGGTTGCGTGGCTGTTGTCATCCCAAGACCCATCAGGGTTGATGCTGGCGAGGATCGGTAGGTATCGAGCAGAAGGCTTTAGGGAATAATCACCGTCTGCGAGAGCTTGTCTCCAGGGTTTATTCAGCAAATCTCTCTCTGCGAAGAGAGCCAACAACAAAGATCCGAGCGACGTTGGTATTTCTTCGTTGATAGGCTCCGGTGGAGGTGACTGTAAGAATCGGAACGTAAACGAAGTGGATGGCAGACAAGACGCAAGCAGAGGAAGGATGATTTCGCATAGGATTTGGCAACAGCTTGCGCTCCTAGGCCGCCGACCTTTCGGTCCTTGAATACATATCCATCAATGGCGAAGGTGTCTGCGGCACGCCGAACCTAGTCGTGGCAATGTAGATCCGAAGAGTCGCGCTAACGTCCGTCGGCGCAGTTGGCCGACGGCGGATCTTGTATAGCACTCGGATTGTCGATAGTGATCGCCTTCATGAAAGTGAGATTGATGTAACCGCCCACATAGGTCTTTGTCTCACTCGCGGAGGTCACGGTGGAGGCGGTATTTTGGTCTCGGAAGCGTCATGAGCGTCACTCGGCGGAGGTCGCGGAGACCACGGTGGAGGCGGTATTGTCATTGGTCTCGGAAGTGCCATGAGCGTCAGCAGGATTCTCACGCGCGGAGAGGGTGATGCTCGGGACCACATTCACGGGGTGATTGTTGGCCGCGTCCGGGACAATATTCACGGGGCTGGTCACTGTGACTGGTCGCAACGAGACCATTCCACAGGGCAAGCCACCAAGGGCACGAGATAATGACTTGTCGGTAAGGAGCACCTCGCTGATGGTTGGCACTTTTTTGCCGTCTCTCTTGAAGGTCTTTGCTTGAGGATCAGGACGCGGGTCTTTGCTTGAGGATCAGACAGCAAGGCAACAGATGACGGCCTGGCACCGGTGTTGTGTAGGAGAGCTTGGATGACCGCTGTTCTCAGTGCACTTCTTCGATGGGCTAGGCATGGATTCCGACCGAGTCGTTGTAGGGCCGTGAATACGATGATACGATGTTCTCTTGGTCCGATCGGCTGGATGATGCGGAGGCGGTTGAACCCCGTGTGCGCAAACTGCTGTCGCCAACCTCGCAATGCTTGCTTCAATGTGTCGTCCAAGTCGAACCGCTCGGAGGGCGCATCCCTCCAAGACTTAGTAGGCATCGCGATTCTTGTGGCGGAAGATGGACAGCAAAGTTCGGGACCGCTGGAAGATGGTGGTGTACGAGACGTGGTGCTCCCACTCTCCGTTCTCGTCCTTCGCAAGGATGCATAAAACCAGAAAATCCGTGAAGAATTGCGCTAACGGCGAGATTGTGCTTGAGCGTAGACAGGTTCGCAAGGTTATCGGCCCGACGGCGAAGGACGCACGCGATGGCCGGGTCCTTCGAAGTAGCAGGTGTAAACGAGGTTGCCGTAACAGGGGTGACGCCGAAGTACGCAGCGACGCCGAGCTCTTCAGCGGACAGAGGAAACGAGCTTATGGGCGCAGACTGGGGGACAACAAAGCCGACGCTTGAGCCTTCGGCAACTCCCTCTTTTCGACCCTGGGGAGGATTATTCTCTGGAGCGCTGTGGGCACCATCGCCTCCGGGCGCTGGGTCCTGGCCACCTCGGGAATCATCGGCCGGTGCTGAGCCTTGCCCCGTAGGAGATTGCGGGCTAACGCTGGTACCTTGGGCGGCTCCCACGGCCGAAGCAAGAAAATCTTGGACAATCGCGCAAGTCGAGTGCCCGAAATGACTACGGCTTGCGTGGGAAAAAATGACAAAGGAAAGACGAAGGAAAACTGAAGACGACAGCACTTACTACATTGCTCCTCCTTGCGTGTTCGGATGTGCGGATGTGAACTGCGCCACGGTCGTGACTCATATTCACCCTCAGAGCGCACGTGACTCGTTCCCGGATTTAGTCGTCCTCTTTCCCTTTATTTTCCCATAGCACGTACCACGGCAGTGACGCGGGTGGAATCCAGTGGTCACCTTTCGGGAATGACCAACGGGGTATTGGTCTCGCGAATGCGGATGCACCACCCTACCTCGTACAATAGGCTGCCTGACATCTCGTTACGACGGGTTGTTGAGCATCCCTATGCAACCCAGAAGTCACCGGCCGGCCGTCAATGTTGCCCTGGGCTAGCGGTCGTGCTGATAGGGTTTGCATGGGGGTCGCCAACTTGAGCCGGCGGCTATGCTCGGGATGGTGTGTCCTTGGGGTGTCGTAACCAGATATCTGGCAGCCTACCGTAGGTGGTAAAAACTCGTATGCATGATTAAGTCGTTACTTGCAGTGGAAGTAACCCCCTTCATCATGCACCGGGGATCGGAAAGCGCATGCGGCTTCAGCTGTAGACACCGTAGCATCTGAACGATGCGTCCGGATGGGCGACACAACGGTATTCGAACCGGATTCTGGGTCTGAGAACGGCTCGAATTCCTGATCAGATGCAACCTCGGAGCGGGCTTCTGAATCCAACTGAAATACGTCTCGGTCTTCATTTTCGTGGTCGATTCGCCATTCCGCCATCTCCTCTTCCACCTCCTCCAGCTCTCGCTGCGCACGAGACGCAGCGGCTGCGCGCACCTCCTCCACCGTTTCCTCTTCCAAAGCAGTCGCTGCTGCCATCCAGGTGGATGCTGACGAAGCACTCCTCCGCCGTGACACCGCTGTCGGCGTCATGCAACGAGTACACGACTCCCCACCCATTTGCTGTCGCCGACCGCAGAATCCGCAGGTTTTGGTGGTGTACGCCTCGTCGTTCAGCTCCATCGTCAGCCCCTCCATCAGTTCTGCCTTCCCTTGCAACGCAGCCTTGAAGGGTGCATGTCGCCAAGTGAGGAGGTCCCGCCGGGTGCGGGCGCGTATCCTGCCTTTCCCTTGCGGATGTTGCCGTCGACCACGATAGTGGGCCTCTCGACAATATGCGCCACTTCGAAGATGGAACCGTGACTGTACTGATAGTTGCTCGTCAGGTGGTGCACCACCTTGTTCATGCATTCGCGGGTGCGGTTCCTCGTTTTCTCGTGTATCCGTAGCCGTCGCAAGGACAATCGACGTCGATCCTTGGGCGGGAGATACGGTGTATTGTCCCCCCCCCCCCCCCCCCCCCCGGCCTTCCGGTCCAGCAGATTGGTCAGCCTGTCGAGTCTACTTTGGTAGCATCGAAACAGAACAAGCACGTCGGCCTGGGTTCCGAACGAACCTGCCATCATCCTCGTAGGCGAGTAGTAGGTCATAAAGGGATTGCTGCCTGGATCGAGGGCCACCAGATGTCCTCGGTTCCGGGGTGCGACTTCTTGCTTTCCCCCGTCAGAGGCACGTGCATGAAGTACCGTCCGTTTTTCGTCATGGTGATTTTCACAGCCCGCTATTCTGCGTGCTCGAATTTGGCAACAATATTCGACGGGAAAAGCCGATATGAGCTGACAAAATCACCGGCATCTACGATCTACTCAGACAGGAAGGCTCAATCAGCATCAGCAAGTTATCGAATTTCGTGGAAAAGCGTCTTGGACTCCCGGGATCTGCCTCCGTATGGACTCAAGCTTGTCGGCGACATCGGCTTCCTCGGCGCAGTCGGTCCCCGCCCTCCATCCATGCGATATTTCAACCAGTTGAGCTACGTCTGGGTGTTCGTGTTCGGTCTAATCGAGCTCGGGGATGGATGCCCCGAAGGCCGGCATTGCAATGAGCTATTCGTCAGGCAGTGTGATACCGTGGCCGATGGAGGGGCAGTCAGGCTCGGAAGAGGCGTGAGGAACTGCCTGGCTATAGCCGCGTCCGGAACCCTGTCCTTGTCGTTGCTCGGAAGAGTGAGGTGAAGATGCTTCCTGCGTAAAACCAATCTTCCGAGGGCTCAGTCGAGGGAGGTTTCACCGTTTCCAGGACTGAAACACGCTGTCGAATTTCTTTGAGGCTCAAAGTCCGACTATGACTCCGATGTACTGTATGTACTCTTTTGACAGGTAGGTCACAAACAATCGCTTAGCATGCTCCAAAAAGGCCTGAATAATGGTCAACCGGGCTCTCAGCCACAACATCGCCCCAAAGAGCGGGCTGCCGAGATCCACGAGAAAGTCACTCATAGCGATGTGGATGATGCCCAACCAGTTATCGGAAATGACGTCGATCAAATGGAGAAGGAACACCACACAGGCATGCAAGAAGCTGCCGAGTCGGCATTGTCTGTGGAAGAAAAGTCACCTCACGTTGCAGATAAAGAGGCGAGGTCATCAAACCTCGCCAACAGCGCGAGTCTATTCAGTCTGAACATATTGACGAGCATCTCGGCGATCGGCAAACTGTCATCAACGATCTAACGTCCACGAGAATGTCGACACAAACGTCAGTCCCCACCGTGAAGAACATTATGCGTTCTCATGCTTACCACATCAAGAAACCTTATTGCCGAGCATCACGTATATTTTGCTTCCCCATTGGTACTGCCCCCCTAGAACGAAGAAACGAGGGGAAATAGAATCCAAGGGCATGATGTAAATCCAAAGTATTTGTGGAGTGCAAAGGGACTGCCCTTCCTATGCGATTATGGACTGTGGAGCACGAGTGGGATCTGCGCGCCGACGCGTTGACAGCACCTTCAAAAAGCTCAAGGCTCCAGAGTCCGGGCCTAAGGCTGGACATCTGAGGCTTAAGCCTTGCGACTTGGGGTTTGCGAGAATGAAGTACTGGGCCAAGGTGATATGGCCTTGTGGATACGCCTCGCGATGCAGCGGCACTTACGCCGCACGAAGCTTGAGGCTTGATGCTTGCGAAGGTGTCAATGCCACAAATACGACTTTTCTCCAGCACCGGCACTCAGCCAGCCGAACCTCAGCATCCGAACCACAGCCCATCCGAACGAAATTCAACCACCCTTCGCATTCGCAGCTTCCACCATGATACCGTGGACTGGGTCGATCAAAAGCATGGAGTCAACGTTCTTGGAAGAAAAGTCTACGTTGCTATCGACCGTGTTGGAGAAAACCCGTGTCGAGAACGGTGTCTCTCAAACCCAAGCTTCCGACATGTTAGAACGAGAACTCGCGAGGTTGCAATATATCTCCCTTCGGTTGATGAGTATGAGTCTCGAACAAGATAACTTGAATCCGTCGGCAAGCAGTTTAGGTGTCGAGACGTCAAACTCTGCAGCTCCTGGCAGTCGCTCCAGCCTCGCCCGAGATCACTCTGCAGCTCCTGGCAGTCGCTCCAGCCTCGCCCGAGATCGCTCTGCAGGTACCGTCAGTGGCTCTAGCGTCGCCCGAGATCTCTCTATGCCGTCTGCAAACCGTTCAGTTTCAGCTGTCAAAACGTCAAATTCGGCAGGTACTGTCAGTCGCTCCAAACCCGCCCGCGGCCCCAACGGAAAGCGTCCTCTTCACCTCCCAAACCAAAGAAAGAGCGACGCAACTTCGAAAGCTGGCAGGTAGAGATCCTGTACGGATGGATTCTTGACAACATCCATGACCCGTATCCGACCTTGAGCGACAAAAAGGACCTTTGTGAAGCGGCTAAGATTACACTGACTCAGCTAGACTACTGGCTCACAAACGGTAAGTACCGTGACGGACGCATATTGATGTTTCTGATCGTTTACTAAAGTCATGATCAAAAGCACGCCGGAGATATGTACGTCAGCTGCAGCATCGGGGCTAGATATAGACGGGACTTTTGCGCTGTCGTATAGGTAGGAAGGATCAGAAGGATAAGCTGGATGCGCACGGTATCAAGGAAAAGCGGTAGGGGTTAGATGCTCCATCAATATCGTCTTCCTTTACATGGAAAGTGATTGCCTGGATATAAAGAGCTATATGCCCCCTGTACATTTCATTTGTTTAATGTGATCCCCAGTTCCTGAATATTAGTCGAGGAAATCGGGGTGGGAAGATTCGGGACGGGGCCTATGCGCCTTTTCCCAGTGAGTGATGCCCGCTCGCAACAGATATGTCAGTATGGGGCCAGGGGAAGGGAGAAGAGGGAGATGCGAAAAGGAGTGTTCATGTCCAGCTATCGGGGAGTCCAACGCGCGCGCAGGATAAGTCTCGCGCGAGAACACCTTCCTTTGTGAGCTCTTTTTTCAAACCTCCCTTGTAAGAACACAAGCAACCACCCAACACCCCAAGGCCATGGTCAAGCACTATGTCCGCCTCCCCGAGGGCTTCACCTCGCTGACCGCCTACATCGACGCTCTTCTCGCTTTTCTCGAAAAGCACCGGCGGCTATGGGAGGTAAATACTGCAAGCCCTAGTGAACACTCCACTTGCACTTGGTGGCTCATACTCTCGACTTCCCCCCCAAAAGTTTCACGCCGTCGACTTCTACACCGAGAACTGCTGGGAGTCCGACGCCTTCCCCGTCGAATGGCGAGTGTTGAAGGACGACTCCGTGAGTTATGACGACCTGCTCGCGCTGGCGACGAATGGAACCGTGAAGGTATGAGCAGCAACGAGGGGTACGTTGGAAGAGACGTGGAGGGAGAGGAAGGGTGGTTTGGTTGCTTGGGTGGTAACGGCTGGTGTTGACTGGATGTGTGTCTGCGTTCTGGTTTTGCAGGAAGATTGGCCCGAGTCGTTGAAGGAGTTTGTGCGGTTAGCGAAAAGCTTGCCGTTGCCTCGGAACCCGCAACCACACTTCTTCAGTCGCTTCGTAGATCCTACTGGTGAGTGCCATTTCACCCCCTGTAATCCCTGTCCCCATACTGTGCTGACTCCTCCGCCCCGTCCGTAGACCTCGACAACAAAGTAACCTACGGCATGACCCCAAAAAAACGCCACGAAGTCCAACTCCTCGCCAGCCTCATCCACCACCTCGCCTCCACCCACTCCATCAACTCCATCATGGACATGGGCGCCGGGCAAGGCTACCTCGACGCCGTGCTCGCCTACACCTACCAGCACACGGTGATCGGCGTCGACGACGACGAGGTGCAGACGTGTGGAGCCAAACGGCGGTCGGCGATGATCGAGAAAATTTTCAAGGGGGCGAAGAACCGCGACGTCCGGGTAGGGAGGGTCGTGCATGTGAATCGGCGGGTGCATGCGGGAGAAGGGTTTGGGGATTTGTTGAGGGAGGTTGATGCAAGGACGGGGACGGGCGCCGGTGGTGGAGAGAAAGAGCTCCACGCGCCAGACACCGACACCACACAACCCGCACCCCTCAACTGGCTCCTCTGCGGCCTGCACGCCTGCGGCGACCTCTCCCCCGCCCTGATCCGACACTTCCTCACCAGCAACGCAAAAGTCCTCGTCTCCGTCGGCTGCTGCTACAACCACCTCTCCGAAAAACACCCCTCAAATCCCTCAACGCCCATCTCCCTGCCACCCTCCCCTCCCTCATCAACACCCACAGGGATAACAACCCACACCCTCGGCTTCCCCCTCTCAACACACCTCACCTCCCGCTCAACCACCCTCGGCTTCACGGCCCGCATGCTGGCGTGCCAAGCCACCTGTCGATGGATGGACGACCCTGAGGCCTCGATGGAGAGTTTCCGGCGACATCATTTCCGGGCTTTGTTGCAGATCCTCATTGTGGACAACAACCTCCTCCCACCCCACCACCCACCACCATCATCAACACACCAACAACAACACCCACACCACATAACCCTCGGCAAACTCCCCCGCGCAGCCTACACGCCGTATTTCACACCCTACGCCCTCGCCGCCCTTTCCAAACTCCACATCCCGTACACGCCCGCGCAGATCATACCCCTGCTCGAAGCGTACGAGCGTCGCTACGCCGCGCGCGAGAAGGAGGTGGCCGCCGCGTGGACGTTGCGGGCGCTGCTTGCGGAATGCGTGGAGAGTCTGATTCTAGTCGATCGCTTTGTGGCTGTTGTGGAGGCTGCTGGCGGGTCGCGGGAAGCGGGGATTGATGTCGATGTTGTTGTTGTTGGATGTGGGGTGACGTTGGAGGGGTTGTTGGGGGATGAGGAGGGGGCGGGTGAGCGTGGACATGGAGAGGGTGTGGTGCAGGCGATCCTCGTCCCGTTATTTGAGCATGCGAGTTCGCCGCGGAATATGGTGCTTTTGGCTAGGAAGGTGTGAACGAATATGAATAGAGCTCACATGTATAGACTTAGAGTAGAAGTCTAGCCCAAATCTAAGTTGGGATGTTTCATCATATATACAGTACATCGCTGTAGTGCATCATCCAGCCCAAACACCCCATTCCACCAGAAAAAGGTTCCCTCCATCACACCATAACAAAACAAAAAAAATTCAAATCACTCATACGCCGTCTGTCTACGCCCTACTCACTCGTCCCCTCCGTCCAATACCTCGGCTCCCCAAACACATGATAAAAGTGTCCCCTCACCCCCTTCCCCTTGAACTGCTCCGGGTACATTCGTCCCTTCGGTACATCCCTCTCGGGTGTTCGGGTCAACGCGTGGGCGATTTTCGATGTGGGGGGCAGGGACAGGGGGGTTGTGGGCACGACGAATTTGGCGGTCTGGATCTCTGTGTCGGTGATTCCGCCGTGGGAGATGCGCGCGTAGCCGGTGCGGTGCAGGCCGCGGAAGAAGATGTATTGGCACCAGCTGTTGAAAAGATGAGCAGGAAAAGGATGTGTTAAAATCTTCGTTCCATGATCAACAAGAAAGCTTCAAGAATCCGGCAACTTACCGATCCCAATCACTCTCATCCACATCCTCCACCCTCCCCTTCTCCACAAGCGTCCTATAGAGCTCCTCCCGCAATCCCGGCTTCGTCACCACATACCCCAAAAACACACTCGGGTTCTTGCTGCCCGCCAAAAGCCCCGCCAGATAATTGGTCTGCAACTTCCGGTCCACCCAGTCCTCCTCCTGTCCATTGTGACTGACCACGACATCAACCGGCGTGCCGTGGACGTCGAGCGTGGCGTGGATCGCGCACGCGAGCTCACCGGCCGGGGAAGGGAGGAGGTGGTGAGTGGAGGACGTGATGGGGAAGCGGGAGAGAAGGGAGCAGCCCCAGGTGTGTTTTGTGGGGGAGGGGCCGTAGTCGGCGTACATGCCGAGGGTGGAGGAGAGGTATTGGGTGAGGTCGCGGTTGCCCATGATGATGCGGTAGGTGTCGGATTCGAGAAGGCCTGTTTGGGGTGGATGAAGTGTATCAGTTGCTGTCCAAATTCCCTGAGCAGATAGGCCAGCGCGATGAAACACGTACCAATGACATCCAACTCCAACTCCCCAATAACCTCCGCCATCCGCTTGTGCGAGCTATACATCTCATTATCCAGTCCAAAATGCACTGTCCAGATCCCCATCGTCACCAGCCTCTCCTCAGGATGCATGGGCGCAATCTCCTTTTTCGCGCTCAACCGCCCCCCCACAGCCGCCGCCAGCCCCAAATACAGGACAGCAAGCATGGTAGCGAGGTTCGCGAACTCATGTTTGCGGAGCTTGTGCGCGAGGACGGGCGCTTCCCGCTTTTCCGCGGCGGTTAAGACCGGTTTGGCAGCGCGGGTGCCGAGGAAGAGGAGGAACTGCATGGCTGCAACGACGTAGTGGGTGCGCTCGCGGGCGTATTCACCCAGGGGTACGAACGCGTACGCAACGGTCCAGACGTGGGCGAGCTGCATGATCGCGTACAGGAACATGGCGAGGAACATGGTCCGTCCCGCGGGGAAGAACGGGAGCTGCATCATCAATGTCGGGGCGATGGAGGAGATGTACATGGTGAATATCAGGCCTCCCGCGAACCCGAGCGCGCGGCCGGGGACGGAGACGGAGGGGAGGAAGTAGAGTGCGTTGACGCCGGCGGTGCCTGCGAGCCACCAGAGGCTGCTGGTGGCGAGACGGTGGGAGGAGGAGGCGAGGAGGCCGAGACCCATAAAGGCGAGGACGATGACGCCGCCAATGAGGGGGGGTGGGCCGGGGTTGGGGTAGCCTTCGGTTGCCCAGAGGGGGATTATGCCGGAGTCGGAGAGCATGCTGTGGAGGGCGAATATGAGGCCGGCGAACCCGGCGGCGGCGCCTGTCCAGTGGCCTTGTTTGCGTTCCGGTTTAGGTTGGGGTGGGGCCGAGACGTCGTTCGTCGCGGCGGGCTTCTGTTTACCAGAGTACGGACGTGCCAGGACCTGCAGACACGCCAGAACCGCTAAGCCCAGCCCCAGCTCATTCCAACCTCCATTCTCCTTCCGCATCGTCGGCCACAGGGGATTGTTCGAGTACGAGTGAATCTTGACCACATTATGCAGCAACAGCCCAAGCATCAACGCCAAAGGTTTCTTCCACGACCGCGGCTGTGTAGTCTTGGCGGAAATCGCGTCGGCGTCAAACAGTGCGGAGCTCCACGCGAGGAAGGAGAAGCCGACACCCGTGCCGACCATGCAGAGACGGGTTGTTGGGTCTGGGAAGCGGTAGGCGAGAAGACCGACGAGGGAGAGGAGGTGGAAGATGCCGGGGAAACGGTGGACCCAGCGGCGGAGGAACGGAAGACCGAGGAGCATGGGTGACATGGAGGTGAAGAGGAAGGCTTCGAAACCGCTGAGACCCATGTTCCATAGTGGGAAGTACCTAGCAACGTGGGAATCTCCGGTCAACCACAATGAAAAGGCGCCGATTGATGCATATGGGAGCCATGAACTAGAAAAGGACGCACTCACCAGATGGTAAGTCCAAGCGAAGTAGCGAGACTCCAAAAACAGAAACCTAATATATTTCCATCAACCAGTAAGTACAACGAGCTACCAATTACGCCGCATGCTCCAGTTCCAGCGCGCCTGAGTGACGCCTCATTGGCACCGCTCCGTAAACCTCTGATCCTACGCACCCAGATAGGTATCAGCAACATAACTCGGTAAGCTAGAGTACTGATGCGCGCCAATCAAGATGGGTCTGCGGACGGCGGCGGGTGTGTCCAGATCAGCTTCGCGTTTGAGTTTCAAGGCTGCTCGTGACGGGGCGGGGATGGAGAGCTGGATGGACATGTCGTTGACGTCGATGGAGGTGGCGTGGTCGAAGCCGACGTCGAAGAGGATGACGGACCATTCGAAGAGGGCGTAGTAGGAGTAGGCTGGTGGGATTAAGCGTATGAGTAATTGTGCAATAATGCGTTCCGGCAAGGTAGAAACGAATCTCGACTATCTCCCCTCGCAAACCTCACCTCCGGGAATCTTATCCAACTTGTGCCTGATAAAAAAGTACACGAGCCCCGGCACCATAGCCAAAAACCCCGCGATGCAAGCGGCTCTCGACCTCCACCCAGTCTTATTCCCCGTCGTCTGCTCGGTCCTCCTCGACAAAACGGTCATTCCACCCATGTACAAGAGCCCAGCGACCAAGTAAGTGATCATGGCCACGTCGTGCACATCGTGCTGGTCGGAGGATGTGATGTAGACCCATCCGCCACAGCTGAGCGTGCGGATTAGGCCAAAGACTAGTGTTACGGATGAGAGGACGGAGGTGGTTGTTGTTGTTGCGCTGATGGATGTTGTGAGGTAGTTGAGCAGGAGGAGAAGGAAGCGAGGGCCTGCGAGGTTTCGGTGTCAGTAATGTAAACGATAATAACGCTATTCTGCGCCGCTCGCTCAGGTTTTGGCGCAAAAACAGAGCACAGACATACCAGCAGCCAAGGCGATCAGGATCTGGAACACATTACGAGCCGGGTACCAGTCTCCAGTCACAGCGGAAACTGACGGGAACCATTCCTGTTTCATGGAAGATAATCCGTCAGCTGATTCCCACTCCCATCGAGACTGACAATCCTGTTGCATCGGGTCCCAACGCACCTGAGGCCAACCAGCAACCTCGTTCTTCAAGACCTGTTTCCAGTGGGTCTGATGGCAGACCGCCAGAGCGGCGAGGAATGCGCTGTATCCAAAGAAGGTATGCAGGCGGGGCACCCATTTTGCCGAGATCTAGACGAACGCCAAAGGGAATCAGTGAAGGAAAATCAACTATCGACCGTCAATCTTCGGCCGTCGAACGTCATCCTTCAACCACCCATCACCAAACGATACCCTGCTCGCTCCGCTCGCGACGAGGATGTTGGTCGAGAGATGAAGGATGCAAGAACGACCTCGGCTCGCTGTCGCTCGCCATCCCCAAGCATGCTTGCGCCTACGGCGCAATTTGGCTCGCTTCGCCCAGACTCCGGCGCGATCCTCCAAGCAATTCTTACGTTGACGGTCCGGGTTGTAGTGGCAGCTGTGTTCAACCTCCTTTTGAACGGAGGAAGGTCGTCGTTGTTGGTAGCGTCGTGGTCGACGATGGTGTTGACAGCGGCGGAGGGCCGTTGCCTGACGTCTGGAGCGACCATTTGGGAGGGAGGACCAACAGCTGCTGCGGCGCTCTGCGAGGGGTTGGAAGACGTCTGTGCGTGGGAGAGAGCCAGAAGGAAAGCGGGAGGACGAGGGGATTCCCGTCTTTATATGTAGTAGTTGTAAGTGCAGTCGGGTACTCGGGGGTGAGTTTGGCAGTAGTTTGGCAGCGTCCTCCAAAGCCTCGTTCGGCGGTCCTTTGCCGTTTTGCTGAGCTTCTCCCTCGGGCGCCGTGGAGGGGACATTTCAATGTGAATGTGAAGCGAGGGAGGGCGCGTCATTCCAACTGGACCATAACTGGATGGATGGATGGGGGTTGTGGCTGTCCACTGGGCACAACGTCATCTTGTCACACCCCCCCCCCCCCCCCACACACACACACACCCCCCTCGCCGCTCATCAAACACGTGACCCCAAGCCGAACGAGGGTCGACTGCATTAGCCATCTCAACGTTCTTCTGACGTTCTTTGCTCAGGTGTCTCGACTCATCCACTGCCGATACATATACATCTCGGACCCCTTGTCCTCGGACGTAGCAACTCATGTACCAAATATATTTGGGGCTCGAATTGGATTGCAACGTAGTGGGCGCATTGCTCGGTTACGTTCAGCTAGGGGGATCGTTATGGCCGTTTCCTATGATTTTGACCTGGTGTGGCAGATCTCCACTGTGCCTTTCATTTTCCCATACAAGCACTCGCTATATATATACATACGTACAGTATACATACCCCTACCTTCTGTCTGTGGTTCATATGTATGGTGGACACCCGCTTCGATTAAGGTGGTTGTTTCTTGTCCGATGCGCGGCGCGACAAGCGGAAGCGAAGCGATGGGTCCCTGGATGGGCTGGGCCGTGGGTCACAGTCAGGGTTTGTTGACCACCTCCCCAACAGCGTTAAAACGGGAAGCGGTGATCATCCCGAACACACAGCACACAACCAAGCTGCACAAGCACTCTCATAAAGGCAGTAGACGGTGATCAACAGCCTCCAAGCACCCAGTCTCCACACACCCCGAAAGAAAACCATACGAGGGCAGCAATCATGGACCCCGTAACCGAAGATCTCGCCTCCCTCTCCCTTCAATCCAGCCTCCCGCGCTCCACCCGCCCCAACCCGCTCCCCTGCCCGCTCATCCGCCGCATCGTCTCCTTTCTCGGCCCGCTGGAGTACCACCTCGTCGCCCCGCTGGTGTGTAAACAGTGGCACAGATGTATCCGACGGAGGAAACATGAGGGCGATGTGTGGGTGTGGAATCCAAGGGTTGTGCTGGTCAATTTGGTGCTGGTGCCGGAAGCTGTTAGGGAGAGTGACGAGGATGAGGATAAAGGCAAGCCGAGGGTCGGGGTTGTAGGGGAGGAGGGGAATGGGGCGAGTGATGAGGGGAGTGATGGGAATACCAAGGACGCGAACACGAAGGATGCATCGCGCACAACCCGCACAACCCGTCGCCGCCAAAAACGCCTCGCCAAAACCCTCATCGAGCGTCCCGCGCCGTTACTGCACTGGACATACCTCCCCAAAGAGATCCGCGACGCGACGCAGGCGACCGTGGCTGGTGAAGGGATGGTCGTGCAAGTCGGGCTGGAGTCGGTCCCGGGGGATGAAGCGGAGCTGCGGGAGTTTTTGAACGGGCTGTTGGCAATGTTGATGTATAGGGCGAGGGCGTGGCGGCCGACGGGGATTGAACCTGGGAGTGGGGAGAATGGGACGGCGGCGACGGCGGTGGAGTGTGGGGAGGGGGAGGCGTGTGGGGATGAGAGGCGCGATGTTGCTTCGGCGGAGGACGATAAACTTGGGCGATTAGCAGTATCAGAAGGAGGAGGAGAAGAAAGCTACCGCCACGCCACACCCAACATCTCCATCGTCCCCTACCAATTCACCCTCACGCCCCCACCGGGTGTCATCTCCCCAGCGACGCTCGCCACCTACTCCCAAAAAGTCGCCCGGCTGCTTTCCCTCTTCTCGCCGCGCGTCCTCGAAGCCCACGCCCCCTTCCTCGGCGCGTTGAACGATATCCCCGCCATGGCGGCGAGTGGAGCGGAGTGGACGACGCCGGTGCACCATGTACGCGTGTGTGGCGTGTCGGGGAGGGAACGCGGGATGCCGGATATCAAGAACATCGGGCGGTTGAAGCACTTGGTTTGTTTGGAGGTCGAGGGGGATAAGGGGAACACTGCCCAGGATCCGTTTGTTAAGAATGAGGGCACGGATCCGTTAAGGGAGGAGACGGCGGTTGTGAATGGCAATACGCCACCCATCCAACTCGGCATCCAACACCTACTGCCTCTTCACGCCACCCTGCGCGAACTGCACATCGACCACCGCGTGCCTTTACCGATCGCCCAACATACCGACCTCTGCAATGTAGTCATGCAGTTGCCCAACCTCAGCGTCCTACGCGTCGGGTACATCGTTCAACAAAGCGAGACGACACCCGGAGGCGTGGCCCCTGCCACCCTCGCAAAACTGGTGTGCCATCACCCGGGCCTGTGGGAGGTCGGTGCGCTTGTCGGGGTGGATGAAGCGTTTTGGACGGCGGTGAAGGCGTTGCGGGGTGAAAACCGACAGGAGAAAGAAAAAGAACAACCCCTTCGAATCCTCTCAATCTCCCTCAACCCCACCCACACGTCCCTCCTCACCCTATTCACGAGCACTCTCACCCAGCTTGCGGCCACCCTCCCGCACCTCCACCGGATCTGCATTGACCTCAACGCGGCCCCAGCGACTTCCATCACCGCGCGGGATGTGTTGGGTGTGTTGAAGAAAGCTAAAGGGGAGTGGGGCGGGGACAATGGGAGTGGGGGCAGGAGGGTGATGTGGAAGGAGGTTGTGGTGGAGCAGTGTGAGTTGGGGGTGAGTGATGTGGCGGTGTGGGGCAAGATGAATTTGGAGGACGGGGAGGGGTTCAAGGTTAGGTGGAAGGGGGTTAGGCAGTGAAAGATGACGGAGGGGTGAGAAGTTGACGGGGATTTGGATATGGGGTGGGATTAGTTGGGAAGGACATGAGCCGGGATAGGCTGAGCATGAAACCAAGAAGGGATATGATTAGTTTTTTCGACGAGGACGATATACGCGAGGAGCGAATACGAGAATCTTCATACATGTGTGTCGTTGATGGCGCCCTCCGTGTCAAACGACTCGAAAGCCAGAATGCCGCGGGTGCTGGGGAGAAGGCCGAGCGCGACACGTGCGGGAGGGTGTCGCGTGAGGAAGGCCCTGAGTCCGCCCGTTCCTCGCTCTCCTGCATTCTTTCTCCTCCAACCGCCTTGTTTCCCACGCAGACACTCCCAGCGCATACAAGGGTATTCCAGAGCTATATAAACGGGAGAGGGACGTCGCCAGGAAGAGCACCCTCACCTCCCCGCGATAGACTGCCGCCAGGCCCCCGTCCAGATATATCGCCCAGTCCCGCCACCCCGACGAAGATCACTCGACACCTCGTCCATTCCCACCAACTCAACCACAATGTCAGCAACCGAGGAAAACCTAACCATCCTTGCCGCCGTCGACTCCTTCCCCCTCGCAAGCACCCTTTTCACCCCCACCAAAACCCCCAGCTCAACCCCACCACCGCCCTCCATCCAAATCAACTCCGCAACCGGCGTCCCCCGCGCCTTCTACGTCTCCTTCGCCCGCTACCTCGCCACCACCCACTCCTGCCCGGTGCTGCTCTACGACTACCGCGGCATCGGCGACTCGCTCACGGGTTCCACACCCGAACACGCCCGAGCGTTACCGTTAGCCTCCATACAGAAGGAATGGGCGACCTATGACCAACCCGCCATCACGATGTTCTTGAAGGATCGGTTCCCAGACCGCGCGGTGGTGATCGTCGGCCACAGTGTAGGCGCCCACATCGCCCCCCTCAACCCCGCAAAGGATTCAGTCAGCAGGTACCTCTTCGTCGCGCCCAACAACGCGCACTGGCGGTTCCACCCCGACCTCAAAGGCGCCATCTCAACCTACCTCTTCCCGGCCATCGTCGCCGTCGGGACTCGCGTGGGGAGATCACCGCAGGGTCTCTTTAGAGCGAACGCGATCGGGTTGTGTGAGGATATACCGCTGGGTGTTGCGAGGGATTGGTCGTACTGGACGCGGTTTAGGGAGTATTGCACCGTTGAGCCGCATATCAAGGAGGTGTATGACCGGTTCCTTGCTGATGGGGATAATACCCCCAATGCGGAGGAGCACCGCACTCTCGCGATTGGGTTCACCGACGACGCCTTCTGCGGGTCGCGGGAAGCGTACGACGCGTGGTTGCGGCTGATGCCTGCTGCGAAGGTGCCGTTGTGGTATCTGGACCCGAAAGCGGAGTTGGGTGAGTTCGGGGTTGAGGCGGTGGCACATATGGGCTTCTTCCGGAAGGCCATGAAGGAGGCGCTGTGGGAGCCGCTGGTGCCGTTTCTGGTAGACGGGAGGTTTGGGGAGAGGGTGGGGAGGGGCGTGCAAGGGGAATTTAGAGTGAAGGCGAAGTTGTAGAGACTGGTACGATTTCGACGCGAGCGGCTGGATGTCAACATTCCTCAAAGGGATATGGACATTGCGTAAGGCCTGGACTAGCCTCTCCCCTTACCGACAGAAGTCTTTATCAAATGTGGGAGTCAGACCATGAAGCAGTACCACTCCCGACGTATTACCGCATTAGAGCGTCGTTCTGTCACCCCTTATGTAAATATATATTTCACCAGCATCTCTCAAAATGGACAGTTTGCATCAAAAGTCACTCGAAGCAGGAAAGATGGGAAACCTCATTCAAAGATATAAAGTCAAGCACAATGTAATCAACATGGACCTGCCCCCAGGTCGTCCGAGTCGACAGTCGCAACAGGGTTCGGAGCGAGAGGGGCGTCAGCTTTGAAAATTCAGTTTCGACGTTATACAGTACATCGGCCATTCAGACCCCCGTCTCCCGACCTACCCAGAAAGCCCCGCAACCACTCCTCTTGCATTCATTGAGCAAAATGTCTGCAAATGCAACCTCTGTTGGGCAAAAATACCGACAGCAAACTGTTCCTGCCGTCAGTCTGTTGCGGGTCACGTGATGCGCACGTTTATCTCGCGCGTTTTCGTTTCTCTGTTCCCTCCAACACCGGGCCGAAACCAAGATCGGCACCGCCCAACACTTGAATAAGAGCCCTTTTACGTTCGTCGCAGGTTCATCGCCCCCCCCCCCCCCCCCGGTACTCATCACGACGTAGGTCACGTGTTGCGAAGCGGTGTGGGTGTCGGGTTTCGCGCCTGCCTGTCTTCAATACGTTTTCGCATGTAGCACGGGGATGGCGACGAGGGCCGTTGCGGACGAGGCACCGGTCTGATGCACGCCGGGCCGAGCGTGGAGATGAGAATTGGCGAAGGCGCGTGTACGGGATTCCACCGTGATTCATGGGGCCCCAACCTCCAATGTGGGCATGGAGGGCTGCCTGACGGTGATGTGGATATCGTTGGGAGCAGCCCAGGGCCTACCAAGCTCTGGAAGCACTGCAGCGATTTGTGATCGAGAATAACGAAGTGGGTTTTCTCGGGAGTGGAGAGCCGTGGCGCACACGACCTCGGTCCTGTGGAGCAGATGGGACCCAGAAGCAGAGTTGATATCAACCGAAATTCCTGTTGCGCCCGGGAGGATTCTACGGCGGAGATCAAATGGAAGGGGGGGACAATATCGAGGGGATCGTCAGACGACTCAGCCGTCTGTACAAGGACCTCGGGGCGAAGGTTTGGGAACATCCAACAACGGCGGCTACTAGACCGAGGTCGATTCGGGGAATACACATTCACTCGACTACTAGGGGTTGGAATTGGAGGCACGGGTCCGAAAGGGGAGTTGGTTTTGGAGTCTATTACTGCCTTTGCCTGAGGAGGGAGCGATCAAGCCAGCTTGGTAGATATTCTTGTCCATATAAGCTCCGCCCGCGGCATCGGCTATGCAGTATCGTCGTTACCTGGAAGCGACCACGCTGTCTAGTGTATCAACGTTATAGAAAGGATCGCAGTTCCCTTGTTGTCACCCTTATGTTGCAGGTTGATAGTACACATTTGGAGGTGCAGGATTTATACTCGCCATGGCGGAGATTGATAGACAGCCCACGTAGTCGCACTGTTATACAATCAATTGTTTCAGCGGGCAATGCTCGGCGCCGGTGTCAATTTCAGTGTTCACTTTCGGGTGACCTCATTGCATTTCGCAACCCTCACACTACGTATACCCTAGGCTATCCGAAAGTGGCGACGGACAGGAGGCTCAAAGCCCAACCTCCCACCCCCATCCTATCCAACCCTCCCTTCCCCAACCCCAAAACGGCAAACCCATCTACGCCGCCCACTCCCCCGCACCATCTATCTACTCCCTCCCCGCCTCAACCCCATGCTTCCTCAACAACCGCTCAATCCCATCCAACCCTTTCTCCAGCTGCTCCATGGGCGGCCCGAAACTGAGCCGGAGGTAGTGATGGAACGGGGAGTTGAACAGCTCGCGGCGTCGCCCGGGGTTGATGTCGAAGAAGATTCCGGGGACTACTATTACTTTTTCGGAGAGGGCTGAAAGAGGAGAAGGGGGAGTTAGAGGGGGCAAGGTTTTGGTGGATGGGGAGCAGGGGTTGAGTGATGGTTTGGTTTACCTTCTTCGAAGAAGGAGAGACCGTTGTTGAGCGGCTGCGAATAGGACGGGGCATTTGAGACGTCTATCAGCACTCAAGACATCCACGTAACCCTGCGCCCAGTCTCCACGTCTCCCAACCCGCCCAACTCACCTCCGGCAACCTCTCCAAATTCACCCAGACATAGAAAGTCGCACTCGGCGGCCGCTCAATCGGGAACCCCATCTCCCTCAACCTCCTGACGACATAATCCCTCTTCTTCCTAAAATGAGTCTGCAGGGCTTTCGCGTCCTTCTCCACGCGCTGCGGGTCCAGCAGTGGGATGGCCGCGCGCTGCAGGACGTGGTTGGTGCCGCCGTCGAGGAAGGAGCCTGCGGATTGTAGAGAGGAGACGACTTCTTCGGGACCGACAATCCAGCAGACGCGCCAGCCGGGGAGTCGGAAGTTTTTGGTTAGGCCGTCGACGCTGGGGGTGCATGGGTAGACGTTAGAGGTCGGAGATAGGTAGGGTGTGTATTTCAGATCGTGTGCTCTTACATGATGACGGGATCGGCGTTGACGTCCTCAATGTGTTGCGCCGAGGAGACGCTTTTGCCTAGATCTTCGGGGATCTCGTGGTATATGTACGAGCTGTAAAACTGTAAGGCGGGTGAGAAGTAAAGTCGCCAACCAAAAGAATGCATCAAGAGCCAGGTGGCAACGATGTGCGGCGCCAAACCCAATTCCACATACCTCGTCCAAAACCAACGTGCAATGCTGCTCCTTAGCAATCTGGATCCACTTCTTCATCTCGTCGCCTTTTACGACCTGCCCAGTCGGGTTGGCGGGGTTGCTGCAGACGATGACACCAAGGCCGCGTTCCGAGACTTCTCGCTGAAGCAGGTCGGCGGAAATGTGGAAGTCTGTTTGGTGACGGAGGGGCGTAGGGATCGGGATGAAGCGTTTGAAGATCTGGGGGTGGCGTTGGGGTGTGATAAGCCGAGTGGCCATGTATATACATACGTCCTAACACGCACGGACGTCCACACACACTCATGCACACATCCCCGTCCCCAAGCGCGCCTCAACATGACATACCGTCAAAAGCTGCTCATAAGCGGTATAATCCGGCAAAAAGAACCCCACATTCGCATCGCCCAGCACCGCAGCAATCCGCGTCAACCCCGCGCGACCGCCGGGGACAATACAGACGTTGTTAGCGGTATACTTCGACGCATGGTCGCGGCGATATCGCTCATTATACAGGTTCGCAACAGCTTCACGGAGTTCCTGCACACCAGCCACGGGCGCATACTCAAACTCCTCCTCATGCATATTGATCGTCAGCGGCTTGTCAACACCTCCCTCAATATGCCCGACCTCGGGGGCGCCCTGCCCAAAGTTTCCCCACTCCTTGTTGGTTTGGCTCCACCCTTTTGCCGCCGCTCGGTCCGTCACGTAGATCACCCCGGTGTTGGAGGGGTGTTCGATGGAGGGGATGTGGGCGAGTCTGTTGGAGCCGGACCCGTGCACGTTTCCTTTGTACTTTCGTAGCATTTGGTGGGCTTCCGAGTCCTTTTCGACCACCGCGGCGGTCGCTCGGACTTGTTTCAGGATGGCGTTGGCGGCATCGCGGAGGCGGGACTGCAAATCAGGAGATCGGTGGTGAGTTTCGCTGCGACTTTTGGGATGCCAGGTGAGAACGGGATGGGGAATTGTACTGACATGGTGCTCCTTTGGTTGTTCCTCGTTTCGTGTAGAAGGCATCGTGATCTTCGACCTGGTTCTCAGTTTGAGGGCTGGATGAGTTTCGTGTGCGGTCGTCAAAAAGAGCAGCCTATGCGACTGGCTTGTACGCAGTAAGAGGCCCCTGACCATATACTGTATATCCGTAGCGGGTGGGCAGTTTTTCTCTGTTCACTACAGCACAATTCCCAGGCGCATGCTTGCTTTGTGGCGAAGGGGCCGAACAGATCGAGAGAGTGATGACGCAACCCCCTGAGTCCTGACTGCTGAGTCCTGACGCGTGAGGCTTCTTCCCTTTCGAAGGTTCTACCTTCTTTACAAGAATGTTCTTCGTCACAGAAAAGGGCTCATCAGAGCGACCTTTTTCACACTCCTTCTCATCATATTTCAAAGTCACAGGTTACTACAGTACGTTACAATCGGTGCGCTAAACCCGCGAAAACTTTATATGGGGAGGGCAGCCGTGCGCTCACGTACTCAACAGCTATGGTTTTCGAGGGCGAGAGAGACGATAACGCAACCGCGTTCAATCCGACTGCTGCGTGACCGTCTCTACCACTCCCGTCGTCGCTGCCGTCGCCATTGGGCGATCCGAGGTCTTCGTCTCGAACCGCACCCTCCACTTCTGCATCACCTTCCCATGCACCTTCCACTCCCATTCCGCTCCTGGGGCCGCCTCCGCCATAAACGCATTTGTGAACTCTTCATACTCCGCCGTGAAAATGACGCGGGTAGTAGGGGTCATTGATCCCCATGGCCACATCGACGGCCGAGAGGTGCCCGTTGTGTGGTTTCCTCTGGTTGAATGACATACAGCCCGCCGCACGCTTGGTACATGTCGTCGTCGGAGGCGCCGAGTACCCATTCGATGTATCGGCCGTCCATTCCGGCTTTGAGTACGATTCTGGCTAGCACCTATGAGAATGGAGTTCGGTAGTGTACAAGTCAGATCTGTTTGTTATGCAAAGTAGACCCACCGTTCCCACAACCGTATCTAGGCCCAATTCTTCCATTCAAAACCCCGTCAGAGGCCAGTTGTTGTAGTTGGAGAACCTGCTTTCCTGACTTTCTGGAGGATGGCCCCACTTTCCCACGTACACCCGGCAGATGAACTCACAGTTCGTCTTCCTAGAGATTTCAGGTTGTTGATTTGCCACCTGTAACAAACTGCACGACACCCTTTTCCGGTCATACCTGAACTTGGATGAGAACTGCGTGTCTCGAATGGTTCTTTTGAGCTTCTCCGACCACCATACGCGCTTCATCGTGTGCATTGGCAGTGCGTACTCCTCGTCCCCGAATAAAAGGGACCGGGACCCTTCGAAGTTCAGACTATCGTCCACACTCTTGCAAGCGGCCGCGGACTGCGGAACTCGAGTCGACCTTCAGATTCAGGTTCAGGGCGGGAGAGCGGCTGGACTGCGTTGTAGATGAACTTCATTGGGTGCAGGTGTGCGCATCGCTCGATGACGGCCTGAGTTGGCGCGCGGATTGAATTGAATGGAAAACACGTGCACTTGTCGCATTTAAAGCGTCGGTTTCCTCACGCGTTGTGACCGTTGGCGCACGCTCCCATTCGGACTCTTCTCCTTCGCGAGAAACGAGGGACCCACCCAGCCCAGAACCAACAGCAAGCAACTGGTCCCCGAATAGAGGCAGCGACGCCCGAAGAGCGAAAAGAGACCCCATCGCCAAGGGAGCTTCCGACGCCACCCAAAGATTCGTGCCGATCGGGACGCGATATACAGTACTGTGCTGTCCAAAAGACCCCCCCAGAGTTGATCTTCGAAAGTCATCACCACGCCCCCACCACTAAAATGCGTCTTCCAGCCCCCTCCGCCTCCGCCTCCGCCTCCCACTCGCATTCCCACTCGCACTCCTTATCCGCACACCCATCCCTTTCCCTCTCGAAAGAAACCGTCCTAGCCCATCTCGCCGCGCAAGGGTTCCAACCCACAGCCCTGCCCGAGGGGATGCTGGACGAGTTTATGGCGGAGATGGAGACTGTGTATAAGGAGGAGGTGCAGGAGTTTTTAAGGGAGGTTGAGGACGGGGATGGGAGTGGGGAAGAGTATGGAGAAGACGAAAGTGATGGCGGTAATGTGACTGATGAAGAGGAGAGGTTACGGAGGGAGATTCGGAGGGAGGGTGAAAGGTGGGAGGCATGGGAGGTTGGGGGTGAACGGAGTGTGGAAGGGATACAGCGGAATGGGAATGCAAATGGGAATGCGAGGGGTGTCAAGTGGCGGGTTGAGCAGGAGGAGGAAGAGGAGGGTGTGAAGGTCTTGCCTGTGCGTCCGAGAGGCAAGGCGGACGTGATAAGAACGGGGACGACACACCCACCGACACGCGCACAGAATCCCAAACCACACCCACAACGAATCCGCGCACCCGCTTCACGCACCACCACCTCTACTCTTCGATCCACTTCCACCACTTCCACTTCCACTTCCGCCCACCACCACCCGCAACCACAACGACCACCACCACGCGAACAGCCATCATCCATATTGACGGCATCGCAGTTACCGCCCGCGGACCCAGCAACGTATCAAATGACGATCATCGAGCAGCTCGCCGCGCTGGATTTGTCGAGGGTTAAGGCAACTGTGGCTAAGCAAAGGGAGCGGGAACGGGGTGGTGGGAGGGGATATGCACCGAGGGGGCAAACCAGGAATGATCACGGAGAGGAGGAGTATGACGCGACGTACGATGATGATGCTCGGACTGGGGAGACTGGGGAGGAGTCTAGGGACGAGGACGAGGAGTACACGAGGGAGTATGCGAGTGGGGAGGAGGCGACGGGCGATGAGGAAGCGGTGTATGATGATGATGATGAAGAGGAGGATGTGGATGAAGAGTCGTCGTACATCACCACACCGACGTTCACCACAGTCGCCGAGGAGTCGCGGTATCCCCGTTATCGCACCGGATGTACGTACGAGTGTCACCCTTCCATCTTGCTTTACTAGCCTGATACTAAACCACCCCTCGCTTCCTCATACAGTCATCTACGTCAACCCAAACCCCGCCCCACCCCGCAAACACGACCCGGTCGCCCGCTTCCACCAACACCGCGCCCGCTGGGCCCGCGACGAGTTCCTACAACGGCTCGGGCCGTGGACGTGGAGTGTACGCAATGGGGAGAGGGGGCCTATGCGGCATGGTGGGTGTAGTAGTGCCGTGTCGTCGATGTCGAATACGGTGGGAGGGGGGTTTGGGGGGAATGCGGCACGAAGGGTGGGTGGGATGGTCACTGCTGCGCCGGGGGCGAGGGGAGGGGCGGGGCCAGGGAAGAAGAGGGAGGTGAGGTCGAGGTATGCAGTTAATGAGTATGGTGAGTTTAGGGGATGTCAGGATTTTGATGTTATGGCGCCGTTGAGATGCACCTGAAAGCCGTTTCTCATTTTGCACACATCTGTTGTTTCGACGCATTAATCCCTTGCTCTCGATAGTCGTACCCACGGCAAAGAAACGGAACGATATCATTTGGGATACGCGGAATCGGATGGCGTACATGCGATGAACACCAATGCGATGCTTGGCCCCTGCTCCTTCCCCACATCAGCCCCCTTTCACGGATCGGTCGCACGCGCGATACACCTCAGGAGGGAGCATAGAGATGTGATGGTCGGGAGTCACGTATTCCGCATGTGCCATGTCCATACATAAAACATTTTAAATAGCAAGGAGGATGCGCCTGACCACATGCCTTCTTTTAAGATCGTTATACGCCATCTGCTTGTACTGTACTGGACGTATTTGGATGTCGTCAAGTTCTCAGCATAAGTAGAGTGACGTCAAAAAGGGGACGCGCGAGAACCGGCGGTAGTGGCTTTTCAGATCGCGATCGCGTTTTCCACCCAGATGCAGGTTTCTCGCGAAGCCCCCAGGCGGCCAAGCCAGCGTCACAAAAAGTTGGCAACAAACAGAGCCCCCTGCCTCCTTCCGTGCTGCTTGCAACATTGATGCGGGTGGAAGGTTGGGCGTCGCATACGTATGGCAAGGCAACCCGCAGCTTCATCACCTTCTCCATAACTACCGGCCGTCCCATGGCATAGCAGTGCCCTCGGGAGGGTGTACTTCGAAAGAGGAGGAACACCTAGTTTCCACACAGCGAATTTCCCAACACAATGTCAGACCTAAACGCCTTCTCCTACATCACCCTCGCTATCTTCGTCGTCGTCATCTACTTCTGTATCCGCCCACTCACTTTCCACATCCCCATTCCCGCCGCGCTCGCGCGGCGATTACCTCGTCGACACCGCGACACAACGCCGGCTTCCGATACCACAACGACAACAAAGGCTTCCAACGATACCACGAGTAACGAGCATCACATCACAATCGAAAATGTCGACTCTCCCCACAGACACAGACATACGATGAAACTGGCGTTGGATCTGGCGACGGCGCCTGTGCTTGGTGTCTTGATTCTGTGGGCGACGACGAGCATTGATGGTGGGGTCGTGAGGGATGGGATTGTAGGGGATCCTGCGAGTATCCAGCCGTTTTCGGTTGTTATTTTGGTTTTTGCTTTGGGTGAGTAACGGTGGAGGGAGGGGTGTTGCGTGTGGATGGGAGTGCTTGAGGTTGGCGACCGTTAGCGAGCCTGAAGTGCTCGAGCGGGAACGTGGGTTCTGTGGGCGAGCGCCCGAACATCCTTGCCGTAAGCGGAATGAGCATGATGTCGTTTTTCACATGCATCGTGCAATATCTCATGTCTCACATCCATCTCACACCCACCTCAAACTGATCATCGTCTCCCCCCCTTTTCTAGCGTACATCTGCATCTCGATCGACGTAACAGGTTTCTTTGCCTACGTCGCCTTCCAAGTCGCCAAACGCGGCGGAGCATCCGGCACTTCTCTCTTCCGCAACCTCTACATCCTCAGCACCATCATGACCATCTTCACCTCCAACGACGTCGTCGTGCTCACCGTAACCCCCATCGTCTGCTACCTAACCGCCGAAACCAAAACCGACCCAACCTCTTACCTCTTCTCCACATTCATCGCCTGCAACATCGCGTCTATGGCGCTGTACATTGGCAACCCGACGAATATCATCGTTGCTCAGGCTTATGATATCAACTTCCTCCAGTACTCAGCTTGGATGATTTTGCCGACGATCGCGGGATTGCTCACAGCTTATATTTTGTGCTACTACACCCTGCGCAGCCTGATCCCGCCCACCATCCCCCCACCGCCCGCGGAAGCAGAGGAACGGTATAAGGTGGAGCGCAAGTGGGACGCGGTGTTTGGGTGTGCGGTCCTCGGCGTGTGTTTGGTGGCGTTGATGGTGGTCCCGCTGTTTGCGCATGTGGCGGTGTGGATACTCACGGCGCCGTTTGCAGGGGTTATGCTGGTCAAGGATGTTGGAGGGGATGTGTTTGGGTGGGGAAGGGGCGGAGGAGGGAAACGGGGTGGTGGAGGGGATGCGGAGCGCGCAGATCAACCGACGACGACGACATCGACGACATCATCCACCCCGGATAACGGAACCGAACCCCAGGAGGACGTGGAAATGGAAGCCGTGCCCGCCGTTGCATCCTATTCCGACCGCGGCGTCCTCACCCGCTCCGCCTCCCGATCCCGTATCCACCACACTCCTCCCCCAGCACACACTCCACCACACCACGACAGCGCCACGTCCCTCAAAGACTCCTCGCTCCACCCACCCACCTCAACCACCCACCTTCACATGCCTCCTACTGGACCCACCACCTCCAGCTCCACCCACCGCCCACCCCCAACAACACCCGAAATCCTCCTCCGCCTTCCCTACCCCCTCATCCCCTTCTGCTTCGGCATGTTCATCCTCTGCGAAGCCTTCTCCCACACCGGCTGGGTCGCCCTCCTCGCGCGCGCCCTCGCCCACACCTCCGCCGGCGGCCACCTGATCCCCATCGTCTTCATCACGGGGGCGGTGACCACCCTGGCATGCAACGTGATGAACAACCTGCCGATGGCGATCCTGTTCGCGCGGGTGTTCGGGAGTCCGGTGTTCGCGGAGACTGTTGCGGGGATTGTGGGCCAGGCGGAGGACCACCACGCACATGTGGATGCCCTCCGACGCGGGGGCATGTTTGCGCTGATCGTTGGATCGAACCTGGGCGCCAACCTCCTCTTCATCGGATCGCTCGCGGGGTTGATGTGGTCGCAGCTGTTGGAGAAACGCGGCGTGCGGGTCAGCCAGGGCATGTTTCTGCGGAAGTGTGTGAGGATCACGCCCGTGGTTGTTGTTGCGTGCTGCGCCGTGCTGTGTGCCGAGTTGGCTGTTATGGGGTTTTATGTGTGAAGCGGACGTGCGGTACGGAAATGGGACATTTTCGATCCTGTATTACCCACCCTCCCCTTCTTTGTTCACGCTACGGACTGGTGGGAACATACTGTTTACCCCTCCTCGCATACTGTACATATATTACGTTACGATACATAATACCATGTTTTTCGCAGAGCGATGTGCTCTTCCCCAAGTAGAGGCTAACAGACGACCCGGCGAGGATGTGCCCATCCAGATGTTTCCGACTAATGCATCCGATTCATCCGACGAAGAACCTCAGATTGCGGCCATTCGGTCATATAACCTGTATCAGAGGCCCCTCACAACGAGCTCGGAGTCCAACACATCCCAAACTGCGCCATCTGTAAATCACTCGTCCCCATTAGCGTTCTTCGGCGGTGTAGGGTTCCCCCAGCAGGTTAGGTCGGGAACGAAGACGATGGAGCATATCCGACCATGGGTGAAGCGGGAGCAAGTCAACGCCTTGTTCTCTGTATGCGACTGGTGTCACGTATACGAGATACGGGCCAGCGGACTCAAAACGCTATACATATATGTAGCGTTGGCTGGCGGTATACAGGCCTATCTGCTTTTGCTTCTGCCCGCAGAAGGCCATGCCCGTGTTCGAAGCGCGTGAGTGACGCGCGTTACCTAATCAAAAGCACGTGACCTCTAAAGTGTACGCGAGCGTGTTTATTGACACATTCCTTCCCTTTGGAAGGTTCCAGCCAGCATCCACTCTGCTTTCCATCCCTTCCCGACGACGATGCACCTTGCATGTACTGACAAAACCGACTCCAAAATGGGGAATGAATAAATGAACGAAAAGGCCAACTTGGATCAGTTGAAAGATCAGAATCATAATAATTAATTATGCGTCCAAATATGTGTTGTGGTGAGAAATGCATGGATTTGCATTAGGTTAGGAGGGAGGTTCTACAAGTCTCTTCGTCTAAATAGATTGCATGTGACGACAGTTCCGTTGATAAAAGGGTCCGCTCATGCCGTCTCAACAGCCTCAGCCTCCACTGCCGTCTCCACAGTCTTCTCCTCACCCCTCCTCAAAGCCGCAACCTTCGCCTCGGCCGCCGCCTTGGCCTTCTCAGTCGCCTCAGCCTGGTGATCCTCATACCACTTCTTTTTCTCCTCCAACGCCTTGATTGCCTCAGGCACGTCGGCAGCGGAGGTCGGGAGGGTGATCTTCAAGCGCTGGAACTGGTCGATGATGTCAAAGTCGAGCTTGAAGGGTTTTATTGTTGCAGGGGTGGGAGAGTCGGAGGTGGTGGGGCGTTTAGGGCCCTTTTTGCCCTTTTTGCCGCCGCCGAGGACCATGAAGTCCTCTTCTTGCTTTTTGACGAGGACCGCGCCTTCAGGGAGGGCGGAGACTTTGCGGATGTTGGTGGTGGTGGCGGCCGGGGTGGTCACAGTGGTGGTGGAGGGGGCTTTGGACCCGTCAAGGAGACGGATCAATGTGATGCATTGGTTGATCTCGTCGGTGTAAGCCGGGATCTCGGCCGCCTCACGTTCGCGTTCAGCCTGGACAGCGAGTCGCGCCTCGCGGTCCTCACGCACCTTCGCCTGGTAGACCTCGCGTTTCCGCGCCTGCTCCTCGCGCTGGAAGGCGTACCACTCGTCGTTCAGCTTTTTGTGTTCGGCCTTCAACGCGCGGCGTTTCTCGAATTCGGCGTCCAGTTCAGCTTTGGCGGCTTTGCGGTCGTCGCGGAGCTCGTTGAGTGTACCCAGCTTGCCTTTGCGTTCCGTGTCGACTTCGGCCAACTTTGCTTTCACGGCGTCGATCTTCTGTTGCAGGGCGGTGCGTTCCGGGTTGAGGGCATCGACTTGCTTGCGGATCTCATCGAGGAGGGCTTTGTCGGCTTCCACGGACGATTGCTGGCCAGCAAGACCTTCGAGGATCTTTTTGGATTTCTTGAGGTTGGAGATTTCAGCGACGATGCGTTTCTCTTCGAGGAGGGAGAGCTCGCCTGATTGCTGTTGGCGCTCGAGGGTGAGGATCTGCTTCTCGACGTCTTCTACGCTCTTGTAGCCCAAACGGTCCTTCGACGACTTGCTCTCGTTTGTCTAAGATATAGAAAAGGAGTGTGGTTAGAATCAAGTGTGTTGGGTTGCTGGAATGATCAATGTATATCCTGCTCGCTCCGCTCGCGACGAGGATGTCGGACGGATGTGATCCGCATTTCTTAGCCTTCGGCCCAATTGGGTTGCGTCGCTTAGCTCGGCGTCGCCGCACTCAAGCATTCTCCTCGCTGTCGCTCTGAACCCTCAAGCATTCCTGGGTCTTACGGCCCAGTTGGGATCGCTATCGCTCGCATTCTCCTCGCTTCGCTCGGACTTTCCATCGCTCGCAGCTCTCTCTCGTTCACTCACCCTAGCGCGAAGCCCCTCCTGAATCTGTTTCTGCTTCTCAATCAATTTCTGCCTGTTATCTCTGATAGCATTGCTCTCCTTGATCAAATCATCCAAAGCAGTCCGGAACTCTTTACGTCTGTCAGCATAAGCGTCGTTGATATTGTCGGTGCCGTTGAGTTTCTGTTGGGCCTCGGCGTGTTTCTTTTTGAGGGTCTCAATGTTGTTGTCTATTTCCTTGAGGGTCTTTTCGTAGGTTGCTTGGTCGGGCTTCACGGGCCTCTCCTGCTTTCCGGCGGTTGCGGCAGCGGGGGCGGCGGGAGTGACGATCTCTTCGACGGACATTATTGATCACGACGGATAGCGAGAACTCTGCGGGGAGAGGGCGGAAGCGGGGGGTTAAGACGTATGCTCCGGGTGAAGGCGAACACAGGAGGAAGTGGGTAACCCTGTTACCTTTGTGGGTTAGTGAGAGCTCAGCCGGGGGTTGGTTGGGTGGTGGGTTGGAAAGGAAAGAAGGGCGAACTGCGAACGGCCACGGGAAGGAGCGGAAAGAGCGGAAAGCGGCCAGGCGTTTGGTCACAGTGACTCACGGTGACTAACACGCGCGTGACTCACCGTGACTATCGCCTGGGTGACTCATAGTGACTCACCGTGACTATTCCACTCGGTTGTTCCCACGCTTTCCCCAACTGACGAATTCACAGGAAACAACTTCGCAAAACAACCCGTCAAACATCCGCCCCCACCCACCATCGCCGCATCCCCACTGACTGGAGATATACTTTCAAGCTACCCACGAACCTGCTGAGCCCTCGTCAAGAAAGGAAGAAACCCAGCCGCTCTCAGTGAGTGTAAAACTGTTGGACTCCGAACGAACTCGTGGAAGGAAGGCACAGCAAAGTCAACCTCGGACCTCGAACTCGCTCGGAATCCCGCCGTTCAGCCTCGGACTGCATAGAACTGCCTCGGAAGACTTAGCTCAATTCCCACGAAACCACATACCGTACAACCTCCTCCAGCGATAACACCAAGAGAGCGCCTCTGACCGTCAACCCTATCAAACTAACTCGGCATCTCGCACAACGGCCGCCACGCCCAATCCCTTCAAAACCGCCCATCGCCACCTTCCCCACGCACTTCCCCACCCAACAACCCCTTCGAAAATGGCCCACGACCAATCCCGCAACCCTGACCGCTACATACGTCTCGAAAAGCTCGGCGAAGGCACCTACGCAACCGTGTACAGAGGCAAATCGCGCATCGACGGCGCTACAGTCGCCCTCAAAGAAATACACCTTGACAACGAGGAGGGTGCGCCCTCAACCGCCATCCGTGAAATATCACTCATGAAGGAACTCAGGCACAAGAATATTGTTCGATTGCATGATGTTGTCCATACGGAAAAGACACTCACGCTGGTGTTTGAGTATATGGATCAGGATTTGAAGAAGTATATGGATGGACTTCCGACCCATGGACAGGTGGACCCGAGAACGGCGAAATGGTTCATGTATCAGTTGATTCAGGGGATTGCTTTTTGTCATGATAATAGGGTGCTTCATAGAGATTTGAAGCCTCAGAATTTGGTGAGTACCCGTGAGCGCAGCAAAGGGCGGGCGGAGCGAGCCACATTGCTCCGGAGGCGCAATACTCCCCTCACCGCGGTACTTAGCGAGATGCGTCTTTTGCGAGAAAGGCGATCGCTCAACCATCGCTTCGCTTCGCTCATTCATCCATCACTTACAATCATACTAACGCTTCTCATATTTCTTTTTTATGCAGCTGATAAACCAGAATAAAGACTTGAAGTTGGGAGATTTCGGACTTGCACGAGCATTCGGGATCCCCGTCAACACATTCTCCAACGAAGTCGTGACACTATGGTACCGCGCCCCTGACGTCCTCCTGGGCTCGCGCAACTACTCCACCTCAATCGACATCTGGTCCGCCGGCTGCATCATGGCCGAAATGTACTCCGGCAAGCCCCTCTTCCCCGGCAAAACCAACGAAGACCAGCTCTTCAAGATCTTCAAGCTCCTCGGCACGCCCAACGAAGACACCTGGACCGGCGTCTCCGAGCTGCAGGAATACAAAACCAACTGGCCGCTCTACCCCGGCCAACATCTCTCCGAACGTATCCCCCAGCTCGACTACCTGGGCCTCGAGCTCCTGGGCTCTATGCTGCGCTACGACCCCTCCACGCGGATATCCGCAAAAGACGCCCTCTTACACCCGTACTTCAACGATATCCACCTCCAAATCCACCAACAGCAATTGCAGCAGCAGCAGTTCATGATGCCGACGCCCCTCACGACCCCGCCGACCCTCCAGCAGCAGCAGCAGCACCACCAGCAGGCGATGATCAACGCGGGGTATATCCACGCGATGGCGCCGCAGATGCAGATGCAGATGATGCCGATGGGGGCGATGCAGATGCAGGCGGTGCCGATGGGAGCGGTGCCGGTGCAGATGGCGCCGAATGGGCAGATGTTGGCGTACACTGATTCGCAGTTGGCGGGAATGGGCATGGGAGGGGTGGGCATGAGTGGGGGGTACATGGGGTGATTGTCCATGCGTCCGTGCTTGTGGACTCAAATTGGATGGAGCAACGCTTAGCCGCCGTTGTGACGGGAGGACGGCATTTTATGGAGAGTCCTCCTCGTGTGGCTTTATCGCTCCGACAACAACACCCGACTGACGCGGGGCTCCTCAAAACGACGCATCCTTTCGATGTCGCCGAACCCCCGCTTTCAGAGACCGCCATCCACCTCCGCACATCATGTATAAAGATCCTGCCCTCCCCTTGTCATTCCCTTCGATCGTAGGGGGGGGGGGGGGGGGGGGGGGGGGGCCGTCACCCCTCCTTTTGTATTGCATTGTTTGTTTTGTCGTTTTTGGGACATTTTCGCCAATCACCCCTGCCCCCCTCTGTCTTCGCTTGGAGTCCATTTTGTCCAAACATCGCCACTTACACACCATATCCCCCTGTGATCAGATGATATATCCTGCTTCTGTTCTAACTGTACATAAAATGAAGTCGTGGTCGTTATTGATGGGGGTGCATTATCAATACACTAGCGAGCTATAGGTTACATTGCGGGCTACTACATCTGTGGATATGAAATTGCTATGTTGATATGCATGAGGTGAGCGGGAAACTGGCCTGTGACTCGAAATTAGAGCACTAGAGGGGCCGCGGGACGGTGATCCCGGACGCGTCGTGGGTTGTGGTTTGGGTGACGCTTAGGTTCGTGATGTCCCTATGATTCGAAGAGAAGGTGTGAGTGTCGCCATTGCAAGTTAATGAGAAGTCGTGGGTGAGTTGAGGGTACCTTCCGAACACGATGCTGTGAAGAGACAAGTTATGGAGAGCGGTGTTAGTACATAGGAATGTGAACGATCCGGCATCCTCCGTTGCGAAGGTGAGAAATGCGTATAAAGTGAGGGGTTCCCTTCTTCCGTTTCTCTACCTTTTGCACCAATCCCTGTGAAACGACGGAAGAAGCAGATGAGTGAGTATATGATAGCAAAACGTAATGGCAAGTCGATACGGAAAGCCAACGTCTCTGTGAGGAGAAGGGGCGACCGTTTGCACGTACACAGCCAGAAGGAAGCGGGTGCGGAACGAGACCTGTTTCGCGAGGTACGCGCCGCGCCAGAGCAAGAAGGCGCCGAACCCGTTCACGGATTGGCCGCTGGCTAGGTCGACGACCGCTGAGTCTATTTCCATCCGGAATAACATCAATCAGCCTTTATCATCCATACCCACAAGCATAGTGGATAATCAGAGTCCTCACCTCCACCGATATAAGAAAACGACCCAAAGTGCCTATAACAAAACGGCTTGCTCGCCGCCTCAATCATCTGCAGCGCCCCGGAGGACGTGGAGTTGGCTGACCCGAACGCCTGCTGGTTAAACTTCTTGGCGAGGTATTCACCCTGTTGGCGGGCTACTTGCGCTGTCGCTGGTAGGGATGTTAGCTTGCTTTTGACTTCGTCGACTAGTTTCTGTGATATGGTGGTTGGAGATAAGCTTGGCCGTGAAGGGTGGGTAATGGCCTGAATCCGCGTTGATGTGTCTCGTACCTCCAGCTCTTTGATATCCAACGAGTAATTGTTATCCGCGTCGTACTTCTTGAACAGGCGTTCCATCTCGACCAGATGGGTGGCCGTCTCCGGGAACCGGTCGACTACCTTCCGCATCACCTGTATTGACACATTCCTTTAGCAACTCCGTCGTTCACGTTCATTGGTCTCAAAAAGTCGGAGAACAAACTAACCGCTTGAAACTCATCGTAGTTGAGTTCCTCTTTCCCATAGTCCTTGAAACTGAAGAGTACTTGTGTGTCAGACACTCCGCCGAGTCTGATGTGGCCGTCCAAGTCAGGCATCATACCTTCCCTTGATGAGAGCCAACATGTTCGGGTGTTCTATCGTCGCACAATCGCCAAGGCTGCACAGATCTCATCATAAGTTTCAGCTCCAATTACGCTGCACGACTCAAATGCCCAAAACTCACGCGTATACGCCTTCTGTGCCCTTTACTCTCAGTCTGGAGTCTACCTCTATCGCGCGTTTATGATCTTGCGCGGTGAGCTTATCTACGAGGCGCTTGGTGAAGTCGTTGAGACCGATGCCGGTGCTGGGTAATGCGGCAAATTTCAGTATCTGGGGAAACTGCAGAGTTCTGCATCGCATACCAGCATTTACCTCCATACACAAATTCCGAAAGGAATACTACCAGGAAAATTCGTAACCTCGAATCAACGGAGGCTTCCGACGGGGAAGACCAGCGCCATACAACCACTCACTCGAAGGTGTCCTTTTCGCCGGGCTTTGCGTTTTTGGCGCGGAAGGTCAGAACGCCAGGATCAACTTTCGTGACACGGGCATTCGTGATGATTTCGACGTTGTGTTTCCGGAAATGTTCCTCGGCGTACTTGGATATGGCTGTGAGAACACGAAATTCGCAGTTGAGGATCACATATGGGCCGCCGGAAGCCAAAGCCTAATACTCACTGGCCGAGAATGTGTTCAGAATGTGGTCGGCGCTTTGGACGATGGTGACGTGTGCTGTGTGACCGCACAGCTCGGGGAAATATACAGAAAGATCCTGAAGTAAGCGGAGTAAGGGGATGAGAAACATTGGAGCTTGAGCCAGAAGTTCCCGTTCAGCTTACATTATGAAGGAAATCGTACAATTCGGCCGCGTATTCCACTCCAGTGGGGCCTCCGCCCGCTATCACGAAACTCAACAGTCTCTGCAAGAAGCCAAGGAATGTCAACTTATAAGTGTCCACCAATTCGTCTGAGCGCGCTCAGCGTACTTTTCGCTCCTCTTCGGAAGTCGTTGGCAATGCCGCCTTCTCAAAATTCGTTAAGAGCTTGGTACGAAGCCCCAACGCGTCGTTGATGTTCTTCAAGAACTGTGCATTCTCCCGGACTCCCGGCACTCCGAATGTGTTGTTGATGGCTGCCGAGCACGAAAGTCAGATACACGAATCGCTGGTTGCCACTGAGCTCCGACCTACTCACCCCCTACCCCGATGACTGATCAATCAGGCAATGAAGGCAATGTGATAATTAGCACCTCGGAAGGACCTAATACTGGAACATGCATTGGGAAACCTACCGAGCTTGTCGTAAGGGACTAGGAAATGCTTTCCATCGCCGCCCACCACTTCAATCATCTTGATATCGAAGTGAACGTCTGCAGTTGGACGTCAATATCATCCCGCCTGTCGCTTCCCCTTTCATTCCATGGACACATACCGTATGCCGCGGCCTCACAGAAATGAGCGCGCGATTTCCGACAGATTCTGCGCATGCTTTCTGTCAGACTTCTGGGTTCGGCTGTTCCCGTGGTGGCCTAAAGAGGTGATAACGCGTCGTCATTTCATCCACAGCAATGTTGTACCGGATCTGCGAAGCGTACCTCTGGCAGGAGTGGCGTGAAGAGGAAGTCTGAAGGGGAATGTAACAGACATGTGGGCTGGGGGTATCAGACATGTGGGCTGGGGGTATCGCATTTCACAAGATTGGTAACCTACAGTTCGTCGGTGATATCACCACGGTATAGTAGCCGTTTTGTTGCAGATCCTAAATGATCAAGCGCGAGAAGCCATCGAAAGTGAGCCGTCGGAGTTCCAACGCTCGTCATCCTGAGAATCTGCCCCACCTTGATGACACTCGTAGATCCCCATCCGCTGCCCAGCACCACCAGACGTGGCTTATCCAAGTCTGCAGAGTCGTCTCCGATACGGGTGGCAACCGGTAGCTCCTTGCCATTAATTATCACCGTGGCTGGGTAGCTCCTCCCCTGCGAGGAGTCATTTGATGGGACGACAGCCGGAAAGTGCGGCTCCTCCTTAGCTTCTTCCGCAGCGACCACCGCCGTGAAAAGCAGCGCACAAGCAGTCCCGACTAGGCCCGCTCCCAACACGGCTGTTCCAACTCGGCTTCGCCACCTCGGCGATGGCGGCAGCGGTCCAGAGCTGGTTGTTGCGCTGCGGACAGCAGCTAGAGGCTGAGCTCGAGATGCTCTAGGCCCCACGGTTACGTGCATAAGGCTCGAGCGGCTCGCCCGGAAGCCAACTGTTCGCGCAATCATTCTTATGATCTGGTGGAAGACGTATGAGGGAAGACGAACGTGTATGCAATGGAAATTCGTCTCTATGTCTGCCTTTCGAGGCTTCTTGATAAAGACAAAGCAGGACGCTATCGGTATCTCTAAGACGCTACCTATATCTGCGCTGTGATGTGTATGCAGAGGGTCTTTATAGGATGAGATGAGTTGCGGAGTTCGGTTGAAATTGAAAGCACATTCTCACACCGGTTGGGCAGCCATTGGATGATTGGAGCCCAACTCTCCAACGCCCACGCCCAACTTCCTCCAAAGTGACGTATCGACACGCGCTGTCGAAATCTAGTCAGAGACGATGCCCGCTCGTCAGTCTTCAGACGCAGAAAACGAAAACCTAGGACAACGAAACACTGAACCCATATGGGACCTTGAAAGTTTGCTATAGATCTACCTCTAAACTTGATTCCCCTTTCATCCTCCGCTACTCCTCCGAATGCCCCGCCCACGGATATCGAGGCTCCACCCCTAGCGAGCGACCCTCCTCCAATTTTTCCATCTCTCCTTCCACTCGCCGATCTCATCCTTCAAGGCCGCCTTATACTGTTGATTTAAGGCCAGGAACAAGACCGGATTGAGCACCGTATACAGCATGGCGGTGATGAAGGCGAATCTGTCCGCCCAGGCCACTGGTGGCTGCAGCGTCCACAGGTTGTAGATGAATTCAACAAACTCGGGAAGCAGACCGATGTAGTAGACGATGACGATGATGCTTGCTTGCCTGGCCAGGGCATGCGCAATTTCGTTGTGTCGCTTCATATACTTTTTCTTCTTGTCCACTGGCTTTTTCGCTGGCCGTTTCATCGAGAAGCGACTTTCCCCACCCTCGACGGCAAACATCACCTTCCCTATACGAGATTTCTTTTTGGCTGACGATGGACTGCTGGGACCTAAATCGTTCGTCCGCCGTGGCGCGGTGCCGTTCCGACCTGCCTCATGTGACGAAGAAGGCTCTGGGCGCGATCGCTCCTCGTCGGTCGCTTCCGAACGTGCACCGCTACTCTCTTCATCCTCGACTCCCGACCCTTCAGCAATGACTTCATCTTGCAGGAATCCCACAAAATACGAGACCAGCCCGTTGGTGATCTCCATTCGAGGCAAGCTTGATATTTCTGGATTGGCATGCGCCGTTTCTTTCCCTTTCACGTCGATATTGTTGAGATCCCCGTCGAGCGCCAAACTGTTAGAACTTTGCGGAAAAACCACTGTTTGCGACATCATTCTGGTTTTCAGCACCCCGGTGCTGCTGCCTGACGTCTGCAGCTGCTTCCCTGAATTAGTAGACTTGTCCAACATGTACTTGTTCTGACATTGGTAAACTGAATCAACATATGGAATGAAGATGATTTCTGAGGTGCAGGTCTACTTACCTCTTCGTTGAGCTGCGCCAGTAGGTCTCCGCTATCCTGAAGTTCCTCCACCGTTTCCTGTTGTTGTGTTTGGTGCGTCGTGAACATCAGTTTCGAATTGATCGCATTCCGCGCCTCCTTCAAGACTTCTTGATACGCCCTGTAGACCCGGAGGTACATGAAAAATGCGCCCAGTCCCGTTGACGACACGAACATGGCTGCTTCCGTAGCCAGAATCGCTCCTTTCCAGGTTCCGGTTGCCCACGGGGCCAAGCAATAGACCCCGCCTGAACTCGGTGTGCCCCATACTTGCAATGCAAACGGTTGCTGAAAGAACATCTGGTCAGCACGAGCAGACAAAGTTACCATCGGAATGCAACTCACCGCTGCCAACATGATAGCGAAAACCCACATTCCCAAAGCCATTTTTTTTGCAATTTTCAAAGGGATCTCCTTCCTAAGAACGATGGAGATGTAGCGTTCGGCGGTATAGGAGAAGAACGCAATCTGAGCAAGCACTGCATCGTATAAACAATCATATTCAGTTGAACATTCGAGATAACGAAGCTCGGATGCTCTGCTCCTCTCTGCATACCTCCCCAGAGGCTGTTGAAATACGATTGGATTTGGCATGTGACAAATCCGCCAGGATGGTAGCCCATGATCGCGGCTGGCACTGGGGAGGAGAAAGATGTATTTAGTCCATAAAGTCCATGCATTGTCACCAGACCGGAGAAAGCTACATACATATCCTCAGAAATAGTCCCACTGAAACTGCCAGAAAATCGACCGAGATGATACAAAGCACGAACACTTTCGCCGCCGTCAACGCCACCCGTTTCTGAACCCAGAAGAAAAGCGCCGAGGCGAACAGAGCCGCACAGGATAAGATCAGTCCCGCCCAGTTGAAGATGTGTTGCTCCGTTGTCAGCCGGAATGGAAGATATATCTCTCCGCGCACCATTTCGAGCGGGATATCGTTGATGGAGTACAGCCCATTTTCATCTGGTGGGCCAACGCCCGGCGGTAGAGGAAATTCCGGTGGTGGTTTCATTCGGGCACGCAGAGGGGTATTGGTTACGTGAAGTAGAATGGAGTAAGGCGGAAGCAAGAGGAGGGTTAGCGTTCCACAAACAAGTTGACGGGAAAGCCGAGCCGGGGAGCTGGGGCAACGCAAACAGGTCCAAGCTTTTGCGCCGTGCGCCGGTGACATAAGCTCCGCTCCGCCCGACCGCGTTCGGTCAGAGCCGAACCGAGTTTCACGGATGGATTTGGATTGCAGTATAATGGACTGTTGCAGCAAGCGCCCTAGCTGGCCAGACCAACCGTCGAGCGGAATCCATCAACGTAAGAAGCTTCATGACGATCCCCTCATAGATTCTCTCTTCTGCTTCTTGGAGTAATCATTTGAATCCCGATATCCCTCCATCCGCTACGGACGGAAGCTAAACTAATGATCCGAGTTTTTAAGTAGGGAAGGCTGGAACCTCGGAGGATCTTCGCTGATTACTCAGGATGATTTGATTCCGGGAGAGCCGTACCGCTCAGAAAAACCCAAGAAATTCATCATTGAAGCGACGTTGCTGATGAGCGTGCGTTTCGTAGCAGCACTGCACGGAGGGCGCTTCAAGTGAGGAAGCGTTTGTTAGCTTTGCGGGTCGAGAAATTCTGACGAACGCTCTATCGTGAAAAGGGTTTCTCTCAAAACCTGAGGCGATGCGTAAAATATAGAGTGTGTATGTACCTCCGAAATTAAAGCTTTCCGTACCATCGGAGAGCGGTTGGTATCGTTTGCCAAAATGACGGCACTGTCAATCGGGTGTCTAATTTGAGGGAGACGCTTCACATGCCATTCTTGCCCTATTGATCTTGACATACAAGCATATTGTTTTCCTGATTCCAGACCCTTGCAGTGACGTCGTTTCCGTCCCAGTCATTGCTCAGCTTGTGAGACTGCGCAATGGAATACTCACTACACCATAAATACTCCCTCCTTCCCACTTGTTCTCGGCCTGTCGTCGTTCGTCTGGGCTTTACTACAAATCTAGAAAGAGAAAAGTACTATATACCATGAGCGGAAGCATCGATGTCGAGGCATGCGCTGCAGACCCGTTAGTACAGGGCGCTGTTCTGAGCGATCCCACAGTTCAAGCCGGTATCACGCAGAAGTGCATGGCTCAAATCGGACTGGTAGTTCAAACCGCAACAGATAGATGTACCGCCACAGTCAACGACATGTCAAGTGAGTGGTTTTCTCTTGGTTCCCAACTGCTCTCAAAGTATACTGACCGTTTTTTTTCGACATCAAGCGACATACGGCAGCACTAGCATCTTAATTGGCTTCACCCTGCCGTTGATTTACTTAGGTGGGATTTCTCGGTGGGACTTCTAAGTCGGGAATGCAATACTAGAGGCTGACCCGTATCTATTTCTCAGGGCTTTCCGTTTCCATCTGGAGGATGTGGACAAAACCCTCGCTCCGAGGGGGTCTGCTACTCTTCGCGATGGTTCTGACGGTGGTCGACTCGGGGACGTTAATTGCAGGAAAGTGAGTAGTAAATGGTTTCTGCATCTCACCATAGATACGAGCGCGGCCGCCAACTTTGCCTTGTAGAATCCATGCCCCGACGTGGCTCATGGAGCCATACAATTATAGGAGCTATGTGTTCATGCTTCTAACTGTCCCGGCCATTCGTAATAGTGTGATCGTCACCGCCGCAAGCCTCCGGTAGGTTCCTTTTCAATGCCAAACGTTCTCGATCCGCTCTTCACAAATCTCTTCGGGATTTAGCTATGCGGTGGTCTACACGAACGATATGCACCAAAAGCTACTCATCGGCGGTCTCTCGAGCATAGCCGTGATTTCGATGGCTCTATCTCTCGGAATCGGCATTCGTGACGTGAACGCTCAAGGCTATGTTGGAAAAGGCTATTGGGCCGCAGTTATTGTGGATCCCATTGCATACATCGTGGCTGGCGTGGCGACCTTCACGACGAAGCTTCGGACCACTCGGCAGAGGGTCAAAGCAAGCGGCGCTCCAGGAAGCAACATCAGAATGGCCAGTTTGGAGACTGCGAACAATATAGTCATGGGGTTCACACTTGCGGCTTGTGTTATAACCGTTGGGATTGTCTACGCTTTAGATGGTATGTAGCCCGCGTTTGTGTTGTTCTTTCTACCGGCGCCAAAATGGACACATCTACCAAACGAAGCATCTAACATCCGTCCCTCTTCCACGCAGTGAATACAAACTTTTACGTCACACCGATAGCATTCTTCACATCAGCAAGCTGGACTGTCGGGGAAAATCTATTTGAGATGATCACGATGATGCAGGGGTTTTTCGTTCGTGGGGGCAAGTCCGCGTCCAACATACTTTCTTCGACTCAAAAAGCAAAACGATTGGAAGAGCGCGCAAGCCAGAGCGCGCAGCGGTTGTCTTCAGCCTAGGCCTACGAAGCGACACGAGACGGTGTTAGAGTAGCATCAAAACGCGTGCGGAATTCGCTCTCGCGTGTTTGCCTTTCGTGAAAGGGAAAGTGAGCGTAAAGGGAAATGCAGCACTGTGTTGTCCTTTCAGATTATAGATGGGAGGTTTCGCCGTAGTATTACAGTGTGCTTGCTCTGTCCTAACATGTCTTTTGCAAAAACTATTGGGTATCGTTAGATCGATCAGAAGACAAAAGAGGTCATTTCCACTACACTACGAATGTCCCCACATTTCTACTCATATACCTTTCCATAATTCGTATGCCACAGTGGAAACGATCCCGAACTTCGAACAGCTCAGGGAGAAGGCAAAGGCAACTTCCTGTTGCTGGCTGCGTTTAGAGAGTTCAAGGCTCCGGTTCCAGCAACTTGTTTGGACGAGGAATTTACGTGGGACGGGACATGTCTCGAGCGTTGCGAAAAGGCGTTTTGGATCATGGTAATGCCCTCGAAACAGTTCTCGCACACCGTCCAGCAGGCGCCAGCCAAAAACGCGGTGGGCGCGACATACATGTTATCGTTGACTACCAGGGATGTAGCTAGTGAGATTTGGCTAAGGGCGCGCAATGTGCAACATATTGGGTGACTTACTATCCAGCGCGAGGCCCACGGAGATTGTCACCAGACAGGCGGCTATGCCGAACCCCATAATAAGATTGTTCGCGGTCTCCAAGCTACCAATTCGGCTATTCCCTCCGCCACCGCCTGCCACTCGGCGCTGGGTGCTTCGCAGTTTGGCGGTGAAAGTGGCGATACCGGCAACGATATATGCGATCGGACCGATCATGATCGCATACCAGTACGCTTTCCCGACCCAACCTTGACCTCTGAGATCTTTGAAACCGAGCCCGAGCGGCAAGGCCATGGAGAGAAAGGCGATGAACGAGAGGAAGCCGATCAGGATCCTCTGACGTGTGACGGACGTATAGACGACTGAGAATCTACAGAAAATGTAAGCACTTTCAGCAGGTGACCTAATTCTCGAGAATCTCGCGACACTGCACATGACCCTGCTTCTTCCAGCGCCGAAAATCTGAACTTGGGGACGGGAACATACCTCATACTTGCAGCGATGAGCACAAACCCATTGCGAAGGGCTGGGCCAATCATCAGCATAGAAATGTAGGTGTCGGAATGAGAGGCAATCCATGAAGGGGTATAGATTCTGCGAAGAGTACAGGGGTAGAGAGGACGATTGTTACGGACTGCACTTCACGAGCTGCCACGCGATTAATGAGCACTTACTTTCCAGCCACCAGCGTCCCGGAGTCGACAACTGTAGTAACGCAGAGTAATTCGTCAGGCCTATAAAGAGAGAACCCGGGTTTTGTTGAGAGCTCGCTTACCTGTAAGCATCATGGCAAACAACAGTATCCCGCCTCTAACGCTAGGCTTCGTGAAGATGCGATAAAGGGCCACCGATACACCTGCCCCGAACGAATGGTTATGGACACTGCCTCATGATTTAGTTTCGCAACCAGGCCTTACCTAGTGCAATCAATGGCAAGGTAAAGCCAACCATAATAGATGTGCTGCCATACAATGATGCATACTCGTCGAGTACAGGCATGGCTTGTTCAGTGCAGATATCTTTGATGCCCGCCTGAACTGCAGGGCTTCCGAGAACCATCGCCTGTACGGTGGTATCCATCGCACATTGCATGTAGTCGATTGTCGTCATGATGGGCAATCCTTTTCAGGTACGTTCTGAAGGAGGTTGGTAAATGCTAATTGTTGACGTTTTGCAGAACTGAAGACAGAGGCGCTTCCCAAGGAACACGGTGCTTAAATACCCTGCAACTGAAGGCCTCCGAATGCACAGCTGGGCCAAATGCCGTGGGTCCCACAGAATGTCCTTTCGGCCCAAAATAGGGACAATGTTCATAATCCGGTTACTCGGGTGGGCCTGCAATATTCGTCAGAAATGCACAACGTGATAGTCCTACGTATGAAGAAGGTATATGCTGAAACAAACTGCCGGATACATGGATAGCCGAAAAATAGGGGTAAACCCGTGGATTTGGCCGAAGTGACGCGCCGAATTATGTCAGCTTTCGACACCGCGATCGGAATACCCGTGCCAAGGTCTCGTATCATACTCGCCCGCAGTAGCGCCGAGGGCGCTCCGGCGGCACTCTCTTCCAGTACCACCAGCAGAAGTCACCGGCCTGGCAGAAGTAAGGAAATTGACGGCAGCTGGGCGTTGACTTTGATTGTTCTAGTCCAGTGCGTCGGCACTCTTTGGATTAGAGTGCCCGGCTTCACGCACCGCGGGAAGTACCGGGTCGAGTATGATACGAGACCTTTGGCACGGGTATTCGAAATAGAAACCATCCCGCTGTTTGTTACTAAATTTCGAGTTTTACAGGTCAGCCGGCCGCTGGATCTGGTCCGACTCATGCCTATTGTGTTCTGTCCTTGGTGCATGTGCAGGAAAGTGCGTCTCTCAGTTGTGGGACATGGCTGCGGGTTGCATATTGGTCGGTGCGACCTTGTTTATAGGTTCTCCTTATTTTGCGGTTCGCTGCCAGCAGTGTGACAGAAGGGGATTGAGCAGTGAGTGGTCTGTTTCCCAAGACACCCAGTCTGGTATGGGCCCTTTAGCTCAGTTGGTGATTTGCGAACATCACTTTAATTCCGGACATAATGGAGTGATTGTGGGTATAGATGAATGATATGGTGATAACTGGACGGAGCTGAATCCTCATAACGGGGAGTGCATGCCCCTAGAGAACGACAGGATACGGAAGAGCGATCAATACGAGACAATTCACATGCGAGCCAACAATCCGTTCCCCTCTCCTGGCGTACTCACAGTTTGGTATTGAACTCCAACTTGCTCCGTTTCTGAAACCGTTCCCACTCCGCCCTATCATATACCTTCACCCACTCCTGCACGGGCAGTAGCACGACCGGCGCGGCTACAAAGGCAATCACCCACAACCACCATGGTAGGGCCGACAGTGATATACTGACTGGCGCGTCGACTGTTGGTTTCTTGTGTGGTGAAGGGACGAGTGAGATGGTGCAGAACACTATTTGAACGACGATGCAGAGAAGGGAGACGCCGATCCATATGCGATTGTGGTAGGGTGGATTCGTGAGGAGGTTGCCGGTGCGGTGAAGGAAGGTGGAGGATACGATGACTGCAAAAAGAGATGTCAGTATTACAGGACTCAAAATGTTGCAGAGTGAAAGGTTACTTACCTAATAAGAACACGCAAACGAAGAGCGCGCAGTTTTGGGCGTAAAGCAATGCCCATTGGTCGCGGCTATCGAGCGTCGTCCAGGACTTGTTCTTGTAATATCCAAAAACAATGGGCGAGTTGTCACCCCGATCTGTAAGATACTCCAGGGATCTGAATGCACCAATGAGATGACATCAAACAACAATCCTGAGGAGGTGACTTGAGAAGTACTCACACCGCAAAGACCAAAACGCAGACTAAGATCACACCACTGAAGCGTGCGCAGAAGTATCGTACGAATCGCAATTTATCCTTCAGGTGGTCCATATTCTTGCCTGTATACCAATGTTCGTGAGTGACGACATACAATATCGCACAGAACGGAGTCGGATATACCTGGCATGTTGGTCATCACATGGGGATCATACGGCGAGAACAAGAAAGAGAACGCCAGAGGTGGCAGGAGTATCGTCGTTACCCAGAGTATTTGGTACCCAGTGAAGATCGGCGGCAACAGTAGACAATCTGCGACGATCATCATGAGGGACAGTGCTGTTGCTCCTGCCATACAGAAGGATATCGCCTTTGCAAGCAACGAGTCAGGATGATCAGGCAGACTCACATTGCTACTTTAGCGCGTACTAAGACTCACCTGCCGCCCGCCCTCCACAAGGGTTCGAGCATCTCGGATGATCTGCCCGAGACTGTATATGCTCGTATCGCTGTGCAAGGAGAAAGCACAAGGCGAGGCAGTGAAGGATGCGCCGAGATTGAGGGACGAGATAGGCCCGGTTGCGGGTTGATTTCTCGATTTGAGGACGCTGAGTGGGTCAATACCAATGCTGATATCCGCCTGCAGAGCTTGGATTCAGCGAAAGGTATAATCTCATCGATTATGTAGACTGAGACTCCAAAATCGTACGCACCAATGCAAAGCATTCCACATTCATCTCGTTCAACGTGCTGCCCAAACAGCACACCACCTCCCCATGCTCCTGAAATATGCGAACCATCTCACTTATCGACGGCGGATCACATTCAGCAAACAACGAGACATGCAGAGGCACGTCATCCACATCTCGAATATGGTCCCGTATCTTATCAACACCACGGGGCAGCTTGGCTTTCATGTCGTGGATCTCAAGGTACCCTGGCGACTCGCCGCTATCGGATGACAGAATGATACAGCTATTCCAGTCGATCTCGAGACCCAACCGCTCAGCATACGCTTTGCTCTCGCGTTCGGGCGCTGATGAGAAGTATACGAAGCGAATGCCACCGAGCCCGAGATCCTCGATGAAGTTGATGACGTTGGCTTTAGGTTGGTAGCTGAGGAGGGCCATGCCGAGGAAGATCTGCCCTTTCGTCACGTCGCTCCATAGCTGCTTCTCCTCAATGCCTTGGGAGGATCTCAACCGCTCCATGTTCGTCATCAGTCTTTTGCGATGTTTGTGCTTCCCTTTATCTACCACCGGCGAATGTTCGCCTAATGTCTCCAACGGAATGCTGGCACTGCTAGCTGACGATATTCGCGGCACGCCTTCCGCCGACCCAACATTACTGTTATCGGCGCCGCACTCTAAGTACACTGAGTCTGGCACAGCAGTTGGTGGTTTCCCATCTTCGCGTAAGAGCGGAAGGAGTCTCGGGTTTTGCACAGGGCGGTATGCATAAGCAACAACCTGCCCGTCATTGATGACTGCGTTCTGATAGTAATCAAGAACTTTCTTCTCAACCTAGGGTATTGCGTAGTATGAGTTCAAGGCTCCAAAGACGTTTCCATGCGAACGCGCTGTACCGTATCATCCATCGGATCCAGGCCCTTCCCCGTCCAATAGTCACTACATGACTCAGTAATCAAATCGACGTTGCCTTCTGTGAAGAGCTGATATGAACCTGTGTGCATTGACGCGTCAGTCTTCTAGTGCGAAGCAATCCCAGCAGCGACACGATGGTACAAACTCGTAGCAGTTTCCTTGTAGATCTTCGACACGAAGCTGGGAACCTCAAAGTGATACTCGGCAACATGGGCAGTGGTTTGGTGGTAGGGCGCAAACGCATGTATCGTCTTTTGCGCTTGGAAAGTTCGGAGGACCTCAGCCGAGAACCCAATCTGCTTTCCAATCTGACAAAGGCAGGCTGCAATACTCTCGAACGTCAGTCCCATCCAGTATGCAGAGTAGTGACCGACCGCTCTTTCCATGAACCTTACCCTGTCGTCCAGGCTTGATATGCCCATGCATCTGTTGTCCATTTGCCTTTCGATGATGCTCCAACCGAATCCTGCCCTGGGTAGCTCCGCAGTCGGTGTTCAGCAGAAGATTCAGTCCTATGGGTTTCAAGGAACTGCGTCGTTCAGGATGGAAACGTCTCCTGCCATTCTGTGAGACATGAGCCTCGCACTTACGCTATGTACTGCTCCCAGTCTCGTTCTTGAAACCGGATGACTTGATCTGTCGTGTCTTCGGCTAGATCTAGTAGGACGGGCGACCCTTCGTCATCAAACACGAAGAGTTGTTCTGGAGTTGGAGTTGGCTGTATGGGAATTCAGTTAGGTCATGGCACACCCATCCGCAGGCATTGACGAGTTCATACCAAGGAGATCGTCCCCTCTCGATCAATGGCGCATATCACCGTCGCGCTGGCTAGCGATGTGACCAAACCCGTCGTGCGCGCCAGAAAGCTAACATCAACGTTGACAAATTGATCCCAAAATCGCTTTCTGACAAGACCTGAATGGCCTATTAGACATCAATTTGTGGACAGACAAGGCTTTCGGACAACCCACCCCAGTCGAGCACCAGATCCTTCGTCGGTGGCGGAGCAGCATCAAACTCATCAATGTCCTCCCGATCTTCAAACTCCGTTTTCGATGTCTGAAGGGCATCGAACAACGACATGATCTGCGCATTGCCATAGCTCCGAATAATGATGAAGAACGTCGGCAGAACCAGCGGCAGTATCGGCAAGATAGCGTACACTTGCAAGACCACCAAAAACTCGAGACCCTGTCTCCGCTTCTCCTGATCCGACGTCCCCAGAGTTCCATATCGAACAGCATTGACGACCAAAGCCACACCCAGGACGCCTAGCAGGAAGCGGGTGAAGTAGTAATCGATGAGGACGCTGAACTGTTTCATGATGACCGTCTTGGGCCGTTTGGTGTTTAAAGCTTTTTGAAGTGTGTCAACCAGCGGCGTCTCCATCGCTCGAAAATGGAACTGCCCTTCGTTCAGCGCCGCCCTCCGCATGATCGTCGGGTCAGGCGGCGAGGTGAACAGACTCGGTCGAAACACCTGTCCCTTCTGCAGCACGTATTCGCGCTCCTCGCTTCCCGGTACACTGTCTAGATGACTATTCACATAGCGTACTTTGCATGGAGCAGTATCCCCGTATGCGAGTTGCACGATGTCATCCGTCACGATCAGGTTGAAGGGCAGCGTGAATATGCTTTGGTCCCGAACCACGCGGCTGAGGCATACTGTGGGTATTGACGTGGGAAGTTTCAGATCCTACAACGCAGTCACGGTCAGGCTTCTACTGATGCTGCTGATTCCATATGCAACGCTGCCGGCGCATACCGATCTCCGACTCATTCCAAAAGTTCGCAGCTGCTCAACCACGCCCTTGATGCGCATGCTCATCTCCATCGCCGTCAACCTTGTCTCGCGCTCGAAAAGCCATAGGTTCAACGCCAATAGCCCCGCCAGCAGTGCGGACTCAACCAAGGCGCTTGTCGCCCGCCATTGATATATTGAGTGGGTAATTTGCTCGTATATAAAGAAAGCAAGCAAGCCTAGGGCGGCACCGGCTGTCAACACGGTGCTGGACTTTACGAGCCACTGCCTGCTGGCTTTGGGGGCGACGGCGTTAGCTTGGGAGTCGACTATTCAACAGGTTGTCTGCGTACATACCGCCCGGTGACTTTGCTGCATCTTTGTATTTTCCAAGTTCGTCATCTGCTGCCGTGAGCAAGCGCCTAAGGCCCATATAATTTTCAGCTCTCTGGGGCGTGCTCCATATATGATCTGGTATGAGCCTTACCTTTGGGCCTCTTCACTAGTAAGGTGGTGATACGCGAGGAACTTATCGGCGGCGGCGACGGTCCCCGCTATGGCGTCGTAGGACGAAGCGCTTCGCAACTCGTGCACTTCAATAACTTGGTGCAGCGGGTGCTTGCCGCTCATTGTCAGTACACAGGCGATGAAGTTTTAGTCCGAGGCGGCGAGCCCGATGGCGAGGCGCCGGTTGGGAAAGTCAAAATTCGAGGACTCTTCCCTCGGCATGGACGGCATGGACGCGGTCAATAAAAGCAGAAGTCACCGGCTGCCGTCCAGCCATTGCGTGGTTGACCGGGGGCCGGCCAGCCGCGATACTAACATAGGTAGTAGCCCAAATGCCGTCAATTTCGACGCGCCCGTCGTAACGTCCGTTTTGGCATCCTACTGAGAAACTCGACTCGAAACAGTCTGGGGCCCGTCGGCCTTCCAGAAATTCCAGAAATTCCAGGAATGCTCACCATCTCCATTTGGAACAATGACCGTCAGGTCGCCTCCATCTGGTCACCTTCGACCGGACGCCCGAAGCAGGAGGTCTTCATGATCCTCGACACCCTCTACAATATACACGATATCGAACAAATCTTCTATCTTTCTCCCAAAGCAAAGTCAGCGACAACGTCAACTACACCAGACATTCTTGTACCCCATCACTATCTCCTGATACCTCTCGCTGGTATCACTCAACCGCCGTTGGAACTACCAAGTTCGATACCAGTATTATTCCCGAGCCACACGTCAGACAAAGATTCCTTATCAGCAGTCTTTCAAAACATGCAGCTCCAGGCTCGTCCTCTCGCTCGGTCGGCCAAATTCCGCTTTCGTTTGGCACAACGCGATCGAACCTGCGTGCTTACTAACGCATGGGAGGACGGTGTCGTCGCCGTGCACATAATCCCGCACGAGTGGCAGAGTACAGATTTGAGCAGACTGCCACAGCATATCCGGGAAGTTCTGGGGGGTTTGGAGGGAGGGATAGGATCGTTCGAAAATGGCATGCTGCTGGACAGCAGCGCGCACACTCGCTTCGACAACGGTCATTGGGGCGTTGTTTGGAAGGGTAACGATACGCCGGGATCAGATGGCGGGGTTTGGGAAGTCGTGGCAATTACTAGCGAAGGCGCAAAGTACGCTGGAAAATCCCTCCGCTGGCTGGAGGGGATCAGGGACGATGGCGTTCGGTGGAGGAATCTCTTTCCACCTCCCGAACTATTCAAATTTCACCTTCAGTGTGCTATATTCAAACACTGCACGGGACGGGGTGAAGGAGACGATATCTGGGAAGATTACGATCATGCAGCGACAAAGGTGCTGACGTCCGAAGAGGCATTCGAGCGGTGGGCTAACGGGTCAGGGCGGATTGTCCCATCAACCATTGATAAGTCCGGCACCGCTGCCGAGGCTGTACTTTGAGACTAATAGGTGTGTTTCTACTTTGACTGTTACAAGTTTAAGAAGACTCAAAGGGTATTCAAAATTCGAAGAAATGGCAGGATAGAATTATATTCATTTAGATATGGGCGCAGAGCCGGTTGATTTTGGCACTAGTAGCGAATACATTGATGACTTGGCCACCACCTCTGGACAAACCTTATTTTTTTTTTTCAACAGGCACAGGATATAGCCCCTGGGCAGAGACTGACTTAGGCAATCGATACAGCAAATTAATAAAGGTGAAATCCCCAGCGAAGGCAAAACGAGGGAAACCATCTATATCTGAACCTAACCAAAAAAACACACAGATTACCGCCGTGACTCAAATCTCACTGTAAATATGCCAAAAACCACTTCCTCAACTGTCCCAGCCCTTCCCGTCATTGATGCACAAACAAAGTCTGCCTGATGAGCGCCGTCTTCTCCGCTATCTCCTTCATCGCCTCAATGAAATTCCCATCTGCATTCCATAATTTCGCTGTTGCCTCCTCCCCACCCATCCCCTCGGTCACGCCCGCCGCTTTCAAAAACCTCAAGCCATGCTTCACAACTAGGTCGAACCGATGCATGGATGCACCCAGATCGATCTCTCCCGTTTTGAATGCCACAGTAAGATGTTTCATCGTCGAGTCATCGAATATGCTTTGCTTTGAGTCCCCAACGTTGCGCGAGCCCCATCGGTGGCTTGAGATCATGTCGAATGCAATCATGTCGGTTTGAGCGGTGATGTGCGGAGTGATGTGTGTGCCGAGCCGCGAGGAATAGAGGTTGTCCGCATTGGTGAACATGAGGTAGTTGCATTTAGGTAGGGTGGTGGCATGTGGAGAGGATGACGCGGTTGCCAGTTTCTCGATTGCTACATCGGTGTATGCTGTGGGAGTGAGTGAGCAGAGGTCAGTATGGAGGAGTGGGTGCTGGATGTCAGACGATGGGTAGAAATACCGTGCTCGCTTCGCTCGCAGCAAGGTTGTTAGGCAAAGATGTTCCAAAACATCAATGCTCGCTGTCGCGCAAGGATTTCCACATGCCACCACCCCGTCACTCCCCGTCACTCCCCATTAGTCGTCTGCGCTTACCATATCCATAATCACTCCAACCATCTTTCAACAGTGGATAAGCGTGCTCCGCCTCCTCCTTGCCCACCTCCAATTTCACAAACCTCGGCCTCGGATTCCCTCCAACCATCGCCGCCTGCTCCGTAACCCTCAACGTCTCCCTCAAGACCCTCTCCTCTTCCTTCGTCGTGCTCTCCGTCACCACCAACACCACAGTCGTCTCCAGCGGTGCCGAGTGGTCCGTCCCTTTGACGACGCTGAGGAGGAAGGCCGGGAGGTAGGTGTATTGTTTCGGATAAGTGCGGGCGAGGACGCACAGGTGGGTATTTGTGAGCGGCGAGGTGTGCTTTTTGTTGCTGGTGGTGAGCGGGGTGGGGAGGTCGTAGCCGAGGAGGATGAAGCAGAGGAAGCTGAAGAGGAGGGCGAAGGGGAGGAGGATGACTATTGGCCGCCATCGGGCCGGTAATGTGACCATGGCGGGTGTGGGTATGCGGTAAAGGTCGACGAAACGATGTGCGGCGGCTTGAACTGAAAACAGTAAAGCAGCTGGTCCAGCCGGTGCTCCCTCCCCTCACGTCCCCAGCTACGTCCCTGTGAGACGGTTCTGATGTACGTACTTAGGCAACCGGCAATGCCTCCTCAGAGCCCCTCAGTCCTTTGTCTGGTCCTTTGTCTCCAGCTTTGTCTCCGGGCGAAAAGAGTTGGGAATTGAAGTCCTCCGTCGTCACGTCGTGGCTTTCGCTTCGAGGCATCGAGCTTTGGTGGATGTTGAACCAGACACCACTACCCTATAACACCTTGAAAGAAATGGCAGCCAACCAACATCCACAACAGGCACTGCAGCAAGCAGCAAAGCCCTACTCAACAGTCATCGTCGACATTGAAGGCACAACCACGCCCATCACCTTCGTCCACGACGTCCTATTTCCCTATGTGCTCACGAACCTCGAACCATTCCTTGCCGAAAACTGGGAGTTAGAGGAATGCCAAGCAAAAACTCAGCAGATCTACGAACAGGTACGCTTTGCTCATGTCAGGACGACAACAGAGAACCGCTAGTCTGATGGAAGCGTTATAGTCACTTGAAGACAGTGCGTTAGCCCAAGTCCCGGTCTTGAACCCCAAAGAGCACCCCGCGGGTGCAGTTCGTCACTCGGTTGTGGAGAATGTACGGTGGCAGATGTCTGCGGATAGGAAGACGGGTCCGTTGAAGTCGTTGCAGGTACAAGACGACAGAGTTTTCGCGAGATGCGCTTTGGGGAATCTTATATTTGTCGGTCGCAGGGCTACATGTGGAGATCAGCATACGAAACCGGAAAAATCAAAGGATCGTTAGTACGAGCTGAAGTTTGGGCGGCAGTCAATGAGAATGGGAACTGATAGGCGACGTCAATCTATAGCGTATACGATGACGTCGTTCCGGCGTTCGAGGCTTGGAAGCAGAAGGGGTTGGACATCTATGTCTATTCCTCCGGGAGCGTTGAGGCGCAGAAGCTGCTGTTTGGATGGTCGGAGAAGGGTGACTTGTTGAAAGTGGGCTGATTCATCTTAGCGCCTTCAGTTGGGTGCAATCGCTGATCGTCTCGCCATGACCAGTTTTTCAAGGGCCATTTCGATACGAACATTGGCATGAAGGTCGAGGCTAGTAGCTACACCAAGATCGCCTCTGAAATAAGCAAAGACCCTGCTACGATACTGTTCCTGAGTGATAACGTTCGAGGTGGCGTCTCCTGTTCCCTCAAATCGTCAACTTGTTACAGAAAAATCTCATGCCCAGGATATAGAAATCGAAGCAGCCATCACCGCCGGCTTCCAAGCATCCATCGTAGATCGACCCGGAAACGCCCCACTACCATCCGAAGTCGAAACCGCAGCGGACGGCGCTCACTCTATCACCTTGGGCGGGCGTTCCGTCTCCGTGATCAAAACCTTCGACGAGCTCTTCTCGCACCCCAACTTCAAGCAAACCGCTGAGAAAACGTCGCGAACAGACAGGTTCAACCTCGAAGATCTGATACACTTAGAAACGATGTAATGTTTTGTCACTCAATCTGAATCAAGGAAACCTGGCTAGATGACTGATTCTGCGATGCAGGTTTGAGGAGTTTGGGCGGGAAGACGGGTTACGGGACGGTGCGCACGCCGGGTTTGTGGAGGGGCGGGTAGCCGGTGGTGAGGCGGGGTACGGGATGGCCACTGAGGCGGGGTTCTATGGCGGGGTCGCGGAGACTTGGCTGGCTGCCGTTGACAAGGGATTGATTCAGATGTCGGATAGGTGGGTTACTGCTCTTGTTCCGTCATCAGGGAGTCTGCCGCCGTGACGTCTTAACCTGCTTCTATTGGCGTAGAGCGCTGAAGGCATTACAAGCATTACGGACGCAGTCTTTGGACTTCCCAACCATCAACAACATCGACCCTGTAGCCGGCCCGGATCCCACGACGGTGCTGGATCGTTTAAGAGGTCGGTTCAAGGTGGTCAGCTCCGCGCTCGGGCCTGATGCTGCAGGACAGCGGTTCAAGGCTGAGGGCGATGAGAAGCCGAAGATGAATTTCTAGATGAGACCCCCGTCCTTCTGCAGAGGGAAGAGACGCGATAGACTGAGCTTCGTTGGTAAACGTAGTTTCAGACATTTGCATTAGAGCTAGTTGTTTGCATGATTATCTAATCGTAGTCTAACTATTCTACATGAGGGGAGCTTCTATTCTCATTCCCATGCGGTCTTCGTTTCTTCCAGAATCTGCCTTACCGCGGGTGCCCACTCCTTTCACCCATACTTCTCACAAGCAGTCTCAAGATACGTCCGACAAACCTCGCTCTTCCCAGCCAAGATCCTCACGACACCCCACCTCCCCATCCCAAACGCCGCCTTAATCGCCACACTTCCGTTCGCATCCACATCCAACCCTTCACACTCCTCAACAAGCATCCTGACAATCTCACTATTCCCGCGAAGGCACGCCCAGTGCAGGGCGTACCCATTACGCGCATTCACATCAACTCCACACGTCGTATAAAGGTACCGCGCAGCGTCGACATGCCCGTTCTCGCACGCGTAGCAAAAGGCCAGGTGGTCGTACGCGCGGAGGTTGACGCCGAAACGGTGCAGGGCGCGAAGGACCGGGGTATGTCCTGCCCTGGCAGCCCTTATGGCAGCGGCCCTGTCGTACCGGTCGAAGGGGTTGTACGGGGACCTTGTCCTGTCTTCGACTACACCTGCTGTGATGGGCCCGCTATCCTGCGCGCCATCTTCGGAATAGGACTGAGGTCTACGCCGTAGTGGTGCAGCAAAGACCTTCTGGATGCCTCCCTCCGAGGCATCGGCGGTTTTTAGCATCTGCAGAACCATGTCTTCTCTCCCGTGATCTGCGGCGTGCACCAAGGCATCTCCCGTGGGGAGGTGCGGATGCTCCAACATCGCCCGCACAATGTCATACTGCCCATGCCGGGCGGCGTCGTTCATAACGATGCTCGCCTGGTCTGCGGTCAGCATCCCATTCAACGTGTCCCTGAACACCTCCCAATGCCCGGCTTTCATGATCAGGTCGATTAGCATCCCTGAAATGTTTGGCGGACCTGGGAGCGGCAGGTTCTCTATTATATGTGATACCACTTTGGGCGTGAAGCCTTGGTCGGTTGCTAATAACAGGTATTTGGCATGGTGTTCCCTCCGTTCTGTTCGGGTAGCGTTGTCGCGGTCGTGATAGTCGTACTCGATGTTGTCCGCCCAAGTTCCCCAATCCGGATGATCGAGCTTTTGTCTGAACTTTCCGTAAGTTTGGGCGTCTCCGCTAGAACTCGTGAGTTCGTACAAAATCAACAACAATTTCGATCTAACGTGCACTGACGACCTGTGTGAGGAACTATAAGTGCTTGCTCGAGCTAAAAAGGATGACAACCCGTAGGTCCTCATAACCACGGAAGAGCCAACTCACCCTATTCCCCTCCACAGTCGACATGTGTTATTCAGCTCCCGATTTTGAGCATGCAAGTAAATGATTTCCAGCAGTTCCTTGGGAAAGGTGTTGAACGGGTTCATATTTGGTTGCGCTGACTGCCGGGGCAAACTGCATTTGCTAACGAGCTACTTGTCCTGCTTCCGATCCTCTTGCAACGTAGTGGGCGGACCCACCGCCGCAGTCGTACAGCAAGTAGTCCGGAGTGGTTCGTTGTCTGTGCATGTTGGAATTCCGCTTTCCTCCACGACCTCCACCGAGCATAACCGACGCCGAAAACAAGGAGTGGGAGACCCACGGGTCGTCCGTCACCCGCTGACAGTTGACTACAACCACGCTACCCGCTCCGCGCACCCGGTCCCAGGGCGACTTTAACATTACCCATGAGGCCGAACGGATTCTGCTTACCGACTTCGCAGCGCACAACTTCGTCGATACCTGGCGTTCCTGTCATCCCCACGACATCGGCTATACCACTTGGTGGATCGGCAAACACGCTCGCGCCAACAACATCGGCTTGCGCCTTGATTACATCTTCCTCGGTCTCCCTCCGGCATCCGGTTATCCGCCCCGCATTTCGTGCGACGTCCTTTCCGACCTCTCGGGTTCTGATCACGCGCCGTTGTTGCTCAACGTCGCCCTCGTTTCAGATGTGCCGGTCCGTCCTGAAGGGTTGGTTTGGGGGTCGTTTTGGTGCCTGTAGAGATTTGCGAAAGGGAGTGAAATGCTGAGTATGAAAGCAGGTTGGATGTCTGAACAAGCGTATCGACACAAGTCTGTTATGCAACATACTGTACAAACCTGCATAACAGAGCGTGCTCAACCGCCTATTGGGCGTGCCCGCCGGTGCATAGGGCGGCGGCTTGAGACCGCTGTCTTCCTTCTCCTTTCTCCGTCTCTTTCTCCGGACATTTTGCAAACCTTGCCGCTTTGGATCTAGACATCATCTTCTTGTTCGCAGCTACACATTGCCTCCTGAACGCCAGGGCAGAGTTCTGGACGGGCGACGGCACATGGGATATGCGTCGCCAGCGGCGTTAATGTTTTTCTTCCTTTGATTGCTGTTTCAAGATGGGAACGAGAGAGAGCTGGAGAGACGGAGAGGCGTTAGAATCATGCATCGAAGTGAATGCTGACGGTGCGCTCTTCCTGCCTCAACCACCCCCAGTCAAGGACATATCCGTAGTCGACGAAACATCATCTCCACTCCATTGATGCAAATGAGACACACGGCGTATGGAGTGTAATGGTATGGAGTTCAACATTGGATTCAAGATCCGGGTGAGGAAAACATAGCACACCGGCTACGACAGAGGCACCTCAGGCGCGCTGGGATCCTCCTCCTTGCAACGACCTCCCTATCGCCATATCTACACAACGGAGACTAATAGTATTAGAGCTCTCTTAATACAACAGAAACGAAGGGCCGTTCCCCATTGAAATCCCACGCCCAAGTCGCTAACAATGCAGAAGCATTGATATCATATCCTAGTGCGGGAATACGGGCCCGCCTGTGGTTGACCCGTCTTCCTTTTGGAATATATAAGGAATTCCAAAGGTATCCCACAATACGGTGTGTACGGCTTTTTCTTCTGTTGAGGCGAACGCTTCATTGACTACCACGTCGTCACCGGATGCGGAGTGGATTGTAGTGCATAGTGTTGGATAGAGCGTCTTCAGAATATCCTTCATCTTACGGTAATCTAGCTGAACATGCATTGGGCGTCAGTAAGATGTCCGCCGTTTGCACTCGTATTTGACTGGCGTGCTAAATGTACGCTACCTTGTACTCACGCGCGATCGCGGTCATGATTCATCGAACTTCTTGTATAGAGGAACCAGGTTGCCGCCGGGGTAATCGTGTATATCCCGCAATGTTTGTGAGACATTAATCTGGCTCCTGGTCAGTTGGACGCCCGAGGATCGCGTGCAACGTGGCCCTCAAATGCCGCCGCCTCTGCAAGTAACGTACTCGCATTAGAGGTGAACACGTTTTCCGCAAAACCTCCAAAACAGTACTTGTACTTGCCCGCTTTGGTTCTGCACGCCAGCTTGGACAGCCGTAGATCCTTCCGCCAGATTGTTCTCTCGAGGTGGTGGATTGTGTCTTTCTGATCTAGCATCTTCCGCAACGAAGCGTTCTCCTCTACCTTCGCCGATAAGAGATCATCCTTAAGGCTCAACAGTGCTTGACTTGCGTTCCTATGGTCTGCTACAACCGTCAAGAAGATGGAGTCTTCAAAGGCAGCATTGCATCTTACCTTCCATGAGCGCTTCTAAACACTCCCCCGAGACCAGGACTCCTTTGATATCAACAGCCTCCTCCAGCCGTCGTTTTTTGTCCGCGGGCAGATCCTCATCCTCGCGGGCGTGAGTTTTTTGCCTTGTGCTCATGAGTTGCCGAGCGGCGTCCAGCTGTGTTTTCGACGACCTAATATTGGATGTGATGTTTTTCTCCTGATAATTTCAAAGTGAATATGATGGTGGCACCAGGTTCTCATCTCATCATGGTGGTGGCTTACGATGACATGCTCACGGCGTCTTTGTTCCTTCTCGAGCTTTTTTCTGTGGATCTCTGCTTCCTGCTGCCGTGCGGTTTCTGCATTTGTCTTCGATATGTCGTCCCAGAATGCGTCTACATCCGCGTTATTATCCCGCTGCAGTTTTGCGAAGATTCAAAAGAATGCAGATGTTTAGTATCAGCGGTATTTGCACGAGTTTAGCATAAATCCCGCGTTCTTTTGGAGGACGCATCGAGCCCGTAGCTCATTCTTCAATCGAGTATAGACCCATTTGTCCAGTGACAGAAAGAGTATGCGCAGAGGGAGACGCGTAGTCTATATCCCTTCTCTCGGCACACCGAAGGTAATATGCAGCAAGGACTGGTATGATTCGTAGTCCCAGCCCCTCTAATCCCCGTTAAGTACATATCCCAAACAGGGGAATCGGCACGTAGCCCCAAGCCAAGAGCCTCAAACTAACACAAATAGAGATGAGATTTGAAACTTGCCTTGAAGTTACCCAAACGTGTCGATGCGTTTGTTCGTTCTGCATCGGACGTATGTTCGTCTAGTTGCGTTTTCAGTAAGCCCTTATTGTAACTCATATGTTCATCGGCCTTTCGTAGGCTTAACGGCCCAGTCTCCTTGCGTCGGAATTGAAGGTAATGCAGCAGTCCGTTGCCGGGGGGTAACCCGCCAAAAACGTACGCTGTCCGGCGCTACAAGCGGAGGGTGGTCAGTGCTCGGTAGAAGTATGAGTGGTAAACGGATAAGCGTATTGCAGGAAACCTACATCGGCTTTCTGATCGTCAACCCCCATGGTTCTGAAGCTCGGATGGGGTTGTGCGAAGGCTTGAGCGACTTGCAATAACCGAAGATGCATAGGTTTCAGGTACTGTCATTTTAACGGATGTCGGCGGTCGGAGATTTGCTTACATAAGCGCGTTCTGACAGCTTAGGTTTGGGCGTAAGGCCACCGCGTACTGATGAGCTTCAGTCATATTATTAACAGAGCCTGAATAAGAGTTCGAAACCTATTTTACTGTTTCCTTGAGACATTCTCTTTTGCCATTAGCAAGAACTGGCGCTGGGCCAACTTTCTTTCATGATCAGCGCTTTACTAAGGGAGGAGAGAACACCAGGGACGCCACTCGTGTGGCCCTTTTGACAGTTTGTCAAGCCGCGATGCATTCTCGATGCAGCGAGGCAGCTCATCCTCCGTTCCGTCAATGCAAGCGATCTGTGCTTCAACAGTAGGGAATCCTCTGAAAGCATTCGACCAAGTGCCCTCAATCAGCACGCTCTGTCAGGCTCATCCTCCACGGACGGGAACTACGGGAAGGATAATGCCTACGCCTTCGAAGCTCGATATTCGAGCGTGATGTGCCTTTCCTGAATAGCTATGTGAGTACCGATGCTCAATGCGGGAGGTTTCAAAGCCGAAAGGGTGGTGGCTTCAAAGAAAAGAAACATGATCCTGTTTCTCTGTTCCGCGCTTAGGATCTCCACCGTCCCCCTCCGTGCCTGCAGCTTCCGCCATTTCCGCTGCGGATGTCCATCCAACCCATGTTTACGTCGCCGTCCGGTTTGTAGTTTGGCCTGCTTCTCCTCGCGCCGTAATTTTGGACAGCCCAACACCTGCGTTAGTGATCCGATGGGTGGGTTGACATCATGATGAAGGCCCCATCTCGACATCGACGGGCTTGGTAAGCGTGCATCCATCGTAACCGCATCCGGACAGGTTTGGGGAAACAGCAATGCCAGAAGCAGTCCGAGTTCCGAGGTTTTGACGAAAGGCGCTGGCTTCGATGCTTCTTGGATTTGTAGCCAATGGTCTCAGACCGTCTATCAGGGCTCAGCTTTTTCCGTCGCTTTGTTTAGCTCGAGTACCGTTCTCTCAGACAGTCGCCTGCTCAAGGTCAGCTCGCAATGCAAGCCAAAACGACACGTGGTGTTTCCTTGTCAAAAATCGACAGCCTGAGACATCTTCGTGTCGCATCTCACGTTTCATTCTCCCAATCCCAAACGATATGTACAAAAAAACCATACAAATGTCAGTCCCAACCACAATCCCAAACCGTCCACTCACCCCCGCATCTATCTGACCTCACCCCCGCCCGCGACTTCAGGTACAGCCCTCACAATCCTAATCGTATTCGACCCCTTCCTCTTCCCATTCCCCTGCTCCTCTTCCTTTCCCTCCCTTCCCCCCGCAGCAGCAGCAGCAGCCGCTCCCTCTCTCCGCCTCGTCCTCGCCTCCGCAGCCTTCTGACTCTCCAACACCACCTGCGCCCATTCCGCGATTAACGAGTCGAACTCGGCGTCGGTGAGCTCGTCTAGCTCGTCGAGAGCGGTTGTGTAGATGTCTTCTTCGGGATCGTCGTCGGGGGAGGAGGGGGAGGAGGAGAGAAGGGTGTGCAGTTTGTCGGCGCGGCGGGCGCGGCGGGTTGGGTCGGTGGGGGGTGGGCGGTTGGTATTACCGGTGGTGGTCCGGGGCCCACGATGATCCCCACCACCATCATTCTCCAGCGTACCACCACTTCCCACCCCAAACTCCTCAGCAGCGATCTCCCCACCTTCCTCATCCAGCAATCGATACTCATCCGCATCCGCAAACATATCGTACTCGTCGTCGTACTCCCCCTGGTCGTACAGCACGGCGTTGAGGAGCTGCTCGATCGGGTCTTGCTCGTCGAGGAAGGAGAAGCCTTCTGCAAGCTCGAGGGGCGCGTTCCGCGGGGCTGCGCCGGGGTGGTGGTCGTCGTGTGGGTCAGTGGATGAAGCGGGGGAGGTGGATGTTTGGGCGGTTTGGATCGAGTCTTTTGAGTGGGAGGTGGTTGGGTGGTCGGGGATATTCTGAGATTTGAGGATGTCGCCTTGTCGTTCATTCCGGAGCACGGAGGCGAGCTCCTCCCTCGAGATCGCCAGCGGCCCCGAATGGCTCCTAACCGGTGAACACACAACCTCGCCCGCCTGCGCACCCGCACTGTTCTGTTCCGCGCCGCCTCTGAGATTCTCGTGTTTCCCTCTGAACCACTGCAGACCACACACGCGCTTGGTATGCACGATCATGACGTAGTTGCAGACGGCCATTTCGCGCACGGACGCAATGTGGTCGTTGTGGCAACAGTGAAACTGCACCTCGATTTGGCGAGGGTTGCCGGTGATCTCGCAGACGCCGCCGTGCGTCCAGCGCATGCGGAGGTAGTGGCGGGCCTCCTCGTCGAATTCGATCAGTGCGCTCGAATCCATGCCGGGGATGGGTTGGTCGCCGGTTTCCGCGCCCTTCTGTGGGACGGAGGAACTTGTTACGCCGCCGCTTGGTGGGGGTGATGCTGGCACCGGCGGTCGACCGAGGATGTAGTCGAGTCTCTGCCCTTCTGCGTTCGGATAGGCGGGATCCCTCTCCGCCGGGCGGTGGTATTGCCGGACATGGCGAAGATGGCAGTATTCGTATTCCCACCATCCCTGGGTATATATCAGACATTTGCGGTCTAGGCCCTGCACAGCTTTCAAGGTTTGCCGTAATCTACTGGCGTACACAGCGGGAGAGATCGCTTCTAGTGGCTGTAGTCTAACGTCAGGCGTTGCTGTTTGGGGTGAGGTCTGGCATAAATAGTATAGCTTGCCCGACGGCCGCTGTATCGGGAGGAGCACCGCATTTGGGTCACTCTATCGACGCGAAAAGCCAGTCGGAGATCAGTAAAAGTTCACGAACACAGTTTTAAGGGACACAGCAGCTCCCCAACCTTTTGCCGTGCTACAGCTTCCGCCTCTGATATCAAAGCATCGTACTCCATAAGCACCTTAAACGCTGGCTGAGCAGCCAGGTCCGAGTACACGAACGCATTGCTGAACGGTAGCGGCGATTCATGCGAGTGGTGGACGGGAAACGAATCCTGGGCAGAATGACCCGTCACGGTCGACAACGCCACCAGGGCCAATGCTACAGTCCGTAGCAATAGTCCTTGGCTCATACTTTCAGGCTCTCTTCTGGCCGCAGACGTTGTTGAGAACGGAAAGCCCGCTAGAAGGAGCACGGGGCTCACAAGCACGAAACTTTTCCCAAAGGGTGCGGACGCTCGCTACGAGTGCGGGCGACGTCGTGTTCAGCACTATGTACTGGTAGGACGGCGTCGTTCTTGGGTGGGCGAGAATAGGGAGCAGCGGAGGCGCTGTTGAGGTTGATCTTGCGGTTGGGGCGGCTGTGCGTAAGTCTGGAAGAGCATCGATTTCGGAACCAACACGTCAGCCCCCCCCAAACGCGTCGCCCACCGTCCAGGAGAGTTGCAGGAGACCAGAGGAGAATCAAGGTTCTCTCAAGGAACATCATCCGAGTCAGGGACAAGGGACTTATTTGTGAGACTGGGAGTGCGTGTATGCAGCATGCTGGACCCGTCCGTGGCATGCATGCATCGCAACCACAGCTACATAATTCACCAAAGATCTCAAAAGTCATGTTCAAACCAGCTAAATACAATCCACTGAAAACCCGGCAATCGCAAAACAAACATCATATACATCCCCACTCCCATCCTCCCACTCCCCCCCCCTGCTCTCCAACCCCAACTACCGCTTCCGCTTAAACCTCTCCTTAGCCCCCAACTTCTCCTCCGCCAACCCCGCATCACTCCCCAGCCCTCCAAACACCGCATCCGGAATCGCGCGTTTCTGCAAGCCCGCTTTGATCTCCGGTTCCTTCTCCTCAACGCCATCCACATCCATCGCGTCTCCATTCTCCTCTCCCGCCTCAGCGTCGCTATCACTGTCGTCGCCGATTTCGATTTCATCGGGGTTGGCGGCGGAAGGAACCGCGGCGTCTTCAGTGGAAGTGTTACCCTTGGGAGCCACTTCGGTCTTTTTGGCGCGTACGAACCCGACGACTCTGGTTCCGCCCTTTGCCGTTTCGAGGGCTTCATCTTCGAGGCGGGCCATTTCTTCGCGGACGGCTGCGGCTTCGAGTTCTGCCATTGTGGTGGGGGGAGCTCCTTCGGCTGCGGTGCCGTTGGTGGAAGCGTCGGTTGATGTCCCGGCGCGGGCGGCGAGGAGCTGCGCGGAAATGAAGTTGACTTCTGTGTTGTATTTGGCTTGGACGGAGCGTTTGATTCTGGGAGAAACAAGAACAAATGATCGACAAATATGAGTCCAAACGTCTCAGTGACCGAAAACCCACACTCAACAATTCACATACCTAAGCATCTCCTTAAACGTATCTTCATTCCCATGCTTAACCTCAAACTCATGCCAAATCTTCCAAAACTCCGGATCCATCCTCGGATCCGCAAACTGGCTACAGTAACCCAGCAGCGCCCTCGCGCGGTCAATCTCCCCCAACTTGGTCTCCATGTCCGCAAACCGGACGCACATGTCGCGCGCCTGCTTGTCGGGGAGAGCCTCAATGGCGCGCTCGTAGATCTCGCGGGTGGAGGTAAGACCAAAGAAGGAGGTGGCTTTGGCGATGTACACGGTGAACATCTCGAAGCGGTCGTCGTCGCCGACGGCGCGGGTGGCGCGGTCGTAGATGCGCATGGCGTGCCGGGCGAGGCCGTGGTCTTCTTCTAGTTTGGCATACATGAGGTAGAGGGGTTTGGCGAACTTTTCGGGGACCTTGTCTACGGCGTGCTCGAACAGATCGCGGGCGCGCTCGAGTTTAGAGCCGCCGTAACGAGCGATGAATTTGGTGAGGTAGATGTTCCAGATGTCGAAGGCGATTGGGTAACCGAACAGATCGATTCCACGTTCGTAGACTTTGTAACTCTGCAGAAGCATGGCGTTAGATTCTGGGGTCGAGCTACGGTTCAGCCTTTTCCAGTACATACCTCCTCAAACCATTTGTTGTCTTCCAAAAAGCTCGCATAGTTGATGATAATCTGAGGCGTAGCAATCTTCAATTCCATAATCCGGTCGTACACCGCCTTAGTGCTATCAACCGTTCCAATCGATTCCTCCAGGTCCACAAAGAACGACCAGAGCTTGATGGACTTGAACAACCGCTGCTGCGGCTCCCGACTCTCGTCCGAGTACCGGATGGAACCCTGGAAAGCCGCGCTGCCCCTCGGTGGGGTGGTAGCCCGTCCCATGACTTCCAGCGCCTCCTCGAAGTTCTCATGTCGGAGCTCCATTTCCGCCCATTGGCACCATACTTCGGCCAGATCATCTGCCCGTTTGTAGGATACCTTTGTGGCATCCTCGAAAACCTGACGAGCAGCGTCCATGTCCTCGTTCTGCTCGTGGAATTCGGCAAAGTGGACGTACATCATGTGCAGCTTGCCGGCGGCCCGTTTCGGATGTACCGTTTTGATGGCGTCTTTGTAGGTTTCGATAGCCTTGGCTTTGTTGTCCCGTTCCTTCCATAGATCCACCCTCTTTTCCCATTCGTGGACGTTGTGAGGGTTCTGGCGGAGTAGTACGTCGTTCACCAAAAACGGACGACGCTCCATCAGTTTTTCGAAACGCGCCAACCGGAGGTCAATGTCAACGTCATCGACATCTGCGCTTTCCGGGTCGTTCGCCAGCTCTTCCATGCTTCTTGACAGGACACTTTCCTCCATGGCGGCATACGCATCGAAGACGATGGAAAAGTCTCGCACGGTTTTCACAGACTTGATGGCTTCCTCGTACACGTCACGAGCCTTCTCCCAATCCTGTTGGAACATCCAGTATTTCGCCAAGCTATTCCACAGTCTTCCGACCTGATCTGAGAATCTCGATATTCCGCTTCGAATGATGCGTTCAGCATCAACCTTCTCAGCCCGTTCATGTTGCTCGACGTCTTTCGGAGGCTCTGTTACGAGGTCACAGAGCTCAGTCCATAACTGATAGGGACTCTTGCCTTTCCGTGATGTGAACTTTGGGTTCTCCACAATGGATGCGAGCACCCGTCCCGCTTCTCCATGCCTTTGTGGTTCGAGCGACAAGAGGACGTTGACGAACTCTTCAGCCTCTTGCGGCTCCAGCTTTATGTATCTCCTCCATATCCGTACGGCGGTCTCCCCTCCAACGTCCTTTGCGAATCTCAGGTACAGTTCCCATACCCGCTCATGTTGCGTTACAGGTAAAGACCGCAAGGCGCGGTCAAAAGTCCGTCGACACCGTGTGACCCGCTGCTGATGCATCAGGAAGTTGGAAAAGCTTAACCAGATGACGGGGAACTTGTTGCAAAGAATCAGACTCCTTTCGAAGCAATAATTCACGCGTTCCCACTCCCTATCGCTGAGATCCCGTTTCGGCTGTCGGAGCCCAGTCTCTTTGTCCGGTACAGCGTCGAGTAGCACATTGACCCGTAAGTCAAGATATGCTTTCCATAGTTTGTAACTTCCTGGAAGCTCCTTAACGGCACGCTCGTAAATGAAGATCTGTTGTTCGAGAGGGGATTTCTTCTTGTGCTCAATGTATCGCAACCAGCACTTCAGGGTGTAGGGATTCCGTAGGCATTCTTCCTCATGGGCTTTGCGAACGAAGAATGTTAGCATCCGGGGGACTTGGACTCATAGACGTAACAGAGCGATAGGACTCACGTATATCGTCTGGTTGAATGAGGTTCAGATATTGCTCTGTCGTTGTTATTTCTGTTGCCTCTGTGGTGGATTTGACTCCGTTGGTGGGAGCCTTGACCGCCGTCGCTGCCGCCGTCTTTTTTGCCCGACCGGCAGCTTTCGAAGGCATCGTTGCTTAGTGGGAGGTATCGAGAGGCGCGGACGGCTCGCAAGCACTACTATGGGCTCCGTCGGGGACCCGGTGGACTTGCAAAGAGATGTTGTGTCGTGATCTCTGTGGGTTCATATCCAGGTCCACGCAAGCTTCTCTCGGTGAATGATTGAATTGACCCTCAGTCAGCCGGAGTCACGTGGGAGCGCAAGTTGAAATGAGGTGTGTGAGTCACCGCTTCACTTCCGCCCCCAGTCGCTTCCCGTCGAAAAGGTCTCGACAGCAAAACGAGCTTCATTGCTACAGACAGGCCGGTAGAAACGACCCTCGATTCCGCCAAGTGATATAATAGACAAAGACCCCGGACTATCTCTGGGGTTAAGTATCAACGCTGGCCTTCCCCACCTGGTCTCGTATAAGGCCACAGTGCCTGTCCCGCACTTTGCAATTGTCTCTCAAGCAAACCACCGTAACCACACAGTTTACTCGCACGATCTGGTGCAGAGAGTCTTCCACCGTAACCATGACCAACGCACAACTTACAACAGCGGCCTCGGTTGCGGCCGCACCAGTCTCCGCCGCTGCCAAAACAGCCGACATGTTGGACTCGAGAAAGGTGTGAAAAGGGCAAACCCCGGTTGGACCCTGTGATCTTGAAGCTGAGCGACTGACCCTTCCTCTCTCGATACCAGAGTACAGCCAAATTAGATGCTACACGGGAGACGGAGAGATGGGCACAGGAGAAATGGGAGGCAATGAAGGTCTTTGAGGCCAACGCGCCGGCACCTGGCGAGCCCAGTCCTCCAAAGTTCATGGGAACCTTCCCATTCCCGTACATGAACGGTCTCTTGCACTTGGGCCACTCATTTTCCTTCTCGAAGCTGGAGTTCGCTTCCGGATACGAGCGTTTGAAGGGCAAGCGGGTCTTGTTCCCATTCGGTTTCCACGTGACTGGAATGCCCATCAAAGCTTGTGCTGACAAGCTGAAGAAGGAGATTGCCATGTTTGGTCCCGATTTCGAAAACTACGTCGAGCCGCCAAAAGCCGTCGAGCCCGAGGAACCCGCCACACCCGTCGCCAACGCAGATCCCACAAAGATCGTCAAAAAGCATGGCAAAGCCGCTTCCAAAAACACCGGTCTCACTTACCAGTTCCAGATCATGCGCTCCATGGGTCTCCCAAATGAGGAGATCAAGAAGTTTGCAGATCCTATGCACTGGCTCTACTATTTCCCACCGGGGGCCATCGAGGACTTGAAGGCGATTGGATTATCAGTCGACTGGAGGAGATCCTTTTTGACCACAGAAGTCAACCCGTACTTTGACGCGTTTGTCCGATGGCAGTTCAACAAGCTGAGGACGACCGCTGAGCCCAAGGTTAAGTTCGGGGAACGCTACACCATCTACTCGCCTTTGGACGGTCAGCCCTGCATGGACCACGATCGCGCTAGCGGTGAAGGTGTGGGGGTGCAGGAGTACACCGGCATCAAGCTCCAGGTCTTGTTGAAGGACATCAACTCTACACCGGAGGCGGAACGAGCTCAGGTGAAGGGCGTGCCTGTTGGAAAGGCGCTTGAGAACCCTGACTTGGTCAAAGCCTTGGGAGCTCGCGATTTGTTCTTGGTCGCTGCTACCCTCCGACCGGAGACGATGTACGGACAGACCAACTGCTACGTAGGCGTGGACATCACTTATGGTATTTACGCCGTGAATGACAAGGAGGCGTGGGTGTGCACGGACAGGTCCGCGAGGAACATGGCTCACCAGAAGTTGTTTGATGCGGAGTTTGGGAAGCTTCCCAAAATCGGAGAAGTCAAGGGATTGGACTTGATCGGTGTCCCGTTGAAGGCTCCTTTGGCACCATATGAGAAGGTGTACACGTTGCCCATGGAGGGCGTCTTGGTCACCAAGGTGCGTTTGACATATGAGTGGGAGGGGTCGTGGAGCACTTTTTTAACGTTAAACTATGTCAACAGGGAACTGGAGTCGTCACATCCGTCCCATCCGACTCTCCCGACGATTACATCACCCTGCAAGACTTGAAGAAGAAGGCCGCGTACTACAACGTACAACCGGAATGGGTCGAGCCCTTCTTCGAGAGCTTCCCATCCATCATCCGCACTCCCAACTATGGAGATCGCGCGGCGGAGACTGCTGTTAAAAAGTACAAGATCAACAGTCAGAAGGACAAGCTGCAGTTGGCTGAAGCCAAGGCTGAGGTGTACAAGGAAGGCTTCTATCAGGGTACCATGATAATTGGTAACCACGCTGGAAAGTGAGTGGACATGCTTTATATGTCAGATTCCACACCCTGGCCTGTTGACTGATTCACACATTTGGCAGATCCGTCCAAGACGCGAAACCCCTCATCCGCGACGAACTGATCGCACAAGGTCTCGCCTTCCCCTACTGCGAGCCAGAAGGCCTCGTCATTAGCCGTTCCGGCGACGAATGTGTCGTCACTCTGGCCCCGCAATGGTACATGGACTACGGAGAAGAGCAATGGAGGAAGTTGGCCGAGGAGTGCTTGTCTCAAATGGAGCTCTTCAGCCCGGAGACGCGGAACCAATTTGAGCGCACCTTGGAGTGGTTGAAACAGTGGGCCTGCTCGCGTAGCTTCGGGTTGGGAACGAAGCTGCCTTGGGACCCGCAGTACTTGATCGAGTCGTTGAGTGATTCGACGATTTACATGGCGTACTACACTGTTGCGCATATGTTACACGGTATGTCCGAAAATCTCGCTAGCTATCGTTATATATCGTTGCTGATCAAAAGCGTTATTCTCCAGGTGGAAATTTGAACGGATCCAAACCCGGCTCCGCTAACATCAAGCCCGAGCAAATGACCGACGACGTATGGGACTACATCATGCTCCGCGGCCCCGCCCCCTCCAACACTGCAATCCCTCAAGCCACCCTGGACGCCATGCGCCGCGAGTTCGAGTACTTCTATCCCCTCGACCTCCGCGTCTCCGGCAAGGACCTAATTCCCAACCACCTTTCCTTCTTCATCTACAACCACACCGCCATCTTCCCCAAAGAGCACTGGCCCAAAGCCATCCGCGCCAACGGTCACTTGCTCCTCAACAACGAGAAGATGTCCAAATCCACCGGTAACTTCCTCACCATCCGCGACGCGTTGATGACGTTCGGCGCCGACGCGACGCGGTTCGCACTTGCGGACGCAGGCGACGGTGTCGAGGACGCCAACTTCCTTATGAAAACCGCCGAAGACGCCATTTTGAAACTCTACACCGAGCGCGAATGGATCGTCGAGGTGTTGGCCACCGGCGCCGAGGGCAAACTGCGCACGGGAGAGTTCACGTGGAACGACCGCGTCTTCCAGGCCGAGATTGATAAACTCATCCTGGACGCGCAGGCGGCCTACGAGGGCATGCATTACCGTGAGGCTCTGAAAGTGTCGTTCTACGATTTCACCAACGCAAGGTCGGAGTACCGGAAGAGTACTACGGGGCAGGGTGTGGGGATCGCTGCGGTTGAAGGAGAGGATTATGAGGGTATGCATTGGGATTTGGTGAGGCGGTATGTGGAGGTGCAGGCTCTGCTTTTGGCGCCTTTGGTGCCGCATTGGTGTGAATTTGTGTGGTCGGAGTTGTTGAAGAAGGTGAGCAAGCACCCAGCGGAGTTCGGTCGTTCTCTTACTGTACCTTGTTGCTAAGTAACCTCTTCTCAATGCTTCCAGCCCGAGTCCATCAAATCCGCCCTCTTCCCCACCATCACCGGCACCCCGGACGCATCCCTCCTCAGCGCCGCAACCTACATCCGCAGTCTCGCGTCCAAGATCCGGTCCGCAGAAGACCAGGTCGCCCGCAAGAAGCAGAAGAAAGGCAGTGCTGCCGACGGCGCGGCCGAGAAACAAGGCGTCTTGCGCCTGTTTGTCGCGTCGGCGTTCCCGAAGTGGCAGGATGAGGCTGTGGCGATTTTGAAAACGACTTATGATGAGGTATGTATGGTATTTGAGACTTTCCGTGTTAATGATGTGCATACCGACCCAGTCTTGTGTATTCCGCACAAAACAGAAAACAAAAACCTTCTCAAACACCGAAAAGCCCCTCCTCGCCTCCACCCCCCTCATCAAAAACAAGCAAGTGATGCCCTTCATCGCCTCCATCAAGCAAAGCGTCACCCAATCCCAATCCTCCGCCGCGTTCAACCGCAAGCTCGATTTCGACGAGTGGGAGGTCCTTCAGAGGAACCTCGACTACATTCGTCGCGAGGTGGCGGTGTTGAAGGTGAAGGAGGTGAAGGTGTTCAAGGCGGAGGATGTGAAGGCGGGTCAGGACGGATTTGAGGCGGAGGATGTTAAGAAGGCTGAGTTGAGCGTCCCGGGGCAGTTGACCTACAGGATTGTGTAGGGTTGTATGTAGATTGGGGACAAAAGCCAACATTTTTTGTAGGCGCTGTGTCGACCTGGGTTTCTCTTTTTCATAGTCTTTTCACTCTCATATTTCATATTGTATCTACAATGTTTCCACATTGCCAAATAGAATTTGCCGCTTTTGCATGTCATGCTTATTGTATTTGAATCACGGCGCCTCTCCTGTAAATGACATTTCTCAGGGAATTACCGCCTCAGATACGTAGGCACGCCATACACCACCGGCGCCGCGCCCGTCAGGTATCCGAATTTGCACGCCTTCCGACTAAGCATCACGGCTTCGGCCATGGATTTTGGCCGCTCGGTTGCGTTCGGATCCGAATCCGACGGTTCAGAAGAGAGGCCCCACTCCTCGAACATCTTGAGCGTAAACCGGTCAATGTCGCGGTCTGTGACGTCCCATAGATTTGCGAGGATTGCTCGGCTGACAAGGAATAGAGATTTCGTATAAGCACAATGCATCGAGATGAGCAATCAGAGGCGTGCATACTCATACCTTCCACCCATCAGATAATTCAATGGTACGCCATGCGGGTCGTACTCTCCCGCAGGTTTCAGGTATCCGCTGCTGCACCCGAAGAGCAGCGCCACGGAACTCTGGGATAGTTGGCGGATGCGGTGGCCTCGGATGTACTGGTTCCCACCGCCGTGGCCAAAGTATCTAGGAGTTCGAATAAGGACGTCCGTCAGATGGGTGAGACAGAGGGTTTTGCTTGGACGGATTGGGCATGACGGGGTACTTACATGTACATGTCTTTGGACTCGAGGGCTGATGCGATATCGTCTTCGGAGGGGATGCTGCTGACTACGCCCTCCCATGCCGCTCGACTGCGGATGGAATCCGCTTAGCATCTAGCCCGAACCACACCCTTTGAATGTCAATGTCATCACCATGCGCTCACCTCGTCACCATTTCCTTGAATGTCTTTTCAGTATGCACCAAGTCTCCACTGGGGTTCAACGCATAGTACGCATTGGTCGGATCAACATTCAACCGTGACCACGTCTCGTCCCGGCCTCCATCCTTTCCGTTTCCCCGAAGCTCATCCTCCCCCGCGCGTAGTGCTCGTCTCGTGCCATGGCCCACGTCCACCAGGATGTCCCGTAAACTGAAGATGGAAGGCACACGGCACACCGGTTCGCCTCGTAATACTGACGTGCTTTCCCATGGGATCATATGAAGATGTTTATCTGGTATCAGGATGACGTGCTTTTGCGCCGTTGTGGTCTGTGAAGTCGACCTGAGGTTGGTATACACTTCATGGAACTGGGCGATGGCTTCGCTGATCTCGTCAGTGAGCTGTTGAATGGAGCGGTATACATTAGAATCATCGCCACTGCGGTGGACCTACCAGAGCAGCAACCTGGGAAAATGTACTTACAGCACAGATCTCAAGCTCCGCATAGTCGATCCCAACTCCACTGTAGTGATACGAGTCCAAGAGGTAAAACAGCGCATCTTCGATCTCATCATAGTGGGGCTTCGGTCCTAGTCGGAGAAGCATTTTGCACATGCCTTCATCGAGTTCAAGCATCTTGACCGCCTTGCCACGAACAGTTTTCCGTCCCACGGCCTTGTATGCAATAGCTTCCAGCTGTTTCTTGAAGGCAGTCAACGCATTTTGCACAGGGTACGAGTCAAATTGATCTGTCGCCAGCAATCCCCTGAACGCCCCTAGCCACGACAGTTCTATCTGGTCTAGCAGATCTTTGATGCGGGTGTCGAGTGCCTTGCGAGTATCCCACCATTGCCGTTTCTGGTCTTTCGTCACGCAAGTGGCGATGTCGCGGGTCGTGGCGTTGCTTTCCTCCAGAATGACCTTCAATTCATCGACCACATCGGTGTACGACAGTCCGCCTTCAGCGGCGTCGCGCATTGCTTGCCGGTTAAGCGGCATGCGCAAGACAATGGGGGTGGTGCCGCGTTCCATCCGAGAAACGTACATGTCTTCTCGCTCTAGATCAACAGATATGGAGCACACCACCCAGTCGTATGGAAGAATCTCGAGGAATTCGTTGGAGAACTCGGTCATCGTCCAGTTGGCTTGGCGCAGATAGTTCTGATACTGACATCGGAGACGCTCACTCTTGATGGTCTCCGCAGTAGCGCCATTCGGTGTCGCCTGCACTCCGCCTTTCTCATGCAGCGTCGAAAGTAGTTCGCGAGACATCGTCAGGCCCTTCGTCCTTTCTGCGGAAAGAGTCGAGTGAGAAACCGATCCGGCCAGAAGAGGAAACAAAAGAACCACATACCAATGTCCAGGATAGTCATAATGGCCAGTTCCTTTGCATCAGTAGCCTCCGCGCCGCATGTCAAGTACGCCTTCATGACATTCAAGTATGCCATTCCATGACCGAGTTCATGAATCAACTCCGGGTTGCCATGCGGGAACGACATCTTATGCGCATTCTTGAACAGATCATATACAAGCCCAATATTCTTGGACAGCAGTGCGCCAGCCTTATATGCCTTGGTTTGCTTCGCGCTTCCCGTTTTGGCTTTCGGTACATTCCACGGTAGCGAGAAAGCCGCCTCGTTGAAGACGGAGAAGAGCGGATTGCCTGCCAGATTGTCCTCCAGTTTTTGGGATTGCAACTTTGCCAGGGCGGTTACTAGCCCGGGTTGTTCCAGACCACTTTGCTGCAAATCCCTTCCCTTGAGGAGCGTTGCTTCGGATTCAGCAATCTTGCTCTGCCCGCACAAGGCCGTAGCAGCTTTGGCGCACACCCGTACTTTAAGATCGGAGAGCACAAGGCATTCGGGTCGAATAGTCGGTTCCGCATCTTTAGGTCGAGGACCGGCGACGATGCTGACGACCTTCTTCTCACGTGGGGTTTCAATCCCGCCCGGTGATTTGTCCTCCTCCAGTGCTGATATGACGGCAGGTGTCATCGCGCTATCCAACAAGACTTCCGCCTGGCTGTACGAGGCTAGAGCCGCATCAAAGTCTTCAATCCTTACTTCATTGTCGCCTTGACAGATGTGATACTCGACAATGTCTTTGATGGCGACATCTGGCGAAAGTTTAGATTGGGATTGAACAGCCTCTCCCAGTTTCGTCGTGCTATCTTTTAGCATCTTTTGTCGGAAGTCGATCTCGGCCAGAAGAAGCTGCAAGTCGCTGACGTAGACGTGCGACTGAACTGCTGTTGCGAGGTCCAATCCTTGCGCCAAGAAATGTTCGGCTTCCGCTATAGATCCACGGCTCATGTATAGTCGGCCTAGACATGCATACGTGTTTAGCAGCTGTTGTGTCAAATGCCATTGATCGGACCGCTTCAGATTCTGACGAAGTTTCGATTGTGACGAGGATGCTTCGCTGTCTAAACGGAGTTGATGCATCGAAGTCGTCAGCTCGTCAACGTCCGAATTCCTTGACACCTTCAATCGATTCACAATCCGGTTGAGTCCTCTAAGTGCTTTTTCTCCTTCGACGATCGCAGCTACCAGATCACCCTTGCCTAGAGCGATATGCGCGTTCACAAGGTGCCGGAAAGGCTCTAGGGCAATGTGCTTGAGTGTTTCTCCCGATTTCGCCTCAGCCATGGACAGATTTTTCAGTGTAGCGTCGCTCTTTTCTTCGTTGCCCAGATGGTACAAGTAGTAGGCATAGGACAGTTGGCAGTACGCAGCGGATTGCGGTGAGCATCTGCTCCCGGCAACAAAGGCAAGGCCTTGTGCGAAGGCCACTCCACCCTGACCCGTGTACCCAAGCGACACGTACGCATGACCGATATCCGAGTACAGTGATGGCGCGTCGAGAGCGATCTCCTCGATCCCGGCCATGAGAGTGGTCAATCGCAACAGAAGTCGGAGGCACAAAATCTGATTTAGCCACTGCTTGAGCATGGCAAAATATTTCGCCATTACATGAATATGGTTGTAAGTAGCTCTCAAGTCGTAGAAGAATGCCGCAGCCTTCGGTTTCTCCACTGTAATTTTGAGGGCGTGCGTGAAGAGAGGAACTCGTCTGAGGAGGTTCTGCCATATCGTCAAGGCCATGGACCATGGTTTTGCTTGATAGCCTCCGCGGTCAGTTAAGAGAAAGCCAAGCACAGAGTAAGCGTTGGCTAACTCGTTCTGGCATTGATCTTTGAAGCGTGCATCTTCTCCAAACGCATCGTCACATGTCTACAGAAGAGGATAATGTTGTAGAACGGGAACGTAAGCTTTTAGTCGACTTCTACTTACCGCTGTTTTCAGGATCTCAACGGCGCTCTGGCACAGGTTCTCGCATTCTTCCAACTTCTCGTCATCAACAAGATGCTTCATGTTGTGCATCAGGCTGGCCTTCTCGACCAGAACCCTTGCTCGCTGGACGGGATGGTGCTCGTCGTAAAGTTCGAGCAGCCAGTCGAGAATATGTCCCTGCGCCAGCGCGATTCGACTTTCCGACCCCCGAGAACCTTGCACCACACTCCTTTCCAGTTGCCCAAACGCCGCTCTGCAATCGCTACGCTCGCAAATGGCCAATCCCACCATTGCAGAGATGGATTCATAGGTGGACTCTCCGTCCGATATAGCTATCTTGACGTATCGTTCAATTAAGGGCTTCAGGGATGTCACACCATTCGCCTGGCAGGCCGAGGGATGTCGTATCACGAGTGCGGCCTCGTGCAACGCATCCAACGCGACGACGGTGTTTCCCATCATATGCGACGTCGTTGCCAAGAATTGATATCGAGTCGACAGCTGACTTCGCTCGGCGTTATGGTTGTCCTGGGCCGCGGCTGTTGCAGCTTCCGCGCTCACGACATCGGGCTGCAGGAAGCGGGCCATCAACGAGCACGAAAGCTGAAAGTCGTCATTCGCTTTGTGCCACTCTTTCGATTTGTAGTGTATACCACCGACGAAAAACGCAGTATTGCTGATAAATTTGAGTCCCGTCCAATACCCGAGATCATCGGCAAGCTTGATCGCGGCCGTTAGGTGCGCCGTGTAGTAATTATTGTTATCAGCGGTAGGGAGCAACACGCAAAGTCTTGCTAAAGCGTTACGGAAGCTGAGAATCGCCGGTCCTATGCGGTTTAAAAGGTCGATGACGGTGCTTCCGTCAGCACCCAATCGCTGTGGAAACCTTGTGAGTACACATCATGGCAAGAGCGGACGCCCACCGTTTCAGCCTACCTCTCCGGCCGTCCTGAAAGCAACGTAAACCTCGACAACTACAAGGAAGAGTGGGGACCATCCTCGCTCCTGTTGCAGCTTCTCAGTTTCCGAGATTGAAACGCCAATTTTCTCGGCTGTTTTCCACAGAGCGTCCATGTTTCGGGCAAAATGTTGCGCCAACTGCCGCAAGAGCTTCTCGTTCGTTCCTTCACGCTCTATAGCTGCGATTATATCGCGCAGTGTTGCAATGTAACAGTCGTTTAAACCCAGAGAGGGAAGATCTCCTGGCTCCTTTGACAGTTCTGCGAAAGCTGTGGTCGCTCTGGTGAGCAGTTCCTTGCTCTCGCTGGTTTCCGAGACATGTAGCGCTTCAGTGTAAGCGATCAAACGATCAGCCAGCCCGTACTTCTGGAACTTCTTGAAGATGCTGAGAGCATGATCGCCCCATTTGCACTGAGATGGTCTCCTCCCTTTTGCCGAAAGAACTTCCGCCAATTCCAGCACGGCTTGGTAGTACGCAACCAATGCTTCTAAACTATCTCCACTCGTCCGTAGAGCCTGGTCGTACACGAGCGCAAACTTCAAAGCTTGATCCGCAAATCCGGCGTCGGTGTACAACGGGGACTCCACGTAAAACATCAGCGCTACCCTCCGCACGTCCAGCAAAGCTCTAGGACTCCAATCTTTGGCACTCAAAGACCAACGGTAGAGGAGTCGAAAGAAGCCTTCAAAATGCCTCCCGCCGGCCACGACGTCCATACGTTTGCAGTGAGCGCACGCTGCTAGTACGCCGGTTTCGTCCAGTACAGCCGCCTCTATACTCTTCCAATTAGCTGATGTCGTGGTAGCTAAAATGCATCGTAGCGCGACGTTGGCACATGTGATTCCCACTGCCAGCCGCGCGGAGGATTGTTCTTCTTCTTGCACCAGGGGGGGTCGCAGTAACCGACATATTGTTGCTGTTGCAGGAGTTTCCTGTTTAGATGTGCGCCTCGAAATACTCTTTGCCGCTGGTCGCCTCGCTGCGGATATGTTAGTTGCCGACCTCAATGGTTTCTTTGCGGGAGGTTTCGTGGGAAGAGCAGAACCTCCGGCCCACAGCTCCTGATACACGAGAGATAGGATATCCAGGGCTTCACTGTACTATTCGCGTTCCGGAAGTCCTATGCTGGTTATTACGCCGTTGCCTTTACAGTGATTTACGCTCTGATGCAAACCTAGCAACCTACCTTCGAAAGATCAGCGAGACGGGCAGCGAAGTTGCATGCCACTCTGTACAAGGCATATGGCTCTATCACCTTGTCGACTCCTGCTTTATGCAACACGGAGAAAGCGTCGGAGAAGCATTGCGCGAGGCATGTTACTTTCTCCATCTGTGGGGTGTCATTTGATTTCGGTAGCCGTTTCTTTCCGTCCGAAAGCACTCGTTGCGATCTCGCATTGCTCGTATCCGCGAGTGCCGGCTTCGTCCCCGTTGAGCGCCCACTCGGCATCCGTCGTTTTGACATAGGAACAGGCTGCTGTGCCTGCTTCGCTTCAACATCGGTTGTGTCACCCTCAGGACATGCTTTTCCCGACTCTCCTGAAGCAGGCTCAGCTGGTTTGGCCCCGTCTACCGTTGGAGCGTTTACTAGCCCAGCGAGCACCTTCATGCACTGGTTGATAAGCTTAAGAGCAAACGGTCCTATTTCAAACTCCGGAGCGGCCGCCTGAGCCCACGCATTCTCCCCCTTCCCTTTCCCATTGACATTCCCATTTCCCACATTCTCCTTATTCGCTTTGAAGATTGGTCGCGTTCGGGTACGAGGTTTTCCAGCCGTCTGTGCTAAAGTTAAGCTTTGAGTCTTCACGGGTCGTGCTTGTCGATGGAGCAGTTGCCGAAGGTTCTCTTGTACGGTCGAGTCGATAGTAGCTAAATTTGCCAGCCCGTTGAGGACTGCATCTGGGGTCGCAGGCGACGGCAAGTCCTTGCGAATCGTCATATCACTTTAGCGAGGGAGACGTGACCCCTTGAACCTGAAATGGCCAGATGCTTGAAAGATGGGATTCCCATGCAAGTTGCCGTTTCCATTTTCGAAACCGCCAGACTGCGTGGGAAAGTTGATAAACTCGGGCAACAATGTCCGAAGGGGGCGGACAGGTTCCGTAACGCGTGTGAGCGCGTCGCCTGAAGGGTTCAATAGATCAACTTTCAAGGTTTTTTCCGTCAGATTCCACTAGGGCAACGAGAATGAGAAACAAGTACAGTAGGTTTGTGAAACTATGTACAGATATATACATACGCTGCCTTAAAACCCTACACTTTTATATTGAGCCAAAACTCAGAGGAACCATAGTTCTCTCTCCGTCCTCCCGCTGCCCTTCCAACCCAAATACGTACACCTGCTTCTCAAACCTGCTTATGCTTATCCGTCAACGGAACGAACATCACTCCCATCAGCTCTTTATAATGCACATTCCCCTCCTCGTCCTTATCGATCTGCATCAACTCCTGACGCCCGTGAGGCTTTCCGACGGGAATGATCATCCGACCCGGTGATTTGAGTTGATCTATCAACTGGTCAGGGATAGGATACGCAGCCGCTCCTGTAGTACACATGAGTAAATACGCACTGGCATTGGCAGCGGTTTGATGAGCGTCGTAGCGCCGCCTTTGGTCCACCCACCAACGTGTATCGCAGCATATGGAGCTTCCGCTACATATCCCAGTCGTCCATCGCCGACTGATGGGAGTTGGGGTAGTGGTTAGTCACGGGAACAGAACCCTGACAAACGAGTCATCCTTCACAAAGCGAGGTTTGCTCACCGACTAACTCAGCATAGCTGAATACAGATGGATCGTCACCCTGAATGTTTCTCCTTCCCATTTCTACCTGGGAATGACCATTGGCCTTCGTCACATACGGTTTGTTTCAAACGAGCGCAATTGAACCAGCTCAAGCTCAACTTACAAGCTCCGGTATGTGATCGATGCCCACAACCTTCCCAGTCGTTCCAACCAATCGAGCCTACACGTCGTTGGACGGGCGGTCAGAAACATCGCTTCTTCAGCATATGAATGGAGCGAGATTTCCCAGGTTCATCCCTACCATGCAAGAGACCAGATAGCCGGAGCCGCTCCCGACATCTGTTCGATTGATATTTCGTCGGATAGCATTCACACGTGGACCTATCATCCGTCCCATCTTACCCAATGCATGATCGCCCTCACGCAAAAATGGTTCCAGATACTGCAACGCAGACGCGTGCATATGAGGAGCGCTGATAGTTGCGCCTGCGTTGCAGAGCTCATCAATACCCCTTTGAATCGTCGTATGTCTGGCTATTATCATCTCGCATGCCTCGTACCGTATCCGATGGGCTGAGGGCTGTCCTCGTATGGATCCAGTTCCACATATTTCCCTCGGTCAACCTGCAAGTCATGAACCACATGGATTACCGCCTCTCAAACAAGCAAACGCTTTTGACAAACAGCCGAACGTACAGCTTTCATGGCTTGCTCAACACGCGGTGAAGATATCAAGCCAGCATCTGCATAACAGCCCAGCCGTCAAGTGCAGGGCGTGTGAGTGCGTCTTCCTGAACGAAGTTGCGGAATTCACATGTCACTGACGTTTGAGGTTATCAACTAAACCGGTGTTTGAGGTTGCGGAGCATTGCCACGCCATGGTCGATAGCAGCGGTGATGGTAAGCTCAAAGCGAGATGCGAGATGATCTTTGGAAGTCTCATTGGGAGCTGCAGAGTGAGCAATGCCAGAACTTTCCAGGCGGTCATCGGAGTGCATCTGTGCATGCCTCTGAGATGACTACCGCGTTGTCGGTGATCTGAATTGACAGTACCGCCCCGGAGTCCCCATCCAACCAGCAGTCAAAACGCAGTCAATTTTTCTTCACGAAGGACTGAACTGTCGTCTAGAGATGGGTGGCACAGGGACCGATCCTTAATTTTGTACAGATAGACGAAGGATCCTATGCTGGATACGCTATCATACAATCAGAAAGCTGAACCTATGCCGTTGAACAAGGTTCCCAATGCTCTCTCATAACGAACGTTCGTGAAGGGATAGCAAACCGACGATGAGATAGCCGATGGCATTGGGTCGGAGCAAAGATGTATTCCGGATCATCGACTAAACTAAGGTTCTATGCTTTTAGACCACATTCGATGCTGCTCTCTTGACGACTTGCGAACGTTATAGCGTCAGGGATCGTCCATGCTGCGACACATTGTCATCCCTACCCGATCCAGGCGTGCACGGACACCTCCATGCTTTTGCGGAAAGCTCCTCTTCTCGCATGAACGTGCGGATGTCATAGCGGCACAGGAACCAGTTGATGAGGTATCCCAGCTGAGAGAGTCCAAGCGCCAGCCCTGAATGGATAGGGGAGAACGATGATCTATGTGAGCGCACTACATCGTTTCCATACAGCAGGTGACTCTTACCCAAATGTGTATAAAAGGAATGGAAGCATATCCACCTTCCCCGGAATTGGTCATGACTACAGCGCAAATCTCTCCATACACCCTTCCGCATACGTACGGCAAATACCATCAAATGGCACCCAAATGGGCCTTCTTCGCCTCAGTCGTGCTCGCCACGGATCTTGCCCTGGCTTTGCCGCAAGCCGCGCCCAGCATCTCCACTACCATCGCCGTCTCTTCCGTGCCTACGTCGGCTTCGGAGCCTACATCCACTGTGAACGCTCCATCAGTGACTTCAGACATCCCCGAGCCGACCGATGTTCCGTCAGCCACTTCTGACATCCCCGAACCAACCGATGCCCCCGAACCACCCACATCCGGCGGCAACTCCACAACCCCCTCCCCCGGCTGCCCCCAAAACACCAACAAATTCTGCCTAATCTTCCAAGACGACTTCCAAACCCTCAACCAAAATGTCTGGAAACACGACATCACCCTCTCCGGCGGCGGCAACTGGGAGTTCGAGTGGTACACTAACAACCGCACCAACTCGTTCGTCAAGAACGGGACGCTCTTCCTCAAACCCACGCTCACGGCCGACAACATTGGCGCTGAAAATGTCGTTAGTGGGACCACGATGGATTTGAATGGGAATGAGGCGGGGTATCATTGTACGGATGCGGGGTTCTTTGGATGTAGGAGGACGAGCGATGGGACAAATATTATCAACCCGGTTCAGAGTGCGAGGATTAGTACTGCTGAGAGTGTGGCGATTCAGTATGGAAGGGTTGAAGTTAAGGCGAAGTTGCCGAAAGGGTGAGTTTCCCCAACCGAGGCGTCCTAAATTACCGATCATGCCTAACTTCTCCCTCACCTTGATGTTCCATCAGAGACTGGATCTGGCCCGCAATCTGGCTCCTCCCCAAACGGCCCACCTACGGCAACTGGCCCGCATCCGGCGAGATCGACATCATGGAAAGCCGCGGGAACAAACCCGGCAACGCCAAATCGCCGGGTTACGACACCATCGGCTCGACTCTGCACTGGGGGCCCAGCTACCAGTTCAACAAGTTCGACCTGACACACAAAGAGTTCAAGCTTCCCAGCGGCAGCTTTGGGGATGAGTTCCATACGTTTGGATTGGAGTGGACTCCGGATTATTTGGTGAGTGCCACTTTTGATGGGAAAATCTCGACGGGACCGAGTTGTTTTAACGTCCATTGGCTGAACAGAGGACGTACGTCGACGAGCCTACCAATGTCGTGCTCGAAGTGCCCCTGAGCAAAAGCTTTTGGGACAAAGGCGGCTTCCCCACCAGCATCAACAACCCCTGGGAAGACCAATGCACTGCGGTACGTATCCCCTCCATCCCTCCTCTCAACGCGACCATCAATTCATCCATATCCGTCTCCTCTCCTCTAGGCCCCCTTCGACCAAGAATTCTACCTGATCCTCAATGTCGCCGTGGGCGGCACAGCCTCCTACTTCCCCGACGACGCCGGCGATAACAAACCATGGAAAAACACGGCCGCGACCGCTGCCAAGGACTTTTGGGACGCTAAGGACCAGTGGTACAAGACTTGGGAGAAGGATGATGTGGCTATGAAAGTTGATTCGGTTAAGATGTGGAAGATGTGCTAGGTGGGGTTGGGTCCTGCCGGGCTGCCCCGGGCCCTGAACTGGAATCGGGCCCTGCCTACAGGCATCAGTGTAGTGTCTGTCGTTACAGTACCTACTTGTACCTTACCTGTGCCATATAGACTTGCCATCCTTGTAGACTTTAGACTTATATCAGCTTGTAGATAGAATTCGTTGACTCCTGTTCCTTTGATAGATTCCTGGACATAATCACCAAATGGAAAGATCGCTTCCGCTCCTAAAATACCGCATGTAAAGTTCGTTGTGTGACTATCGTAGTCACTGAATGGATATCGCGGAAGACGACCGCTATGTTCAGAGGGCACATCTCATCGTGGCTTCTCAAATGTATTGAGGGGGAAGTGTCGCAGACATTCGTTCGTCTCCAGCGTAATGACGCTAACTACCAAATCATGCGTTTTCCGACAACAACTTGTAATTACAGATGTGCAAAATGTGTACATGGGAAACCAACAAATCAAACTCCAGTAATGCACGGTGCGGATGGTGACGGTCGGAGCAAATGAGTATGTTCGTCCGTCGTCCTCGTGAAAAGCGATGCAGGCAAAGACAGAAAGGCGGCAATCAAAGCATGGTCGACAATCGGAGACCGTATCGGAAGCATGAGACCCCACTAGGTGGTTATCAACGATTAGACCATCGTATCTCCATCAAAATCGAGCTTGAACGTCGAGCACTCACCTGATCAGAGCAACGAGACCGGCCGGCATGAACTTGCCCGAGTTTGCGAACCGCATCCCCATTATCAGGAGCAGTGTCGCGCTTATCCCTGCATGTCCAGCAAAGAAGAGGCATATGTCAGATCGGCATTCCCGTAAGGCACCATCTCCTCCGAATGGTTCCATGATCGCATTGCCCTTTTCCGTCCCGCCAGTCGCCGTAACGACCGCCTCCACGCAACTCACCAAGCAAGAGCTGAAAGTTCTTCCCATTAGCGCTAACCTGTCTCGCGCCGATCCCCAACAGCGTGCCGGAAAACGTCCCGAATAGCAGCGAGACCAAACTCCCTATTAAAGACAGTCAACCATCTACATCATATTTCCCACTCCGAAGATAAATAGATGGGTTGTCGCAATTGACGGTACCTGCTCTTACGAAGCCGATGACGCCGCCGATGAACACGATCCCTGCGTAGGCGTACGCGAAGTAGTCGGGTTCTTTAGAGCTTAGAGCGCTGGGTTTCCTGAGTGGCATGTTGATTTAGTCTTTATGTGGGAGTGTTGTTGGAAGGATTCGAGCCGGTCTGGGAAAAGTGGGAGGTTCCGTTTCGGAGCCCTACGTCACCGCTTCCGCCCAAATTTCGAAGCGGCCATCGATGTTCAACGCGTTTGGACTTGTAAAAGACAGACAACTTTGTATTCTACATCTGTACACAAGCGCCTCTAGTTCTAGAAAGCAAGCCACGGCGGGCAAGGCGGAGTGGAACCACATCCTTTCCATTCGGTTTTGGATCGCACGGCTCCCATGCTATGAAGATAATAACGTGATGTCCAGCGAGATGCCCTCTCGATTGGGGAGGGCCATAAGATGCCTCTTGGAGACCGGATCTCCATGGCTGTCGAAAGATCCATCCACGTGGAACACGAATCCATCGCGCGTTGATATCCTCCGCAATCCCGTGCAAGCGACCGGCGGCAACGAACAGGACTCGAAATCAGCTAGAGTCTCCAAGGTGGTTCGGCCGGTGCAACTTCTGTTCCGCGACACCTCTCATCTCTGAGGATCTCCGCCATCCGGGGCCATGATTCTCATGAGATGAGATGTGTCGCAGTGGAGGTTGCCTCGGCCTCCTCGGGGTATCGAGCTTAGTCCCTGGAAGGTCGCGATTCGTATCTGCAATCCAGGGCGCTAACCAGATGCGGCTGAGGATGAGATTTGATGCATATTGTACTCAGTACGCATCCCCGACCCTTTCCTCTAAAGCGTCCACCAACGCCCGCCCACGTTCCCAGTGTGCAAGAGGCGCCCTCAATGACCTAGAGCAGGTCACCCTCCTCGTCTTCGTCATCCTCCAACAGATCGCGCACTCCCTCCACGACCCGCAAAACGACCTCAAGGACCCCAAGCTTGAGCAGCTCTGTCCGCTTCTCCATAGCGTCCTCAGAAATAGCGACCATCGGGGCCAACAGCTTTAGGCGTCCTGTCATGAAATTAAGGTCACCAAGATGGATCGGATTCCATTTGACGCGTAATGGGTTCTCCAAATCTTTCTGAGCCGCCTCCAGCCCAGTCCTTTTCCCCTTCTTTCTCACTATCAGCAGAAGCTGAGGTCCATCTAGCTGAGTAGCAGCAGCTGGGTTTGAGTATTGCACCTGCACTAAAAACGCGTTCGAGCTGAAGTTGGCCGGGTATTCCCAGTCAGACCGCCGGAATGAATTGTCTCCCCTGAATGTGGGCAGGCCTGCGGCGACGGAGACCCCTGCCCCGCTGACGACTACGATATTAGGCGCTTCACGCAGGAGTTTAAGACACTCCTCCGTTTCACCGTCAAAGTCCTCGGAAAAGCCGTCGGAGTGCGCATCAGGTCGGGATTGGCCCCGCGTGGAGGACCGGCTCGGTACGTCACCTCGCATGAAGCAATTATGATGGTACTCGGCAAAGCTCCCATCGGTGGACTTCGATAAAGCAAAGACACGAAGGCTTACGGTCAAGCCGACCACAGTGGCTCCGAAAAAATACAAATGGGCGTCTGCCAGGCCCATCATATTATAGATGTCGAGGGTCGGTTTGCTGACGAGGGCGAGTTGGATCAACGGGTCGAATCTATCGGAATCTGGGGAGCCATCCCCGGATCTGCACGCGAGGGCAAATAGGGGCAGGTCCAGTTTCGGGACTACGAACTCTTTACCTAAATCTCGCGCCACCTTCTCAAAAGCATAGCCGAGGATGGCGACGATGAAATCCGGATGGGGCGGTGAACATTCAATCGCAACTGTCCGCGGCAGCGGTACCGCAACACTCGACTGATCTATAAACGCATCGTAAGAGTCCAGTGGGAAAAAACGAGAAACCAAACTCGACACCCGCCGTTCGACACCAAGGTCGCCTACGCACAGCTGCCTCATCCATCCGCAGGTGTGCTGTGAGAACGAGAAAACCCGAGACCCAGACGAAGAGTTGAACCGAGCTTTTTCGGACAGGATGGAGACGTGGGAAGACATGGGTGAGGCAGCTGGTGCGAAAGTGTGCAGAGCATGAAGGGTTGGAAGACGAGAAGTTGAGATAAACTGAACGGTTTCATCACGTGAGCATCGCGCTGTCATTTACATGATTTCTACTCGCAAGGCTCCCACCCTCCAAGACCATGATGGACGGTCAACACGCAAACGACCGTATGCACACCCATTCGATTCACCCGGTCACACATAAGGTAAGAAAAAGAAGTTCATCATTCAATACACAACCACTAATCATACAAATGCCCCTTATTGAGCTTGAGACGAAGCCGGCTCCGACGCAGCAGCGCCCGCCCTTGTCGCCTTGGCGCGCTGGTAATACTCGGCCAGCACCTTCTGTGGAATTCGGTTGAGCATTTCCTTGGGGAAGATACGCAGGAGGGACCATGCCAAGTCCAGGGATTCGAAGATCGTGCGGCCTTCGTAGTAACCTGATTTTGTGATAAGAGGGCTGAGAGTCGCGAAGACGGATGAGGTGATGGTAGAGAATAGACCTACCTTGGGCGATGAAGGTTTTCTCGAACTTGTCCAGGAACTCGAGAGCGAGCTTGTCTTCCTGGTTCAGGGCTTCCTCTCCGACGACTGCCTTCATGGCAGCGGCATCTCGTCCGATGGCGTACTTGGCGTACTATAACGCGACGTTTATCAGTGATCAACGCGTGACAACGAGAGCAAACGAGTAGCGTCTACATACCAGCTGATTGGAAACATCACCGTGGTCCTTCCGGGTGAGCTTCTCACCAATGGCACTCTTCATCAAACGAGACAAGGATGGGAGAACATTGATTGGTGGGTAAATCTGGGAGCAAAGAATGTTTGAGTGAGTAAGTCTCCAGGCATAAAGTCGGAAACGAGGACTCACCTGTCGGTTGTGCAACTGACGGTCAATGAAGATCTGTCCCTCCGTAATGTAACCAGTCAAGTCGGGAATGGGGTGAGTGATATCTGAACCCAGGAAAATGTCAGCATATACATTCCTTCATAGTGCAGTCGATAGAAATGAAACAGGACGCACCATCGTTCGGCATGGTGAGGATGGGAATCTGGGTGATCGAGCCGTTCCTTCCTTGCACACGACCGGCACGCTCATAGATGGTGGACAAATCCGTGTACATGTAACCTGGGTAACCACGACGCCCGGGGACTTCTTCACGGGCAGCAGACACCTATAACGAGATGTCAATAATGGTAATTGAAGACAGGAATGACACCCGCAGTTCAGACATTACCTCACGAAGAGCGTCAGCGTATGAACTCATGTCGGTCAAGATGACCAACACGTGTTTCTCGAGTTGGTAGGCGTAGTACTCCGCGGTCGTGAGAGCCAGACGTGGGGTGATGATACGCTCGATGCTGCAGTTCGATATGAGAAAAAGAAAAGATGGAATACATGACAAAAGCGCACTTACGTAGGGTCATTAGCCAGGTTCAAGAACAAGGTGACACGCTCAAGCGAGCCATTCTCCTCGAAGTCTTGCTTGAAGAACCGCGCAGTCTCCAAGTTTACACCCATAGCTCCAAAGACAATGGCGAAGTTCTCCTCGTGTCCATCCAAAACGCCCTTGTCGATCTTCTTGACCAAACCAGCTTGTCGACAAATTTGGGCAGCGATCTTAATGAGGGAGTTAGATGTTGCCCACAGGAACGGCTCAGTTTCAGGTCACATACTTCGTTATGTGGTAATCCAGCGGCTGAGAAAATGGGAATCTTCTGTCCACGGGCGATAGAGTTCATGGTGTCGATGGCCGAGATTCCGGTCTGAATCATCTCCTCGGGGTAGATACGCGAGAAGGGATTTATAGGTTGACCTATCAGAAGTTCCAGTGGAATGAGACCACAACGTTTTTCCACTCGTGCCACCATCAAGGGTGGAGACAAAAAATCATACCTTGGATGTCAAGGTAGTCCTCCGCAAAGACCTTTGGCCCTCTGTCGATCCCCTTTCCAGATCCGTTAAACACACGACCCAACATGTCCTCAGATACTGGAATCTTGAGCGTGTCACCCGTGAACTCGACCCGTGTCGCTTTAGCATCGACTCCCGAGGTTCCCTCGAAGACTTGGACGATAGCCCTTTTCCCTTGCACTTCCAGAACTTGTCCCGAGCGCTTCGTTCCATCCGGAAGTGTGAGCTCCACGATTTCGGCGTATTTCGCGAACTACAGTAGAGTACGTGAATATCAGGGGAGGCTCGCTTTGGATGCATGCAAACTCGGATGGGCGTCCTACCTTCACGTTGTCCAGGATGACTAGAGGACCGTTCACACCGGCAACGGTTCTGTAGTCTGTACGGAGGAATACAGTCAGCCCTTGTATGCGTGTGCATGATGCATTGGTCCCGGTTGGGAGCCGGAGAGATGGTATTCCGAGACGGAAGATGCACGTGTGGCTCCATCACAAGTCGGCCATCGCCGGAATCGAACCAAGTCCTCCTCCTCAGTCGGTCTCGCAAAGCTTACCAAGGCGAGGCTCCACAGCGTAGTTCCGCGTGACAGCTGCTGCGTGGATTTTTGCCGCTTCGTCTGAGGTTATCCTGGGGTCCGCCATCCTGGCTTGTTTGTCACTATATCGCGCGCAGACACAGTTAGGTCGAGCGCCAGGGGAGAAAGCAGCCGCTTCAGAGTACCAACGATATACTCACGACCGCTGTAACGAGGTTTAGTTTGAGTTGTGTTCCGCGTGGGAAAGTGCAGATGGAGGAGTGGTGCTTGAAGGCAGTTGGGATTCCTGGGAAGCTTTGAATGACGAAGCGCCCAGTCAAAGAAAGCCAGCCTCATACCCATGTCGTGTCTTTTTACAACACGGGCGACTCTTTTCCGAACGCAGTTTTTGCCGCGTCCAGACATTGCGCTCTTTGCGCTCCAATCTCCTCTCCGTTGCAAGTTCCCGCTGGCCTCGCAACGACTCAACGCGGAAGCACTGCAACTCCCTCCGCAGACATCTGCAAGACCAACCTCACCATGGCAGAGCCCCGCATGTTCAAAACCTTCTACGGCTGGTAAGCGCCTCCCTTTGGCCTCACCACTCACTTCCTTCCCGCAACCCTCCCGAATTCACGCACTCTCCCTCACAGGGCCGCAGTGACAGGCATAGGCTTCGTCACGCTGTACTTTGTCCGCAAGTCGATAGCACAGCGAAGGAGAGAGGAGCTGCTGAGGGAGTTGGGCGAGGAGCGGAGGAGGATTACTACCATTCGGTAGTGCACGGAGCGGCTATGGGTAGAATGCCTGTGCTTTAGGTGTAGAAGACGGGTGGGATGGGCAGAACGAGGGCAGGACGATCTGGCGGCGCTGAAATTGTTTTCGGTGACCGAAATTGGGACAGGATTGGACGGATACCGAGAAGAATAGGGAACATATCTAGTTGCTGGGCCGTGCCTTGCTCCTCAATGGGTTTGGAGGGGTTCATTCTCCTCTCCTGAGCTCGACGAAAACCGCGGCCTGGAAATCGAAACAACGTCTCCATGATGTCGATAGTTTTCAAGCGTAGACCACCGCTCGCATGTAGTCTCTCCATGACGACATCTTGGACGAGCCGCCTTTTGTTTGAGCGCTCGATCGTCGGACGAATAGGATTACTCTTACTCCTCTACGGCGACACCCCGGATCGCCATCAACACGCCTTTCCCTGCCCCCATTTTTCATGCAAACGGGTAGTGTAGCACAGTAAGCGATGTCTTCGCATTGGAGGGCTGCCATCTCCTCGAACTACCTGAGCGGCTTGATCTATTCGGAACAGAATCGTTCTCATGAGAATGTTGCGTCTGCAGTGTATCGCTACTAGCTAGGTTGAGGTTCTTGGGAAGACCAGACATCAGAGCATATTCTGGGATGAAAGTGTGTGCTCCTGGGTCTAAACACAACGTCGACCGCGACGATATATGACCATAGAAGTGTCTCTCCACTCTTGAGCAATTGAAATACGCCAGACAGCATTGTGCTCATCGGAGTGAGCAGAGTGGACATGAACAAATGAGAAAGGCGACGTGGGAAAAATGCACGGTGCAACCGGACGGTTTGTGCTGCGCGTTTCCCCACTCGTTGACCCTTCAAACTGTGCATCTTTTGCATGCTGGGCCCTGGGACATGTGACTACAGAATGGACTTTGGAAACGGAGGGAAGCGAGACTCATCTTTGCCCTGTGAGCTGCGTCGTTACCGTGAGCCCTTACGAACCAACTCCGATATAGCAGCTCGCCCGCCAGAAGGGGAGCCCTGAGTTGGAAGATAGATAAAGGACCTCGCCCATAGAGGTCTCGAACTTAACTGACCATGCCTGGAGCAAGGGAACGTACGCTGACATTGGGGGTGGGAATCATCCACGTATTGCTCGCTTCCTCCAGCTTTCGATGTTGGTTTGGACCTCTCCCACGCTCTTGCTTTCGCCACAGTTACTTGGTATACTGGTACGCCCGGACGCTTCGAGGTACTGATCCATATATCGCAAGTATCACCTGAGGATGGTCTGAAGCGTTGATGCGGGGGCTAAGTGATAGATGCTGCACTAACTCGCTGGCCCAGCTTGAAGCGTTTGCATAACGAAGCGGAGGAAACCCGCGAAACTGCTCGGAATCGGCTCGGACTCAAAGCGCCCAAGTCACCGAGCATGGGAGCTTGCCCGATCCATCCCCCGTCTCTCAGGGACCGTCACAACGGGTTGGAGTTGGACCAAGTATGGTGCTCTCTCTTATCAACCTGGATGACCTTACGGGAGAAAGATGGGCTATCTTCCAATGAAATCGCCTGCTGAGATACTGAACATGGACCGTTCACGTAGCATCAAGTGACATGGTCGATCGACGACTGCGACTCGCATCGAGATGGGAGGCACAGGTGGGCAAGGATCATATGCAGGTTCTGGTGTTGCAAGCGGATCCCCTACACACCCGCTGAGATCGGCGTAGAAGAGCCAATGCTGAGGTGCCTGAAGGTATGGTTGATTGCCATTATTTCCAAGTCATATGTTACCGTCCAGGCATGCGTACGAACAGTATGAAAAGGGTCTGCAGACGCAACTCAGCCTACTTCACGTTTTCTTCTGGCTCACCACGTCCTCAGTAAGGTAGCGTGGGAGTATGAAGGTCTGGAGCGACCTCCTCGTCGGTATTCAACATGGAACGGCGCCGTCATCCCAGCAAGTTGACAGGGATCCATATCCACCCACACGTCGATTATTTTTGCATGCAGCATGTTGTTTGTGCGTGGGTGTTGAGTCGATCCTGTCCGAACGGCGAGAGTTGGCGCCAAAACGGCGGCCTGTCCGTCTCCACCGTCACCTCAAAAGTCTCAAGGACCAACCCAAACCCGGTCGGTTTTGACAACCTGCCCAGCTGCCTGCAATAGCGGCCTTGGGTTTCCAGTACCGCCATTCCATCCAGTTCCTCCGTTACTCCCGCTTCCTGTGCCTGTCGGCTGGCAAGTGCGCTCAAACCACACTTTGCACGCTTCGCACCACTATCCAACCTACGGCCTTCAAATTCAGCTGGAAAGCCAGTCCTGCAAAGCTACTCCACTCAATACTGCAGCCTTTTCAGCGACTGAATACCCCGCCCACTGTGCATGTGTTGCTCTGTTGGAACTTGGAACAAAACGAAAGCGTTCGTCTAGAGGTTCTGTATGACAGAATACCCCGACTCGTTCTTGGAGAGCCATTCTAAACAGAGCGCTCCTCGTCAATTTCACCGCTTTACTCGTCGAAAGCCGGTCACTGGGAAAAAGAAGATAGACGCTACAAGCCCCTTTTCCACTCCTCGCAAAGTTTTCGTCGAAAACGGAGAGTTAGGCGAGCATAGATAAGCTTAACCCTAGTCGTTGGGGCGAAACTTTTACGTCGAAACTCCGACGGCACGCCATAGGAGCCCTAGAGAGCGAAAACTGTCGGAGCCGAGCGCTATATACTCATCACAAAACGGAGGACTTCGCCCTTTGGAAAGTCTCTCGAAGTTGGCCTATATATTAGTCCTATCACCATAGTCGGAATCTGCCTCGATTACATCCCATCAACGTCCGTCAAAACTGTTAACGAGCGAAACCCTCGGCCTAAGACGATCACCTCGACCGGTAGGGGCTCCACAAAGGGAGCCCAGTTGGCTAATCATTTGAACTACGATCGGGGAGGGAGATACTAGCAATGGCCAGCCCAGTATCGACGATGGGAGGGCGGAGTACCAGCAACAGAGGCATCATCAGCACGAGCAATGCGAAAGCCGTACCAACGCTCTCCACCACACCAAACAAGCCATCACCGCAACGACGCCCATCACGACAACCAACAACAGGGCTATCAAGTTCACCCGGCAACAAAGTCGCGTCGCTCGGGAAATCCGCAGATGCGCCGATGCCTACTTCCCCAGTCAGAGTCATCCGTGCAGCGCCTACCGTCCTGCGAAAGGTCTCTACCGATTCTTCTGAGGACACAGGAAGCTCAGGCGTTAATTTGAAGGCAGGAAAGAACGGGTCCATACGGCCCAAGATACCTGCGGCTCTCGACCGAGTCGCGTCTACGACGTCGGTAACCTCGTCTGGAACGTTTGGCGGCACATCGCCGACGTCCAGCGTGTTCTCGACACCGAATGGGTTCAAGCGACCAGTAACCACGGCGAGTAAAACGACGATCCCGACTACGGCGACGATAAAAGTGAAGCTGCCAAGTCATATGCAGAGATCGAACACCAAGCCCGCCAGTCCCGGTGGCTCCCCGAATGCAACTCTCACGAACACTGTTACAAGTGCCGTACATCTTCCTCTGGATATCGCGTCGGCGGCCGAGGGTACACCCGATCGGTGTAAACATTGTCGGTCGACGGCTCGATCACTTGATCCGGTGGAGTTGGGGATACAGGCGAATGATAAAGCCGTGCGGAAGGTAGGTTGCACCCGAAGTTCGGAGAGGAACCGTGCGTCGAATTCTGATTATGTCTTGAACTTTGCAGATTATGGACTTGGAAATCGCAAACTCCTCCTTATTGGCGGTCAACACGTCGCTCGAGAACACGATTCGTCAACAGGCACAGGAGATGGAAGCTATGCGGAGAGAAGCTGCGAGGTATGTTATCATGTCCTGCGATCACTGATCAGACACTTCAAACTGACAATACTCCCAGATTGAAGGAGCAAGCAACGGACGCGCAGAACGAAGGCCCACGAATAGATACCCCCAGTACGCCTCTAATGGCGTCAACCACATTCGAAACCGGTGCTAACGGTACCAGCCTGGCCGCCCTTCCATCGACCGCGAAGTCGTCAACTCCGGCGGGGCACACTGAATCAGAAGCGGAGACTGCCCTGGATTCTGTGGAACATACTTATGCACGCATCCACGCTCTCATGCAGCTCATGTTGACTGATTGCAAGAACTGTCTCCTGTACACACCGCCGGTTCACCCGTCTGCTGCCGCGACGGTGACGGTGGTCGTGCCTACGCATGCGATCGGTAGGTGTCCCCGTTTGATACTTCACCACCCTACTGTTTGTCCTGGGTGAGGCATCGGCCAACATTTCTACCGGTCCATAGACATCGAAACACAAGCCCGTCAAGCCCTCGCGCGCAAAGACAGCCAGTCCGGAATACAAAAACCGCCCGTGGTCCTGCAGACCATCACCGCACGTCAACCAAAACTCCCCACCAAATCCCGATCAAAGCCCTCAGATACCGATTCCCAGTCTTCCCGCACATCGCCTGTAACCCCGACCGAGGACGCGCATGAATTCACTACGGGCGGGCATAGGACGCCAGGTCGACGAACCAGGACCGCGAGCGGGTCCGACCTTTCTGTGGATACATCTGGAAACGCCTTAGCGCGGTCAGGGCAACCAGACGACGACCCCTCAAAGAACCATGACACCGACCTCCCCACCGCCGCCGACCTCCAACAATCCACGCTTACCCCTACCACCCGCCGCAAATCCATCTTAATGCCCCCCGTAGTCGATTCGCCCACCCATCCATACCTAGACGACCCGTACTTCCTCGTCGCGGAACGCGAACGTGAACGTGAACTGGAACGGGAACGGCGGCGGGTGTGGGGGGATACACCGCCACGGGTGAAAGCGGCACCGAGGGGGTTGAGGGCGGGGTATGGGAGTGTGCGTGCGGGTGGGGCAGCGGCGCCATATGGGTTTGCGGCGGCGAGACCGTATGCGGGTGGTGGTGGAGGGGCGACGATGGTGTCGCCGGGGTCGGTGCATATTAGGGCCAGGCCGGATGATGTTGCGTCGCTTTTGTCGGATTTTTGAGGGGAGGTGGAGGTTGAGGGAAGTGCAGGCGGCCGCGGCCTTTGCTAGGGCGTGACGGTTGCATCTCGGACTCGGGGTGGGGATACCGCGAAAGCCCATCGTTTAAGCCGTGGAAGTGCTCGGATGAATAACATGACTTTGCAATATCACTCCAATCCACGTTATCGGTTAGCGGAACACATTGGAACTGCTGCCCCCACCATAAGCACGGGTCCTTCAAGATCCGGCGAGCCACACCATACATCAAGGACGGCGATCAGATGGCCGCGGATAAGCCATTCCACATACTTACTCGGAGGAGGCGGCACCCGGTTGTCTCCAATCTTCACACCCACACCGCATCAACGGCATCTCGACACCCACGCCCTACACAGCATGTGATGGCGATTATGAGGAGAACTGTGATGGATAGCGTAGTCTTGCTTGTGGATATAGACGGCGGCCGGTTTCCGCGACAAAGACTTTTAGAGTAGACGGGGGTTAGGAATGGATGCACTATGCATTGACGGGATGTTAGGTGCCTGTCAAACACAGTCTGCCCAGGTCTCCGACCTCACATTCAAAAGCGTCCATGAGCGGGCTGCAGCAGTGCATGCTATTGCAGCACCGACCTCCGCTGCGATGATCACAAATTCAATCTGTCAGACTACGCCCCAAAGTCCATCGTTAGACTTTTGCATAATGTATATTTACGTATGGTGCGAGATTTGAGAAGGATTGTTGTAGCTGTGAAAAATGTTTGACATCGAGTGCTGAACAACATGCGAAATAATGTGATGCGCAGGAGAGAGTAGATTCCTGGGGGGAAGTGAATGAAAGTGACCTTGGATGGGCGCTTGCTCCGCGCAGCCTACACATTTCAAAGTCTTGCCCTCTGCATCAGCTTCCCAGGAGTCCTTTCCGACGCAGGGGTAGGGACAGAGTGCAGGGCTGTGCCATTGATCAGAGTTTCTTTATACAAACAACACGGTGACACCCCAAAACAAAACAAAAAATGGAAGAAATGTACATCACAGCTCCCTGGTAAATCTATATACACCCCAAAAATTCTTTTCCCATCCCCCTCCCAGGGCCAAATCCCCCCCAACCCCCCTCACAAACTCACCCCTTTTTTCCCCTCTCTTCCACCCACCTCCTACACCACTCTCCAATCTTCTCACTCTTCCCCACCGTCGGGACAACCTTCCCTACGGACTTTCCCACCCCCTTCACAAAGCTCTCCAGCTCGCTAAAACTGCTATGCTCCGAGTACGGCACTCCCAATGTAACTAACCGAACCTGTTTCCGTTTCGAACTTGCAGGGATCGGCGCACCGCTTCGCTGTTTGTTCACGTCTGTCTCGATGTAGATGGAGCTGTAGGTCGGGTTGAGGCTTTTGACAGAATAAGCTTCGCCGCGTTTTTCTTCTTCTATTGGGTCGGCGCCTTTACGCGGTCTGAACGTCCATCCTGTGGGGCGGATGCACAGGACGAGGTCGGGGTCGAGGTTGAGGCGGCGGATGTAGGAGAGGACGTCGGTGGGTTTGAGTTGGGACATGGCGACGAGGTGGATGGCTGAGGCGCGGGCGTCCAGGGATCGTGGGGTTCGGGTGTCGTCGTCCAGGGCGGCGGTTGAGGGGGAAAGGGTGTGAGCTAGGGTGCGGATGAGCTGCTCGTCCTGTAATGCGTAGAGCACGCGGCGTTTAACGGCGGTGCAGAAGACTGTGGTGTGGAGACGTGTGGCGATGGATTGGAAGATTTTTTCTTTGCCGATGGTGTAGGTTCCGACTAGGATGAGAATGTTATGTGGGTTGGTGCGGGGCGCGGCGGGTGGGGCGGGTGTGAAACCGAGGTTTTGCTTGTTGAAATCCAGGAGGGATTGCTTCGGGGTGCCGGTGGCGCCGCCATTTGATGGTGACTCGGTGGACTTGGCTGTGCCATTGGCCGATGCCGCGAGGCCTAAAGCGGACCCCATCCATTTCCTCAACAGCCCAACAGCGCCATGTCGTTCCGCCTCCCCACCCGCAACGATGTGCTGCGCTTCCTCTCCCCGGTATAACCGAACCGCAAAGTCGGTGACGGCACCCACAACCAGATCCTGTGGCGGGAATCTATGCGATGGCCCACAGTACGTCGTATCCAGGTACACGATATCAATATGTCGGTCCCGTAACAGTGGATGTGTCAGATGTGACGGGTGGGCGCGGAAGTCCCCGGTGTGGAGGTATCGTTTACCGCATGGAAGATCAAAGACGAATAGAACTGCGCCTGGACAGTGATTTGCGTCTATTAAAGTGACTGTCACGCCGAGAACGTCAAATGGGGTTTCCATGGGTAGGCGGATGATGTATTGTTCATCGACACGGAGTTGTTGGATGACGAGATTCCCGGTGACCTCGGAACAGTAGATGGGACCGTAGTTAAAACGGTGATTCAGGCCGCCGTAGTGATCCGAATGAAAATGGCTGCCATACGCAGGACAACGGAGATGAGAGATGAGAACGAGTATGGCGTGCAGGCAACCGGTTCATCCAACATACGTGAGGAAATACGCAAGACATCCTTCCACGCGACCGTACATGAACGCATCGACAGTGAAGCTCGTCTCAGGCATGCGTTTGTACCACGGACACGGTCTTCTCTTTGCAATCGCGTATCCATTCTCGACCTTCGCATCCGCCGTCAAGAAGGGATCACTCTCCCAGGTCGCTTCAGTTTTGACTGGCCCCTCGGCGCCTTCCTCCAACTTGAAGGATGAGCCACGAGCCGGACTAGCCCAGTCGATCGCGTCCCAAGCATCATTGCCCGCCAGTTCCAATTCTAAATCATCGCCGTATAGTTGGGAGAAGTACTCGTCCTGGTCGGATTCACTCGCTAGATCTGCGCAGGAAGCGGCATCGATTGCGTCCATGGGATCGGTCTCTTGTTCCGCGGGACTTTCGGTGACGGGCAGAGCTTCGAAGTTGGGTATAGGGGACATTGAAGGCTCATTCTTGATATGTACGGCGATGTGCTCAGTTACTGACGTGACAGGCAGATTGTGATCCACGGATATTGATGCTACAAAATCCAGCTCTGATGCGGGAACCTCTAGTTTACGCCGCCTTTCAACCTGATCTTCGCTTCTCTCGCCCGAGCCATCAACACGACATACAGAAAGTATGGCCGACCCAGCACTCTCTACGCGCGTTCCAGAACTTGCGCCCGATGTGGCCTGATCCTCAAAGTCCATCAGCTCAGCGTCGTCCCCAAACCCTTGCTCGGCCAGTGCATCCAGACACTGGTTGACATGCTGATTGACCTATTGGATTTTTCGAATCGTGTCAACTCTTCCAGCTACCAGCAAGCGCGTGAAAACCCCCAGTGCAAGGTGCGGGTGGGAGCATTTACGTTCGCATACCTTCACACCGCTTCCACCGCTCAGCTGTATCCCGCATACTGGACATAACAGCTTGCTTCCATCCTCTGCATATCCAACACCCGCCTCACCCTTCTCAGGGTTCTCCTTCGCGTCCGCGGCGTCCCTGTTTGCTGGCCCACGACATGCGGCAAAATAGTCCGTGAGAGTGGAACCCTCTGAAGTCAGCGAGGCCGGTGCCGACGAGGAGCTTCCGCGAGCCTTCTTCTTTGAGTTTTGCCCTGCTGGTTGAACGTTGGAGCCTTTTCGCTTTTGCATTGGGGGGAAAAAAAATAGGACCCGACGGCTCTGCTAACTATACGTCCAAAGTGAGGGCCCGGGAAAGATATTGAGCGTGGAAGCAAGCGTATCGAAGTGCTTGTCCCGCATCGCCCAGCAATGGTGTTTGGTTGTCGTTTACGCCTTGGGATGCCCGACGTCGTTGGACGTTTTTTCCCCACGAACAACCAGAGTCTCTTGAAAGACATGGCGGGAACGAAATGAGATGCACAGCCACGCGCAGTCCGATTGTTTGTCCAATTGCTCGTCACCGCATTTCCATGTCTTCCCCGAGAGGACCGTGGGAACCATCTCTGGGTGTCTTTCTTTCAGAGGGCTATGCCGCAAACATACAGTAACTCAAAACCTCGACTCATCGTATCCGCCATCACGGGCAGGCCGCAGACAGACAGTCAGACATTTCCCTCGACTACAGAACGACGCTCTCTCCTCTGCACTCCACATTTTACCAGACGGCCACAATACGGAAGCTTTCTCCGGCTGAACAACGGTCGTTCTACTCTACTACGCGTCGGCTGTCAACTTCACATCCCAACCGCCACCCACTCCCATAGATATAGCAGGGCTAAATAGACGTCTCCATTGATACAACATCAGGCTCGCACAATGGCACCATCTGTTCTTGTTCTCGGTGGTGTCGGCTTCCTTGGAAGGCACCTCGTCGCTTACTTGGTCGAAAACGATATTGCCGCGAACATCCGAGTCGCTGACAAGGTCCTCCCGGCTACGGCCTATCTTTCCGACAAGCTCAAGAAGGTCTTTGAAGACAAGAGGGTCGAATTCAAGCAGGCGAATCTGGCCAACCCTGGTAAGCAGTGGAGGCGGACTGGGCATTCCGGCCTCATTTTCAGTTCGTGGGAGGTAGTAAGATGGTGGGCCATTCTAGAGGGACAACTTGGGCCATGGGCAAACGCGTGGGAAGGATTCTCACTATGACCGAGTGACTTACCTCCCAATTCCAATTCGTTCTTTCTTCCTTCTCATGCAGCCGCCATTGAAAAGATATACACAAAGGACGACGGCTCAGCGTTCGACTATGTCATCAACCTCGCTGCCGAGACAAAATACGGGCAGTCAGACGAAGTATATGACGAACGAACATATCAGCTGTCCGTTGCTGTCGCAAAGGAGGCTGCAAAGCGGAAGGTCAAGGTTTTCGTGGAAGTGAGCACTGCTCAAGTTTACGAGTCGGATAAGGTTCGCACATCTTGTTATTGAGACTGTTGAACGTGGGAAAAAGTGCCAAAGCTGACCAATTTTTTGTCATTTCATCAATAGAAACCATCCACAGAAGAGAGCAAGCTCAAGCCTTGGACTGCTGTGGCGAAATCGAAACTGAAGGCGGAGGAAGAGCTAAAGAAGATTCCAGGGTACTCAGGCGGCATCTGTGTTGAGCAACCGCAAAACGACTCCATATTGCTAAAACCCTACTTGACCTTAGTTTGAACCTGGTTATCGTCCGACCTGCTCTGGTATACGGCCCCGGTGATGTCTACGGCATCAGTGAGTTCTTTCTGGGCATCAGAAATCATGTTTTGTTTATGGATTGGGCACTAAAACGAAATTCGTAGCCCCGCGTTTGATTATGGGAGCCGTTTACAGACAACTTGGCGAGAAGATGGAGCTCCTCTGGACAAAGGATTTGAGGATGAACACCGTCCATGTTACTGACGCCGTACGTCGACGGAACCTGGCGCTTTTTAGTCAGCGAGGTTTCCATGTATTTACCGACATGTACGCAATAGGTCCGTGGGATATGGCATGTGACCGGGACAACGGCTGAGAAGGGTGGCAGAACAGGCCCAGTGGCCAGCCCTGAGATTTACAATCTCGCTGACCACAACGAAACAGGTAAATTGCGATAATGGAGCATTGGAAATATCGGCGACTGCTGACCATTTTCATGAATCTAGATCAAGGCAAGGTCAACGAATTGATCAAGGCTCTTTTCGGAATCGATACCGGTTTCCAAGGGACAATGATCAGTCAATTCGCCAAGGTGAGCAGAATCTTCCCCACGCACGCGTGGAACAATGCGTTCTGATGAGTTCCCATTTCCTACAGTTGAACTTGGAGTCGGTAACGGAGGATGTCAACGAGAAGCATCTGCAGCCCTGGTCCGAGTTGTGCAAATCAGGCGGTGTCACCAATACCCCGCTGACGCCCTTCTTGGACAAGGAGTTGTTGAAGGACAATGCGTTAAGCGTTGATGGTTCTAAGGTGGGGTGTGGCAGAAAAACACCATAATCTGCTTCTCTTGGATTTGGGCGAGCAGGCTGACAAGTTTTCCGGAATTCACTTCAACCTACACAGATCGAAAAAACCCTCGGCTTCGAATACAAGGTCCCGAACATGACAGAAGCCAACCTCAGGGACGTCGTGACGGAGTTTGTAGAGAGCGGGATGTGGCCAAAGGGAACCACTAAATGAGCATCCAAGTCAGCCAAAACAAACATTTCCACACACTTTCACCACCCCCTATGAACAGGAGATAACCCTAAACCCCTTTTCTTCTGTGACACCCTCCCTCCCGCTGTTTATTCTTTTCTTTTCTTCGACTCTCATCGTAGGGAACTGGAAAATTTCATTTTCTTAGTGTATTGATGGTGTTCAGTTGTGATGCGGACTTGATAATCGGAAAGTGACCGCGTAACATCCCAACTTCGGCTGGAATAGGTCTCACTTGGAAACTGAATGCATGCAATTCCAACCCCCCATACAAAAACCGTCCCAAAAACCCCCTCACCCACTCACAACGCCCCCTTATTACTCCGGACCATCGCCCCCCTAACCCTCTCAAAAACTCTCTCTATCCCTTCCCCTCCCTCTCCACCATCATCAGCATCAATATCCTGCACAACCCCAACCGTCTCCCCCGGCTTCACCCCCGCCGGCGTGCGGCCCTTCCCCCCTTTCGCCCGGCCGGGCGCGTAGATGGAGAGGATATCGCTGTGTAGGGATGCTGCGGCGTCGATGCGAGATTGGGGGTTTGTTGAGGGGGAAGCTGGGGAGTGGAGGAGGCGGTGGAGGCAGGTGGCGGGTGTGGCGTGGAGGAAGAGGATCCTGTGTGTAATAAATGTGTTATCAGTGTTGCTGTATATGAGCACGTGCGATGGAGGGGGGTAAAAAGACTTACCGGTTAGGTACAATCCCCGCATCTTTCAGCGCATCCGCCTGCACTTTCGTCCGCGGGAACCCGTCCAGGACCCATCCGCGGTCGATGCAGTGGCGTTTTTGTAGGCGGTCGAGGATGAGGGGGAGGATTAGGTCGTCTGGGACTGGTGGGAAGAGAAGGGGGGTGAGTTGGTGGGGAAATAGGGAGGATGGGTTTTACTGGGGAGTTACCGGAATCGGGGTCGTTGATGTATTGGGCGTATTGGCTGCTTTTGGGGGTGGAGAGGGAGAGGAGTTCGAGGAGGACTGTGCGTGGGGAAACTACAAAAAACCGCCCCCAAGTCAGCTCCAGTTCCGCTGCGAAACATCACCCAATCCACCGATCGCAAGACCGATAAACCTACCAACAACAACCCCAAACTCCCTCCCCATCATCTCGGCCACCACCGTCTTCCCACACCCAGGCAACCCCGCTACCACACACCTAACCATCCTCGGCGCCCTCGTCACCTTCCCGCTCTCCACCTCCCTCACACACGCCCCCAACGCCTCATCCCCCTTCTCACTAATCCCCTCCCCCAACTCCACCGTCCGCACAATACTCCTATCAAACGCCTCAGTGACACCCCGGAGGTGTCGCCGGTACTGCGCGAGTCGTTTCCGGATTGCGTCGGGTTTGTCGGTTTGTCGTTGGATCAGGCGGGCGAGGAGGGTGGGGTTATCCGGCGGGGGGTTGGTGCGGAGATGATACAACCGATTCGTCAACGGGTCGATCCTGGTCCCCGTCTGCCGTTCCACAATAACTTCCTCAGGTATCTCAAAAACAATAATCCTTGTGGGCAACACGCCACGGGAGATCAGCCCTTTAGCCTGATCTTTTGTTCGCGGGAAGCCTTCGAGGACAAACCCGCGCAGGGCGACCTCGGGGTCTTGGAGGCGGGACATGACGAGGCCGAGCATGACGGCGTCCGGGACGTATTCGCCGCGTTCGAGGTAGGGCCGGGCTTGCGTGCCGAGAGAGGTTTGGCGTTCGATGGCGGTGGCGAGGAGACGGCCGGCGGAGATTTGGACTAGGTCGAGGGTGAGGGCTAGTTGTTCGGCCTTTTTCAGGGAGAGGGGGTGATTGGATGAGCTGATTTTGTCCTGTGCTCGTATTCGAATTGATGTTTGGGGCTTCAAACTTACAATTCTCCCCTGCCCCGAAGTAGGCGGTCCCAAAATCACAATCCCATGTGCTACAAACCCCCATAACAAAAAAAAAACCCCATCAGCACCAACCCTACTTTCTCACCTACTCCATTCCCCCAAACTCACTAGGACTCTTCTGCAACTGCTCAATCATAAACTGTATGGCATCGTCCGGTTTGTCGATCACCATGCGCCCGATGATGCCTTCGAACAGGTCGAAGAGCTCGTGCCGGTCTGCGTAGGAGGCCAGGGCTTGGATGTTGTCTGTGGGGAGGAGGTCGTTCATTTCGTTTGTGCTTCTCTTCTTTGTCGACCGTAGTTCGTCGTGACAAGAAACGGACTCGAGAAAAGGTATGGACATGCGGAGGGTCGGGACTTGGGGATGACGCGTGAAAATGACAGGATATCGACAGCGCGTTTCCGACCAAAACCGGAGCCAAAAGGAATGTTGCACGTAACGGTAGCGAAAAAGCGGACGGAGGTCTATGGTACTACAACGATTTCAAACTGGACTCCAGCAAATCCATTGACACCCCATCACACCACTGAACATACAAAAATGGCAACCAAGAAATCCCCCTCCCGTAGCACCTCCGCCTCCAAATCCGCTCTCTCCACCTCCCCTGGTCCCAAACCCACCACCGCCGCCCCCGGCTCCCGGGGCAACTCCGCCACCAAGCGCAAAGTCAGCGCCCTCCCTGCCAACAAATCCGTCTCCCAAGCCAACCTCGAAGTCGAAGGCGTCGAGCGGGTGGGGAGTAAAGCCGGTCTAGGTGTCACCGAGGAAACCGCTAACGTGACAAATGTGGAAGGGGAGGGGGAGAAGAACGGCAAACCAACGGTTGTGGTCCCGCAGGTGGATGAGAAAGCGGAGTTTTCGAAACGGGTTGAGGCGCTGCCGTTGCCGTTTGAAGTTTTGAGGACGGGGTTGAGTATGTTGGGGAGGGCGCCGAGGGAGTTGAGGATGGTGTTTGGGAAGTTGAGTCTTCCGGTGGGTGTACTTGACCATCTTTGAGTGGGGATAAGGGCGGAGAGTTGGATGTGTCGTTCGCTGATACGTGGACCGCAATTATTCCAGAACGCAGGATTCAATCAGCTGGACATGCTGAGAAACTATCCGTTTCTTCATACATTAGAGCTCCCCGGGAATGGAATCACAGGTAAAGCAAATTCTTCAACACACACGCCTAGATGCTTCACAGCATCAATCTAACATATTCATTCCACCTTACTCAGACGTCTCAGTCCTCGGCACCCTCCGCTACCTCACCCACCTCGACCTCTCCAACAACAAACTCCCCTCCGCCCTCGCATTCCACCCACCCCCGCACAACCTCCAATTCGCCGACCTCTCCAAAAACCAAATCACAACCATCCCAGACCTCTCCCCACACCGCTTTCTCCGCACACTATGCCTCGACCGCAACATGATCTGCAACATCGGGTCTGGATTACAGCACTGCGCGCATCTGACGCATTTGAGTTTGGTTAATAATGGGATTGTGGAAATTGAGGGGTTGGAGGGGTTGCCGTTGCAGTACCTGGATTTACGGTGGAATCGGATATCGAGGCTGGAGGGCCTTGAGGGGTTGGCGGAGTTGGAGGAGTTGCGGGTTGGATTCAATGATATTACAGAGTTAAGGGTCTTGAAAGGGTTGTTGGCGTTGCGGAAAGTGGATGTGGAAGGGAATGCGATTGGAGGGTTGGAAGAGAGTATGGCGGCCTTGGAGGAGTTGGTGCATTTGCGGGAAGTGCATTTGGGGGATAACCCGATCTCGCGGGTCGGTTCCTCGCGGGAGACGAACATGTCAACAGCAGCAGCAGCCCCAGCATCGCTACCCTCCCACCCCCCGGACGCAGATTACCGTCTCCGCATCGTCTTCCGCCTCCCGCGCCTCACAGTACTAGACGGACTCCCCGTAACTGCCGAAGAGAAAACAGCGGCAATCAACATGTTCAGCCCGCCGCCGCCCATGGTCGCCAGCGTGCAGCATGCGGAGATGCTGAAGAATTACGTGCTTCCGCGGATGGTTACGATCGGGAAGGTTGAGTTGATGAGAGCGAGGCGGTTGAGGCCTGTTGTGATTTGTGGGAGTAAGGGAGTGGGGAAGAGGTACGGTACAGTTCCTCGCCAACGTAGCAAAATTTGCAGCTAGTTCTGAATTTTCTCACAGATCCCTCGCCCAACGCCTAACAACCACACACCCCGACATCTACACCCTGATCCCCTCCCACACGACGCGGCCGCCACGGCCGCATGAGACAGACGGCGTCGAGTACCACTTCACCTCCAAAGCCGACATGCAGGCTGTCATTGAACAAGGCCGATTCGTGCAGGTCGCGGTCCTGTTTGGGGAGATGTACGGCGTGTGCGAGGATGTTCTGGATCGGGCGACGGAGAGCGGGCGGATTGGGGTGCTTTGTATGGAGTTGGATGTGAGTGTATGCGTGGGATGTCCTCCTTTCTTTGGTTCACTTCGATTCTTCACTAACGTTTTGTTTGACAGGGCGTACTATCACTCAAACGCTCCCCCATCAAATGCCACTACATCAACGTATCCGCGCCCGACATCGCCACATTACAAAGCCGCCTCCACGCATTGCACGGTTCTCCCGCCGATATACCCGCCAGCACGCCATCTCACTCTTCCCCAACACCCGGCTCGTTCTCTCAAACGCGGTTATCAGACGCCGATGGGTCCCATCAACAGCTCATCCCGATCGCACAATCGGACAGCCATGCGATGCATATTGTAGGACCGACGCAGAACCCGCCGAGTCGGGGAAGTACCTCCGGCCGGAGTGATGTGGCTGGTGGGGATGACAACACCAGCACCACCAACAATAATGAAGAGACCGACGAGACCGATGCTATCACCATGGCAAGTTCCGGCAGTTCCCGGCACGTTTCCGGACCAAGGACAGCGAGCCCGTCGGTTGCTTCGTCCATCAGTCGGCGGGAATCTGCGCAATCCCCACCGATACGGCGAGATCCCTCCACGCCGAGCGAAGTGGCCGATGAGCAGAGTGATAGCGGCGTCCAGGATGGTGGGGATGAAGGGCAGATCGGGCAGGCAGGAGCGGCACCTCACCTGACGCCGCGCTCGTTGACGCATCGGTGGTTGGTGAAAGCGGCGCTCACGAAAGCGCACGTGGATAAATACGCGGGATTGGAGGGGAAAGGACAGGAGAAGTTTTTTGATTTGAGAATTGTGAATGAGGACATGGATGCGGCTTATGCCGAATTGGAGAGCTTTTGTCTCCGGGAGTGGGAGAAGGTTAGGGATTTGGAGGAGTGACCGGATCATGGGGTGAAAGATGTTTTGCGAGTTTCCTTTTGCATCAATCTGATTGAATCGATCAAAGTGGGCTGGTGTTGAGCAACACTGCCTACGCCCGAGCATACGCAAATGTAGAATAAGTATACGACTCTCCAAAAAGTGTGAGACTTTCCATCAGTTCTAGGCTAGTTCTGTGGCAAGAAGGCTGACGTACACCGTTGACTTTTGCAGCCAATGTTCTCTCGGGGGAGTCCGGGTGAGGTAGTTTAACGCGGCATGTCACAACTCGATGGGGTCGACATGTGTCGCAAAGTAGCTGATGGCCTGGTGGTCATGGACGGTAAATCAATGCCCATTAACATTTGCAAGGCTACCTCGTTTTCCTCTCACCTTCAGCGGACACCTATTATACACTTCCGAAGCTTTGTGCTGCTCTCTCCGGCCATCTTTCCAAAGAAGCGTCATGACCAACTCCGAGCTTGAAAACGGGCTCAGTTGCGCATTTTCGATCCGATCCACAAGGTGTTCCCACGTGTTCGGAAGCGCGCTGAAATCGGCCGGCATATCCTCTACGGTATGCGAGGAGACTGCATCTAATCTTCGCGCTGCAGCCACTGAAAGCTTCTTCCGCGGCGGCTCCTCGACTGTTGGTCTGTCTTGTCGTCGCTTTCTGCTCTCTGATGTGGTGGAGCCTACTTCCGTTACTTCCTCTTCCTCGTCCTCCTCTGCGTCTTCGGTATGCTTTCGGGTTTCTGGGGGACGGCGTTGTCGCGTTGTCGCCCAGAAAGTTCTCAGCAAAACTTTACTGTGCTGGGCGAGAGATGGCCCGGAAGACGGAGGTCAACGTCAGATCACGGTGCTCCGCAACCAGGCGTCACTGCCCGGCTCACAAAACCCAGGGAGATGCACTTACAGCAAGGTTTTGAACAGGTTCCCATGTATTCTCACTCTCGTCGAAGCCCTCCCACTTTACATAGTATTGTGGACCAAGTTTACTATGCAATCGATATTTCAAAATCTGTTCCACTGCGTATTCTTCCTCCTCATCGTCCGCGCTGGATTCCCCCGAGCCACTATGGAGTGACATGGGTGACGCTGGAACGGCTTCCGCGTTCCCGTTTTCTGCAGTATGGCTCGTCTCGGTCTCTGCAGCTGGCTTGCTAGCTGACATATTCAACATATTGGACGAACCGGTTTCTCCAGAGAATTGAACCTCGGCCGATTCTAGTTCAAAGTCATCGGCAACAGGTTGCGTCTGCCATCCACCAACGCTTTCCTCTATACTCTGCGAAGCCCCTTCTCCTACGAAATCATTCGAGAACTGCGTTTCCCCCAATTCCGGAGTGAGAGCGTCGCGAAAACGTTGTTGGTCTTCTTCATCGCTGAAGATGTGGAGCTCTTCGTCGAAGTGTATCATGTGGTGGCGTTCAGGCTCGCCGTGCTCGTCGTTGCCGTTCTGGCCCTTGCGCATGGCCGTTCCCATTGATCACGGTCCTGGGGAGCGATCTTCCTATCCGTAAGCTGCGTCGTTGTTGGGAGTAGGGATAATGGGCTCCAGACTACAAATGCCTTGTCCAAGATTTCACAGCCCGGTTTCGCGCTTTTGACGCCAAAGCTTTTTCTCGGACTCCTTTAGCAGCCTTTAGCTCAGTTGCTTTAGTTGCTGCAGGTTCAACAACTCTGAGAACTCCGCAATCTCCGCAGAAGGACACAGGACTTGAGCACAAGGAGGAGAATTCACTCCACCCGCAGCATGCCACCAGCACTGCCCGCCCCGGCCTCCAGGCTGTCTGCCCTATCCGCCCTCCGCTCCAAAATACTACCACCAGCCCTCACACACCCCGCCACGACATCCTCCCCCACAACCCCAACAATAAAGTCCCGCCGCACAGCGCTGCTCACGCACTACCCGCCCTCGATCGATGTGACGAAACTCGCCGCGCAGGACCACCGGTTCCGCGCCCTCCCGCTGGTTGATCAGTGGAAGCAGGCCCAGGCGGAGAGGGAGGAGCGGTTGACGGCGAGAGGGAAAGCTGTTCGAGTTTCCGGTAAGTTTTTCCTGGCCGTTTGCAAGTCCGTCGATTTTGAAAGTTCTGCGCTGTGAGGACTTTTCTGACCGATGATTTTTGGTTTTTGCGCTTCAGTCGTTACGGGAATGGCAAAGAAGCCCGAAGGCAGCGGTGGTGTCAAGAAGAAGAAGAAGAAGTAATGTGGATAACAGGCTTATGGCTGGAGCCCTCAGCAACATTAGGAGCTTTGAGAAGCCGGGAGCAAAACGGAGGTGTTTGGGGGATTTGGCTGTAAGACTGGGAATGCAGAGCAGTGGAACAGAGAGCGATGAATGGAGAGGCGAGGACGGGAGGCATTGCAGAGGAGGGGAATGGTGGGAGGCGGGAGCATATTCGCGGCAACCGTCGCTATACGATAGCACGCCGCAATACGATACACAACACCGTTCAACAAATGAGAATGGAAGCTGCCCCTCTCGTACCTCGTCGTCTAATATCGGAGTCAGATGGAATCTTCAGTCTGGCGGTGCAACAACGACCAGCTATTCTCGATACTACCGAAGCTATCCACTCACCGAACATACTGCTCATTGATGGAAGATAGATTATTGATCGCGGGGTGGGATGTCTCTCCTTGTACTTCAAGACATTCATCACATATACACTGCGGCTCACATGGGTGAAGATATCGTTCAGACCGTAGGTCTTGCAGTAAGCAGAGTACGCCTGCAGTCCGGGCTTTTCCAGACGAAACACCGAAGAACGCGTATCAAAACGATTCGCAAGCAGATTCGCAAGACACGCTTTGGACCAGCAACCTTGTACAGTAGGTCTGCTTTTAGGTCGGGCATTGGCAACAGAGGCAACCTGGACACCATCATCTCAAGGTCAGCCGGGAAGCACTTGGAGTAACAGTGCAACACAAGCCGCCCGGACGGAGCTGTACACTGCTTGAATGGCGGAAGATGAACTGAGTGCCATATTGCCCACGTTGTACTTGAGTGGGTGAGTCGCTACACGTGAACAACTGGCTCCTGCAGTCGAGCTCGTTGCTACCATTATGCCGCAAGTATCCATGATATATACGCTATGTTGGGTTGACGCCCTGTGATCCCAGGCTCGGCCCTGCCCAAGATGCAAACATCCTTCAAGCTCAAAGTGTAACTCATGTGTTGAGTTTGGGGCTGAACCAGTCCTATCCGTCCGATGTACGCACACTCCTTTCACATGTCCCTACACCCTCGACAGAGGCTAAACCTTGTGGTATCTCCAGGGCCTTATCAGGCACATAGTGGAGTTGGAAGATTCGGACACGGCTGATATCCTGTCCCACCTTCCTGACGCCTGCAAGTAATATTATCTGACCAAAGGCCACATTTTCCCGTTTGCAAGTCCCGCTGATCAAGCGCTCGCCTGCCGTAGATTCATCGATGATGCCCGAACGGAGGAGAAGACGGTCCTCGTGCATTGGTATGCACCCCCTCCCATTTGATTCGAAATCGCCTCATAACTGAAATCCTCACATGAAAACAGCGTAGCCGGCGTCTCCCGCTCAGCTGCCGTTGTCATCGCATACTTGATGAAGACACGGAAGATGGATTTAAAGAGCGCCTTTGCGTTCGTGATGGCCGTCCGGCCTAGCATCGGGTACGCCCATTCGACTCCCTTGCCGTGCTGATCGGTCAGGTTCTCATCCCTGATGCGATGTCCCCTTCAGACCGAATGAAGGCTTCATGCACCAGCTGCAATTATGGGAAGCGATGAACTGTGAGTTGGACCCGGCATATCCTGGATATCGGATGTTTCGGATGAAACAGATGGCGAAGGCGAGGCTGGAGGGTCGTGCTGAGGGGTCCATGCCCGGATTTGATCAGAGCCCCACTGCGGTCTCCGACCTGTCAGCGCCGGGTTCGAACCGCACACTTCGATGTCGGAAATGCCGGATGACGCTTGCCACCGGACCCCAAATCATGTCTCATCAACCGGATAGCCAGTCGATAGCGAAGCTGATGACCCGTCGAAGTAAGACACATCCATCCAACCCACCCCTACAACCACAATGCTCCTCATACTACATCGAGCCCGTGTCTTGGATACCCGGTGTAAACGGCGATGCGATAGACAATCCTTATGCGACAGAAGGAAAAGTGTCCTGCCCCAATCCGCAGTGCAGCGCCAAGTTAGGCGCTTGGAATTGGGCAGGTAAGTTCATGGCTGAGCAAAGGGGCCACACAGAAAAGTCTTGACTGATTGTCGCTCATACACGCACAACAGGTGTCAATTGTTCTTGCGGGACGTGGGTGTCGCCCGCTTTCACCCTGCAAAAGAGTAAAGTGGACGAGATCGTCCGGCGGTAGTCCGCGAGGCGTATGGGGAGCTCCCTCTGTTTCGACTGAGCTTATGCGTCCATCCTTGGATTGACTGACGGCGTCGCAGTCTCCCGTTTCCTCGCCCGTGCGATTCAGCGTATGTTGGCAGCAGGCCGACGCACTCATTGATTCAGATTCTCCAATGAGGAGCTATCACGGCGCCACTGAGGATATTCTATATCAGTGTGTAGATCCTACTCTCTATACAGGCAAGGTACTCCATAGAACTCTATAGACCTTCGAACTACTGATTCGAGCATGACGATATTTACACCTTTGAGCTACTTCCATCACGGTTTGAAGAATTGGACCACATTCTCCATCGCGGACCGGCTATCATCCCGCTGTTGAATCGTTGAGACACTGAAACTTGATGGCGAGGAGTTCCCCATATCCAAGTCAGTCGGCCTCGAAGTCCGCAATGCTTTCAGGCCACGGAGTTCCGCGAATACATCCTGCCAAGCTTTCCACAGCATCTCAGACATAGACATAAGCGTAATGCGCAGATCCCGGAGGCCACCCTCCTCTTTCAACGCCGGGGATTCAGCAAGCTCGTGTATGACGGTCAAACCCGTTGTCCATCGTTTGGTCCGGAAATGCAGGGTTTTGAGAGTCGAGCAGGAGGAGAGGCCAAGGACCTCGCTTGCAGCATCCACTTCCAGCACAACGCACAGACTCGTGAGGTGTGGTAACAGGGATAGCATGGGAGGCCCGGCGGGCATTGTCTCTCCTATATGGTGGTCGACTGAAAGATGACGGATGTTCGTTTGTCTCGCAAGAAGTGCAGACAGCTGTTTCCGCCAAGTGTCTGAGTCGTTCCTATGATTTCCACGGATACCGAAATGAGTCAAGCTGGCAGGGACCCAGTTGCTAGCCCATAGTTTGAGCATCCTCGGCCGAAAGCCGGAGTATATCATCAGGGATGATACGCCCCCAATGAATATCCGTTTCAAGCCTCGCAGCTTCCGAGCGATGAAGTCCTGCAACGCGATGTTGGACAGGACATTCCATTCGGCTTCCAGCACAAGAGTGTGCACCAGGTCTGGGTGCGGGATGCGGCTTAAGACCCTTAGAAGCGTCTCCACCCCAACGCCACGGCGCCAGTTTGGCAGATCGAGCCATATGGATCGCACTCGAGCCATGCGTGCGGGTTCTTCCGACAGTGTAAGGAAAAACTTATTCACTGCTGTTTCGGATGCCTCGTCTCGACTGAATGGCGGAGGCCGGAAATCCAAAAGCCGGTGCCTGCAATCATACTTCCTCAGCTTCCCAACTCCGTGACTCAGATTTTGAGTGGCATGCCGGGGGTCTCACCATGCCAAATCCTTCCAAAACGTATGCTCCAATGAGGCCCTTCTCCAATCTCTGCAAACGGCTCCAACATCCAGTATCGCCGGCCGACGGTGTCTCCTCGCTGGAATCCGATTCACCACGACCGTCGGGTGATACTTCTTTTCGTCACGGATGGTGCGAATCCAGTCGTGCTTGACAGTGGCGTGATCTTGACCTGCCTCCGCATATAACGGCCCCCACACTTCATTGGGGCCGTCGCAACGGCCTTCGGACCAGGGTGTGCTGTAGCCGTCACCTTCTTGGAGAGCATATGCCGGTTGTCTACGCAGTAAACGTTAGAACGCGAAACGGGGGAGTGGGAGAACACTCGCTCTGACTACTCACAGATAATGAAAGATGATATTCAGAATCTCGTCGGGTAGCCTACGATATGTTAAGGCCTTCTTCTCCCGAGACTTGGGCATTTTTTGCATTTAGTGCCCAGGAAGCGTAGCTTGTATGGGTGCTGGTCGGAGTGCAAGGAACTGCAAGCGCACCATCTTTTATTTATTGCTCACGTGATAATAAGCTGCTTTATTCACTCCCCTTCTTTGCAGCCTTCTTTGTTCCTCCGCCAAACAAGCCCCCGAACCCTTTGCTCGATCGTGAACACCCACCAATCTCAACACGGCAAACATGGAGGGTCTCCGCATTGGTACTTTTCCCGGGGAGCTCGGGCGGGCAGCAGTCGCAACTCGTGAGTTCACAGTCGGCGAACTCGTGTTGGTTGACCAGCCCTTGCTCACAGTCAAGGCCGAGCGCACCCCAAGCTCGGAATCCGCCCTACTTGCAAAACTCCAAAGCATCTTGGCGGAAGCTAGAGAGGAAATCGGAAGCCATGCGCCGGAGGGGGCTGTTGTGCCATTGGAGCTGCAGGCAAATATTGTAGCTGCTTATGCAGGAGGGTTAGATGATGCCGAAAGGGAACTTGTGCAGGTGAGAAAAGCGGAGGGAAGGGGGGGACGTTTGCCTGGCCTGGCGCTGAGAGTCTTCACGGGCAAACGGATATCTAATCCGACTCTCACAATAGACACATTTTGCTACGCCACCATCGGATGAAGAGCACGAAGTCGTCATACAGATTTTGTCGACTGTAGCATCCGTCATCAAGCAGCATACATTGAGCGAGTTAGAAGGAATCTCGACAGAAGAATTGACGAAACTGCTATTGGTTTTCGCTACTAATGCGCACGAATACGTTGAAGACGGGGTCCTTCATGTACGTTGAAGGCATCTACTGATCCGTCCAAGTTGAGTATGACCCTGATTGGTTGTATGATGTGCAGATTGCTTTGTATGATGTCGGATCGAAGTTGGCACATTCATGTGCGCCCAAGGTATGTGTGCGATCTAAGCAGCCTGTCCTGCCGACGAATTCTGGCCTTTGCCGATCGCCTCGATGCGGTCCTAATCTCGTTCGACAAGACAGTCTATGTAGGTGATGGGCAACTCCTGAAACACTACGCCTTGCAAGTGATTCAAAAAGGCGATATGGTCACGACGAACTATATCATCCGTGATGACATCCGGTATGTGACCGTACCTGTGCTTGGTTCGCGTGCACACGCTAAACAACAACCTGGACTTTCTCAGTGCTTGCTGGCCAACGCATCTTCGACAGCAGAAGCTACTTGCGACGAAGTTCTTCCATTGCCGGTGTGAACGATGTCTTGCATCCGATGACTTTAGGTTGTTGAAATGCCCCGGTTGCTCGGAATCAACGTTGCTGCTCCATCCGCAACAGGGAACATGGATATGTCAACATTCACCCTGCTCGATATCTATACCCCACCCTTCTTCGGCCTCGGGAGCCACGCTACCTAGGCACAAAAATGAGCCACCATTGTCTCAGTCACTCAAAGAAGTTCTCCGCTTCGAGCAATCCCTTGAGCTTTCCGTAACCACTGCCACCCATGAAGTTGAGTCAGCTCATTCACAACAAACGGGAAAGACATCCTCGGGCGCACTCCAAAAACTGTTCATTATCAACGCAACAGCAAATCAAACACTCGGGACAAATCACTGGATCACAGCCTGGTCGTCCGCCTACTGCGCCATGCGCGCCGAGCACCTCCTGCGCGACCGTACACGGGCAGCCGAGTTGGCATGGAACTGGGTGACGTGGAGTGAGAAGCGGATAAAATCCGTGTTCCCGCATTTGTTTGCGCGGCACCTCGGAAGTTTCGGAAGTCTGTCCGTTGGAGCTGACTTTGAGAAAAGATCGGGGATTGCACGGATGTGGAGGGAGGTGGAGCCGTGGATGAAAGAAATCTTCTTGGGAGAGATGGGCGTGAAGAAAGTGAGGGCACTTGGCCAGCAGGTGCGCGCGTTAAGGGAGCAGGACATTCAAGCGGAAGTACAGGCACCAGCAAGGCCGGATCAGGCGGATTGGCTGCCAGATGCATTGAGGCTACAAGCATCAGCGGGCGGCCAGAAAGCGAAATCTAGAAGGAAACGGAATCGCTGAGACTGACGCCGCCGTTGACGGCTGATAAGCGTCGCCAAATGTATGGCAGCGCTTCGGCGTATTTGGACATGTTGTTGCGAGAACTCGCTCCCAATCTGTCATCGTCAATTACTAGATCTCAGATATAGTAGGGAGATTTATGAAAGAGGCGGAAGCACTTTGTCGACACTGCCCATCATATACGGAGCGTACCCTTGACATGAATAGAAATGACTAGATACTGACCAAGTCTGAACCGCCGCCTTCGAGGTCCAACAAAGTTGCGTCCTCCGTGCGATGCGAAGACTGTGGCCGAACCATTTGGGTGGAGTCTGCCAGATTGTCTAGCGCGATCTGCTACCACCCCTTGACCTCAGGTCTGGAGTTCTTTCGAAGCCATGCGAAGGCTATGTCAATCAAATGTCCTACGTCTCGAACTGGTTCTCCTTACCTCTCCGTTCCTCCGCAGAAGCTGCTTCATCCTAAGGTCGTTGTTCGCCTGAAGATTATAGTCGCTCAACAGTGAAAATACGCGAATCCCTATCGTATCGCATCTCTGAATATGCTTCGTTGAATGAAGTTGCAGTGGAGATTGTTTGATTTTCTCTTGCTGTTCTGCCTCTGGAGATCTTCCAAACAACCTGACCCCGTGCTTTTGCAAAATGCGATTCCCAACTACGTCAGATTACAGACTGTGCAGCAGGTCGCTCAGACATATCAAACATTCAACATTCACGCATTTTCCTAGAGGATCATAAAGCGTTGAGATGCCTCGTGAGCATTCCGAGAGGTTATGACAGCTAAATCAACAAGGAAGGGCCCACCGAGATGGTTTCCCGAGTGTACTGCGACATTAGCCCGATTTAGCCCTTTGCGGAAGCAAGGTGAATACCTTCTCCTTTCTATGCTTCGTTTTCAACGCTGACAACAGTTTCTTCAGGTTCTTTCGAGGGATAGCTGCTATAGCGTTAGTGCCATACTATTCTCGCTTACCGCAAGGGTTGATTCCCGACGCTATAGTCCGTCGGCCATGCTCAATGCCTTCTAGTCCACTACTGGATCCCACCAATTCCAGCGAGGGCCCTCTTCTTCTGGCGGAAACGTTCAATTGGACCTTGCCTGCCTGCGCAATCTTCACAACGAATACGATTTCGAATATCCTCACAAAAGTCGCATATTTTCTCAGAAAACCCCAGCATCACACATCTGGAGACTACATTTGGGCCTTCTCTGCCCCACATCTTGTAGACACAAGACTTTGTGGAACATCCTACATCTGGGCAGTACCGACAGTACCCGCCTCACCGGAATCTGGCCAACGAACTTGAAAGTCTGAACATGAATAAATTGCACCTTGGGGTGAGCGTTCCACCGAAACCGATTTCGACGCGTTTTCTCGCTTGTATACGTAATCCTTCGACCTTGAACGCGTCGGGGCTAGACCTCCAGCATGACATCTCCCCGGAAATATATTGGACCACGAACAACGGTCCATTTCCCCGGGAACCAGCCCCATCGACTTATGCTTCAAAACATCTCCTATACACGCATACACGTACAACGAACTATTCAACAACGTCTCCGTCGTCTCCGTCCCCTTCTCATAACCCGTAATCGTTCATTATCCCAAGCAGATCGTCCGCAAACCCGTCCGTGATGGAGATTGAGGAGGTGGGGTTTGGAAGGGTGGGGTTTGAGGCCGTTGATGGTATCGGCGTGGTTAGCTTTGTTTCTGTTTCAGGTGTTGGTGGTGATGGTTGGTGCGATGGTGCGGTTTGAATGTCTTGTATGGCTTTCGTAGAATGTGACGGTAAATTCGGCTCTTCGACCACCGCGTGTTCGGGTTCAGACTGCTCCAAGGATGCTGGAGCTGCGGAGCTGTGGATGTCGTCCGATGATGCATGCGACTCCCCAGCCGGACGCCTAGTCTCCTGCACAGTCTCCAGGTCACTCTTCTGCTCGGCCTGTTCACGCCCACCATCGCTCTTCCCTTCAGTAACACTGATAAGAGGTACGGGCACGACCGTCATCCCAGACACAGACGACACACCCGCCTCCTCAGCAACCGAACTAAGTCGCTTCGGCGCCGGCGGCGGCGCGCCCATCGTCTCACCATCGTTCCCGTCCTCACACTTAACAACCCCCTCGGCAGCCGTAGCGGCACCCTGTTCCTGTTCTTCGCGCGCTGGGATGAGGAGTTTGAGGTGGCGGCGGATTTGACGGGTTTTGGCCTAGGGGGTTCGGTGACTGTGTTAGCGGCGTGACTGGAAGGAAGGTGGTGGTATGATAGTTAGAGGCTTACATGGATTTCTTCCATAAGAGCTGTCGATTGGGCGTTGGCTACTGCGATGCCGTTGTTCATCTCAGACCTCTGTGATGTAATGTGATCAGTAGTTGTACATAGACCGGAAGCGTGGCTGAATCTTCACCCACCTTTACGATCCTCAGAGCTACATCGTTCAACCGATTCTGCTGCAAAGACTCATCCGTCTGTGAGACTGTGAAACCAAGTAGGGAGAAACGTGGTCAGCGACGAAATCATGACCGCCCCACTGAACGACAGACAAAAAAAAAGAACAGGGACTAACATACCAGGCACCTCACCCAATCCGACAACCTGCCCCTCCAACGCCTTACACCTCCTAGCCAGCAACTCAACCGCGGCGTGTAAGTCCTGCGTCTCGCTCTGTCGTGCCGCGACTAGCTCTTCGAGGCGCGAGACTTCTGCTGATAGTGCCAAATCTGCATCAAGACATACTTGGTCAATATACCATCTCACGAACGAAGATATGAGATATGGGAATGAGGAGAGACACATACCATTCCGTCTCCGCCGCTCAAACTCCGCCCTATGCTTAGTCCTATACGTATACATCGACGGGTCGTGATTCTCCTTCTCAGTCTCTTTCTCCACTCTTTCTCTCTCTCCCACCCCCTGCGCCTCCGGCACCTCACTACTCCCCCTACTTCTCCTTTCCCCCAAACTCTCCAAACTCTCCAAACTCTCCGCCGAGAGCTGCCCCCGCTGCTCACGTAAATGCTCAGGCCGCGGATCAGTAACCCACGTGTCGCGAAGGACTTCACCCATGGTTGCGATTTTGGACATCAGGCCTGATTTTTTGACGATAGGGGAGGGCGGTGCCCGCGCGTGGGAGCCTGGTGGGGAGAAAATGGAGCGGGAGTGGGTGGAAGCGAGGGAGTCCCGGCGTTTGGGGGGTGCGATGGGGTGCGATGGGGCGCTGGGCGGGTTGAGGGGTCAGTATGGCAGGCTCTGAATTCAATCAATCACATTTTTTGTATGGAACTACGTACCTAGATGGTGTCCGAGACCTGGATCTCCCCCTACTCTTCTCCTTCTCCGCCACGCCGGCACCCGCACTCAATTCCTCATTGCTCGCCAGATACCCCGCCGAATCAACCGTCTCCAATCCATATCCACCCCGCGCTACCTCCCCCGTCGCCGCATTGGTATCAACAACTAAATTCTCGTAATTCACCGGTTTGCGGCGGTGCGGTTTAAGCTGCATCGGTACGTTTGAGGGTGGAGAAGCGATGAGGTAGGGGGCGGAGAGGGGCCGGTGGAGGTGGTGTGGTTTTGCGTGGGTGGTGTATTGGAGTGGGATGGGGGGGACGGGGGGTGGGTGGGGGTTTGTGAGGTGGGACAGCATGGTGGAAGGATGGTTCCGGCAGGGAACTTTATTGGGGGTTTGCGTTTAAGGTTCTGCTGGTGTGGTTTAGTGTATTTTCGCGGGCGGCGAGCAATCGTAATGTAGGTGGCAGACGGTGAATGCTCCCAGACTCGTATATCCGGCGTTTGGACGGTAAGAACAGCGGACGGCTGGGACACACACTCCCTTTATAGTTCAGAGAGGTCCACCGGCGGCTGTCTCGCGACACCCCTCAGCGGAAGATGGCCCAGGCAGGGCGGGTGGTGGGGCGTTGGGCACATGCATGACGTACAAAGATGACAGGAACAACCTAAAAACCCTACATGGCTACAGAACTGCGGATGATCGTTCTGCATCTCTACCCTATCTTGTACATGTAGTGCGACTGTAAATATTCCTCTTCCTCGACTGTACTGCTTTCCCAATTCTTTTCCCACCAGAAGTGATTCTCAAAGCCCGACCAGCACGGGGAATTTGACGGAAACGCGTTGAACCGTGACAAAACGTGGCTTGACCAGCAGTCTGACCAGCTTCGTCGAAAAGCAAAGGCAACGGCGTTTGTACAAATGACTCAGACTGTCTATACTCGTTGTTCTACGATGTATACACTGGAGGTAAGCCGATGGTATGAGACTCTGCTATGTACAATCTACCAGCGTCTCCTATGCTCGATGTACATATGCCTATTGTGCGTGACATGAAAATGATAAATGTAGGGGGTGCCTTGCCTCCCAATGTCGTTGCTTTGTCCGAGCTCTTCACCCAAAGAAGTTCTTGAACCCCTTAATCTTACTCTTCGAGCTCCTCACACTTCCCGTCTCCGAAAACTGCCCATCATACGCAGCATTCACCCCATGGCCGTTAGAATCCTCCTGCAGACTTTTAACAAGGTTCTCCAGCTCAAACACCCGGCGGAGCATACGTTTCTGCTCCACTTCCACCTCGATCAGCTTCTTCATCGTCGCTTCTTGGTTCTGCTGCATGGTTGCGATAAGGGTTTTTTCGAGGCTGGAAAGGGCGGCGGAGAGGTCGGGTACTGGTGGTCCTGGCGGAGAGGGCAGGGGTTGGGCGGGACGCACGGTGGAGGTGCGTTCGAGGGCGGAGACGGTGGCGTTGGTTTCGCGGCGTTTGATGGTTGTTGCTTTGCGGAGGGGTTGTTGGGTGTTGGGAAATTCACCCGTGGGAGTCGGGTTGTTGGTGTCGCCGTTGGCGGAGGGGCTTTGGTCGGGTGAGACTTTTAGGCTTCCGCCTTGTCTTCTCAAAGTCAGTTGAGTTGCTTGGTCTGATGGTATGGCTGCGGGGTTTCGGGCAACATCAATCAAAGCCTTCTTTGCATCGGTGACGGGCATTGGCAGGACGGTGACGGGAACCTTCAATGTGAGGGTTGGTGCGTCGTCGAAGTGGATCGACACTTTCATTTGATGGTGCACGTTGGCCGTTTGGAACGCCTCCGAGGGTAGCGTTGTGGGGTTGGGTCGGCTTCCAGCTGGGAACACGACTGAATGAGTCTGAGCATCGAAGAAATCTTCGGTCCGATCGTAGCTCACGGACTTCCAGTCCCACGATAGCAGCTTTCTGCTCACACGAGAGATGAATGTTGTCAGCTATCGTTCTCTGAGGAGCACGGCAACGGATTGTGAAAAGCGGGAAGTGACATACCTTTTACCCGCGTTGTGCAGAGCGTCCGACATACTGATACTCGACGGCTGAGGCTCATCGCAGTATTCGCTGATAGTGAGCTTGACGTTGTTGATCATGTATCCACGCGATACAATCCTGAAAGCAAAATCGAACGCATCTCCTGGTCCCAAAATGGTACTCGACACAGAGATGTCATATTGTACGGACGGGGTCACAGCTTCCCATCGGTGCGGAGCAGGTATCAGCAACTCTGCAGTGGGCCACACAAGAAATGGTTCCATAGGGATCGACACTTCCTTCTTGACTCGTCCCACCATGCCGTGATACGCGAGTGCGGCATGCAGATGGTACTTTATGCGGTGGGTCTTTCGATGATACGGTCCAGATTGGGACATCACTTTCCGTGAAGGTGGGAGCAATGGGTCCGTGGAGAGCTCAACGATCCACTCAAAGTCGTGCGTTCCATAGGGCAGTTTGCGCTCGTGACCTTCCGCCAGCACCGAGGAGTGGAAGTCTACGCAGACGATTTCCTCTGAGGAGGACGCGGACTTGCCCTCGAAAGTCACGGTCGTGTCAACGAGGTGCAATGGGTGGCGGAACGGTTGGGTGACGCGCACCAGGCCCCGTAGCGAGCAGGGCTCTATCCCATCTGTAGAGCGCAACCACATGAAGTTAGCGTTGTCACTATCGGTCGGGAGTTGAATTGAAGCGGTCTTACATTTCCCATGGAAGAACGAGCTATGGCCTTCAAGCGGCAGCTAGACAACCGAACCGCCGAAGAACAGGGTTAGGAGCAGAGCTTCACCATACTATACGCTGAACTCACAGACGACGTACCAGCTCAACCGAAGCTTCCTTCATGATGCCAGCCATTTCGTTGTTGCGAGTTTGCAACTTGACGAGGGTCTCTCCTGCCTGCTGGTTTTACAGACGCAAGGTTCCGAGTGGCAGTTTGGTCCCCTTTATTATATGGTCGAGTGACGTTCGTGTCCTGCTCTGTGGTGGGTGGCTGCCACTGGCAACTCGTTCCAAAAGCAAAGCTCAGACGAGGGCGCGCGTCTGTCGCTGGATGGGCCGCGGGGATGTCATAGATCCTTTCGCTGGCGCACCAAGCCACGAATGACTTGACGGGAACCGCGTGGGAATATCGGACACCCTGGACATCTCTGTTCGGAAGATGGAGGAATCCTCAAACACTGGCATCGGCTGCTGCATCTGCTGAGCTTGCTGTAGTACTACTATTATACACCTTGGTCGGTCGATTGGTGGGTTGCTCGTGATACTGGAGGCTCAACTCCGGCAGAATTTGGAAGTAAAGACAGGCGCATGCCCTCCCCCATGAGTGAGGTGAAGGCGGACGCCACAGAACTTTACGACGGTCCCACGGAAATCCTAGACGACCAGAACACACAAGTAGAAACCATAAAACCCACAGGCACTTCCCCTCAGGAAGACCCCAGAGAAGTCTCGCCTTCACCAGAACCAGGGCAAACGGGAGATAGCAGAAAGCGCACAGCAGAAACCCCAGCCGATGGTGAACGCAAGCGAAAGAAAGTTGCGGAGGGGCATGAAAAGGAGAATCGACCGGGCGCTGTGGCAAAGAGGACGCGAACGAGCGATGAAAGACCTACGTTTTCGGTCGTCGATAACGAAACCAATGACGAGATTTTGGACTTCTATCACCAGTTTCCGGGGTTGAAGGACAAGTACCATCTGATTTGCAAGATTGGGGAAGGTAGGATACGCCGAGTGAAGAGAGCAACAGCGACGAGCGAAACGGGGCGTTTGCCGAGCAAAGTGGGCCGCGGGGTTGCCCTAGGAGAGCCTTTGGTTTGCCCTGGGAGACAGAGCGTTAGCAAAGTCGGCAGAGAAAACGCCCACGCGAGCGTCAGCGAAGCGCGAGCGGAGCGAGCGACATTGCGCCAAAGGCGCAAGACTTCCCTAATCAAAGCTCCTAGCGAGCATCAGCGACCGTCAGATCTTTTGCGAGCGAAGCGAGCACCACATTACGCCAAAGGCGCAAGACTCTCTCACCCATGTATTGTTTGTTGATGGTGGGAGATGGTTGATGGTTGACGTTCGATGGTTGATGGATGATGGGTCGATGGGTTGATGGTCGACGAATGCATTGCAGAAATACGATTATTTTCACCAGTCACTACCTCACTCTAACCGTATCCTACCAATCGCAGGAACGTTCAGCTCCGTATACGAAGCCGTTGACCTCGAACACGACCTTTGCGACAACACCGCCTGGAGTCGACAGCTGACCGACAGGCCGAAGGACGACCCGTACTATGTTCCGCTGGCGAAGGCCTTCGGCAACGCGCCGTCGGTTGCATTGAAGCGTATTTATGTTACGAGTAGCTCCCAGAGGATATGTAATGAAATTAGGGTCTTGTCGACTCTACGGTGAGTGCTTGGAATGGAATGGCCTAAACCGCGACGGAAAGCCTGTCAGACGAATGCTCAATTATTGGTCCCCAATAAAGTGGACATCCAAACATTGTGCACCTTATCACGGCGCTACGGCATCAAGATCAGGTACGATTTGATCTCCAGTAGTCAGGTGGATGATTTCCCGCGCGGTCGTAACTCTATCTGACGCTTGCCCACCACAGGTCGTCGTTGTGTGAGTGGCAGCACCATATCATTTACTCTCACCCCGAACTTGCCCTCATGGATCATTGTTACGGACGTTCTTCCGTGTTTGAGCAGCTTGCCATACTTCAGGCATTCGGATTTCCGGGTATGTGCGTCGACCTCCTTCTTGTCTCTTCCCTCTTCATGCAAACATATTGCTAACACTTTCGCAATTCATCTCCTTTCCCATACATGCGACAAAACAGGACTTCTATCTCAAACTAACCATGGACGAGATCCGCGACTACATGCGCGCACTCCTGAGCGGCCTGGAGCACATACACAAGTATAGGATCATCCACCGCGACGTCAAGCCTAGCAACTTTCTGTACAATCTGAAGATGCGTACGGGCGTGCTGTGTGATTTTGGGTTGGCGCAGGTATGATTTGGTCAGCCCACCGAAGTTTGATGATGATCATGGTGCAACATCTCACTCCTTCACCGCGAATGCAACAGAGGGAAGAAATGACGGCCCCGAAGATCACCAGCGAAGGCCTGTCCAGCGTCTCTCCAGCGCCGCCGAAGCGCTCGAACCGAAAGCCTGGGTACATCATAAACGACCCAAGGTAAGCATCCAACCCATTCTTGGCTTTGTACTTTGCGATGCCCCACCTCGGTTGGGGGGGCTCACTTTTTCGCGCCAGACCAAGCGTCCGAGCGTCTCGCGCCGGTACCCGCGGCTTCCGCGCGCCTGAAGTCTTGATGAAAGTAACCCATCAAACATGTGGTATGTGCTTTCGCTGCTCCATTTTCCGCTGCCCTCCCTGCGTGTCCCTGAATCCGCAAACCACCCGTGGACCTCCCCTCTAAAAACCGTCATTTTCAAACCAGCAATCGACCTATGGTCAGTAGGCGTGATCCTCCTCAGCATCTTCACCGGCCACTTCCCGTTCTTCCAATCCAGCGAGGACCAGGAGGCGTACCTGGAAATTGCGCACATTTTCGGGAAACAGGCGATGCAGAAGTTGGCTTTGCAGTTTCGTACGTTCCTCTCCCATCTACTCTGTGTTCCGCCTCACTTCCTCGACTCCTCACGCTGACCCTTCCCTCACTCACACGCAGGCCGCCACCTCGAAACCAATATCCCATCCGTCGACGCTCCCATGCCCTTCGAAACCCTCTGCGAGCGCCTGCACAGCCGTCGCGCGAAAGAGATCCCGCCCGAGGGGTATGATCTGCTCAAGAGGTTGCTGGCGCTGCATCCTGAGGAGAGGATTACGGCGGCTGAGGCTTGTATGCATCCGTTTTTGGCGGGGGGTGATGGTGGTAGGGCGACGGAGTAGGGGTGGAAGGTGGATGTCCGTTTTTGGGGTTTTTGGGGAAGAGGCCAGCAGTTGGCTACTGGGAAGGGTTGGGAGACTGCGGTCCGAACTCATGTGCGGTAGTACTATGTATGACACGGCATATTCAGTTTTCTGTATGAACAAGGAATGCGGGATCAGGACGTACTGTAAATATAGAATCTGCCTAGTTTCATATGAGCCATTTAGAAACATGGGACATCTATCATGAGATATCTACTCCTCGTCACTATCGTCGTCGCGCGCTTTATACAACATCTTGCTAGCATCCATATCTTCAAGAACGATACCCTCGACAAATTTTGCCGTTGCAAATAACCGGTCCCTGGGTAATGGAAACCAATGTCGCAGTCGTCGCCGATCTCTCGCTTCGTTCACCTACTCAAAAATTGCTGCTATCCGCGGTTATCACTCCTGATAGCTGGCTCCAGCCGTGTGCCGCTACCTACGGTATATTAGTCAGAATCCTCGAGGATAGGTTCTAAGACCTTGCGAAGCAGAAGCGGGTTTCGGGATGGGGTCATGGCAGGAGCGCTTGAAAGGCAAATCGATCACTTTTTCGCAGGCAGCTTCTATATCGACATTGAGAATTGCCGAGAACACCTTCAGAGTGACAGGACCGCGTCGGAGTGACAATGGAGCTGCGCCACTTTTGAATTTCCAAAGGGTGATTGCCGCCTGAGAATCAACTATAGCAAGCACTCCGCCCGTCGTCGCCCGTTCACCCCGCCATAAGGAATCACGCGCATCTTGCGTTCTGCTGTGCCGCCCCTTATCAAACACTCAACGCCTCAGCCAGCATATCTTCATTCCCGCCCTCCTAGCGTCCCAGCAGGCCGTCGAAGCATCTGGGTTGCCAACACGGACGTACGGTCTTTCCTGGGACTTTCGGTTTGCTCCGCCCTCCGCTGACCAACTCGCGGAACAAGCCCTTGCGAACACCCTCTAGACCAAGCCAGAAATACCTCGGCAACAGTTGGAAGCGCTTTTCGATTGGCGATGCCTCACCCCGGCGTAAACGTTCCTCGCGTGGAAATCCCGCGGTCGTCATTGCGTCCCTCGGCCGCGGACGCGAAAGCGCAGCAAGATGGAACCCCGCAGACACCATCCAAACTTTCACCTGGCCTGTCTGTGAGAACGGAGAACCTCCACTTTGCGAGGCCTGTCAAGTCAGAGGAGAGAACGCGGGGGTCCGAACACGGAACACCTGGGCAGCAGGCTGGGAATGGGCCTGGTGAAGTTGGGGACGCAGAAAGCCAGGCCACACAAACCTCCGCGGGCACAGGCTTCGGTTCACGGACACCACCGCATCAAATGAGTGCGAATACTACCTGCAGCACACCGAAACCCCTGAACCGTCTGTTGTCGCCTGCGTCTGCCGCGGGAGGGGGGAAACATCGTCATACGCTGGAATCGACAAGCCCTATCCCCTCTCCGCTCACTCCCACAATCGAGGCTCTGCTATGGAGATTGGATTTGGTGGGCCAGGCGGGATGTGATTTGGCCAAAGAAACGGTTGGGGCGGAGACTGAAAGCTTAGGGAAAGAGCTGGAAGATTCACCAGATAGCCAGCAAGGAGGGGGAGCCGCGGAGGGGAACCTGGGAGGCATTTCGCAAAAGCGGAATAGTACGTCATCGCAAAGGGACAGTCAGTCCCAATCGATGCTCGAATCTCCATTCTCCTACGACAGGGAAGATCGGGATTCGGAAGGCAAGCTATACCGGTCAGGCTCTCAACAAACGCTCAGCCGACAATCCGTAGCGGAAAACCCGACCGTCGCGCGACTGGCGCGAGGAGATGATGCGTCGAATGGTTGTCCGAACATCACCCCTTTCCAATCTGCCAACGGTAGCGGAGGCGACAACCCGTTGGCGGAGACAAGGTCAGGTGGCGCACCGCCAAGCCGGCGCCGCTCGCGGAGTAACTCACACAGTGAGTTGGCAAAGACCGCCGTAGGCCTGCGGGAGATCGCAAGGAAGATTGGTCGCGCTCAGCTCATCTGGGACCGACCGCCAAAGAGTGTACTGATTGTGACGAAATTGCATGATCCGCAATTGGTCAAGATCACCCATCATGTCGCCAAGTGGCTTATCACAGATGTGCAGCTGACGGTGTATGTGGAGGAACGCTTGAAGAGTGATCCATCGTTTCGGTATGAGCAGATAGCGGAGGAGCTGAGGAGCCATGAAAGGGCGGCGAATACGAATAAAAAAGCAGTTTCAGCGATAAGCTCGTACGAGAGTCTCGTCACAAGCTTGAAGTGGTGGAAGACTTGCGCGTCAACGACATCAAGCACATCAACAGCATCTCAAAACGAGCCAAACCCATCTTCAGTCACATCCACGCCATCCGAAGATCAACCGCCTGCCGAACCAGCCTTGACGCCGCAGCCATCCAAAATCGACTTTGTCATCACACTCGGTGGTGATGGCACCGTCCTCTTTGCAGCGTGGCTCTTCCAAAACAAATGCCCACCTTTACTGCCGTTCCGTCTGGGCAGTCTTGGATTCTTGACTACATTTGATTTCGCCGTTTTTCGCAAAACAATCACGGAGACGGTCATGGAGACGGGTCTCACAAAGGGTCTGCGGATGAACTTCCGCATGCGGTTCAGCTGTACCATCCGTCGCTACAACGGCGGTTCCGCACAACCTAAAAATGCCGTCAGCAACGGCAAGTCCAATGATACCTCCGAAGACGACCCTGACCACAACACAACGTACCAAATCCTCAACGACCTAACAATTGACCGCGGCCCCTCCCCCTTCATGTCCCAACTCGAGCTCTACGGCAACGACACCCACCTCACCACCGTCCACGCCGACGGCCTCATCATCTCCACCCCGACCGGGTCCACCGCCTACTCCCTCTCCTCGGGCGGCTCCCTGGTCCACCCGGACGTCTCCGCCATCCTCGTCACCCCCATCTGCCCACACACCCTCTCCTTCCGCCCCATGATCCTCCCCGACACGATGGAGCTGCGTATAGCGGTGCCGAGCGACTCGAGGGCGACGGCGTATGCGAGTTTTGATGGCCGGAAGCGGGTTTGTTTGGGGAAGGGGGATTGTGTGGTTGTCAAAGCCGCGAATTGGCCGGTGCCGAGTGTGTGTTGGGAGGATCAGAGCAGGGATTGGTTTAGGGGGTTGGAGAGGTGTTTGGGGTGGAATCGGAGGGAGAGGCAGCAGGGATTGGATGATGGTGGGGATAGAGATGAGGGGGACGATGGGCAGATGGATATGGAATGGTAGACTGGACGTTTGTTAGAAAGCTTTCCTTGTTTTTGTTTCACTTTCCTTATGCTATGATGACCCTTTCTTGCTACAGTTGGATACCCTTGTGCTTGCTTTTGCTTTTAGCTCGGCTCTTCGTAAATAGATTGTATGTAGCCGCTGGTTTTTGGACAGACTCGCATGAACTTGAAGGATTTCTGGAAGCATTTTTCATCACAAAACGACCACATTTTCCTTCCTGACATCGTGCAGCCGCAATCTGCTTCATGCCATGTAAACATACTGAATGTCATAACAGGGGACTATTACGTATAAACGCCTTAGACACAACTCAGCTACTGCACACATACGACTACCGACCGCTTTCGCAAGCCAAGAACCACGCATCTGCACTCTTCGAGCTCCCCATGTTACTGGAGACCGGCAAAAGTGTTACAGGAGACCGGCAAAAAAGACCATACGTGCTCGCTAAGTCCCAGTCCGCTACCTCCACTACTAACCTAGGCTCCTTTCCGCCCTTTCAACAAATTACGCCGGACACGTGGGAGGGTTTCCTCGGCTCAAAACGCCGGCGTTGGGAGACGAGGAGTACCGAAGAGAGTTCCTCTGATGGCGGGTGTGTCACGTTCGTTGATGGGTTTCCACTTCCAAGCTGAATGTACGGCCAGCGATCCAGACATAAATGCATTTATGCACGCGGTGGGAAGGCGAACGTCGCTCCTCTCAGACGAGGCCTCCCTCCCACGCTGCGAGATGTTCAGAGCGCTCCAATCTCGCCGCTCATTCATCGCCCCACCCCAACTTCGCGCCCTCCGCAGCCTTCGCGCCCCAATCCGGCGTCGGCTCGCTCTTCTTTTCCTCGGCAGCCGCCGGCTTTTCCTCTACAGTCACCACCTTCTCCGGCTTGGCGGGTTCGCCCTTGCTTTGCTGCTGCTGATCGGGTTGATTGCGCTTCTCAGTGTACCTCACGCCTCCTCGTCCACGCCCGACGCCGCTGCTAGCAGCATCGCGTCCACCACCGCTGCCGTACCGCTGCGCGGGCCCCCGATCGTCATGACCCCATCTGCTGCCGTTGAACTCGGGCCGTTGTTGAGAGGATTGCTGCTGCTGTTGGTCGTCTCGGTTGTTGCGCGAGTATCCGTCGTAGGCTTGCCATTGGCTGCTGCTGGGTGTGTGGTCGGTCGCGCGGCCGGCAAGGTCGTTGGTCTTGCCGACGTCCCATTCGCGGGATGCCATGGATTGGGCTTTTCGGGCGGCGTTTTCCGCTCGTTCGCGCCTGGAAGATTAATGCAATCCGAGTGAGTTTGGGGGCTTTCCGAGTGAGTTTGGGGGACAATCGACGGGACTTTAAGGTGTGACGTACTTCAACTGAGCCTGAATCCGCATCGTCTCTTCTTGCTTCTTCCGTTGCGCAGCGCGGTTAGCAGCCTCTTGTGCCAGTCGTTGCTCGCGCTCCTGTTGCTCTTGTGCTGTGCGAACCCTCTCGGCGTCGTGCCATGCTTGTTCATCTGCTGCCACGGCCTACGCATGAAGAACGGGATCAGTGACTTTGTAATGAGCACGTACTCTCATGCTGACCACGTTCCGCAACGTACCTCTTTCTTCGCTACGAGCTCGGCATTGAGACGGCGCATCTCCCGCATCTTGAGGTCAAGTTCCTCTTTCGTGAGGCGCTGCGTCTAAGAATTATGTCAGCGCCGTGCTTCCCGACCAGCTACATCTCATCGTGTGATACCTTCTTGTCAGCCCCGCCGGTGAGTACACGATTAGGATTCCTGTAAGGCCCAGCTGCTGGCTTCGTAACCCCAGCTGCTTCGTTCCCTGTCGCCGCTGTCGCATCTTCCGAAGACCCTCCAGTCGGATCCTTCCGCCTTCGATCACCATTTGCATCTGTTGCCGTATTCTGCATAATGATGGCGGTTTAAGTCCCACTTCAGCTGTCCCCGCTGGGAAAATTCTCACTTACCGAGCCCCGACCTGCACCACCACGCCCTCTACCTCTCTGCCCACGTCCACGGACATTCCCTCCCTGTCGTTCATTATTTCGTTTCTCTTTCGGTGGACTGGAGCTGGGGGCTGGGTCTGTGGCAGGGGCCGCTTCGTTGGCTGGGGCTTGAGTGTCATGCGATGGAGATTGAGTCCCATCCGATTCTTTCACCGACCGGGGAACATCTACGACAGCGGAGGGTGATAAAGGTTTATCGTCTTGTCCTGTCCTTGTGTCTTCCGTTTGTTTCACAGGCGATGACTTGGCAATTTGGTTCGCTTGGACAGCTTCGGCAGGCTTCGTCGGTTGTACGCCAGCAAGCTTCTCGGAAGCTGGGATAGCGTCGAGCTTTGTAACCTCGGACATGACTTCTGGTTGTTGTGGAGAGGGGGGTTCTAAGCCAGCGGGGTGGGCGGCGAGCATTGAGGATTGTTGTTGATCTGGTTGCTTGGAAAGTGGGCTTGTGGGGAGTTGTGGAAGTTGGACCAGTTGGGGAGTTCGCCGTGCGCGTTGGACTCGGGCAGTCTAACCCTAACCCGTACAGTAACCACGCTGGAGTGAGGCAGCGTCACGTGCTGCGAATGACTAGTTTATTACGCAGCTGTTGACGCGTTTACTACGCAGTTCTGGACGCGTTGTTGGGTGGTTGCAAGGGAGTCGTGCGCTCACGTGACCATTGGACAGTTCTATTCAGTAGCGTCTCCTTTTCCCCTTTGTCGTCGTTGTCGGACTTTGCGTCCTTTTTCCTGCTTCTCTTTATCCAATATACTCCATTGAGCTGTTGTTCTTCGCAGTGGTCCCTTTCCTCTCTTCCTCTCTATTAACGAGGTCAGGCAACTCCGCAGCACTCGTGGCGACACGTTGGCCATCTAGGTCAGCAGGTCTGGCCTAGTTGGACTGTCAACACCCATTGCCTGTACTGCTCGGGACGCGAGCTCGCCTCTGGCCGGTGGTATGTAAATAAAGAGAAGTTGTGTCTTCAAAAACTGTCCCCTTTCTTCACGTCACAATGAAAATGGCACGGCCATCATCCCGCTACAATCCCGCTGTTTGATGGAACGAACTGCCACAGCGGCATAGGCAAGAGAAGCTTCAAAAAAGAAACATCGATGATTGAATACAACAGAAATGTACATTGGTTGCCATTCGAGCGGCGTGGGGGCGGAGGCGGCGCAACAATTTCGATCAGATCCATAAGTTACACCACCAACTTGGGACCGACGACCGCACAGAAAAGATATGGGAGTTTCGCAAAATCTGAGCTGGGGAATAAATATCGACGTTACGGTTTTGGTTATGATATAAAGCGTGGTGGGGATTCCCTCCAAAATCTGCGGTTCAAACGCCTTTATATGCCTGGTGATGTTTTTCCCCCCGCACGATCTTCATGAACTTGACCGGCAAAATCATCAACGACCGTTTCGCTACCTGAATGGCGCCGTTGACGATCGGTGGCAGCCGCGAGGGTGGTGCGGCGCCCTTCAAGTTTGCCGTCAAGTCGACCGCCGACGCTGGCCGTGGCTTGCCAAACAACGTCGCGTCGATCCATTTTGTTACCTCGACGCTGGGCATGTCGATGAGCCTATACATAACATACGCCAACGCGACGTTGACGGACATGATCATAAAGTAAGCGATGGTAACGGAGACCCACGGCCACAGCCCGAACGCAAGCACCCATTCCTTGATCGGGTTCTGTATCAGCTTGTACACGATCGGGTGGCCGAGATAGAGCATGAATGAGATATCGCCAAGGAACTTGCAGGCGCGGAGGGAGAAGAAGCGTTGGAGCAGCGGGGTGATTTCGAGGAGGGTGACGGCGAGGATGGCGCCCGTCATGCGGATCGGGGAGGGGTTCCAGAATTGCCAGCTTTCGTTGGTTTCGACGATGCCGCTGTCGAGGCTGGGGACCCAGGTGTTGAACCATTTGAACAGGCCGTGGTCTTTGTCCATCTCGCCTTTGCACATGATCACTAGGATGACGCATAAGATCGTTCGGATGTAGACGAGCGTCCGGCTTGATAGGGACATGACTGTCCTCATGTGCCCATCTTGGATGAAGTCGGATAGGAAGACCCCGTAGAAGAAGCATGCAGCCCACATGCGGCCATACCATGCCAGGGAGATGACGATGGCGTGGAATAGATATTTGTTTCGCGGGATCGCCGCGATGATCAACGCGTAGAGATATACGTAGTAAGAGTTCCAAAACTCGGCGCCGATGGTCCATTGGACAAAGATTGGGTATGGATACGATTTCGAGTATATAAACTGCATAGGGGAGCAAGATGTCATTAAGCAAAATTGACCATCTGGAAGAGGAAGAGCACAGTTAATTTGAACTCACAAATCTTGGAATAGCCCATAAGATGCGCACGATGGAATGATGCTCCGAGGAATCATTCGTTTCCTGCTTGTATCCCATGTTGAACAAGATGACGTGAAATATCAACATTCCCAACAAGGGCAGTCCCAGACGCCATGGCCTTTTTACGGCCGCGGAAGCCATGATCGCCGGATCCCTCCGCTTGAAGAAACTTATGACCAGCACTCGACCGCTGAGCACAAAGAACAGCGAGACGTGAAGCTCGCAAATAACAGACAGGAATTGCACGTATTTCATCGCCGTCGTGTCGCCAACGATATCCATCAGCCATATATGCGCATTCGCCACAGCCAAGGCTGCGACGCCGCGGAGTCCTTCCAGATAGTCGAGCTTGCCCGCTACCGGGATGGATGTGGTGGGTGGTGGAACGATACGAGCGGGCGTGGGTGAGGAGCAGGAGGACTTGAGGTTCCGCCACTCGCTGAGTGTCTCGATGGAGGACGTGTCGTCATCGCTGTTGCTGTCGGACCGCCGTGTCAAGAGAGGTGTGTCTTGGTCAGAGTCGTTGCTGCGATCCAGGTCGAGGACTACTGAGCCGGTGGTCTCGCGAAAGACCATGTGTGTCATAACGAATTCGGCGTGTCTTCAGTGTGCCTTTGTGTCGCTGGGTACGGCTTCCCTATTGCCTTGAAAAGATTTGGAGACGAAACTGAAATCACTTGCTGCCCGCAATGCGACGATGGTGAAAAGTGACGGAGGGCTTCTATACGGAGGCCACCTTGTTCAAATACGATGGCGGCACAGTAGATCTGGCCCGCCTGGGTGGATTCTTTCCGGAGAGGGGAGCGGCGGTGGCCAATCACCGAGAAAAAAGGAGATTCTGGGCATTCTTCGGATCCGCCACTTCAAAGTCATCATCCCCCGAATGTCCCCGCCGCGAGAAAATCCCCCATCAGACGACAGGTCGTACTGGGACGCGTCGCAAGTTCAAGTAACAACTGCGCGCGCGCAGCAACCGCCACAAGCGTCTTCCTGTCAATTGAACGCGTCTGCTTTCGCCCCCCTCATTCTTTGCCTCCTTGCGCAATCAAGGTTATCAGTTAGCTGCAACATTCCTTATTCTACTCGACATTGTTCTATGCCATCTCCTCACATCCTTCCCCTGCAAAGCGTCCTCCCGTGCAATCAGTGGCGCCGATTTACACGTGCGATCGAGAATAACCGCCCGGGTCTTTTCCACGGTGCGTGCCAAAAGCATGTTTGTTATGATTTCATACCCGATGATGCACATCAAAAGGAGGCCCGTCCGGTCCTAAACCGTTCGGAAAATTCGGCAGATGGCAATCAAGCCGGCAATGCTTTTCATACATAGTCTTTTAGGCGCCGTATCTTCGGCAATCTAAGTATGGTCTCTCTCGCTTGCAAACCGCTCTTCCCTAGATCGGCAAGCTGACGCCACATCAAACTCCACGCCGCGGAGAAAGAAACGGCTTGGGAACTTTTGCCACAACCCGCTCCTTGAGACTGCAATTGGGACAAAAGTCGACGCTTCCAGAACGCAGAGTGAAACGCCGTGCTGTCATATATCCTTCGTTGATCAGTGAGGGCACGCTTCCCGGGAACGCGGCGTCGACCTATGATCTGCCCAAAGGCCCCAACCTTTACAACCAACGTGAGGTGACTCAGGTGAGATTATTCTTCCGGTTGAGTGTGGCTTCCTAAGTTCAGGACTGAGATGAGTGAGATATGACGTATCGTTGAGGGCCGAACAGCGATAGACTGCTGGCGAGATCTGGCCAGTTGGGGTCACTTGCATCGGAGAGTGATGGAGGACATGCTTTCCGGTTAGCCATGAAGAGGTACTGTATGCTTCTCAGAGGCTCGCTTGAGGAACCTCGGGCCTTTATGATCCATATGCCCTTCACCAAGCAATGTGATTCTGGGACTTCACACTAGCAGGCGTTCAGCAAACTGAGCTATGAGAGTAAGTTTAGTGCCCCTTTGTCATGGGTCGCCCCGGGGGTCAAGGAAGCCACATGTGCCATCTATGCAGCCAGTTTGCTGGCTCGTTGTGGGAAGATAAGGTTGTCCTTTTGAATTCTCCGATGATTACCAACATGGAGATCGCCCACCGTAATTGACCCTTCGCGCATCCGAGATATTGCCGGGTTTGTTGGTGCGGGGTTGCCGTGGGCTGACCCTAGGCCTCCCAGTGAGCAGGCTCAACACCGGTGAGAGACCGTAATCCTTTTTAGTCCTCCAGTTGCATTGAGCGTCTCCAGCCTTCTTTTCCCTAAGTGAGAGTGCGGAATAGTCCATGTGTAGCATTGGATGGCAGCTCAACCCTGAACCATGGACCTGATGTGGGATGCGTTTCCCTAGCCGAGAACTTACCGATCAGACTAGATCTTGGAGCGGACGATGGAACGCAGCTGGTCGGCGCAACCTCTTCAAACCCCACCTTTTGGCGCTTTGGACTTCGCAGTGAATGGCAAGCTCGTCGACGTTGACTCCATACAGGTTGGGAACCTTTTTTTTCGAGCTTTTTGCTCATACTCCGCGTTGCAGTAGTCATCCTGATCATGATAAATCTGGTTGTGGGGGAAGGACTGGAAGCGCACTGACTATTGAGAAGCTGAGCTCCTCTGGAAACCCCCTTTGAAATAGCTGTTCCCAAGGAAGGTCATTGTGCTTGTATCACCGATACCCCGAGTGAACGCGTATACCGCCGCGACCCGCTGGGACCCCATTGTGAACTGGTATATGAAAGACGATATGCCTCGATCGATGCTCTCCTGACGCAACCTGGCTGTCTCCACTCCTTCTTACTCTCAGGTGGGTCTGCGGTTTCAGGTTTCAACTCCGGCAAGAAACTGGGCAGCAAGCTGAGCCACATTTCACAAGGGGAGAAGTGGCGCTCGCTGCGGCCAGCGGCATTCTGGATGGACGTGTGACAGAGTCGCTGACTTCGGCGCGTCTCCATTGAGATTGCCGATGAACCGCATGGATTTCATCGCCCTCCGTCCAAACAGCCAAGGTTGAGTGAGGCTGGCCGCCTTGGGAAATCGAGGAATCCTCCGTGAGAACGTTTGCATGGCCCAATATAAGTCCCCCTCCCCTTCTCATCCCGCCCCTCCGCAGTTAAACCGCGCAAACAGCAGAACAGGAGGGCAGAAGCACACGGTGTGTCAACGACAGAGAGTATTGTAAGAGCGATATCGAGCGGAGGCGACAACAAGCTTTAGACGTGAAGCACAGGGAATCGAAGTCCGAGATTGCTGCCGCACACCACATCTGCGCCCCTGCATTCTCTTGGCAAACACCCAAACACCTAACCATAAACCAGGATGGAGTACGAGCCACTTAAGGATAGCAAGTATGTGGAGCGTTTGAACTTCCCAAACAACTTGCGCCCCTCATCGTCCTAACGCCCTTCCTTTCCCAGCGCGAGCGTTCGCACCTTCATTCCAGAGGATCTGGGAGGCGAAGGCCTTGGTCGCACCAAAACCATCAAGCGAGTGACACTAGCGAATACCGGGGCCTTTGTGGTCGATCAACCAATCTCCAAGCATGTCCTTCACAAGGCGACTCACGTCGATGGGCAGGAGTTCAACTACATGCGTTACACCGCTTGTACATCTGAGCCTGGGGACTTCAGCAAAGGTTACACCCTCAGACAGCGCATGTTCAAGCGCACGACCAAGGTTGCATGTGTCGTGACGATGTATAACGAAGATGATGTTCTTTTCGCCAAATCCATGTACGCTGTCATGAAGAACATCGCGTATCTGTGCAGTGATGAATGCCCTTACAGCTGGGGCCCAGATGGCTGGAAGAATTTCGTTGTGGTGAGTGGTTTTCCCGATGTTGCACGAATTTTGATCCATCACGAAGGGCCCGTTCTCACCTCTCATACAGGTCATTGTTAGCGACGGTCGCTCGAAAATCAACCCAAAAGTTCTTACCTTGTTGGGGGTTATGGGATGTTACGCCGATGGCCTCGCGAAGGGATCCGTCAACGGCAAAGACGTGAAAGCCCACATCTTCGAGTACACAACACAAGTCGCCATCAACAAAGACTTATACCCGCGCACCGATTCCAATGTTAAATATCCCATGGTGCCCATGCAAACGGTCTTCGTGCTGAAGGAGAAAAACGCCAAGAAGATCAACTCTCACAGATGGTTCTTCAACGCAATCTGCAACACCATCGATCCTGAGGTCTGCTTCCTCTTGGATGTCGGCACTGTTCCTTCTCGGGAGTCCTTCTACCATCTCTACCGGGCATTCGAGCGCAACGAGAACGTCGGCGGAGCCTGTGGGGAAATCAAGGCGGAACTGGGACCTTATTGGAAGAACCTGATCAACCCACTCGTTGCATCTCAAAACTTCGAGTACAAGATGTCCAACATCCTCGACAAACCACTTGAATCCGTTTTCGGTTATATTTCGGTCTTGCCTGGAGCATTCAGCGCGTATCGTTACAAAGCCTTACAAGGCGCGCCCCTTGATGCGTACTTCAAGGGAGAAGAACTGCATGGAGGAGCGGACATTTTCGCTGCAAACATGTACCTTGCCGAAGACCGTATCCTGTGTTTTGAGCTGGTGACCAAGCGAAACGACAAGTACGTTCTCCGATACTGCAAGGACGCCCATGCCGAGACGGATGTTCCGGACAGACTGGCGGAACTGATTTCCCAGCGTCGACGGTGGTTGAACGGGTCCTTCTTTGCAAGTTTGTACGCTGTCTGGCACTGGAAGAACATTTTCGTAAGTTTCGGGCAATCGTTTTGGCACTCGCGGTGGGCAGCTTCTTACCCTACATATAATTACAGAGATCAGCGCACAGCACTGGCCGCAAGACTGCTCTTCTCTTTGAGTTCTTCTACAACGGAGTCAATCTGCTATTCAGTTGGTTTGCTCTCGGAAATTTCTACCTTGCCTTTCATTGTGAGTAGTGCTTGTACTTCGCGCGGTGCATGTGCTGGATTGACGTCTTTCATCATTTCAAGTCTTGATGCAGAACGTGCCGTTCGGCGAAGTGGCGAATAAAATCGTTAGCCAAATTGTTCCACAATTATACCTGTTCGCGCTCATTGCGATCTTCGTTAGCTCGCTGGGCAATCGTCCTCAGGGAACCAAGGTGTGTGACCCTGCAGATCAGTGATACCTTGGTCTACAACATTCACTCATTGCTATTTCTGTTTCAGTTCTTATACCACTCCCTGGTGATAGGATTTGGGCTGATCATGATTCTGATGCTCTTCTTGGCGATATCCGCCGTCAAAGCGTCTTTAGAGACGGCGATCACCGAGATCGACAAGCCTGAAGTCACACTCTTCCATTACTTCTTCACCAACGGAACTTTCCGCGATCTCGTCGTGTCCCTTCTGTCTACGTACGGCCTCTACATCACCGCATCCCTCGCCCACGCCGACTGGTACCACATGGTCACCTGCCTGCCCCAATACCTGATCCTGACGCCAACATACATCAACGTCTTCATGATTTACGCTTTTTGCAACTTGCACGATGTGTCATGGGGCACGAAAGGCGACAACGCACCCGACCTCGGATCCGTCACAGTCAAGACGACCGCGTCCGGCGAGCAAGTCGCGGACGTGGCGATGCCGTTCACTGAAGACGACCTGGACGACGCGTACGAGGTGTTTGCGAAGCAGCTGACGAAACAGCGGGAGGAGATTGGCAAGAAGGAGGTGTCGACGGTCAATGCGCAGACGCAGCAAGAGGATGGGTACAGGAAGTTCCGGACTAGGGTCGTGCTGTCTTGGGTGCTCAGCAATTCGCTGCTCATTCTGATCTTTACGAATGAGTACCTGTTCCCGCCAAACCCGCCGGCGGTTAACCCGTACTTGACCTTCTTGTTCTGTAAGTATGCTTGACATGGGTTTTCGACTCCATCCATGTAGACAGGTTCACTGATCATTCCTTCCATCTTCGTTCCGTACAGGGAGCGTTGCTGTTCTGAGCGCTATCCGTACAGTAGCTTCAGGCTTCTTCCTGGTTGACCACTGGCGGACCAAAGTCGGAGAGAAATACGGCGGACGTGGGCATGGATTGGAGGACAAGGTGTAAAGAGGCGTAAAACTCAGGACTCCCTTCTTTTTTTTGTGGGCCGTAAAACCACGGCGTGTGATATGCAATGGCGTATGTAGAGTGTGGTATTTGGTACATTCTGTAGGATAGTGTGATGTGTGCATATGTATATATACAAATTGATATGAAAACATGGTATAGAAAACAAAAACTTGACGTGACGCCGGGGATGGAGTGCTTCAGCGGTCGACAGTTTCCTTCGACGACTTGATATGCGATTCCGGCGACGCATCGTCGTCGAGAATAGGCGCGATGATCCTCTTCCGCAAATCCCCAGGCTCTTGACTGAGCAGGCCGTTGGTAAGGAGCTGCGATACTGCCGTATCATCACCCTCACCCTCACCCTCGTCCTCATACTCCTCCCCAAATTCCGCCTCATCATCCGCCTCATCTCCAGTCTGCAAATCCCCCCCGCGCCCGCGATCCGCAATCAACGTCTCCTCCTCATTCTCGCTCTCCTCCCCATCCAGCAGGTCGCCACGTTTCAGCATCTTCGTCTTGCCCGCATACTCCAGCAATACGGTCGCAGGCCCCTGTTGCAGCCAGGGCTCGCCGTCGACCTGCATCGCGACCTGCGGGGCGTCGATGGCGAGGCGGATGTGGTGGGCTTGGCCGACGACGTTGGGAGAGGAAAGACCGACGACGCTGGCGCCGAGGTGGAGCGGGGAGGCGACGGTTAGGACTTCGAGTTTGGCGTCGTTAAGGAGGGAGGGGGGGTAGCCGTCGGCTTCGGCGGTTGCGTAGATCTTGCCGCCGCCGCCGTAGGAGGGGATGTTGAGGACTAGGAGGGCTCCGACACTGAGGGAGATTGCGCGTAATCGTTAGTACCAGTGCGTATGAGGACGGAGGATACAATAGAATTTTCCTCGAGCTTACTCGGTGAGATCAACCCCTTCCTTCTCATGATCAAGATACATCCACGAGGAGGACAAGGGTTCATGAGTCCCCGGCGATGCAAAACTCTCATCTATCGTCTCGCGATCGCCCGACCGCATCGTTGACGATCGCTGAGGCGACTTGTCGTCGTCGAGGACAGACAGGGAGCCCGAGGACAGGGATTTGGTGATTCCCATGAACGACATTAGGTTTTTGAGCTGATGCTTTCCGCCATACATTGCGTACCACACTTTGTTGAGAAGTCTGTGAATGTAAATGTTCGATAGGTTGTCAGCGCGTGGAAGACGTTCAGTTGAAAAGAAGAAGTGCTTACCTGTTCCGGAAGAATTGGGGCTGTCGTAACCGCGTTGTGTGAAAATCAAGCGCAACCGATGCGTCCGTTCCTACGCTAAAGTAGTTGTTCATCATCAAAACCTTTGGTGGTTTGCCGGTACTCAGGTGGAGTGCCCGGCCGACTTTCTCGGTCGAAGTTAACCGGTTAGGTCGTTCAGCCACGGTGACTCGCCACCGATCGACCTCGACTTCAGCCGCCCTATCGATGGCGCGTACAATGCCGCGTACGTCTGAGCCTGTCCAGCCGCCTCCCCAGCCTAGCACCCGCGCCAAGTCATTCCCAGTTCCCAAAGGCTGCACACAGCGGAAGTGAATGTAGTGAGCGGTGCTTCCACCAATACGCAGAGCCCACGGAAGGACAACTAGCTTACCAGTACACCGACAGGGGGCTTGGGTTTTGCCTTTTCGATGACCTTATCCAATATCGATAGAGCCCACTGAATTGTCCCGTCTCCGCCGCATACAAGTATTCTGCATCTGTCGAGGACCGGCTCGAATGCTCGGATCAAGGCTTCCGGGTTTTCCTGAGAGGTATCTACAATCTGATGATGTCCCGCGTAAGGCTGTCGTCACTTCGAAAACGCGTTCATGAGTGGCAGTGTTTTCTCACCTGCACCGGGTTCAACATGGCAAACAGAGCACCCAGTAGCGCGCCGGAGTTCTGAGCTCCAGAGGCAGGATTCACGATACACAGGAGCGGCCTCGAGCCCTCGGGAAGGTCTGCGACTTTGAAGCGGGGTTCTGGCTTCTTCGAGGCACCTCTCGTCGCATTTGATATCCTTGTCACGAAAAGCGGTGGGACAACCAGATGCGGGATCGGGCCCAGCGGGCACTTTTGTCGGAATTGAGTGAAGCAGGTTGTATGTACCGCGACATCGCACCAGATACAGCGCATGTCCTTCAGAGTGGGCTCGCTTCCAGCTGCTGATTTGCATACGGCACATTGCGCGCCGACGGATAGGTTTCCCTCAACCCACTGATGCTCACTGTATCGAGATCCAATGCTCTGCGAAGCACGGTTTAGGATAGCTTAAGACGAGATCTGACGAGCACTCAGGACTGATTTAAAGCCTTACATGAAGCGGCTTGTAGTTGTCATCGACGGAGGAACTCGAGTTGATAGAAGATGTGGAATCTTTCCTCTTCATGCGTAATAGATTTGGAATGTCGGTGTTCGAGTACAGAAGCTTGCACGGCTGTAAGACATCAACGTGAGTGCGAGCCGGGGCTGATCAGAGGAAGCGTGGACATCATCACTTACCATGTCCTGCACCATATCGTAGTGTTCCTCATGAGCACACCGACGGCACACCAAGCATGCCAGCCCTTGCACGACGAGATGACTACAAGCCTGAGAAGCAAGAGAGGAGTGAGGAGACATTGATTACGACGGACAGATGCGTTGGGAATATAATATGATACGTACGTTACAGTACGACGGCCCTTGGCCATGGTCGAGAAGTAACATGTCGCCCTTCACCCAAACATGCTCATATGGCACCTTTCGCTTGTTCCCCGGCTTTCCCCCTGCCCACGCCCCAGTGGTTTGCGGTGTATAAGAAGACGTTTTTGGGAAGGCGAACCATATAGTTGCGTAAACCACCGCGGCCACTCCTGAGGAGATCACTGTAATTGCGCCATAGTAGCCGCAGTGTTGACTCAGGAAGGAGAACAAAGAGGCGCTTAGGGATCTACCTCTCCCGAAGATGCCGATTACGACCCTGAAAGCATCGATTATGATGGCCAGAACCCCCATCAGTGTGACCGTCGAACGCGATGTTCCAACGCTGGTTATGGACAAGTAGGAGGTGGCCTTTGTGATCTTGACGAGATGATATGCACACAACGAGCGCTGAGAGGGTTGAATTCCCCACTTGACAAGCGCCTTCCGTGGGCTATATGTGGGCGATATCGCCAACTTGGCCGAGTTTATAGCGTTCTGGCTCGTTCCCCAACGTACTGTCAGGTGTCTTATAAGATCGTGAAATTGACTGCTGCACAAAATACTCGGCTTGGAAACAGCTTCCGAAGCGACCGTCAGTTTCCAGACTACAATAGCCTGAGTGTTTGACTGTTTCGTATTGGTCGATGAGCCGTAGCGCTGCGTCGTAGCTGGGTATCAAACGGCTCCGGATGCCTGCGGTTCTCGCCGCCTTTCGTATGCGCAAGTTGTGACGTGATCAATACAGGGCATAGTCACGTGGCTCCGAATTAGTCCAACAGTCCAGTTTAATTCCCCTTCCTTCTCTTTCGGAGTGGGTCAAATTCAGAGCTGCGAGGGCAAAGGACTTCCTTTCCACAGTACAGTACATACAATACGTTAAGGCTGCCATAGATACTGTATATACGGTGAAGCTCACATAAGGGCTGGTTCATAAGCTACTGCTACGTGCGCTACCCGGACGAGATACCACAAGAGGACTCACTGAACCTTTGCTCTGTATTCACTACCTGGGAATCCACTCCCTCTCGGCTCCCGAGCTCACGACCTTCGCACAGACCTCGTCGAACCAGCAGCGGCCTTCCTAGCTCCTAGCTTCAAAGTTATTACCAGAGAGTGTTGTGTCTCGTGTGCTCAGAAGCAACTGTTGCTGACCTGCTTTCGAATTGCAAAATGACAGACAACCAGCTTTCTGATGGGGAACTTGTCGAAGATGGGGAAATTCTCGACGATGAGGAGGTGCCGGCAGTCGCTCCAGTTCAGTCACACCGCTCAGTGTCGCCTCCGGTACGAAGTGGAAAGAGGAAAGGTTCGGTGACAAGCCACAGCGACGCCGCCAGTATAGGCGACCATTCCCACGAACAAGGATCGCTTCCTCCTGCCAAAATCCGAAAAATCGATGCAGATGCGAGTGGCTCTCTCAACGGCGAGGAGGATGGTATGGACGGGGTCGAAACTTCCTCACTTGGTGAAGCTCAGCTGCCCAAGAATGGCAAACACGGGCTCAACGGGCGGGAGAAGGGGCGTGATTCTGATGGAAGTCATGATAGGAAGCGTTCCTCGCGTCATCACAGACACAGGTCTTCCTCGCGATCCAGGCGTCACAGTTCGAGAGATAGGAGAAGTTCTAAAGACCGTTCACGACGAAGATCGCGGGACCGGGACGAACGTAGCAGCCGCAAGGACGAAGATCGTGGTGAACGCCATCCCAAAAATGAAGACCGGGGCGAACGCCGCCATCGAGACAGCCGGCGGGATTCGGCGAGTTGTCGACACAAGGAGGAACGCACTAGGGACGGCGGTCGTGATCGTGGTGACAGTCATCGAGACGGGGACCGGAGGGATAGGCGGGATGATCATAAAGGGGAGCGCAGCTCTCGTTCGAATGGCCACTCTGACATATCAAGAAGACCAAACGATCTGAAGCATGTAGACAGAGAAAGAACAACTACAAACGGCCATCCTTCTGTGAGGGAGGAGCCCCACATGAATGGTGACATTCGGGAGACATTCAGAGAACGTTCGCGCTCTGACGAGGAGAACAGAAAGCCTTATGAAGCCCCTGTTCCCATCCAAGTGCATGCGCAACCTCCCTCTACAAAGCCTGATGCTGAACCACAGGCGGTGCCGGCAGTCCCGACAGACGACGCGTCGGAATTTACATTCGGGGAGGACGATGAAGAGAAACAGATTGAAGAGAGGCGAAAGCGACGAATGGCCATCCTCCAGAAGCACCAATCGGAACCGAAAATTGCATCGCCTGCTGCGACCGCCGTCATCCACTCCGCTTCGCGAACCGGTAAGGCGACGGAGTTTCCGCATGGATTACTGACGAATGTATCTGACTGCTGTGTAGTTTCATCAGATTCTCCTCTACCAATATCTCTGCAACAGTCCACCGTCGACATGCCCATTGACAACGTCGACTTTTCGCTCTTCAAAGACGGGAAGGAGGGCCAATCGGAAGCGGAAGCCTCAGACGACGTCCTCGGCGCGGACTATGATCCGAATGCGGACAAACTGGCCGATGAGGTAAAACTGGCACAAAGAAACTTGGGCAAGGCCGCCAAAGACGAGCTCTTGCACACGAAAGATGCGAGAGAAGGGGCCGTCTCGAAACATACTGGCGGTAGCATTAATAATAACGAAGAGGACGTCTCTGCTGCAGATTACAGAGAGACTGGTGATGCCTCCCCCAAGGCCAAGGCTCTGGGCAACTCTGGTGTCGACCCGATCCTTGTTGAGGACAAGTCCGCCGAAGATGACATGTTCGCTGAGGATGACATGTTTGCTGAAAACGATATGTTCGCTCCGGAGGACAAGTTCAACAAGAAGCGGGAAAATGCACATGTAAGTAGCGAAAGATGGTACCTTCAGAGTGAATCATCAACTGACCGTCTTCGACAGATCCTCGACTCTGCACCAGTGCTACGGACGGCAGATAATCCCGCTCTAACCGACAACTGGGATGACCACGAAGGCTATTACCGTAAGAGTTCTAGCCAAGTATGAAGCTTCTCCTAAAGACCTGACTCATCGGCTTCCGCTTCCCTTCTAGGCACCATTCTCGGGGAGGTACTTGAGGGCCGGTACCACGTGTACAGTGTTCTCGGCAAAGGTGTGTTCTCATCTGTGGTGAAAGCACAAGATACCCAGAATGGAGACGCCGATGTAGCCATTAAGCTGATCCGGAATAATGATACCATGTGAGTTCAGTGACATTGGTGTTGGGTCTACACTGGTATGTAGCTCACTGTAACTTACCCGTTTCCAGGTATCGCGCTGGTATCAAAGAACTTTCGATCCTCAAGAAGTTGATGCTGGCTGATCCGGACGGTAAAAAGCATGTGATCCGTCTGATACGGCATTTTGAGCACAAGAATCACCTCTGTCTTGTTTTCGAATCACTGAGGTAAGCCTGGGGCCGCCACGCACCTCATACTCAATCCTCTTTCTAATGAATCTACCGTCTCTCCAGCATGAACCTCCGCGAAGTCCTTAAAAAGTTCGGAAAAGACGTGGGCCTGAACATCAAAGCCGTGCGCATCTACGCGCAACAGCTCTTTCTCGCGCTGTCATTACTCAAAAAGTGTAACATTCTGCACGCTGACATCAAGCCGGACAACATCCTCGTCACAGAGTCGAAGAGTACCCTCAAACTGTGTGATTTGGGATCTGCTTCCGATGTCTCGGAGAATGATATCACGCCGTATCTTGTCAGTCGGTTCTACAGAGCGCCAGAAATCAGTAAGTATATATATGATTTTGTCTCTTCTGAATGAATACTAATTGCGCCCAATTATTTCCTCCCCCACAGTCCTCGGCATGCCCTACGACTCGGCCCTCGACGTCTGGTCCGTCGCATGTACCCTGTACGAGCTGTACACGGGCAAGATCCTGTTCCCAGGCCGCACCAACAACCAGATGCTGAAGCTCATGATGGATGCCAAGGGCAAGTTCCCCAACAAGATGTTGAGACGCGGTCAGTTCACGAATATGCATTTTGATGATGATAATGCGTTCTTGATGGGGGAGGTTGATAAGGTTTCTGGAAAGGTGGGTTGTCTATGCTTGTATCTTCAGTCCATCTCGAGATCCATTGGACAACGTCTGACCAATTCCATTTATCTCCTTTAGGATGTGATCCGCAAAGTCGTAATCACCAAGCCCCAAAAAGACCTCAAGACCCGCCTGTTGGGCTTTGAGACCTCGAAAATGTCCGAGGACGACCGATACCTCGTTGTGCAGTTTGCGGATTTTCTGGACAGGGCGTTGACCCTTAACCCAGAGAAGAGGTTGACGGTCAAGGAAGCGCTTGTGCACCCGTTTTTAGCAGCGAAGCCGCCGTCTGCTAGTGTGTGAATGGTGAACACTGGTGTGATGGTTAAAATTACGCTATGGTATGCTCTTTGAGTCTGCCCTCACGGTGGGAATTCGAGCCCGCGGGAGATGATTACACTGGCTGTCTGCAGGCCAGATACTCGCGCTGAATGATACATAACGGTGTGCATTCTTTCTCAAATGGACATCCGCAAGTGTTGGTGCCCCAATGGTTGAAGATCGCGATAAGCATGCCATTTTCGTATTCTACATGTCTTGCACAAGCTCTTCAGTCAAAAATGGATATTATACATATGAAGCTGGGGCAGGCCTAATCGGTTGCACCGTAACCACGGATGCCTTCCGCAAACGCCCACTCAGTCTCAAGTTCATATGGGTCCGTGATTGTGATGCCTGCGTTGGTGATCGTAGCGCGTTGTATCTGTGACAGGAATGGACCGCCGTCAGTAACGTGAATACGAACGATTATGTTTCACAGCGACTGCCGCAATACCTTGTTCAGCGATCTCGCATCTCTGTAGAACAGCACCCTCATGCAGTCATCGAGGACCTTTTCCGCGTCTTGTTCGGTTAGGTTTTGCTCTCCACCAACCTTCTCAATCGCATTCCGTAGCAATGGTTGGGCAATGTATGCTCCGTACCCTGTCGCAATGGTAGGTGATTCGTAGGTTGTGCCTTGGAGGTCAACGAAGCCCAGGAAGCTGTCATATGATGTTGACTATTAGCTTGAGGCCGCGTCCATATTGGAAGCTCACTCAGCGCCACTTACAAGCCGCCGTCTTTGTCTCTGTGGCCACCAATGACCAAGGAGTTCCATAGGGGGTTCTGCTTCGATCGCCGTCCATACATGAGACGAGAAAGGTATTCATGGATGTGGCGCGCGTACAGTTGGTGGCCATCGTCCGTGTTTGCTTCCTTGATGCTAAGGGCAGGAGAAGCGTGTGAGATTCATGATGCAACACCAGCGAGAACATGAAGCGTTTCGTTCTCGCCGGAACTGCCGTGTTCGCAACTGCTGTGTTCCCTCGAGACTTACAGAATCTTTTCCAACAAGTGGGTGATGTATTGGAAGTCAGAGATATCGCCCGAAGCACCAATGATCGTAGTATTCCCGGCCTTGATCAAACGCTCCACGTCGCGGAACCTGGCCATGGAGCCGTATGATGCTGATATTCAAGATGTCTCAGTACACGTCGAACAAGACGACATCCCCCCGCGTTCTCCCTGCATTTGAGCACAATGCATTGGAGTGATAAGCGTACCAAGCGTATCTGCCGCAAGCATGATGCCATCTTTGAATTTGATTCCCAGCACTGACGTTCCCGTCACGGATGGTTGCCTGAGAGCAAGTTGGGAGCGGTTAGACGACCAAGATCGTGAAGCTTAAAACAACGGTACGCCCAGGGTGAGCACTTACTGAGTGCGGGTCGTTGGGTCCATTGCGACGAACGTTGGTTGCAGTTGTTGGGGTGCTATAGGAAGACGCCGTCCGCTTTCGGGTTTCTTTGCGATGCAGAGAGGAGCTCTGGAGGGACTGACTTGTGAGTGTTGGCGTGAGGAGTCAGGACGGACGAAGTCGTTCTTAGACGCGCTTTCCTATGGGATTTTGTTGGCGGGTACGCTGGTGGGTACGCGCAGGCTCGCAACCTCGCAAGTGGTCATTTTCTGCCGTGTCAAGCAGGCGGGCGTGCAGAGGAATTGCTCATAAAAAAATAGCTTTTGGCAGGACGCCCCAGTCACATAAAGAGCTGCTGAGGCGAGATAGAATGGGTGCCCCGTTGAGGACTTTGGTCGTGGACAACGGAGCATACGCTATCAAGAGCGGGTTTGCCGATAATCCAGCCGAATTCCAGTTGAGTGCTGTGCTATGAGTAGCTGGACAGCCAGGCGCATAGCCGATTACAGCTGAAACCATGTATGCAGTACTGTACGTAACTGTTCCGTACGTGGGAAAGGCGGTCGGATATTGGTTGCCGACCAAGTACAAGACTCCTCAGACTTGTCCGGGTTGATACCACGAGTTCCGTTCGAGAAAGTAACGGCCAGTGCATTTTCGCAAGTTGCTATCGTTTATGATGCGAAAGGTTCTGATCAAAAGTATTGTGCAGGGATATATTACAGACTGGGAGTTAGAAAAAGATATCTGGAAGCGTTTACTGTCACATAGCGAAAAGGTGCAAACATGTCCAAGGGTCCCTCCCCAGTCTAGATGTGGTTTCTGAAACTATTCCTGTACTTCATATCCAGTGCAAGCCAGGCGAATCGACGCTCCTCATCACAGAGCCATATTTCAACCTTCCAAATATACGGCATGCTTACGATGAAATAGTGTTCGAAGAGTTCGGGTTTGCGGCGTACCATCGCTCAACAGGTATTCTGCCGAAAGTTTCCTTCCATATGGATGTTTCGACGGTTGATTCTAAGCACACCTGCCGTTCATAGCCGCCGCACTGTCTGCAAATCTTTCTGGCCCTGCAGGACCGTCCGAAGCTGCACTTATTGTGGATTCCGGATACTCCTTCACACATGTTGTTCCTGTGTACCTGGGGAGGCCGATCTGGGATGCCATTAAGCGGTATGCAGTCCCAGTGAATAAGCGCGAAGCCATGATACCCTAAAGTCCGTCGCCATTCAGGATTGAGGTTGGAGGAAAGCTGTTGACGAATCATTTGAAGGAGATCATAGCTTTTCGGTACGTCGAATCGAAGGATCATGTGGACTTATGGATGGAGAGCTCATGCTCCCGTACTCAGACAATGGAACATGATGGAGGAAACTTTCCTTGTCAACGAAATCAAGGAGCAATGCTGCTACGTATCCGAACGCTTTGATGCGGATCTCGAGGCCTGCAGGTGCAGTCATACGCGGGCATATACACTCAATTCGATCCTATCCAGCTTCTTGAACTCAACCGTCTACAACGCAGACTAGACGGGTTGGCCAACACCATCAAGCTCGAGTATGTGCTACCGGATCTGATATCCGGAAGGAAGGGATACATCCGAGTAAGCTTCATCCTGCTGCTCAAGCTTACGATACGATCTGATCACAACGGTTGCTCTGACAGTCGAACGCCCCGGCTACATCGAAAAGCGCCGACGAACAAGTATTGATTATGAATAATGAACGGTTCACTGTGCCAGAGATCCTCTTCAACCCATCGGATATCGGTACTATCGGCATCGTCAACCGGATGCTTATTCCATCGCTAATTAATGATATATTCGTAGGGATTGAACAGGCGGGACTAGCCGAAGCGATATATCAGGCTGTTTCACAAACCGACTCAGGTGGACGTCGCTCCGCATCACACTCCCTTTCGTTCGGCAGGCATTGGATCCCGCTGATCACGTTGATAACCCAAATTTCAGATTTGCAACCACTACTGTATGCGAATGTACTTTTAACGGGCGGGAATGCCCGTTTGCCCGGCTTTGCGAAACGGCTGTAAGTACCCTACCATCGGTCCGAGCCGCTCTCTTTGAAAACTCTTAACGCGACGGTATGGATCATCGTTGCTATGCAGGCAAAGGGAATTGCGGTCTCTCGTTCCGTCGGAGTTCGAACTCAGAATACACGCGTCGGAGAGGTAAGCCGATGATCATTCCGTGTGATTACGCGTTTACCTCAGGGACACCAACATGGATTTTCGCAGACCGGAGACCGTTGCTTGGGAAGGTGGCGTACGTTGGGTGACTGAGAGGCCTGAGGACTTCCGATCCCACTGCGTTACGAGGGAAGAGTATATGGAGAATGGTGCTCTGCCTTGTGCACGCAAGTTCGATAGCATGCGATAGGCGTAATTCAGCTTCCCATTCATCTGTCATAACCCTGCGTAAATCACCATTCTTGGCGATTGAATCCGAGAGATCATCAATGCACTTCTGAAAATATTATGAGATGCAAAAAAAGAACGTGGTTCGAATCATTATAAAATGTGACAAAAAGAAGCTACACTTGAGTATCAAATGGACGTGCATGGAGGGGATGGGGATATCTGTAGGTTCCGTCCTCGTCCAGGGAATGATGAGGATCAGGAAATAAGGATAGGTCCTAGGGGATGGTATCTCGGGGTTGAGGATGAATCGTGGGTTCCCCGATTTGATGTTCTGAAGGGGTTGAAATGGTAGTGATGTTTTTTTTTGCATCGGCGTGCCAGCCTACCGATAATGTCGATTATTTTTGTTTCGTGTCAGCATGTCCGTTCGAGTCGCATTGCAAAGCAAGCAGTCGTCTCCCCGTCAAAGTGTCGCGGGACGGCGTGCAATCAATAACCCCTCTATTCTCACACCGTCCCGCGCGGCGACCCGTTCGCCAAGTTTTCCCGCCAAGTCTATGGACGCGACATCCCAATACCCGCCGTCCGACTCTGACTCTGACTTTGCATTTCCGGATGCGCACCCGCCGATGCACCAGGCTCCCCGGCGGCGAGAGTTGCAGCGCCAGCCTTGCTGCTGTTCTCTCCATCCAGCCCCGTCATGCAGACCTCATGCTCCCTGCCTTCCATAACGTCCTTCATCATGGATGGCTCGGCGGTCGGTGCGCCCGGTATTGACCCGGGAATGTTGGAGATGGCCTTCATGGTGATTTGCTGGCCCGCGTTCTTGGCTGCGTTGGGGCGTGCTTTGGTGAAATCGTACACGGTGAACTTCTCTTCCATTATCCGCATGTCGCGCGTGACGGTCGGGTCTTCGCCTTCTTTTGGAACGTCTGCATTCGTTTGGGAGAATTGTTGATCGAATATTCTGGATTGGGTAGAAATGTGCGACAATCGTCTGGCTTACATTCACGCTCCTCCCCTTCCTTTCGCTTCTTCCGCGGCTTCACTTTCAGAGGATTATCTTCGAGCAGTAGCTCCTCCAGCTCATGTGTTGCGTCAAAGTTGGCCCGCTTCGACTATCTCCCGAGTAGAGAGTTTGTTTTAGAGCTGCCGCTAGCACGAACGATACCCCAGAAGGATATCAATCGACTTACGTCTGGAACGAACGGAGGTGTGCCTTCCTTCTTCTCAATCACTGCCCAATCGTAGTCCTTGAACCACGGGTGAGCCTTGAAGCCTTCAAATCCACCGGTCCCCTTGCACCCAAGGCGCTTTGTGATGTCCCGTTGAATCATCTGCAAAAGCGATGTTAGCGGTTGCTCCGTCGTTTCCTTCGTTCGCGTCAACCAGTAGAAGAAGGCTATTTCTGACCGCACCTGCTTTATAGCGTCCAACCCTGCAGGGCTCACGAAGTCTGCGGCGTTGCTGGCAAATTCCAGTTCATCGGATATGATCGCTTGTGTCAGAGCTTCATTTGTCTTTGCCCGGAATGGTCGCTGTTGACAAAAATAAATTTTGGAAAAAGAATTGAAATGATGAAGATGTTGCCAAATGAGCTGTAGATCACAAAAACTCACCCTTCCGAAGGCCATCTCATAGAGAAGTACTCCTAGACTCCACCAATCCACGGTTGCCAGGTATCCTTTCTTTACCAGGATCTCGGGTGCTGCAAATCGGGGGACGAAAACATTTAGTTTGGTAGATTTCGACCTGTCAGGAAATCATTGCCAAGACGTACCCATATAAGCCATACTGCCGGCAACAGCTGAAAGCATCTTCTCCTCGCGAAACCGCACAGCGATGTTGAAATCCGTCAAGTGAGCATGACCCTTTTCGTCGAGTAGTACTGCAGTAATAGAGTGCGAGAAAAGAGAACGCGTCAGATGAACCCTATAAAACGACATACCCATCCGACAACAGTTGACAATCCGTCCGAAAGCTTACCATTATCCGGCTTCAAATCTCTATGCACGATGTTTTTGCTGTGCAAGTATGCCAGTCCGCACGCGACTTCTGCCGCGTAGAACTTCACCATGCTCTCCTTCATGATCCCCATGCGGTCCAAATGGAAACGTAGATCTCCTCCCAACATCAGGTCTATCACCATGAACAGGTTCTCGTCATCTTGGAAAGCATATCGCAAATTACTAGTAGGAGATTATGATATTAGCCGAAGAAAAGGGCGCAAAAGGCGGGCCCCTCGTGATGTGACCGCTGTCCAAAGCTACGCGCGACCTGTCGAATCAACATAGTCTCCAATGCTTACCATACAAAAGAACAGTCAATCTCCTCTAATAGACGACGTTCTTGGATGATATTTTCTACCGCTCTCATCTTGATGCATTTTTCTTTATTGATGTATTTGAGAGCAAAGATGCCCTGACTTCCGCGGTGTTGCACGATCCGGACCTAAGAGTAGACGAGATACACTGAGGTGAGCGCGCATCATTATGAAGTCCACTTGAGATGTTCAGATGCTTACCTTTCCGAACGCTCCCTTGCCGACAGAGCGAAGGAGGTGGAAATGACCGAGCTCGACTGTTCAAAAATTTGGGAAATAAGTAGGACATAGCATTAGGTTGGATGCTCACACCGGCCATCCACTAGCTGATTACGATTACGCAGAAACTTAGGGAACTAGAAGCCCTACCTTCTTGAGTGAAGTCGATCGCTTCCTCTTTGCAGCACGCGACACCCATGATTGATTCAGCGAGTCGAATGGATTATGGCGCATAGACTGCTGGACCGGAAAGCGCGACTCAGCCGATGGACGATCCGGATATACAGAGCTCCCAGCGAATGTGGCGTGAACAGCCGATGTTGGACGCGGCGATCTGAAAGAAGAGAGTCCACCAAGTGAGATACTTCGCTGATATCCCCGTATGGTGAGGGATTTATATCAGAGGCCGGCGTGAACTGTAGCAAATATCCGGGTCGCGAGGGACGAGAAGCGTCAACGGAGTGAACAGATGGACAGATGGATGAAGTAGAAGCGAACAGGCGTGTTTGGATGGAGAAGAAATCGTCGAGAAACATTAGCATATACCTGTTTGCGGTCGGCCCGAACGTTCGGAAGACCTCGTGTAGCGACAAGTTGCCACACAGTCAATCTGACTAGATGTTAGCAGTGGTTGCTTATGAAATCTAGAAGCGTCGCTTATGGTTACTCGCGGTGAGCCCCCGGAGTTCTAGAACACACGCAAGCATGGAGGTGTTTAGCGTACGCGTATTTTGAGGTTAAACAGTGGCACTTCCAGACCACTGGTTCGCCTTGAAGGCGCACGGTGTAGGCAAGCGTGGAGCGGCCGTCTCAAAAAAAACTCTAAACCGGCGTGAGGAACCTTACCTCTTTTATGAAGGCCAGCTTCAACGACGAGCGAAAGTGGTCTTTTCTGGCGTTCAGGGAGTTTTTCAGAGTCTTTTTTCAACTCCGCCAGTGAAAAGCCTCATGTCGGGCGTGAGCAATATAACGGAGGTGTGCGAGGTTTGCATGGATGGGCCTTGACGCCTTCTCGTGCGAGGGGAACTTATCCGAGTAACAAGGCCGCCATAAGGGGTAGAGTAACAAGTTCACGATGATCGGCTTCATTTTACCCAGAGTCCCAGAGTCCCAGACGGAACGCGCTTCAGGCCATGATTCACAGATGTACGGTAATGAAGAACGAATATAATTAATTTTCGGGATTGCCCCCAGCTCCAATGTGCGAGAAGACCTTTGGGGCATTTGGAAGTTACGAACTGACCTATGAGATCAGCGACGGCATCAACCAGCCGAGTGATTGAGATTGATGGGGGGACGTTCGACTGCATCTTCATTCAATCATCCGTATTCTCTACGTGATCTATATGTATTCTCTGTAGGTGAGTCCTCAGTCCAGTCCCGTGGTTCCGAGAACGCGTCCGAGGCATCATTGCGGGAACTGGAACTCGGGACGGGGGAGATTTGCACTGTCAAAAGTCACTGTCATTCTGGGGGCGATTTTATCGCCCCGCAAATTCAGACTCAAGTTGTGGAGAGCCGGAGACGAGGCATATAGATAAGCCTGGCAGACGAGCCCTCCTCTCTCTCCATGGGCCCTCCCCCCGTGTGGCGTCAATCCAACACACGCAAATGTTAGGTATGGATCTGGATTTGGACGTACGGAGGATTATGGGTTCCATCAAAGCTTAGGCTCGGACCTCCCGGTGATACCGACACCATCTAACAGTCAAGCAGTCACCAAGCGTCACATCGCATTATTGGTAGCTTTGCCCCCCGTCTGGCTCGCGCCTCAATTCTTGAGGAAAGAGATGGCATTAATTCAGCTCCAATAGACTCCCTACTCTTCGATGACTGCTGACGGATGGCATCGGAGCCAGGCCTATGTGGGTGGTTGGGGGAATGCGAATAGCGCGGATGCTGCTCTCCGTCGGAGTAACAAAAGAAAAGCTGCCCCCGAAATCGGTAGGAAAGAAAAAGCCGTGCCTTGAGTATATAAAGGGCATCGTCTGAAAGTCGCACGGCTAACATTGGCAATCCACCTGTCCAATTCATTCCGGTCTCCCTTCTTCGATTGTGACATCGGGATTACCTGGCGTATTGAATCCCTTCCACGAGGCTCCCTCTTAAGCCCTCTTCCTTCAAGCCCAAGGGAACTGCTCATGTCGGCACCCACGAACGAGTTCAATAGCAAGATGAATCACCGAGCAAAGCACGGACGACGCTTTGCTATCGATCTCCCGCGTCCATGTCCGCTCTCGCCATGCCCCATGCTGAGCCCCGGCGTTTACTCAGTACTAGCAGAGCAAGTGAGTCCAATGAAACCCCCGACATCCGACTTTACTTGCTTCGATGGCAGATTCGGGTTCCCTCCCACGCCTCCTGCTGAGGCACCTCGTTGCCTCAAGAAGAAACGTGTCAGCTTTAGGGACACTGTCGAAGTACGGCACACGCACAGCGCCGAGGATTATGGTAGGAGTTACAGCTTTATTTTCAAAACGGCAGCACGAGGGCACAATATTTTCATCAAGAACAATGGTATCTCACACCATTCTCTTGACCTTCCCCTTCCTTCCAGATCGGTCAACAATCGAAGTCGCGCCTCTCAGTCGCACCGATATCATCGACGTGATCGTCATGCGCGCTGAAATGCTACAACAAACGGCAGATCTTTGCCGACAGCGCGAACGCCTCGAAATGACGGGGCCACCAAGTTACTTTCCCTCTCCTCCACCGGCCGCATCAAGACCTCGCTGCAACAGCTACGGTCCCCGGTCTCCGCAATTCGAACAGAACTGCTTCTGGGATGGGGCCGCGCCAATCCCTATTTCTCCGACCCCCATCGGCTTCCACGCCGAGGACTACTTCGCAGCTGGTCGGGACCAACCTTCACAGCGAGACGGGCCTCAGCCGATGGACATGTGCTACCTGTAGCACGATGGCCACCATCGCTTGCCTACGTCTGGGCCGGTCATGGCACCAAGAAACAAGCAGATGGGCCTCTACAGCATCCACGTCGCGGTTACATGAAGAAACATTATGAATGAGCTCACGCACTCTACCCTACCAGAGCCGCTAGCTGTGCAAACATTAGCTCTCGGGGTTGAGAAACTTTTAGCACCTTCCCTGATATCTTCGTTTTACTCATTAGAGACCAACAACGTATCCTTCACTCAATGCTTGATTGCGCATCCCCAGTTGTTTGGTACCCATGCATCTTCGTAGTATACCCTCGTACTGTATACCCGTTGGCCTCGCTTAGACTGCTAACCTTCATTTTGTTCAACGTATTGCGCGAACTGGCAGTTTGCATAACTTTGAGTTGCACATTCAGTCCATATATCTTTACGAAAAAAACAACGTTTTTACGGTCTTTGGCCGTCAAATGCCGAGACAACATTTCCTTGCCATCATCGCCATCTGATTTTTTAGACCCTGTCATTATTGAAGACTTGACCTATCAACCTATGCGTATCCGACTGAAGGACATGAAGTGATCGCACGGGAAAACAACCGAGAAAAATACTATCAGTTTCAAAAAAAAGGATCGTTCGTCCGTACACCTAGAGTAATCCAATCCTGATCGTAAAAATCGCTCGTTCTCCTCACTGATCCCACTGGTCTTGGTGATGGGGATTATACTCATTAAACTGGGGCTGATATTGTCCAGGCTGTTGCGACGACTGCCGGTTCCGGTTAGGCGGCACTTGCGAGCTCACTCTACGTGAGAACTCGTCGACGACTTGTTCATACTCTTGCGGGTGAGGCGCGGCGGAAAGTCTTCGGCTGTAGTCGGGCCCATTGTTGGAAGGAGCATAGTGTGCGGCGGCCTGGTATCCCCCTGCATCTTCAGCGTAACTATCTGTTGGTGTCAGGGGAGCGTTAGGGTGGCGGGGCTTTGGCATGTATTGCGCGTTTGACCAGTTACCGTCGCTAGGTCCACCTTGCGCTGCGCCGCCACCAGCGGGGCCTAACCAGGAAGGTCGCATCTCGGGACCGTCGTCCATGAATACGTTGGGGGATTGCGGAATGTGCGAATGCCTCTGCGACTGTGGTTGAGGCATGTGGACGCTCTCACCCTGGTAGGGCTGGTAACTTCCTTGCGGCTGACTGTGCTTCGAGATGGACGAAGCCCGTGTGTGCTGTGGTCTGCCGTCGTATTGCGGGGGTTGATTTAGCTCAACTGGTGGGTGCGGATTCTGATACTGGAATCCTGCATCCTGGCCCCCATACTGGTGCGCATCGGCGTCCGGATACATTGCCTGAGGATTGGGCATAACTCCTCCCGTGGCCGACGTGGGCGAAATAAGGGCGGTCTTCTCGATGTTTCCGGCGCCGTCGCTCGCCGGTGTTGCGACGGTCCATTTGATTTGCCCGATTTCCATGTCATCAACGACCTTCCCTTTGCCTTTTGTCTTAACTTTGGCGCGATCTTCTGCTTCTTTAGATTTCCCGGTCTTGAACACCTTTTTGCTCGGGGCGCCCTTCGGTTTGCCTGCCTCTCGGTCTGCCAATCTATTGGCGGCACTGATGAACACGGGAATGGTAAGCGCCCCGGCCGATCCGAAGATAAAGAACGTGAACCAAAAGGCGTCGAAACCAGTCAACACGCCATCGCAGACGCCCATCTCGAGGTCGACGGTGTCTTTAGCGATTTTGTCGCAGCGGATTGGATTCATATTGACATCAAGGGCATCAGGCAGCAGTGCCTTGATTGCCGCTTTCAACGGAGGGATTCCGTTCGTGACGTTGGTGCGCACGTCGTCGAAGAATTGAGTCAGGGTGGTGTTCATACTATTGAAAGCATTTGGGACCGCGTTGGAAGCGGTCTGGATCTCGGCCGACTTGGTAGGCATGCTGGTGCTCTTCAAGCTCTGCATGGTGCTGATGAGATCGATGGCCAAATTAACATCGCCTTGGATTGCAACGTATTTGCTTCGCACGCTCTGCATATCAGCCTGCAGGTACGGAAGAATTAGCGCTCTGTCGTTCACGTCCGTCGCATCAGAGTCGAGGTCCGGGTCGTTCAATGTGCTCGGCAGACTGGAGACGACATTATCTAGGTTGGTTTTCAGGTTGGTCATGGACGTCTTGAGTGCCAGAATGTAATTGCTTGGATTATCATATGAGCTGACTTGAGTGCTAAGGCCCGTGGCGAAAGCTTGGGCCAGACGAGGATCCTTGATGGATCCAATCATTTCTCTGAAGCAAAACATCAGACCCCCACCAAGTAGACATCATTCGCAGATACGCGACTTACTTGTAACTGATGGCTTTCGTAGCCGCACTGAAATCTTGTTCATCAACCACCTGTTCGAACGTGGTGGTGAGATCCGCAATGTCGAATTGCGGAACAGCAGCAGCAATGATATCCAAGAACGGTTTCTGAGCAAAACAGCTGTCGCGGGCCACCATTGCCTTCGCATAGTAGTTGCCCGCATCGGCATCGACAGTTGCAAGAATCGAGACGATGGGAGCCGTTCCGTTGTCACTACGATCGAACATGAGGGTGCATGCTGTGCGAGCAATGATAGAATCGGTCAGAAGAATTCAGGGGAACTTGAAGTCGTCCACATGGTACTCACTCTCCCCCAGTATAACAGTGAAGATGAACAGAAAAAGCGTCGCGATCAACGCCAGAAGCGTGTACGGAATAGAACCGCAGAGGCAGCAGCGCACCATGCCCGGTTTCTTTGCGCCAACACCACTGAGGACAAAGAGGAGGATGACTCCAGGCAAGGAGAATAGAACGGCGCTGAAAAGCATTCTGATGGAAGAGGAGGTAGACAGTCAGACGAGATTTGCATGTGAAAACTTGCTAAAGCGCTCAGCAAACCTGTAGAGCTCATATTTGGTAGAATATGAGGTGTAACTTTGCATGTCGCTGTGAGTATCGCCGATGGTCGTATTGAGGTCCAGGATGGTCGTTGTGAGATTGCCTCGTTCGCCATTCACCTGTGTTGTGAGGTCCCTTGTCACAGCTAAAAGTTGTGAGTACTACGATCTCCAAGGCACGTTGGGAAGCTAGTAGTCACTTACTGTCAATTCCATCGCTCTCGCGAGCCGTCACTGTGCCGTTCAGATCACCCGCTGCCGCCTGAGTGGCAGCAGCGATAGCCGTGAGATCCAGCCCCGAGCTGACTTCATTTTGCAATGTAGCATGGAGGTCTGACAAGCCGTCAACATGTTGACGAGGAGTTTCGACGCTCGCCGGATCTGGCAGCAGAGGAGGCAGGGGCCCTCTCCATTTGTAAATGTAGGAATTGCCATTCGCCAACGTGATTGGTTGATAGGTGGTCAGCATGTGCGCCGCAGCGTTGTTGGTAGTCAGGCCACTCTGAATCTTTGCCACGGACCCAGTGCTGGGCGCTGCTACGGCGACTTTGGCATTGGTGAGAATTCCCGAAAGCGTGACCAGCTCGTCGACTTTCTGTCCCATCGTCTGACATGCGCCCACCATTGTATCGACTTTAGTCTGAATGGGGGGTAATTTGTCTTTGCTGATCCATTTGTCCAGTGCGCTTTTTAACTGCGTGATGGTGTCAACCTGAATGGTATCCAGGGTGGTATTCACGGCCCCACTTATGTTCCCAATCGTGAGCTGAACGTCAACGAAGCTGTTGTCGACCGTCTCCGAAAGAATATAAACGGAACGACCGAAGAAATGGGCGCCGGAGATTCCACCTGCTATGGCCGCCCTATGTGAAGAAAGGTTTAAGTTCCTCCACGAATGGCATCCGGCAACCAGGATGCGGCAAAGAGCATTGATCTGAACATACATCCATGCCAAGGTGACTAAGGCTAGACCAAAAGCCGCAATGAACTTTTGTCCACCGCTGTAAGGGTCTTTTTGACTGCGTCCCAAGCGCTTCCGCCGACAGCAGCAAATACAACAGCAGCTGCAGCACGTCGACAGGAAGGTGATGAGGATCGCGGCCAAGAAAATCGCCAAGGGCTAGAAAGAAGATCCGGCTGTGAGTTGTAGCAACAAAACATCTGCTTGCGGAACATTTTCCTACTGACTATAAAGTAGGATTTCGTCGCTGCTTGATCCCAATGCATGACAATCGCCTGGCCCCCAGCGGGAGCGTACGGATCAGTTGAATCCTCCAGGGTGATATTGGGTAACGGGAGCTTTTTCCCATTGCGCAAGTTTATCCGTGTCAATCGCGCAAGGTTCGTCCAAATGAAGAGACCATATCCGGGCCTGGATAACTCGCTGTAGTAATCACTGCTGTTGGCATACGGTTCTAGGGTGTTGATTCCCTCAAATGCTCGACGCCGAATGCGATGTTCAGCCGCATCCGCGTTGGCGACATGAGGCTGGTCACCATAGAGCTCTGCAGCCACCTTGTCTGGAGCGTGCATGAAAGAATTTAGGCCTCTATCTCATTGTGCCTTTCCTTAATCTCTTGCCAGGAAATGCCCCGCTCTACTTACGTGGATCCAGCATTGCGTTGCTGCTAGCTGGACTCGATATTGCAAGAACGACCCAAAGGGCGATTGCCGCAATGCTCGTGGGTAGTATTCGCATGATAGGCGAATATCTGAGCACTGGACGCAATGATTGGTGGCGGGGGTGGATATCCCAATGCAGCCTGCGTGCTATCACACTTGCGTCTAATGGTTTGGTGAGGGTATACTGATGAGACTTGGTGGAAAAGATTGGTTGAGCGTGAAACACTCTTTATATGCACTTTGTGAGCATATGTCACAAGCTCTTTGCCACCAGGCTAGCGTCCTTCGAATACGACCCTAAATTTAGAAGGATTCTGCTATTGACACTTGTTTGCTTTACATCTTGGCGCAAGTTAAGTTGGCGGAACTACCCGAAGCCGATTTCGACAGCGCGTCCGCTTTGCCGTCATCAACCGAGATTCATCCATATAAACATCGCCTCTGCTTCATCGCTGTAACCTACATCAAACGCAAACAACCAAACCATCGGGGGTATCTAAGCAGATGCCTAGCTACGGGGCCCACTCTATCATAGGCGATATGAACTCATCCAAAAATGTCACAATAAAAAGGCGAAAAGAAAAGCCTAGAAGAGCTTCCGCGCCACTTTGGCTCCAGGCACGCCCCCCATTTCGAAATCGTGATCTGAAATGGTAACTGTTGAGTATCAAGGACAACAGTGAAAACAAGCCCTGCAACAATCTCACCGGGAAAGTCGGGTGCTTTTCGCTTGATGCCTGGTCTTGCAGCGGCTTCAGGGTCGTCCGGCGCAACAGCTTTTTGTTGGGCGCCAGCCCCACCAACGTCTCGGGGTAGTTTGTTTGGTGGCGTTGGCCGAGGATGGTTGCGAAAGTAGAAGTGCTTCAACGCCTGATTGAATCAGAAGCTCAGCAAATCTAGAACTGTAGAACGAAAACAAGGCGCACGACAAAAAGAGGCCACGGACATACCTGCTCCGTGGTGGGTCTTTTGAGCGGATCGTACACCAACAGGTTCTCCAGAAACGTTAGAGCATCAGGTGATGCGGCAGTGAACGTCGCCCGTAAGGGATTCTTCGGCATCGCTTTGAATTCGTGATAGTCCGGAAGCTGAGTCATGCCCTGCTCATTGCCATATTGATTAATCAAATGACTCCATTTCCGGCCTAAGATCACTTGCAGCACACCCTTACCGGCCACTCTGACTCAGTCGGCGTCCCTAGGGCGTGGAAAATGACCTGGAGCTGCGCAATGTCGGATTCGGCCGCCATGAAGGGCACCCGCAACATGAGCTCTGCAAAAATACAGCCCACAGCCCACATGTCGATGGCGTAACCATAATGCTTAGCTCCAAGGAGAAGCTCCGGGGACCTGTACCACCTGTCAAGGATGGAAAACATAAGCCTTCCGTCCAAGCATCTGCATCCACGTCGGCAGTACCATGCTCACCTTGTCACCACCATCGAAGTCATTGCCCGGTGCGGATTTCCATAATCACGGGCCATACCGAAATCGGCTAGTTTGAGCTGCCCGTCACTGGCCAGCAGTAAATTGTTTGGCTTCAAATCCTGGAGACACGAGACACTGATGAGCATATGAACGCTGGCGAAAGTTGACGTTTCCATTGCCAATGCACTTACCCGATGGAGAATGAAGTTGTTGTGACAATGATATAGACCTCGGAGAGTCATCAACATCCAGCTTTTGATATCGCCGGCGCTGAGGGTCACCGCCTTGTTCTTGATGATCATTTCCAAGTCGGCGTCCAGGTACTCGAGAACAAGATTGAGATTCATCTTGTGAGAATACACGTCTATCAGCTGGGGGGAGGAGGGATAGTGAGTGCGTGATATGCAACATCAAGGAGCCTTTGCCCTGGCCAAAACGCACCTCGATAACGTTTGGATGTTTCAGCTCCTGCAATGCTTTGACTTCCCGGATGGCGGACATGTCCAGTCCATCTTTGAAAAGACCGGCCTTTATCTTTTTAATGGCTATCCTCCGTTTGCCTTCCGCTGGTGTATTTCAGCGCGTCAGTCCATGGGTTCATGTGCCCGGCGCACGGTCATGGTGGAGATCATGCTGCCCACCTTGCACGCCCACTTTCTTGTCCCGCAACAAGTGGTCTCTTTCACCTGTATCATCGCCTTCCAAATCTTTCTCGACTGCTGCTGGTTCCGCTGGAATGGCCCAGCCAAGATAGACCACTGCATAGGTTCCTTCTCCTACTTTCTTGTCTTTCACGAAGTGTGACCATTGTGAGCTGGAGGTGGTTGAACGATGAGTCCTCGCGGGCACTGTTATCGTCGCCATGTCTGCCTCGCGAATTCAGTTCGTTTTGCGAAAGAAAGCGTTATCCAGCGCTCGTTTGAAATGAAAAGCAGCTCTTCCGGGAGATGGCCTTGGGAAAAACTACAGTGCGGAGACGCGCTTGGTGCGCTTGGGGGCAGGCTTGGGGGAGCAGGCTGGGAGGTTGTTGCTCAGCAGTTCGTACACACATATTCGTGGTGTCCCTCTACTATCCTGCCTGCTGCTGTGGCTGTTGCGCACCATAGGATCTCCTACTAGTAGTGTTCCCTCTCAGCGATCGCCTACCCGACTGTGCTTCCGGAGTTTCGCCACCACCATGTCCAATACCGCCGGCAACAGCACCCCGGCAAGTGGGTCTGCTTCGGCGACTAAGCTTCCGCCGACTCCGCCTTTGACCGACCATGATATTAAACAGCTTCAGGAAACTACCGCGCTAGGTGAGGCTTTTGGAGAAGGAGATGGGAACAGCGGGAGTCTCGTTAATCCATTTCATGTGACTAATTAGGCAGATACTCTGCCAACGTACTCCAGCGGTACCTTGTATGTAAACTCCCGGATCCTTTGGCATTCACGCGGGCGTTTTGAAGCGCACTCTCTAACGAAAGACCCCGTGTAGGAACCTCACAGTTTGTCGAATTTCACCGTTGCGGATGTAAGTGTTTACTTTCGTAGATGTATTCGTTGCTTAGTTCACTTTGCGGACTGAAAAGTCAAAGGAGTGAGGGGAAGGAACGCGGGGACGGGATCGAGGGCAAAACCGTTGACTAACTGACGGCTCAAAGTTGAAGGCGCTTGTCCGCTTCTTGAAGGACGAAAAGCATATGCACTGGCTTGCAGTGTCGGGGGCAAAAGCGGACGTAGTGCAGCGCGTGCGGTCTGCACTTTGGCCATCTTTGTCACCAGCGGCGAGTGGCTCGGTGACTCCAACACCACGAAGGTAGGTAGAGATACCTAAATCAGAATTCATGTCGCTTTCATGGCTGATCGCCTATGGGATTTGTAGTTACCCTCATGTAGCCACAGGACTACCAAATGGCCCCCCATTATATCTGCCGCCAACCTACGGAGTAACAGAGGCTTTGCCCGCGGACCTTACCAATGCTTGGTACGCGATCGGTGGAGGATGTGTCCTCCGACGAAGTAATCGCTCACCGATACACTTTTCACAGGAAGCATTTACCCGCCTCGCATCTTATTCATTACAAGTTGGAATTACCCTGCTTTGCCCGGCGGTTCGCCTTTCGCTCCGATGATTGGAAGGGAAATCCGGTTCTGGCGGACTGCCAACTATCGCTGACGCAGCCTGCCATCAACGAGGATGATTGTCGCTTTCATCTATATTTATTCAACCAGTCAACGTATGCTTTTATCAACGATCAGAGTTGGAAAAACGGCCTCCATCCTGCGATCAACGGCCTTCCCTTGGCACCTCCAATGGTTTGTACCACGAGTAGGAGGTCATTTACGATAGTCAGCAAGCATCCTTACCGAGACACCGCGGTTTGCTTAGCAAAGGGGTTCGGAGACCGATCCTTTTCTAGACATCACCACCCAGATCAAAAGTCTCATAAAAATAGGGACCGGGAAACCGTCAGTGCCCGTCCACGTCAACCTCACCATTCCGTCATACTGCCGGAGTGGCGTATTAGCCATGCTTTGTCTCCGACGGCTTCCTATAGAAACGGTAGGTGCATCTCTATCTTCTGACGATGCTCAGTGATGACGCTGATGGTAATGTTCTCACTTCCTCCAGGCCGTGTGTAGAGTATACGAGCAAACGTTACGACAGTACGGTATGTCGGCTAGTCTGTCAAATTGGAGTACGGCATGATCTCACAACCTCTTCCAGGTTACAAGGACATTCCACAACCTCCTCCACCCACCACGCCACTTCCGGATGGGTATCAGGCATTCACCGCGACGGGGATCCCGGCATTAGCAGACGCACAGAAACTCTTCCAGGACGAGATAATATCAAAGCACGGTCAGGATACGGCAAAGAAAGGCAATTCGCAAGATGATGACATCGAGATGGGCAACCAGATAGTCTCCTTCCAGTGCCCCTTGACTCTGATGCGGATAAATATCCCGAGCAAGAGCCACTTGTGTCATCACATGCAATGCTTCGATTGCGAGGTCCGTAACTGCCTTTGGGATGTTGTCAAACATCGCGTCACTTACAAGGACTCTTAACTGCTACAGTCATTCCTGTCTTTCAACAATGCTCCTAATAGCAAATGGAAGTGCCCCATCTGCGCCAGACGCGTAGATGCGAAGGTACGTTGACGTACATACCCTCATTGCCGTGTCCACCGTGCTTACCTCTTTCTTTGCCATAGGATCTGAGGATCGATGTAATATTCTCAAAACTCCTCTCCAAATACCCTGACGCAGATCGCTGCGTCATTTTACCCAGTGGAGAGTCAATATCCTACCAAGAAGCCTCACATACCGCGAAATCAACACCTAAAGGATCATCATCCCCATCAGCATCGACATCAGCACTACCAAACGATCCATCCTCACGAAAACGAAAGCATTCCGAAACAGATGACGGGGTAATCGACCTGGAGGACGACGACATTGCACTCGTTCACCGGGCTAAACGTGCAACGTCGTCGGCCCGGTCGACTCCGTCTTTACCGGCTTGGAGCGGGACTGTCATCGACCTGGATTAAGCCACCAGGCATCACCAACCCTCCTCCCACTGCACATGTATATACCACTCACGACGCCCCAATTGAGGCTCACATGGACACACACGCCATTGCGCCCCTTCCACAATTGTTTATACTTTTCCCTTGCACCTGCGAGTGCTTAAGGAGAGCCCTAGCACCGTCATAATACTGTAGACTAGTCCTTCTGGTTAGATATAGAGTACCAGGCCCATGTCTAATTTGACTATGCACAATTGACGGGGAGACGGGCCGGCACGACGTTGTGACGAATATTTACAGAAGGGTCGGTCCAATCGCCCAGTATTTAATGTGCGACGTGTTCCTAGGAACGACATCCGCTCTTACTCCACCTTGCCAATACGATTCAACATGCTGTTCCTCATCCTATAAAACTCCGCCACATCCTCCTGCACATTCCCAGCCGGCACGTGTGTCGACGGCGCAGCATGATGCTTCTGCATCGCCGGCAATAATGGCGGCGGGGATGCCAATGGATTATGTCCCGCGTGACCGACAGGCAGTAATTGCGGTGGAGTTCGCAGAATCGCCGACGCGGTTGCAGACAGTTTCGGCGAGGGTGCGCGGCGGTAGGATGGGTATGGTGCGGCGGTGATATCGGAAGCGGATGTGGAGGCGTGGTGGCTGCGTTGTTTGGGCAGCTGGCGGGGATCATACGCTGCTGACGGGGTTGGTGTGGATGAGGACCCGGTGCTGAAGTCTCTGTGCATGCGATAGGGTGGGTTGGGGTCGTTCAGGGTTGAGGCGGACATGCCGGTTGTGGTGGTGTCTGTGGAAGAGTAACGTTGATGGTGTAATGCAGGCTGTGAGGCCCATGGCGTTTCCGCGGCGGGTGAAGCGCGGGTCCATGGAACCGTGTCTGGAAGTGGTTGGCGAGATGGGATTGTATTGGAGGCCACGCGTGGCGGTTGCGCTTGCAGATCGGATGGATAAACATACTTTGGAAGTACCTAGCGGGGAGATGTCAGACTGAAGTACACCACCGTCTTCCTGAGCGATTGATGTTGGAAGAAATATCCTTACCGGTGGGTCTCTCGGGGTCACATGTGCGTCATCCCGCGTCACAGTGTCCATCGATGCCGTTCGAGACCCCGACATACCTCCACCTCCCACGTCCTGCTGTCTCATCGACGAAGGCTGATACTGCCTCTGATCCGACAATTCGGTGAGACTCCCGTATTTGGATCCCTTTGCCAGATTAGACGACGACGCGGCAAAGGAGGAGACGGACGATGAGCGAGACCGAAGCTCAACATCATCCGGCGGCATTCTGTCTCTTTCCGGTGGCATATCTTCGGCTGTTGCTAGGTACACGTTTGCGTACCAATGCTCGAAATCACGAGTGAGTCGATGCCGTGCTTGTTCGAGCAGATGTTGCAAATGCTCGATTTCAAGCTTCAGATCTTTGAGCTGTTGATACGACTCTTTGTACCTGTCGGAGATATTTGTTGACACAAAGGCATTTATGGAAATGGAAATGATGAAGCACATTATCGTTCTGCCTCAATGTACCTAGCTGACCTATCCACCACAGTCTTTCGCAGGTCCGCAAGTTCATCCGGGTCGGAGGCATCCTCTCCAATCTTAGACTTCATGGTTTCTGAGGAAGGGTGAGCCTATTCAACATGTGAATTCCCGGTAGATATGAAATCAAAAACAACTCACTGATCTCGGTCCTAAGCTGGTTGGCCTTCTCCCCAAGAGCTTTGGCATCGTTGTACTTGCCCTTCAGCAAGGTTTTCTGCCCCTCGATCCATTCACCTGATGGGTATCCTTGTTTGAATATCTCGAAGGCTTTGGCCTTTTCCGAAGTGAGTTGAGGCACGCTGGCTCTGAGGCGAGAGTTCAGGCCTAGTGGTCGTCCGTCAAACTGTTAGCTTAGCACATGGAAGAAGAACATGCTTTTGCTGGGGTTGGGCGTACCATTTACGGAAGCCGTTGTACTAGCAGGCTGGGATGAAATTGATGGGGCTGCGGATTCGAGGAGGCTCGGTGAGCTTTGGTGGGATGGGACAAGATCTTTGGTCTGTTATGTAGGAAGGGTGAATATTCCATTGATCCTGCCAAACGCAGAGCGTTTAACGCACCTTGAGTGGTTGGCTGCGAGGGTCCTGCCCAGATCGAAGCTTGTTGACCATTCCGACGAGCACATCTGAGGTCGAAAGGGCGATACGTCGGTATGCTTGTTTACAATCTCTTCCTCGACTCTCATCTACTTACTTATCTCATTATCCCGATGCGCTAGTAACCTCGCGAGACGCTGAACCTCGTTTGTATCCACAGTAGAGTCATTGGTCGGCGACAAAGCGTTCAATGCCGGTTTCCGAGACTGGTCGGTATCAGGCGACGCTGAGCCTCCGGACCTGACCATTTCCTTTACGTCAGATCAGCCAGGGGACATACATTGTTGTCTGCGGAGTGAACAGGGTGTACCTTCATGATTCGGAAAGCTTCCTGTGTCTTCCGCGAGTCTGCAAAGAGTAGCGAAGCGTCTTTCGAGTTGTCACGCAAATAGTCATTCACAGCCACTCGCAATCTATGAAGTTGCCATACGTCAATCCCTTCCGCGTTTCACCTCAATTTTCGGGTCCCTGGTGCGTACCGTTCGATTTCATAGGCTGGGAGTTCGTCACTTTGGTCCCCAGTCTCGCCTCTTGCGATCGCAAGCTCGACTTTCAAACGAGCAACCTCACGCTTCAACCTAGCAATGAGTAGATGGGGATCCAATTCCTCATTGAGGGTTGCATTGTTGGAAATCAATGCCACGCGTTGAGCGAATCGACATGTCGAGATGGATTCCTGTTTCGTCCAGCGATCAGCTCGACATTCCCCATGGTGGTTGCGTCGAACGCTAGTTCGGTACGTACATCTATGAGCACATCCTCCACCGCAACAGTCGCAACCATCGTTGTCCTACAGTTTCCACCGAGCGAATCCCGGAGCACAGTCGTCATCACTGAGTTGCGATAGGGTATGTGGGTTCGTTTGCCGAGTGCTTTCTCGTGAAGCGCGATAATGACTTGCTCGAGGTAATGCAGGGATAGATTGATGTACTTTGCCTCTTTCAGCAGGGTGCCGTTTATCCCTGTGCGGGCAACTCTCTCAGATCTGTGTGGGCGGACAACGTCAACCTCTTGAACTCTGTATCCCCATGGCTCCAAGTTGACGCTTACCCTGCGAGATCTACAAGGTGGAGCTTACTCCTGCGAATGGTAGCATCCCCCTCTCGTTTTGCCAACAACGATATGATAAAGAGACAATGACTACGTGACGATGAAGGATTGGACGGCGTCTCGGCAATCATCCTCGTCGTATCTCCGATAAAGAGCAGGTTCAGCGCCTCTTCTTCGTTCTTGGCTGGTACGCATGACAGATTTCCCAAGTGCACGTTGCCCTGTTCGTCCTCTTGTAGCGAAACCTTCCTTTTGCAACAATGCATTTAGCCACAAGGCTTTCCAATAGCTCTTAATTCCGACAGAAACGCGAGCTTACGGTAGATCCTCGAGCTTCTTCGCCTCACGGGTGCTATCCAGAAGGTCGTAGGCCAGCTCATTGTATATCTCCAGATATGAAATGCTAACCTCGTATTGGATATCATGTCTCTATTGCCGTTGATGACTGCTTAGCGCGAGTTGCAACTCTCTGCCAAAGACTTGGGTCCTTACCCACTTTCGACATCTCCTTGAATATGAATTGTAGGGTCCTCGGTATGATACCACGATCGGAGTATCGTTCCGCGCCTCCCGTGATGGTGAATGTTTTACCGGATCCCGTCTGACAGACGATAGTACACCTATGAGCCAAGGTTCCGCTGCTTCGTATCGACGGCCCATATCGAACATACCTGCCCGTACGCGAAGATGGTGCCATTATAGCCATCCATAGCGCTGTGACGCGAGTTTGATAAGTAAACGCTGGCCACGCAACGCCACCTTGACCATCACCCATACCTCAACGCTACAGGCTTGGCGACCACATCGAACACCTCCTCCTGGGTCGCGCCCATATCAAACACTCGGTCAAACTGGAAGTCATAAGCTTCTCTCTGGTTGTTGACCATCCCAGCGGCCTCATCTTTAGGTATGAGGAACCCGATGCGCGGCTTTTCCGTTTCTGACGAATTGCAGACATATCGGTTTGGATCAATTCGAAGCTTGCTATTTGGCCTTGCTGGACGGACCCGAGCGTATATTTGGATTGTGGACGGCTGTGGCCGACTTGGCTGCGTTCCGGTTGGCGGACCCACAGACGGAGCCTGCACTGCCTCTGGTCCTTCCTCCTCTGCCATGACTGGAACCAATGCCAGCGATTGGAACGGCTTTCGGGGTTCGTTACAACCACCTATTTTCCTGAAGCCGCTGTCTATCTTCTCTCCCCGTTGTAATAGTGTACCGTGCAGGACGAAGTGCTGCAAGCATCACCTGAAGTTGGTGGGAATCTTGCCCCGTTTCGACGCGCCGGACGGACTTACGAAAGCTCATCGATCTCAAACATCAACGTCACCAGCAGGTCGTCGCTGGTTTGCTCCCAGCAAAAAGCTCCCACACTCACCGCACAGAGCACCTATCAGACACTACACACACAAACATGTCTGCCCAACAACCGATAACGACCCGGCTGGCTACCTATGTGTCCAGCAAGGAGTTCCGCCAATACCTCATGAGGTACGTTTCGCTTTCCGAGGACTGAACTTCCGCGCTAATGGGAGCGGGACAAAGGCGGACGGCCGTTGCGAGGTATCGCACTGGACGGAAGGCAGGTCAAGGAAAGAGAGGAGCGTTGTGCTCAGACGTTATAGGACTTGCCGGCGCTAGTGCCTGGAGTTGTCTGCATACAATTGTTCTGCCGGGCTTTCGTGCATTGCGATTCAAGCTGGTCATCGACTAACCGCGACTTTTTCTTTTCCTTTTCCAGCACTGTACGTTTCTTGTTTGCTCGAAGTTAGTATATACCTAATATGGAGTCTGACGAACCTTACCGTTCATTTACATTAGCACTTCTGGGGTCCCGTCGCGAACTGGGGTCTACCATTGGCTGCGATGGCTGACCTTAAACGATCGCCAGAATACATCAGTGGGAAAATGACGACAGGTTTGTGTGAAGGTAACATGCCGTCGGTATCCAGAATGGAGATACTTATTACCGATTCTCTTAGCTATGACGCTCTACTCGCTAATGTTCATGCGTTTCGCGTGGATGGTGCAGCCCAGGAATATGCTCCTTTTCTCTTGCCACGCGACGAATGAAGTGTTACAGTTGACGCAAGGATACCGGTTCTTAAAATACCATCAGTAAGTACGCGTTCATTTTCGATAGAATACTTGGCATTTCCTGATGCGCTACGTCTTCCTCAGCATGGGTGGCAAGGAGGCAGCAGAGAAGGTGGCGGAAAAGGTTGCGGAGAAGGTGCCAGCGGTCGCGGCTAAGTAAAAGGTGACCTGTGCCCAAACTTTGTAGTCCATAGTGGTTAGCAGGAAGGACTGGCCCAGATAGAACCATTTCCGGGCATCGCATTTTGAGAATTGAGTAGCAAGGCCTCTAGAGAGACGGGAGACTACCTTTATCAGAATGCATTCTATTCGCTGGTTGCAATCCACATACATACAAACTGAATTCTAAACAAACTATCCTGCTCTACGCCTTACTCGCTGCGTGGCACAACGAAACTCTGATATGTAGCTCCTCCGATGCAACGCGCAATCGGAACCCAATCCCACTCTTGATTGTTGATGCACATCTCTTCTTTGACATTGACCGAACAGACTCCACCTCGGAAGCAACGGATAGCAGCTTCCCCCCTGGGCAACCATGGCAAATTCGATGCCTCCTCAGCATGCGCCAAATGTTGTGAATGTAGGTGCAATGATGGTGCCCTGTTTGGGCACTAACCCCCGGCTCATTCCGATTTGGACTTCAACTGCCTATCCGCCTTTAACAGCCTATCCAGCCCGAACAGCCTCATTTGTGGCTTCGTAAAGAGCTCAACAGGGAAGAAGCTCCCAAGCCAGATTGTCACCGATCGTGCTCCCAACCAGATCTGCGCAGGCCTCGCATTCTTGCTCCACAGCTGATACCACCTTCCTCTTCCCGTAATCTGCACAAATGCTTTCTCCGCATACACCTCGGTGCGCATCCCCGTATCGACAACGTTCCTCTTGGCAGCAATGACTTGCTGCACAACGCCCGCAAAAAGACTGCCCGGAGGAGAGATGATATTGTAACCGGACTGCGAGGTGATGTTGCTCCCGACGCCTCCAGTAACAATCGTCATGACTTTGATCCCCAGCGGGCCAACTTCGAGTCGGAGGGTGTTCGAGTACGCGTGAAGTGCCGCTTTCGATGCGTTGTATGCGGCACCGAAAATGAATGGGATGTATCCGGCGACGGAACCGACATGGACAATGGTGCCCTGTGCCGTAAGGAGAAGGTGCTGGAAAGCCGTGTTCATTCGAATAGTACCCCACAGGTTTGTTTCAAACATAGCCTTCGCTCCGTCGATATCGACATCCAAAGCCGGGCTCGCAAACGGCTGACCGGCGTTGTTGATCAGGTAGTCGAGCCCCTTTCCGTTCGTTCGGGTGGTCACTTCAGCCAGGACTGCTGCCACGGAATCCGCCTTTGTGACGTCCAGGACAAGCGTTTCGATTCCCGAGGCTGCCAAATCTTTCATTGCCTCGAGCCTGCGCGCGGTGGCAAACACGCGGTAGCCTCCCTTGTGGAAGCGCTGGGCGAGCGCATGGCCGATGCCGCCGTCTGAGCAGCCTGTGATGAGGACAGTTTGTTTCGAGGTCATCTTGCTGTGGGTTCTGGGTGACGTCGATGTTTGAAAGCCCGGCAGTTGAAGTTCTCACAGCTGCAGACGTACTGTACAACTCGATCACAGCTCCATGAATCGTGATTGCGGTCAGATTGCAGTGACGTTTGCATGGGTACGCGTTTTGGATGAGTTTGAAGCTTTGGTCCCCTTTCGTCCTCCAACTGCAATCGGAAAGTTCGAAAACTTGCAGGAATTGTTAAAAGGGTCGTCGGCATTCACGCGATCGATATTCTACTGCCGCCGACCTCCAACATCTAGTAACCACCCTGATCGAAGTATGCCAAAATGGCGCTGGTGGAGACTCCCGATCAGCCCGAAGAAAGTACTCGCCAGGAGATAATTCGGTTGAACCCGGACCTGGAGCACGCCATGGCGTCCATGATAGAAGCAAAGGACCCTCTAGACTTGGCAAACTTTGATCCAATAGAGTACATCAATATCATGTTTGCAACAGGTAAGACCTTAACTGTTACGTTCCGTTGTGGCCGGGTGCGAGAGAGTTGGAAGTGGATGTCGCCAAGGCAACAGCGCACCAAACCTTTGTCGAAACAGGAGCTGACACATGATTGTGATTCGCCGCTGGTGCATCGCTTCGAATCAATGCAGAGGAGTCATTGGGAACGGTCGAACCAGTTCTGACGAAACTGAGGAAGAGGATAGCACTAATGGATAAAGAGCTGCGGGATTTGGTGCGATCCCAGACGGATGCGGGCGATCGGGGCCAGAAAGAGCTGGAGGAGACAAAAGCGACCATCCAGGTTGGTTGCCTTTCTGCCGCATAGTCGCCCCATAGTACTGCGTTGGAACCCAAAATAATATTGCCGTCAATGCAAGGCGTTATGCAATAGCATCAAGCAGATTAAGGAGCAGGCCTCCGCATCTGAGCGTATGGTGCAAGAAATAACGAACGACATCAAAGTGCTGGATCACTCCAAGCGGAACCTGACTATATCAATCACTGTGCTCCGAAGGCTTCAGATGTTGGGTGGGTTGAGCGCGCCTTTAAGGCAATGCACCTGGCCTTTGGATTGTTGATGTTGAGCATGACGTGCAGGCTCAGCGGCCGAACAACTGAGGATCATGGCGGGTCGCAAACAGTACATGGAAGCGGCGCAACTCGTACAGGTGCGGCAAGGAATTGCAGGGCACACGTCTGATGGCCTTCCCGCTGAGGATTCACGTGTGGTGCGAACGAATACAGGTCATCAATCAGCTGGTAGCGCATTTCAAGAGTTACAAGAATGTAGTGCAGATTGCCACGTTGCTGGACAATGTCAGCCATTTGCAACAAGACTTGCGCAAGCAGATCTTTCGTGACTTTGAGGGAGGGTATGTGTGGGGCGACGCAGGCTCCCGTGCAACATTGTACAAGTTTGAGACTGACGACATTGGGCGGTCAGGTTTGTCGGCGGTGCTCTGCGAAGTCAGACGGCTCTACTCAGCGACGCTTGCTTGGTGGTGAACATCCTGGAAGGCGATGCAAGGTCAGTTGGCAATGTGGTCTTCCCATGAGCTTAAACATGTCCTGACCATGTTACAGAAAAGCATTGATCGACTGGTATTGTGACATCCACCTCAAAGACTACCGGAGCATCTTTCGCATGAATCCAGAGGTGCGAAAGAATGATGAGAAACTTTGACCAAGTTAGCGCTCGGAGCTCAATTTCACTTCCAGGTTGCCGGGTTAGGGGACGTGTCGCGACGATATGCATGGCTCAAGCGCCTACTGAAAACGTTCGATGAAGAGCACGCCGTGATCTTCCCACCAGAATGGAAAGTAGCGGAAGTGCTCTGCGAGAGCTTCTGCCAGGACACGAGGCGAGACCTCGGGGAAGTCCTAGCGAAAGCAGATCAGACAATGGACGTTAAGCTGATGCTCGCGGCGCTGCAAACGACCATCGACTTTGAAGGAAAGCTGGACAAGCGGCTCGGGGTGCGAAACCTTGAAGAGGAGGGATTGCCGAGTGAGGCCTCGGCGCCTGCAAAGACGTCCAAATTCTACAAGATCATCTCGGCCGTGTTTGATCCATACCTGCGCCACTACATCGAGATGGAAGATAAGGCTTTGGCTGGTATCATTGAGCAGTACCGCATGAGGCCGGTGTTGCAAGAGGAGGAGAATGTGCTTTCGTCTAGCACGGATCTGTTCTACTTGTACCGCGAGACGCTGGTACGATGCGCGAAGTTTTCGACAAACAAGCCGTTCTTGGATCTTGTGAGGCTGTTTGCGAAGTGGTTGAAGCAGTATGCGGACCTCCTTTCCGCCAAGCTGCCGAAGTAAGGCCCCAGACACATACTTTACTCGTCTGCCGTTCATACTCACGACCTTGCTATAGAGACGAGAAGAGAGCGATCACCGAGGACGACCTCAGGACGATATGTTTGATCATCAACACTGCGGACTATTGCACCAGCACAACAACTCAGGTACACCCACACGTCACTATTCCTCTTCATTGGACAGCGGCTGACTGAAGGATTGTCATTAGCTCGAGGAAAAACTTGCGGAGAAGATCGACGAAGAGTTTCGCCCACTGGTGAACTTCAACCGTGAGAAAGATGCTTTCCTGGAGTACGCAGCGCCCCATTTTCACGCACCCTCTTTGCACGTGTGACCATCAGCTCACATTCCCGTAGTGTGTGCACCGCAGGCATCAAACTGCTAGTCCACGGCCTCGAAAATCTGCTGGAACCCGCACTGAACGCAATGGCCCGGCGTCCATGGGGCACGCTCGAAGGCGTCGGCGACCAGTCGGAGTATGTGACGATGATTGCGCATGCGCTGGCAGGAAATGTGGCCGTTATTCGACGCGCGTTTGGCGCCAATGCGAAATACTATCGGTCGTTTTGCGATAAGTTTGCAGAGTGAGTTTGAGGCGTGAACGTATTCAGTGACTGGACTTGGCCTCATGCATCTATGTTTTAGGGCGTTCTTGACACGATATTACAGCAATATTACTCGCTGCAAACCTATATCTGAAGTCGGTGCTGAACAGGTTAATAAGCCATTGGCCGTCGATCTTCACATCCGCCCTTCTCACTTTAGGACCCCACGTTTTCAGATGCTTCTCGACACCCATGCCCTGAAGACGATCTTCATCCAGGTGGCGAATATTAACTCCGATGGGGAGAAGGAGAAGACACCAGCCATGTAAGCACGTTCACCATTCCAATTCATCCAATGATGATACTAAATCGGACTTTTTTTCCGCGCTTCAGATACCTCAAGATCGTTACCAAAGCGGTCACGAAAGTGGAGCAGCTACTCAAGGTTGTGCTCCGCCCGTACCAGCCAGTGGACGGGATTGTGGAAACCTACATGCTTCTGTTCAACGACACAAGTGTCAGCAACTTCCAAAAAGTTTTGGAACTGAAGGTATGTTTGACATGCTGCTGACTGCATTGGCCTTGATGAACTCAGTTTTCACGCTGCATCATTGAATCCAGGGATTGAAACGCGCGGAGCACCAAACGGTGGTGGACGCTTTCCAAAGACGAGCGGGGTCGGGTGATCCGTCTGGTAGCAACAACGCCAACCCTCAATTCGCGAACCCCGGCACGAGTTCCTCGTTCTCGAACACCATGTCTTCGTTGAACACGTCTACGGCTGCTACGAGTGCCAAGATCGAGACGGGATTCAGGAAGTTTGTGGCCGGGATGAATATGAAGCGGGCTTAGATTTCTTTTCTTTCTAAGAAATGAATGATGCACTTTTTTTTGGACAAGGTCGATCGGTGTGTCGGGGTTTGCCCATTGTCGGATCATGTCTTATCAACGAATCTGATTCTATAATCGCTGCTTGCGGCGAATATCTACAATGCGGCTCGATGCCTTGATCACGGGCGCACACGCATGAGTAAGGAAAGCGCTCAGATGGTGCGCACAAACATTTGAGTATCCGATTTAGGATCTCCGCTTGCCGCAAACCCTCTCTTTGTGAAGAAGGACACCGCGGCGGTATCCTTCGTTGGTATCCGGACGTGAATCTCAGATCCAGCGAGCTGCGTTTCGCTTGTGTTTATGATGTGATCCAATAGCATTGTCCCTGTGCAACGGACGATCCATATAAGCACATCTCAGGCTTTATCGATCAGGGGAGAAGAGGCCTACCTAGTCCCAGCTTTTGATATGCCGGCAGGACCGCAAGGCTAACGATCTCAACCTTGTTCTTCTTCGCTTCGGCAACCGTCGACTTTGCAGTTATTATTCCTCCCACAATGATATCGTTGAACAGCGCTATGCGGTTGTCAAAGGTCAGTCGCCCCACCCTGCGTGTCATGCGGGCCACCACAAACCCCCGTCGGGCTTACCAAGCTTTGCAAAGTCCCCAACCTTCAATGCATCGTCATAAACCGCCTGCCCTAGCTCGTCACCCAACAGAACCTTATTCACTTCTTTGAGTTGCCCAATGTTGTTAGGCGTGAGGTCGTTCAGCGCTTTCCGAAAGTACTTGGAGTTTTGCTGGGCGTTGTCTGTTGGCGTAGAGTTTGCTGTGGTCATTTTTGCGAATATCGCTATCTGTATTTGAGACAGAGGTTTGTACAGTCGAGTGTCAGTTTGTGTGTGTTGGAAACAATCTCAACGACATAGACGATCAGCGAGTAACCTTCCCTGGAAGCCTAGTCTCGCGACCGACTTGTCCAGGCTCTGACTCCTGGCTGTTTGAGTTACGTACCTCAAGCGAGAAGATAACGAAGGCTGTGGTTGCGAGGTGCGATACTTAAGGAATATTCCAATTGGTAGCGCCTTTTTAGATGGAAAATGGGAAGACAGGAGAAGGACGAGTGGCGCAGCCGCCACCTTGTAGGTTGTAGGTCGTACCGTGAGTCCGTGACGCGTCCTTTCGCCCACCTTCGAGAATTTGGATTGACATTGACATTGCATTCCAGCACATATGTGAATAAAAACTCAGGGACCTCAGGGACCTCACTGACGCTAGATTTCGCTTTCCACATACACCTACTCTCTTCAATATGTCTGCTCTCAAAGGTATGATTTACGCCTGAACTGTTCTCCACGTAGGTTCATAAGCTGATCTTGCGAACCCTTCAGTCGCTGTGAAATGGAGTGGGAAGAAGTACGACGTGGACGTGGACCTGTCTCAACCAGGGATTGTCTTCAAGACGCAACTCTATACCCTCACGGGGGTTGCGCCTGAACGACAGAAGATTATGGTGAAGGGAGGCACTCTGAAGGTAGTATTTCATCAATGATCTTAGCCTGAAAGGCAGCAGCTGGCAGTCGCTCACAAACTATCCTCATCTCAGGATGATGCGGATATGAGCAAATTGGGACTGAAGGAAGGGCAACAGCTGATGGTATGCGTGGATCTATGATGAATGCCGGTTTGGCATGAGCGGTTGAGCTGATTTCATATGATTTCAAGATGATGGGAACCGCGGGAGAGTTGCCAAAAGCGCCGGAAAAGCAAGTCGTTTTTATGGAGGACATGAGCGACGCTCAAATAGCACAAACTGTGAGTGAGACTACCAGCGCCAGTTCTTCCGAGCGCTGCTAACCGTGCATTGCAGCTGAAACTTCCATCGGGCCTGGTGAACATGGGCAACACATGTTATATGAACGCAACTATGCAATGTTTCCGGGCCGTCCCCGAACTTCACAACGCGCTTGTCAAGTATGTCATCCCAAATTGCTCTGCGAAACGAGGATTGTTAGGTCCACAATGCTGACATTCACTCCCGAACAGGATGCCTACGACTATCAGTAACGACAACCGCGGAAATCTGGTTGTGTCAATGCGAACGCTCTTCGACGAGCTGGACAAATCCGGGTCAGCTGTGCCGCCACTAGTGTTCCTCCAAGTAGGTTCTTTAAGCTGATTTGGAGCGTTCAGCGCATATCTAATCGCTCGTTCCTAGGTCCTTCGTGGAGTATTCCCACAGTTTGGGGAGATGAACAACCATGGGTACATGCAGCAGGACGCAGAAGAATGCTGGAGTCAGATTGTGCATGTGCTAGGCGAAAAGGTCCCTGGACTTGAAGTGGGAGGCGAGCTCAACAAAGACAAGCATTTTGTGGAACAATACATGAGTGGAGAGTTCCTCACCACGTAAGCGCTGTGCGGATTCCTTGTGAATCCCCTATCAGTCATTGATTATTTGTGAACTACTAGAATGACGTGCGATGAAGCGCCAGATGAGCAGCCAGTGACTGGCATAGAAACTTTCAACAAGCTGCGCGTCAACATTGGGTCGGGAGGTAAAGAGCTTGTCATGCGTTCAGACGACATCTCAACCGCCATACTGAAGTTGGCATAAACAGTCTCGACATACATGATGAATGACATCGCAAAGGTAAAGGCGCGCTGGATCAATACTGGCCGGAACGGCGTACATCGAGACTCACGCTTCTCATTCGCTTAGGGGTTAATCGAACCTATTGAGAAGAACTCGCCCACCCTCGGTCGCTCTGCTATGTACACCAAAAAGGCGAAGATAACACGGCTTCCAGCATACTTGGCCATCAACTTCGTGCGTTTCCAATGGAGACCCGATATCAACAAGAAGACGAAGATTCTGAAGGTATGTACAGACGGAGCGTTGCAGCGTGTGCATTACCTCTCTATCTTACTTCTGTGGCGCCTACCAGAAAGTGCAATTTCCACACGAGCTGGACGCGTCTGAGCTTTGCACGATCGAGCTGCAAGAGAAACTGCGCCCAGCAAAACTCCGCTTGAAGGAAGTGGCCGAAGCGAAGGATGCAGAGAGGGTACGCAAACATCGCCCGATCAGCAAACGTCCTGCATAGATGGCAACCTGACGCCTTGCACTTTCAGAAAGCAAAAAAGGCAAAGCTCGAAGACGGAGGGTCTTCTAGCGAGGAGGTAGCAGACGCACCGGTTGCCGGGCCAAACGAGATTGAGAAGATGAAGGAAATCGGAGTAGATCCCAGCTTATATAACGACGTCGGCGCAAACGTGTCAGGTCAATACGAGCTAGTAGCAGGTAGGCTTCAACCTTCTCAAATGATGGCATCGGATCACGCTAATGCTCAAATCCTGGCACATCGATCACCAGTGCTCACACATGTCGGCCGTGCCGCGGATTCTGGACACTACATTGGCTGGGTCAAGCAAAGAGGAATTTGGTGTAAGTGTTGTCATTTGAGAACTTGCGTGGCCTCTGATTTGTTTCTTAAACTTACGCATTTTCCTGATGGTGAACAGGGAAGTTTGATGATGACAAGGTCTCGCAGGTAGCTCCTGATGAGATTGAGAAGCTGAGTGGAGGAGGGGACTGGCACAGTGGTATGTCCTGAAGGAAACCCAAGAAGGACGTTTGTAAAGCAGGAGATTGCTGACTGTCATCCTCCTTCCAGCGTACATTGCCCTCTACAAAGCGAAGAGAATCGAATAGGGAAGCCGTTTCTGTCTCCGTCTCCACGCGCATGCATGTGTCAACGTATGGCAGGGAGAATGACTAGGGCCTTTTTGTATTTACCCCTGTATATGTACCCGTGGTTTTGCCGACTCATGTAATGTTTCGACGGTGGCAATGAGCAAGCGGGCTTCTCGAATTGGTTCATTGACGGCTGAGTTGTCGGACCCTGTTCGTATCCAGCATGGGTGCCCTGGAATCTAGAGCAAACAAGCAAATGAGGCTCTACGACCGCGGTGGACCTGGGCACTCTGGATCACATGAAGGGACAACGCCCCTTCCTTCATCGGCCCCCGCTGTGACCAGTTGTAGAATCTCTGAATTTCCACAGCGCAGTGATTGCTGTTCATATTGCGAGATTTGGTGGTGTGACTTCGTAAATGACAAGGATCTAGAGCTATCTGCGCGGATTTCCCTATTCTACGCACAGCAAACCTCGGCGACCCTCGCAGATTCAATCAGACACCTCATCCCTGCCCCAGGATACCCAAGCGACACCCCCTTCAGACCCTGCCGTATGCGCTGCTTCCTCTCTGGATCAAAGACATCCCACGTCTCCACCACGATGACATTTTTGATCGAGTGTCCCGCATATTGGAGGTTGATGTCCGATCGTTTCGTAGCTCCTTCAAAATCGATATCCACTCCAATCAGCTGCGCATCAAGCAAGCCCTCCGGCGCCTTCTGCAGCTCCTCGCGGAGGTAGGCGCCGTGGGCGCCGGATACCATCACACTTGGGATGGAAACGTTGTCGACGAGGGCAAGATCGCCAGTGGAAGTTTCGGAGTATGCCATGTTCAGGAACGTATGTTCCTGATCATTCACGACGACGAGGGCGATGGCGCCGGCGAATTGAGCCCACTCCGTCTTTTCCGAGAAGGTGCATCCCCCACGTTGCACCAACAAGATCTTTCCTCTTACACGATCGGCTTCTACTGGCGTGTAAGGATCACACCCTTCGGGGATCTTCGTGGTGCTCAACGAGATCATTTGCCCAGTGACGTGTTCGTTTGGCCATAGAGCTGGCCCGTACTCTGCAATGGCGACATTGACGACTCCTTTCTCTTTGATGGCCAGTGCGGCCATAGGGCTGAGCGGTGGCGGTGGCGGGAAAGGCTTCGACGCCGCATCTGGTTCTAGAAATGACATTCCGGTTTTGACGACTGTGAGGGTCTCCCCTTCGCGCAATTCGATGTCGTTGATTCGCAACACTTGGAAAGCTTGGCCATCTGATGCTGCTATGTGGAAACGAAGTCCGGCCAGGTGATCAACCGCGAAACCTTTCCATGTCTGTAGAACCGTTAGCAACGAGTCTGACGATGACTGCAGTCGATTCACAGCGCCCCACCTTTCTAAGTTGTGCTTCGGGCTTGCCAGTGAAATTGGGAGGCTCGATCCTGTCAAAGGTGATGAGTCTCTCGTCACATTTACTGCATCTAAGGTGCCTCGGCCATGACTACCTGATCTCCTGCGTGGTTGCGCCCAATGTCCCCACCAGCTTCTCCAAGCCGACCGCATAGTCCCCAACTCCCACGAGCTGATCGATCTTCTGCAAATCGGCTGGAGAGACCGCCATGGGACCCGATGTAGTCATGGTACTTATCGTCACCGCGATGTCCCCATCGAATCGAGGACAGAGTTGTTGGGCGGACAGGTTTTTTGGTCGATCCTTTTGGAACTTGGCCGGCCTCAACAGTTCGTACGGAAGAGTTATCCAATGTCCTTCGGTCGTGAACACCCCGTTTCCCATGGTCTGGTGTACGAAGTTGTCTAATGGCCGCAAATCAGTGCTGAACGCGCAACAATCCCGCAAATCAAGGAAACGTACCTTCGTCGAACAGGAGGTACAAATACTTCAGGGTCTCGCTGAGGAAAAACGATTCTAGCCTGTCGTCCAGCTTCCCATCGTTGACGTCCCATACGGATGCGAACCCACAAGGAACTCGTGTGCGGTTGTTCAGATCTCGTAGGAGGCGCTCCCCGACGTCAAGGTAGTATGGATCTTTGGTTGCCTGTGAGAGACTACTCAGTCTCCTTTACCGAGAGCCAAGGATATCCGATTCTTTCTTACCCTATACAACATGTAGGTTGATTCTATGAACTCGGGCCCTATATTGTCTTTAGTTCGATGTACCGTTTAGTTGAATGAAAGGACCACATACTCAAGGGATAGGAACCAATCTCAGTCTGCCGTGAATTCATGTTGAAGCGCTCCGGCATAGCACCGAACCGCTTCCATATCGTGGCGTAAACCTGATGAAGTTTTGCGGCATCTTCGATATCTCCTGCAAGAACCTGATTGGTAAGTTAATCGTGAGGCCGAGATGTGGCTCAGCAGGGAAGCGACCCTATCCGTACTTGCAGGCCGGGAAAGAATGCGGCGAGAGAGTCGATCCAGGAGGCAGCCAAAGCGCCATTATGTATGTTGACATTCTTGTAGAACAACCCTCCCAGATCCCTAATGTGCCGCTTGACGGCTGCATACGCCGCTTGAAAAACGTCATTATACTCCGCCTCGTTGAAGAGGATGTACGCCTTGAAAAGGTACTCATAAAAGGAGTCGATTCCGGCCCCTATACCCCCAGTCGGATCCTTCCACTTTCCGGTGGTTGCCCCGATTGCATTGCCCACCAAGTTAAGGCTCGACCGCAACTCCCAAACGCGAAATAGGGCTTTCCGAGCCAATTTCTCGTAGATCGGATCGCCTGTGAGCCGACTCAGGACGCCGAATTCCAACACCAGTGTGCCAGCACCAGCGGCGCATGTCGTATCCGACTCCTTCTTCAAGACTCCTTTCTGAAGATGCACTCGAGGCCACGGCAAGCCTGTCGCAGTATTGAACGCCGGAAGAAGCCTGTTTGCCAGGTCTCGGGCGAGCTCCAAAAGTTCGCCCTTATACCATGGTATCCGAAATCCTGTATCTGAATCGGTAGCGAGAATATGTGCGGAGAGCAGGCCTCCCAGCATCCTGATCGTGACTTCGAAGACCTGGACCCTCGAGTCCAAGTCGAAATGAACGTGTTTAATAGTCAAGGCAACGGCCTCTTCCCATTTTGCTCGGTCGTTCATGATAACGTGGGTATCGAGAGCGTCTACAAGCGTGAGTGAAAAGTTCCCTAGGACATCATTCTCACTCCAGTTCAATGCATCTGCGTCGCGATATCGCGGCGTGCACGAGAGAGGTCTCAGCTCATCGGCTGGGAACGCATACTTCATATAGTTGCCGTAAGCGTGATCAAACATTTCCTTCGTTTGATCTCTTAACTCTAACTGTCTGGCCCTTGTCATAGTGGCACGGACCGGTCCGACGCACCAGCCCGAGGCGCCCAAGGCGACCAATACCCACGTCCATCGCATGCCGTGCTTCGAGCGTGGTTTCCACGGCGCTAGCGAACTCTAACTTGTAGCGGAGTTGACGAAGTAGCCAGAGTGTCGATGTCTCGCGTCGAAAAGTGCCAGGTTTCGGCAGCCCCAACGAACTCTGGATTGCAGCAGGGTTGAGGAGCGGTTTGGCGAGCCTAGTGGCCGGAGCGTCGATGTCTCCTCTCGACGGGATGCAAGGCTTCGGGGTTGCAATTTTGCTCCGAGCCTGCGGCCATCCAACAGTTGGTGCTTCCTGATGGGCCCGTGCTTTCTGTCCTCCAAAACGGAACGCGTCACGCCTCCTCTCCTCCTTCTCACCTCCTTCCCAGCCTCCTTCCTCATACATAGTCGCTCGTCATTTCGGCGCGCCAGTATATGTAAGACGAAGAAGGAAAGAGGTTTTTCGGTTGCTCCTCAAACCGATTCGTCACTTTCAAGATCATGAGCACCAGCTCATTGGCTTCTTTCGATTGCACACTGGCATCGCACGTCTGGAGCAGTCGATGACAGAGCACAAACATCCCTGGTCATTGCTTCCATCATCGCGCGAGAACAACTGCACATCATCTTCTGAACGTCCTCCCCCCCTCATACATTGCTTGCCCATTCAGGCTATTGCCTCCCGATAAGGTACGTCCCTCGCCTGCGCTTTGGTTCATATCGCTTGGACATACTGTACCTTGCCAGAATCTCCATCAGAGCACGTAAACCAGGCTGTCGTCCTCCAACATGCGCTGGGCTGCAATGTCCTGCAGCCTTGCGCTCGTCTGGTCCCAACAGCAGAGCGTTCCACACCGCATAAATCAACTCTTCGCCAGCCGTACGAGTATACGTCTCAATGGGCGATGACGCTGCTGAGGACCTGAATGGATGGGGCCCCGAGCTTATCAATACGCATACCGTCGAGCACGTCTGCAGGGTGTTTATGGACGCAAATAACCAGCGTCACCATGTTTGCGCCCCTAAGAGCTACCTGCCATTCACCGGACGAGGACAACGGGGAGCATACAGCTCAATGGGCAAGGCGCGCTGAATGATGACCACCGCGATAGCGAGGGAGACCAGAGCGAACGCTCTCGAGCGACCTCGAGCGCAAGCGGAGCGAGTTTCACGCCGCAGGCGCGATGCTAGGAGTGAACGCGAACAATCGTGTTTTCAGACGAGCGAAGCGAGCCCCTTGTCTTCATTCCGGGCCGAGCCTATGGATATGTATCGTGTTTGGCAGGACATGCAAGTGCGCAACCATCCATGTTGGGGGGCCTCTCAAGCGGCGCTCCAAATGTGCCGCAGTCTTCTCTCGTGGGTTTGGCTTGAACGTACTTCAAGAGGATCAGGAAGGCGGAGTCGAGACGCGCGCTGTCGAAACACTCTCATTTCGAATTCTGGACAGGAGCCGACGATCTCATTTTAATAGCTGGGCCGTAACGCAAGAAAGAGGATGGGTTTGAATCTGTGAAAGTGAGAAGATACCACCGGACAATCTGAATCGGTAGCTTGTCTGACGACACATCAACATTGGAGCCGGAGGGCTGATGGGTCTTAAAGCTCATCCGAAACATGGTGCCTCGAGTTCCTTCCAAGCAGCCAAAAGTCGAAATCAAATGGGAGAGAAAGCTATGCTATGATTCTCAATCCAAAAACGAGGGAAGGGGCCGACACCCAAGCTATGGTTGCCCGACCTATACCGAGTATGAGTCTTGTACACTGCTTGGGTTCGACAAGGAAGGTCATGTATGAAAACAGCGACTTTTGCTTCTGTCGTTTTCGCTTCAACAACGATAGGAAGTACCCTCTACGTCCCGTCACTGTAAAGTGCGCTGGAAGCGCGGCTTCCCTCTTGATTCAATCTGCATCGCGAGCTATTTAAACACGATCAAATTGTTGCCACCTTTGAGATTGTCGGCCAGCCATGAATGTTCGACAACGGACGTGACTCTGGGATGGACTTGATATCTTGTGGGGGGACTTCGATCTCAACTCGTAGAGGGGTTATGACAGAGTGACAGGGAATACCCCATGTGCCTATCTCAGCACCCTACATTGTTCTCTTCCGAACATGGACGGTCTTCTGACAATCCTGATCCTTATTCTTCAGCGGCACATAAAAGGGCCCATTCGAATCAGTGGAGTTCCGGACAAGATCGATCTTGTCCCCTTCACCACGGGGTTTCCGGCTGACGACCGGCAAAACGGCAGCTTGATTCAAATTGATGAAGACAGAAGCTAGCGGCGGGGACGCAATTGCCCAGGTTAGAATTACTATTGCTAAGAAAAAACGGCAAAATTACAAGAAACTACATAGGTACATGGCGGAAAAGGGGTATATACAGGTAGAAGTTGGCGATATCTCCAAAAGTGGCGTAGTCCAATCGACAAGGTATCAGTCGATCATTCTTCGCAATTGCCGCAGTTTATTGACGTCCGTCAATTTGATACGCTGTGCCGGTTGACTGAGAAACAAGCGACAGCGACGTTTGGTCAGACACAAAGAATTGACAAGCCAGAACAACAAAACGAGTGAAACAGAAGGATACATACAAAGTCTTTCTCCTCCCCCTCACAGAGCTTTTCACAAGCAGAAAAATCCAATACATCAGCGGCAGAGTGTGCAAAAGCACAAGACCCTGTAAGAGCCTCCAGGTCAACGTTTGCGAGTTGGGGGTCGCATGGTGTTCGGAAGGAAGCGGAGCGGCGATGTAAGGTTCAGCATGCGGCGGAAGCGGTTGCGCCAATATAGTCGGAATAGGGAGGTGCTCTACCAACGGCTCCCTGAGCGGTGCCGGGGGCGGTGGCCGGGGCGGCATCTAGGTTAAGTCCCAGCCAATGGCATCCCAATGTGGAATGCTACAGTGGCCAATGCTAGTAACCCGAAATGACAAACGGGAGTTGACACTGGTTGTTGCGCGTTGTAAGCAGTTAAATGGTCTAGTCACGTGAGATATATTAAATTTGGGAATTCGCTGTTTCTCGCTGTTCGAACCTCCAGAAGACTTCGGCCCCCTCATTGCGCCGACGATCGGATGTACGAATACTCCTGAGCTATCCGCCCTCCTGTTTAGAAACTGGAGCACTGCGGTAGTATTCTACATGTGCTCAAAATATCGTCACTCTGGCAGTGATCTTCGGAGCGGAAAGCAGAATATCCACGAAAGATAGCATTTCCCGTCACTTGGCTATATCAGGCACTCATCAGCGGCTGGTAAGTTGGACTGATTGGATTGGCTTGCTACATGTCCGTGGGCCCATTCACCAAAAACATTCCAGGCAGGTACTGAAAAGCCACCGAGCGACCACAGCGAAGGTCAGTCAAAACAGGGCTGCACGATGTCATTATCGTCAGGTGAAGAAGATCTCGACTGCCCTTTGTGCATGGAAGAGATCGACATTACGGACCGTTACTTCAAACCATGTCCGTGTGGATACCAGATATGTCGGTTTTGTTGGAACCACATAAAGGAGAACCTGAACGGCTTGTGCCCCGCATGTCGACGACCATTCTCGGAAGACAGTGTCGAGTTCAAGCCCGTACCCGCCGAAGAGATTGCTAGGATTAAAGCGGCGAAGAAGAGAAAGGAGAGGGAAAGGAAGGAGCAAGATCAGTTGGCGAAGAGGAATCTTGCAAATGCCAGAGTTGTACAAAAAAATCTGGTGTATGTCCTTGGGTTGCCACCAAGGCTAGCAAGCGAGGATCTTCTGAAGGGGTCAGAGTATTTTGGGCAGTATGGAAAGATCCTACGTGTCGTCGTAAATCGGCGAGCGCACGGGCATACCCCAGTGTTGGCACAAGTGCCAAACACGGGCGTCTATATCACCTTCGCTAGAAAGGAGGACGCAGGAAAGGCCATTGAATCCGTTGACGGAAGTGTATATGATGGGATGATCATTCGGTATGTCTTGCACCGATCAAGCGTCGAGACTTTTTGACCTTCCGCTGAATTTCATCCTTTTCAGTGCAACGTACGGGACAACAAAGTATTGCTCATACTTCCTGAAGAATCAAGCATGTCCAAACCCCGCTTGTCAGTTTTTACATGAGCCCGGAGAGGAACCCGACTCCTTCGCTAGGGATGAGCTGAGGTCAGTATTGGATCAGTATCGGATAACGTCACGAGTGTGCTTGGGCCTTCACTCATCGAATCTATAGTCGGATGCAAATGCGCGAACGCAACCCAAAGCCACCACCATTTCCGATTGCACCCGGTGGAAAGAAGGAGGAGGATAAGGATTCGAGTGCGCTTCCGGCCACTGCGAGCTGGTGGGTGATGCTGAATCGCAAAGAAGGAAACACTGCGGTGCAGATCCTAATTACGCATATACATGCAGGGCGAATCCGGTGTCCCGACAAAGTGGATCACAATATGCGTCGACGACTGCTTCCCCCAGCTCCATCCCAGGGACTCCTAGGAGTATTGCTTTTGATGTGGAGGAATCAGGCTCGCAACCACGGACACCAGAACTCTCGACTGCGGATAGAAAAACGAGTGGGAAGAGACGAGCGTCCGCTGCAGAGTTTCCGCCAGGTCTTACCACAAGCCCCTTTGAACGGCTTGATACGTTGCCAAGTGGTCCACTTGGAGTGTCAGTAATGGGATCAAAGGCGTTAAGCGAAGACAGCGAGTCGCCCGAAGAGATCATACCTTTAGGGGACTCGTCCCGTGTGATTTGCAGGGAAAATGTGGCGCCAGCTGTGTCGGAAGATTTTTGGGATGATACGCACTCCGTCACGGCCATGGGATACATGCTACATCCCAAGTATACTGGGCCGTTCGATCCTTTCCGAGAGGACCCGCTCGGGTTTTTTGCCGACTTGTCGCTAATGTCGACTGGAGGCGCACCCACGCATGACTTGTTCGAGGGCATCGGCGCTGGTATGTTCAGCAAGGACGTGGGATCTCTGGGTATAGACTCGAATATACCGCCAAGCGAGAACCCACAAACAAGCCGATTCGCCAGGTTTTTCGGAGAGAGTCAAATGGACTTGAACGTTTCTAATGGAATGGAAGTGAATGCGAGCGGCGAAACGCAGAGTGTGCAGGAGTCCTTCCGCGCCATGTTCCCGAACGTCAATGTTTCATTTACTGGCGACGGCCTTGCGGGTGCTGGAAGCAGGTGGAGCGAAGGGGTCGCTCAAAACATTCCTACCTCCGTTTGGGGTCAGGGTCAAGGAATTGACGTCCAGCAGCAAAGTTTCGAAGGGTTCCCTGGTGAGCCCGGGGCACTGAGCAATCTGCCTGGGGCTTTTGACTTGGAAGGCGAACCTCTATCGGTGGACCCACTATTCGGGCTGGGCATTTTACCTTACCCCGCGCCTGGGGCAGGTTTTGTACACAATCTACGGGAACAGCAGCTGCGAGATTTTGCGCTCGGCGCGCCTGGGTTGCAAATTCGAGGCAGGCCGCCATCGGAGTCCGGGTTCACTTCGCAGCACATGATTGGGTCGAGTATCGCTCCTACTGAGGATGAGGATGACGAAGCAGTCCTTGCGCGACAGGGATACCCGACACTAGGGATTGTTGAGAAGCTCCGATCAGTTGTTCCCGCGGCAGGAACAACTGGCGGAGCTAGCGCCAGGGGGGATTTCCAGAAGAAGGGTCAATCAGGGCACAGGGTCGGGGTTGAGGAGAAATCATCGATGAAGGCAATCGGAAAACAGGAAAAGGCGATTGAGGAGGGGAGCATAATGCGTGGACCGAACGAAGTCTTAGTCGCAATATCTCAGAAAGCCGGTGGTAGCAAAGAGGCCACGAGTATCAGGAAAGATCCTCCGCTTGCGGTGGAGACACCCGCGTTGCGAAAACCGGAGCAAAAAGAGGCTGGCTCGATGGCCGATAAGTCGAAGGCGGTTAACAAGGATGCAGTCGCCCGACCAATGCCGTCACGAACGCCCTCCGCTGAGACGTCGGTTATCAGGCCAAACACCCCTGTCCCCTCGATTGCTGCCCCGAAAATCTCGAGCCCAGTCCCTCGTCGTGTTTTGACCATCACACCGGCGCGGAAGAGCACTCCGACAAACGGCGCTGGGGTGGCTTCGGAAACTGAAACTGGGGACAAGGCAGCCGAACCTGGAAAAGAGAAGAGGACATCGCAGCGTGTAACTGGTAGCATCACTCCGAAGCCCCCGTTGGATGACGAGCCTGTCACTAGTCGGGACGTCAAGGAGCTCCGTCTGGTGGAGAGTGCGGGAAGGTCCGAGTCGCCTGTCAACAGTCCGAAGGCGAAGCGACGGGGAGGGAAAACGAAAGTGGAGGAATCGGAAAAGCCACCGCTGGTGGCGAGCAACCCTGTCAAGGAAGAGGCGTTAATCTCTACCCCTGTAAAAGCTACGATTGAGTCGGAAGTTGAGGTGGAAGCTATTGTCAGTCGCAAAACGAAGAAACGGAAGGAGAAAAGGATTCCCGTCAAACGAAAACCAGTAGTTTTATCTCAGCCTATTGAAGTGCCCCAGTCGGTTACCGTTCTGACTCCACCAGTTCTGGTCGACACCCAGACTCCAGCTAGGAGCACAGCGCTGGCGGACGCGCCGATTTCAAAGCAGGTCCCCTCAAAACCGACGGGCAAAGAACCCGCAACTGTTGCGCACCCGCAACCACCCACCGGAAATGAGCCCAGTGAACCCTTGAAAACGAAATCGCAAAGCCAGCCAAAGAAACCCGCGTCAGCCAAGCAACGGAAAGCCGATAGGAACACAGCTACGCGGACACATGAAGTCGACATCACATCCCTCTTCACGACGAATCCGAACGGCACGCGCTCGGTGGATATGCAGATCAATACCGAGGTTTTGACTAGTGCTCTCAGTCAGCTTACTGCTGGTTATGTCTACCAAGGCCCTCACGAACCATTTCCGGCGAACATGAATGTGCGGATCGACGTGGCTCCTTCCGGCCCTCCTCCTAAACGGGCCAAAAGTAGTCGTCAGCCTCAACCTCAACCTCAAGCACAACCTCAAGCACATGCTCACCACCACCATCACGCTCCCGCCGACGCTATGGCCAGCTTTGGGTTGAGTAGTCTGGGGATCAATGTGCAACAGCTTGATCAACTGGCCGCAAGTCTGGGGCACCTGTCTGGAGAGTACGCACAAGCTCTTGCCGATCAGGGGGCTACTCCAACCCCCGAAGGTACTGTGAATGTCAACATTGACGGACGCACAATGAATATCGATGCAAACACGTTCATCGACCAAGCGCTCGAAGGCTTAGCCACCACCGCAGCCTTCCTCTACGAGGGTCTAGAGGCACAAGCGGAGAAGGTCCGTCGGGAAGAGGAAGGGAAAGGCAAAGCGAAAGCCAAGCCGAAAACGCAAGCGCAGCACATACAAACGAAGAATAACATTCAGCGAGTCGCGGAACAGGTGTCGAAGCTCGAACAATATGCCTTGAAGCTGCAAGGACAAGTCCATCACGCGGCGGGCACATCTCAAGGAGGAGCATCTGGAGCTGTCCAACATGCGACGAAGGAGGTTGGGCATGTCGAAGGCGAGCAATACACTGCGACGATCAACGTGCCTGGTGCAAGCGGAACCAGCGCTGACCAGCGAGAAGGCATCGACATGATGTCGCCGATAGCGGAGATGTTTGGCGTCGGTTTGCATCCCGGGACCGCGAATTGGACGACGGAAGATTGGAAGGCCAAATGCCGTAGCGTTGAAGTGGTCATGAAGAGGGTACGCGAAGCAAGGGAGATCAGACGTCAGCAAAAGAATCACAATGAAGGCGGGGACGGTGGGGCCCGAGCATTTACGGATCAAAGCATTGATCCGAACACTTTGGAATCCGATGAGGACGACGATTCCTATGTGAGCATTGACCACGATACGGGAACGGACGGAATAGAAGAGTATCCAGCAGGCCCAGCCGGCGTTGCTTCTTCGTCCACGGCCTCGTCTCACGCTTTTGAGAACAACTACATACAGAAGCTTCTCGACACCGTACGTTTACTCGTGTCAAACGGCGAGATGCTCGCAAACACCATATCACCTGCCGCTGCGGCCACCGCCGCAGGCCGTATGCCCGGAAACACTCCTGGCAGAAAACCCAAGATTGCACCAGTGCAGGTCCATGGACCAGCACCACCTCCGGCATCATCTGCTCAGATTGAGCAATACTTTTCGTATGGCGTGTTTGTAGATGAGCATGGCCGGCCCGTGGTGAGCGACGCTGCCAGCATGGAAAATGCCGTTCGAGAGGCGCATCACCATCATCACACGCACCACGACGATCACCACGGATCTATAGTGTTCAACCCTGCGCCCTTACTAGCGGCCGTTGCTAGCGGATCCATCACGCCAGGCATGCCTATTCCATGGGAGATGTTTGGACTGCGCGGACCGCCCGTGTTGTGGGGTGCCGGTGGCGGGCACGACGGCTCAGGTGCGGCGAGTGGCGTCCACGACCCGTTAGCCACCGACGTGCATATGCTTGAACGCGAGCTCGAGACGTCACGGCGGGAGGAAGAAGCGCTGGAGAAGCGGTTATTGCAAATCATGCAGCGCAACAGGCAGTGGCAGGATGAAGTTGCGAACGCTTTGAAACTCGATTTCCAGCATCCTGCCGGTGGTCAGGAACACGCGCACTGTTGCCCTCACCATCATCATCAGCACCATGTTCAGCATTTGGCTGAAGGGGATATGTATACCTCCGAGTCGGATGTTCTGGATGATGATGCAGACGATGAAGGATATGAAGATGCGATGGATCACCAAGGGTCTGAGGACGACGGCGATTTTGATGATGTGGACGAGCAGGGCCAACCGGTGTATTCGGAAGAGGAAGCTGTGGGTGGGAGTTGAGGAGTGGAAGATGTTAAGGGGGGCGATCGTCTGGAAAGTCAACGGAGCACCGCTGTGCGGCGTCGTAGGTAGTCACGCCCTTTCTGTACTCTGTCAGTATTCGTCCCTCGAGCCGTTGTTGCAAAAGTACCCCGGAAAAGGTGAATAATCGGAACATGTTCACTTTGGCACCATGTTCTCGTCTTTGGGATGTTGGGTACCGCACCCCCAATACAACGTCTCCTTAGTGAATGGGATTTCCGGTCACCATCTGGGCATGAAAGGCAGTGTGATAATGGAGTACGCTTGTGTCTGGTCATAGAGCCTGCTTGGCGTTTTGTTCTTTTGTCGCAGATCCGAATGTAAAGCTGCGCGGCGCTTTCCAACGGCCCAACGCGAAATGGGCGCGTAGCGGAGAGCGACGTCCATGTCCAGATTATTTACAGTATGCAATTCAATATGGGGCGCCTCTTGACGCGCCCGACCTCCTTCTCGCGCTCGTGTCAAACTGCCCACGCCTTCCCCTCGTCCTTCCGTTCTTGGACCCATCCCACACCGGACCTCGGACACTTTCGGCGAGTTCCTGTACTTCGCGGCTGTCCACTCTCTTCTGCTCCAGACCACTCAGGTCTGCTTCTTCGTTTGCGCTTAACTCTGTAACTGAGAAGGCGTCTGCACATTGTGAAAAGCACTCTCTATCTGAAGCAAGCAAGGTATGTCTGTCCAACCTTCATGGCGAACGACTGCCGCGAAAATTCCCCCTCACCGTCTACGTTCTTCGTGAAGCCTCAAGCTCGTCTTCATATCGTCGTCCGTTGAGTACGCGAACGTATTGTGGAGTTTTCTTAGTCACGGGTATACCAGAGAGAAATCATGGTAAGTGGAAGACAATGTTTTCCTTCGGCCGAACAATTCCTGCGAGAAAACTCCCGCTGTTGCCTGTGAAGCGAACGGCACTTGAAGGAGCTACTCGTGGGAGTGTTGCTTGCCGGCTGTTTATCCTTATGAAGTCTCTAACGCCGCAATATTTTATTCCGTGCATCGTAGCGTCCTTCTCCAACCGGGTCTCGTACTGGGCAGCAACACGGACACTCGACGAGCGCGCGAAGCGAGTCTCAACAACCACCGCAGCAGCAAGCATCTCTTTCAGGGTCGCCACAACAGCAGCAAAACAGCTCAGAACTGGATGAAGAGCGTACGACTCTGCAGGCGTTTCGGGCGCGGGTGGCGACCAACCGGCAACACGCTGCTGAGGAGCGTCTGCGTCGTGTCAACAGGGTCCTGCGCCGCGCAGAAGTCTCACGGGTGGCGAATGCGTTGAAGAAGCGGCTCGAATACGCAAAGCTCAAAGTGAGGCATGGGTGGCAACAAAAAACGTTCGACGAAGTCAAAGCGCTGTATATGGAGTTATGTGAGAAGCGGGAAGCTGAGGCTGTTGCCGCACGAGCCGCAGAAGCTCGGCAAGCTGCTCCACCTCCACCGCCTCCAATAGCCGAGGGAGAGGAAATCGACCCGTCCATGGCAGCGGCAGCCAATTGTCTGATAGGCATTTCTCATCAGAACGACCATCTGATTCACAGGAATGTATCGCCTGAGAAGCCACCGGCGAAACTCGCGTTCACTCCAATGCCTGCATCGTCTCGCCAATTCGCTCATCAGCATCCGTCACCTCCTGGCACAGAGGTGCAGAGCAACGGTAGTTCTGGTCAGAATCTGGGCAGCATCATGACTCAGAAGCTCCGAGAGGAGACCGATGCGTACTTTGCCAAGCTGGGCTTGCCCTCCCTCTCGGAATTCACGGCTCTGCACACTCAAAACAGCGCCGCCAACAGCGAACTGCCCCCAGCTGCGCCTTCTGACACCTCATCGTCGTTCAGAAGCAGTGCGCGTAAAGCAACCAGCGCGTACCACACCCATCATCACCATCCGTACTTCCCCTCTCCGGCACCGTCCCCGATAATATCACGCGTAACGTCCCCCACCAACCCGCAGTCTGCCACATCGCTAGCCACGGCACCCGAATCCTCCTCCTACAAGACTACAGGCGGGGTTAGGACTAAGCGAATCAAGCTGACGGCACCACGAGCCCCCTCGTCGGCGGGGTTCGACACGAGATCTCAGTCGTTCCAGTCGACGGACATGCAAGTGGACCCGGACGCCGAGCAAGGAGCGCTGCTGCTCATGATGATGCAGCGCCAGCACTGATTTTGGGTGATTTGCTGGCCATTTTCCTCTCCCCGTCCTCTCGGTATCTTTGCTCTCAAAAAGTTAAACCCACGCACATTTTCTCATGTCTTTCCCCCCATTATTTTCCATTGACGGCTTTGGCCTTGATGGAGGGATTTTTCCACCTGTACTCCGGTCGATCCCCCCCTCCTCGATTTTGAAATTCTTCCCCACTCTGCGATATTACTTGAGAAGTCGCACTGATACTGGCAACATTTGTTCAAATACATTATGTGCCCACCTTTTTCCAAAATTCAGAGTGAGAAGATGGCTTGTGGCCTGTGTGCCGTCTCGAAGAGGGGCAAGGTTTCGGTTCGGTCAGCACTTTAGGCAAAATGGATTGCTCACGAAGCACGAAACTTCTTTACAAACTTCCCAACTTAGCAGACACTTTAACGGTTAAACGCAGAATGGACCAAGAAAATATGATATTGAGACGTGAAGCGATCTGCAAATGGGACGTGAGGCGGTATTATATGTACAAAATGCCCAACTTGTAGGGTATTTAATATGATATGGGAAGAAGAGGGGATGCAGTTCGCGGACTAAGTTTCCCCACTGCGTCGAGATATGCAACCTTCGGATCTCCCCCTCACTAACAGCACATACAGAAACAATCCATACACTCATCCACCGCACAGCAACAACACAGGGCCGCCAAACACGCTGTCAGACACCCGTCGTTCCCTCTCCGCTGCTGCTGGTAGTACACAGGCTGTTGTTGGTAGCCTGGTTGGGCATAGTAGCCTTGTGGTTGTTGGTTGACGTAGCCTTGCTGCTGGTAACCGCCGCCGTAGCCGCCGTAGCCTTGTTGGCTGTATGCGGGACGAGAGGGTTGGGAGCCCATAGTTTGTAGATGGTGGGGTTACTTGGGCTTAAAGTGTTGGTTTTGACGTCGATCGTATGTAGGATGTGCGCAAGGAAGGAGGCTTGCCTTCCGTGCGTATCGATAGGAGGTCGATTGAAGTGTTTATTAGGCTTTCGCTTTGCCGTTTGAAGTTGAGCGAGTAGGAGGTTCAGCTGTTTCGCGAGATCACTTTGAAGTTTGTGTTTGTGAAGTCGAGAGGAAGGTCCCACGGCACCGCTCGCCCTTATATATCCGGCTTATTACTCTTCCGCCAAGTACATACGGCTTAGAAAAACGAGGGGCATTCCAAGCATATGGCGGTGATGCCTGTGTGGGGGGGCATGGGGGGCAGGCGAAAGGCACGCAAATGCGCCGTCATCTCCAATGCAAGCGCCTTGCAGGCTTGGCTGTGAATAATTCACACCTGGTTCACCGTTCAAGCCAAGACCAAAACGCGGCTGTGCGTGACAGCGCCCGTCATTCCGGGGGGCATGAGGTCATCATCGCTGCCATCGCCTCGTGTTCCAAATGACTCACCAAGAGCGCGTCGCTTCCATAATTGAATAACGGGACTAAATCCCGTCATGTGACTTTGCGTGAGTGTTCAAGTTTATTTTTGCTCGCAACTGCCCCAATTCGCATCGCATCCATCCATCCATCGTTTGGAACCAACGTGACGGCCGCATATACGCTTAAACAAGCTATCACGACATCCATCCATCCATCATGTCTTTGTCCACCGCTGAGGCTGCGTGCGTCTACGCCGCTCTTATCCTCCACGACGATGGTGTTGAGATCACGGTACGTATCGATTTGTGCGGATGGATGGTTAGGGGTTAAAGTGGGACATGTGGAATTGCGGATGGCTTGGTGGTCGAACGCGGAACAGGACAGCTTCGGAGGTGGATAGGTAGAGGGGACTGGCGAGGCGGGCATGGCAGGACCGGACGACACACATAGCCGGGACAAGGGTCCTTACGACGTCGGTTTCGTGGAATTCACCAGCTGCGGTTTCTGGGTTGGATATGTGGGACCCATGGCGGCGACGGCTTTGCGTGCAACGCAAGGGGCAAAGGCAAACGAAGCTTGGTGGAGATTGACGCTATCTGGATATTGACGTGGTGTCTTGAAACACAGGCTTGCTATGGAAATATGAACCTTTTGCTCATATACTAAAATACTCACTGTCTCCTAATCAATAGGCCGAGAAGATCAACTCCTTGATCGGCGCTGCCGGTGTCGACGTCGAGCCCATCTGGGCCTCCCTGTTCGCCAAGGCTCTCGCTGGCAAGGACGTCGGTGACTTCTTGTTCAACGTCGGATCTGCTGGTAAGCTCACAATTTCTTGCGTTCCCATTACTCTGCGACACAGTCACTTACAATTCTTTCTACTTTCTTTAGGACCCGCTGCTCCCGCTGCTGGAGGTGCCGCTGCCGGTGGTGCCGCTGCCCCCGCTGAGGCCAAGAAGGAGGAGAAGAAGGAGGAGAAGGAGGAATCCGACGACGACATGGGCTTCGGTCTCTTCGATTAAGCTGTTGTATATTGTTTCCATACATAATACACATCGCACGTCTCTTCGGTCGCAATTTCTCGAACCTCTCGATTTGGTTAGAGTTCCTACTGTGGGCGGTTTCATTGCTGTTTTGAAGCACGGTCCATCCGTGGAACCAAGGAGGGCGATGGAATGTTGTTCTCCGGGAGATCATAGCAATGTGCTGATTGGGAAGTGGACACCGGCATTTTGGACTGTCGATGCTTCTCAGCCAGTCGTGGTGCCGAGAACTTCCCCTCTGAAGCATTTGGGTCTTTGCTGGGTGCATGGGGTAGGGGTACTTCATGTATCCGACAAGGCAATCTCACAGTGCTCAACAGCATGCAGATTATGGCCAACGGTTGAGAAGCAGATCAGAACTCCGTTTATCCATGTTTATGTTCGACCGCCCCTCGTTTCCCTTAGCATCGAAGGCTTGCAAATGCCGCACTCTAAGAATCGGGGCAAAAACTCTGCATGGAGGCCAACAGTGAATCAGGACATTATAAGGCGGTCCCAGTGCAAATGCCCGCCCAAGCAGCGTGGCTGCGAGTCGGTGTGTCAATACTCACATCAGAGCCAGCATCAGAGCTATCCCAGCCGACGTTGCGACGCGTTTGTGATGTGATGAAGCGGCGAAGCATTGCGCACCGCTTCACATTCCGGTGATCTCCAACTCCCTCCCCGGCTGACCGAGATTGTCATAACCACTTCACATCAGGCACTCGCCGGAGATACACTGCCTAGGAACGCCCGACGAACGCAGCGTCAGCCTGTCACAAATAAAGCGCCGTCATCGTCATGTCCTCTGGAAAGGATTTCGTCCATGGCGTCCTAGCGCCTTTGGTGGCCACCATAGCTTCGCCGGAGGCGGACGCCCTCGCAAAGCTGAATGGTTTGCACTCTATAGCGGAGCTTCTCCGACCTTTCGGGGATAGAGTGGGACAAGGTACTTATGCAGTTGCGAGCAGCCGCGGCTTTGTCCGAGGCATCATGGTCCCAAGAGGACAGTGCGTGCTGCCTCATGTGACGGACATTCCACTGAAATGCCAATATTCCTTCGTGTCAAGCCCAGGTGTACGATGTCCAGATGCATGCCTATATGGTTGACCGCTTCCAAGTGCGCTTCAGGGACATCAGGCAACTCGAGTCGTATGGAAGTGATGTTATCCACAGAACTGTTCTGGCATACCTACGCGACCGGGGGAAGGACAAACCGTCGTTGCCTGTCCTGAGGGATAAAGATGATGTTCCGCCAAATGGTTTGCATCGCTTTCGTTTGCGAGCAGGATCTCGGGAGCGTGCTCTAATCGGTCGTCAAACATAGGCAAGGTTGCGGAGCTTACTCCATGGTACACGGACTATCGGAACTGCGTATGTAAATATACTGGGATTTCGGAACATGAGACCTTCAATCATCCAGTGGCATGTATGTTTTTTGAAGCTTGAAAATGTACCGCACCCATCGACGTAAACCAACACTTTGAAGAATGTCTTTATAGATCTTTGCGTTGTGTCGACGACAAACCCCGATCCGATAGCAGCCGCCCAGCAGCTTGTTGGAGAGATTCAATCAATGCACGTCACGGAGAGACCTTACTTGGACCCTGCGATACCCAAGTACTTCCTTCTGCTTCACGATAGCTTTCTGGCACCTCACGTTAAGTAAGAGAACGTGCGTTTGCGATGAATGGTCGATGCAGATTGGGTTTCTAACGCCTCTGTCGCAGCGCAGAGGCAGTCTTATTACGACTGAAGAACTTTGCGCCAAACTCATTTCTCGCCCGCATCAACTCGATCCCACACTCCCCAGTCTCTCTGACAGAACTGCATCCTAGCGAGACACCACCGGCGCGAGCGGTTCCAGATATCTGGACAGGAACCGATGCCGAATTCCAGAAGATATTGGAGCAATTGGAGATTGCGGCGCGGAGGACCTCGATGGCATCTGTCGCATCGGGAAAGGATTCCCTCATGTCGCCGATCACAGACGAAGGATTTCCGATATATAAAGAGAGAAACGAGCAACAACCAGCTACGGCCGGTGGGTTACCGACTCCAGGACATGAGGCCACCGCAGATATCCCCTTTTTCCCGCCCGCTGGCTTCTTGACCCAGGAGGATGTCAACGCACTGGACATGTTCACGAGGTCCCTGGTGACGCAAAAACTGATCAAGCATATGGAGGCGTGCATGCAGCAGTGGAACGAGCAGGTGGCCGCCAACCGGAGGACGCTTACAGGGCGGCTGAATCGACTTGGCATGAAGTATTTCGGCGGCAGTGGGAAAGCGCAGGGCACCTCCCCCGTGCCAGTCACCGACAAGACTGGGACGATGATGTTCCCACATAATGCCCCGGAGATGGTTATGCGCCGGTTGGCAGACTTTGCGTTTATGCTTCGAGACTACCGCCTTGCTTTTCAAACCTACGACTTAGTGCGGAAAGACTTCCAGAACAATGATAAACTTCTGAAATATCATGCAGGGACCCAAGAACTGTTGGGCCTTACGTCGGCCATCTCGGAGGGGGTTGGGAAGGGTTCCCTGGAAACGTATCTAGACGCTGCCGTGGCTGGCTACACGGACAGCAATGCTTCACTGTACTCTACGCGAGCAGCTATGCTTCATTACGAAATTCTGGCGCAGAAAGGACTGATCCGCGATGCAGCGCCGTTGCTGATCAGGATGACTGGCGAGGATTCGGATCTTCGGAGTGCATTATTTCTGGAACAGGCGGCTATGTTGTTCTTGCAAGTGCAGCCGCCCATGGTTCGGAAGTACGCATTCCATCTCATTCTCGCCGGACATCGCTTCAGCAAATGCGGGCAGCGGATACACGCGTTCCGATGCTACAATGGGGCGAGAGCAGTATATAACGAGCGCGACTGGGCACTTGTGGAGGATCATATCAATTTCACGCTCGGCCGTCAAAGCTTCCATTTGGGTGACTTTCAATCCGCCGTAGGCTTCTTCCTCAAGTTGCTCAGAGCGAGCCGGCAATCGCAGATGCAACAGAGCGCCTACCTGCGGGAGTTCCTCTACCTATATGGCTACGCAGCTAAGGCATCCGAGCAGAACGTCAAAAACCTGCCGGCTCTACCTATTCCGATCATCGACCTTTGGTCCACGAATGTGTCCTTGCTCGAGGCGCACTCCGGGCAACCTAAACAGGTTGCAAACATGGACGAGACGTGGGAAACGATGGAAAACGAGCTTTTTGAGGATGGGTTTAAGAAGAGTGGTCTGCTACAGCCTACGCTCTCGCTTGCTAACAAAGGGAAAACAACATGTGCTGTTGGAGGTCAGTTTCCTCGTCGCAGCTCTCGTGGACCTGTGATTCCTTGATCTTATGCATCTCCATCGCGACACAGAACCGGTTTTTGTGACGTTCGAAGTGCGGAACCCCATGGATATCCCAATACAGATCAACAATGTTCATCTCGAATGTAGCTTCGGCGGAGGTCCTCCAATCGTTAGCGATTTGCGGTGGATCGCGGATAGCCAGTCGCCTCTTAAGGTTGAGCATCCCCAGTATGACGTCGAGAATATACCTGAAGTAGCCCTTGGTGATCGGGAGAAGAAACAGGTATACTTTTGCTGGGCTCCTGTCTTCATGAGAGTGGGCGGAACTTACACTCTCATTCCCGTCTCAGGTGCAGTTGCGCATCTTTCCCAAACAGGAAGGCGAGATCAGGATCCTAGGGATCCGCTACACCCTCTGCGGCGTCGTCCCCACCACACGCGAGTTCCCTGCGAAAGGAAAGGGTGGCAAGGACGTGGTCTCGCAGCTCTCGCTCACCGTGACCTCACCTATGCCAGTCTTGGACGTCATATTCCACTCCTTCCCGACTGCAATTCTATCGGGGCAAGTATCCCAGGTGGTTCTGGAGATCAACAACAAGGGGAACCGCGGGTTGAGGAATCTGCAGCTCAAGACCAGTCATCCGAGTTTCTTTTCCGTTGGCAACAATGATGGATTGGACGCTCCCGTTTACGGTATGGGAGCGTTATGAGAACTGCGCCGTACGGCTTGCGGCGCTTACCATATTGTTCTATAGGGCAAGTCGATGCGGAAACCGCAGGGATGTTCCAGGAGACTATGAAGTGCCCGAACCTCCTTTTCAACCTTGGAACGACTCCCTTCCAATTACCCATCAAAGAGGGCCAACCCAACGATGAGGAGCGCGTGCTGGGCGCGGGCATGACCACAATAATCCCCTTGTGGATACGCGGCGATAAAGTTGGGAAGCAGAACTTCCGCTTCTTGTTTGGATATCAGTCTGAGGTGAGCTGACGGATGCCAGTAGGCCGCTTGCTTAGCACTGTACTAACAAGCATTCATGTCCATTAGGACAAGCGTGATAAAACCAGTTATCGGACACTACGATACAGTGTTTCGGCGAATGTGCTGCCATCCTTAAGGATCAATGCTTTCACAAGGCCGAGCGGAAAAACGCTGGACGAGTTCATTCTCGGCATTGAGGTATGCGCATCCTCTCGTATAGGAACTTACGTTTCGCTCCTTCGCTCACGAAAATTTGTCCCAGATCGAAAATCTCAGGACAGAGGGCGACTTGGTTTTGAGGCAGCTATCCTCCATAAGTCCCACCTGGGCAATCCACCCGATTGCCAGCAGGTATGTATAAACAATGGCTCATTCGAATGGACCTGAGTACAATAGCGTTAAAAGCATCATCAGTCAGGATTCAGCGGAATCCTTCCGAGTAGGCTCTCAGCAAGTGGCCTTCAAGTACTATCGTTTCAAGCGGGCGTCCTCAGCACCAGTGGACCATGCCAGCATTCCAGAGATCTTAACATTGCGCGCCATAGAACGATTGCTGCTGAATGAGACGTCTATCAAGCTGAACGCACCTGATCTGGATCTATACGTGTCAAGCTTGGGACTGGTGCGTAAAATGTTCATCCGTAGCAAGATTGCACCTCGTCTTACTAAATCACCAGCAGTCGGGAACGGCTGTCTCATGCAATACAATACCTTTCCGAGGCCTAACGGCAAACTCTCGCCTCCAATGGCGGCTCACTTATCTCCAATCCCTCTACCCAGGGTTGACACCTAAACAGCTACGCGAGCTGTTCACGTTCTACTTCACCGATGACGTCGACCTGTCCTTGGTGTGGAGCTTACCCGATGGGAGAATCAGCGGACACCAGTATGTGATGGGCATCAACCTGGGCATGCAAGCGCCGTTGCAAGGACTGCAAGCGGGCCTGGAGCCATTGGCTACGGCGGCTAAGGCTGCTGCTGGGAAGGCACTGTTCGAGACCACTGTGAGAGAGAAGCGGGCGTTGATCACAAGTTTACTGAAATCACGGGGGAGGGATAATGGGCCGATGAGAGTTATTCTGAAGGCTGGGTCTGAATTCCAGCACGATTTTGACTCGGGGTAAGTGCGATTATACTTTGAGCCGCATCTACTTTGGTACCTTCACTGACCAGCGCACTGCGCCCGCTCGATCATCAGAGTCTGCATCGTGCCAATCTCAGTCGAACTGCGCAACACATCATGGGCAAACGCCGCCAACTACCATCTTCGCATCGCCGCAGACCTCGACACCAACGTCGACTCCAAGGGGGACCAGAGCAAACCAGAGCCAGGCCGCGAGATCGACCAATCTGGACGGTACTTCATCGGTTCCACATCTATTTCGGGAAGCTTGAAACCCGAAGAGGAGACCACGCTGACGTTCAACGCCTGTTTCGGGCAACCCGGCGTTTACGATGTCAACAAGTGGCATTTGAATGTGTCGATAGAGCCTCTGACTGCCAAGCGGAACGAGGGGGTGGAGGGGACAGACAGTAAAGCGACGTCGTATGTACAGACGCCGAGTTTACCGCATTGGGTCACGGTTCTTGGCAGGTAGTATATATGCAAATGGCGTGGCATCTTGGCATCTGAATCGTACATCATGTAAATACTGCGGCATCATGCCTCCCCACCTATGAGCTTGAATCTCTTCGCCTCCGGGTTACTGTTGGATGCTACACAAAAGAGAAAACGATGGCTTGCGACCTTCACATTTTATTGATGCTTCTTTGAGTCGGGTGATCGTTGTATGTGACATTTATATGATTCTAGTTACAACACCGTTCTCCGTACGACAGGAGGGGCCGGCCGTACACAGGAAGGACTAAGGCGTTTCGGTCGAGTATAGTACAGCCTTCATTTTCTGCACGCTTATGCGGATCCCTTCAAGTGCTCAGCGTACGCAGACTCGTCCATTAGGGCGTCCACCTCTGCCTTGTCGCTCAACTTGATCTTTGCGATCCATCCTGCAAGAATGGAAAGATATCGTATTAGCAAGGATGCTGATACTACCTGCCCAGCTCCACTCCTCCTTCCTCCATCACCACGATTTGTCTGAACAGAACTCCTCTCGTAAACCCACCTTTCTCGAAAGGACTAGAGTTGATCAACGCCGAGTCGTCGCTCAACGCCTCGTTCACCTCGACAACCTCCCCGGAAACGGGAGCGTAGACATCACTGGCCGCCTTCACACTCTCGACAGCGCTCAGCTGCTCCTTCTTCTCCACGTTGGTGCCAACGTCGGGAATCTCGACAAAGACAACCTCTCCGAGCGCCTTCGCGGCGTAATCGGTGATGCCAACCGTGCCGATGCCGTTGCTGTCCACGCTAACCCACTCGTGTTCTGGGGTGTATTTTCGTGCTGCACGGTCAAGAGATAGGGAACTGTTACGGGAAATGTTGGTGCAGGTCATCGGCAAGCCTGCGGCAGTCTTTGTGCCATAATCTCCGCCAAAAGCTCTGTCTCGCGCTCGCTTTGCTCGACACTCACTTGCATATCCACGGAGAGACAAAATTCCAGGCGCTGTCGCCCTCCGAGCGGAAGCGCGGATAGCGCAAGTTGGGCGCACGAGCGTACGGGTCGAGGCGAGGATTGCTCGGTTGAACATTGTTGGCCTGTGAAGATTAACGAACGGGGACATGCAAAAGCAGGTAAGAACCTCGGCAACGGAAGGCAGCATCGGCTACCAGGCTACCAAGCTGGACACGCTGCAAACGAAAGCACTGCAAACTTACCAGGTGGAAGGTGGAGGGATGCAGAAAGCGGGGTTGACTGTGTGAATGCGAAGCTTGCCAAACCGTTCAGGAAATCAACTCCCCAAAAACGCGCGCGGCCTCGTGAACACCACGAACTCCTGACCTCGCCTTCGACACGTCTTCCTTGCTCCTCAGTGAGGACAGATACAAATATCAATGTATACTATACATGGCCCCCTATCTAACTTCGCGACTATTACTGCTCAGTAGATGGCGGATATTCCTATCTAAATGGTACTATAGTGAAGACGTCCATCAGCAGACTTCCGAGTACGAAGTTCGGCGAAGCAGACGCGGACGACGGGGTCTAAATATCGCCGTTCCTCACTTCTTTAAGTTCGAGCGCTTCGGGAAGACGTAGTCTTTGGGTCCATTTGCGTCGACCCGTACACCGATGTAAGACGGGAACCGAGGGACTCCGTCATTTGTCAACTCTTGAAAGCGATAGGTCACGATATCTCCAATCTTCGGTGGATTCCGCCGTTGCGCGTCGGCGAGTCCAGTTCCAACCTTGAACCTCTTCCCAGATTCCATGACGCACTGTAACGCTCCGCATACGCCTTTGTGCTTGCCGTTTCCAGGCTCGTATCCAGTGACTTCAGCTTCAGCATCGTAGAATGATTTGATCTTCAAGAGGGTTGGGCTTCGTTTCCCCTCGTATAAGCTCTGCGACTTCCGCAACATCAGCCCTTCGCCGCCCTTCTCTTCCACTTCCTTCAGCCGCTTCAGCAGGTGTGTTTTTCCGGTACACTTCTCTTGCTCGACCAGATGTACATGCACCGCAGGATTTGCGCGGAAGAAACTTGCGATATCTTCCAATCGACGTTCAAACTGTTTCGTTGTCAGCGATGGCGCGTCAAATACGTGGAATTTCAGGGTGTGCCACAATTTGGAGTCGATGGTCTTCACGACGCTGACTGTTTGGGAGAACTTTCCCCGTCCGCAGAAAAGCTCTCCGTCCAATGACATGTTCGTAGGCATCGCTGTATAAGAAGTAGTAGTGTCAATCAAGAGTGGATTTGCCAACGGATAGCGCCAAGTGTCTGACCATCAATGAACCAATCCGGAGCTGTGAAAGGATTTCCAAGCCGACTGACAAACTGGCGCCTAACCGGATCCCACAATGCTCTGACTCCATCGAGCTTCTCCGACACCCACCAGCCGGTAGGGTCGGGACCTTTTCGCGGAGCGTGAAAGCGTTATGAGTTCTCGTTCCAGTCGAACTCTTTCAAGCACAAAGCAGGGCATACCTGACACCTGGTCCCAGCTATTGGCCAAGATAAGCGCTGGTGCGATGGCTTTCGCCTTTTTCGCTGCAGGACCAGCTGCAGCGCCAGCGTTCCCGCGCTTCCGTTTCGCATCAGTGCTTTTGCCATCCGACGAAGCAGATGCGTTGACTTGCCCACATCTTGCGGACTCGTATGCGTCACCCAGGACTTCCTTGAGATGTTTACAGCTTCTCGCTATGGTACATTGGCAACGTTAAAAGATCGCTCCGGAAATGAGAAAGCGGAAGGTTCAACGAACCGTTGATAGGGACCCCTCCTTGATTTCTCCAGGCCGGGCAAGTGCAATAGTAATGATCACCCGTTCGCTTGATCTTGTACACGGCAGAGCTGGATTTGGAAGCGCAATCGACGGTGTCACCATCCTTTAGGAGCTTCTTTGGGGCCACGCCGTTGATAAAGTCCAAGTCTTTGTCTTTACTTTCATCCTCTTCATCGTCATCATCCGGCTTGTGGTCTTCTGGTGGAGTTTGCCCGGCTGCCGTTCGCTCCTCACCCTCCTCGTTCACTTCAACTACGTCTTCAGGTGCTGTATCCCCATCGATAGCAATGTCCCCGAGTGCATCGCCACCATTCTCCTCCTCGCCGTCCTTGCCGACGCCGACGCCGGGGCTGTTGTCGTTGTCGTTGTCTTCCTCATCACCGACCGTCGAGACTCTTCCAACGCCGACGTCTGAGTCGCCGTCCGTTTCGAACTCGGCATCGGCTTCCGAGTCTGGGTGGATGAAGTCGGCAAGGTGCTGTGGGTTGCGCCTATAGCACTTGTCCCAGTACTTGCATCTTGTAGCCTGTTTGTTCTTGGTAGTTGCTGACATCGTGTTATAGGTGCTAGAAGTACTGTACAGTATGTTGAAGAACGGAGGAGACGGAGGAAAGTGGGCCGCTGTCAAGTTTTGCAGTTTGTGGCGTGCTTGTTCATTTACGTTTGCCGACTCGCCCGTCACGCGTACAGTCTGTTGCCATAAAGCAGGTCGCGCCTGAAATTAAGTCACTGTCCTCGCGGCTGATCATGGTCCCGACTCCCTAATCACGGTATTAGGACCCCTAATCTAAAACTCGATCTGGGTTCCTAATCACGGTATTGGGACCTCTAATCTAAACTAGATCTCGGTTCCTAATATTTTGTAAGTCCCCCGTTTGCGGCAATGACAGCGGCCATGCGTCCAGGCATTGAACCAATAAGTCTCTCTAAAAGAACATCCATTGTCTGCCAGACATTCTGCATAATCCCGTTCAGCGTTGCGAAGTTCAGCAAGCTCGTCTGCTGAGGGTTGATACTTAACTGGTCTGCTCCTGGGTTTTGTTGACTTGAATGCGTTGGGGTCGTCGCAATTTGCATTCTGGAACCTCCTCAGGGTTCTCTGAACGGTTCTGCAGGCACGGACTCTTGCTCTGCAATCTCTCTGGGTGTCTTGCCAGCGTTGCTCAACGCAACAATGGCTGCCCTCTTTTGGGGGTCAGGGGTTTCGGCATTGTCGGTGTGGGAATGGGGAAGATGATCTCGCAATTGCGGCACTGTGAAGGGCTGTCCAGTGTGTCCGAAGCACCCGGCTAGGGGCCGACTGCGCACGGCCAGGCGCGACCTGCTTTATGGCAACAGACTGTACAGTACCACGACAAAAGTTTTCGGAACGCACGCGTTTCAATCATAAACAATTAGAAAAATCGCTTACCGAAGCGCTTTAATTGACAACCACACATACTGGACTTTAGCGCATGGGAGTGATACGGTTGGATTGCCCGGAAGCAGGAGCGTATTCAACCTACATAGTACTGAAGTCTGTAAACTGTCTGGTTGTCAAGTTATTGTCCGTTGAAGTCGGAAGAGCCGTCCTCCCATAATTGATTTTCGGGTCCAATTAGAGAAAAAACTCAAACCAATCTTCCGCATGGTATCCTGCCCAAACCAACTTGACAAAGCGCATGCCCAGTTATAAGGAAAACAAGCGGATCAACATGAAGCTTATATTCGTCTCTATGGGCGGATTTAAGTTTAGAGCATAATTGTGGACTTTACCCAGTAGCAAAAGAAGACGGATTTTCTAATTGTTTATAATTGAAACGCGTGCATTCCGAAAACTTTTGTCGTGGTATTGTACATATGCAGTTCTACCCTCGGCTGCTCGGCCTCCCAGGACGATGCAATTGAGTCTGGTGCGCCTCGTTGCGCTGTCCTTCGCTCAACGCACCGCCCAAACCTGCACAGAACCAGCCTTCGTGTTGCCCTCCCCGGAAGATGCCTTGAATGAAAAGAAGGCTGTGGCTGCCCCGGACCCGACTGGACTCTGGCGCTCGTACTCAACACACCCCTTGCTAACACACATCCGGCTGCTCTGTAAGATCCTGTAATATCAGCTGCCGATACTCCGCCATGATATCGCCAAGATCGGGGTGCCGAAGAATGTGAGAACTTTCCAGTTGTTTCACTTCTTTCTGTATGTACAAAGGCATGCATAAGACCATGGATCCCTGGTGTAAGAAGTGCGTCGAACTGTTCCACGAGTGGCAGTCAAACATCACATAATCACCCTCGGCAGAACAAACTCTAATCGCTGCTCCATATTAGCTGAATTTCCCTTCTCGACAGCGCGCGGCTGCTGGAGAGGGTACCTCCGCATATAGCCAACCGGCAAACTATCCAGATGCTGTATGGAACACTCCAGCGCTTTGTCGAATTACTGTACAGTAGAGGGTATTTATATCGTGTGCTACGCGTCTTGACTAGCAACTCCTATACATATGGCCTCGGTATTGCACTGCATACGTACGACCAGACTATCTAGGTCATTCCCATGCCCTGTTGAGGATGTTCTGGTTCGTTGGCTCTTCTTATGGTGGTTGAACTTGTGGCGATGGGGATACTGGTCCGGTTTGATTGTTGTGGACGCCTTTCGCGGGGTGCTTGTCAGGGTGCTTGTCGGACAAGCGGCATCCGGACAAGCCAGAGGGAGACGCGGGTCTTGGTCCGCTTTTTTCCCACGCTGCCCGAGATCATCTTCGCATCCGAAGTCGGCTGCTTTCTCAAATATACACCAACGTCAAGCCAACGTACTTTCCTCAGAACTACCCGAGCCTGAAGCACCGAAGTGCCTTCACAAGACGAAGAAGAAAGATGTCGGACAGTGAAGACTGGGACGTTTCCCGGCCGAAGGTGAGTGTCTGGCCTGGGAAATAGACATCCGGTCCTATTTCCTGCCCCTCTTTGGTATAGGTCATGGCGAAGAAGCTTGCTGAACAAGCTGCTCTGAAGGTTGCGAAAGCGAAAGCGACCAAGATCGTCAAACCCAAGGCTGCCAAAGCAATCAAAAGCAAAGCCGTTTTGAAGGAGAGAGCCGGGGACAATGCCGTGGGAAGCGAGGCAGGCGTCGAGGGCTCGTCAAGCACACGTCTACCGGCGGTTTCAAAGGCAAAGACCGTCGATGAGGTATAGTGGTTTCCTGCTTCCTTGTCACGGGCTTGCATATCTCACCCGCGCAACACCAGATATATCAAAAGAAAACGCAACTGGAGCATATCCTTATTCGTCCGGATACCTACATAGGCTCTGTTGAAGCACAAACTTCTGCGATGTGGGTGTATGAGAACGAGAAGTTTGTGTGGAGGAACGTGACGTACGTCCCTGGATTGTACAAAATCTTTGATGAAATCATCGTGAACGGTAAATCCCAATGATATCGTTTTCTAACCCATTGGAAGCTCTTTACTTACATCACTGTCTCATGTAGCTGCCGATAACAAAGTATGACGTGGAATATGCTTGCCACTGATGTCCCGCAAGCTGATGTACTCTCTTAGGTTCGCGATTCCACCATGGATACCATTCGAGTGACGATCAGCAGGGAAAACAACACGATCTCTGTGTACAATAATGGCCGCGGAATCCCCGTCGAAATGCATTCCAAGGAGAAGGTTTACGTTCCGGAGTTAATCTTTGGCCATTTGCTAACGTCCTCCAACTACGACGACAACGAGAAAAAGACAACTGGTGGAAGGAACGGTTATGGGGCGAAGCTCTGCAACATCTTCAGTACCGAGTTTATCGTGGAGACTGCTGATTCGGTCACAGGCCGCAAGTTTGTACAGGTGCGACAGAGGGCGTTGACGCAGCTAGATTGTGAAGTCATCGCGATTGACATACTGGTGCAGGTCCATTCCGACAACATGAGCAAGAAAGGAGAACCCAAGATTACCAGTAATCCAAAGGGAGAGAATTACACCCGTATCACTTTCAAACCCGATCTGGCCAAGTTCGGTATGATCGCCATTGACGACGACTTCGAAGCCCTCGTCAAGAAGCGTACTCTTGACATGGCAGGATGCGTGCGCGGTGTCAAGGTCTTTCTGAACGACACTCGAGTTAAGGTCAAAGACTTCAAAGACTATGCCGAGATGTACATCGCTAGCGCCACCTCCGAGGGAGCTGCTCCCAAGCCGAATGTTATATACGAAAGGGTCAACGATCGATGGGAGATCGCCTTCACAGTGAGCGACGGCCAATTCCAGCAAGTCAGCTTCGTTAATTCCATCTGCACCACGAAAGGAGGCACTCACGTCAACCACGTTGCCGATCAACTGGTGACATCTTTGATTGAGGCGGTCAAGAAGAAGGACAAGAAGGGAGTACCGCTGAAACCCTTCCAAGCGAAAAATCATCTCTGGGTTTTCGTCAATTGTAGCATCGAAAACCCTGCGTTTGACTCTCAAACGAAAGAAAACATGACCTTGCGACAGAGTGCTTTCGGGTCGAAATGTGGGGTAACTGACGACTTCATGAAGAAAGGTAAGGCCTCCGGATCTTAGTCGCATTTGAGTCGCGGTAACTAACGCCATGCATTTCCAGTGATGAAATCCGGCGTCGTGGAGAACATTCTGAGTTTTGCACGTTTCAAGCAGGATCAGCTCCTGAAGAAGACTGACGGCGCAAAGCGAACGCGAATCACTGGTCTCGCTAAGCTAGACGATGCGAACAATGCTGGCACCAAAAACGGGAGCAAATGCACATTGATTCTCACAGAAGGAGATTCGGCCAAATCCCTTGCCGTGGCTGGTCTTTCGGTCATTGGTCGCGACAATTTTGGAGTTTTCCCGCTTCGCGGGAAGCTTCTGAATGTACGCGAAGCGTCTCACTCCCAGATCACGGCGAACGCGGAAATAAATGCTATCAAGCAAATCATGGGTCTTCAACACGGCAAGCAGTATACAACGGTAGACAGTCTTCGATACGGCCATCTTATGATCATGACGGATCAGGTGCGTGACTGGTGGGAACAGCTGGTTTCTCTCTGGTTCCAACTGATGTATTTTCGTCGTCTCAGGATCATGATGGTTCACACATCAAAGGCCTCATCATCAACTTGATCGACCATTTCTGGCCTACCCTGTTGAAGATTCCCGGGTTCCTTCTCGAGTTCATCACGCCAATTATCAAGGTCACGAAGGGAACGGGCCCGAACAAGAAGGAGCAGACTTTCTTCACCATCCCAGAATATGAGGAATGGAAGGAGGATAATCAGAATGGGAAGGGATGGACCATCAAGTACTACAAGGTATCTATCGACCCCGAACGTCAGAAAGCTAGAGGAAGGTTCTCATATTTGTGCATTGCAATAGGGTTTGGGAACCAGCACGACCGAGGATTGCAAGAAGTACTTCTCGACCATGCAGCGCCATCTGAAGCCGTTCAGCCCCATTCAAGATGAAGAGCGGGCTCTTGTGGACATGGCCTTCAGCAAGAAGAAAGCGGATGATCGCAAAGAATGGTTGCGCGAATTTGAGGTGGATTTCCCAAGATGTTGATTGTACTTTCGAACCATGTGCTTACTGGACCTCGCGATTGTAGCCGGGAACATACATGGATCATGACCAAGCTCAAATTCCGATCACCGACTTTATCAATCGCGAGCTCATTCTTTTCTCCATGGCCGATAACGCACGCTCAATCCCCAGCGCGGTGGATGGATTGAAGCCAGGGCAACGGAAGACCTTGTTCTCCTGCTTCAAACGCAAACTGAAAGGAGAAATCAAAGTGGCGCAATTGGCTGGTTATGTTTCTGAGCATTCGGCATACCACCACGGTGAAGCCAGTCTGGCCTCTACTATCGTTGGTCTCGCGCAGAACTTTGTCGGCAGCAACAATTTACCGCTGTTGGAACCTCTGGGACAATTCGGAACGAGGCTTCAAGGAGGAAAAGATGCCGCCAGCGCCCGTTACATTTTCACCGCTCTTACTCCACTGACGAGAGCATTGTATCACCCTTCGGATGACGCATTGCTGTCATACCAGAATGAGGATGGGCAGATGATCGAGCCTGAATGGTATCTCCCTATCTTACCTATGCTCCTTCTCAACGGTGGCGAAGGCATCGGGACGGGATGGTCCACCTCCATTCCCAACTACAACCCCCGCGATATTGTCGACAACATATTCCGGATGATGGACGATCGTGAGCTGATTGATATGCAACCCTGGTACCGCGGTTTCCGAGGAACCATCGAATCCATCGGCAAGGACAAGTTCCGAGTCACTGGCTGCATCGAAAAGATCGATGACACTACCGTCGAGATCACGGAACTTCCCATTCGCTGCTGGACTCAGTCATACAAAGAAGACCTCGAGGCCTGGTTGACTGGCACCGAGAAGCAGGCAGCGTGGATTAAGGATTACAGAGAGTACCACACCGAGGCAGCGGTTAAGTTCATTGTCACGATGTCCGAAGAACAGATGGCCCTGGCGGAGAAGGAGGGTTTGGAGAAACGCTTCAAGTTGATAAGCAGCATCTCGACTTCGAACTTGGTTTGCTTCGATCAGCAAGGCAGGATCCGCAAATACGACACCATCGAGGAAATCTTTAGGGAGTTTTACCATCTCCGAAGGGAGTTCTATCAAAAACGAAAGGCACACATACTGGACGAACTGAACTACGAGCTCACAAAGTTGGACAACAAGGTCCGATTCGTTCTTGAAATCATTGCCGGGAAATTGGTCGTGCAGAACAAGAAGAAGGATGCGTTACTCAAGGAGCTCCAAACCCGTGACTACAAGCCTTTCTTCAAGAGGGAGAAGGGCACTCCTGCTGGTGAGGATGAGGCGGAAGAGACCGAAGTTGATACCAAAGATCACGGTTTCGACTACTTACTCAGCATGCCGATCTGGAATTTAACTATGGAGAAGGTAAGCTACCCTTCGATTGGTTAAATGAACGACAGCATCCTAACATGAGACATGGACAGGTTGAAAGCTTGAAGAAACAACAAAATGAGAAGAACTTAGAAGTTACAGTGTTGACTGGAAAGTCGGTTAACGACCTTTGGAAAACTGATTTGGACGCGTTCCTGGCCCAGTGGGATGTAAGCACTCTGAGATTTGATGAGCCCTACATGTACGCGTTGGAACTGAACTGGATTTTAGCACTTTGAAATGACGCTGGCGAAAAGCGACGCTACGCAGCCTGTAAACGGGACCACTGTTGGACAGCCTAAGAGGAAGCCTGTTGTGAAACAAACCGCCTTGAAGTTGAAGAAAGAAGCAGATATGAGCGATGACGACGAAGATGCCGATTTTGCACCATCAGCTAAAGGTATAACTGGTTCCACAATGCGATACGTAGAGAGCTCTATTGAATTTTCCTCGCTACTTCATTGCTAGCTCCTGCAGACGCAGCAAAGCCAAAGGCTAAACCTGTCGCAAAACCAAGAGCCGCAGCAAAGCCTAGGGCGACGGCCGCAACCCCGAAGGCGTCTACGTCGTCCATCGTGAGCTCGCCATCCAGCATTGACAGACTCACGCAAGGCTTGTCTGCCATCGACTTGACGAAGAGCCCCGGAGCAGTAAAGAAACGCGTGCTGAAGGGCAAGAAAACCGCCGTCGCAGGGCCCGCACCGACTGAGAAGAAACCGCTGAGGTCCGAAGCACCAGCGAACGCCACAGAAGACGCATCTCCATCAAATGATGTATTTGATCCCATGGATGTCGACGCGTCTCCGCGCCCTTCTACGGCCGCCAAGCCTGTCCCAAGGAGAGTTCTTTCGGGAGCTCGGAAACCCGTAGAGAAGAAGGAAGCTCTGAAACGTACTACTAAGCCGGTCGCTGCCACAACAAAGCCCAAACCCAAACCTCGCAAGGTGGTATCCGAATCAGAGGCAGAGGAGACTGACGGACTGAATAGCGATGACATGGACGTTCCTACCTCCCACGTCGCTGCGAGCTCGAGTGTGCCGGTCGGCCGTACGACTCGAGGCAAAGCCCCTGTGAAGTACGTTGACGAGGCCAGCGACGCGGAGGAAACTTATGTAGAAAGCGAAAGTGACTTTGCGGATGATGACTGAATTCTACAGGGGCCCCGGTGAGTAGTGGAGATGGAACCTGATGACGTGGCGTATTGGATATATCTCAGATATGTAGCTCAGACTTTAGCAAGAGTGTATGTACAATGAAATCCGTAATGCTCGATATCGATATCCTTCACGATGGCGCGGTGTCCGCGAAAAGGGCCCTCATCTCAGCGTCATCAACTACATCAATAGGCGCGAATCCTTTTGCATTCGTAAGCTTTCTATTTGCTCCACGCTCCAGTAATGATTTTACGATGTCCCGCGCACCGAGAAACGTTGCTGAGGGAATGATGCGAACGTCAGCAGAGGACTTGCGTATATACAGGGGAGAATACAAGTGAAAGTACGTGAACTTACCGAGATGTAACGCGGTATTCCCTCCCTAACGATATTCAGCCAGACATAAATCATGATCAGCTGACTGCCCTGTTTGTTCCACTCCGGATCTGAGCTCCCGGAACTCACCCCGAATGCAATGTCCAAATCATCCTTCAGCGTTCTTTCCAGAATATCCTTTGCAATCGCATCTTGCCCACTCAAAATTGCTTTCTGTAATGGCGTGATGGCTCCGATGTATGCTCCCAAAAACTTGTAGGCATCAAGTTCCACATCCGCTTCAAACTTGAGGGATGCGTCACGGTGTTTCTGGGACGTGAGCGATTTGTCGGCTAACAGGAGTGCCCGAACCGTTTCGGTGTCGCCGGCTCCGATTGCTTTGAACAGAGACTATAGATTTCGGCTGTCAGATCAACTGTGTTCCTATTGTATGAATTTGAAACATCATTCCGCATGTGTATCATACCTCCAAGGAAGCCATGGTCCGCACGTTATCGATATAAGTATGAGGGCGGTAAACGTTCTGTGAACTTTGGTCACTTCCAGGATGCTGAGGCTTGCTCACTGCTCAAACTTTCCAAAACTTCGATCAGGATCGAGATGAACAAGATGGACACGTCTGCATATTCTGTCAGGGACGCTTACGGATGAGGAGGAGAGCGAAGAAGAAGAGGATGAAGAGGAAGATGAAGAGCAGGAGGAGGAAGAGGAGGATGATGATGAAGCTTACGTCTGGAAACGCGCTGTCGGATTTCATTTGGGTTCGGACGCGTTGCTTTCACAAATCAAGGCTGTCAAGCGACGTCAACGTTCGAGACATTCCACCCTTCGCTCATTGACTGCCAGCGGGTCAACAACTCTAGCGGATATCTATTTGAAAGTAGACTCGCATAGGATTGTCTGGTTTCCGCGCGACTGTACCAGCGATGGACCTGTCTGAGAAGCGAATCCCCGCTCCGGATGAGCCCGTCCTTACTTTGCAGGACGATGTCCCGCCCGCCATCGGTCCCGAAACAACCCACGTCGTCGTTCACGAGACGACCGCTGGAACTGTAGTGGAAGAACAGGTGGCTGAAGAAGAGGAAGGGCCTTCGTTTACGGGCTTTTGGGACAAGTAAAGACACCATGTACTTGTTTGCTTGGCTGGCCGGACTATTCGCTGACCCATATCCCTCAAGAACACGGTGGTCCGTGTCATATGCATATAACAAGCTAGCGGTCAATCACCTCAGCTTCTACAAAAAATGGACGTGGTTCAATCGGTGAGGAAGAGCAAGGAAAGAGGGGAGAGGAAGAGGAAGGGACAGGAATCCAACGTTCAAGAGCTGACCGCGCCCCTTCCGTCGATGCAGCATAGACAAGGTCTTAATACTGGGAGCATTGCCGGATAAGGCAGTCATACAACTACTTCGAGATACAGTAGGTCCCTGGCGAGCCCCGTGCGGAGACCCTCCATTCTTCGAAGTTCCATTGCCAACGATCTGTGTTCTCTTCGCCAGGAAAATCTAGCCGGCGTAATCAACATGTGTGCAGGTAGGTACAGCTGTGATGTCAGGCGTTTGGCAAGGGTACTCAACATTCCACGGCTTAGAGCACCCCGGAGAGGGTAAAAACATCCGCTCGGTGGGCATCAGTTATCTGCGATTGAAGACACCAGATTTTACAGGTGGAAAGAAGCAGACTTGCTGTTCTACATCACGCATCACATACTGATAAGAGATCAATTTGGCAGTACCTGAGTACGATGCTCTAGTAACAGGCGTGAAGGTAGTTCCCTCTACATTCTTCTGCGTGATGTGGGATGCTAACATGGGTGGATCACAAGTGGATAGAAAAGATCGCGGACGGATCTCCAGGGTCTGATAACCGGCCGCCGCGTGTATACGTGCACTGCAAAGTAAGGCGGTGTTTCCTTTTGCATATTTGTCTTAGGAACGCACGCTCCTGACATCCGTCAACGGTCTAGGCTGGTCGCGGACGGAGCGCCGCTGTCGTGATTTGCTGGCTGGTGTATCGATATCAACTTACTCCGCTCGAGGCTCAGAATATCATGTTCTCAAAGCGGCCACAAGTAAGTGTTGACGAAGACCAAATTGAGCCGTGGTTTCTGACCTGTTTGACATGGGACCGAATTTTGCTTCACTAAGGTTGACAAAACCCTCCATTTGCACCCTCGGGTCGTGCAATTCTATCAATGTGCACTGGAAACAAATGGGGCCACTCGTCAGGAATGGGATGATTCTTGAACGCACGCTGAGTGCGAGAACGCGGGTCTCCAGAATGCCAATCGGATCACCGAAAGCCGACTGACGCCAAGAGGAGGATGAATGGGTTTCACAGTCGAGGGGGTTTCCGAAGAGTTCAACTGGTCTCCACTCAGTTCGGGAATAGATGCGGTATGCAAGCAAACACGGTTGTGGTTATCGATACGTTGATACGGCGTGCTCCATTCTGGAACTGCATCGATGCCTCAGATTGAATATCCTTATCTAGTTTCGTAGAATATATAGACTAAACTCCTCCGAAAACATCGGTATGAAAGATCAGAAGAGGAAAATCCGGATGCCTACTGTCCTACTGATGCAAGTCAGGCAGTCTAGTCGCTTTAGTCCATCAAGTTCAGGCAGGAATTGCCAAACAGGGTGGGTATATGCTCTCGAACGGACTTTTGATCAGCTTCATTGCCGTAAGGTTATTTCATATCGAACCTCAGCATCGAACCAGTTCTGAGCCTCGGCCAGCTTCGCCTGGACGGCTTCCGCAGACCCGTCCTCCATCGTCACGACCAATCGCGCTGCAGTGTTCATGGTGCTGATGTGAAATCCGGTATATTCTGTCCCGGATTTGGCAATGGGAAAGTACTGAACGTCTGACACCGGACATAGCGAGACCGACCCGGGGATGGAGAGCAGTTTCCCAATACGGCGGGGTATCAGTAAGTCTCCCAACGAGAAGTTGGGATGCTTCACTATTGGGGCGACCGAACTGCGATCTTGCCGCAGAGGTAGACCGTTGGAAAGCCTGAATTCCATTTCCGCAAAATTATAGTTCTCGGCTAGACCAATCAGGCCTCCGATCGAACCCCCCGGGCGTCTCGCCGCAATCTCACAGAGGACAAATTCTGTGGTTTCACCCCCTTCTTGTGCGCCAGAAGCTTTCCTCTTGGTCTCGAACAATTCCAAATGGAATATCAGATGATCGACAGTCGGTAGTGCTTTCAGAACCTTCTCAGTAGCTTCAAGAAGTTTCGCATTCTTCGGGTCGCTCTGAGGAATCAAGACGTTCCCATACGCTTTTCCCGTCGTGAAGCCCAGATTGGTTTGGATGTATGCAAACGGCCAAACAATCTTGAGGGCGCCGTTCTGAGCGTACCCGTTCACATGGTACATCTTGCTTGTGGCGGGGTCTACAAACGCCTCCACTATGATATCCCCGGATGCAGAATAGTCCATGCATTTGCCTTTATCGTCAATGCGCTCGTAAAATTCTTTCTCCAAGTGCTTTTTGAGTTCTGCATCCGTCCGAAGCACTGTAATTCCAGCCGATGCCGACCCTAACGTGGGTTTCAAAATTATTGGCAAGTGCTCCATTTGAAGAAACTGCAGAATGGATGCCGGGCTGTACACTCTTGCAAAGGATGGTACAGGAAAGGCGGCATGTTTCACAATTCGTTTCATGGCTTCTTTATCGCGGAACAGAATAGCGTCCTGGTAGTTCAGACCGTTCTTGATTCCCAGGAGTTCGCGAAGCAATGAAGCTCGAAGAATCAGGTCTTCCTGCTTGGTGTAAATACGGTCTATCCGATGCTTTGCGTGCAGAGCCGACGCCTCCACTTCCACAAGTCCGTTTGTCGTGGGGGTTGCCAACTCAACGTACGCTAACGAGTCCGCCTTATCAGCTGTACGAACAGACCGTTATTTCCGGAACTTTCGGACTTTGCTAGGGACCTCAGGCAAAAACGCAGAACAAACCGTCGGAAAGAGCCCCTTTCGAACTGATTATCAATAACCGAACATTGTCCGATGGTGAAACAAACGACGTGTAGGAGGCAGCTTTGTTGAGCGAGGGCGTTCCAACCTCGTCAAGAATGAGAATGTGAACGGTCGTGTCCGCCATGATCGACTTGGGCAGCGGAAGCTGTCTATCTCGACGCTAGCAGCACTTTCCTGTATTCCGTAACTTATGCCCAAGTCAAGTCAACGGACCCCCCCGATCGTGGCGATATTTCTCACGATGGGCCTTTCCTTCGCGTTGGGACTGAGTTGGGACTGAGTGGGACTGTCTCTAAGGACTGCGCCACCCCTCATTTCAACTTAGTCCATTTTGCAGTACTTTTCCAAGTTACAAGTTCAAACCCACCTGCCACGTACAGTACACAGACCACTCGGGAGGACACAAACTAGGAAACAATGCCGCCCAAGAATAAGAATAAGAAAAAGGCAAATAAGGACGCTTGGGACTCCGACAAGGAGGACAATGTCCCAGACGTTCTCAAGGCCGAGCCCCATGGGGAGGTCTCCGACGACGCCTTGGAGATCCCCGCTCCCTCGAAACCAACAAAGTCGAAGAAGAAGGCTGCACCCAAACCCGCTCCGAACGCCTTCGCCATGCTCGAAGACGATGTTGACGAAGAGGACGGAGACGATGAAGACGCAGCAGTTGGTGGCATGAGCGGTTCATTTGCCGCGCTGGCAATGGGGGACGACGACGAGGAAGTGGACAGTACACAGAAGAAGGGAAAGAAGAAGAGGGGAGATAAAGAAGGCGAAAAGTCTTCCTCGAAAAAAACCGATAAGAAGAAGAGTGCCAGCAGCAGTAAGAACGCCTCGCCAGCTCTGTCGGGTGACGAGGAGGAAGGCGAAGAAGCCGATGGAGACGAACACGAGACTAAGGAGAAGAAGCCGAAAAAGTCGCGAGAGGAGCGCAAAAAGGAGAAGGCTGAAAAGAAGAGAAAGTCAAAGAAGACTGATGCCGCTGACCTGGCGTCTGATGAGGACACGAATAACGTTCCCGATGAAGACCGGAAGAGCACGCCGGGGACATACGGATACGCCTCTGGTCAAGCCCCAGGGCCAGAAGGTACCAACCCTGCCGATGCCATCGCTGTTACAGGCAATTTGCTCTCACCGCCAAACTCTCGGGATATGCAAGTCGATAAGCTCACGGTGCAGGCCTTTGGTAAGCTCCTCATCAAGGAGTCCGAGTTGTCTCTCATCAACGGACGCCGGTACGGTCTCATTGCGCCGAACGGATCGGGGAAGTCCACGCTACTTCATGCAATAGCCTGTGGCCTGCTACCAATGCCACGAACGCTTGACGTGTATCTGCTCGATCGCGAGTTTACAGCCACCGAGATGACATCAATAGAAGCCGTCTTGGACATCACGAAGACAGAGCATGAGCATCTCATGACCGAGATGGAAGATCTGCTGGGTGACCCAGACAAACACGCCGTCAGATTAGATTATATCCAGACCAGGCTCGGTGAGCTTGAGGCGGACGGGGCTGAGCGCCGCGCATTGGACATTCTGAAGGGGTTGAGTTTCACTGATGAACTCATTGCAACGAAGACGAAAGATTTGTCTGGTGGATGGAGGATGAGGATCTCCCTTGCTCGTATCCTCTTCGTGAAGCCCACGTTGATGCTTCTAGATGAGCCGACGAATCACCTGGATCTGGAAGCCGTCGTGTGGTTGGAAGATTATTTATTGCATAACCTCGAAGGTTCGCGCGGATAGTCTTTCTTCAACTGCACTACGTACGCCTCGAACCACAGCTCACCCTTTTCCTTCTATTACCATAGGTCACACTCTTGTCATGACATCTCACTCCCAAGACACACTGAATGAAATCTGCACGGATATCATCCATTTGTACCACCAGCGTCTTGACCATTACCCCGGCAATTACAACACGTTCACAAAAGTTCGTGCAGAAAAGGATATTCTGCTAAATAAGCGGGCGAGAACGGAAGCAAAACAAATGGAGAAGATCAAGGAAAGTCTTGGCAAGACCGGTTCGAAGCAACAAACACAGGCCAAGAATCGAGTGAAGGCGATGGAGAAGCGGTCAGAGAAGGATAAGGAAAAGAACAAGGCTCTTGAGGAAGAGCTCATTTGGGATAAACCCCTCACATTACGGTTCAACGACTGCGGACGAGGGTTGCCTCCACCTGTACTCAAGTTCCGCGATGCTGGCTTCAACTACCCGGGGGGTCGCAAGCTGTTCCATGATCTCAACTTTGGAATAGATCTGGACTCCCGCATCGCGTTGGTGGGACCCAACGGTGCAGGAAAGTCCACACTCATCAAGCTTATGCTCGGCGAGCTTCAACCGACAGAGGGAACCGTCACACGAAACCATCACCTGCGGATTGCGCAGTTCCACCAACATATGGGAGACCAGCTGGATATGGAACAGTCCGCTGTCCAGTGGCTCTGCGGGCAGTTTAAGGAGTGGAGGGACCAGGAAATGCGGAGGGAAGTCGGGCGATATGGCCTCACTGGCAAAAGTCAAGTCATCCCGATGCGACAGCTCAGCGATGGTCAAAGGCGTCGTGTCATCTTTGCCTACCTGGGTCTGAAGACACCGCATATGTACGTGCCCTCCTTTGTTATAGATGTCCGGAAACTCTTTTGCTGATGACGTCTTCCCTAACCCAGGTTCTTGATGGATGAGCCTACTAACGCATTGGATATCGAAACTATTGATGCACTCGCAGAGGCTATCAACGAATACGACGGCGGTGTTGTGTTCATTACACACGTGAGTATTGGGATCTCTCATCTCTACCACACATGGATATCTGGTTCTAATTCATCTATATTTGCTATCGTTCAGGACTTCCGGCTGATCGACCAAGTGGCCAAGGAAATCTGGATTGTCCACGACGGCGAGGTCGAGGAGTTCGAGGGAGATATTCACGATTACAAGGCCATGCTCAAGGCGAAGTACGCCGCTCAAAGAGAAGCCGCCGAGGCTGCTGCTGCTGGGAAGCCCTAGGGTAGCATCCTGCGTCGGTCATTAGGAGCATACATCTTTACATCATTTGTCGTCTAGATTCTTGAGTAGATTCCTGCAACGGTTGAATCATGTTGTCGCACAGGCCATTGTACAGAAATAGATCGATATTGTTATGGACTCAGATCGTAGTTCGCCGTGACAACTTCATTTGCGAGCGCGCGCAGGGACTATCGAGTTGATAACGCTTGCATTGGCAATACCCTCTTAACAATTGTCGCGGGCCAGCAGCAGCGTGCGGATGCTCACTTACCATGCTAGATGTTCCGCGGGCACCACTCACCCCATGAAAGTTCTCAGATTCATTTCTGACTGAAAATGTGCCTCAGACATGCTTCAAGGAAACACGATGAGAAATAGCATGGAAAAAACATGCTATGTGTACGCCTTTATGGCAAATTTCCGTAGTATATACTTGAAGGAACGAAGGAAGGTCTGGACTCTAACTATGGGAGCAACCCTATTGAGCTCAAGTCTGTATTAGAAGTTGACAACCCATTCTTGCATTTTGTCCACCATTTCAGAATAATCTTTCCCATGTCCTGATTCGTGTTGGGTTTCGTGATGATATCGTCCAGTCCTGAGGCCATGAACTCGGCCTGAGTGAAATTCGCTCCCGCTGTGAATGCAATGATTGGAACGTGCCGCCAATCATTGCGCTTCTCATTTTGTCGTATTCGCTTTGTCTGGGCACATGGATATTAGACCACATGAAAGAGGTGAATGCGCCAATGCGAAAACTTACAGCACAAAAACCGTCACAGACGGGCATATGCAAATCCATCAGAACCTGTGCATTGAAGTGACCCCATTGAGATGTGTCGTTCGTACATCGTCTACAATATAAATCGTCCATCCTCATGCCCGTGAGACATACCAAGTCATAAGTGTCCGGGTTGTAGGCCTCAACCGCAAGTTTTCCGTTTTCCACAACATCAACCGTATGCCCGAGCTTGATGAGAAGCTTCTTCGTAATAATCTGATTGATCTTGTTATCCTCCGCGACGAGAATGTGCAAGCTTTCGGGTTCGCTTGCGGCGGGTGGCATACGATGCAGCGGTATTAGAAGGCGGAAAAGCGTCCCCTGCCCTATTACGCTTTCGCAAGATAGCGTGCCTCGCATGCTCTCAACAAGCTGCTTGCAAATGGACAACCCTATGCCGGCGCCCGTATACTGTCTGTTCCAGGCATTGTCCGCCTGCCAGAATATTTCGTACATTTTTTGTTGATTCTCGGGGCTGATGCCGATTCCCGTATCAGAAACGGTCAACCGAAGTCTTTTTCCATCGTGCTCTGCGTTTATGATGACTGTTCCGCCTTCCGAGTTGAATTTCACCGCATTATCGACGAGGAGAGAGAGCGCCTTCTCAATTCCATCTCGGCGGCCATGGTACACTGACTCCTGCACTTCGTCCGTCAGAGGCACGACCACTTGGATGGAACGTTCTTTGATTTGATTTGCGTAAACCCGGAGCACGTCGTGTATGACGGGCAAGATTTTGAATTCTTCACCGGTTTGAACCATGGGTTCGGGGCCAGCAGAGACACCTAGAAGGTTCTCAATCAGGTTCGAAAGCGATTTGCAGGATTTCAGCGTCTCTTTGATTGTCACGGACGTCGATGAGGGTAAAGTCGTATCATCCTGCACCATCGTGATTAGCCCCATAATTGCTGTAGAAGGTAGAAACAAAGTGCGTCAGATCGATTTCGGTTTGAGGGAGGAATAGATTTGGAGGGTGTGATCCGAATTACCATTCATCGGGGTTCGCAGTTCATGTGAGATGTTTGCCATCATTCGACTCTTGAATTCCACGGCGGCCATTGATGCCTGGGCGAATCGGTCCAACTTTTCCTGCATCTCGTATAGAAGTGTCTGGTCATGAGCAAGACCGACAACGTGGGTGGGATGGCCTTTCTCGTATATCATCAGGGTCGAAACGTTCCAGTGTCTCACTGTCCCGTCTCCATGGCGCATATCGATGCGCTCCGGCTCAACTGGTATTCCCGTCCGCACAGTTTGGTCAAGAGGCCAATCTCCAGGGGCAATTGGGATGCCCGCTCGGAACCCTTTGCAGTTCTCGTTGTTGTCGGATGCGTCCTTCTCGTTGGCAAACTCGACGGCAGTCGGATTTGTGATTACTTTTCGACCTTCAGGATATTTCGCCACAACTAGTGCGATCGGTACAGCATTTAGGACGGTTTGCAGAAACGCCTTTTGTTTCATCACTTCTTCCGTCAGGATCTTGCTTTGGTTGATGTCCCTTATAACACCGTACCAGTGGGTCAGGTGCGTCACCGGACTTCGGCAGATTTGGCAATTGGATTGTATCCAATGATACGTCCCATCGTCGTGCAGCATTCTGTACTCATAGAAGTAATTCGTCCGTTTCTTTATACATTCGCCCCATGTTTCCATGACTGCGTCCCGATCGTCGGGATGTACGAGTGGCAATGAGTCTCTCAGCTCTACACCGCTGCTGTTGAACTCTCGCCATCGCTTATTTCGATAACAGACCTTTCCCCACGTATCGACTTTCAATATGATATCGGGCGAGAAGTCCAACACGAAGGCAAAATGATAGGCAACCCGAATCTGGTTGACCAGGCACTCGACCCATAATGATGACACCGTGTTGTAGATAGGATCAGAGCCGATGAGGGGCGCGATTTCAAGATACAGATCATCCAATATATGGTGCGCATCGGGACACGCATCGGCACAGACGAATCGAAAATCGTACATCGGATAGGTAACATTCATAGTGTGACGCAAGTTCGCGAGCAGCTCTTCCGGGGTCGCCAATTCGCAACACTTCAGAGAGATTTCTCTGAGGCCTTTCAACATCGATAACTCGAAATGAGCCGTCGAGACGAGCTTGATTAGGTGTGGCCCGAGGGCGTGTGTCGCGATGGCGGCCGCGACGGACACGACAGACGTAAGGAGTAGAATCAGCGACTTCGAAAGCCGGAGCGCCGACAGCGCATGTGACACCCCGCAAAGGAGGATGAACAGCACGAAGAGCGCGAGGAGCAGCTTGTGGCTAGTATTGGTGACATTCCGCAACGCCTGACAGAGGTGAAAGAGCTGCAAGGGCAGAGCAAAATAAGCCACCGCAATGATGTAGTCACACCAAATGTCTGACGTCGACATCGGCTGGCACCCATCGTGCGACATGTTCGGCCTCGATGTAAACAAAGTTTCGTTCGTTGCGAGATTCTAGTGTCCGTTCGGAGATCCTACGTGTCCGTTGCGAGATCCTACGTGCAGAATGCTCGCCGCCTATCCAAGGCGCTGCATCAGTTTAGTTGAGGTCAGAAATCTCGGTGCGTGCACATCCAGCAGCGGGAGCAAGCGATGGCACCGAATATGAAGGTGATGAGCACTGCCTCGTCAATGGTCACATACAGCTGTCGTTACACTTTCGTGGCGCCAAAAACCGCTGTTAATTGGTGCCGTCCCATGAATCGTTCTTTGTTACGGTGCTCAGAATGCATCACTGTCTCCCACGGATTCAATGTATCCCCTGATTTCGGAGAGCCCCGTGAGAACAATGCCAACGCTGGTTCCCGCTTAGGCAGTTTATAGCTTCGTTTTATATGCACGTCGGGGATCACGTTTGACAGGAAAGCGACAGCGCGACGCGAGATGTTTTCCGCTCCGTGCTTCTTCATCCGTATGACCGCGTATCTATGGGACCTATGCACCTAACATGATGTCCAAAGTTTGTCCTCTAAGGTCGACTTTATATATGGCTGTTGTACTGTGAAATGGATGCCGGCGGGTGAGGGTTGCGACTTCGAAAAATCCACATCTCAGGATCAAAGTTCAGTATGGAGAGGATTCTGTAGCGCGGATATAAAAAGGTAACTCCTCTTCCTTCAATAGGAATCACCTTCTTATAAATGTCGGCTTTCGTTAGAGAACTTTGATTTTCGTATTCGTATGGTAAATGGAAGCGGACAGTCATCCGTCGAAAGCTGCTGCCTTTCTTGGACCGAGCTGTTCTGAAGTCTGCAATGGCTAAGCCTGAGCTCCTTCTTTCAGCGGAGACCCGCTCGGGTCTGAAATGGATGTTGTTCCCCACATCGTCCTGGGACGGCACGTCAGTTCAATCATACGTACTGACCATTGTCGCTTCTCTGCAGCGCCGCTTCCGCTCTTCTAAAGGTGACCCAAATCGTTAAATTCCTTGCTTCAATCTCCGTGCACCCCCGCAAAACCTTGCATGGACGCCCAAATTGGAACACGGGACGTTATCTTTTCATCCATACTGGCAGGCTGAGCAAGAATGCCGCCCATGAAGTCCAGTTCATATACGGGCCTGAGAATATACTCCGGCAGATGACAGCAGTTTTACTGTCACTGTCGATCTGGCACTGTCAATACTGTTGGCGGAGTTTCGGATTGAGCATGCCGTTCCAGTAAGTTTGGTTTCCCTTCGGGACAATAACTGGCCTTAAGAACTTATTTTTGACCGTCACACTGTCTTAGTATAACTTACACCTTACCTTAGTAGAAGCTTGTTGAGAATTGTAGTCAACGGTTATGCACCATAGAAAAAGCTCCAACAGCGAATCGAAACACATGTCCCATATCCAGCTTCTGCAGACTTTTTAAACTTGGTTAGCACCGGTCAGGACAACACTTGCACAGATACGTTTATTTCGTACACCGCCGGGACAATATGAGCTTTACAGCGGCTACTTTGCCCCCATCGGCGACATCTGTGGTGATTCCCCCAGGCAGACATGAGGCACCTAAGATTCTCCATGAATCATCGAGCAGACTTCCAGCTCTCCTCCCTTTGACTTCGGAGTTCGATCCTCGGTTCACGGAGTACACCGGCGAGCATCAAGCATATATGGAACGGAAATTATACGGCCATGAACGGGACAATCGGGTTTTGCGTAAGGAGATTCAGTGAAGTCAATCAAGCTGTCTCGTTGCTAAGCTCGACTCCCACACCTCTTTGCTAGCGCAAATCAACGCTGAAGCTGGTGACTATCGCTCTCCGTACGCAGACGAGGAGCCGCCACCATGGGAGACCACCATGAAAACCGATTTCCCGAGGCGGAATCTTGCCGGGAGGGCCCAGCCGAATCTCAAGATTGCACAGGAGATTGCACGGACGCATTTTACTCTCGAAGGCCCGGAAGAGGACGACGGCAGCGCAAGACAGCATCCTCGCAGTCATATCGACTATGGGCCAAAGCCGCCATTGGAAAAGGTGGATGGCAAGCTGATCCAAAAAGGATACAATGTAAGCAGTCCTGCTCCCTTTTCTGTTTTCACAGCAAGTCGCTGACACGTTCATGTTTTCTCCCAAGGTTTACCCACCGATTTTCCGTGACATTGAAGTCTTGAACCATCCGCGCGGCAGCACCTATGACTCGGCTTATCATTTGGTAGGTGAAGGTGTTGACAGCCAGCTATGATGCTTGCAAAGAACGAAGCGCTTCGGATATTGTCTCTGATCCGCTCAATGACCCAGCATCCTACAAAACGTCGCATTCCCATCCCGCACAAACACACACGGACAAATATAGTCCTAGGCACCGACGGAAGTCCTACCTACGTTAGCAGCATGAGGGATGCGACGCAGGCTCCCGGCGAAGATCCGACACCCTCAAAGCCACGGACCACTCCAGACGAGGATGACAAACGCGAATGGACGTTTGCCATGGAGGATGGGGAGAAAGAACAGTGGGCGAGCCTCTCGTCTCAATGTAAGTTACGTCGTGGCTTTGTGTGCTGTCCCAAGACAGTTTCTTATCCTTTGGTATTTAGCATATAAAGACCCGGTGGGTGTTGACTACACCGCAAAGAGACCGAACTGGGCAAAAGCCAGCGGCCGCGCGCATTTTTCGGTGAGTGTTCCTCCAAACAGGCGCTTGATGTCAGGATTCCGCATGATATCTTTGGTACTCTCGTTGCACCACTCACGTCATTTCGCATCTATCCAGCTCGGGAACTCAACGGCAACCGACCCGGCAACTTCCACATACTCATACTCGTTCAGGGCTGCAGTGGCAGAAAACGGTGAAAGGCCAACGGTTGCCAAGTCGTACGTTCCATCGAGCGTATTGGACGAGCATGATGCGGATGGCGATTTGAAACAAAGCATGTATATGGAGAGCTACGGTCTAAAGGACGGGATCAATGGCCCAGCGCACAAACATGCACCGCAAAATGTAAGCTAATTGCACTGTCATGAGCATTGCTGCGAGCGATTTTCTTAACGAAGTAACGATTTCTACTACAACTGTATGTGTAGATCATCCCGGTTGCCAGTAGTGTTGTGTTTGGATCCGCAGGTCCGGATACTCTCACATCCACCACCCGCACTGCATTTACAGCGCCTTCCTCCAGTGGTTCTCCCATCAGGCATCCAGGAGCACCTACCGACACGCCACATTTGCTGGGCTCCCCCTTCGACTTGCCCACCGCAACGCCTACATCCAGTACGCGCTCAGCCTACGCAACCACACCGGACGCATCAAGGCTTCTGGGGAAGGCCCACGCGCAAGCTGTCCTGAGTCGTAGGACCGCTGCAAAGGCGTTCCGAGGAAGTCGTGTCTTTGGTAGCGGACAATGGGAAGGGGATATCAAAGATTGTCAGCGAGAGGACATGATCGCAGCGACGAAAGCGCAGGAGGCACATAGATTGACCGGGAAGAGAGCGGCGGGAGTACCGAGCGGCGTGAAGAGCGGAGAAGGGTGGAATGCGAAAGGGGAGGCCAATGAGTGCGTTCCAAATTTGATGCTTCTTGGCCCGCTGATGCACTTGAATGTCGCTAACTATCTCCGCACGATCTTCACAGTTGGACGACGACCTCCCAGACCCTGGGTCGCTTCCCACCCGTCTCCCCGTCCAGCATCAAAGCAGCGGGTGAATTAACGCAAGCCGCGCGCGGCTTGGCGACCAGGTATCGCAACAGGGTGCTGCCGGAGGGGTTGATCGATGGAAGCACGTCCACGACGGTCATGCGGTCCAGTTACGTTCCTCCCGTGAGGATGAGATACCTTCAGCCGGTATTTGGAGTGGCGTGAATGCGAAAGCATTACCCAATTGCGGGATTTGGAACGTATGTAGATGATTATTGATGTCGAAGAGTTACTAGCCGCATGGGAAATAGACTCTTCGTTTCGGATGCCTCCAGATCCAAGAATGATCTGATCGGGAGTCGGTAGGATCGTTCCAGCGAAGCCCTCAATTCACAAAACGCACAAAATGAACACAGTCAGGATTAACAAAGTCGAAAGTTCTCTGGATGCACCGATGCAGGAACACCAGGGCCGGAGAATGCAGCAAAGACGGAAGGGAAATGCGGGAGACGTGAAGTGGGTGTGCAGAGTGTGTGGGATGTGTAAGAGACAGGAATGTTCATGAGAGGGCCTTCGAGCAACCTTTCCGCTCTGATGTCATGCGTGTACAGAACTAAATAGAGGATGTGGGGATTGCAAAATTGTCCAGAATGGTAGAGCCGTAGTCCGTGCGATGTTGGGCTTCATGCATCCAGTGGAAGTGAATGCCATGCTCACTGAATGTTATGCATAAGAATGAGTTTCTCGACCTCTGCAAACGAGCAAACAGTCAGTACTCTAGAACACGATGGTGTGCGACTGCAAAGGCCGAAGAGTGTACTTACTCGTAATCAGATGCTTTCCATATGTATACTTCTTCAAGCTCGGGAGATGTGGTTTGATTTTCTGTACGAGAACCTCTCGTTGAGTACCATCCACAACGTCCAACATCTTTTGTACGACATAATTGGCGAACTGATCCTTCATCATCAAGACCAAAGGTGATGTGCTGCACGAAATAGACAGATCAGCAAAAGTGAACATCCGCGCAACCTCATGGTCAAAACCCAGCTTCGATACGATACCCATCAGGGCGGGTCTGAATGACTTCGTCGATCAGGTTCTGCCTATCCTTCTTGTTTCCATACGCGACACATTTCTCCACCACGTTGCTGGCAAACTTATGTTTGCTCAGCTGCAAGACCTGCCCGCGAACTTTGTTGATGATCAGACCCTTGTCGACCTGCTTGCCGCGCTCGAGAACATGCTGTATCACGTAGTTGCCGTACTGATCCTGGATCAAGTTGACGGTATACCGGTGCAACTCTTCAAGGAGAGGCAGCGTCTCCTCATCGGCGCAGTGTTCGAAGATCCGCTGAATGACGCGACATCCGTAAGGGTGGGTGGCGAGAGCATAAACCGAACCGTGGAAGGCGTCGATGATGAATTTGATGTGCTCGGCAGGCACCCGCTCGATGGCTTTTTGGATGACGTGGTTTCCGTTTTGGTCCTTGACGCATTTGAGGACGTTTCCGTCAAGCTCGTGGACGAGGACGGCTTGCTGGTCCGTCAACACGTGTTCGAGACCCTTCTGTACAACGCGGCAGCCGTACATCTGTAGAGATAGCGATAGCACGTGGCCCTCCATCTGCTTTGCGAGAACTTGCTTTTGGATTTGGTTACCTGTCAAACGCAAGAAAAGGAAAGAGCGTTGATTCAATTGTACTGAGACATGATCTGCCGACAAGGAGTATCCTCCTACCATGCTCGAAGAATTTCTGAATAACATAGTTTCCGAAAACGTCCGTCATGAGCTGCAAGGCGTTCGGCAGGATTTCGTCAAACACCAGCTGTTTCTCCTCGCTATTCGCGGTTTCCAACTTCTGCTGGATGAACCTGGATCCATGCTGGTCGCCGCTGAACTCGACGATGCTACCGACGATATCCCGTAACTCGTACTTCTTATTCTTGTTGTTGCGGAAATCCTCGAGAAGCGCAGAACGCATTCCATGTCCCGGGTCGCTAAGAGTGCTGGGACTCGGCAAGTCGTTGTGCATCGTTGATCGTCGGCTTTGCGGGAAGCCATTGAGCTGCTGGAGATATTCGCGACGCAGCATCTGCTCGCGCAAAAGCAGTTGCTGTTGGGCGAGCAGACGCAGCTTTTTCTCGGACATTGGTCCTCCCCGGCCAGTTCCCATGCTCATGTTCATACTGGGCATGCCCCCGTTGAGACTGGCCAACGCCTGCAGCATCGCTGGGTCGTAGATTTGGTTGGCTGCAGCGGCTCTTCGGGACGCTAAAGCAAAGGCGATCTCCTCTGGCGTCGCGTTGCTCGGGAAGTTTCGGCGATCAAACGAAGGATGAGCGAGACCTAACGCTGCAGCACGGAGCTCATCATCGTACAAGGGACTGCGAGCTGCTGCTCTTTGCTGCAGCTCTATGGCGGCTAGCATCTCGGCTTCCCGGCTACCACCCGGTCGGGCAGACGCAGGACCTGCATAGCCGCCCAGTAGCGAGTTGGGAAGAGGCATGGAGCCTCCACCAAGATACGCGCCGGCACTTCGAGGCGCAACCATATCCCCATACAATCTGTCCAGCCCTGTCGAGATTTTGAGCGGCTTGGCGCCGCGCTGGGGGGGAAGTCCTTGAGGGGAAGGAGGCTAGAAAATACGATGACGAGTTTTTAATCGCAACACTTTCGGAATCCATACTGATACTCTCTCCACCATACCTCTTGACCTCCCAAAGCCATATTCCTCATAGTCATCAAGAGTTCTGGAGGAATATCATCATCGCTATAATTGTGCAGCAAAGCACTGCGAAGCTGGTTGTAATGTGCATTCGAGGGTGGTGTCGAAGCTGATCGCTGTGGTGGCATGTTGACCAGCTCATCACGAGTGTCCAATGCCGCGCTAAGAACAGCGGCCATGCGGGATCGCTCCTCGTCGTTGGTGTGCTCCAACTGCGCCTCAATCTCCGCTCGCATCTGCTCCCTGAGAACGTCATTTAGCCCTTGCTTCTCTCCTTCTTCCATTCCCATCCTTTGGCGGGAATTGAAGGCCGGCGACGGGGTTCTCGGGAAGTCTTCCTGAATGAGATCTACAAGGTTGCGGCGCTGCTTCGATGGGGAGCTTGCAAGATCTCCGGTCCATGCCGCTGCCGCTGCCATCCTCGGATCGCCCAACCTTGGGTCAATCGCTCTAGAATCGGGTGGTAATCGAGGATCTGTACACGTAGAACCTTCTTAGTCCCTGCTGCACAAACAAACTGGCCCGGCCTACGTACCTCTCGACGCGTAATCCCCAACGTCACGGGTTGAAAGGCCATCTGGTTCGAGACTCTAGAAGTGTGCATGAAGTTCAGTCATTGCGCATTGGCCGCCAGGTGTGAACTCAGAAGCAAGCCTACCTGGTCCAGATGATGAGAGTTCATAAAATCGTCATCCATTCCACCAAAGCCTCTGAACTTCTCTAAGCTCTTTGCGACGGAAGGGCTGACGTTCTCCGGTCCCCTGTTCTTAGTGTTGAACCCGGGAGGCGCCCACACTTGCCAAGATTGTCCGGGGGCGTATATTGGTGGCGGTAAGCGTGGATCCAATCGAGATGCATGGTAGTAGTACGCTGCGTATTCGGGGTCTCTGCGAGGGTCAAGGCCCGCCCCATCCTTTGGGTCGTCAAGATCGGGCTATAAACAGCATCAAGAGGCATGAGTTACGACATCAGTAGCCTTTCTTCACCGTCGGTGCACATTCATACCCGAGCTCCTTCTGGCATCAAGATTCCGGCGGGAGGTGCACTGCTCGATCTGCTGCCGATATCTTTGGGCATGCTCATGGGATCATCCCAGTCTAAGGGATTTTGCAGCAGAGCTGCAAGCTGTGAGAAAAACAAAAACGGTTTCGGTGAGTAATCCGGCTCTGACTTCCCTTGATTTTCATGATAGGCACGCACTTGGCCTTGAGGCTGATTCTTAGCCTTCGGCTGATGTATCCCACCAAAGTCCCCCATTTTGACGACGCCACTTTCAGATCAAGACCGGGGAAGTGTCTTCGTCCTGTTTATAGATCAAATCGAGGTCACGTGTAGTCCCAGAGAAAGTCCGCAAACAGCGACGAGGCCAACAGCAGTTCCGTGGTCCCTGTTCAGCGAAGATGAAGACGCTGGCGAGATCGAAGGGCGTCCGGCTTTTCAACGGTATATAATTCAGGCGAGCTGAAGTAAACGATGGTACAGAAAGAGCATATGAAACAGTCCAGGGTCGGAGATGGCGAATGGCTCAGCAATCAAGTCGGGTCCGGAATCCAGAAGCTTATTCAAGGTGCAAAGGTATGCTGGGTCGAGCTTCGTCGTATGCTCCGAGCTGGTTGGCTGTGTATGCTTTTTTTGAAGAGTCGTATGTACTTTGTACAAGATGGACAAATCGGAGGTCGTGGACTCCTTTCGGCAATTCGTTCGGCTATCGGACTTTTAGCTCTTCGTACAATTTTCGGGAGGTTCCGGCTCTGGTCGACCCACCCTCAGCGCGAAAGGAGTGTTGGGAGCTTCCTTGCTATGAAGTTTGTAGTGACCACAGTTCGCCTATTTGTCTTAGCTTTCTGTCGGCTCACGGCGGGCCTTTTTTGTTGCCGAATAAAGCTCGTTTGGTACTTACGTTAATGTTGGCCGTGGACCAACTCTAGAAAGAAAAGAGCAATCCAGCTGACTTGCGTGTGGTTGATTTAAGCTTCCTGAGAATCGTTTCAGATACCGGTAAGCACACAATGTTCTGGGGGAGACAAATCGCGATGCAATCTTCTCGTCGGAGGTGTGGCGGAGTTGAATTCCAACCGGAGACGTCGGTGCCACGATCAACGTACAGGAGCCAGTGCACGGTGGATGGAATATAGACGGCTATGCTTATCGTGCGTTGGATGTCCAATTGCGCTCGTACGGAGGAAGTCTCAGCGGAGGAGGTCAAAGTTTAAATTTAGAGGCGCCAGGCCAGAATCCGTCGAGCCGCGAAAGCCGCGAAAGCCGCGAACGCACCGGCGGGCCCACACCGCACCACATCTGCAGCCGTTCGATAATCATTTCATTCGTTCTAGTCCTTCGGAGTCGGTGACATCCAGAGATATCTTTGTCGGAACGGGGGAAAATAACCGTCCTCTGACGCATAGCTGGTTCTGCATGCATCATCAGTCGGCTGTCTCAATGAATTTGAAGCACCGGGATCCCCCCATGCATGAAACGTCTTGACCCCATGGTACGCAGATAGGGGCTCGCCCAGCTCTCATCGCCATTCCCACCACATGAGGAGCCTGACCAGAACCCATAGAATCAGCAACAGGGTCCCAGGGTCCCAGGATATGCACAAGGTTGCTAGGTGGGTAGTTCATACGGGCCCTCGTGGGTGCCACGCCATCAACTGTCGTGAATCTCATTAGCGCGATCGAGAGATGTGGCTTCCCCCTTACAACCCAATTTCAATCCCCACCCGCGCGCGTCCTCCGAAGGCTTCAAAATTCCATTCGTCAGGGTCAGAGGGTCCCCTATCTGATCTCCCAGGACACGCTGAGTTTGCACCCATCGGAGATGTTGTTGCAATGATTTGAAGAACATGTCAGGTAGCCTATATCAAGAAGCTCCGATGTCGTTAACGAGTTGTCGCACCGATATTGAGGCATATACCACCGGGCGGGATATAAACACCTTTCGGGACTGGATCGGTGTTAGTGTTGTCCATAAGCGTCGATGTCTCTCACCAGTCTCACCTACTACCGGGCGTTTGTCGTAGGAAAATCGTGACGCGCTCATGCCGCCTGATATCTCCTCACCAAGTCGGCAACCCTGAAATTCATCCGTGCACTCAGCCCAATTTACACAGAATACACATAGGCACTTTCCCGCAAGCAAGCCAGCAAGTATGCCGCTCCTCGTACCAAAGATGGAGCCACTGGACTATTCTGCAGCCGGCCACAATCCGTACCTTGTCAGGGCTCTCAATTATGCGGAGCAAACTCGAATGACACTTCACGCAAGTCTGCTTTACCGCTTCGGTGAACCCTACGCGGCAGCAGCGCAGAGAGCAAGTCAAGGGTTGTGGATCGCTCGCATCTTTCTGGATAGGTATCCAACAGCAAAGGTTAGTCACCGCATGTCTATAGAGTTGAATTCGTTTGGGTGTGGAGCTGTGGTGGCCCATTTCCAACCCATTTCCAACAGGTTTTCGTTTACACCCTCCTCGGAGCTTCTGCGGTGCCGCTCAGCGCATTTGTCATCGGTTCTGCATTCTTTGTGCTGATATCGGTCTTTGCCACAATCTCGGGAATAAGTTTCTTTGGAGGCGGCTTCCTCCTATTTTCACTGTTCCTTTCCTTTTGCCTTGCGTCTTTTGTTGCATTTTGGTAAGCTCTTTCACCCTTCCGGTGTACAGTTGGACTATCCTAACCCTGCACTGCGATTCCAGGTTTTCTATCGTATCGCTTGCCATCAAAGCAAAGGATGCCAAGCCATAGTCACTCTCACTATCTGCACCCTCCTATCCGCTCGCAGCTAATTTTGAATCCTTAATGGCGCTCGTAGTCGTACGCTAAATATGGTTTTTGTACATGAGAAGGAACTTTTGGTAATGTAAACATGGGGAACGAAGATGAAATGAAGATGCCTACTGCTCCTACCACTACAATTTCGGCGCGGCGTTCACACTAGGAGGGATTGGATACGGCTTTCCCAAAAACCAGGCAATGTGATCAAAACGGTCGCTGCCGAAAAATGTCTGTGTCTGACCGTCCTCCCGCGTCACGATAAACGTAGGGGTCCCATTCACGCCCTTCTCGACTGCACCCGAACACGCAGCAACCAGCGCTGCTTTCACGTCCGGGTCGTCAATGTACGCGAGATACTTTTCGCCCGCCGGCCCGACGGATTTCGCAGCCTTTGCCAGAACTTCGAGCGCCGATACATCTTCATCGCGTGTCCAGAGCCCTTCATACAGGTAGTTGGTGATCTTCTCTAAGTGTTCAGGCGCTTGAGGGTGCATTTTGATGCCTTGCAGCATCCGATGGGCTTTGAGCGTCGAAAGAGGCCAATGAGGCGCAAACTTCATCGGGAACTTGTGCATCGCAGTTAATCTGAGGACATCGTTATGCAAGTGGGCGAGCTTGAGCTTATTGAAAGCTGCCGGTGTACTTTTCACGGCGGGGTTCTGCAAGGAAACCATCAGAAACCAGTCCACACTCCCTACGCGTCAAACGTCCTCACTCACCGAAAGCACGAAGGAAAGGAAAACAGGTTCCAGCTCCAGATCGAAACCGCCCCACGCCTGACGCAGACGGCGTATGAGGACCCATCCCACATATGAATATGGGGAGACGATGTCGTAGTAGAACTTGATCTTGGGTCGTGCTGGCATCTTGGTTTACGGGTCGGAGATGCTTCCCAAACGCGAGGATATGAGTAAAGCTGGGGAAAAAGAGGCTAGCGCTGCCTGTACTGTATATGTACTTGCAGCGTTTGGTGCCTAACCGTCCCGGTGAGTCCGCACGGTACGATTGCGGGATGTCCAAAGTCGAAGGCCAAGAGAGGCGTTGTGGAGGTTGTGGGGCAACTCCTTACCCCGCGCCCGTCCTGGTGGCCAGCCACAGAAACTGGACAGACAGGAATGCTGACTGGAGCCGTCCATCCTCCGGCGGGTCCTTGCCGAAAACACACACACTAGACGACACAATGGAAGGCGTGTATGGAGACGAGCGAACTCGGGCCCTCTCGACTGGTAAGCTAGTCTTGAACAAAACAGAACGTTCACCGCCACCTAACCGTTGCCCATTTTACGTCCGATAGTGGACATTTTCATAGTCGATGTCGAGCCGAAACACCTTAGCAAGTTGATGAAGTGAGTATGGAGAAGACGGGATGGTTTACGAGACTTGTCTAGGCAATGAATGCCATGTCCCGGCCACGTCCAGCGCAAAAATGTTGACGAGAATTGGCGCGATCGTAGGGCAACGGGGAAAGAATTCCCCTTATCAGGTCTGGACCACCTCAAACGGGTGCGGAAAACGCAAAGCGAAAATGGTGCGCCTTGTAGGTTCAAGTCTCTCGCTTTGGAAAGGCTGCTCCAATTGCTCAAGCAGCTATAACTGACCACGGTTCTGTTGCGCCCGCAGGAAAGCAAACATGCTCCTTCTTCCTTTCCCCAAGAAGCCTCACCACCCAGCCCGAGCTCGAATCCTTCCTGGCCAAACTCGAAATTCCACACTCCCCAATCGCCACGGCACAAGTATCTCGCTATGCAGCGATAACGCGAGAGCAGTTCGAGGAGTGGAAGCAGCTGTGGCCAATGTCGTATCACGACCATGCGATCAAATTAGATGCCCCACCCACCGACGAGGAAATCGCGCTTGCACAGCGATGGATGCGCGAGGTTGTACAGCTTGCGAGAAGCGTTGCGATTGAAGATGAAGGGAGGGGCTTACGAGCGAATGCCGCGGTTATGGTGGATCCCGCAACAAACACGAGACTCGTAGTCGCGGATGATTGTCGCGCCAGTCATCCGCTTGGACACGCGACGATGAGATGCATCGCTGCAGTTGCGGAGCGAGAGAACAGACGGAGAGGGAATGCGGATTTCAATGAGGATGCCGTTGTTGGCCAGAAGAGGAAGGCGCATGCAGATGATGAAGCGACGACAACTCCCTGGTCATCATCATTGTCGGACCAGCTTGGTGGCGCAGCAGCGACTGCGGGGAAGTCGGGGTACCTCTGCACGGATTTGGACCTATATGTTCTGCGCGAACCATGTTCAATGTAAGTCTTTTTCTTCTTCGCAAAATGATCGGTTTTCCAACGTGCCCGACTTCAAGGAATCCTGAACAAGATCGTCGCAACGAAGAGTACTGACTCTAGCTTCGCAGGTGTGCGATGGCCTTAGTCCACTCCCGAATCGGCCGCGTCTTCTACGCCGTTCGCGAGCCGCACGGCGCACTGGGAAGTGCATATAAAGTGCATATTCATCCCTCGCTCAATCACCACTACAAAGTTTTTCGGGATCTGTGCGGTGGCGAGGCGCGGGATGCTCTGGGTGAACATGACGATCGGTAGCTAGCCCATCCGAGGTATCCATAGACGACAGCAATAGAGCGGGTGTGTACACGGTCGGAGGAACATTCTCCGGTGTGGTGCCAAGGGTGCCGGCGTCATTTCACGCCGAAGTCAGAACTCGCAACCACCACCTCCATAGCCAAGGTTTCCAATCACTCAGTCTGCCTCTCGGTGCTTCTGAGCACTACGTTTTCTTATGGAGCAGTGGGGATAAAGTACATCATATATATATACATGTGATACAAGAGAGAATGATAGTGAGGCCCTGAAGCGACAATGAAGACATGGGGATGATGGGCGCCAAAATTGAGGGGGTTTGCCAGCGGATCACGGCGAAGGGAACGAAAGTCTGCCATGTGCAATCAACGCGGCTTTTCTGGAAAATATGGAGTAGTGTTGATCCTCCCCCGCAGCGATCTCTTCCAATTCTCTGAGATCCTCCTCGGTGAGAGGCGGACCGTCAAAGTGGTCGGGGCGCCAATCGTCGAGGAGCGCCGGCGAATGGGGTGGATCCAGTACTGTGGTGACGACATCGGGGTTTGGTACAATTTCGGAAGCATCGAACAGGTCGCGGAGGATAAGCGGTGGGGGCTCGGGTTCGCTTAGCCGACGGCGTTTCGACGGGGAGAGACTGGCGCCGGATGGTACTGATGTGTCTCCGTCTTGGATCTCAGGTTCGCGACGACGCTTGGGCGGTGAGTGCTGCTGGGTATTGTCATCTTGGTGCCAGTCAGCAGGATTGTTTTGGGTGAGGGCTCCTGCGGATGGTTGCGCGTCAGGCCATTGGGAGGCTACCGCAGTCCACTGGCCGACCAGACTCCCCATGAGCAGCTTATGGCGTTCAACCGCTGTAGCCGGGAGCTGCACTGGATAGGGAAGGCGGTTGAAGTTGTGAGCGATGTAAGTGTCGACACGGCTCAGTGTCGCCCTGACGCCAATAGCTACGATTTCTTGGAAGGGGAATTGTACCCCGCTCACTGCTGGAAACGAAATGCGTGAGCGGTCATGCAACTATAATGAGGGCGCAAGGAACTGGTCTTACATGAAGGTGTAGAATCGAAGGGCTGCAATAATCCGAATAGACAAGCAATCTCTTCTGCACTCGAGCCATCTGCGGTTGGGATACCATTAGGAGTATCACGCAGGGCTCTCCTTTCTGGTAATCGCCCTTTTGTCACAGTCTCCACCCATCCAGCGTAGATTTCCCAGAGGGGGCTAATGGATAGGGGAAACGAAATCAGCAACCCAGAGTGCAATTTCCTTGAAAGATTTTGAGAGGCATAAACCAACCTCATCTTTTCGGCATTCCTCCAGCGCCGACCAAGACCTTGTGCAGTATCACCGAATGGGACAGTCCCGTCTACGGTGAACGGTAACCTGGCGCCATCGAAAGCGTCCCGCAGCTCCTCCATTGTTGCGGGCGCATTCCAATCCAATCGGACCTGGCTCATCCCTCGCTCGATGCCAACTCCATCACCGTTTTCATCGGATGCGAACTCGAACGGAGGGTGATTCATTCGGAGAACCTCCGGCCCAGTCAGCTTCTCCTTGCAAACGTCCAGCGCATTGTTGAAGTTGAGGATGAGTGCGTTGAAAGTGGTGAAGTTACAAGGCTTGTCGAAGACTGGATGGAAAGACAGAAAATATCAGTCGTCTGCGCCTCTCGACAAACCCTCCCCGAGCGGGGACCTACACAAGTGCTGCGGAAACCGCGCCTGAATCAGGGCTGCATTTTCGGCGTACTCCGTTGGAAACAGAGTTGTGATGGAATCGTCGCGGTCTGAAACATTTGGCAAAGAACGTCAGTTGCTGGTCCGGGAGCAAGTGATCAGACCAAGTGATGAGATTGAGTACCCACCAGTTTGCCCAATGAATCGGATTTCTGGGGATAACGAGACGTGCTCGGTGACGGATTTCAGAGTTGCCACTAAGTTTTCATTCGCGTGTCGTAGCTCTTTCAGTTCGCCAGAGTACTTCATGTCCAGCCAACGGAGTTCGGACAGCGGTCCATGTTGCAGCACAAAGTCCAGTCGGAATGCTTGCTGAACCTAACATCGCAGTGGCAGACAATGAGATAGAGGCCGCGACACCGCCATTTTCGAAATGGAGTTCGCAATCCTTACCAGCGTTTTGAAACGCAATGCCGTGATGCCATGACCACTCGAAAAAATGAAGAGTATCGGTAATTGATGCTCTGCTGTCTGCGACGCGAGGTTGTTGACGAGTTCAACGAACCGGGCCTTCTCCCTGTCTAAGTAATCACTGCAAAAGACAAGTTAATACAAAAGCCCCAAGTTCAATATGCCAATGGCGCAATCACCTGAAGGCCTCCTTTTTCTCGAAAAGATCGAATTGGAATATAACGACGCTAGTGCCTTTCCAGACGTCGCGGGACTTCTTCCTTTGCCCGGGGTCCTGCGATTGGAAGCCGCGCACGACGGCCCAACAATCAGCGCCGAGGTTGTTCAGATCGACGTCGTACGATCGTTGTATTTCGTCTTCCTGCACTCTCGGTGAAACCTCGACGGGTGTCCCAAGTTGGCCAAACTTGGATCTAACCCAGAAATTGGCCCGCTGCCTCTTCAGCGAGCATGTTCGATCGATGCTAGGGACCGTCAAGCACACTTTGAAATACACTCTATAGGCGGCCGGGTATTGTCGCTTTCGGAGAACCGGGAACACAGTTTGAGCCACGTTGATTGGCGCGAGGACTTGCCCCTCCAATCGAGTCATCTATACATTGGTGAGTATGTGAGCGGGGAAAAGGTTTCTTGTTGGGAAGCTCCGTCGTACCTCTTCGCTTGCTTTCGCGAATTGCGCCTCGCGCCCTTCGTAGTTGAACATTGAGAAAGACTTGCGGGGACGTTTCAAGTTGCTCCATAACGGTGGCATTTGTCGACGGTTTGCAGGTGGTGCGATCTCAGCCCGCGCGATCTCCAGAAAAGCTTGAGCTGCATCATTCAAAGCGGACCCTCTTGCATCGAACCAGCGCAACTGTTTCACAAAACCTCGCCATATCCGCCGCTTGCGTTCTCGTTGCAGGAACTGCTTCATGGTCACGTGAATGGCTCCGCCCAGGAGATCATTCACCGCCCTCTCCGTGACCTCTTCCATGCAGCTGTCTATCTCAGCTTTGTGCCGCTGCTGGTGGGCTTGAGCAGCCTCCTCCCCCTTCCGCCGCATCGCTGCGCGTAGTGCTTCCGCTTCCTGTACCATGCGAACCTCATCCGCTTTGTGTTGCGCTAACATACGCTCGCGCTCGTTCGATAGTGCCTGTTGCCGTTGAGCCTCCAACAAGGCGGCAGCTTGTTTCTGTCGTTCGATTTCTACTTGCAACCTTTGGCGTTCGAGCTCCATATTCCGCAAACGCTCCTCTTCAGCTTGCTTTTGGCGTAAACGCTCGCGCTCCTGCACTTCTTTCTGGAGCTGCATCGTGTCAGCCGAATGGTTTTGGCCTATTAACGGAGAACCGTTCTGTGTCAGGGAATCAGGTATGCCTACGGAGGGATTTGGTGACTGAGTGAAGTTGGGTGTCTGTTGAGACGCGGTGTCGGATCCCAGGGGTTGAGCAAATCCTGTGAACCCTTGGCTCTGCTTTTGCTCCAAAAAGCTGAATGATGTTTGAGCGGAGGTGTGATTGCCCTGAGCTTGCGTTCGCGGCAAGCCAAATGTCGATTGTATGAATGCCGGAGGACCGAAACTGGGCACAGGGGGGGTGCTCATAGACATTGGGCCGTCTGCTGGTTTGCCAAATGCTGGCGGCTGTACCGCCGGTAAGCCAAACACTGTAGGTGGTGGAGCATTGGGAACGTTTGTTTTCGGGAGCGACGACGCCCCGGGTCGGTTGAGACCTTGTGAGCCGGGTTGTCCAAACATGGAGGTAGCGTTGAGGCCATTCGTCGACCTAGTTTCACCGTCAATGACTTGACTCCATGACTGAGTCTCCAATTTAGCCTCGAGAAGTCTTTGTGCAACTCTGGGCTGCAACGACACTCGTTTGTTGTCTAGTTCGTGAAAGAATAAGCATCGTGCCCATAGAAAAGATCAGAACGGACGTCCGCAGCTCTAGCCTCACCTATGAACTTTCCCGGCACCATCTGTGACTTCCCATCCGCTCCGACCTGCTTCACTTTCCCAATCGATGCATACACCTCGCCATCCAGTTCCGCAGTTGGTATCTCATAGTAATCGATATCAATTTGTGCATCCTGCTGGTTGTCATAGCCAAGACGGTGCACTAAACTGGTTAAGGATGTCCACGTATCGGGGGTTCCTGGGAAAACGTAGATAGCGGCGTTCATATGTTTGAACGCATAGCGGCGTACGACGATGAAGTGGGGATGTGCGGCGCAAGCCAACAGGTAGGGAGTCTGTGGGTCTTCAAGGATGTTGAAGAAAGTAGCATATGCCTCCATCCGTCCTTCACCGGCCAACTCGGCGTTATCCATCCCATCGTCATCGTCGTCATCGTGATGGAGGTCCAATCGTGGCATGAGGCCTCGAAGCTTTAATGCTAGCTGGATCGATGGGTGAAGCATGAACGCGGTGCCACGGAACTTGTTTTCCATCGCTGATTGAACATCAGGGTTGAACGCATGATGAAGTAAGTAGTAGGCACGGAACTCTGCTTCGTTCGGCATCTCCTGGCCATGTTCCCGCAGATCATCGTAAAACTCGATTAAACTCTGCAGGGCTGTGCGGGAACAAAAGGCGTGAAACTTCTACATCCTGAAACCCAGCAGCCGAAGGTTGGAGTCACGTACTCTTTCCCAGCTGCTCATACTCTTGTTTGATATCGATTTTTTCGCATAGCGCCTGAGAGCACATAAGATGGTACCTTGCAATGCGCTCGAAGAGCGAAACAGCTTCGGGGCCTCGCAGGTTCTGCAAGGTTATATCCTTCCGAATCGCGCGCATTCTGTCACGGATAAATCCGTAGGTCCTTTGGAGGTCGTATTGTGGAAGCAAATCGTGGATTAGGTAGTCCAATGTTCTCTAACCAACCTCGAACGTCAGTACCAGATAAGGCATCCAACGATTCGAGGAAATGTAGCCTACATTCAAAACTGCGGGCGGGCGAACATCGCAAGGTAGTGGCTGCTCATCGTCCGCTGCAGATCGCCGATATCGCTTCACAGCCCTTGCGTGGTCCACCTTCTCCGTATCCGGTATCTGCATGAAACTTCTCAGTCGGTGAACCTCCGGCTACTCAAAACGTCGACGCGTCCCGGACCTTTTCAAACTCCATAAGCCCCTTCTGGAACTCTCGCTCGTGACGTTCATACTCGGGACACATGTCAGGACATTCGCCTACAAAGTCCCTAGCATCTTCCAAGCGGTACTTTCGAGCGGGGTCGTCCATTTTTCCCTCCGCAATGTACTTGGCCATCAGCGCTGGACGTTGTTCCTTGAGCTGGAGGAATAGAATTAGATCTCATTGAACGAAGCCTTCATAAACGTCCAATTGTGTCCACGAACTTGATAGTATCGGTTGTTTTCCGGCTGGACGTTGAAACGATCTGCGCGGCTAGCGGCGTTCGGACTGCTTTGGGGACTCGGCGCCCTTGAATCGTCGGGAAATGCCGCATTAGGTATCTCGTTGCGAGGAAAGATCCGGTAGAAGACGACCCTATCACGTACGTCTCCTGAGCTGCGGGCACGCTAAGATTTTGCCTCACGGGATTCTGGCGTGGAACAACTTTCGCTGCGAATCCTGGTGGTCGAGGGGCGGACACTCGACTGCCTTCTCGTCGAAGCATTAGAAGTTCAGGTTGGGGGTTCCGCATGTGTTCCGCGTTCGATTATCTGGAGGTTGTTTACCTGAAATGGCTGGACTTGCCGTGGCATTGCTGGCCGGAGTCGACGACCGCGGAGCGGAAGGCTGGGCGCCAAAGACTTTCGAGAAGTTCCCTCCCCTCCCTCTGGATGTGGTTGCCGGAGTGTTCCCACCACCACCTCTTGTCGCACTTCCAAGAACTGCACCCCGCCCTCGGCCTCTGGTCGGCACGCCGTCCCGAACCCATGTCATAGACCCTGGCGAAGTCCCTCGACCCCTTCCGGTCCCTCTGCCTGCTGTCGATGCCACACGCCCTGCAAAAGCACTGCTCACCGACCCCTGCCCGGCTCCGACGCTCCCGAAAGCGGAGGTGGACGGCTTGGCCGGCGCTGTAGCCGAAAGTTGGGCGAAGACTGAGTTGTTCATTGCATCTTGTGGCGAGGAGACGGGTTGTTTGAAGGACCAGGCGAAGTCTCCGCTCCAAACCGCACTACACTGAGAAGCGATCTTCAAAGATGGCGTCTGTCGAAAGTGTGTCGAGTCTACAGTACGAGGGGTTGAAAGCAGGGTTGAAAGCAGTTTGAAAGGGTTCTTTCGCGTCTTCCGCCATCTGCAAACAATCACCAACAGGGCATCCGGTCCCAGATCCGGTCCTTATCACTATGGCTTCCAGAAGAGGGGACACCGCAACCAGCTCGTCCCGCAACGTATCCCTTGCTGCCTCAGCAGACAATGCAGACGTCAGAGAGGCTGTCACAAAAGGTCTGGAAAAAGTGTAGCACAGCTGCGACAGTCCGCCCTCGCCCAGCGCTAACGGGGGTGCAAACGCATTGGTTGGAAATATATAGCAACGGCAGACCTGTCAACTTTCCTCATATCTCTCGCCAATGAGTCCTCGCTCGGCTTCTATCGCATAAATGAGCACGCTCATCGGAAGGTACCCGCCTTGGTCCGCCGTAAGGTTCGTTACACAGTGAAGCCAGTAGCTTCGACGATTCTTCCTGAGGAATGTATGTTCTCATCTTCTCCTTCATTCTCACGACATGAAGCAAGAGATAAACCAGCTAACAACGGCCGTAACTAAATCGCGCGCGTCAGTCGCTGAAGCGCAGGGGATTCTGCAGAACATGCGGAAAATCGAGTCTTTCGGAAGGTGTGACGAATATCTAGCGAGGATCGCCGCTGCACGGGGGTTTGGCGGGGTGGGGATGAGTAGGGAGGGCGGAAGTGGGAGTGGGAAGAAGGGGACGGTGAAGAAAGGGAGATGATCGATTGGATTGGGTAGAGGACGATAGCGTCGTTGGAGTCGGAGCACCTTTACAAGTAGCGTGGTTTCATCGGAGACTGGGCACCACAAGCGCTATGGAAAGGACAACCCCACCGCAGGGTGTGCCCTTTGACGACGATAAGGGACGGTTTGCGTCGCAAATCCGACCTCGGTCGCCGTGCTCTCCCCGCGGCGGCCGTTGGTGCGATCATTGCAATGCGAGATGTGTTCCGACGCTGGGTACGACAGGACGAGGTTGGCAAGGTTGCGGATCACCCGATGGACGGGGGTTCTGAGCGTGAAGCACGTGAAGACGGAGAGACATTGTGGCATTGAGACGCACCTGGCTCGAATGTCAATATGTGAAGACATGCAAATCGTTTCTCACCCAACGGATCCGCCATGAAGAAGGTCAGAAAAGCCCGGTCACCCACATAGGCCCAAAGTACAGTACATCCAGAACATTCCGCTTTGACATTCAAAAATGTTGTACAACCAACAATACACTGCACAAAAATCTTCCACTGCAAAGTGACCCCTCCTCGCGGCGGATCCGGTGTTCCTGCCTCCGAACCCCGCCTCAGGTGTGACTCCAGGGGACACACTTCCGGAGGCGGAAGGCTGAGGGAGATGGGGCCCCAAAGGAAGGGTATATAAAATCACAGGCTTTCCACGATGCATCCTAGGTTTGTTCGTCTCTCAGAGAGGCTTGGGAGTTCTATCGGAGCGCTCGCAACAAGGGTCCATCTGGGTTGAATAACCCGCCATGTCCGTAGCCAAAGTAGGCCAGACCGCCCACGGAGATGATGCCGAAGGCAACCAGTGCGAGAAACTATTCGAGAGAAGGGGGATGAGCGAGGTGTCGTGTCAAAGCCAACCACCGCACAAAGGACCAGTAACCCTGACACCAACCTGATACGACGTCGACTTCTTTCCTGGCGGAGTAGGCGGTAATGGTTTCTCGCCCACCTTTGCGTCTACCACAGACTGCTGCCGCGCATCGTTCAGGTTCTCCATCGACTGCTGCCCCAGCTTCTTAGCCCTCCTCCTCGCCGCCCGATCCCGTTTCGGCGTTGAAGCACCCGACGGCGGCGACATGACTGACGACGGTACAGCCGACGCCGCAGTCGCTATGGACTCGGTCTCATTGGCAGGACTCGTATTCGCCGAATGCTCCTTCTCCTCCAAGAGCCGTTCCTTCTCCTGCCGTAATTGCTCAGTCTCCTTTCGCAACTGCTCGGCCTCTTTAAAGAGTTTATCGAATTGCTCCTTTTGTTGTTTGAGCTGTGATTCGGATTTCTCCAGGGTCGCTCGTAGGGATGTCATGTCGGTGGTGAGCTTCTGCTTCTCTCTTGTAAGGGATTCGTAATTTGTTCGGACGTCTTCGAGCTCCTTTTGGACGGCTGTCAGTTTTGTTGATGAGCTGGAAGACGCTGTTGCGATTTTCTGTTGCTCCTCGTTCTTCTGCAATCATATGAAGGTGCCAGAATGACTAATCGATTCTCAACGCGGACATTGTAATTAAATGACGAGAAGTGAAAACAAACCTTTGTCAGCTGGGTGACTTCAGCCATAAGTTCTTCCAGCCTAGTTTTCCACCCGGCAGCTTCCTCCTGATGCCCTTTAACGGCTTCACTGTTCTCATTCGTCAGCCGTTCCACCTGTTCCAGGAGATCCTTTTCCCGCTTCTGCAACGACTCATTTTGCTCTCCACGCTGCTTCAAAGCGTCATGCTTCTCCATCCAAGACTGAATCTCGGCTCTGGCGTCCTCTAACTGGCGAGAGAGATCCGCGGAGGCGGCAGACGCGTCTGCGGAGAGCGTCACCGTGCTTCCTCCGTGCACGTTGGCCACCAAGCTGTCTAGAGATGATTTCAGCGTTTGCAGTTGTGCGTGTGTCGCATCCGCCGTTTTTAATTCTCGCTGTGTGGGGTCATCATCATTAGAGGCTGCTTTACTTTGAAACGCATGTGGTGCACATGTTGCCGCTTACATCCATCATCTCGCTCAAGCTTGGCCTAGTCGGTCCCCGGGAAGTGTGTGATCCAGCGTTTCTAAAAATGAAACAACCGAGTTCAGTACGGTTTCACCACAAACGGAACGACTTCTGCCATACGATTTGGAGGGCTCGGACACACCGAGTGACGGTGATGTCGATTGTTGCATGCCTGATGGATCCAAGTATGATACCTTGCAGGACACTTTTTGATAGATGGCTGAGTGGGAAATACATCAGGTTTGTGAGTGTCTAGGTATCAGGTTGCGAGAGCTACGCATAGAGAAACATACCCGACCCATCTTCGTTATTTATATCTATGCCAAATTCAAGGCGGGCACCCTCTACTAGTTCCACAGGCTCACTCTCCTTCCCTTCTTCGCTGAGCCGTTTTCCGTCGACGAAGGTTCCGTTGCTCGATTTTACGTCTTTGATCCACACCTAATCCCATCGTTAACGTTTGAAGTCTCGTTAGATGCCAAATTTGGTAGCACGGATGTCGACTCTGCTGCCCAGAGTATCTGGCCGACTCACCTTCCCATCCTCGAACCATATTTCCGCGTGATTCCGACTCAGGACTTTGGAGTCAAATATCCCGTTCGTTGGTTCTGGGCTGACTTTTGGACTGATCTTCCTCCCGATCTTTACCGGCTCGAACAGATCCACTGTCTTTTGTGTAAATGTATTGTTCAAGGACACCAGCACCAACCTGCAGGAAACGTTGAAAGGCCAGTGTGGTAACCGGTTAGCCTGCATAGACAAGTCGTCGGCTGCAAAAGCGGCTTCCAAGCCAGCGTCTCAGCTCCGAGTAGACCACTCTCACTCACGTTGGTGTGCTGGCCAAAGCCGAGTTTGCATAATTGAACGTTTTAAGAGCCCGTTTGGATGCTGCCCAGATTCAAAGCGCGGTAAGTACAATCTCAAGGCGGGCAGGCTGCACGTTATCGACTATGCAACGCACCTCGCTGTTTGGCGCTCATGCCACTCCCGGCATAGCTTCCCGCGCCTCCTCCACCTCCGTTCCCGACATGCTGGGCTAGCTCTGCGCCAGCATTCCGCCCGGCGGTGCCGTTCGTGGTTGAGTTGAGCGTGTCCAGAGAACCGCGTGATTTGCTGTGTATTGACATTTGCTCCAAAACGTAGTTGCTTGTCCTTTGCAATACCAGTACAGACCGTGAATACCGACGTTGCTATGTCTCTGTGACTTCTGGGTTGGTTCTTCCGGGTTGCTTGGGGGATCTCGTAGTCGGTAAAATCGTAAAGCGTCCAAGAGCAGTTCTGCGCAGAAGTCAAAGCGACCGCAACTCGCTTTGTTTGACAGCGGTACGCGTTTTTGAAGGCTGACGCGCAGGGCCCAAATGTGCGGGCGAACAGACAGGACACATAGGAGTCTGCATAGGAGTTCTTCGAACAGGCCGTTGATGCCTGGTCCGGCTTTTTCTGATTGCCCCATGACTCAGAAGGTACTCCTGGTAAGAGTGTGGTAAGAGTGAAGGAGCGTGGGGCAAACCCGTACTCTATCTGCTGGCTGTGAGGGCGTCTCGGTCAAATTGGGGAAGGCTTGATGCGCCTGGATGTGATTTCAGAACTCGTTTGGCACTTTGATTTTGCGGACACCCTGGCTATCCAAAAGGCGACGGAAAGCATGCAACAGCAGTGAAGTTGAGGCCCTGCCGTTCCATCTGATGCATAGACCAGAAGCAGTTGAAGTCCATTCGTTGAGACATTAGCGTATGATCAGAGCCTGATGGCCTCCGGTTAGCTGGTAGGATAGCAATATGGGAATCAAAACGAGACGACTCCCGCAGAATAGGCAAACGGACTATCGAGCATGAGTGAATGTCCACTCGCAGTTTGGCATAGCAAATGCACATCACACCGTCCGAAGGTATGGAAGGGCGGATGTCACTGGATGACACCGATGCCATGTCCGAATCGGGAATGCGAGCGCGATGTTTAGACCAGTTGGCGACACGAACAGGCAAATCTCTAACGAAAGAGATTAGCGATGCGAACATTATGGACCGTGAGTGGAATCGTGAAACGGCAATCAAATTTTCTTGTGACGATCATTACGCGGCCTAATCAAATTGTTTGCCCCCTCCCCACGCGGTTGCACATTCCCTACATGTGCTTCTGGGCCGCTGTCCCTCCACACTTTCAAACCGCCAAATACCCCCAACTGCCAACCGCACATCTTGCTCCTATATCGTACTGTACTTTTGGGACCCTGCACACAGTAACGTTCTGTATTGTACTCAGCGCACGGTTCTAGAGCACAGCGTAGCCGGTGTGGTCGATACGGGACATATAGCGTCGGCAAAGCGGTGTTCAAAGTACAGTGCAACGTCACAAGTTTTCCCTGCCATTGCAAAGATGGCACCTCCAGAGGACCTTATGACGCAAGTGCAGCCGCCTACGGCTTCTTCAGGTTCAGCTACCGGTGCCGACAACGCTGCATTGGGGAGTATCATCACCTCAGTCCAACCTTCCAGCGCCAACAGTGAGTTTTCAAAGGCCTTTTCTGTTGCACGATCATAAACTCGCTAAACATCCACCCCACCTTTGCAGGCACTACGTCCGCAGGGAACGCCACACAGCCCAAAACCACACAGCCGGAGGCAATCTCCCCTCCAAATACTACCGCTTTCCCTTCTTCAACTACCTCATCAGCAACCGCTCGCGCATCTACAACGACACCCTCGGAGGCATCCGCTTCCTGGTTCTCCTCTCTATTTTCCTGCTGCGGCTCGTCAGCTGCGCATAGCGAGATTGATGTACAAAAGGATCGTCAGGCAAAGGACGCGGCTGCTGATAAAGCTGCGCGGGAGGAGGCAGAGAAGAAGTCGGCGGCCGCGCGACCTGCTAGTTCTCCGGCCAGGCAGGGCCCGCGGAGACCAGAAGTGAGTTGTTGTTTGCAATGCGGCGGAATGTGAAATCTCACCTGAGGAGGGGTAGACACGCGGCGCTATGCGCTCGTCTGGGAAGCTGTGGTGCATGCGTTTCAACGATTATTACGTATATTCATCTGTCTCTTTTCTGGATGAAAGTACACAGGAAAGCCACTTCTGGCCCCACTTGCACCAGAAGACGTCGGCCGGAAATGCCTGGTGCTAGATCTGGATGAGACTCTAGTTCACAGTTCCTTCAAGGTATTACTAAGTTGGCGCCATCGGATTGACGACTCGGCTAATTGTTTCTTCCTTGCAGGCTGTGGCGCAGGCGGATTTCGTTATTCCTGTAGAGATTGATGGCCAATACCATAGTGTATACGTGCTGAAGCGACCTGGAGTCGATGCATTCATGAAAAGGCTAGGAACTCAATTTGAGGTGGTAGTTTTCACCGCAAGTTTATCAAAGGTTTGTTTCGTGATTCTTCAGCATGCCAGCTTGGTGATAATGATGTCTATCCCGTTTACTCACCGGCTTTCAATCTCGACTGTACAGTATGCTGACCCCGTTCTCGACATGTTGGACAAGCACAAAGTTGTGAAACACCGGTTATTCCGTGAAGCTTGCATACATCACAGGGGAAATTACGTCAAGGTATGTATCGAAGGACAAACCTGCATCCATCGCATTACCTCCCATCAATCCAATCCATCTGACGATTCTTTCCCACTGCAGGATTTGAGCATGCTTGGCCGTGATCTAAAGGATGTCATTATCCTCGACAATTCCCCAGCCTCGTACATTTTCCACCCCACCAACGCTGTTCCCGTCTCCAGTTGGTTCAACGACCCCAACGATTCGGAACTTCTCGAACTTATCCCGTTCCTCGAAGATCTCAAACAGATCGACGATGTGACTGTTGTACTGGACGCAGCAATGGAGGAGAAACTCGCTGCTGACGAGCGGCCGGCACCAGACTCCGCCGATGCAGCAGGGGAAGCCAGGCGGTTGTCGGTATCGAAAACTGTCGGCAGCCCGCCGATGCAGAAGGATGCCGCCTGAAAACCCCTTGCCGCAACATCCACACGCAATTCGGGATCCGGGGCGAATATACCACAAAACGGCGAAAAAGGCTGTTCCTTTTTGTTGTAGAACTACCCATCTCCGCCTTCCTCCCCGACCTTCCATCGACCTCCTATCGACATTCGTCCACTACCCATTTCCGCCTTCCTCCCCGACCTTCCATCGACCTCCTATCAACATTCGTCCGCTTCTACATACCGCGCCCTGCCTGCGAGAAACCACACCCACCCACAACGAAAATGAACTTTGTCGGCACGCGTATCAAGTTCTCTAGGAAGGAGCCGGATATTTTATTGGGTATCTCTGGTTTTGACCGAAAAAGTCTCGCGGGCCACCACTTGCTGGTCGTTCGTACGGGTTTGTTACTCCACCCTTGCTCTGTGTCGTCTATCTACGTGTCTGTTTTGCTATATACTAGCCGCACATTTTGGTTGTTTTGTTGGGCTGGCCCCCCTCCCCTCTCTTTTTTACCCTTCCCCCCTTTTTTGCATACAATTGGTCGCAAATCGGGATGATGTGATGTGTAGGGTATAGTTGAGGAGTAAAACGAAAATACAGTGCTGACTTATCTTTTTGGATGCTCGGGCGGCGACATAGGTTCTTGTTTCGTGGGCCATGGTTTTGCGCAGATTTCGCATGGATGGTGGATGTCTGCTTACTACTTGTCTGTCTAGAATGCGGTAATATCAAAGCAGGTGCTCAACACCTGCCCTCTAAGTCTAGAACTAATCTACTGCACCGAGCAGGACGGCCTCGACTGCTACGTCCGCTACCAATGGTCTAACTCCACATCCGCGGGTTGTTGATATTTAGCTTCTCCGAATAGACGCTTCTCGATTATCAGGGTCCAGTAAGGCAATCGCTCCAGAGAACAAAAAATTCGTTCGTTAGCAAATTTTTCATTGACCGCCTTCACCAACGGCAGTAACTCTTCCGCCGCCGCTTCATTCTCCTCGTCGTCTTGGCTGAATGGGGTGGTCCACAGTTTGAACTGGAGTTGCGTATTCTCTCGGAAAAGCGAATCCTTCGGCGCCGGCAATACCGCTTGCAGAAGATCGAAAATGAGAGAAGGGGGGCAACCGTATCCAGACCGCCGGTCTATGTAGATCGTGACTAGACGATTGTCTACGGTACTTGGAAGCCTAAGAAGACTCCAAAGCTGGCTCACTTTCATGTCGGGCCAGAAATTGAGGGTGATGTTCGATAGCTTGGGAAGCTCACTTATTATCGAAGCGGCGGCATCGCTCAATGCAAAGGTGGATGGAGGCGAACCACGGGCATAATGTATGGTTAACTTTCTCAGGTCCGGATTGTGATCCCGTAGGGTCGGCCAGAGATCGTCGAATATTTCTAGGTATGGGCCGTCCTTCAAAATGAGAGTCGCAACGATCACGTAGTATCAAATGCTTACCGTTCGCAAGGTCAAACCTGGCTTGAGATATGCTGAGCTCCAACAGATTGGGGCAAGCCATCAGGCCCCCCAACAGGCCATCTCTGGTGAGTTTTCTACCTTCCTGTCCACGCAACGCCATGAACGTGAGGGATTTCATCTTAGGCTTCGGGGTCCGGGCAAAGGCCAACATCCGCTCAGCAAAGTCATTTCCTCCCGTAACAGGAAGGATAAGCTTCGACCAATCCCACTCCTCCTCCCATTGACCGATCCAATCCACCAACGTGTTAAATGCGTCGGCAGACAGGTTCCATTCTGGATGTGAATAGTACCGCCCGAAACCTCCCATGGAGCTGCAGACAACTCAGTCAAAATTCTGAGATACCAGTCCTCCGTCTTTGCAGGTGATGATTAACTTAACCGCGGACAATATTACATGATCGATGTCAGGAGATCATCATCTACGACCAAATCCGAGTCTAACTCCAATTGACGCACGCCTCCGAAACCTGCCGAATGCCAGCGACTCAAAGCTGTCTTGAGCACACCTGGATCCAGTTGAGGCGAAGGAAATAATTCGTCCTGAGACTGCGTTATGTGATGTACCGCAGGGCAGTGCTTTGACGCCGCCTCGAAGAAGGCGTTGGGTGGTGTTTTCGAAAATATCAGACGACGAACGTTGGGAACCATGGAGAGCAGCTGTTCCACATGAGAACTGCCCGTTGTCAGCTGCAAGTTTTCCACTTTGTCCAGTGTTATTGGACCTTGTGGAAAGAAAAAGGGCTCATCTTGCCCATCATTCCAAAAGGCAGCGTAATGAAAACGAGTCCACTTTGCATTTTCGACGAGGTCCCTGACCGTTCCGTGCCAATTCCGGCAGACGCGAGATAAAACGTAACAAGCAGGCAGCTCGCGAAAGGTCGTCTTAGTCCGCCGGTTAAAGTCTTTCTCGCACAGCTTACGCGACATGCGGGCAATCTCTTCGCGAACGATGAGAGTGAATATCTGCGTCCAGATTTCGGGGGGAAGATGCCAACCGACGGTGGGCCTTTCTCTTTCTGTGAGCTTCATTATGTCGAGGTTTGGGTGTTGGTCAAAACGAGGTGATCTGGGGGCGCCTTTGGACAGATGGAGCAGGTACCTAGGCAGGGGGCAGGGGTCGGGAGTGGGTCGGGAGGAGAGAATAAAAGGATCAGAACAATCATGTGACATCCACAGAGTTAATTTCGCTCTCCATTTCTATGCCGCCCTCACAAGTTCCCACTCCATTTTGCGATGCATCTCGGTCCTTTCATCGCTAGCCAACCAAACACTACAGTATAATCCGCTTTCGTCCTACCGCCTTAATACGCCCTATCAATAGTCGGTGTCCGTGTCCGCGTAGGGGACGGGCTTTCTTTGTTGGGAGAAAACGAATGCGTGGTTCGAGGTCTTTGTACACTACAGTATGTTTTGTACTTCTCCGGCTCACCTTTGCCTGGTAGGACACCGTGCTCACCCATAGAGTTGGCCCAGATCTACTAAAGAATCGGGAATCGGGAATCGTCAAAGGTCAGTGTTCGCGCACTGCCTTTACCGTAGCGTGAATCGGCGGCGTGGGCCTGTGTCCATACGAGGCTGGAGCGGTCGGAAGCGGGGTGGACGCCCGACTGAAGCCTGTGGCTTTTTGATTAGTTTAGATCAGCATCTTACTCTCTTTGAGAATTCCAGCCGCACCCATGCCACAAACTACATCACGTCGTTCTGCGACAACACCCCCCATATCGACCTCGAAACACAAAGCAGCATCGCCTGCATTGGATAATGATATGGACGATGCAGATCTCACAACGGCGGTTGTAGGGAGTCCCCCAGTTGGAGGCGTTAGTCCGCCGGTCGTGGAAAACGCGCTTGCTGCCTCCGATGGAGATGATGGCGCGAATGAGGAAGAGCTCGGCGTCGGACGGGGTATCGGACAACCTATGGATGGCATGGAGAGTTCGGAAGAGGATTTGGGTGCCCTTGGGAGTGGCTTCGGTGGATCGAACGAAAGGACGATACCCGCCCGCGGATCTGATGTCGGCACGAGCGTGACAACGGGTACGCTGGGCACTGGGAGTGGAAGCACAGAAGGCCCGATCACGAGACGGCGGCAGTCGCTCGAAACCGCAACCATTGATAAAGTCGTACCGTCGGTCACCAAAGTTGCCCAGGCCAACCTGGCTGAGATCGCTATGGAGACCCCAGATGATATCTTGTTGATCGGATCCAGTAGTGCTGCCGCGCCGATCAATGTGGAGGCCTCGAACTCCCAACCTAGCGGTGGGAGCGATAGCGATACTAGTCCGATTGCGTTAGATCCAGAAGCTGCCCGCGCGCGCTCAGAAGCACGTGGAAAGGGGCGCGCCTTCTCACAGTCCCCACCCACCAACACCCCCGCATGGGATCCGACGTACACCAGGGAAACCGCCTCCACTGACGAACGTCCGGGGCTGAGTCGTGGCGGGTCTAGTTCATCCCTCACTGGGATGTCGGAGGATGTTGATGGTACCTACGCGCAGCTGCTCGCCATGGGCTTTGAGCCGAAAGTGTGCGAAATAGCACTGAGGAAGTGTATCAAACAAAGGAAACAAAATGAGGAAAAACGAATCCAGGAAAGCGAAGCACAGGGACAGACCGGTGGCTCCTCGCCCAAGGTTGGGAAGAAACCAGAGATTCCGCCACCTGTTCCACCATTGTTGGATGTCGTAGTTGCATATATAGTAGAACGAACTGGCGATGGAGATGGTATCCGGGGTGTCGAACTCGGTGCGTCGTCGCCCTCAGCTGGGCGCAGGCAAAGCTCTGAACCCGAAGTTCTTCATGAGCCCGGAGCGGTTCGGGCGCCCACCAAAAGCATCTTGAAAAACAGTAATCCCTCGCTAGCAAGCAATCCGGCAGCCAGCGCGGCGAATCAGATGAACTTCGGCAGTCTTGGTGGCGTGACTTCGGGTTTCTTCTCGAACTTTGCGCAGAACATGGCGGCGCTAGATCATAGACACGCCGCGACCAACACGGCCAACGCGAAGGAGGGTAGCGCGGGAAATAGTAATCCGGCTGGTGGATCGCTCTTCCCTCGCGGGCTGACGCAGATGGGCAAGCAGGCTCTGACGTCCTTTCAGGGCAAAGTGAAACCTCTGTTGAAACAGATCTCGAGCGATTTGACGGATTCAAGTGACGACGAACCTCATAATGGAACCAAGGATACCCGACCGACGCCAGCACCCCCGATCCAGAAGTCTGCGTTCGTTATCGGCGGCTCCAGCGATTCGTTGCAATCCAATGCGTCACGGCAAACGGACGAGACACCACTCTTCACGAGGCGACCCCTATCTTCTGCCTCAAATTCCAGTGCCCCTCCCCAATCCCCATCCCGCGCTACACCACAGCCATCCCCTCAGCGCCCTCTGTCGGCGCACAACCCAACACAAGAAAAGCATGTGCGGTTCTCCTTCCCAGATCTCCGCTCTCACGTGCTTGCCGCACAAGCCAGTGCACTAGCGGACGGTGAGGTCTCCCCCGCACCGTCTAGCCCGATGTCCGTATCCTCTCAAAACTCCCTTCCCCCGATGTCACCTTCCGCGTGGGAGGGTTGGGATTCACCATTAGATGATGGTGCTAATCCGCAGCACCAGCTGTGGTCCCCAGCGACGAGGATGTCAGAGTCGAGTGACTACTTCCAGAATGAGTACTCAAATACGACCGTGGGTGCGGGCGCGGCGTCCGCGTCGCCGATAGTACGACCTGCACCCTCAGCTTCACATGTCACAACACCCGATGCACTGTTGACGTTCTACCAGACCCGCTGTCTGCTTCGGAATGAAGTCATGGTAGAGTCGATAGCAAGCCAGATTAGGAAGTCTGTGCTTCCCAATGAGACGGCAAGTCTGACGGCTGTAACATTCGAGGGGCAGCATGGGGGAGACAACGAGGATGGCGACGGCACGCGGTTAAGCAGCTTATCCTTTGATGGCATTGTTGTGGGACCGAGGAACGTGGCGAGTTTATCGGACTTGCTGTCGACCAAATATCCTCTCCGCAAGCTGAGTCTCAGCCATGTTACCTTGGATGATGAGGTGATATGACGTCTTCGTTGCGCTTTGTTCTCGGAGATTTTCACTAACTCACTCCGCATATAGACCCTGAAGCCGCTCCTTTCGGCATTACTGGCACATGATACTGTTCGCGAGCTATCATTAGCGCATGCCAAAAAGGTCCGAGGCCCTTCGCTGAAGCACTTGGCTGTATACGTGAAGAAGGTTTGTCAATCAACAACGAGCGCTTGTGTTCACGTTGATGTTGTGGTATTGATCTTGTATGTCCAGGCGACCTCCCTCCGCACACTGGACGTAACGGGCCTCCCGTTTGATCAACGGAGCGTCTCATTCCTTGCGCACGCGCTGAAAGAAGGAGCTGCACTGGAGACGATGAGGATGGATCAGTGTGACATGTCGCCATCTCTACTCTCCATTTTCGGTACGTCATACTCTTGCCAAACCCCCTCACGCCAATCTTCAGCGATGCTGACATTCATTTAACGTCACCTCCCAAAGCCTCAGGGATAGCAGATTCCCGGCTCACATCGCTTTCCTTGCGCGGCAACGCGAAACTATTCCGTGACTCGGGATCCGCGCTTTCCCTCCTACTGGGGCCTGGCAGCTCGTCAGGGGCGAATGGGGTCCCATTATCCGTTATCACAACATCGACGTACATTGTTCGAGGGCTTAGGGTGCTGGATTTGGGTGATAATGCCATTGGGGTATGTTGTCCGTTTTCCTCGAATTCCTTAGAGACCCGGGAAGGCGGCTACTGAGTTGTTCCGTTATCCTTCGCGGTATTAGCGGTCGTTCACAGCGTTTCCAAGAGCGCTGAAGCACAACCAGAGACTGGAAGAGTTGTACTTGAGCAATAGCAGAGCACTTGATTCGGATAGCATAGCAGAGCTGGCTGATGCACTGGTATGTTGGCCGTAGAGTCATGAGTATGACCTATATCGGCTTCAGTCGCGTAATCAACTTCTCTCCCTTAGAAAACGAACAACGCCCTCCGCGTTCTCGATCTCAGCGGAGCGTCGCTGGACAAGAACAATCAGCTCGAAGCGGTATGTTTTGTTCCCAATTCGCGGAAGTATCTACAACTTTCGACAATATACTGAAGAGATTTCCTAGGTCACTGCTTTGAAAGATGCGTTAACGCATAACAAGTCGTTGGAGACCCTCAATCTGGCGAATACCGAGCTTACATCAGAAGGTACGCGTCCTCCGGAATCGCATTGGCCAAAGCGACGCCCCTAATGATTTCGACTTACGTCTCCATAGGCGCCATAGCACTTGCCGAGTCTCTTCCTCTAACCCGAAGCCTCCGCCGGCTCGATTTGACGCATAACCCACTGGAACTGGCGGGCGTGATGGCTATCTCGGTGTCCATGAAGATGAACAAAGGAATTGTGGCGTTGGATGTTGCGCCGGTGCTAAAGAAGTATGTTGTGCCTGGAATGGATCGTTACGACGTAAGTTTGCCAATGAACGCCATCATAAACTTTCGCTTCGGCCTGCCAATTTTATGACGTTGATACAACCCCTTCAATCAACGATAGGACGACCCAGACCTAGCACACTTCCTTAACGACATCGATATGTACTGCCACCGCAACCTTGAGATCCGGACCGCCGAGCCATTGACGCCAACAGCGCTCCACAGCGCCTCGCCCATCTCCCCACCACCGCGGGCTGCCCTGGCTTCTGGGGAAATCGACACGGAGCGCTTGGCGAATGATATGATCACGGCTGCGGATGTTGCGACGGTGTTGTTGGAGATGATTGCCGCTGGGGGCGATGCCGAGGTTTTGCAGGTATGATCCTCATTTCCCTGGGAGTCGAGTTTGCGAAGGTTGTGAACTGATCTTCAACACTATTTTGCAGCAATTGTATGACCAAACAAAGAGTTTCCAAGGCGTCCTGGAGAACCTCGTCAGTCAGACGACCGCGAAGCTAAACGAGGACGTCATGAGTGCGTATGGTGTATTCAGAAGAACGTTGTGTCAATGGTGCTCAACTTTAACCCATTCCGTCCTTTTTCGCCAATAGTGAGAATACTCTCCACAAACGATGTTCTCCTCGCCGCCATCGACGCCTACACCCAACACCTCACCACCCCACCACCGTCCTCCCGCCCCTCCCGCGGCGCCACTCCATCCCCCGCACGCCCGAAATCCACCGTAGAAGCCAGCTCCCAACCCTCTTCTTCGTCATCACGGCCCTCTACATGGCATGGTGGTGCCCAACTGCCAATACAGCCACCGTCGGAGTCCAGTCTCAAGCATAAACGTGACCTCAGTCTGTCGAATTTGTCGGATCTGGACCTGCTGGAATCGATTGGGGATGATATGGGACATGTAGGCAAAGGGGATGGCCTGCATGTTCGCCCGCAGCCGAGTTCGAGGATGAATTCGGAATTGGATGATCAGGTGGGTGTCGGGACAAACTCGTGTGTGTTTTGTATCTTGTTTTTCGGATGGCTGCACTGCCCCGGGCCCGGGAGCATCACTCTACGGAAACGGTACCAATACTCATCACACTCTTGATTGGGTTCTCAGATGAAAGAGATCGACGCATTTTTGGAAGACCAAGTATGAAAGCCGCCTTCCATCCCTTTTTTTGGCTGAACCCATCATCGCAAAAGACCGACGCCCATCCGCGACGGACACAATAATCCCATCCACCGCCCGTTTTTTTGGTGACTATTGTATAGCTTGACTTTTAGGCCCCTTTTTTTGCCGGCCATCGTGTACATTCCAGTTCTCAATGTGATATTATCATATGTAAATTTTCTCATATTCTGAGTGCGTCTGGAGAAGTGAGTTCGTGGGTCAAGGAAAACGTTCGAAAAACGTATAAGCAGGTGAATTTGAAGTAACGGTGGAATGACCGCACGTTCGTCGAGGTCGTGAATTGATTGACGGCCGGAAGGGATCGGATCGCGCCGCATTTGACCGCGGAGACCGTCTGAGCGGAGATCCCGTCCATCGAGGCTCTCCAGAGTCTCAACCTCCCAGCAACCCGAGGGCGCTTTTTTTCAATGTGGCATCCCTCGCACTCCTCGCTCTTAGAAACATAGGGACGAATCACACTCGCCGTCGCCGCCAGAGACACGCTACGATCCCATCACCCCGTCGGCCTCCGCTCGGCACTTCCAAACCCCCCTGTCGTCCACACACCACCAAAACCCCCCACCACAACAATGTCCTCGGGCCCCCTCCTCTCCCAACAACTGCCCCTCCTCCTCGCCCAACTCTTCCACCTCCCCAAACTCGCCATCCACGGCCACATCATCCTCCTCTCCGCCTTCGTCTGCCACACAATCTACCGTCTCTCCAACACCCTCTCCCTCCGCCTCCCCGGGCCGGCGCGCGCCCACTACGCCCGCCTCACACCCGCGAAGAAGGCCGACTGGTGCATCCATGTCGTCTCACTCCTCCACTCGGTCATCATCTGCTGGCTTGCCGGGCGGCAGGTGCTGGCCCCGTGGATCGACCCGAGCGGGCCGGAGGCGCTGGTGAGGGCGAGGCTGGCGGGGGACAAGATCGGGGCGTATGACGCCGAGGCCGGGTTTGTGCACGCCATCGCGTGCGGGTACTTTCTGTGGGACTCGATCGTGTCGGTGTATTATGTGAAGCAGTTTGGCGTGGGGTTTGCGGTGCATGGCATTGCTTGCTTGTGCATCTTTGCTATGTCTTTTGTAAGTTCCTCCCACCCCCCTCCGTGTCCGCCACTTTCGAATAGTACGAAGGATGGGCACCGAACCTATGCTCAAACATCATATCGCTCTCTCGTCCCCCCCCCCCCCGCCCCCGCCAGAAACCCTTCCTGAACTACTACGGCACGCCCTTCCTCCTCTTCGAGCTCTCAACACCCTTCCTCAACATCCACTGGTTCTGCGACAAAACCGGCCGCTCCGGCTCCCGCCTGCAACTCATCAACGGCGTGGTCCTCGTCCTCGTCTTCTTCTCCGCACGGATCTGCTACGGGTTCTACAACTCGTACGATTTCTTCGTCATGATGCATCGCAACAAGAGCGAGATCTCGAATGTGTTTCTGTGGGTGTATGCCGTCGGGAATGTGCTGCTGAACGGGCTGAATGTGTTGTGGTTCTTCAAGATGGTCACGGCGATAAAGGCGAGGTTCAATGTGGCCAAGAAGGGGGACGGCGGGGAGATGTCGCGGGCGAGTGGCGGTGGAAGCCGGAAATCCAAGAAGAGCTCGTAATGGGGAGACGAATGGGGGGAGTATCGAGGGGTTGGAACTTTGCTTTTAGAGGGGGTCATACACATATGTCTTTCCGGCCCGGTAGGATTCGGATTTTTCGCTGTAAATATTTCGAAAATGCAAAACCGAGGATCTCGAGTAAAGTGAAGCGCTACCGAATTTCGCTACGAGACAGATACTGAATGTATTCAAACGTGATAGTTTCCAAAAGATGTTCAGTGCGGGTTCGACTTCCTAACACACAGGAAATCTACCTCCTTCTTTCATCCCGCTTCTTCCTCCTTCGATCCTCCTCCTTATCCGCCGCCTTCTTCTGCAAAAGCACAAGCAACCGCACGAAGATGGCTACAAAGTCCACATAAAGCTGCATCGAATCCTCCAAATAATCCAACTTCCCCGCCGCGCGCGCGGCAACCTCGGCATTCTGCACCATGACCTGCGTGTCAAACACCACAAACCCGGCAAACACCAACAGGCCCAAATACAGTTCCAACGAGAACAGGCGGGAAGAGCCCGCGAAGAGGTTGAAGATGGACAGGAAGAAGAGGAGCGAGGTGCCGGTTGCGATGAGCCCGCGGGTGTAGATTGCGCTGCGGGACGGGGAGGTGAGCACGCTGAGGGTGAAGGAGGCGAAGATGAGGGCGGTGCCGAGGAGGGATTTGGGGATGATGGAGGGGTCGAAGTAGAGGGCGGAGGAGATGAGGGGCCCGATGGAGAGGCCTTTTAGGAAGGCGAACCCGTACAGAAGCGCTTTTCGGGTGGTGTCGTTTCGACCGCTCGCGGCTTTGTAGTAGTTGAACGCCACTGATAAAACAAATCAGGAAGTGAGAATGTCAGTAACCGGTCAACCCATCAACCCATCAACCCATCATCAACCATCAAGATGGAGCAGATGGTTTAACGACACCCTGCTCGCTCCGCTCGTGACCAGAAGGTTGGGCTGGTGTCTGATCCGCAATGCCTCCGGCCCAGTACGTTCGGCCTCGCTTCGCTCGGCCTCGCCGCCCTCAACCATTCCTTCTCCTCGCCACGCCCCGATACTCACACAAACATCCCAACCCTGCAAACGCACTCCAAATCCCCCCCGTCACGACCCCCGTGACATCCGCATAAGCACCGATCGCGGACACTGCAAGCATCGCCGCCAGGTTCGAGTACACGTTCCTCAGGTGTCTGTGTACGGCGGGGGTTAGCGGCGCGCTGAGGTTATCCCAGCGCAGGGTGGAGGCGGTTTCCCAGAAGGATGATGGGCGGCCGGTGGAGGGGGTGAAGTAGGAGGACATTTTGGGGGTGTTTTCTGAGTGCTGCCGGGGGGGAGGGGCTCGTTGGGTTCCGTGTATTTTGCTATATGTACTGTGTATGTAAGTGCCGTGTCTGTGGTTGTCGTTCGTCGTTCGTCGTGGTCGTGCGAAATGGGCTTTCGGCTGGACGGTTGTCGTTTGATAATAGAGGCGTGGACGCGGGCGCTCCCAGTTGTGACGTGGGCCGCCAACAGTTATAGTGGTCACGCGTTTGTCCTTCTATTTATATTCGTTCTCGCGCATTCGCCCGCTTGCGAGAACCTCCCTTCCTCAACTGTCCTTCGAATCCCTTCCTCAAATGGGGGGCCCCATTATATAACCTTCAGATGCATTTCCAACTGACATATAACACAACTAACATTACGTTCATTATTTATCCATTTACCCCCCATTACAACCTACTATACAACCCCTCCTTCCCTTCAATAAAGTCATCATAAATACCCCACCCTCCTCAACCAAAAAAAAAGCTTAAAATTACACCGTCTAAATACGCTCCCTTCGTTTCCCAAAAGTAAGGTTGAATAAAATAAACCCAAAACACCCCGCCTGCCTGCCGGTTCTCTCGTAGCCAAAATCAAACGAAGAAGCTCATAGAAAGCTCGTGTGAGCGGACCCGAAATGTTATTTGAGAGGTTCATGAGGTCGAACTATTCCGCGTGGTTGTTTTGAGGGATGGATGGTGTTATACACCACCGGCAACGGCAAGTCCATCCCCACGCCCCGTCGGCGACGTCGGTGTCGTCGACGCGGAGGGCGCGATGACGTTGATTGTCGGTGGCTGCGGTGTTGTTTTTGCAGCAACGGGCCCATGGCCGACGGTCGGATCGGTCCCACCGGCCCTCAAAAGCGGCAGCAGCGTCTCCAGAATCCCGTTCTGTTCCGCCAATCGATGTGCAATCTCCACCGGTACCCTAGTACACAAAAAACACCCCCCATTAGCAAAAAATCCCCACCCCAAATAAGAAAATATGGATCTGTTTTTTCACTCACCACGTCCCCTGGTACTTCCCATACCCCCCCTGCACCTTCTCATGCGGCCCATTATGCAGATCACGCTCCAGGACACGTAGGCGAGTGGCGCGCGCGACCCCGGCGGCTTTGAGGATGTGGGTTGCGTTGACCCAGCCGTCGGACTGGCGGCGCATGACCTGCGTCGTCGTTCGGGTTGTTGTGGTGGTTTGCGGTACCTGAGGGGGGGATGTGGAGGGTGGGGTTGGGGTGTCGGTGGTGGTATCGTTGGCCGAGGCGGGCATGGGGAGCGCAACGGGGACGCTGACGACCCTCGTACACGCCATCTGATACACCGGCACGCCGTTCCAACTCGCGATCGTCAGCCCCGGCGCGGAGGGGAAACACGGGTCGCGCAGCGGGATCGACCCGGAGAACGGGATGGCGAGGTCGGTGGCGGGGGTCGAGCGCGAATAGCGTCGTTTGGGCTTCTTGGCTGCCGCCGTGGGTGCGTCGATGAGCGGTTGGTGGGGGAATGTGTATTCCGCGGCGGGTGCGATGATGTCTTCACTTTTCAGAGTCGCGGCTGCGCCTCGCTGGTCCTTAACCACATCGCCATACATCTTCCCCCCCCTCCCGCCCACATCCCTCTCCATCCCGGTCGTCGTCGCAGCAAGACTATGCCGCCGTCGGGCCCCCTGCTGCTGCTGCTGCTGGAGAGTCCAAGCCTTCTGCGCATTGATCTGTGCGGATACATCCACCAACATGGCGACCAACCGCTCATTCTCCGTTCTCAGCCCTTCGTTCAGGTGCTCGAGGTGTGCAATGTGTGCTGACTGGACGCGGTGCGCGGCGTGGAGGTGGGCGAGGTGGAATTGGGCGTGGTGGTGCTGTTGTTGGTGGTCTTGGAGATGTTGCTGATGTTGTTGTTTTTTGTGCCGGTGCGACGAGGCGAGGGAGGTGGGGAACGGGTGCGTGGGTTGGAGAGTCGAGGGGTGGCTGAGTGGGTACGCAGCCGCTGCAGCCGACGTGCGCGTGAAACTCTCCGAATCGCCGGCCATGTCGTCTTGTAAATCCATCATAGTCTCATGCGTCGCGACAGACCCATTCGAACCCCGTCGGCGTTTTCGAGTCTGCGACGGGTACGCAAACGCCGGCGCGGCAGCATCATACGGCTGCTGGTGAAGCCACCCACCCGCCTCCTCATCCTCCCCCATCGACGCATTCCCACACGACATCCCCTCCGTACTCTCCCTCGACCGATTCATCTTGGCGCTAAACACCAACTGCGGCGACACATACTGCGAGTGGTGCGTGTTGGGTGTTGTCGAGCCGCTCCATGCCGGGTCCATCTGCGCGGATTCAACTACATCCGCGGTGGTGGTGAGGAGGGGCGAGGTGCGCGTGGATGTGTCGGGGGTGGTGTGGGTGGACACCCTGTGCGCGTATTCGAGGTCTTTGGGGTGGTGGGAGGGGTAGGTGTGGGGTTGCTGTTGCGAGAAGGATGGGAGGAATGTGCGTGAATGTTAGATTGGTAGTTGGGCGAATCGATCAATCAACCGCCTCTGAACCATCCACATCCACATCGACATTCATCAACCATCAACCATCCATGAACAAACAGGGATGTTGGCCTACGTGGGTAAGGGGAGTATTGACCCCTTTGGCGCAATCTGGTGCTCGCTTTGCTCGCAAAAGCCCTGACGCTGGCTGAGGCTCGCTAGGAACCGCAGGGGAGGGGATCCCAGCGCTCTCGGCGCAATGTTGGGTCGCCTCAGACTACCACCACTCGCTCCGCCTGCACCCACATACCTGTTGTCGCACTCCCCCGAGAGTATTCTCAATAGCGTAATGTTTAGGAATGTTGACCTCAAAATACCGTCCATCACTCGTCATTGCCACAGCCTGCGTCGGCGCATCGTCTGAATCGTCGGTTTGCTGAAGATGGTTGTCATGGGACAACACGGTGCTTGGCTGTTTGCAGTCCGCATCAAAGACACGATGCGTGGGCTGGTGGTGGGTGGAGGCCATATGCCCGTGGAGTAGCTGCGATTGCGACTGCGGGCGGAGGACGCCCATCTTGCGGTCGGAGGAGGAGACGTCCACGTCGTCGTCGTAATGGGCGGGAAAGTTCGGGTGCGAGGGCGAATGGCGATGTGGGTGGGACGCGTGGGCCATGGCTGTAGCTGCTGCGATGGGAAAACGATATGCGAGCGTCCTTGCAGTAACGACGAGTGTGCGAGATCCGTCGGTGTGGTCCCCCGCCTGATGTGTGAGAGTGTTCCGAGATGGCCCAAAACTTTCAACAACCCTCACCGGACGCAACGCAACACCCAAGCTCGCTTTCTTTGTGGGTTTTCGTCACAAGCCCTGTCTGTATTCTGCTCATAAGTAAGTGGAAAGCGGGGGTGGGTTGCGATGATTCTCCTGCATGCATTTAGGCCTGGCGGACGATGGGAAGCGGAAGGAAGAGCGGGAAGCCAGAAAGGGGTCATTATAAGGGGGGGACTGCGCAGGCCACTTTGCAACTCCGCCAATGGAAGGAGACACATTGGGACGCGTCTTTTGATTGATTGCGAGGAGGGTGACTACGTAGTTAAAATTCTCACGCGTCATAGTCTTTCGACAATAAGCTTTGGGATATCAGAATCAAAACGACGGGATTCCCGTGTGGCTTGCGTGGACTTGGAGCCTGCGCCACACTAGCAGCAATGGCCTTCCCGGTCTTCCCCTGGGTCTTAAGACAACACAGTTGACAGCCTCGTTCTGTTTCCTTCGAACAACGACGGGGAGGTCGGTGTCAACCGCAACAGGCCTGTTCAAGACACACACCTCACAGCACAGCACCCAAGGGGAAGGCGCCTCCACAGTGCCCCGCGCTGAGAATTGACCTGCCGAAACACACTCAACACGCCATGGCCGCCGCCCCGACTCCCCTCACCGGCCGTTGGTCGCAGGTCCGCATAGAAGGCGACGGAGCCCTAACCCCCGCAGCACGGTTCGGCCATAAATGTATAGCGGTGCAATGCACGCGGCCATCGGCTAGACCTTCAAAGTCCGACAAACGGGGGAACCGTGCCCTGCAGACCCAGACAAAGATGCTCATGTTCTGGGGCTCGGATTCGCAGCAGATTCTCGCGGGGTGTTTTGAGTTCGATCCAGGTGAGTGACGAACCTGGCGAGACTATGAAGAAAAAAAAACCCCCCGCGAGAAGTGGAGACGCATATTGAGTGTGCTTTGCCGGACGCTTCTACTAGTGCTCGTCCGATACACCGAAGAAGACTGACACGTGCTTCCTTCAAGAGACCTCGTCGTGGGCGATCATCTCCACCACGCCGCCGCCACCGTCGACGGGCAAACGGAAACGGGGGAACGACGTGGATGGACCCGCTGTGCAGCCGCGGCCGACGGTTGGGATGGCTGTTGCGGGGGATGGGACCGCTGTGTATATTTTTGGGGGGATGAAGGTGGTTGAGGGGAGGTTGGCGTTTGTCAATACGGTGAGTGGCCCCCTTCCATGTTTGTTTTGGGAATGTGACAAACTGAAACTTGAGGGTGTACTAGCTGTCAAAGTACGACCCGGAAACACAGCTCTTCTCCGAACTCCCCACTACGGGCGTCAACATACCCTATCCGCGCATAAACGCCACCCTCACCTACATCCCGGCACACCCGCAAACAGCATCCGAGCCCTGTCTGTTCCTCTTTGGCGGGTTCGCGTACCCGAACACATACCTGAACGACGCGTATATCTTCAGCCTGCATTCGAGAGTTTGGAGGCGGCTGGAGGTGACAGGGAAGGCGCCGGACGCGAGGGAACATCATACGACGGTGTTTTGGGCGAGTGCGGACGGGAAACGGAGGTGGTTGGTTGTTTACGGGGGAATGACTGTGGACGCGGCGGGGCCGGATCGCCCGAAGCGGTTAGGGGATGTTGCTGTTTTGGATATAGGTGCGTTTCTGGTCTTGCCTTCACTTACGTATGGGTGCGACCACCAGCGGTACTCGAAATCTAAGTGGGGACTGATTTCAAGATTCGGCGACGTGGATCTATCCTGAAATCGGCGGCACCATCCCACCAGGCCGCTCGAAACATTCGGCGGTTGTTTGTGGGGATAGGATGGTCGTGTATGGAGGACAGGAGCAGCAGTCTGTACCTAACGGGGTAATGCAACGTCCTTCCGATGTGCATATCCTCGATTTAGGTAGGGACGCAGATGTGCGTGGCTGTACTACTGAGAAGGGATGCTTACATCATCTTCCACGGGAACAGATAAGCTTTGTTGGGAGGCCCTGCAGCCAGTAGGAGACGATAGCCCATCTGCGCCACCACGCGCAGACCACGGTGCGGCACTGGTAAGAAAAAGCCCATGGCACTCTCCCTCCCACAAAATCCGGGGACTCATCCTGTTATGTTGTGAATTCAGATCGGCAACAGACTCTACATCACCAGCGGGATCGCCCCAACCCAGGGCTGGGACGGAACCCCCTCTCGATCCCCACAGCTGTTAGACGACATGTGGCATCTGGAACTCGGACCGCCCGCATCACCGGGCCCGTTATACATCGACCGCCAGACACAACCCCGTCACGCGTTATGCATAACCTGGGGCGGGACCACCACCACTCCGGGTACGACATACACGGTATCGATCAGACGGAGGACGCAGGAAATGGATGAGTGGAATGTGGTGTACGAGGGTGCTGAGCGGCGATGTGTTGTTGAAGGGGTGCATAGCGGGGATGGATCAAAGTGGGAGGTTGGGCCGGAGGAGGAGTATGGGGTGCGGGTGGAGGCGAAAGTGTGGCCCGCGACGGGGTATGAATCGAAGGCGGTGGTGGAGGGTGTTGCGTATGTATGTTTAGGAGGTAAGGGTCGATGTCTACGTCTGTCAAATCACTTATGGCCCGGTGAGCGCTTACCCTATTTGTCTTCTTGCAATTGACAGAACGGCCACACCCACCACAGAAGGTTTGTCTGACGAAACGGAGCTGGCCCTCTGATACACCCCCGACTACTATAGCTGCACTACCGATTTATACCCCCGCCCGATCATTCTTCAGCGACGCGCCGAACGTGCTGGTGACATGGGCCGATGCGCTCCCGGACCTCACTTATAAAATCCAGGCAACATGCCGCTTATCCACCGCGCCCCCAACGGCCGAAAAAGCAAATGGAAATGCAGACGGAAACGCCAATGAAAAAGCCGACGCGTGGACGACCATCTGGACCGGGCGCGGCGATAATCGGTGGTGGGGATTCGTCAGCGACATTGAGCGGCGTGTAGCTCCATCCACTGGACGAAAGCGGCGGGAAAGAGGAGTGGTGGGGAGGTATCGAATCCGGGTTGTGGCGGTCACGGACGGAGTGGAGTCGGAGGCGGCGGATGGGGGTGAGTTTGAGGCGGTCTTGGGCGATGGGATTGCTGGGAATCCGAAAGCGATGCAGAAGGAGGAGAAGGGCCAGGTGGAGGGAGAAGTTGTTGAAGTCGCGAAAGCGAAAGGTGGAGCCAAACCGGCGGCGAAACGACGGAAGCTCGATGTACCACCGAAAACGGAAACATCCGTCACCAGTTCGCCGCAGACTGCGTCACCGGAAGTGAAGAAGAAACGTACACCGGCGAAACGGAAGAGTACTACTGATACGGTGGCGAAGCGTACGCCGGTACCGAGGAAGAAGAAGGGGCAGGTGTCGGTGTCGGTGTCGGTGTCGGTGTCGGTGTCGGTTAGCGACGCGACAGAAACGGAGGCGTCACCTCAACCGCCAGCGGCACCGCCGTCTATTCCAATCACCCAGTCCCCGCGTTCCGACGACACACATCCTCACGAAATCGCACCCATACTCGCGCCCGAACCATCACCCTCACCCTCACCAGCCACCACCGCAACCCCCCTAGACCTCGACCCGACAACCACCCGCCCCCTCCTCAACCACCCCCCCAACGGCTTCCACTTCAACCTCCAATTCGGCGACCTCCTCCGCATCCGATCCGACAAAGAAGGGCCGCTTTTGTGGTACAAGGCCCGCATGCTCTACTATGCCCCCGTCCCCGCATCGGCCAACCTCCCGCCCCACTGGAAGATCAAACTCCACTATGAGGGGTACGATAAACGCTACGACGAGTTTTTTTCGTTGGGGGATGCGACCTCTCGGGGCGTTATCAGGCCGTTAGGGGAGGAAGAGGAGGCGGATGTGGTTGTTGGCGACCACATTGTGGAGGATGAAAGTCTGTGGGATGTGAATGGGAGCGCGAAGAAGGTGTATGCGTTGAATAGTAAGGAGAGGGAGGTGGCGAGGAGTGGGAGCGTGGTTGTGAGGGTTGGCGGTGGGGCGAGGAAGAGTGTTGGGTGATGGAGGGTTGGCGAAAGAGATTTTTTTGGAGTGTTGGTGCAGTGCAATGAGGGGTGGGGTGGGGTGGATGAAGGGGAGTCGTTGGGATGGAATTCTGTAGAGGATGAAGAGGGGATACATTGACGCACATGCCATCTCTTGTGTGAGTACTGCATGAGATAAACAAAGCTGGGATTCATGCCTGCAGCGTGGGGACGCTGATCATGGAAAACGCATCTTTTGTCGATGTTCTTGGCAATGGAGCTGTACCTCCCTGACTGGACAGGGGCAGATGGACAAGAACGCGTCGCAGCGGAACCGTCGCGCGCAGCCCCTTCACGTCATCCCCTGCTTCGACCCATTGGGACCCACAATCGTCCTTCTCATCACCACCGCACGGCACGGCCCTCACCTTCCTAGGGCCTCTCGCACCATCCCATCCAACCCACCGCCCCTGTCAACGTTCCTCTCCCCCAACGAAATGCCAGACTCCCGCCCTTCAACCCCAAGCGAACGCCGCCCGCTCCTGCCCAGAGCCGTCGACACCGCCCGCGAGGTCACCAGATCGAACTGGGATGACTTTAAGGTATGATAGTAGCGAGATGAGGGAACAGCCGTAGCAGGAGGGCATCAAAGTCAGGCCTCGAATTGTAGATTCTATATCACCAGCGTTTCGAGCTTGCCGCTTCTTTTTCGGAATGCTCACGATGTTCGTTGCTCGACCCCCGGAAACAGGAATTCATCAACCGCGGGCGCGTCCTCGACCTCGCCATCGGGGTCGTCATCGGGGCGGCGTTCTCGTCGATCGTCTCGTCCGTAGTCGACGACCTTCTGTCTCCCATCCTGGGCTTGCTGGCTGCGCGGCCGCTCGACCAGGCGTTTTTGATCCTGAGGCCGGCGGATATGGGGTCGGAGGCGTGTGAGAAACATCGGAATTGGTGTGAGGATCCGCAGACGGTGGATCAGGCGAAGGAAGGTGGGTTGCGTGAGCGAGGGCTGAGTGGGACCGGAGCGAGCCACAGTGCGCCAAAGGCGCGAATATTCCCCTCATCAGGGCTATGAGCGAGCCTCAGATCTTCTGCGAGCGAAGCGAGCTGCTCCGCCCACCGTCTCCCATTCGCTGGCGCTCGGATACGGGTGCCGTTTGCATCATTCATCCCATTGACCCAACAACCATCAAGCAACCAACCCACATCTCATTCTTCCATCCCTTTCACGACACAGTGGGAATCGTAACATGGAACTACGGCCACTTCCTACAACGCATCCTCTACTTCTCCACAGTAACCATCATCCTATTCCTGGTCATCAAAGCATACACGAGCTTGCTGCACGAGCGGTCCAAGTTTCTGAAACGGTTGAAGGATTGCCCGTATTGTCTGGAGGAGATCTCGGAGAAGGCGTCCAAGTGCATGTTTTGTGGGAGTAGCGTGACGGTGCTGCATAGGGGGGTGCCGGTTGGGGCCGGGGATGGAGAGCATGCGATACCGCAACCTGCGAGTGTGAGTGTGACGACGGCGTAGCGTTGGACGATGGGCTTTCGGTGGTGTACATAGCTAGATTTCGAGACGACGGTGAAGCATGGGCGGCTTTTTTTTTTGCTTGACTGAGTAGACTTTCTAGCCTGGCCTAATGGAATCTCGTCATCCATTTCTGAAAACTCCGCTGACTTTCATCAGCTTCCTTGAGATGCAGCGTCATGAAAAGCGGTGACGCTTGCGATTCCTTTTTGACTACCGGGATCAAAGTGCGTCCATCCCCGGTCTGCATTTCTCCGTCTTCCCTCCTTTCATAAACCGCGCACCCGTTCGCTGCTTTGCATATCCTCTTCCCCTGATTGTCAGCCTTTCCCCTCAACAATCACCGCACCTCGGGCTTCGTCCACAGGGTTTGCAACGGAAACGCGTGAGACCTTGCGTAAGCGACTTTCTTGACGCGTTCTTTGCTTGACCTGGAAGCTCGACACATCAGCTAAAGAAACAAAAAAAAGTGCACATCCAACTCTGCTCTTCCAAACAGTCAATTTCCTGAGAGGTAGCCTGCATGGACAACAGTGGTCACTGAACTATGTACACGAAAAATCGAGCCCTTTCTGATTGCTGTTTCCGGAGCGGGCTTCGCGCTCGCCGGGCAATGATAGGATATTCAGCTATGTTTCTCCAACCCCCTCTGCTGGTTTGACTGCCGATGCATGGCATCAAAACTTGCATCTCCACCTTCCAGCGGTCATCCCGGGCTGACATCCCAAAGAACGCCAAAGGGCGGATGAAGCAGGGCGGGTGCCTGGAGGCGATCGGCGTCCCACCCCAACGCCGCTTTGCAAAAAGACCCGTAGATCCGCATGCATCTCATCCGCGGCGTAAACTCGCGATCCGTGCTGAATCCCAGTTCGCCGAAGAGCTGTCGAGGGTCTGCAAAGGTGAGTGCTCCGTGAATGGGTCCGGGTGAGGCCGTCATGTTCGAGGACCGGTGGGCCCGTGCGATTGAACTTAGGACACCGTGCGTACGTTAAGGGTTGTGTCCGACGTCCAAAGCCGGATCCGAACTTTCCGATGCACGTTGTTCGATCGGCCCGCTCTAAGGATTGTTGATCCGCTTGTCCGCGTTCGCTTTCCACCTTCTCCCTCTCCAATCCTCAAACAAATCCACCTCATCATCACCCCTTCCCCACCACAGCCTCCAACCAGTCCAAATTATCTTTCAAGCTCTTACTACAAAAAAAGAAAATCATCCAAAAAATCATTAGAACCTCCAAAGCGTCTCCAAAGAATTTTACCCCGCAGTCATGTTACCCACATCTGCCCAGCCAGAGCCTTAACCTTGACCATCTCATTCTTCATCGACCCAACCGTATTGATCAGCTCGCTCGTCTCGGCGACGGATTCGTGCACCGCTGTCGAGAGGTTGCGCGCGCTGTCGGTTGTTAGTGAGACTGATTGGCTTGTTGCAGCCGTCATCTGGATTCCAATCATAGTTCAGGTTAGACGTTGCCAGAATTGGCCGAGTAACCTATGATGTCAGGTACCTCGTCGAGCCTACTCCGCAATTTCCCCATGAAAACAGCGAGATCGTCTGAGATTTCCTGCGCGTGTTTTTCGACGTCGTCGATGAGGGCGGGGTCTATGGGCACTGTGTTTTGGGCAGCTGTTGTGCGTTGGGATGAGAGTGCTGAGGGGAGACGGGTTGATTGTGACATGCTGCGTACGTTCGGAGGGTGGTGGTGGGTGTTGCGACAGGGAAATTCTGACGAGGCCTCTCTGGGACCTGCTCTGGGACTTCTGCTGGGACTTGTGGGACGCGACCGATGGATGCCAACGGGCGAACGTTTTGACGATTTGACATTGGGCGCTCAGTCCCGAAACTGCACTACTTGCGCTCTCGTACTGATACAGGGGCAGACTACATATTACGGGGCTGCCTGTCAACAAAGATACTGCCGCTACGACGCAGCTTTTCTCTCCGTATCCGTGGTTCCAATCGCATAGGCTCGACATTTTATCGACTTTCGTTGTCGGCCGCCGTGGGAAGCTCGCCTTTTTTCAACTGGACGTACTTCAAAACGTACGGCAAAGGAACGGAAAGGGGAGAAGAGGAGAACCCTGGGCTGATTTGCATTTGTGTCGGACTTGGCTCGCTCTCCACGCCGTCGAATCGTTTCGGAACGTATTGCCCACCGGACTTCGCCGTCGTTGACTTGCAAGTTAGCATTACCACCGGCTGGACCGGAAAAGGCGGCAGGAGAACGAGTCGATACCTTTCATAGTTCAATAAACGGCTTGGCAGCCTCTCGCCCGCTACAAAGATGGTAACAAGCGACCAAGTCAACTACCTAATATACCGCTACCTCGTCGAATCCGGCTTCACCCACTCCACCTTCGCCTTCCAACAAGAAAGCTCCCTGTACCGCCGGAACATCCGCGGGTCACACATCCGCCCAGGGGCACTGATCAACCTCCTCCAAAAAGGACTCCAGTACGCCGAGATCGAGCTCCATGTCAACGAAGACGGGACGGAGAAGAAGTGCTCGGCGCCGTTTTCGCTCCTGGAGCCGCATGAGTGTGTGATTGAGGGGGAGGAGAAGGCGGAGAGTGGGAGGCCGGCGAAGAGGGCGAGGAGGGAGGAGGTTGCGACTGGGGGGCGGAAGGAGAAGAAGGAGGAGAAGAGGCAGGGGAGGGGGGAGAGGGAGCGGAAGGCGAAGAAGGATGCGAGGGATGAGGAGGCTGGGGCAGGTAAGGATTTGAAATGGGTGACTGGGTGTGCGACGTTGTGTCTCTTGATTGGACAAGGCTGATGAGTTTCGCACCGGCAGAAGTTGAAGATGCGGCCGTGGACACCGTCATGATTGACCAATCTTCAGTTTCGAAATTGACGCATCCCTCCGAGGTACTCAGATGCTCATGGAGCCCAACAAAGCCGCAGTTCCTAGCATCCGGGTACGTCCACTACGCCACACACAACCCTCATAGTGCGGTAGTGACTGATTCTTCCCCTCCGCACGGATATTCACAGAGGTCGTGACGGGAAAGTCCGATTATGGCAGATCTCAACAAAAGGAGGCGAAGAGACAATCGAAGATCGCGAGCTGGCTATGGGCGACAGCGCAACGGCGAAGGGGTCGACGGGGTTGAATGGCATATCCGCGTTGGAGTGGGCGGTGAGTTGCACCGGAAGGGAGTTCAAGGACTACCGAGAACAAGGTCTGACATGGACTCCTTTGTGGATTCATTAGCCGTCAGGAGCGTTGGTAGCAGCCGGAACTGTAGACGGTCGCATATTTGTCTGGACCCGCACAGGTTCGTCTCACCATACTCCCATCTTAAGCATGTGAACCCTGTCTCAACTTGTCTCATCGGCATCCAGGCGACCTAAAATTCACCGAGAAGCACCATGCAGGCGCCATCATCGCCCTCGCATGGTCCCCCTCCGCCAACTTCATCGCCACCGGCAGCCACGACAAAATGAGCATCATCTGGGACGTCGAGAGCGGGCAGGTCCGGCAAAAGATCGATTTCCACGAAGGGCCCGTGTTGAGTGCCGATTGGCTGGATGATGGAACCCTGGCGACAGCTTCGAGTGATAATCAGATTTATGTGTGTGTTATGGGGGATATTGAGCCTTTGAAGCAGTTTTCGCATAAGGTAGTGAGTGCATCACCTGTTCATCATCCCGGTTGGCGCATGCTGATTACGAATGGTTTCATTTCCAGGGCGATGTAAACAAAGTAGTATGGGACTCCACCAAAAAATACCTCGCCTCCTGCTCCGACGACGGCACCGCCAAGATCTGGACCATGGACCGCGACGAACCCCTCTGGACCGCCAAGGGCCACAGCAAGGAGATCGTGTCACTGTGCTGGTGTCCCGGGTCAGATAATCCCATCTTCGTCACGTACGTGTCTCACCTCTGCCACCTCACGCCTCTCGTTGGGCTAATGATTGTGATGGTCTTTTCTAGAGCGGGAGTAGACCGCACCCTCCGCCTCTGGGACGTGCTTAAACAGGAACTGTTGCACACGTTCACGCACGATGCGGATGTTTTGTGTGCGGATTTTACGCCCAATGGGAAGTTTTTGGCCAGTGGGGATGCGGATGGGAGGGTTTGTGTTTGGAATGTTAAGGTACGTTGTTGGGGAGATTGGGAGGGGGGGATGGTTGTGGGGAAAGGGGGGCTGGGGTTTGGGTGGGGATTGATGGTTTTCATTTTTAGGATCGGACCCTGGTGAAGACGTATGCGGGGGAGAAGGGCGAGGAAGTTGATGTGCAGGTTAAGTGGAATGCGAAGGGGGAGAGGTTGGCTGTTGCGGCTGGGGGTGTCAAGGTAAGGACCGGAGGGTTTGCGTTGTTGGGGTTCTGGTTTGCACTGGTGTCTCACCTCGCTTTCCCTTTTTGGAAACATTTAAGATCGCCGTTTTGCAAATCGCACCGCGGTCGTGATGAGATGCCCACTGCGGTCGACGCACACCATACTTCATCCTTTAGTTTTGTGCTCCAACGACTCTTTCCGATTGTACAAACCCATGACGTAAACCCCCTCGCGAGCGACCGAATGATACATCGGCAGCAAGGTCTCGCGGGTCACCTGTGTATATATGCACAAAACAAACCACAAAACTGTACAGTCCATGTATCAGCCAAAACTTCTCCATCAGCACAACATGCACCAAACGTACACATAAAGAAATGCGTGAGATTCGAAAAAAAAAGAACAAAACGCCGTTCTGCATCTGCTCTAAATACGCCGTTTGTGACATGTACACGCCGCCCCCCCCCCCCCCCCGGCGCCCCCAATCGCCACAATCGGAAACCCGCCCACCGAATCACCTCCCCCACCTCGGCACGATCCCCACCACCGTATTCCACAGATGATCCACTCCCGCCACTTCCCTCCTCGTCCCTGCTCCCACCTCTCTCTCCCCCGCCCGTATCTTACTCTCCCGCTCCCTCATCTCCCTGACCGCCGCATACCCCACGGCCCACGCCTCCCACGTCGTCATCCCCGGCGGCATCGCGTTGGACCCTGGGATGTGGATCGAAGGGGATGTTGAGGGCTGGTCGCAGCATGTGTGGAGGGCGTGTTGGATGGCGTGGTGGGTCTGGGTGTGGGAGTGTGGGGTGGGTTTGGGGGTCGTGTGGGAGTGGGAGGAGGTTGCGGCGGGTGAAGAGGCGGATGAGGCCATTTTCGGGGTGGGGGATGGTGGGGATGTGGGTCTTGTGCGAGGCGTTGGAGTGTGGGTGCTGGATTTCTACTTTGGACCTACGAAAGCGTGACGGAGAACAAGATGGGTGTTGGTGAACGAAAATGTTCCCAAACGGGGGCTGCAAAAGAAATGTGTTGAGACCGGCGAAAAGTAACGACTTTATACCCCCCGCACTGTTCATTCCCCCCCGCCATTTGCTCATCACCTCCCTGACTCAGAACTCGCTGGACCGGTCCTCTCCACGGGATGACTTGCCGTCTATCATATGCATGACCCCCCTCCTTCCCAACCCGATTCCCTCGCCAGCTTATCGAAGATGTCCCGCCGAGCATCGTGGTCTTGGCAAATGCAAGACCTCCTGACGTCTAGAGATGGAAGTTGGGACCTACCTGTCTGCGAAACAGGGCTTTTACCCATTGACAGCATCCCAAACACGCTGTCGAAATATGGCATGGGGGGAGTCGTATGATGGACTGCGCACATGTTGGTGCCCAAAAGACGCGACGGGGGGGGGAGACGTCACGTCACAGTGGGAGAACGAGAGGGTGGGCCGATGTCCCGACCGACCGACCGACTGCAACACGGGCGAAAAGTGCGCACTGCCCTCTCGTCACTGCCCCCCCCCGTCTTGCGCAGTTCATGGTCCAGGACAACTTTATAAAGCGCAAACGAAAGGCGGTCAAAGGAAGACTCGGGAGGTCCGCCTTCAAAACTTCCAAAATGCATGTGCGTGTGTGTGCGTATAACATCATATGTGGGCCCGCCGTAAGTGTGCCGATGGGTTCATCAATCTCCGCGTTCCGCTCGATGTGAAGTTGAAAGCTGTCCGAGCGTGTTCCCGTGCTTGATTCGCGAAGAACGAGGTGCGCGGCGCAGTTAAAATCCGTGCACGTGACTAGTTAGAAGTGGGCGTGTGCGCGATCTGTGTGCAGTCAGTCCGAGGGGCGGACGAGAAGGAGGTGGGAAGTGGGAACTTTTTTCTCGCCGGTGAACTGCGCGCGTTCGTCGGGCGAACAGAAGAGCGTCAAGTCAGATCATCCGATTCCACCCACTCCCGCTTTTTGACCCCCCACGCAAACACACAAATCGCTGCTGAAGATGCCTTCCTTCGTCCATTGGCCCCTTCCTGCATACAGTAGATAACCGGTACTGTAGACCCCCTAGTCCTCCCCCCCCCCCCCCCCCCCCCCATCACTCCACCCTCATCCCTGCCTCCCGTCCTCCTCCGATAGACTCTTGATTCCCCCCAGAGACATTCGAAAGAATAGAAACTTTAAACATCATAGATCCCCCTTCGTTTCCGTCGTAAGATCTATCAGCCGTATCTATCGCCAAGCCCTTTCCTTGCATCGCTTGGCCATCATACTTTGTTTACAGCCGGAGTCGGGACCCCTGGGCTCTTCCTGTGTGCGCCTCGTGTTCCCATCGATTATCTCACCTCCGAGGACTGCCGTATATACCCACTTAGTGAGCAGCGGCAACTTGTACGTCCTCTCCTCCGCATTGCTTTGATTCCTGTTGGTCCATATAAGCTCCTCGTCGACGCTTTGAGGTTCCCGCATCTTTGACGACGCAATCTCTCCGAAAAGCTTCAGCATAACCGCATAACGTAGACAGACAAATAGCGGATCGATTACCGCCATTATCCGCGTACGACAAACGATATCTTAGGGCAGTAGAGGCATCGGTTGATACTCAACGTTGATATAGCGAAACGGACCTCACTTTGTGTGCGTTGCCTGAGTGTGAAAAGAAAAACATGACGAGCGACGAATTTGGGGTAGTTGGAGAGGGCCACCAACAAGGGGCGGAAGCGCACGCGTCGCCGTCGCCCACGGAGCAACCGCTGCAATTCTCCGCGACAAAAGGGCACTGGGCGGCGACAGAGACAGCCACCCACCACCCTACAACCACCACCTCCACCACCACCACGACGACCACAAAGCAGTCACAACAGCTGCTCTCAGCCAACGGCACTCCTCCTCCACCAGCAACTCACAAGCATTCCGCCACAACCCTGGACAGATCCGCTGCTGCCGGCGCCCACGCTGGCGGCCTTCGGAATGGCTCCGACAACTACCCCATGCACAATTCCCACGCCGCCGAGCGAGCCGCAGCTTTGCACAAACTCCTCCACCAGGCCTCCATCACCAGCAGCAGCCACGATGCGGACCACCGGGACCACTCCCGCCTGCATCTCGCGCAGCAGAAACGGCTCCAGACACAGCAGAAGAGCGCTGACTCGGGGTTCCACTCGATTTGGTCCGGGTTCTATAAGAAGGCACTTCGGGAACGTCAGAATCAGCTGAGACTGGCTTTCCCCGGGCTGTTTCCGCCTGGATCGAAAGCGGGCTCGTCGGGTACTGCGAACGGGAGCCATGCCCATCTTCAGGTGAAAACGGCGGCTCAGCGCGCTCAGGACCGAAACAACTCACCAGCGCCATCGGACGAGTCAGGATCCAGCTCGTCGGGTGATGAGGGAGAAGGAAACGGAAGGAAATCCACGCCTCCAGCGCCGTTCCCGCTGAATGGTCTGGATGAGCAGATCGCTAACAACATGGTGGAGAACTGTGTAGGGACTTTGGGCATGCCTATCGGGCTCGGGCTCAACTTCACCATCAACTCGGTCCCGACTGTCATCCCCATGTGTGTCGAAGAGCCGTCGGTGGTTGCCGCAGCGAGCAATGCTGCGAAAACCATCACTACCTTCGGTGGAGGGTTCGTGGCGACCAACTCCGAACGTAACATCATCTACGCCCAGATCCAGGTCGCCGGGATTGACGACGAGGACATCCCTGCCGCCATTGAGAGGCTGGAAAGCAAGCGCGAGCAGATCATGTCGCTTGGGAACCAGTTCTGCGAAAACATGGTCAGTCGAGGTGGAGGTGTCACCGGTGTGACCTTCCGTGCCGTTCGCCGGCAACCTCCGACATCCGCTGCGAGGCCGCATAGAGTGACTCGCGCCAATTGTCGCACGTGGCTGGTGGTGCATATCCACATCGATGTCTGCGACGCCATGGGCGCTAACTGCGCCAGTGCAGTTGCGGAAGGTGTTGCCCCGCTGATCTCCAGCTTGACCGGCGGGACAATCGGCTTGCGTATCGTCTCCAACCTCAACGTCGAGCGGATGGCCAAGGCCTCCTTCCGCGTACCCGTCGAGAAGCTCGCCTACAAGGGCGTATCCGGCGAAGACCTCGCCTTCCGCGTCGTCGAAGCGAACGAATGGGCACTCTCAGATCCCTTCCGCGCCGCAACCCACAACAAGGGAATCATGAACGGCATCGACGCCGTCGCCCTCGCCACTGGTCAAGACTGGCGCGCGATCGAAGCCGCCGCACACGCATATAACGCGGTCCGCGAGGATAGCTACCGCCCGTTCACGGACTACTGGGTCGAGGAAGACTCTAACGGCCAGCGATTTCTCCGCGGTGAAATCGAGCTCCCCATGCCTGTCGCGACGAAAGGGGGCGTCTTGACCACCCATCCGGTCCTCAAGTACACCCTCGGTCTGATGGGCAACCCGGACTCGAAGGGGCTCGGAAGAGCGATGGCGGCTCTTGGCCTCGCGCAGAACTTTGCGGCTCTGCGCGCGCTGTGCACGGAAGGGATCCAGCGCGGGCACATGTCGCTGCACGCGCGAAACATCGCGATCGGCGCTGGTGCACCCTCGCATGCAATCGCCGAATGCGTCACCTTCATGGTCGAGACTGGCCGGTTCAACCGTAATGCGGTCAAGGAGTACCTTCGTGCGCATGAGGTCCACCATGAGATTCGCCTGAACGGGTCTTCCGACAACCTATTCGCTCTCGGCAACAAGAATTCAAAAGCGGAAGAAGTCCTCGGAGAAGAACCCCCACCCAGTCTGTTCTACTTCGAAGCCCTCGAGAACCCCCGCGCGGACGGCACCGCAGGCGACAAAGTGATCCTCAACGTCGCCTTCCAAACCCTCGGCGCCAAACCGGTCCACATCGAGCTGGTCCCCAACGTGCCCTCCACGAAAGTTGTGCGCCAACTGTTTGGAGAAAAAGGCCACGCGTGGCTGTCGGAGATGTTTAACGTCCTTGAGTCGCTTAAAGTTACACCTGTGCATGGCGAACGCTCTAATGCGGTGTTTGCTAAGAAGTTGAAGCTGTTGTCGGTGCTGCTTAACCTTGTGATTAGGCGCCTGATGATGGCGCACCCGCATGAAACTGCGCGGTTCGTGAGGCGAATCACGCGGGCCCGCTCGCATGGGGCTTTGGACAGCGCTGACTCGCTTGACCTCGCCGGGACCGAAACGTCCGATTCCACAACCCCCGTGGAAGCAAAGTCCTCCACCCACGACGCCACCCCCTCAACGAAAACAAGCAAGATCCCCACCTCCGGCATCTTCCGCCACCGCGTCCTCCTCGACGTCGACCTCAAACGCATCTCCTCAACCCCAGACGCCCACCTCTCCACCGGCTTCCCCCTCGTCCTCGCCCTCTGGCAAGTCTTTGAATTCCACGTGCAGCAATGGGTCGGCCAGCCCCGCCTCGCGCGCGCCCTCATCGACGAACAATGGCGCGTCGTCCTCTCCCTCATCAACGCGCCGGTATCCCCACCTGGGGTATCACACACAGAAGACCCATTCAAACGCGTAATAGAAACTCACGCCAAACGCTTCCAATCCACGATGTTTGTCCTCTGCGACGCCACCACCTTTCCCGAACGCGAAATCACGCCACAGTTGGTCCACCTCCTAGCGCAGATCGGGACCGCGCTCGAATGGAACCACGCGGTTGCGCATGATCTGAGCCCGTCTCGGTTGACCAGGGATGTTCGGGACATACTCACCCACCGCGCGGAGTGTTCGGAGGATGGAGGGCTCGCTACGGGAGTTGTGAATGTGTTTTTGATGTATCTGACGTATGTCAAACACCACACGATCTCCCCCTCTTTCATCGCCTCCCGCCTGGGTCTCCCCACCATAGACGCACAAGACGTCGCGACCCAAGTAACCAACGAATCCGTAACGCACGCATTCACGCCCGACATCTCGGAGTTCGTGCAATGGGTGCTCACCCACCGTACACGGGTCGTTGCGGATTCAACAAAGGGCGGGATCGCGGGCGATGTGCTGGACAGGGCGCGGGTGGAGGATGCGTTGAGTGTGTTTGGCCGGTTCTATGGGGCTGAGGCTGTCATTAGGGTTTAGAGAGCTGGAGATGTCGTGTTTGGCTGTTACGTGACGCTGGTGGTACGGGTGTTCCTCCGGGTTGCTGCCCCGACGATAGGGAGATATAATCGACGAGGGAGGGTGGCGCTTGCGCACGCCTTGATTACCATATCCCCGCGCATACCGGTATCCATAAGACCTTTCTTCTTTTTCCATATTTGTTCATTTAATCATCACCACCTGGAACACCATTACCAAGCCCTGATGCTCTCAATGATCGGCGCAGGGGTAGCATAGCCTGGCGTTGATGATTGGGGGGGGGGGGGGGGGGGGGAAAGACCAATTTGCGTGGCTTTCGGCCCAAGTTCCCGTTCAGAAAGACTGCGAGGATGGCAGTCATCACAGTCACCATAAGGCACACGGACACATCGAGGGGCATACCCAGCCAGCCTTGCGTCCAAAGTGTCCGGCTGGGCTTGCGTATCTGGGAACCTCAACGCCATCACTGGGGAGTGAGTGCCTGACGGGCTACGGGTTGGACTTTGACCCCGAGTCGGTCAATCATTAGGTGGTCAACAGATCTGGAGATTTTGGATTTTGGGTCGGGGCCCTCGATTATCGCTCACATCTGTGTGGCGTGAGGACTACCTAATCAACATAGTGGGATGTGAACGGACCAGATTGCAAGTAACATTCATCATGCTGCCCTGGTGGTTCTGCTGTGGATGTAAACCCACACGTTGTGGAGCCGCAGGAACAGAGGGAGAGTGGGTGATGGTATGCTGTCGTGCAGAGTTACATACTGTGTGTGCCGGTGAAGGATGGATGCAGGAACGTACGGAGCAGGCCCAGCGAGGGGTGGACGTAGTGGACGGCGAACAAGTACCGGCTTTGTCGGTCGCGGAGTGGGATGTTCCGTCATGCGGCGCCTTGAGAGTCGGTCTACCGCATCCCGATGTACTGTATGCCACCGCGGCAAAGGCAGGTAGCAGTACGGGTCAGCCATTGCGATGAACGCTCATGGGGATTCGGCGGGTGGTCTGCGACAACGACCGAGGGTAAACATTGGAGGACTTTTTCTTAGTTTTTCTTTTAAACATGTCCGACCCGACCCCAATCGCCAGCTCGCCGGATTTCTTGCAGCCCTAGTCACCATACACCGGCCACCAATTTAGTTTGTGACGGTTCGTAAGCTGGCTTCGCTTTCTGAACTATGAGGTAGGTGTCAAGGAACAAGCGCCTGGCGATAGGACCAGAACAACGCCGATGGATGGGTGTTGGTGGAGGTGGAGGGAGAGTGGCGATGGAATGTGACGAGGCCCGTTTTGGCGCCGTCTTTTGTGCAGAGGTGGACTGGGGTGGGGCGTGCGATGGGTGCGGTTGGTGGGAGTGGGTGGGAGGCGTCGTTGTGTTGTGTTACGCATCGGGGCGATACGGGAAACGGGAGGAAAATGAACAAAGGGTTAAGGTGATTCCTGTCAGTTTGATCACTTTTCGACAGCGCGACGCAACAGGCGTATAACCCTTGAGCTACTATACGCATCTTGCGACTTCAGCGCAACCCATGCGCGCAACAACCGTCCAGGGATGGTGGTGGGCAGAACATCACTGGTCGTTTACAAGTGCGGCGCGGCCAAATCAGCTCCCCAGTTGGAAACGCCTCCCCACTATTTCCGTCGTGACGACCTCAGGTTTCATCTACGGTCCCGGCAGTGACCGTTCGACCCGTTGCGGGACTTAAGTCGGCCCATTTCGGGGAAACCCGCGAGTGTTGCGGGTACCCATCGTCGAGAACAAGCATATCCGGCCGGCTATGCTATATTCCCAGGCCCACCTCCTCCGTTCAAGTCAACTATAGACTTTTGATATCCCAGCGTCTTAGTTATCAGTAGTGTGGATACACTGGAGTGCGGTTATACCTTCATCATCTGAGATCCTCTTGAGATCCTCTTGTACTGGTGCTGCGTTTCTCTGCATATACATTGAAGCGGTGGTTGCCTTCATGGCGATGCACCGTGCAGATCAGCAATATGCTTGCCGGTGAACCTTCCTCCAATGCTACGACAGACGATCCACAAAACTCACCTACCTGCGTAACGGGTGAACTGTCACTGGCTAGACTGAGGGCGGCGAAGTGTTTGTTGTTCACTCATGATCTCAGCTTTGTGGCTCAACAACGGCTGCCATTCTCCCAATGCTCAACAACGGCTGCCATTCTCCCAATGCCGAAAAAAAATGCAATATAAATAGGCTTTACCACGGTTGCCCCATCCCACAGTTTCTTCACCGGCTTCAACAATACCTGAACTGTCTGCACAACCGAGACAATCGCCAAATCGAAAAAAAAACTGTGATATAAAAGCGGACGTACAGTACAGTACAATGCTACTCATCAACAAAGGAGAAAAAGATGTAATATAACCCGGCAGACAAGGGAGATTGAGAAAAGATGAATGGAATAAAACCGAGAGAATCGGCTGCTTGTGACAAGGCATTTAATTCGTTCTTTCTTCTAATGTTGTGTTGTCTGTGAGAATGGGCTCAACTGAGCGATGTCCATCACCCTTTGTGTGTTCTTTGTCCAAGGGCATTTAATTCATGTTTTTTCCTTTGTCGCTGCTGGCTTGCGAAGAATGAGCTCAAATCATACAATCCAATGGTTCTTTACAAGCATTTAATCGATTTTTTTTCTGAATCTGCAGGAGCATTAATCCGTTTCCTCGGAGAGCGTGGACTGCACATGGAAAAGGTGCGAGTCTGATCCCTCAGGAACGTGTCAATGTTCATATGCGCTATACAGAGCATCTTCGTAAAACCTGGCCAGCCCGTGGGTACTACGCCGGTCTCTATGTTACGAAATTCCTAGCCTAGGGTATATATCGATCCGTCCAAAAACTTTGCCATATCCTCAATATGAAGGCAGCCCAGCGGCGTCATAGGAGCTCCAGTAGTCATCCCCGTCACCGTCTTCCCCGTCGTCAGGGATGGCTTGGGGTTCTTTATCGGAGGTGTGCTGCTCTGCCTTCTCGTTCTCGACACACGTATCGTACAAATCCCAATACCTTCGCTCCTCTCCACTCAATCCCACATCCGCCACCGCCTTCCGCCGCCCCAAATCCTCAACAGCACTTTCAATCGACGTCTCCCACCCGCCCAAAAACGCCGCCTCGGCCACCTCCAAAAGATTATGATACATCCACGCCCTTGTTTTCAGATCCTGCTCTAGAACCACCACACCCGTCGTCGAGCCCGCCTCTGAGAAAGGTAGAGAGGCATGCAGCGTCTCCGCGTCCCACATACGGTAATATATAACGCTGGCTGGGGTGATATCGCGCCCGGCGTCGAACTTCGAGACCAAGTCCAGCGCGTGGTCGGCTTGCCATTGGAAGAGCGTGCGCAAGTCGCGGGCATGAGACCTGCTCTCGGTTTCGTTGTCGGGGAAGGGAGAGGAGGTGTTGGTGCCCCCGAGAAGGAGACAGCGTTCCTGGAGCAGCGGCGAGGAAATACTGAACAGCGTGCTGAGGGCGTCTGCTTGGAGGAGGGAGAGCGCGAGGGAGGCGACTATGTGCGGATCGCTCTGAGCGGCAGGTGGTGTTGCTGGCGGCAGGAGTGACGATGAGTGTTGTTGGCCCGCCATCATGTACAGTACCTTTCTGCTTTCGTTGTGAGTTTGCGCAAAATGGAACAGCTCCTTGGGGGGGTCAGGCCAGTGCCATGATCACGTAAGCGTCGGAGTGGGTTGCCCCTTTCTGCCGGGATTTAACAACCAAAACGAGTGATAGAGGATCACAAGCATGTGGGGGTGCGTTAACACTTTAACAAGACTTGTGGCTTGCTATCAATCGTTCCGGGAGTCATCGTTACATTGTGATCAACTCTGTTCATCACCGGTACCTCCGGGGAGAGGTAATTCGCGTCCTTTGAATTGCATTGCACTCTACATTCAACAATCTCTGGCTGGGTCGGGAAACCGCAGAAAGCCGTTGCAGTAATATATCCTCCTTTTACCCTCACGGTTCAGTGATATGCATCGCTTGACCGGCACGATATTCCTTCGTTGATGCCCTTCTAAGAGACCTCCAAAGCAGCTCATGACTGCCCAGCTGCCTCAATCACGATGGTAGTGGCCAACGTGGTAATGGCCACTGATACGTTCATCAAAGTACTTGCGTATGCCTTGGTAGTTCTCGAGTAACAACAATATCTAGCCATAGATTTCAGCGCCCGCCTCGAAATGTAGCCAGTATGCAGCTGTGTTTAATCGCTGTTCTTTGCCTTCGTTTGGGGTCTGCAAAATACCAATGCCGTGCCGACAATGCCAAGCCTTCCTTTCCTATCCAGCCTTTCCACTTGCCTCGCTTCTTGCTGAGTTTGTCAGTCGTTGGGCTATAGGGAATCGTTGCACCTAAATTACTCCCAGCAGGTTTGATCCAACGACGGCGGGTACGAAATGGAAAGACGTGTCAAACATTTTCGTCGACTTCCATCATTGGACCACTGCGTTTCGTTTAGCTTTATACATCAAAATTCTCTTGTCACCACCCGCTGGCCTGGTGGCTATGCCTCCACTTTAACTAAGCTCGGTAGATGGGGTTATCATGGCTTCAAACTTAGTTCCCCAATTGTTTCCGACAACGGCGAGTAGGACCGGGAGAGGCTTCATACAGTCTTGTCAGCCCCCATCATTTGTCTCGCGGATTTCAACCGCACATTCGGGTTTCCTGCCTGTCCAAACCTGCTGTAGGCACCATACACCGGCTGGCTGTATTTTTACATGTGAAGGTTAGATCTTGGCATCGCTTTCTCGACTACAAGCTACGGTGCTGGACAGGAAAGACGCGTCCCCGTCCAGGGCTTGACGCGCTGTCGAATACCGTCACGCCAGCGGGAATATGCACGAACCTTAGATCACCCTCAACACTTTCGCCCACCGGCTCTTTCCCTTCCAATCAGCAGACAGCATTTTAGTAACGACCGTTCCTCATGGCAACCCCAGCTCCATCAAGGCAGGGCGCCTCCGCGGCGGACGAAACTTCCGCCCTCCAATCCTCTTTCCACCGCACAATCGACCGCATCGAGAACCTCAAGATCAAGGTCCGGCTTGCCAAGATCGCTGATAAAAGTGTTCCTCTGGGTGATGGTAAGATCCCATCTCGCACGCTTTGTTGATATGTAATCAACAGTATTGAATGGGCTTTGAATAAGAGTTCCTGCAGCATGACCCGGCCCTGGCGGCGTTGACGGACGACCGACGGCGGGCAATGTTGCCGAAACCGGAGGTAGCGGTGATGCAGTGGGGGGAGAAGGTTTTCAGTCCCAGGTAGGGATGATAAAGACAAAGCCTCCCGCTGCCCTTTTGCGTTGGGGATCAAGTGCTAACGCCGAGATCATGGGCAAGCGAGGTGCTGCGATACCGCGACCTCTCGCGAAACCCGACACAGTTGGAAACGAAATACCACGGGATGGTCCATCAGCTCGCGACCAGCCCACGGAGTGCGGCGGCGAGGGTATTGGCCGCTGGACGGGTTGACGCCAGTAAGTTCCCGGCCATCGAGTGCTTCTCAATGTTGCAGTGTCTAATCTTCGTGACTGCAGCAGGAAAACAACTGTTCACATACACCCAGGCCGACACCTACCGCCCGCCATCCACCTTCCTCTCGTCCCCATTCTCAAACAAACCTACCACACAACCCAACCGGGCGCCAACATTCCACCCTCGCGCCAACACCACCCACCCCCACCGCCACCGCAGGACCAGATTGGAGTTATCCGACATCGTCGCGGAAGACCCCGCAGACCCGCGACCCGCGATCGATGCGCAAGGCGTGGGGTGGGAGGAGATGCATGTTATGGCGTTTCTGGGCGCTGAGGAGGAGAGTGGGGTTGTGGAGAGGAGATTGTGTACGGTGCGGGTGTATGGGTCTGGGTTGGTTGTTTTCACGGTATGTTGTGTGCTGGGTTACGCATGAGAGGATATTTTGGACTGATCCGATCGTCCTTTCACCGTCCATGCACATAACACACATAGCCAGGGCTAACCGACCCGCCGACGCCGTACCGCTTCACACTCGGCCTCGACACCTACGAGTACACGTTCAAATGCGCGTCGGATCCGAAAACGAGGGAGGAGACGGAACGGGAGTGGCGGATCTTTGACGAGTTTTATACCCAGTACGGACAAAAAGAAAAGAGACGTCCCGGGTTTCCCTTCGCATACGCACACTTCTCACACTCCCGTTCTTATTTCCCAGAAAACAAACCCACCTATCCCGCCTCCTTCCCCCCACATTCACCCCCCTCCCCGCCCCCACCCAACTCCGCCACACGCTAACCGGCCAAATTACGCGCACCACCCAGTTCCCCTCCCGCGACGTCTACATCACCTACCTGCTGGCCCTCCCCATCGGCTGGGCGGCCGACGAGGACGAGGCGCGCGGGCAGTTGCTGGGTGGGACAACGCAGGTTGCGAGGGGGGTGTGGGAGAAGGGGTGGCGGGCGAGTGTGGGGTGTCCGTTGGAGTGGGTTTTGGTGCGGAGAGGTAGGTAGGTGGGAGTTAAGGTGGTGCACCGAGGGCGCGGGCGGGCGTACTGAGGGTGTTTCGTGTTTTCGCTAGACAAGAACAAAGACCGGCCGAAGCTGTTCATCACCGTCAACAGCGTCGACTCGTGGAACAGACATCGCGTCGAGGGGTATGGGTATCTGTACATCCCGCAGACGACCGGTAACGTTACACTCCCCCTCCTCTGGTCTTGATAACACGTATGTGGCATATTGACATCTCACACGTCGAGTCATTGACAGGCCATCATACCCTGACAATCCCAACCTGGCGCCCCCTCGGCACCTACCTCACCCGCCTGCGCGAGTTCTTCATCGGCGGGTCGCCCGAGCTCGAGGATCTGGAGTGGATGTGCCTTCCCGACGGAGATAAGGTAGCGCGTTTTCGACCCGTGATGGTTCCTGGATAAGTGAGACTGATCTGTGGATTTGGTAGCCGCGGGTAGTCAACAAGTTCGGCTCGCAGGTGGCGACTTCGGGCACGGTGGAGGTGGAGTTGAATGTTGTTGAGCAGGCTGAGTCCGTATTCGTTCTTTTTCGTATCTGGGGTTACCACAGGCATCTGATCCCCGATGGATGCACACATGTAGGGTTCATCAGGCGAAAGCGTCGGCGCGGAAGGATGGGCTTGGGCAGTAAGTTTCCCGGTTCTTCGTGCTCTCATCGTGCATGCTTCAATCAATGCCAACTAACGGACTTCCAACCATTCAGTTTGAACAAGATGAACATCCAGGCGATAACAGGTAGGGAACAGCATGATCTCCATCGTTATCCGGGCCGGGGAACTGACCTCTGACCTGTGGTAGATGCGCTGGCGCGTGCCCGAGCGAGAGTGAAGGCGTTGCAGGAGAGCAGGATGGGTGCGGGGGCGGGGTAGGGGACGTGGATTTGGGTGATGCTGGCTAGGGGCTGTATGAATTTGTACATACGTATCACGATTGGAGAGGCGAGGCTGGACCTCCTGCACGTGTATGGTCTTCTCTCCGAGCGAGAAAACCTTGTATTGTTCGGTGCGCTCACGTACAGTACGTGCATTCAGCATCGTGCGTCGAGGATAGAATCACAATGTATTTACAAAAAGAGTGCAACATGTTCCCTCCCCTCTCTCGCGCTCACTGCCGCCTCTTCTTAGCCGCAGCCCGCGCCGCCTCCCCTTCATCCTCATACACACTCTCCGCATGCACCGGTTTCGGCTGGTTCTTGGTATACGCAGGCGCAACCCAAAACGGTTTTTCTACACCACAAAAGAGCATCAGTCACCCATTACTATCAGAACCCCAAACATCAAGAAGACACACGCACACACACATCTCACACATACCTTCAGCCTCCTTAGCATGCTTCAAAAACGCCTCTCTCGGGTCCTGACTCCTACTATCATCCTTAATCAGCCCCTTCATGATATGCTGCGTGACATTCGTGCCGACTTTGCCGCCGCGGCCGGGGCCCGTCATGAGCGGCATGTCGGGTTTGCGGGTCGCGATGGGGTCTGCGCGGAGTTTCTCGATCTTGCGTTTGGTGGAGCGGGAGGCGTTGAGGGCGTCGTCGCGGTACATGGCGAGGGCGTGGGGGTTGATGATGGGTCTAAGTAACAAGGGGGGAATGGGTTAGAGCTATGCGGATATTGTGATTTTGGTTAAAGGAGTTGGGGCATACGCACCGATGAGCGTCATCAGCAAAAACCGCAAACTCTCCCCGTTTCTTCGGTACCTTCCCCAACGCCGCCTTGATCCCCGCCAAGCTCAGCACGGGGTCATACATAACCTGCACGCTCCCATCCCCGGTCCCCAACACAATCTGGTTGATCTTCGGATGCCACGCGACCCTGACCACCGAGCTCGTCGCGACCTGTACGTTCGCGACCTCCTTCAGAGAGTCACGGTCGAAAACGCAGAGTGTGCCGAACCCTTGGTCTTTTTTGACGGAGGTGCCGGTGAGGATGTACCGGTCGTTGGGGGAGAAGGTGACGTCGGTTTCTTCGAAGAAGTTGGGGAGGTTCGGGACGGTGTGGAGGGGTTGGCGGAGGGAGCGGAGGTCCCAGAGTTTGAGGGTGTCGTCCATGGCGCGGGTGGCGAGGAGCGGGGAGGGGGTGTTGCGGGAGAAGGTGAGGGAGGTGATGGGTGCGCCGGGCATGTGGGCGTTTTCGACATTCTATGTTTTCGCACTCATTCATTAGAAAGGAGGCTCGTAGAGCGTGACTGGAGCTGACGGAATTAGACTTACATGCGAAGGCGCCAGGAAATTACCATTACTATTCCATATCCTCAGCGCGCCGTCCTGCCCTCCGCCCGCAATCAGCTTGCCGTCATGCGAGTACGCGGCGGCCGTTATCGCCGTTTTCCCACCCGGCTGTTTTGATTTCACAGCGATGACCTGTTTGTGGCTTCGTTTGGATGTCACGTCCCAAATTCTGCAAAAGAAAAAGGGGAGCTTTTAGTTCGAGGGATTCTCTTCTACCTGCCGTTCTCTTATACACGGTCCCTGGCGAGTGATAGACTGTACCTTATGGTGCTGTCTAGCGACGCGGTAAGGAACGTCGACTTTTCAAACGGGTGCCACCTGCACGCCGTAAGTGCCGCCACATGTCCCCTATTCCCAAAACACGGTCAGCATGCGGCCCTTCTCAAATCCCCATAAATCCCCAAAACCCCGCAAACCCACTTCGTATGCCGCATATCCCGGATATACGGATCGCCTTTAACAAATTCCACACTTCTCTTGTCGGTTAATATGTCCAGTCAACCCTTCGTGATGACCGCAATCGCTCACTCACATCTCGACCCCGTCCCTGTCGTACACCTTTGGCTGCGCGGAGCTGGAGGCCATTAGGATCTGGTCGCCGCTGGGGCTGAATTGCACGTCGCGGATCTACGTTCAAAACAAAAAGTCAGGTCAAGAGGGCGATGTCGGGGCGGCGAAAGAACCTTGGAAGGACTTACAGGATTGCCACTGGTCGCCTCAAACGATCGAAACGGCTTCAACGAGGCGTCCATCCCGTGGAAATCCCATAGCTTGAACATGCAGTCCCGGCCGCCCGTTACGAAGCGGGATCCGGAGGGGTCGATTGAGAGTGCTGATACCGTCTGCTCGAAAAAAGAGTCGCGGGGTGTCAGTCCACCGTTGTCCGGATAGTACCTCCTTTGGAATGCAGACGTACCCTCTGGTGATCCTTCAACGCAGCCTGATGCGATATCGGCAACTCATCCGCATCGTGCGCCGCTTCGTCTTCCGACCCTGCGCCGTCGTCGTCGTCGTCGTCGTCGTCGTCACTATCGTCCGCGTACCTCGCCAACCCCGTTTTCGCTCCACCCTGCGATTCTATTTTCGCTTTCTCCACACCAGCACCCGTCCCTGCACCCGCCGCAGGTTTCACGGTAATGTCCATCCCGACATTCCCTTCGGGTTTAGACTCGGTTTTCGCAGCGGGTAATGTCGGCTCGACCACTGCTCGCTTGGTGTCGTTCATGGCTTTAGCGAGTTGGGAGGCCGAGTTGTCCTTTTTGACGGCGCCGAAGCCGACGGGGAGGCCCATGGCCTGCATCATGGCTATTTCTTCTTCTGTCATATTGTTGTTGTGTGGGAGTGGTGGTGATCTCTGGCGACTTGGGAATTGCGACTCCCTAGTAGTTGCTGCAAGTTGCACGCGCCCACATTCCCCCAGCAGCCCACAGCAGCCCGTCCAAAGCTCCTACTTTCCGCGAAGACACTACAGATATCAACCAACGCAGCCTTCGTGAAGGACTGGGGCGGCCCCAGGCGGATACCACACGACGTATCAAGCCACATCTTAGAGGTCTTTCTGTGTCCAATTGAACTCCGACACTGGACAACAGGAAAGGCAACATGTCGGTCTTTATATGTCGAGGACTAAGGTCCACCCTCTCGGGCTCCCATCTCTGTGTCCGTCAGCACCGCACTTCCCTCCTGCGCCTGATGTCAACCCACCCCACCCTTAGCTTCCAACGCTTCTCACCCCCCACCGGCACCGCCCGCACCTCCATCTCCCCCCTCGTCATCCTGCACGGCCTCTTCGGCTCCAAACAAAACTGGCGGTCGCTCTCCAAAGCGCTCGCCTCGAAACTGGGCACGGACGTGATACCTGTGGATCTGCGAAACCATGGAGAGTCGTTTCACGACGCGCGGCATGATTTCGAGACGATGGCGGAGGATGTGAGAGAGTTTTTGGAGACGGAAGGGCTGGGAAAGGTTAATTTGGTGGGACATTCTATGTAAGGGTCGTTGCTTGCTTCGATACGTTGATGGGGAGGGAGATGTGTTATGCGAGACAACTCAAATGTTTGTTTGGACTATAGGGGTGGGAAAGGTGAGTTTCCCGATCCTGTCGCAAGATCAACGTTCGAGTAGAGCCTGAAATACGGGATACTCTCCGCCTTCATTCCAGTCGCAATGCACTATGCTCTGCAAGATGGGAGTCGCCTCGACAAGCTTATTGTCGTTGACATGGCGCCGGCAAAACAGAGGCAGACGAAGGAGTTTGGCGGGTATGTCAACGTCATGAAGAAGGTGGAGGCTGCCAAGGTGACGAGCAAAGATCAGGCGGACAAGATCATGGAGGAGGATGTTAAGGTGAGTTGTTCACAGCCCTTCCCGCCATCTGGGTTGTCGCACATGGCTAACCCCCGCATACTAACGCCAGGACCTCTCAATCCGGCAATTCCTCCTGACGAACCTCCGCCGCACCCCGGGCGACCCGCACATGACATTCCGTATCAACCTCCCCGCCCTGGAAGAGTCGCTGGAATCCCTGTGGAGGTTCTCGCTTGCCGGGAGTGGGAAGACGCATGACGGGCCCGCGTTGTTCATTGCGGGCACGAAGGCGAGGTATATCACTGAAGAGTCGAGGCCGGTGATCAAGGAGTTCTTCCCGAGGGCAGTAGTGGTGGATGTTGACGCGGGGCATTGGTAGGTTTGCAATGCAATTTGGGTGATGGGTGGTAGTGGCGGCTTGTGGATGGTTGTGCAAAGCCTGATACGGTTGTTTGTGTGGGTTGCAGGGTACATGCTGAGAAGCCGGAAGAGTTTTTGAGGCTTGTGACGGCGTTTCTAACTGACTCGGTTGAAAAGTAGCCTGAGGGGGATGTATGCATAGACGATGTAGGTCGGTAGTAGGTAGAGAAGTCATTGAACGTAGTCCTTGAAACGTCCAATTGTACTGTACTGTACATGCATGCGGTTCCTGCGGTTCCAAGCGACCTGTGAGTACCCTGGTGAGTACCGCCCGTCTCTGTGAGTGGGAAAGCTGTGCAGAATGACAGGCACGAAGGAGACGAGGAAAGGGCCAAGGGTCAAATGCGCGTTCGACTTCTCACCCGAACTTTGTAACTTGGCGAGAGGGGAGGAAGGGCGTTGCTTCCAGCACTCACCACAAGCACAAGCACAAGCACCATGTTGTCCCGAACGGCCGCTGCGACCCGAGGGAAGCCGTCCACCGCAGGAATGTGTCCGCGGTGCTGTCTCAAGGCGACAGGGTATGCACTGTCATATTCCACCCGAGCAGCGTTCAGACGCAGGCAGGTCTCGATAGTTACGTCTTCAACCGCAACCCCAACAACAGGCCCAGCGGGGCAGGCTCCCGTTACCACTGCGGTGAAATGGGGTTCGATAGTAAGGGGAATGGCACACTGGAACGCCTTCAGCAGGAGCGTTGGAAAAGGATCTAGCCACGGCAACCACAAGCACCCGCCCCTCCAGCAGATCGACGAATTGCTCAACAACTCCCATCAACAACCCAACCATCCACCGCCGGTCCAGCACCTCCACGTCTTTGAGAGCAGGTACACCGCCGCCGCCAGACTGTCCGAATCCTTCGACGCAAACGCGTTCCCATACCACCTCACACCGCAAAACAAAAAAACCTTCAAAACGTTGCTGTTGGCAGGGTTATCCAGTCACCGCTTCGCAGCAAAGAACATCGTGCTCTCTTCGCCGCACCCGGGCGCGGTCGCGTTCATGGAGAAGATGGCCAAAGCAGCCGCGAGGGAAATCGGCGCGGACGTGCTGACGCTGGATTTTGTGGACGTGCTCAAGGGGGTGAAGGAGCTGGATGATCGGGCGAGCCTGGCCGCGAGCTTGGAGGCCGCGAGGGGGCAGGGTGAGAGGGGCTCTAGGGTGGTGGAGAAAAGCAGGCCAACGGCGCTGACGCTGTCGGACCCGTTCCATCCGTCAACGCTGTATATGACCGCCGTGGAGGACGCTGGTGAAAATGAGGTTGATGAAGAGCATGATGACGAGTATGACGAGGAAGGGGAAGAAGAGGATGAGGTGGACTACCGCTCCACGGACCCTGGGAACCCGTACCAGCGGCGATACAGCCCGTGGACGGGTTCACCCCTCCACGGCGGGGGCGGCGGGGGCGCGTCGTCCTCACCCACGCCTTTGATGTTACACCTCCATGCGGGCCCACAATCACGGGGAGGTGACGGCGCATCTTCTCGCGCGGACTCGGACCCGCCACGCCCGATGCATTTCACCCTCGACCACCCCGCATCGTCGCGCGTCCTGACCTCCCTGTTCCCGACTCAAAACGCGGCCGACTCGACACCCGATGAGGTCAAGACAGCGATCGAGGAGTCTATCTACAGCGAATCCCTGTCTTCTGCCCAATTGACCGATTTCGCGAAGTTCCTCGTCGATTTCATCAAAAGCCGATGCGGCGGGATGCCCTTCGCACCCTTCGCCAATCTGCAATCCTCCCGCAAGCTCGTCCTCTACGTGAAAGACATGACGGACCTCCTCGTCGCGCCAGGCGGGAAAGAATTGGCCGTGCGGTTACTCGACGCAGTCAAGGAACTCCGCACCCACCACCGCATCCCCGTCGTGCTCGTCACCGGGTGCAGCCCAAGCCTCGTGCTACCAGGAAACATCGGCCGCGGCCGCGACACGGAATTCTACACCGAGTTCTTTGCCGGCCGCACTGAGCCTCTCTTTGTACCCCCCGGCGACGCCGACGCGTATTCATCACGTCTCTGGAGCGATGGCAAGATATTTGCGACACCGCTGGATAAAATGACAACCGTGTTTGAGAAGATCGAGTTGGCCCCGCCGGCCTTGTACCTCGTCTCCCCGCACGCCACGCCCACTGACGACGACCGCCACCGCCAGCAGCACTGGCTCGAGCAGATGAAGCGCGACATGCATGCGCGGATCCTGCAGCTGAACCTGTCCCGCATCGAGGTGGTGTGTGCGCATGCCGGGTTGGCGGTGCGGCCGGGGGTGCTCGAGCACCTTGCGGCGGGGTTGACTGCGCGCGCTGCGGGGGGGAAGAGTAAAGGGGGCGCGGGGAAGGTGCATGCGTTGGAGGAGGCGCTGTGGACGAGGGTGAAGGCGGAGCGGCTGGTGGGGTTGGCGGTGGGTGTGAAGGCGGATACGGCCTTTTCGGTTGCGCCGCGGAGTCCGTTGGATGTTGGTGCGGAATCGGTACCGACAACAAGCAAGAACAACAACAACAACAACAACAACAACAACAACACCTCGGACCTGGAAGCGGAGCACTTTGAAAAGGCTTTGGCGATTATGAGGGAGTCGGACCGCCCCGCGCCCGTGCCGGATGGATGGGGCCCCGGCGGGTCTGTCGCTGCCGCTGGTCAGGACGGCGGCGGGTCCGGTTCTGGGTCGCACCACCTCGCCAATTCGACTGGGGAATCCACAACCACTCACGACGGAAACCTCGTAGCACCCGAAACACCAACAACCAACCCGTCGCTGCATACAGCCACCCCCACCCCCACCCCCGCACCAACCCCCCACTCCCACCCCGACCTCACCGCCGAGCTCAAACGCGCCAACATCACCCTCAACGCCTACGAAAAAAAGCTCCTCACAACAGTCATCAACCCCCAGAACCTCACCGTCTCCTTCTCCGACCTCGTCCTCCCCTCGCACACAAAAACCCTCCTCCAAACCCTCACCGTCCTCCCCCTTCTCAAGCCCCACTACTACACCGCGGGTGTCCTCGCGCGCCATTCCATCACCGGTGTCCTCCTCTTTGGGCCCCCCGGGACCGGCAAATCACTCCTCGCCAAAGCGCTCGCGAAGCACTCGGCGGCACGGTTCATGAGCGTCGCGCTATCGGACGTGTACGACAAGTACGTGGGCGAGGGGGAGAAGAACGTGAAAGCGATATTCACGCTGGCGAGGAAACTGAAGCCGTGCGTGGTGTTCTTGGATGAGGTGGATGCCCTGTTTGCGAGACGGGGCGGGGTAAACGATATGCCGACTAGACGGGAGGTTGTGAATGAGTTTATGAGCGAGTGGGATGGGTTGGGGGGGAACAATCAGGGGTTGGTTATTGTGGGTGGTGAGTGAAAGAAAAAAAGCTTTGGTGGTTCTGTGGTGCGGGGTGGAGTTGCGGGTAGCATGATACTGATCCCTTTTTTACGGATTTGTGTTTCCGCGACATTTAGCAACCAATCGACCGTTTGACTTGGACGACGCGATTCTCCGCCGGATGCCGCGGCGCATTATGGGTAAGTCTCAGATATCACCCGTCCCCCCACACACACTCTTAGAAAGGGTTTCTGAACAAGTACTGCTCTCTCGTTCACCTCAGTGGACCTCCCCAAACAGCCGCAACGCCACGCCATCCTCTCCCTCCACCTCCGCGGCGAGCACCTCTCCCCCACGCTCGACCTGGACCGGCTCGCCCGCCGCACGGAAAAGTATTCCGGCTCCGACCTCAAAAACCTGTGCGTGGCGGCCGCCCTCGCGCGCATCCGGGACGCGGTGGGGGGCGACGAGGGGTTGGAGAAGCTTGTGCGGGTCAGCGGCGGCGGGGGTGAATCTGATCCGCTGAAGATGCCGGAGGAGGAGGTGGTGGTCCAGGGCCGGCCGAGCGATGAGAAGCTACCCCCGCTGAGCAACGAGCATTTTGAGACGGCGCTGAAGCAGGTTGCGCCGAGCCTGACGGACGAGATGCAGACGCTGGTTGAGCTGAAGAAGTGGGATGAGCGGTATGGGGAGCGCAAGGATCCGGATAGACGGGGGAGGGATGTGTGGGGGTTTAATGGGTGATGGCGGGGGTTGTTTTTATGTTCATATGTGATTTCTTCTGTCCGCCCTTCCCTTTGTACAGTATAAGTGTGTTGTGTAGATGGTTGTTTCGTGAGATGAATAGCGTTGCTCCCCTTTGCGCCCTCCCGCCACGCGCTGCTCTCCGCTCGTTCCCTCCGCCAAAACGTCCCCGCAGAACAGACCCCCAAGAGCAGCGGAAACCCCCCAAACAAAGGCACTCCCTCCAGCCATAAAGCAATGCCAAACCGTCTCACAAACAAAGTCGCCCTCATCACCGGCGCAGGGAGGTAACTCACTCAACGCGTCTCAACCCATCTCTCTATCACACCCCGCCATCTCATTCCATCTTTTCCATCTCCCCCCCGCCCCACGAAACAGCGGCATAGGCCTCGAAACGTCCCTCCTCTTTGCCCACGAAGGCGCCCGCGTAGTCTGCGCCGACGTGAACCAGGACGCGGGGACCGCCGTTGTGAAGAGGATCAATGAGGAGTTGAAGAGTGAGGTGGCGGTCTTTGTCAAGGTGGATGTGAGCAGGGAGAGTGATGTGAAGGAGGCTGTGAGGGTTGCTGAGGAGAGGTTTGGTGAGTGTTGCGAGGGGAGGGGGTGGAAAGAGAGCTCACCACAGCCCAACATCGTTGTCGCGACCATCATCCTTTCATCTCATCATTCCACTCGTACACATAGGCAAACTCCACATCGTCTTCAACAACGCAGGCATCATGCACCCCTCCGACGACAACGCCGAAACCACCGACGAGAAAGTATGGGACCTCACCATGAACATCAACGTCAAGGGGGTGTGGTTCGGGTGCAAGCATGCCATCCCGGCGATACGCAGGGCGGGTGGCGGCAGTGTCATCAACACCGCGAGTTTTGTCGCGGTAAGGGGCGCTGCGACGCCGCAGTTGGCTTGTAAGTTGCCGGGGGGTGAGATGACAGTGTAGAATCCGAATTCCTCCAGCTCACTCACACGCCGTGTCTTTTTCAGATACGACTTCCAAAGGCGCCGTCCTGGCCATGACGTGAGTTTTTGGGCGATCTCTGTTTCGAACTTCCTCCTTCTCCTTCAGGCCGACCGTTGTCTCACGAGTATGGATGTTCCCGCAGCCGCGAACTAGCAGTCATTCACGCCCGCGAAAACATCCGCTTCAATGCGCTCTGTCCCGGGCCCATCAGGTAAAAGGGAAAACCACCGTCCTCCCGTTCTGAATCTGGAAACGAGCCCCCTAACGAAACTCAAAACGTCGCACACACAGGACCCCACTCCTCATGAACTTCCTGAACACGGAAGAAAAGAAGCAACGCCGCTTGGTCCACGTCCCCGTCGGACGGTTCGGTACGTCCCTCCTCCCTCCTCCCCTTTCCCCTCCGCCTCCCTACTCCCATATCCCTCCGCTCACCCCCCCCCCCCCCCCCCCCCCCCCAACCCCACAGGCGAAGCAATCGAACAAGCCTACGCAGCCCTCTTCCTCGCCTCCGACGAATCCACCTTCATCACCGGCACCGATTTCCTGGTCGATGGCGGTCTGAGCGCGGCTTATGTTACGCCAGAGGGGAGTACGACTACTCACAGTGTGCATGGGAATTATTCCGGGGTTTGAATGGGGTGTGGGATGGGTGGGAGATGAATATATACGCGACGGGGGGTATGTTCCTGATTTCGACCCAACCGAATGCTTCGTCCTGCGCTGGTAGGAGCATATGAGCGGCGCTCCTCCAGCTCCGGAAGCGGAGAGGTAATCTGTAGCGGGGGCGTATGGGCACATGTATATGACATTTTCGGATACACAAGAAAAACATGTCTTTCTCCCCTGCACATATGGCTCCGAACACACCGCCCTCCTCACATCCATCTACCCGAACCACCCCCCAAAAAGCCCTTGCAACCCCACCCCCATCACATTTTCGCATCACTCTTACTCACATAATAAACCATTATTCCCAACCCCGCCGCAACCCCAGCCAGCACAAACCAAAACTTCAGCCGATGAATCCACCTCACCACGGGCGTCATCCCACTCAACCTCTGATCGCTCGGAAAGCACCAATCGCAAAACCACGTGTCGTCGATAATCACCACGGGCGGCGGGGACGACAGGCCGGTGTACTCCTCCATCTCAAACAGCTTGACGTCCGCAGGGGTGACGGCGTTGGTGCGGAACAGCGTGCGCGTGCGCGACGTCTCGAGGTAGTCGGTGTCGGTCGCGACCAGCACGGCGTCGTACGTGACCAGCAGCGCGGTGGCTGTTGTCGCCGAGGACGCCGCGGGCGTGTCGGTGTCGGTGTAGGTGTCGCCGGCGGCGGCGGGGGACTCGACGTCGACCGTGGCTTCCCCGTCATCCCCGTCTTTCCCACTCGCGCGGCGACCCGGCCCCGCCGTCCGTGGCCGCTGCGCGACCGCCTTCATCCACTCCTCCATCTTGTCCGCCTCGGCGCCGTAGTTCAGCAGCGACAGCGCGCGGCGCCGCGCGGGCGGGGTCGAGGATACCACGTCGTCGCCGGCACCCACACCCTCCCTATCGGCAATACTCTTCCCGAACCGCGTCGCGGTCCCGAACGGAACCTGCGTGCGCTGCTGCTTGGTCCCCGTGTTGAGCATCAGGAATCCCTGGGGCGGTTTGGTGACGATGTGCACCTTTGCCGTGCCTTCTTCGTCGCCGCTTTCTTCGGGGATCATGCCGTCGCGCGCTGTGGACGGCGTGAGCGGGACGGTGATGATGAAGTTTTCCGGGTCCCGCTGCGAGCTGGTGGAGGTTGGGTAGGCGGATTTGGGCCCGCGCGGTGGGGAGATCGCGGTGGGGTAGGGGCTGGTGAGACGGAGGGTGGCGAGACTGAATTTACGGCGGAGTGGGCCTGCGGGGAATCTCAAAGTTTAGAATCTCTGCACCCGTAACAGGGGGGGGGGGGGGGGGGGGGGGGAACGAATCCTCTGAACGAAATTGGGGGGAAAAAAAACTCACCAGTCCCGAGCGGCTCCTCCTCCGTGATCTCCTTCACCAGCGGCCCACTCAACGTCCAACTCGGTAACTCCCCCTTCTCGATCTCCCGCACGCTCGGGCTCGGCGGCGGCAGATCCAAATACCGACTCGCGCCGGGCGGGGCGGTGTTGATCGCCAACGACATCTTTCGTCGCGCCGCACCCAGCGGGCCCGCGGTGGATGGCCGCCCGCCGCGTTTGGCGGGCTTGCTGGGCGTTATCGTGTCGATGGTGGGGACGAGATTGACCCCGTCGCCCGCCGCAGGCGCTTCGAGATCCTCGACAGGCACCGTGGCGGCAATCTCCGCCCGGTCCTCCATATTCGCCTTGCTCTCGGATTTCGCGAGCTTCCCCCCACCCCCACCACCCTCGCTCTCTTGCAACACCGCCGGCGGCGGCCCCCCTCGACCCTCATCCCCGCCCCGCCCCTCCGACGACCCCGTGCTGGCCTGCGCGCCTTGCTCCTTGTTGAGCCGGATGATGAAGTACTGCACGTCGCCGATGATGTCGGTGTTGGTTAAGGGGTTGAGCACGTGCAGCCGGTGGATGAGCTTCTTGCCGAGGTACACTTGCGTTTGAAACAGGATCTTGTTGAGTTGATATGCGCTGCGTCGTAAAAAAATAAATAAATATATATCAAACATTGTCATTGGATGGGCCATCTGCATGGTAGAAACGGGCACAGCGGAACCCACCTGTAGTACGAATAAAACACCTATCCGAAACAAAAGCCATCAATACCTCGCATCTCATGAGAGAAAAAGAGACATCGCATCCACTCCCGGGCCAGGTCATACCTTCCCCGGCTGCTTGACATCCCACGTCTGGGTCCTTGCGATGATGAAACTCTTCGACCCTTTCGGCTCGCACTCGTAGTGCGCCTCGATCGAGTCGCCGAACGTCTCGAGCGTGAAGCTGTCCTCGTACTCGGTCGAGACCGAGTCGAGGACGGTCGTGCCGGACGTGTCGAGGAGGCGGATGATGCCTTCTTTCATTTTTGTTTTGGGGGGGAGGGTGGAGAAGACGGTGCTTTGCTGGGGTTGGGCGTGGAGGGTGGGTGCGTTGGGTTTCTAGCTGAGTTGGGTCCACGTTGACTGGATCTATATCTGGACTGGCAGGGAGATGTGAAAGAAACGGACGCTTCCAATTCAATGCCACACCGCGCGACGGATTGGCAGAGCTCTATGACGGACAGAAAAGGGCTGGATGAAGGGAATATTCTTCTCGCAAGTCTGTAGACTCGTAAGATAAACCTGGGCGGTTTTTGCGCGGGGGCACCCGGAAACTTTCTGCCTCGGCGCTTGTTCCCGTCAAGATCAAGCTTAGCTCAGATAGAAAACTGGTGGGGCTTCTCATAGGCTTTTTTTTGCCTTGAGGCATATCAGTTGACTGCCTGGGAGTCCGGGGGGAGCGTTGGACGAGATGGGGGGAAATGGACAAGTTAACGCAGACCCATGTTCAACGCCAGTTGGGGCAAAAGGTGAAAGGATATGCAGCAGGATGGGTGTGCGACAGAGATAGGTACATGCATACATGCAGCATCGTTGCGCTTTCACCTTCGTATATACCCCAGCATCACCCAGAACCATCATCCCTTGTACTGCTCCTGCTCTGGTACACCGGTGGCGGGCTGCCCTCAACCCTCTCTGTTTCCCCGCCCACACGCAACCCAAACCATCCACCCACTCCCCCCCAAATACATCACACTCCCCACCACCTGCATCCCCCCGACACACCACACACACCCTGCGCTCCCCGCCTCCCACAACCCGGCACACCCACCCACCACAAACAGAACCGACCCGCACCAATACGCCCACCCACCCACCGTCCACTCCGGCGCGGCCGACACGCCGGCCAGGAAGGCGATCGAGCCGAGGATCGAGGGGATAAAGATTTGCGCGGTGGAGAGGGGAGGGAAGGAGGATGCGGCCGAGAGGGTGAAGAGGAGGATGCCGACGAGGAAGATGGTGGGCGGGAGGAGTGGGGCCAGGGCGGGTGCGGGCGAGGCGGTGCTGGATGTGGCGCTGATTCGGAGACCGGAGAGGGAGGCTTCGGAAGCCCATGTTGCCGGCAATTGTGGTGGGGATGTTGTTGCATATGTAGATATCCTCCGTTTCGCCGTCGTGCCCGTCAACGAAACGCGGCGGGTGGGTTCCTTATATCTAGCGTCCAGGGACCCCATGCCGTCCTCGATCCACGAATCGCGCCTCGGGAGATGGACCCCTTCAGGTGGGGGTGACAGTTCGCTCGACTTCATGACCCTAGGCGTCGTCGCGGACTCCCCCGGCCACACTTTGCATCCCCCCGTCTTGGTCATTGTCCTCGCCTCACTGCCATGCCCCACTGCCGCCGCACCCGCCATTGCAACCCTCAACCCCAATACCCACTCCACAGCAATCCCCACGCAAAACACAAGACATCCCGCCAGATTCATGATGTTTGCCCATAGGGCATACGCGTGCATCGAGGGTGTGAGTGCTGAGAGGTTGTAGGAGGAGTAGTATGTAGGCAAGCAGCCGAGGACACTGGAGAGGAGGAAGAGGAGGGAGCCAAGGGTATAGCTTGCGGGGATGAAGAGGGCTAGCTTGTTGGTGGTATGGGTGGGTGGTGGTGTAGGTGAGGGCGATGGAGATGGAGATGGAGCGGAGAGGGTGAGTTGGGTGGTCGTAGGTAACGTGCGGGTGGCGAAGGAGGGGCATGGTGGCTAGCGGGACCATAAGCGTTATGATAAGACATCGGGTGAATGAGAGGGCCGGTACAAGAGCAGATACCATACCTGGGCATTGTCATGCAAAGGCTGCCGTGAGAGGAGAGGGAAAGAAAGGTTTCTGTGCATTCTTCGTGAGCGAGAGGGGCTCTTTGTCAACGGAGTTCAGGTTCGGTTCGTATGGAGCCAGCTTGTCAGGACAGGGAAGGAAGGAGGTGGGGGTTGCAAACAGCGGGTGGGATTGCGAGCGGAAAGACAAACGAACGCGTGACGCAGGCGCCCTCCGACCCATTCACCCAGCGCACCCGACTAACACCTCTACTTTGGCAACATCATACCTCGTAACCCCCTTCCTCGCCCTCGCCAACGAATCCTCGCTCGGGATCTACCGCTTAAACGAGCACGCTCCATCCCAGCTTAGTCGGTCAGAAACAGGAATCAACGGCATAACAACCGCAGTGACCAAATCCCGCGCGTTGCTGGTGGAGGCGCGAGATATACAGCAGAATAGGGGTAAACTGACTCGTTTGGGAGATGTGAGGAGTATCTGGAGAGGATTGCCGCTGCGAGGTGGGCAGGTGGTGTGGGGATGCGCAGGGAATGTAGTCGGGGGGAGGAAGCGGACGGCGATCAGTAGGACGTGATCATTGAAAGTATACACATTTATGGAGTGAAGCAGGAAGATTGGAGGATAGAGGCGATGCAGGCTGGGTGCGCTATAGATCTGGATACCTCGTGCTCAAGTTGAACGCCATGATTGTGCATTGTGAGTGACCTACATACCTATTCAACCTATCTCTACTAAATATCCGACCCGTCGAGGGTTGTCCATATGTTATACTCCGTCCCATCTCAACCGAGTACTAATCGTCCACCCAAGCACACTCCTGCCTTTGCCCCTCCTCCGACAAATACTAAATCAGCACATATTCCCCCACCCACCCGGTATGGTAATACTGCACCCACGCCTCGGGATGCTCTTCCCCAATGCGCAGCTGGATCAACTCGACCACATTTTCCTTTTTGAGTGCGCCAAACAGTGCCTCGTCCTTTTCCTTGTCGGGTTTGAACAAGGGAACCGCTGGATTGTGGGTTCCTTGGATTGTGGAATGCTCGTCGTCGGTAAGGTGTTCAGAAACATGCAGGCGTTCCAGAAGCGGAGCAAGCGAGATGCGACCTCGGTCTTTGTCAGTCCAGTTTTTTAGCTGCTCGTCCAGTGCGTCCAACTCAGGGCTCGGTGCGAAGATAAACGGGCACCTCAGGTCCACCCTGGCTGCGCCACCCAAACGCTCTACGCGTTACCTTAAGGCACAATTAGGGAAATTAAAGCAGTTTCCTCACAAAACCCTCTTTTTTGAGCAGCCATACCATCCCACAGACATGCAGGACGACCTATTCCCTTTGCATACGGCTCCAGTTGCCTACTTTGGCCAATCCCCCCTAAGTGTCTGTGGGGGTAGCTGTTGCAACAAACTTAACACAGAGGCCCAAAAGTCTGAGTAGTAAAACTGTCTTTCCTTGGCCGTTTTTGGGTAAAACTTGCCAATTAGAGGTGTCAAACCCTGAACCAGTGCCTTCTTCACCAAACTGCCTAATCAATCTTTCTGCTAGCATGTCTGGCTGTCAAGATACTGCTCAACATGTGCAGCAACTTTGGGTCTGCGAAAACCTCGTTAAGTCCAAAAGTCGTCAAAAAACTGTCAGTGGCTTAGCCAGGGTGGACCTGAGACGGGCACGCCATGTCGCCCTTCCTGCGTGTGAGAGATGACTCTTTTGTCCCATCCGCGGCCAGCTCGGCCTAGTGCGCGTTATTCCCTGGCACATTGGGATAGACTGCCCTGCCACCACCGTTGCACCCCTCCCCAATCTCCCTCTGCATCTTCCCCAAAAACCTAAACTCGCTCCTCAACGCAAATTCCCAGACCCAATAAGCAGTGGCAAGGTCGGGAGAGCTCCTTTTCGGCATGGTGAGGTTGAGAATGGATCTATGAAATAAGAAGGAGAGAGTGAGTACAGGCGAAGAGAGAACAGAGCCGAGGTCTGAAACCAGCTTGTTCGACTACCAGAGAGGTGGGGAAGGGTGTCACTGCAGAACGAAATGACCACAAACGTGGTTACCGAAGAAGGACCTGGTTAGCTCTTTGTGGAAGGCTACACGCCGCCAACGTCGAGACTGAGAGCAGGCGGTGGTACTCTGTTCCACTATGGATCTGGGGCGTTTGCCAAGGCAACGTGGGTTTCGCAACGACGAGCGCGCAGGCTGGGATGTTGCTCGGAATGTCTTCCACCTGAACTGACGGGAAGACGCGCTGTCGTAATTGCCCACTTTTGACGCGTGCCGTTTTCCGCTGCATATGCGCTCAGAGCAGGTGTGGGTTGGCGAACCATAGAAAGATATTGAAGCGGGTCATTTCGAGAGGGTGAATCTCCAAATCGGAAGATGGCGGACTTCTTGCCCAAAACAGCTCCACTAGACTGGGATCTCATCCTCCAGGTCGATGTCGACAATTTGACTCATCAGGTAAACATGAGGACGGGTCGATACGATCTTGACGAACTGCATTGTAAGGGAGAAGTGATTGAATTTTTTATTCTACAATAGAGCCCCGGAGAGCTTGATCGACAACTAGAGGAGCTGTACGATGTCCTTGTGCGGGCGCATGTGCCTCCAGATGGTACGTTTCGGATGTCAATTCACGGACGTGGTCATCAACTAAAAATGTATCCGCGTGCAGATGAAAGGGGCACGCCTGAAAATATGATGCACCTGTTCCGGGTGACGCAGATTGTCATGGAGTAAGTTGGCAATGTTCAGATGGGTATCCATTTCATGCCGACGGTATGGGAAGCTGATGGATGGTGCGATGGGGTAGGAACAAGAACCTGTATCTGGTGCAGGCGGAGGATGATATCCGGATGTTGGAAGTAGGTGCCTCTGTCACCTAGCCTCAGCGCTGCAGACGAATGGGGTCAGGGATTAAGCTTCGCGCACCTCGCAATGAACGACTGTAGGCGAAAGTCCAGGAGAGAGACGACGAGATGGCCGGCCTGATCGCTGGTGGAGATGCCCCGTACGTGACAGGTAAGGGCGCTCACACCTGCCCCATCGCTTTCTTTGAGAGGGCTCACTAGATGAGTTTGTTACAAACGACAGAACTCCGAACCCTCCGCGACGAAGTCGAAGATCTCGAAAAGCGCAACGACACCCTGACGCGCAGTCTCGCCGAAACCGAGGAAGCGCTGGATAAAGAGCGGAATGCGTTGCGGGAGACTAATGCCGTAAGTGCATACCCCTGACCAACCCCATGCGGCGACTAATGACTGCGTATGATTGTGATGGCAGCAACTCACGACCGAAAAATCGCGCGCGGCGGGGCACGACGAGGTAGTATCGCGCATGCGGGCCGAGATCAAAGACTACCAGGCCCAACTGCAGAACCGCAAGGACCGGATCCAGTTGATGAATGTGGACGATGATCAGATTCGGAAACAGCTGAGGGAGAAGAATGGGGAGATTAGCAAGTACCTCACGGAGATTGAGGAGCTCAGCCGGGAGAATGCACAGATGAGCAAGGATGTGGAGATACTGAATAGGGAGCTGGAGGTGGCCATCAACGAACTCGAGAAAAAAGAGCGCGAAGAACGCGAAGCCCAACACCACCTCGCCAACAACGAACTCCTCATAGATCAGATGACGGCTGAAAAGCACGCCCTCCGCACAAAACTCGAAGACCTCACCACCCAACTCGAGTCCACAGGCCTGCAAGACGCCCGGTTCCTCGACGAACTCCAATCCGAGGTCCAGAATTACCAGCACGCCGTCCGCGAACACGAACACGTCTCCCTCGAACAGGCCACGGAGATCGACCGCCTTCGGTCCCAAGTCGCAGGTTTGGCCGAGGAGCTAAGCTTGTACAACATCGACTCGCTGAACAGGCAGATGAGCGAGAAGGATCGGGTAATTGAGCAGTTGACCCAGCAGGTGCAGGAAGCCGCAAGGGATTTCGAGCTGCTCAGCGTGGACTGGGACCAGGTCGACCAAGCTTTACGTAGTCGTGGGGGCGGGAAACAGTCGAAACGGGATATGGACGCAATCCAGATACAGCTGGAGACGGTAGCAAGGATGAAGGAACGGGTGCAAGCGTACCGACAGCGGCACCGGAAACTGGCCAGCCAAGTACGGAACGCCGACACCCAGCTCGAACGCCGTGAGCGCGAGGTGGTTGAACTCCGACAACGGATGGAGGAATACGAAAGCGGTGTTTACGGCCTCCCTGAAGCCGTGCGCGAAATCAACCAACTCAAACTCCACCTTCGCGTCCGCAAAAAAGAGGTGCTGAGCCGCACGAAACAAATCAACGAGATGGACAAACAGCTCTCCATCCTCGCCGACGAGAACGCCGAGTATCGCAAGAAACTCGGGCTCAAACGATCCAGCATAGATCTGTCCAAAATCCGCGGCGCGCTCTCAGTCGAACTGGAACAGAGCCGCGCGCTCAATGCCCAACTGCAGGGTGAGATCGACGCGTTGGAGGACGAGCGGTTGCGGTTGAAAGCTGCGATGCGATTACGGGCGTTAGAGCGCGGGGAGAAGGGGGCGAGAATGGGGTTGACCGCGGAGGAGATGGTGGATTTGGAGGCATATGTTGATAAAATGCGGGCGAGGCACCATTCTGAGAAGGGCGGACGAAGACGACCGTTGTCGATGCCGGCGCAACATCACACTCGGCAGGCGGTGGTTGGGGATGAGTTGTTGGAGAAGTTGTCGGTGGAGTTGGAACGCGCGCAGATCGATGCGGGGGAGGCAAGGGAGGAAGTGAAGAGGCTCCAGGTTTGTTCGTTCATGCCCAAGCAGCGGATATCTGCTGGGAAACAGGCACTCACTTGGTGATCCCACCCAGGCAGATTTCATGCGTGTGAAAGACGACAACCGGTGCTTCGAGGCGGCGATCAAGGAGATGTCGCTGGCGATGATCAAGCTGCAAGCTGCGTCTCGCACAACTGATGGAAAGGCGGATGGAGCCGCGAAGAAACCGAACATGAATGTTGTGCAGAAGCTGTGCGATATACTCGAACGCAAGACGAAGTTGTCGTCGGCGCAGGCGTTTGGTGGAAGCCAGGCTGGAGATCATATCCTTGAAGTTAACAAAGTAAGCGCAACACTCTGTGGTCTCCGATGTTTAGTCTTCGTTAATCTAATGCAGAAAACGACCCCACCCAGTCCCTCTGCGAAACCCTCACCACCGAACGCGCCCACTCCGCCTCTCTCCAATCCCAACTCACCTCGCTGCAATCCCAGCTCTCCAGCCTCACAGAAGACCGCAACCACTGGCGGGAGGCCGCCGAGCAGCCGCTCAAGAACCTCGTCGTCGAACTGCCGCCCGATTTGCAGATGGGCAGCCAGGACGATTATGTGGCGCTGGTAGGGAAATTGGCGGGGTGTATGGAGGCGCTGAGGAGGAAGGATAGGGCGTTGGAGGAGAGTGAGGCTGCTCTTGAGCGGTATAAGGTTTGTGCTGCCGCTGGGGGGTTTGGATTGAGTACCGACGCCAAAGGTACCTAAGGGGACTTACATTTGGGATTTACAGAGCTCATATACGACGCTAGCCACCCGCCAAAGACACCTCTCCCGCGCCTTCCAGCTCTCCCGCGACGAACACGAGAAAGACCTCGCATCCACCCAACGCCGATTACGGGACACCGAAGCTCGTCAGCAGCGCGCGGAAGCCGCAGTCCGGGACGTCCAAGAGGCACTGACGAGGTTTGCGGCAGCAGGGGGAAGCGAGGAAGCGCTGCGGTCGGAGTTGGCTGAGACGGAGCGGAAGTACTTCCAGTTGAGGCTGGAGCACGGGGATCTGGTGACGGATGTTGAGCGGGTGAGGGAGAGCGAGGCGGAGGTGACGAGGCAGAAGACGAAGTTGGAGGTATGATCACCATCTCCCATCTGCCAAATCTAGACATGTACTCTGACAAACCGTTTTTCGCAATCCAGACCCAAATACAAGACCTAAGCACCAAAGCCGGCTCCCGAATCCTCCACCTCGAATCCATCACCCGCGGCCACGCATCCCACATCACCCGCCTACTCGATCAGCTCACCGACTCGGTTTCCCAAAGCGAGCACACCCAGCTCACGTCACATCTGGAAGTCCAGACAGCCCGCACGCGCGATCTCCTCGAGCGGCAACAGGACTGGTTGACGGAGCGGGACCGGCTCATGCAGCAGGTGCGCACGTTGCAGCTGGCGGTGGACGATGCTGCTAGAACGCAGGTGCAGCTGGTCGCGGCGGAAGCGAAGGCTGCGGAGATGGAAGCTGCTTTACTGAGTCTCAAGACCGACGGCGGTTCTCAGTCTCAGCTAGCCGACCTCCGCCACCAACTAGCAACCCAGGCAACACAGCTGACGGTTGCACACACCCGGAGCGAATTGGCGGAAACGCAAGCCGGGCTCGCTCGACAGGCTGAAGCCGAAATCTCGCGGCGGTTGGAAGAAATGACGAGGCTGTACACGGAGGCGCGGGCAGAGACGGCACAGGTTCGGGAAGCCGAGGCGGAGTTACGTGGGGCGTATGCTGGCGGTGCGACGAGGGAAGTGCATGAGCTGGTCGTAGCGCGGGTGGTGGAATTGGAGGCTACGGTGGAGACGTTGAAGCGAGAGAACGAGGAGTTAAAGAGCGGGATGAACACTGCGGCGGGGTTGGCGGAGGATTTGGGGCGGTTGAGGGAGATCGATCAGAGGGAATTGGTGGGGTTGCGGAAGGAGGCTAGGAAGACGATTGGGGATCACGCGGGGAGTTCAGCTGTTGCTATGAGTGAGACGATTCAGAAATTGCAGATGGAAGTCGCGGAACTGCAACGGGGTGAGGCGGGGAGTGTTAGGGAGATCGCGGAGCTGAAGGAACAGAATCGGAGGGATCAGGAGAAGATCTTGGAGGTGAGCTTCCTACTTTCCCGGCAGTGTCAAAGGACCCGGCAGCTAAGGCATCTGATTGGCTTGATGTCACTTCCAGACAGAGCAAGATCTACACCACCAAAGAACCCTCGTATCCACACTCCGTCAAACACACATCCACCGCATACGGTCCCTCCAACACACCATCAGTGACATTCGGCTGCGTCTCGCAGGGAGTGTCGCGCTGGACCGCTTCGAGCGCACCGCCTCACGCGTAACGGAGCTCATATCACAGCTCGATGAACTCCACACCCAGCTGCAAACAGCGCGCGAGGCTCAGACCGCCGCCGAAGACGCCGCGGCCGAAGCGTCGCTCCTCACCACCTCCCAACAATCCCTCATCGAAGCGTTGCAGGCCGAAGCCGCCGCCGCAGCTGGCAGTCCCAACTCCACGACCACCACAACCGCACGCCTCGCATCCTGGCACGCCAAGCTCACATCCTCCCAACTCACCACTCTCCGCCTCCAACGGCAGCTAGACGCCGCCCAATCAACCAACTCAGCCCAATCGCAAGACATATCACGCCTCAGCGCCCGATTGCAGGGTCTGGAAACCGCGCATGTAGCATTGCAGGCGACGCTGGACGCGCGGCAGCTGCAGTGGGAGGCCAACGAGACGCAGCTTGAAATGCATGTTCGGGCGCTTGAGGATGAGCGGGACCGGATCATTGCGGGGGTGGGGCAGGCTGCGATGGATGAGGCTGTGGCATTGTTGGGGGCGTCGGAATCTTCTGGTGATGACGAGGGTAGTGGGGACCAACGTAAGCCAATGCCGGTTGGAGAGAGACTTGAAGCGGCGTTGCGGTTGTTGGTCGACCGCGGGAGGGCAGTGACGGTACAGGAGATCAAGATCGCGGCGCTGCAAGGCCGGCTGGACGATGTGCAGCGGCGGTTGGATGACGCAAACGGTGAGCTCAGCGCTAGCCGGACCGAGGTTGCGACATTGAAGTTGCAGCTCTCACAAGCAGAGCTGCATCAAACCCCCGCCACCGTCCATGCCGCACGACCTGATCCGGATGCAGCCGGCGCCGGCGGCGACGCCCCCACGGCCCCTGTAAGCCATGGTTACGACTCGACAACAATCCACATCGCACAGGACACCATCTCATCGCTGCAGCGGCAAATGGCCGCCAAAGACACATTGATCGAGAAGTATCGCGCGATGCTGCGTGACGCGCAGGTGGAGATGGATCGACAGAAAGAGGAGTGGAGGGTTGTCGTGCGCGAGAGGAATGAAGTTATTGCTATGTTGAAGGATAAGGAGGTTGAGCGGTTGTTGGAGAAGGATGGGGGCGGTGTGGAAGGCGCTGCTCTGGAAGGGAGCGTCATGGCGCCTGCAGGGGCACTTGGGGTCCAAGGGCTGCAGGAGGGCGTATGAGGATGATCTGTCGTCGAAGTGGAGGGGATTCCCAGTTTTGATCCGGGCTATGAGAGATGTGCAGAACTCGGGAAACATTATCAGAAAAGAAAGCTCTTAGAGATGTACAAATGCACTCGTGGAAGGCTGTTATACATCAATGTATTCGAAAAGACTATGTAATCAATTGTATGTAACACGCATTTCCCAACCGAGTTTACAAATGTCGGACTATCTTCTGACAGTTCTAATGTCCTCCCGGCGTCGAAGGCCTAGAGCCGGAAGTCGATAATGTCGGGGCGATAGCTCGTGGGCTTCCTCCTCCCAAGAGGTTAGGCGAGCGGCCGCTTGATGCGCGCCAATCTGCTGCAGTTGGTGACAGTGTCGATGATGCGAGGGACGATGCTTGTGGTTCCTCGTTACGCGCTGGGTTACTGTCGCTGTTGGCTTCTGCGTTGGCGACCAGCATTTCGCGTTGCTTCTCCAGTAGGGTAGTGAGCTCCGCTTGGGTTTTCCGAAGTTGCTGTGATGGTAACAAAAAGGCGCTTAGAAGACCACAATCCGACAATGAGGTAAGCAGAGTAGACGATGCATACCTCAGCCAACTGCAACGTATGACCCACACCCGTTGGGCTATTGAAGAGACGACCAGACACCCAAGAGCTCACACGCGTGCTCAGGTTGGTAGCCAGAGCCGTCGCGCCGCCCTGTTGTCTGGGCCCTCCAGCGCTTGCAAGCTGAGGGTCGACGCCCAGCGTCTCAAGCTCGAGAAGTTTGTCGTTCAATTCATCAATCGACCGCTGCGTGCGCGAAACAATGTCGTCAATCTCATGCGACGAGTTAGGATCGGCAGTACCTCGCCTTTTGGCAGCGAGAGGGTCATTCTGCAAATACGCCAATGCAGAGTTGTCCAGACTAAGTCGGCGTTCCTGTGCGCGCGAGTATTTGCGTATGACTTCCCCGGTGTAGATCTGCCTCGGTCTGTAGATCTTGTACTCCGGGTCGTCCAAGCTTTCCCAGCAGTTCGCAATGAGTCCTGCCACCCTAGGGACGGTCAACAGAACCGGGAACATGTCGACGGGAAACCCTAACGTATGAAACACTATGGCTGACCAGAAGTCGATGTTTGGGTACAAGCCGCGCTTTGTAAACCATTCGTCCGCCGCGACGGCTTCTTCCAAGGCGAGAGCCAATTCCGCAACATTATCTTTGCCCATCAGTGCGAAAAGCTTGTACAGAAAATAGCTGTAAGTATCGGAAGCCGACAATTTGGGTAAACGACCTTCCAACTCACATCGAACGCGACCTTCTTTGCGATTTTGACTCTCGGGTCGCCAGTCTTGTATACGCGATGACCGAAGCCCATGAGCCTTGCAGGTCGATTTATCTTTTGCATACCAATGTTTCCGACGAAGCTCTCGCGACGTTTGACGATCGACAGATAGTGTTGGATTTTCTCAACCTTTCCAATCTCCTTCAACATCGTGATCACCGCTGATCTGTAAAAGAGGTTTCAGAACACATCGTGGTTCTCCGGAGATCGAAGAACTCCTCCAAACTTACGCCTTCCGCTCGCCAAAAAGCGCACCAGCCGAACCAGATAACGCTGTATACGGATCCACTCCGGAGGACATCAAATGCCTCATCAGAATGGTGGAGCAGTTGCTTCCATGCTCGGCAAGCAGAATGAACATAGTGTCCAGAGCCCTTACAAGGCGGCGGTCAGGTCGGTAGTCGGGCTCGTTCAACTGGAATGGAGCATTCAGAGGGTGTTTCGAGAAACATGGACATATTCGACGCGTCAGCCTCACCTTATCCATCATGTACAGCAAGTTCTCAGTATAGCTAGAGACGCCGGGCATTGGGTGATTGTATGGCCGTCCAAGCCTATGACGGTACACATTGGCGGCTATGGTGGCGGTCTTCCCCAGCATCCGGAACGTCGCTTTGTTTCTTACTTCCTGAGCATGTTTCACCTTCTCTGCCTGTTCTGGTGTTGGCTCCTGCCCAGCAGGAATCTTGGGCGACATGTAGAAGTCGGTTCCTTGCAAGGCAGGGTTTGCTTCCGGGTGGAAGGTGGACAGGGAAGCGATGGTCGCGATGAGCATCCCGTGAGGGTGAGCATCATATCGGAACGACATCATCTGGAATATCGCATGGTTTTCAATATAATCGTTCGACCACCCTCATATCAGGCGCATTTAGAACACAGAAACAGGAACATCATCTGACCTGCTTCTCCAACTCGGCGTGGATGTAAGTATGGGTCATCACCGCCTTGGACCACTTCTCTGCCTCCATTGGGTCCGGCAGTTCCCCGTAGTTCAGCAAATACGCCACTTCGAGAAAATTGCTCTTCTCACACAGCTCTTCCACATCGTATCCCCGGTAGTACAATTTCCCGTTCTCTCCGTCGACATTTGATATCTTTGATCGGCAGACGGTCGTGTTTTTGAAGCCTGGGTCGTACAGACGCAGCGGCACTCTGTCGTTTGGGTCGTCCGAAGGCGGTATCGTGGGTTTCAACTTGAATTGAGCAAAGGCGGTTCCGGGGATGGTGCCGAATCTGGGATCAATAGCGATCTTGACGACCGTGTTGGTGCGAGGGTCAGTGACCGTCAGACTGTTGTCCATGACTGCTTCGGGCTGCTGGGAGGTTGCTACAAGGCAAGGTATCGCTGGCGTACAGTAAGTAAAGGCTGTGTTTGTTTGCAAGACGGCGGTGATGCTGGTTGTTAATGTTGGTCGTGACCCGTGGGAAAGTCCAACTCTAACGTTAGCCGCTCACTAGCCGCCCTAGAGCCCTAGTACTAAGTAGCCGCCGCCGCGCCGAGCCTCGCCCGACATCGCGGCTGACATTGCGTGGACATGCCCGGTAGACCGACACGGACGTTCTTTCCCACAGACCACGCACCAACCAGTCGAACTTCGTCAAGAAGCACTCGACGTTACCCGGCTCGAAGACTATCGAATTGTTATTGGAAGTGGAAGGAACCCTCATTCCTCGCATTTCGTGGAAGTGGCGGCCCAAAAACTTCGGCAGCTTTGCAGTGGATGCTTGGGCGGAGATCAACATGCCGCCCCCCCCGAACAGCCATCGACGACCCTCGAAGAGACTGGCTGTGGGGCGGCGTAGGGGTACCATTCCCACTTATCAGGTTATCTTCTCTCAGGGTTGAAATTCAGGACAAGATCTTAACCTGGCTGACCTCAACAGACGATTGGTGGGCCGTAACGGGTACCTGTCCTACTCTAGGGACCCTTCGCACCGCTCGAAGCTTAATGCCAACCTCGGATCCCTCCCGTCGCCCATCCCCGATGCGACACCCTTGCGCACGTCGGAAACGACGTCGACATGGTTTGACCGGAACAGGCTGCGCGTGGCCACCGGACATCCCGCTCTTCTCGTGGAGTATGATCCGGACACCAATGTCGGGATGATATTCCTAGCCACCAGCAAGCAAAACATTCGCATCACCGTTTCCTCCCTCTCCCCCATCCGAACAACCAGGCGACGGATGCCCTGCCGACCCTCCCGCCTTTCCCATTCCAATTGATCACTCGGCTGAACTTCACCCATCCCCTACGTGTCCGGCTTCACCACGTCGGGTCCCAGAGTTTGAACGTCATTCGGTACATGCCTCTCAGTCCTCCCCCTCCTCCACCGGTGGGCGCGCGGCAGTTGCACGGCTTGGATACGAACGTTGTTCCCCGACTGACTGAAGCAGGTCTGTCTGCATTTTGGAGGGCTCACAAAAATTACCACTTGGAACGATCCGGCGGATACCGAGGTGGCGGTGGTCCTGCTAGTGGTGGTGAGATGACCAGCACCACCACTGGCAGGACCATCACCACCACTAGCAGGACCATCACCAGTGGTGGTGCTGTCCATGAGCGCATCGGGGCAATGGGACGCCCTCACCCATCCCCCTCGCAGCTTGGCGTTGGTGGTGGCGCGAGCGGTGCAGATGCTCCTTGGGGGTACCACAATCAATACCGTATCGGAGTCGACATCGCCGCTGTGACGGAGGATCCGGAGGCGCCGGATCCAGAATGCGAGGAGGACGTCCTTGTCAGAAAGGGGTGGCACGTTGGGAAGGACACGGTGGATTGGGTGGCCGGGGATGTTCTCGTGGAGTTCTTGAAGGAGTGGGACCAGCAGGATTTGGATTGGGAAGGGGATGGAGAGGAGGCGGAGAAGGAAGGCGGAAATGATGATGGGCAAGAAGGATTGGCGCTCGTAGAGAAGGTCGTCCTCGAGCTACTTCAGATCCGAGCTTGAGGGGACGAGCAGGCGTATTGTATTCTGTAAACGAAGCTGTGAAAAACAACCGAGTACACATGTTTCATGAACTTGCGCACAAATTGCCGGTGATGGTCACGTGCCCAGGGCTCGAATGAGCGAAGAGTGTTCAACATGTTTTTACGTTTGCTCAAATACAGTGATTTATCATCTCAACTTATATGATGAGTACATTCAATTCCCTGTCAGAGCGTTGCAGTATGGTGGTGGACCATTCTCGACAGGGTTCTGACCTAGGGAAACTGAGAAAGTTGCTTGACTTTCGGATACTGTATCATCAGAGGAACTTCTGACCCGATCCTGATTATCGACCCAATCCACAAGTTCAACAAAAACATTACCATTTCAAATGAGCCAACGGGACATCTCATCGTGTCCATGACCGTGGGGGATTTTAAGAAAGACCTTATCGCCATATTTGAAAAACTTTTGTATCCATGCAACTATATCGCGTGACATCGGCCTCTTGTCACTATGTGGATTGTAATTGAATAAAGGCAACACCCGTACTTTTTCAGAGAAATGTCGCACTGAACTCCCACTTCCTTCTCCAGCATTAGGAAAAGTTTTGGGGTTTGCCTCTCCATCATATCCAGATGGGGTAATGGGTAATGATGTATTTGGACATTCTTGTGTGGGTTCCAAGACGGTCCAGACAACCCTACACGGTGTCTAGGGTCGCCGTGTACCCTAGAGCCTCCGGAGCCGCTCCGTGGGCCTGCGACCTCCGTGGCCTCCGTGGCCCACGGTCGCACCGGTACAGTAAGGTACCAGCGGCCGCCCCGCGGCATATCGCGCTCCGGATGCGCCAGAGTCATCGCCGGCACCCGATCGGATGTACTGTACAGTCTGTTGCCATAAAGCAGGTCGCCCCAGAAATCAAGTCAGTGTCCTCGCGGCTGATCATTTGCACCCATCATCCTCATATTCACAGTATTAGGACCCCTAATCTAAACTAGATCTGTCACTGTCCTAGGCAACAACCGCTGGGGCCGACTGCGACCTGCTTTATGGCAACAGACTGTATGTACCAGCGGTGATGGTCCTCCGTACCCATCACCTCCGATGGCAACGTCCGACATCGGCAAGATTGCATCGCGAAGCGATGAGTCGCAGGTAGTATCATGTGATGTATGTACGCATGTACGTATGTACATACTACCTGCGACATATCATGTATGTACATATTCAATTGTCAATACCACCGCGGAGAGGATTTGGGGACCTTCGTTCTCCCCCGTGATCTTCCTGTGAGAGGTCTTGTAAGGCACTGCGGCCCGAAACCATCTGGGAGCGACATAGCTTGCAAGTGAATGTTAGTGCTTGTGATGTCAACCTTGCCAGCATTCTTCCAGCAAGGGCGATGGGAGGAATCTGTATTGTACCCACAACGGGCTTCCGGGGTCTATAAAAGCAACTCAGCAAGCTGACCCCTTGCGAACTGTTCTTATCTCTGTGTGCTATCCGACTCAAACACGCTTCCAACCTTTCGCCGCCTGTTCAAGATGAAGACTATCCTGCTTTCCCTTTCCGCCGTCGCCCTCCTGGCCATCTCGGCTGTGGCCTCGCCATTCCCTTCCCTGGATCGCCGACAGATCCAGTGGTGCAAAAGCGACAATGACTGCTTCGATGGTTCGTGGTGCAGTGCCAGTAAATTCAACGGTCGCAGGGTTTGCGTTTGGGGAACAGAAGGGGCGTTCTGTGCGAGCGACGGCGACTGCCAGGGCGAACTTATCTGCTATCGCGGCGGCGGTCATTCGATGCCGAGCTGCCGCCCCGCAGGCTACCAGGAAAGGCCAGACACCGGTTCCGCCCCCTCACGCACCGGCTTGCCCGCCGCGGTTGTTCCTATCAGTACCGCGGCCGCTGAAGCTTCCTAAAGTCGCCCGCAAAACACCAACGCTGATAGCAACGCACAGCACTGCTGCCATTTCGGTTACCTACAAAGCTTTGAGCCAGAGTGACGAGGACTGAAAGATGAGATGGTATGCCTTACGACGCACAATCGCGAGCCCACCGGCATCAAGCCGGTTCAACTTTCATCCCCTGGTCAAGCAATCCGATGCTCCTCAAGAAGTATCCTTCTCGGTACCCGTCCCTGATCCCGTAGTCTTCCCGGATGAGAGATATACCCTAGATTAGATTACACCGTATTTCCCTGTCGCCTTTGTTCTTTCCTCTTTGGTCTCTCTATACATATGTAAATAGTCATCCGATTCAACGCCTGAAGATCAAATGCATATCCAAAAAAAAAGCCATTGATTAGTTTCTCCTTGTCGCTTTTCCAAGAGACCGGCGGTACCGGCGGTACCGGCGATACTCGAAAAGCCACACTTTGAAATCATTATAACGGACTCGAGTGTCTCAACCGTCAATCCTTCCTATTCGTTATCCTGCGAATATTTGCGTCTGCAGCATTGCATGACTTGCATCACATAAGGAATTGTATATACAAGACACCGCTCGGACAGTATTGCATTAGGATACGATGGGCATTCCGGCCAAGCTGATGATTGTGTGGCGGGTTATTGTTGGTTTACAGAGAACCTCCATTCCCCAAATTCTTCGCCGACATGGCGACAGCTTACGCGGATCAGACCGGACGGCACCGTAAAGGGACTGCCTTCGTCGTTTGATCCATCGTCGTCCGCTGCCGGCTGACACAACATCTACTATGTCTCAACACTGCCCTCTTCGTCTCCCTCCAGGCTCAGAATATAGTCCCACTCCACCGGACGAACTGGCTGCACCGAGAGCCTGCCGCGACGGAGGAGAAACATGTCCTTCAAGGCCACCGCGGGCACTTTTCCCTCTGTAACGTCTCCATCGCTGTCCTTTCCGTCATCATCCCCATCTGCTTGTCCGCGCTTTCCTTTTCGCTTGTCAGCTGTTTGGGATTCAATAGCCTGCGCCTGTAACTGCTGCAACTCCTTGAGACTGATGAAACGTCGCAACTTCCGCACAAAGCGAACATCCACCATCATCCATTTCGGGTTATCCGTGTCCGATTTCGGGTCAAAATACGGGTGCTTAGGGTCGAAAGCCGTGTAATCGGGATAGCCCTCCCTAACGACCTCAGCGATGCCAGCGATCCCCGGCAGTTTGCAATTCGAGTGATAGAAGAAGCACAGATCGCCGATTTTCATCTTATCGCGCATGATATTCCGTGCTTCGAAGTTCCTGACGCCGTCCCATTGCGATATCTTCTTCTCGCGCAGGTCGTCGATGCTGAATTTGACGTCTACCCCGTTTTCAATCCTGGTCTCTGGTTCTGCTTTTATAAGCCAGTATTGGGGTCCTGTGGATGAAGCTGCTAACGCGTTGGATGGTTCCTCATCGGCTGCAGTGACCTTTGCTTTCGCCGGGGGCTTCTTCTTTTGCTTCAACTTCGACTTCTGAGCCGTGCGGTCCTGGGGTGCTGGTGAAGGTGATGTTACAGGCGCTGGCGAAGAAGTCACTGGTTTGAATGTCGTCGTGGTCCGTTGACGTTTCGGTTTTTGGTCCTGAGACGTGGTGAGTTTGGCAATGGCGGCTTCGGCGGCTTTCCGTTTGGGCCTCGCTGACATCGGGAAGAGTTGTTTCTGAGGCGGAGTCTCTGAGAGAGTGTCTCCTGGCGGCGATGGGGAAAGCATGATGTCGAAGAAAGAAGAACGGGTCCAACACTCCTTGCTGTCCTCGTCCTGGTCTCCCTTCTCGTCCCCCTTTGGCCAAAAACGAGTAAAACTTTCAGGGAGCCTGCAGCCGCAAAGGAATGCTATCCACAACGACCACTCGCACAGCAGGTACCGCTTTCCAAACGGAAGCCACGGACCCTTCAGCACCCCAGCAAACCCAAAATTGTAGGTGGGGCATGCCCTGCGTCTCCTTCCGTTGCTCTTCCACTTGAAACTTCCATTCTCACCACATTTTACTCTCAACGCAGCGGCAGGCGCATTCACAACAACTGCAAACCCCTACGGCTCGCAGAACGATGTCGCAGCGTTGGTGACGAAGTTGGAGGCTGATGTGCAGGACTACCGGAATCAGGATGTTCTGGGTTTGTCCGAGGTGCGTGTAGCGTGGAAGCACATCCTGTCCGCTTTACCTTTCCCTGTTGTTCATCGGGGCGCTCACTTTCTTTCTTGATCGCCCAGAGAAGAGCAGCCATGGAGACGAGCACCCAACACTACGAAGCGGCTTTACGAGTGTGTCTATTCAACATCCTAAAAGACCATCCAGCAGCCTACGAGCCGAACCTCGACTTCAACGCCACCATCGCGAAACTAAAGTCTCTTACGGAGGAGTGTGAGCTGCAATTCTATGAGCACCGAGACGATGATGCGGCGTTTTCAACCGTCACTATCTGTGGGAACATATTTGTTATTGATGTAAGGTTTCTCAAGAGCGGAAGGAAATCTTGGGGATCCTTGAAACTGAAACATCGGCCCTTGGCAGGCGGAGATCTTCCTGGATGGGAAAGTCAAAATGACTAGACTGTCATATGCAACCGAAACGCATATGCAGGATGAACAACACGAACTGGTGAGCTTCTAGACGACGGTCTCGCGAGGAGATCGTGATATAATCACAGAAGCTGAGCTCGAACTCCATCCCACTCGAAGAGGCAGATGGAATGTTGCATGGCATGCTGACGTACGCATCAGTTCTTATTCCCACGAGTCGTTCATGTGCGGCGGGGTTGACCATTTTCTCTTTCCATCCATATCTCAGGATTGGGAACTATAACGCGTTCAGGGAAACGCTTATGACGCTCGCATTTCTGGATAAGCACTCCGCATTTCATCAGCTGCATTGCATCGAGAACGATTTGAGCGATATACTGAAGCTCGAACTGTGAGTAGTTCGGGGTGGAGTGGGTCTAGATCCTCGATGATGGAGCGTGTAAACTGAGATGTCATGCCGTATTAGGGTGCAAAGCGGGAACGACTACCGTTCCGTGATGCTGGAAGGCCATGGACTGCCTGCAATGCACGAGAGGCAGTTTGGAATATCAATAGCTTACTGGGCGAGCCCTGCTACTCTGCTGGACGTCGACTCGTGGCCCTCGCTGCCGCGCGACGATGTGTTTAGAGCATTCGTTGAATTGAAACCCTCTGGGCAACCGGTACCTACCCTGGCTTCGAATGTTACTCGGCATCTTGTGCGGGATGAGGATGAGCCTCCTGCCACGGACCCGAGGTACTGCTTTGAGTTGCCAGGAGGATCCTTCACACTACCGCGATACTCATCCTGCGTCATGCTTGTTCTCAGGGACTACTCCATAATACAAAGCACGTCTTGGCGCAACATGGCCCCGCTCCATTTCCGCCAACCGCTGCCCACATCCCAGGACTGGTCCAATGTCTCGTACTTCCTCCGCTTCGAGCCCGCGATCCCGGCGGCGGTTGCGACGGGCGACGACCTCGCTGTCTTTGCGGATGGGCCTGGTAATGAAGGAGCCCTGAGGGAGACAAATGCGACTGGGACGTTTTTGGAGTTGTTGGTAGGTACTATAGATGTTTCGAATATTGCTCGATCCATATTCTCAAAAACTTTGCATAACTCAATCAACAGATGAATGGAGGGACACCTGAAGAGGCGGAACTCCTACCGTACCTTATCGGCAAATCGCTCTTTACCACTCCCTCACCTGCACCACTAGCAGCAACAACCACCCAGTACATGGTGTTTTCCCCGTCCGCTCCATCCTTACCGGGTCTAAGCATCCGCAAGGTCCCATTTACCAACTCATCCCAGTTGCATGCGATCCTAAAGATCGTGCGACGACAACTGGTGTTCAATTACCTTGTTGCGTCATGCTTCAATGTTCACACCGCAGGGTGGTCAATTGATACCGAAGATACCGGGAATGATGTCGCCCTGGTAAACTCGCATACCATGACGGCAACGCTGGTGGAATGGACGCCACCGACCCAGCTCATCTTCGACATCAGCATCCGCTCGGCAAACGAATCAGATCCAACACCTCCCGTCACACTCCGGCTAACCACCAACATCGACGGCGATTCGCGCATCCAGATCCGCCTCGAAGGCCTGCATCACCACGGCGTGCCGTCGCCGCTTGTTTGGGGGAGTGGAAGTGACCAGGAGATTGAGGCTGCGAGGGAGAGACTGGAGCGATATGCGAATGTGACGATGGATATGAGTTTGGTGTTTGGGACACTTTGTGAGGAGGTCGGGAGGCGGGGTGAGGGTGGTGACGCCGTGCCTATGGATGTGGATGGGTGATGTGGAAGGTGGATATACTTATTGTTTGCGTTTGCGGATCGGGGCGAGCTCTTGTTTGGCGCTACCTGACGTTCCTTGCGATGTACAGTACATATGCCTCGCTGGCCCAACTATAATGCCGTCCTATTCGAGTGTTACGCGTGCGCGTGGGCCCAATTCCTCAATTCCGCGAGTCACGCGCGCATCCTGGAAATGAGGAGCTTTTTTCAAGCTGACGGCTCCAACAGCAACCCTTGAACGGTCTTCCAGCTTCAGAACATTTCACTGCCCACCGCTCTCGCCCGCCCCCCGCAGTTCAAAGCAATGTCCCAGCCAAGAGTCCTCTGCTTCGGCTCCGTCAACGTCGACGACGTCTTTGTCGTCCCGCACATTGTCCTCACAGGCGAGACCATCGGCTCCTCCGCCTACGCCGTCCATGCCGGCGGCAAAGGCGCTAACCAGAGCGTCGCTTTGGCAAAGGTATGTTGTATACGTTATCAGAGCTCCCTGCTGTAACATGCAAGCTCAATCGTCGTCTTCCCTAGGCCGGCGCAAATGTGCACCACGCAGGCCGCATCGGCAAAGACGGCGTCTGGGTCTCCGACCTCATGCGCACCCACAACGTCCAAACCTCCCTCCTTACCGTCGACCCCACCCACCCAACCGGCCGCGCCATCATCCAAGTCAGCAGCGCCACCAACGACAACGCCATCGTCCTCCTCCCAGGCACCAACCACCTCCTGACCCTCGCGGACGCCGATGCCGCCGTCGACGCCTTCTCCAAAGGCGACTGGGTCGTTTTGCAGAACGAGATCAACGTCGATGCCGCAAACAGGGTCTTGGAGAAAGCGAGCGCGAAGGGGCTGGTGGTGGTCGTCAACCCGGCGCCGTGTCCCTCCGATTTCGTGGAGAAGGTCAAAGTGGAGTATGCCCAGGTGCTGGTGCTGAACGCGTCGGAGGCCGCATCCATCGCCAAGCAGATCAGGGAGAGGGAGTTGAAAACGGCCACGGAGAAAACAGTCGCAGAAACAACAGCGACCCAATCCGACTCGGACATCGGCGCTGCCGCCGCTTCCCTCCTCCTCACAACCCTCCCCAACCTACACCTCGTCATCATCACCCTCGGCGGTGACGGCGCCCTCGCTTCCTTCCGTCGCCCCAACACCGCAGACACCACACTCGAAACCGTCCGCGTCCCCGCCCTCTCCAACGTCAAACTCGTCGACACGACCGGCGCCGGCGATACGTTTGTAGGCTACCTCCTCGCCGCGCTGGTGAAGATGATGGGCGAGAGGCGGATCGGGACGTTGCAGGAGCTGTTGGTGGGTGAGAAGGTTATTGGCGAGGCGTTGAGTGTTGCGACGGCTGCGGCGGGGATGGCGTGTGAGGGTGAGGGGGCGATGGAAAGTATTCCGGGGTGGGAGGATGTTAGGAAGAGGATGCAGGTGGTTTGATGCGGTGGGTTGGCTGGTGGTTGCGTCAGATAGAAGGAACTCGCGCCTGCTGGAAGCCCAGAGATCGGCGTGTTTATTTGCTCTGCGGTGGATGTCTGGCTGGGCACATCTATTCAATCACATTGAGGAGGAACGAGACACATCTACATAGGCTACGAACCATATAGCAGCCAGGATAGGCACGCACATATACATATAGATATTACATTTGCAAACACTCTCTAAGGCCCTCCATAATTAGCATGCATGAATTACTTTATGGAGGAAGTGCTTAAGAAATGCTCGATTGAAACCCCGGAAACTGGACAAACGTCATTGGTGCATCTGTGTTCTCAGGGCAGTCCGTAGCCCCATAAGTGCCTATATCCCACAATCGCCCTCAGTGTGCATCGAACCCGTATCACCGACCCGCTACCCCGGCGCCCGCAACGGCGTCCTGCGTGTTTGCGTGATTCGTAGGGATTGGCCAGGGGTGGCGAAAGTGATGTCGGCTCCTCACCTGCCCCATGGAGGATGGGTAGCCGGGAATTGCCGGATGAGAGGCGGCTGGTGCGGCCATTCTCAAATGCTAGCGACGGCGGTAGACCATTCATTGTCGCGTTTCCTGCACATGTCAATCTGTGCGCCGTGATGCATACTGTTCGTATAAAGGTGTCCCGCTTCTGCGAAGCTTCATGTCCTGCCGAGGTACCACCCGCCCGACGCGCTCCATCCCGACTTGACTCCGCCGCACTGTAGACTCACAGCTATCGACATCACCTCCACGTGACGAGCATCTGGTCCGTTCGATATCTGTGAACACCAACAAGGTTAGCGGGGTGTTTGCGATGTCCAGACGATGGGATGGTCAAGTCATGAAGGCGCCACTCTGCAAGTTTAGGTAGAAAGGTCATGGCATAAACGTACCTTTGCGTGCACCACGTGTCTTCTAACGGGGTGGTATGTCCCGTCTTGTACATCAGGATACCGGCTTGAGCGATCATGAGGCCGTTGTCTATGCAGAATCTATGTGGAGATCGGAGGCGTTCAGCATTTCGAGTCGAATGACTTGAATCTCGCAGATGATTGTTCAAAGAAACGACTAACGCACCTTTCATCCGTAGCGAACAAAAAGCCACCCCTCTGCTGCACCATATCCCCCATCATATCCTGCAACCGCTCATTGCACCCAACCCCACCCACAATCAACACCTCCGTCGCCCCAATATGCGCCAGCGCCCGCTCCGTGATCTCCACCAGCATCGCAAACAACGTCTCTTGCAACGAATAACACAAATCCTCCGGCGTGATCGGTTCCTCCACCTCTTTCTCCCCACTCCGTCCTTTCGCCGGCTTCAGCCCCTCAGCAGCCAACTGCTCAATAAACGACAAGATCCCGGAAAACGACACATCCATGCCCTTCACAGTATACGGCAGCTCCACGAACCGCTTCCCTTTCTTCGCCATCTGCTCGATATTGTATCCCGGGTTCGGATCGTTCGACAGGTTCAGGATCCGCGCAAACCGGTCCAGGCAGTTCCCGACGGCGATATCGATCGTCTCCCCAAAGATCCGGTACCGCTGCTCCGCGAATGCAATCACCTGCGTGTTCCCGCCGCTGACGTATAACACCACCGGGTTATCCGCGCCGGTGATCATTCGCCCCATCTCGATATGTCCGACGCAATGGTTGACGGCGACCAGCGGTTTGTTCCACAGCAGACTGAGCGTTCGTGCCGCCACAGCTACAGAAACAAGCGGCCCACCCATCCCCGGCCCTTTCGTGAAGCAAATAACATCAATGTCCTTCGGGGTGAGCTTAGCTTCGGCCAGGGCGGATTGGGTGAGCGGGAGGACATGGGCGCGGTGGTGGACGGCGGTGTCACGGGGGAGAAAGCCTTGACCCGGTGGGGAGATGTAGGTGTGGCGGACGTTCGCGAGGACGTTGACGGCGCCGGTGGGGGTGTGTTCGATGATGCCGACGCCGATCTTGTTGGCGGAGCCCTCTGGGAGGAAAAGTTAGGGGGTTGACAAGGGACGGGGGGCGCAATTCCTCGCGGTGCTGAAGCTGTGAACCCTTACCAAAACCTATTGCTATCATGGTGACTTCTGTTTGAAGGGCCAGAGAGGGTGTCTTGTTTCAATGTTCCCCACCTGTGTGTGTTTCCCACGGAAAGACGAGATTTACAGAAGGGAGACGCGCGGAAACAGCCATGAACCTCCATGAGCTCTCAGGCGCATATGGGATCGTCTATCGTAACATACACACCAGACACAGGGAGGAGCGATAAGGTGGTACGGGCATCAGCAGAAAGGCCTGCGACAGGCCGTGATGCCAAAGGACCCTCCAACACCGCTAGCATCGGATTCATCATCATGCACGATATTTGTTTTTGAAAAGTGGGTCCAATTGAAATGAATGTCCAAGTGCATCAGAAAGTCTTCGAGCACATGCGCTACATAGACAGTCTTGTACATGTCCAATTAGTAAATTATGTTCTGAAACATTCGAACAACGTAGTTGGGGTCTTCCATCCACATAGGGCGGCATGAACTTCGGTGGAGTGAAGCTTGGGTCTTCTCCTTCGCAGTCTCCCGCGCGGCGCTCCAAGTCCTCCTCACTATCTGCTCCACGCAAGTGTCTACAAAGCGGAGTATCTTCTCTCGGATCTGCCGGATTCGAGCATCATCAAACCCCGGCGGATGGAGGGCAGGGCGAATGGTGCCCGTTCCGGTCGGCGACTTGACTCGAAAAGCGACGCCTTTATCCCCTCACCACTCGCGAACGGGTTGCGGAGGCGCTGACGGGCGAGTTTGTGGGTGACGCGGGTTCGTAAGTCGGTGTTCGGTCGAGGAAGACAGTGAAAACAGCAAAAGGGATGCTCCTCGTAGGCTACCGAATGGCTGCCTGCGCTGGCCTCGGTACGAGTGACTTCGTCATCTTCATTGAGGCGATCGATAAACGCTGGAGGATCGCGTTTATGAAACAGAGGTTTCCGCGGTTGATGATGTGGTGCCGTCTGCCGGACCCGAGGTCTTTGTCGCGTCTGATGCAATGGATGATGGGCTGAGGGGAGGCGGGGCTTGGTTTCCGTGCGTGGGCGAAGGTCCCCAGTTCCTGCGAACGCCCGGGGTAATGTACCTGCCGGGCGTCCGCAAGAACACCTCCAACCCCCTCCGCTTCGGTCGGAAACACCGCACCCCCCGCGGGCAGCAGCAATTGTAGTCCGCAGACTGGGACTTTCGTACGGTCCATTGGGAAATCCTCCTCGAAAAACGGGGCGACCTCCTCCAAGCGGGAGGTCCGCGTCTCCCCTCCAAGTTCTCCGCCTTCATTCGCGCAATGGCCGCCATAACCTCATTGCCGATGCTGGGGCCGGTTGCGGCAGATGCGCGTGGGCTGTCCGAGACCACCCGGCGGCGCTTGGGGGGAGGTGGCGCGAGGAAGGTGCGGTGTCGCTGCTTGCGGCACTCCATCCATGTTCAGGATGATCTCGATGGAGGAGGAGGCGGGGGTGGCAGATGCGGACGGGGAGTCCATGTCGGATGGTTGAGTCGCAAGGTTGACCACCTTAGCGACAAGAGTACCACGCTCGCAAGCGCGTTCAAGAACGCCGTGCCTTGGAAGCGGTATTCGAAGTATTCGCGGACGTAGTCGAGATTACAGCGAAAGAGGGGTCCGCGGAGCTCATGTAGTCGCTGAAACGAGTGGGCTTCTCCGGCTTCTGCGCAGTTCCATTCCGCTATCTCCTCGACACGCTTGTCTACGAATCGGAGCATCTTCTCCCGGATTTCCTGGATGGGAACGTCTGCAAACCCCGGCGGATGGAGTGTGCGGCAACGCGCATGCGGAGGCTATCGTTGCTTCTCGTTTGCTATCCCCGCTCGCCGCGGTTTGCCACAAGAGTCCGGGCGGTTTGCTCAACCTGGGTTCCCGAAAAGCGGGGCATCTGTCCGGGTAGCCGGGACGACGGCTACTGGTTTTGCGGCTTTCTCCCTCGGAAAATCTGTTCTCCTCCATTCGAAGTCTTCTCCGACTGATCACTAAACTTCTTTCTGCTTGAGGTACAGCAGGCTCGAGGAAAGGGATCATTGTCTCCCGCGACGTCATCTCAGTCCCCGTCGCTTGAACATCCTTCATCGGCCTTTCGTCACTCGAATGAGCGCCCCGGCAACCTCTTGAGGGGCGAGACAAGCTCTTCACATGACCCGGCAGGCTACCAATAGCGGCGTTGTTTGGGCACACTTGTTGATGAGTTCTGGATCTTACGGGGGCCTTACAACCCCGGGAGGAGAGGTTCTCAGGGCTATCGTCCGTGGTTCATCATGTCATTCCATTTCTGTACATTGCTCGCTGACGCGATCTCCACAGCTTCCACGATTTGTCGCGGACAGGTCTGGGAACGACAGGGTGGGCCCAGTGGGACCCACCAGTGCAGCAGCAAGCTGCGGCTGCCGCAGGAGCGCCGTATACGCAGCTTAGCGGACACAGTGAGCGAGGACACGCATTGGGCCGACGGGTTTCTTGGGATTCATGCCTGTGTCCTCGGCCCAAAACAATTGCGTAGCGATTCCGTCCTTTCTGTTGATCTTCGATGGTCCAGGATGCTTTCCTTCGACTGAGCACAAAGCCGGAATGAAGTTTTCGCCCTCCGAGGAGCGACCAAGGTCGTCAAATAGTGATTGATGCTGAATGGAAGGAGGTAAGAAATAATGCATACAAAATGAAAACCTGGCAAGAAGCATCAAGGAGGGCTTACTTCAGACCGACGGCTCATCAGGCCTCCCAGCAGTCAGGGAAGTAGACATCGGCGTCGTATTTTTCGCGAGCACCAGCATCGGGGGATACCAACGAAGCAGCAAGTCTTCAAGTCCTCCGGAGACGGAACCCGTCCATGGGCAGGCTTACGTGCACCGAAGCTGCTTGGTTAATCAGGCTGACCGGCAGTTCCGCCGCAATGGTAGACGATGGCTCTTAGGCGGCATTCGCGCCGCACGCCAAGCTTCCATCGTCGAAGCCCTTTTCGGTCGCAATCTCCGCAGGCGACGCACCAAATCTTCCGCGGAGATCCTCGCGATCTCCTCGCGATCTCCTCGGCACGCTTGTCTACGAATCGAAGCATTTTTTCCCGAATCTGCCTGATTCGGGCATCCTCGAAGCTTGGAGGGCGGGAAGAAGGGCGGATGATAGCCGCTCCAGTCGGCGACTTGCCCCCCGACCCACCGCGAAGACTTTGTACTGGTTGTTGGGGTGGGACGGACGCCGAACGCCAAGCTTCGAGATCTTTATCGACAGGAGCGGTGGTGGTTGTTGACGAGTCCCCGGCGGTAACGGACTGGACGAATACTACGATGGTGTCGACTTGTTTGCTTTCGTCGTGACGAGCGCTATCCGGAGCGTCACCCGCCGTGGCTTCAAACGCAGAAGCCGAAGTCGTCTTCGAAGAAGCGTCGTTCCAAGTTTCACATGATCTGACTGTGTACAATGACTGCGAGAATGAGAAGAGAATGGGATGAGAAGATTGCACGCCAGATCGAAGAGAACTTTGCCTCGCGCATGACATTATGAGAGAATGCATCTCTGGCAAGGATCTCACTATCAACTCACATTTGCGAAGGGTTCCCGGGAGAACGTTGTTCAATTTGGGGCTGACAAATCTTTGGAACAGTCTACTAGCTCATGGGCCGAAATCCCCGCTCTGCCGCCAACTGCGAACCGCAAATCAACGATGTCAGCAAAATTCCACATTATGCACATCTCAAGCAGACAATCAGCTTACCTTGCTGCGTAAGGCCGCCGGCAAAGGCGGCCACTTGCGGCGCCGGATGTAGATGGGCGTGGGGCCCAAGGACGCTCCACACGCAGTGGCCACCGACAGCTCCTGGCTGATCGCGGGTGTTCCCCCACGAGTTAAGTCACCGGTCTCTCTGCGGAAGGAGGACGATCCTTCATGGAGAACGAGGTCCTCCTGGAGGAGGTTTCTCTCCGCCCTTTGAACGACATTGCCGGGGCGGAGTCACCACCGGCTGCGTCTGCGTCTCTCTCTGCGTCTGCGTCGTCTGCCTCTCCGTCTGCGGCTGCCCACTCGGCAACGAGGCGGATCACGAACGGAACAGTGGATTACCCATTTCGAATGGTTGGCGTAGGGGGCAAGGGGGAAAAGGCGAAAGTTGCTTGCGGGCCGTCTCGTCGTCCTTTGAAGATGGGAACATGGAAATGCGTGCTTAGATGGGTGTGCAAGAAATAGAGAAGATGACGGGTGCAAGGTTAACTACCTTTTCAGACACGTATCAAACAAAGATTGGTGGTGGGTCCACGGCTGATGATTGGATGACGTTGAAGGTGTTCCGTTGGCCGATGACATTGTTGTTGACTATGGCCGCAGACCTCTTGCCAACCAGGAAAAAAGATATTTTACTGGGACGATCGCAAAGTATGACTATGAGTGGGACATCGGCCGGGCTGGAAGGTGGAATCAAGATTTGAGGTAATGGCGCTGTAGGGATGAGGGCTTCTGGTGGAGGGCTTGGTTCCGGTGTTGGGGACCGGGAATTGCGTTTTGCCACTAAACAATTGCGATATTAGCGGCGAGCCCATCGTGGGTCGCGCGGAGGGCACCGCTTCCAACCATCTTTCAGGTCCCGTGGTACTGCGGGCTCTTGGATGATTACTTTTGGGGCGGAACGTGGCGATGCGGCTTTCTGTGGGGACTTATCGCCTGCCGTTCTGCCTCTTATGAATGGTTCTCGTTTATGGGAAGAGCCGCCGCGGTCTGATGTCGCTGGGGATGGGGTTCGTGTACGGCGGTGGGTCGCGCGGAGGGCACCGCTTCCAGCCTTCTTTCAGGTCCCGTGGGACCGCGGGCTTTTGGACCATCGCTTTTGGGGCGGAACGTGAAGACGCGGCTTCCTGTGGGGACTTGTCGCCCGTTGTCGTTCTGCTTCTTACATATGGCTCTCGTTTGCTGGGAGAGCCGCCGCGGTCTGATGTCGCTGGGGATGGGGTTCGTGTACGGCAGTGGATCGCGCGGAGGGCATGGCTTCCAACGCTTTTTCCGATCCCGGGGGATGGGCGCATAGCGTCCTGCGTATATCTAACTGATCGTGCTCGCTTGTGGCAAAACGTAACTCGAATGGAGCTCTCGAAGTATATTGGGGAGCGCTCCTGGTAAAGCACCCCCAGCCAGTCGTAGAGCCCGTCATCCCCAAGTCCGTGATGCTTCATGCCTGCATAATGCGAGATGAAATACTCCAAAGTCAGTTTCCCTTCAGACGACTGCGAAAGAGAAGACCGATTACCTTGGTGGATTATAGCGGCAAGATCTTCAACGACGAGGCGAGGACGTCTTGACCACTCGAGGCGTCGGGGAAATCAAGTAGCAAGTGTTTCGGCTTGATTCCCGCAGCCGGTGACCGACATTGCTGCATCTGGAGATGGGTGAGGCGCGTGGCGCTCTTGTTGTTGATCTTGCACAGGGGTGGAGACCACACGACGACCGCCCTGATGAGCGAGAGAAGGCTTGAGGTTTTCGGGGGGACTTCGTGCGTGACCTCCGGCCGCCGTTGCAGCAGGGGTTCGACGCGGACACGGACGCGACGGAAGTGGTGACTTGAGCATCGAATTTGTACGCTTCACAGCAGCTCGTCCCTCCAATCCCTTTTCGTTACCTGGGTAACCCTTCAATCCCTTTTTTGCTAAGCTCGATAAAGAGCCGTTGAATCTGTCAAGGAATACCACATATGAGTCTTGGGGACAGCCCGCCGTAAGGTGAAAGAATGACAGATTATCATATACTTACGAGGCAACGCGCTCTGGGAACCTACATTTGTAGGTTTCGTATGAGCTGCGGGTATATGCCCTCACTTCGCCGCTTGCATCAGTGATGGCGGTCCTTATGTATGCCTCGATGACTTCGACGTACGGCGCAATGACCTGGAATCATTGTGCTCCATTAGGAAGCCGAAGCAGTCCCCAGTCGCCTCGCGCTGGCCTCCTCATGTACGTTTCGATAGTGGGTTCCCCATTTCTAATGGTTGATGTAGAGGGTCGATGTAGTCGGTCGTGGTGGACGTGTCGATGGTGGTCACACGGTGTCGAAAGTAGTTGTAGGAGCCGGCGGTGCAGCAGCGAGAGTTTTGACGGAGTCGGCAGTGGTTGCAGTCAGGCGGCGCGCTCAGTGCCTTTCGTGAGGACCATCCCTTCCGTTTGCTGTTCCGTAATCAGCATATTGGTCGATTGTTCTTGCGCTTCCGCGGGGGGGTGGAAGGCGTCTAATCGATCATCTTGACGGTAGCCTTGTCACGGAACAAATCCCCGAGTTTCTTTAGGGGACAGCGGGCTTGTTCACGTTCTTCAAAAGCCACTGCGGTTCGATAACCGTAAACTAGGGCCCACGCGGCCACGCCCGCTGGAGGTGCCGAGGAGGTGCTCAAGAAGGTGTCGGGGGAGATCGACATGGAGGATGACACAGAAGCACCCGTGGGGTCGCTGAACGGTACCCGGCATCCGTTGGGCCCCCGAGGGCCGGATTGATATTGGAGGGCCGTTACATGTATCTTGTATAGGGATCTACGGATTTGGGGACGACTTGTCTGTCGTCCCCCGGCAGGACCCAGTTCTGGCGTGCCTTCTCCTCCGCGGCTTGCTTTCGGTTTTGATGATCTTGTTGTTTGTCCTTCGCTTTCGCCGAACTAAGGCTTGAAAGTCTGGTGCAGCTCGTGGCGAAGAGCGAGGCGGAGAAGTCATAAGCTTCTCATTGCCTGGCATGGCTGGCTGGTGTGGGACCGTGAAGCGAGAAAAAGAAATATCTTAATATAGTAGGAAGGTGGCTGCATCGTCAACAGGTGTCGTTGGACTGAGATACGCAGACAGTTATTGTAGGCCCCCTTTTTCCGACGCCGATGTGCTTTGCTGCTTTGATTGAAGGATGGCACACGGGGGCCCGGTGAAGGTGTTGTCGGGTCCCCCGCTGTGCTCGAGACGGCATGATGGTTTAGGCTAGCTTGAGCGCCGGCGAGGCTCGGGCACGTGGTGCGGCGATTGGGCTTGGCTTCGTCGCGAATGAAGGGCATCCGCTATACGCCCTCGTCGTCAACGGATGTTGAGTGGTTGAGGGACTGCGATCTCATCTGAAATGGTTTCGATCTCTGCTGGGGCGTGCCGCTCGTTGGTGTCGGTTGTGCTGGGACTCGACGACCAATGCCTGTGCCTCCTCGTGTTCGGCCTGCGCCTTCAAGAGTAGGGCGAGGGGATGAGAGGTAGGGTGTCATCACTACAAATGCGGATATGCAGGTACCCGACGGCGTGATGTCTAAGGACGGCCGTGCTGATTTGTTGCCCGTCCATTCCGACACTGAGCGCTCCCCCAATATTCGCAACGTAACCCTCACTTCTTGACTGCCACGTACGAGTGGTTTGGGTCACTCGTAATCTACCCAGTCGACATCTCTGGGTCGCCAAGCTCGCGGAGGGCGGCCAAGGAACCGCTGTAGGCGGAGTCGGGAAACGTGCAGCTCCGACAGTCCACTCCATGTTCTCGCTGTCTCGCTTCCAAGCAATGTGAACATCAAGTATGGGGACTTCCCTCCGCCGAGCCATCCGTTCCCGGTGGAACTGACGGAGCTGATGAAACCTGAAACTCTCCAATCGGTTTCAAGGAAACGTCTGTCTTCTCACTTTCTGTCTTCTCACTCGGCAACAACGAGGCGGCGGGGGAAGAGGCCGACGATGCGGAAGAAGACCGACGAAACAGTGGGTTCCCCATTTCAAATGGTTGATGTAGAGGGGAAAGGGTTTTGCTGATTTTTGCTGGTTCCTCACTCGGCCCAACTTTCGGACCAGGTTCTCAGCCATCACTCGCCAGCCGTCTTGATTGCTCGAGGCGTTTGGCGACATGACTGGCTGATATGCGCGGCGGGCTCTGATGTCGGGGCGCACTGTTAAATCGTTTCCACGGCTTCTAATCCTTCTGCCACCTCTGTCTTTATGTCTTTGAGAGTCGGCGGTGTGGTCCCCAGGCTCGTCCAAGCTTGCGCGGATCCCGAACGCAACATGCGTTGCCGGGAGAGAGCCGAGTGTCGTCGCGGTTGTGGTTGATGACGGCGAGCCGTTGTTCGGTAAGCTTGTCTTCCGCCTCAGACCATTTGCCCTGTTGGCACCCTCCACCTACGATCAGTGTACGCGTCCACCGAGTTCGGCACGCCGGGGAGGCCTCCCCGCAAGAGCCTACCGGAGTCTACATAGCACACCATAATGCCGAAGCTAGAGTGCGGCGATGTTGATGGTGAAGCGAGAGGAACGATGAACTGGACGCCTGTATCCGCTTGGTAAGTGAATGTTTCGTTGGACGAGAGATTACCCGCAGGCTTTGATGGTGTGCACGGCTGTGTTGACATAGATCTTGTTGGTGCGTCCTGTCAGCTTGAGAAACAGGTTTGAGCCGGTCGTTGCCCAGCGTCCGCGGTGAGCGTCCGGCGGTGACTCGACCGGTGTGTGAGTCTCGACGGACGCTTTAAGCAATGCGGATCAGAGCCATTGCCCTGCAAAGCGATGTGGTCGTCGCTAAGCGCAAGTACGTTGTCCATTGCCCTTTCCGTGTGTGGGGTACCGCTCGCTCCCTTCCGACGACGTGGTAGCAGCGTCAGATTCGGAGTCGCTGTTGTTCTTCAAGTCGATGCCAGTGGAGGTGTAGGTGGATATCGCGATTTTGCTGTTTCTGAGCTTTCGCCAAGGTGATGGAGAGGTACCCGACGGAGGATTTCTGACCGTTCAGGACGATGATGAGCCGGGGCACTCCTCTGATATGGGAGACTTGAACACCGGTGACGCGGACGCACGGGAAGGATTCCCGAACGTTGGTATGGTGGGCTCCAGAACTCTGCCGATCTTGGGATGCTTAGCCGGGCGGGGCCGGTTCTTTGATGCAACCGCTCGGCGGATGTTCTTGCGCTATTTGGGAGCCAAAGCAACGTCCGCTGAGTGTGTCTGGCGGCGGCTCGTCATCTACAGGCGTCATGTCAACGGAACATCAGAGACGCCCGAGAGCCGGACGGATGGGCGAGCGAACTTTGATCATCGAGTCCCGTTTTGCGTGCAGCGGTCTCTGGAGTCTTCGTCGGAGTGGGGTATCGCTTTGCGGGTCATTGCGGGCCCCCGTCGCTGATGGATAGCAGCGCCTTGCTATCGCGGGTGTACTTGGCCAGTGCGTCCTTGTCGTTGGTAATAACCCCCGGAGACTCCACTGGATTGGTACGGCGGACTCCGGACGCTTTGTTGGAGTCGGATATCGCTTTGCGGGTCATTGTGGGCCCCCGTCGCTGATAGATAGCAGCGCCTTGATATCGCGGGTGTACTTGGCCAGTGCGTCCTTGTCGTTAGTAATAACCCCCGGAGACTCCACTGGGATTGGTACGGCGGACTCTGGACGCTTCGTGGTGAGTCGGATTTGCTTTGCTGGTCATTGCGACTCCCCGTCGCTAATGGATAGCAGCGCCTTGATATCGCGGGTATACTGGGCCAGCGTGTCCTTGTCCTTAGTGATGACCGCCGGAGACTCCACTGAGGATTGGTACGCGGGTCCAGGCTTTCTCATAGGGGCCGTAAATTGCGCGATGGGGAAAGGATGTCGGAGCGGGCCCTAAGTCGCCGCGTTCCCATGGTAATATGGGATTGTCGGACCGGTGGGTGAGAATGGGCGGACGAGCAAGTGTTCCGTGCGAACGTTGACCACCACGGGCATCGCGGTCATCATGGGACCGATAGGTGTCGACAGCTGGTCGACCCCATAGAGAAGGGTCTGTCAGCGGCGGGAGTAGCGTGCCCGAAACGTTTGCATAATGGAGCAGACATAGGGGTGGGTACGGTCGTCGAGGAGCTGTCGTAGCATGCTCCAGCATATCCGTGTCGTCCGCTACCCTCAGCAAAAGGTGCATGATATGAGCAGCCAGCAGCGCTGCGTAGATCTTAATCCTCCCGCGATAATGAAGATAGCCGGCGGAAGCACGGAAGCTTTCGGCGGCTTGTCCTCCGGGCGCGGAGTACTTTGTGGGCTGCTTGGAGGCAGCGGGCCTGCCAGCCTCAAAATTGTTGCTGAGGTTACGGAGGTGTTTACGCATCTTGATGATATCAGGAAGGAGGGGTCTTTGTTGAGGTTCTTCAGATAACGACGCTTTTTGGGAGTTGTTTGACACGGGTCGCAAACTGATGGAAGCTGGCAGCGCTGAAGTAAACTGTATAATGCGAACAACGTACACATCCGGCCTAGTCCAAATCGCTAGAAAATCCCGACGGAGAGAGACGTCCCGGCATCTCTTTTATACTCACCTCCCACACTATACTCCCCTCCGAGCGGAGCTCTTCAAGAACAAGTCGCACGTCATCTCTCCGCCTAACTCCGCTATCTCTCGCCATCTCCTCCCTCTTACTATGGTTTTGGGCCCTGCTCTAGCCCGATTCTGACAAATGGAGCGTCTCCCCGAGATATCAGATTTGGGCTAGGGCAGGGCCCAAAATCAAAGTGAGATGAACGATATCGACGTTGGTTGGAGTAAACACAGTGTCTTGGTGTCTCCCCTCAGCCTCGTCAATGCCGCCCTATCAATTATGAGTTTAGGCCCCAGCCTAGCCCAACTGAAAGTGATGTCGTTTATAGCGGGAGATGGAGATAGGGGCAGACGCAGGACTTGGTAGCGAATGGGTAATAGGCTGTAGAGGAGTTGAGTTTCCAGTGGGGTGGGGTAGGTTAGGCTTAGGTTTTTTGCAAGAAGTGACGGGATTGCGACGGGGGGGGTCGGAGTTTCTTCACGTCGCAGTGTTCACTCGCACGACACGCGCAAAAGGAGGGCAAGCGGAGGCGACGCGTTGGAACACCCGCCCGCCCACAGAGCGCACAAAGTGAACGCTCCCGCAAGCCTCGTTTGGCCCGCCAACGGCATCCATTCGCCCTCTTCCTATGATCCTATCGCCTTTTCTTCTTCGCTGCGACCAAGCGCCTGGCCGCTCGCTGCTGATGAGTGCTTGCTGCTGCAGTGAACTGCCTGCATAAAATAGAGGTCATAGTCCTTCGCTCGCCCTCGTTCCAGCGCTTATTGACGATACATCACCTCACACCTCCTCAAGATGATGCTGCCGAACCCCATCACCGCTCTCCTCCTCCTCGCCAGCCTCGCCCCAACAGCCCTCTCTCAAGACACCCTCGCTGTCCCCGGCCGCACCACCACAACCTCCGTCCCAGCATCCTCCCACGTCCCAACCCACACCGCCCCCGCCTCCCACAACACAACAGCCACCCCAACCTCCTCCAACACCACAGTCACACCCGCCATCACAGCAGGAAACGCAACCATCGTCCTCGGAAACGCTACACTGACCGCCACCCTCGTCGTGGATCCGACCGCGAGCGCAACAAGTTATTTGAACCTCCCGCCGGTGGCCACACCGGTGAGGGCCGGACCGGCGGCGAGCAATGCGCCGTTGCCGACTGGGTCGCTGCCGCCGGATTTGAGTGGGGATGCGATGGGTTTGAAGGGAATGAAGACTTGGGTGGGGGTGTGCTTTGTGGCGGCTGTTGTTGCTGTCGTGCTTTGATGTTAGATCTTGCCTTCACCCAACCGGCGTACCTGCCATGGCGTATTCCCCATCATGTATAACCATATTTCGTAGCCAGATACACAATGTATTTACTCTTATTCTAAAATAACAACACTGGGTTTGAACGTCATCATCGCTCCGGGGTGGGTATGGGAGGGTGTGCGTGGTGTTAGACGCTTGCATATGAGCGGGTCTTGCTCAGGGCCGTCGTTGACGAGTTGGACGTCGCGACAAGGACGTTGTTGGCGTCCGCCCCGGCGCTAGCAACCCGCCGGGAGATACGTAGGGTTGCAGGTCTTCTCGATTGTGCCGAGCTAGTTGTCACATGTAAAGTGCAACTAACACCGGTCAAGGTGGGCCGAATGCACAATCCACCAACAGTGGTTGTTGCCGGAACTTCACACATAACCTCCCACTGCCGGAAGTTATTGTATCCCATCAGGCAGATATGCTCACCCTTCCCTGTTCGTTTTGCTCCATCGGCTGACTTTTCGAATCGTGACAACCTTGACTGCTGATGCACAGCGGGGGCTAAATAACTCTTGCAATGCAGCAAGCCACTATGCACCGTTCAGATGCAATCTTCCTACTTGCGTCTCATTTCACGGCGCACCATCCACCCCCTCAGGCGCCCGCCCCACAGCCTCCAACGCCCGGTCGACGAATTCCCTAAAAACCTCACTGTTCTGCAACGCAGCTTCATATGCTTTCTGCGGGTTCTGTGTACCATCGAGTTCAGTGAGGATGCGTTGCAGTTCTGTGGAAGTTACAAGCATCCGGACGTGGTCGGAGTGTTCTGTTGCACGAGCATAGGCAAAGTCAGGTAAAGCATTGAACGATGTTTTGAGTCATGGGGCGGCGTCGACTCCCATACCTAGACCTGCCAGTTGCTCGTCACTAAGTTTGGTCTCATCGTCTTCAACATTAATGTTCGATTTTGCAGCAGTTGTTGTAGCAGGTGTGGAAAGCTCCGGGGTAGGTGAACTCGGCGCACATGGTGTTTCTGAACAAGAGAGAATATCAGATAACATTGGGCGATTGCCCCAAAAAGTTTCAAAGTGGGACAAACCTCTATGCGTCTTATAGCAGACCAACGAGCAGCTAAGAAAGGAGGTAAAGATATATGTTTCAAAACCAACACAAGGCGCATGTCGAGGCCATTTTCGAAAACTGAGCACCAGAGAACTCACTATGGGGCTTTGCAAGTCGGACACTTGTATTTGAAAGGCTCCACTTTGCACACAGCGCAGAGCTTCGCTGGTGCCGATGCGACTGGGGCGTTCCTGTGACCTTTCGTCCTCGTGTGCGGTGTGTGGGTGGTCATGTCGTTCTATGGCCGTCGAATCGGGGTTGAGACTGTCGGTGGCAACGGGGCCCTAGAGAAATACTGTGCACTGTGGATGACGTCGAATCCCTGGAAGGCAAAGAAAGCATCGGCGGTCAGATCGGCGGTGGGCACTGATTGATATCCAGGCTTTTGAAAACCTTTCGAGCAAAAGTCGCCGAGGACCCGCCCATGTCGACCAACTTGCACTCTGAATCAGACTCTGATTGAGGACGGCAACTGGGACAGCGCAACTACAGTTTCCCCACCTGCCATGCGGTAGACGCATTAGACAGGCAGACAGAGGGCTTCTCCGTCATCCCGCCGAGGCCGCCACGAACGAAACACTCCCACCGGACAGCACTCTCTCGCCGCCCCGGACAAGGTCCGTCGAAATGCTCACCAAACCCCTGACCCTCAACATTGTTCTGCACACCACCACCACCATAAACCCCTCAAACCGCCTTCCAGCCCCGGTCTCATTCACCCTCACCATTCCCACTCCTGCCACAACAGCCGTCGCTGACCTCCCCCAACTTTGCGCCTCATGGAAAGCCGACGGGGAAACAGATATCGGAAAAGGGACGCAAGGAGACAGAGAGGGCGAAACGATACGGGTGTGGAACAGCCATGGCAGTGTTGTGTTGGGGATGTATATGGTGGGGGAGGCTTTTGGGGATGGTGAGGTTGTATATGTTGGCGGTGGTGGGGTGGAGGATGGGTTAGGGCGTGGTGCCAACGGTTCTCAAACGCCGCAAACGAATAAACATAGGAGCGTGGAGCGCAAGCGAAAGCGAAATGCCGCCGATGACGATAGCGATACCGGCCCAACGATTGGTGTCTCGAATGGAACGAACAGAAGAAAGAGACGAGGGAGGAAGGGGTCGCGGGAGACCCGGCTGGGAAGGGATGCTCCGCCGAGAAGGGATAATGGGACGCCAGGTTCACGAGAAGTGAGTGAGGAGAGCCGAGTTGAGGGTCGTAAACGAAAGCGCAACCACGGGTCGAATGAGGAGTGCACAGGAACTACGACCGTGATGCAGGAACCGGCTCCCACTTCCAATAGTCGGCAGATGAAGAAACAAAAGCAGACCGCCGCGATGCCATCGAATGCAGTCATCAGCGAACCGACTCCATTCGCACTCAGCAGTCCAATGTCTGTCACGGACGTCGTGGGAGTCCAGAAGAAGAAAAAAGCGAATAGAAGAGGCGCCAAACGCAAAAAAGGGAATACCAGCCTACCAATCCTCAGTAACATCCAACCCGAAACCATGCCGGCGGACAGTTCCCGGTTTATTCAGCCCTTGCCTTCGGTCTTGAATGCCTTCCAACCCCTCACACCAACCCGCTCCCGCTCCCCAAGCACCGTCTCCTCGCCCACCACTTCAAGTCTCATCGACGATTTTGACGAGCCACCAACCCCACCCTCCCCATCCATACCCGACACGACCCTCTTCCACCTCCCAACCGCCTCCCAAGACACAGCCATGCTCGACAACCAACTTTCCCTTCGCACGTATTTGGACACCGGGGAGGTGGGGGACGGGGAGGTGTCGTCGCAGGAGGAACGCGGACTGGCTTTTGAGATGGAGGGGTTGTTGGGTATGGGTGTTAACTTGCCTGTGCTGACAAAGGAAAGGGGACAGGTGGAGACGATTGGGAGGGGTAGGCCGGAAAAAGGGAGGGATGTGTGGATGCCGTGGTGAGGTGGGGAGGCGTAAGGTTTGAATAATGTAGTGTAGAGTAGTTTTAGATGGTGGAGGACGGTAGATCGGCGATACGAGCGAGTGATAGACACCCGCTACAAGCCCCACCGACCGTTTTTTTTTTGGAAAACCCATATCTTTCATGATATTCTCATTTTTGACGAATAAATTATACAGTATACACACTTCCGAAGTGAAAAAAAGATCCCATCCCTCCCTACGACCCCCCTCCCAAACCTCAAAACCCCCCCTCCTCCTCCTCCTCCTCCCCACCCTCATCAAACGACAACACCCCATCATCCGAAAACTCAATCGGGGACTCGTCATCATCATCCTCCCCCCCATCCTCTTTCGTATCCACCGTCCTCGTGACCCGAAAGATGGGTCCGATGTCGTCCTCGTCGTCGGTGTGCCCTTCCCCGAAATTCGCGAGGTCTTCTGAGATGTCGAGGTCTTCTGACACGATGTCGGATATGGGGTCGGAGTCTTCGATGAGGTCGGTTGGGGTTGTGGGTTGTGCGGGCGCGGCGGGGGACTGGGGTGACAGGTGTGTGAGAGTGGCTGTGGGGTGGGGAGCGGGGGTGGGTGCCGGGACTGGCGTTAGGGAGGTGGATGCTGGTGGGGGTGGGGTAGCCGTTGGGTTCAGATGTGTGGATGGCACATCGGAGACGGTGGGGAGCGACTGCGGGGTGGGGTTGGGGTCCTCGACGACGGGGCTTGATGTGGGGATGGGTGCTGCGGCCGTGGGGATTGTGGACGCGTTTGAGGTCGTCATCGGAGCTCCTGATGAAGACGTGGGGGTGGGAAGGGTCGGTGCGAGCGAAGGTAGGTGTTTTGCGCCAGGGGTGAGAGAGACTACAGGTGGGAGGGAGGAAGGTCCGGGGGCGGCGGTCGTGCTCTGGGATCCCAACGAGGAAGTACTCGGTATCGCTGATGCTAATACCGGGGCCTGTTTCGCAGCGGCGGGGATAGGTGCTACCGCATGGGATGCCAGCGGTGCGAGCGATGGTGTAGCCGCAGAAATGTCTGATGCTATCAAAGCTGGCGATTTCGCAGCCCCGAGTTGGGTTGGCGGCAAGGCAGAAGACGACACTGGCGCGGTCGTGCTGAGGGATGCCAGCGGTGTAAGCGACGACGAGACAGCCGGAATAGCTGATGCCAGCAGGGTCGGTTGTTTTGCATCTCCATCCGCAACGAGTCCCGTTGGTGCAGATGACCCCGCCGTGGTGCCGCTGCGAGATCCCAGCAGCGTCGGTTGTTTCGCATCCCCACCATCGACTCCCACCGCCGGCGTAACCGACATTCCGCCCGACACCACATTCGAGCTCAACGGCGCAAGAGCCGTCGGAGCCCCCAGCTTGGACATCATCCCACCCAACGGCGGCAATCCACCCAGTTTCGTCAGCGACGACGGACCCGCGGTCGCCTCCTCACCACCCTCCTTTATTTTCTTCTCCACTTTCACATCCTTTCCAACGTCCGCAAGCGGCGCTCGTACGACATCATAGTCACCCTCATCGTCGCTAAACCCGCCCAGAATGTCATCGTCATCTCTCATCCCCCCTGAGCCCCCCAACGCCACCCTGCCCGCGCCCTCTTTCCCGATCTTCACATCATCTACAGCTTTCCCGTCCGTCCCTGCCCCCCCATTCACATAATTCTCCTCATCCCCACTAAACCCCTCCAACTCCTCAACCACCTCCTCCACAATCTCCTCCTCCACCTCATCCCCATCAAGACCAAGCGCAGAAACAGGCGCAGGCGTCGTCGCCGACACGACCGGCGCAACCGTATGCGGGCTTAGATTCCCCAGGGGTTGGTGGGTGGTGCTTGGGGAGACATCCACGGACATCGGGACGCGAGGGGTTGGGGGCAGCGGGGCGAGGGTGCTCGATGTGGGTGGGGGTGTGAAGGTTGCTGGAAGAGTCTCGGGGGCGGTTGTGGGCGGGGTGGTGAGCATGGAGAGGACGGCTGCAGTGTCGTCGAATTCGTCGGCGTCGTCGGCGTCGAAGGAGAGGTCGATGGAGGCTGAGGAGTCGACGTTGACGGGGGAGCTATGCTCGTTGGGGGAGGAGTCTGGGCCGGCGAGGGGTGCTGGAGTGGTCCAGGCGGAGTGCGGTTTGGATGTCGGAGGAGGAGCGATGAGCGTTGTTGGCTCCGAGACCGGCTTGCCCAGAGCGGGGGTAGATCCCGGTGTGAATGTCGGCGCTGGTGCTGGTGTGCCCCAAGCGGAGTGCGGCGCGTTTGCGGGCGAAAGGGTGTGGCTAGTGGTAGATTCCGTAGCCGATTTGTCCGGTGTGGAGCTAGGCTCCTGTGCTGATGCGGACAATTGCGCCGGTGCTGGAGCGGCCCAAGCCCTGTGCGACTTGTCTGTCGTAAAAGACTCATTTTCGATGGCCGGCTCAGCAATCGATTTGTCCAGCGTAGACGGCGGGGCTGTTGGGCTGCGGAGCGAAGCAGCACTGAATGCGGGTGGGACAGGTAGCGATGCGCCCCAAGCTGGCTTCTGCGCTGCGGAAGGAACAGATACGGCAGCAGGGTTAACTTTTAAACCATCAGCCGTGCTGATGGCAGATGTGGAGGTAAGCAGTGGGGCAGTCCCAGCTAGCTTTTGTGCTATTGGTACTGGTGTATCGGCGGGGATGACTGCCACGGTTCTCGGGGCGTCAATGATAGATGCGGCGGCAGACAGTGGAGCACCCCAAGCAGGCTTCTCTGTCACGGGGAGAAGCGTGGTCGGTTTGGAAGTAATCGGCAAGAGGGCGTTTGTAGTGGAGGTCGACGGACTGAACAGCGGTGCCAACGGAGGAACCGTTGGAGGTTTGGAGGTGATTGGAACGACGGTATTGGTTACGCTTGTGATAGGCGCCGCTGGGATGGGCAAAGGGGCGTTCAAAGCTGATTTCTCTGTTACCGGAGGAGCCTCGATGGCTTGCGAGCTAGATGTGCCAGCAACAGTTGTGTTTGTGAGGACGGCGGTTGGAGCAGACTGTTGAGCACCCATAGCTAATCTCTCCGTTGATGGAGGAGCTGCAGCTTTGGGGTTGCCAGTGAGAGCATTGGTTGTGCTGCCGGTCAGCGCACCCCAGGCCGGCTTCTCTGCAGGCGCTGTGATCGTGGAAGCCGTGGGAAGAGCATTTGCCGTGCTGGTGGTGGATGTTGGTGGGATGGACAAAGAAGCCCCCCAAACTGGGATCTTGGATACGGACGATGGAGCGATCGTTTCAGAGTTCTTGATATCTGCTGGTTTGCGGCTAAGATGGCAGAAGATAGCGTCTCTTGAGTTATCGTCTAGGTCGTCACCCTGCTCATCTTCGTCCAGGTTTAAATCTCGGATTTCAGCCTCGATCCCGACGCTCTCAACATCATCCTCATCGATCTCGCCGCCGCTACCCGCGTTGTCGCCGTGCTCTGCGAGCTCGGACGTAGCGCCCTTTGCCGCGCCAGTAGCGTTCAATCCCGCATCTGGCAAAGGACCCTCTTCTTGCTCAAACTCAAAACTCCCCAAGTCATCATCGTCCATCTCGTCATCGCTATCCGCGTCCTCATCCTCTTTCGCTGCCGGCTTGGGCTCAGCAACCTTTACATCGCTGTTCAGCTTCGACTGCGCATGTCCTGCATCTAGCAACGGAGCCTCCTCCTGCTCAGACTCGAAACTCCCCAAGTCATAATCATCGATCCCGTTACCGCTTGCCGCCTTGTCATCTTGTTTCGTGGCCGGGTCGGCCAAGGTCTTCCTCTCTGCTTCGCCTGCCCCAGGCTTGAAGAAATCTCCATCTTCCTCAACACTGCCAACACTCCCGAAATCTACTTCGTCAATGCTCACGTCCTCATCCTCTTCCTTAGGATCCTCCATCTCATTCGTTGGCTTCACAACTACTTTTTCCGCATCGACTTGTTTGCTTGTTGCTCCCTTTTCCTGTCCGCCTCCAAAGCTCTCTATGGCATTGTCGTCCATCTCATCAAAGCTTTCGTCGTCGAGTGCTACTGGCTTCGCCAAAGCGCCCTTCCCGCCACCTGCCGATTGCGTAGTTGCTTTTCCAGTATCTTGCTTCAGCAGACCCTTGTTCTCCACGATGCTTCCCAAACTCTCTCCGAGATCCTCGTCCATCTCATCAGAGCTGTCTTCCTCCCGCACCGTTGCGTTAGCCAACGCATTGCGGATGTCACTTGCGGAATTAGCCCTCCCTCTTGCAGCATCCGGCTTCGACAAGTCCTTTCGCTCAATACTTCCAAACATCCTCCCGCTTCCCAAGTCCGCGCTCCCACTCACACTCAGGTTAACATCCGTCGATGCGTCCCTTTCTGCAGCGTCGTCCTCAAGGAGCTTGGCCAGCTGCCCACTATCCCACACCCTCCCCAATTCCTCCGACGATGCCGTAGCGTAGATGTTCTTCTCCTCTTTCGATGACACCGATATTCTCCGCCTGCGAACCTCTTCATTGTCGTTGCGACTGGTAGCAATCGGTCTACCGCCGGACAGTGGAACGGCCGTGGGAAAGGAAGGCGGGATTTTTTTTCCGGCGCTGCTAAATGCAGGGCTGGGACTAGACATCAGGGGGACGCTGAAGGACGTGCGTCTCAGGCCTGGAAGCGGGAGTTCTTCGTCGCTCCATTCGAGTTCCTCTTCGTCTTCGTCTTCCTCCTCCTCCTGTGCGTCTTCTTCATGATCCGACTGGGCGTCTGCGCCATCGTCATCAATGTGGTCGCCGTCGTCGATACCAGCATCGCGATCATTTATGAAGTTCTCATCATCTTCATCATACATGACCGGCGCCTCTCCTTTCTTCGTTAGTTTGGCCTCATCTTCGTCATCTTCCTCATTTGCCTCGGACTTGTCTACCTTCGCAGTAACTGAAGGAGCGTCTTCGTCATCGTTATCAGATTCAAATTCTTCGGAAATGGACTCTTCGATGTCTTCTGAGATGTCATAGTCATCTTCCTCTTGTTCGAGGGACTTTGCAGTTGAGGGAATTGGCGCTTCCGCTCTTAGCGGCGGCAACTGTGACGCGGCTGAGAGTGGTTGGACAACTTTCAGCGCTGGCAGTTGCGACAGAGCGGCAGGCTCCGAAGACGGTTTCGGTAGCGAGGTCAGGGTCTGTGATGTTTGGAGAGGCGCCTCCGCTGAGGCACTTTGAGGTGCAGGGCGGGAGTCCTTATGCTCCTCCTTATTCTCCGAAGCCTCTACGCCGAAGACCAGCCCGTCATCATCATCCGATTTGTCCCAATCATTTTCCTCTGTCGCATCGCCGAACGATTTCTGCAAGCCGCCAGGACGTATCAGAGAGTTTGTCCTGCAATGGGCATCTGTTCAAACGCGAAACACACCTGAAGGTCGTAAACGTATCCAGGATCCCCCGGTTTCACTAGGTTCTTCACGAAAACTGTGTCCATCTCATTCTTCACCGCATTGAGTTCCGCATCACTATATTAGATCTCTTGTCAGTTTCCCCGCTCTCGATGTCTGGCAGTACATCCCCCGGAATAAAAAACCTACCCAAGCTTGTTCAAGTCCCGCTCGCCATCGATCACCACTTCTTTTTCAGGTCTCGCGCCCGCAACCTTCTGGATGCCCAGATCGCCCGTCTTCCGCACATCAGGGGTCGGAAGAGTCTTGGCATCAAGTGGCCTCAAAGCAGGCTCGGTCTCCGATGCTGACGGTTGCAAAGCGCTCAGCCGCGGTTTCAACGACGGTAGTGCACCCAAAAGTGAGTTGCCGCCGGAAGGAGCGGCTCGTAAAGTTTCCGATTTCAACCATGAAGGGACGTCATGATCCCTTTCCGCACTCTTCTCTTCGGTTGCTTCCGATGCCGAGGATTTCGCGGGTAATTTTGGAGCGAGGGGATTCGCCGTCACCTTCCTTGACTCTGAAAGGCTTTGAAGCTCCTCTCTGGATACCTGCCGTGCCACCGGCGTATTGGAGGACGCCCCGTGGCCAAGGTGAGTGATTTTGCGCTCATCATCGAACGACAGCTGTTTTGGCAGCAGTCTTGGGGATGCAGTAGGTGATGGGGAACCTTGGGATCCTCCGCTGACTGCCTTGAGTGCAGGGTTGGCTTTCAATGGCTGATGCTTGTCGAGCTGTCGCTGTTTCTCCGATTGTTGATACTGGATGTACTCCTTACATGCCAGCTTCACCATCCGCTCCAGCTAGGACACATTGTGGAGGAGAGATCAGCCCTTCTCTCCGTCGTTTCAAATGTCTTCATCTATTTGATCTCACGCTCCACCCACCTGTTTCTGACTGACAGGCTTCAGATAGGCGGCATGTCGAATTCGCATGACGCGCGTGAGGTCCGCGCTGTCGAATTTGCCCCCCTCCCAGTCGACGTTGCGGATCGGCATACTCCGCCGCCGCACCTTCTGCGTCTTGTCCCCATCCTCGCCCACATCCTCCGCCGTGTAGAATAGGATCAGCTTCGGCTGATCGTAGCGCAATGCCAACTTGGTCGGTTTGATAACGATGCTCGGTGTGCTGGCATGCACTCCGGTTGCCGATGCTGTTATTGAGAGTTTGGGGGATGGTGCCGGTTTGGGCGGGGTCAAAATGTCGGAGAGGGAGGATGGGCTGGACTTGATATCCTTGGTGAGGAAGCTGGGGATTGGTAGTGGCGGTCCTACTCTCATGATGATGCTTTAGCTTCGCACCTGTGGAAATCTCTGAAAACGTTCCTGAAGGTGAGGCAGTGGATAGTCCAGCCGACCGTTGACCAGGTTTGATAAGGTATCGAATACGTCGGAGGGAAGATAAAGATGGACGGCTAGGTATATAAGGGCTGGTGATATCAAAGGCCTTTTGCCAATAAAGCTTGCCCGCACCCGGGCCAACGCCTTCGAAAACAAGCCCACGTAGAAACGAATTAAGCGTGCCTTAAGCGCCCCTTTTGACAGTGGGGCATTTCCCAACGGCGCTGCCGTCATTGCAACGGTAGATGTAGCTGCGGTAGATGCCGCCCATCCTAGACACTCCCTCAACTGATACATTCTTGGCAGGCGCTCCGTGACATATAAAAAGCACTTCGGGGCTGGTCAAGCTAACCCTCGCCTGAACCTCCGAATACAGAGGTCATACATACAAGCGCCACATCCCTTGAGATGTCGTCAGCAATCCTCGCCCTCCCGCGTACGATCCCCAAATCCCCCTCCGCATCAATCCTCCCACCACCCCAACCCCCCAAACGCCGAGAAAGCCGACGCCGCTCCAGCATCAAGCCCATGCAACGAAGCACAGGGAGCTATGCAGGATCAAAGACCGCCGAGGTCCCCAAGACCGGGATGATTGATGAGTTTCTGGAAAAGGCATTGGCGGAAGACACGTTGCTTTATGTGCCGGAGAACTATGTGCGCACGGGCGTGACGGTGTCGGATAGGTGTTTGCAGACGCAGCCGGTGCCGGAGCCTGAGAATTTTAGGGATGTTGAGAAGACTTGTTTTTCGTTTCGGAAGGTGTGTACACCTTTTCGGTTGCTTGATGTACGGTTCTCAACTGCTAGTGGTAATTCATTGTATCTTGAAATGCAGGACTTGGAGACTATTCATCAGATGCTGAAAGCCAATCAGCTTCACAACGTCCATATCGCAACCAACAAAACTTTAGACACAGCCCGGCACCATTTGGCGGAGATGGAAGAGGCGTACATAAAACTCATGAAGGAAACACGGCGAACATGTCGGGCGCAACTGAAGACCGCTCTGGCACGGATTGTGAAGTCTCAAATCGTAAGAACACACCATTCGCATTGTCATTATCGTACTCCGACTCACAATCGCATCCACCTGTGCGGGACAGGAATACAACGCAACTGTGCAAAGAGACTTGGAGCGAACATTTGAGCCCGAGCTTCGCCAATTGGAAGATATAGAGAGGAAGGCGGAAGACGAGATGCGGGATCTCATAAACGAGGAGGAGCAGCTGGGATACCAGTATACGAGGATCACGCTCGGGTTGTTGAACAAAGGGATTCTGGGCGATAAGGAGGTAAGATCCAGCATGCACTCTTCGTACTCATCAGATCTTGTAGCGGTGCTTACTTTCATACCTGCACACACAGCGTGCGCTCGTGGGACACATGTCGGACAGAAACGCCGACCTAGTAACCCGCTACCAACAGCACCTCTCCGAACTCGACGACCGGATCTTCAACCTCCGCGGGCAACTCGCCGAACTCGATGAGACCGACGACGTGCGCGTAGGCGACGGGGTCCGGCGGCCCAACACGCAACAGGACCGGTACGGCCTCACCGCGTCCGACTCCACCGCCGTCCGCAAGCGGCAAATGTCAATTGAAAGCGACGCGTCCGCCAACCAGAGTAGATTCACGGCGAACTTGGTGAGCAAACGGCCGTCGATTGCCGTGTCGAGGAGGGAGAGTGTCGTGAGCGGGTCACGGCCGTTGAGCTCGATGCAGTTTCAGCAGCCTGCCAGTTCGGAGATGTCTAGGAAGGGGTCGTTTGTGACGTGGGGAGGGGGACAAGCGCCGATGCCGCCGATGGGAACGATACAGCCGGGGTCGTTGCAAGCACAGACGAGGCCTCAGTCCAGTAAACGGCCGATGCCGCTGGGGACGCATCCGCGGCCGAGCTATATGAGTGACTTTAGCGCACCGTCTGAGCGTCCGTCGCGGCTGTTTTCGGCTCGTGATGACCGGCGGGAGGAGGAGGGCGAGGAGGTGAATGGGGAGACGCTGGATGCGGGTGAACAGGCGCTTTACGAAAACCATGTCGCAAACTGCGCGGGTAGACTTGAAGATCTAGAAGCTGCCCACGAGGATGAGATCGCCGCTCTCACGTCGTCTCGGAATGAGATGCTGGAAGACTTCAAGCGGCGCGTGATGGCGATTGAAACGTTTCATGATCAGGCACGGTTGTCGGCGGTGGTACAGCGTCAAGTGCAGGTGCTTAAACTAGCGCTGAAACACAAGCAGCGACGGCCACCGGTTGATAAGAATCACACTGTGTACATTGGAGGATTAACGTATGAGATGCTGCTGGTCGAGCAGCAGAGAGAAAGGGAAGCTGAGGAAAAGCGACAGAGACAGGAGGAGGAGGAGCGCAGGATCCGGGAGGAGGAAGAGGAGAGAGAGCGGTTGGAGCAAGTGAGGAGGGCGGAGATTGAAGCTGAGGCGGCGAGAGTGTTGGCCCAGGTAACCTTCCATTTCCTTACGGTTGGCCATCCGGAGCTTCGAAGTGACCAAGTCATTCCTACTTGTTCGTAGGAACGTGCATTGGCGCAAGCCGCAGAAGCAATGAACGCCCATTCGCAAGCCTCGAACACCGCAATCAACGAAAGCACCACGGGCCGGGCCACTCCATCTTCCCAAACCACCCGTCATAGTCGTACTCAGTTGCTGAGCGCAAAAGAGCACCAGGCACAACATCCGCGCCGCCGCGGTCGTGTTCGACATGGTTTGACGTTCGAACCTACGCTCTTGTCGACGAATCATGAGGATGAGGAAGGGGACTACCAAGGACGACACTCTCCGGTGAACGATGACGTACAGCTGATCGGGTCTCACATGGAACCTCTTTCAATGCGAAAGAAACCCTTAGCTGCTGCACACCGAACGGAACTTGCTGCACCGAAACTTTCATCACGACAACCCTCGGTAAGGATAAAGAAGGTGGCGGTGACAGTCATCCCTACAGCCAACGACGATAAGCCGAACAAACATACAAATACCTCCGTTGAGCGATGGGAGCAGTCTTACGCGCATGTTGCACCGCCGCAACCTAATGCAGACCCGCATGCGGCCGACGCTCTTGAGCCGAACGTACGGTACGTTCATATGCACGATCCCAAGGACGCAGGAAGCGGCGCAGACCAGGACCCGCACGAGACAGGTGCCCCATCGCAGAGCCTGAGCGAGATGCAGTGTGGGAGCTTATCAGATTCTGGGATACCCACGACAGTTCCCGCACAGATGGGTCCATCCCCGTCATCACCTCTGCCAACCGCAGCCGACGGCGAGGAGTCCGTGATAGGTATCACGCTGCAGCAGAAACCTGACGCTCTAGTGCAAGCCCTACCGCGACCGACATACCGCGACGCCGCAGTACAAAAGTACTACAAGCTGCTGGATCCTCGTCTCCGAGAAAGCCTGTCCAGTCAACTCAGCAGCACGTCCCTGCGAAGCCAGAAGTCCGCTACCTCTCTGCAGAATCCCGACCTTTCCCGCCTTCCCTCTGCATCGGTATTGCGTCCATTGGAGTCGCCACCGCGCACGCCACCCGCTCGCATTTGGTCTTCTCATGGTCCGTTGGCGCCGCTGACGAGGGCGGAGGAGGCACTGTTGCAGGCTATGAGCATACGACCGTGGAGTGCGCCGGAAGAGGAGTTGATGGCCTCGATAGGAGAGGCCGCGGGTTCGAAGAGAGTGCGTCGTCGCTAGGAATTAGATTGACATAGAGGTAGACCTTTGTTCGGAGATAGCGGCTCTATAGTTCTATTCTACGGGAGTTGTCTCGTACGCCATAAGTTGCAATGCTACTCTCCTCCCATTCGTTATGTACTCCCAAGCTAGCTACTCTATCCAAGTCCCGTTTCGCGTCCATTGACGATTCTTCCACTCCCACCAGCAGGCCCATAGACCTCCGCGGCCCGCTTTTCGAACGCGCCAACCATGCTCTTGCTGACTTCGGTAAAGAAGACGTTGGAAAGCTGTGCGTACAACGGGTTGGCGAATTGGAAAGATATCGAAAAATCTACCGCGCATGGAGATGTGTCGTACGGCGATGTCCCCCCGCCAGTTGTATTAGAAGGTGGTGCTGGACGTACAGGACTGAAGTTCCATGTTGTTACAAGATGCTTGAATAGCGTCGATTTTTGAGCTGTTGCCTGTAGAAGCGCAAGCAGGAGTTGACGATGAGAACTCCGGAGACCTTCCTCACCTAACAAACCTGAACTTACAGTCACGCTCCTCCCCGTTTGGCACTCCACCAGACTTGTATACCGCTCACTCATAGCTCCAAATCCGACCCCCAACTCGGCCCTCATCACCTTCCCTTCTCCACTCTCCCTACTACTCAACACGGTGCTGTTATTGCACCATGGCACAAACTCGCTATATTTGTCGACATCGGCGACGATTTCGTACAGTTGGTGTGGCGAGTAGGGGAGGATATGCCTTTGCTGATGGCTTTTGGGTGGTGTCGGGGCCGAAGGGAGAATATTGGGAAGGGAGAAGAAAGGACGGGCGGCTGGTGGGTGGTGGGCAGGTCGGGGTCGGGGTTGGAGGTGATGGGAAAGGGTTTGTCCGCGCCGTGCGAGGCGAACAGGCATCAGAACAGGCATGGCGGACATCTTTGCTGAGGCGGAGTTTCGTCTATCGGACGTTGGGACTTGAGGGTTGACCGGTCGAGTGGCCCAAAGACGCTCTGTCCTTTCCTTCGAAGAGGAAACTCACTTCACACCGTTGCGGGTTGCAACCAAAGTTGGCAGAAGGGGGTCCCTGCGAGACGAATTCAGAGTGCAGTTCGGGAGGAACGAAGGCGCGTCGAACTGCGTGAACACCTTGAACACTCTGAAGAGGCGACTTCCCACTTGCTGTAACGTAGTGCGTCTTCCCGTCCGACCCCCGTGACCGTCTCGCATACGTACAGCAGGCCAGCTTCTTAGCACCGCAACCAGCATACAGCTGCTTAGGCGCTCGTCCACCGCTGACGTTTGGGAAGTTGACTTGTCGGGTTCTATTACATACTTTTGGAAACCGCTTTGAGTACCTGACCCAACATGGACGACGATGACCTAGATCAATTCCTATATGGGGAAGCCGTCTCGAAAAGTGAAAGCAATGGTAGCCTCTCGTTGCTACTCTCCTGAAGCTGTATTACCTTCTAACTGTCAACGTTACAGGCCAGGCACCGACCCCTCCTACTCAAGAAGAGGTTTCGGCCGGCGAACTGGTAGAGGAGGTAGAGGAGACCGCACCAGCTGCTGTAGCAGACGGGGAGGAGGATGATGCGCCTTATGAGCCACCAGAGGATGATGATGACGAGCCGTATGAGCCACCACAAGCTCAGGAGACACCGGCGCAAAGGTGGGGATGGTTTTCCTGTGGGACGTCGGACTCTTGGACGCAAGGGAGATTTGTGGTACTAAGCCCATGTTCCTGCGTCTCGTTGATAGCGGAGCCGTATCGCAGAACCTGTCGAGCTTGGATGTCGATGGTGAGGACGAAGAAGATGATGACAGCGATGATGTGCGTATACTTGGGTCTCCTCGATTCTACGGGCGGGGATCCCTGCTGACGAGCGTTGGAAAATGTGTATACAGGACATCGAGATTGTTCTGGATAGCATAGGACCGGGTGCACAATCGGCGCCAACAACACCGGGAAACAACATGCACTCGCATCAGCATCCGCAAGTACAACAGCTGCAACGAACAAATACATCCGAGAGGTAGGTTCCGCATCACCTCAGAGTCGACATACGCTCGCAACAGGTTTCTCAATGCCTCTGGGTGCAGCGCAACGGTCAAAGCCAGTCCAGTCGTAAGGATTCCAGCGAAGCTTGCGCAGCCTATACCAAGACAAGGTAGGACCATCCCTGAATATCGCGCACATTGATGGACATGGGTGGGATGACCGCATCATAAGAGGCTCACTCCATTTCATCCAGATGGAACAATAGCACCACCCGTCAAACCACCCGTGATTACGAAATCCGTAGTAGACGTAGAAGAAGCCGGCAAATTCGACGGCGTTGAGCTCATCAATCTCGACCTCGACACGCTGGAAGAGAAGCCATGGCGTCGGCCGGGAGCGGATATAACCGACTTCTTCAATTATGGGTTCAACGAGCAGACTTGGAAGGCGTATTGCGGAAAGCAGAAGGGGATGCGCGAGAAGGTGGCTGCACAGGTGGCCGAGGTGGGCATGTCGGCGGGTGCACTGGGAATAGGGATGCCAGGGCAACAACAGCAGATTGCGGGTGCACGGCCAGGTAGGGTGTGGCACTTCGCTTATCAACTACAAGAACCCTTTCTTGACATGGGAGCCCATACGTGCGTGTAGGCAAACGCCCAAGAGAAGAAGATGAAATGATGGACTACGCAACAGCCGAGGACATGATGATGGCGCAACATCAACAACAACCGCTGCAAATGCGGAACCCGCGGTTCTTCCCGCCTGACGGGTTCATGCCAGATTTCGGCGGTAAGCAGGTGTTGAGTATCCTTCGGATACCTTCGCGTGGAAGACTCACACGGGCAGGATTTCGTCACTTTTAGGCCCACCACCCATGGGAATGTTTGGCGGTCCGGTGAGTGCCCTCCTTCGCGCCTCATTCGTGTAAGCGCGTCCCCAATCCTGACGTAAACATTCTAGGATCCCTACGGTGGCATGCCACCCTTCCTGCCCCCCGACATGCTCCCTCAAGGGGGCTTCGACCCCTTCCGGCCCCGCGGCGGCGGCGGTGCAGGCCCGAACGGCAATGTCATCACGCCCCGGGGTCAGCAACGCGGCGGCCCTGGCGGCAGCGGGGCGGGGATCAGCACGGCGCAACAACAGCAGGCTGCGAGACAGATGCAAATGCAGATGCAACAGCAGATGCGTGGGGGCCCGTCGCCGCATAGTGGGCATCATGGGCAGTTTGATGGAGAGTCGCGTGAGTCTTCATAACCTCTAAGTTTGTCAAACGACTATCTGCCTCGAATCTGTATTCACCGCCCAACCCTATTCCCCCCTAACAGCATTCCAACGCCCTGGCTACCCCCGCCCGCCCTCCTCCGCCGCAACACCCCTCGGCCCCGACCGCGACCACAACCCATCAGCAATGTCAACACCCACATCCTCATCCGGCCCCATCCGCAGGATCCCGCCGGGCGAGCGAGACCGGGACCGCGAGAGGGATCGGGATCGTGGGAGTGGGAGGGAGGGAGAGTGGGAGATGAAGAGGGAGAGGGAGTGGGAGGTGAAGAGGGAACGAGGGTGATGTTTTGATGTGGATGTGGTGTGTGGTCTAGATACCCATCCTTTTGGTTTGGCTGTTGCATATGGCGTAAAAACATAATAACATTCAACGAGGGAAAGAAGGTACCTCGCTCCGCACATGAGAGAAGTGGTGAAAAATCTTCGTCTTCTTAACCACACGCACCGACAATTCATTTACATCCATTTTCCGCTGTATATACACCTTTTCAATTGAATCAACGGGCCGACAAATGGTGCTAGGACTGTCGAAAAACAGGAAAGCTTCGCTACATCACCGAAGGCTTCTCACCCCAATGGTCCATTCATCGCCCAGCTTGTTCCGTCGGTTCTGCAAACCTAGCTAGAAACCCCTTCTTACTCGGCAAGTCATCCAAGGTCCACGCACCCACACACTTGGGTTGACATCCCGGTTTCTCAGCCGCCTCCAAATTCTTGAATCTATCGTTCTTGACTGTCGGGGCGTCGCTCCAAGGCCTGCGACTAAACACTTCAAAAAGACCTTGATCGAGATCCACCACGTACGCCCATTCGCAGTAATCCCTGTCAGCTATAAAGTCCACGTCTGTGACGATGGGAACAGGCCCAGTGGCGTCCGCGACGAGCTTGAGGATGCCGGCGCCGGTGTCGCGCGACAGAGAAGGGCAGTAGTCGGCGATAGATGGGCGATGAAAGTCGGAATCTTCAAGTCCTCCGTGGGCCATACCAGCGCGTATTCGCGCCTTCTGTTCCAGAGTCTTCTCCCAGACTAGACGGTCCCACTCCTCGCACTGCTCTTGCGTTGGTGTGTACAGATGCCCGGCGTCGATGGCAGCTTGGAGGTTCGCGAGGTTCTCCGGATCACTGATGAAGTCGAGGATGTCCGCGCCTTGGCCGCTCGGATAGCCGTCCCATTGGCCGTACTGGGCGATGTGATAAGATCCTTTGTAGTAGACGAGGATGAGGTGTCGAGTTCCCATTTTGCCCAAAGGTTGGAGGTCGTACGCGTACAGTAGTACGTTTGCAGATTGATTCGTCTGGTAAGGATGGGTCGTTGGGTGTTGAGTACCATACAGAGTGCCCAATGCATATAGAATAGTGATGCTCCATTACTGGCCTACCGTACTATGCCCATACCCCTGTGTGTTACTTCCTTGCTTCTGTTGTCCTGATCCCCGCGATTTTCCCTTGAGAGCAAACACGGACATCTCGGACGGGTCTCATCTTAACGGACGTAAATAAACCATCAACGTCACGTTTCGCAGGATATACTGTACAATCCAGCGGTAATCAAATGAAGGCATCCCAAAAAGGTCACCTCACCCCACGCTACCTATTCCTACGCAATAGACTACTAAATAAGTTACATGTTGAGGACGCTAATGAATGCCTCGCCGGTCTTCGCGAACCACCTCAGAACCGCACTCTCCGTTTCCGAGCTGTATACTTGGAATCGTTGGGTGTTTCCTTTCCGCGCACCCTGTTGAGCTCCTTCTTATGCAGAACCCAGTTCTTGTCTTTGAGTTCCTTTCTCGAGTCTTTGCCTCTCCTTTTCTCTCTTGTTCTGTTGGAACATTACATGTTAGGCAAGACGAAGTAAGGTATTTTTCGCTTTCCCAGCCTCAGCTTCAGAGACGTACCGTTTTGAAGCATAAGCGACCTGGGCTCCACTCTCCTCATCCAGCCCCTTCGGCAGTTTCGGCGCCTCGCTCGCGTTATCCTTAAACCCAGCAAACAGACACAGGTAGTACTTCTTCGCTTTCGTCGAGTTTGGGAAATCGACGACCAGTCCTCCGGTGAACCCGGCCTTCATGGCGCTGGAGATGATCATTTCGATTTGCGCAGGGTTTTCGGGGTAGAATTGGAAGACAGCGCGGGCGCCGCGGGCGAGGGACGAGTAGAGACTGCTGAAGAAGGTTTTCAGGCGGGACCGGGGGTTGTTGACGGTTTTGTCGGCGTTGCAGAGCCATTGGAGGACTGAGATGCTGTAAGGACGTATCGATGTTCAGTCCTTCTGCCCGTGGGGTGACTGGTAAGACGTCGGGTAGTACCTTATCGCACCATCGAACGTCCCTGGTCGATACGACATCCCCTGCCCAATATCTTGCAAGAACAGGTCCCCATCGACCTCCCGTCCATTCGCCACCTCCAACATCGACTCGCTGATGTCCATCCCGACCCAGAAGTGACCCTCTTCGTCCAGGACCTCCCCGCTCAGCCCAGACCCACATCCGATATCCAGTAGAAACGCTACTTGGTCGTCCGGGATAGCTAACAGCTCCAGGGCTCGATATGTCATTTCACTCTGAATGGCTATGATTCGTGAACTGAGAAAGTGATAGAGGGGAAAACAAGGATGAGTGACCATTTTGCAACTGATATACATAAGGCATGCTGGCCATACTTGTTGGTATATTTTGAAGCTTCGTCTTCATTGTAAAACTGGAGGTAACCAGCGTGAGCCCAACAACCATCACTGAGTACCACGAAAGTTGCCGGGACTTACAATTTCCGGCGGTGCGGTATGTTCCGGCCTCGACATGTTGGAATATTCCGTTGTTGTTCAATGGGACTGCTTGTCTTGAGTCCCTTGCTTTCGGAGACGGCGAAGGGTAATGGGAGAACCCTTGGACATACCAGCGTTGAGCGTCGAAAGGCGATCCGGAGTTAAATGGAAACTCACGTGACTTGCTCATAAAACTCGACTTACTCGAGTCGACATCAACCGGACATCGACCCCACAAGCAGGGCACAAGGACAGAAGGACAGCGCTTACGAACCTATAGCAGATCCCCGCACGCAGTATGGACAGACCAGCTCGGAAACAGGTTTGTCTCCGCTCGCTGTTAGCGACCCACCATTCAAGCGTTCCTGATCGACGTCGTTTTGGTCATGATAGGTCAATGCACCCGCGAAATTGACTGTAAATGTCGAGCAAGCGGGCACCTACAACATTTGGTACAACCGATGGGGCGGCGAAGGGAAGAAGCACAAAGGGTGAGTCAGCCATCAGCCAGCGCCATTATGTGCTGTAGCGTCTTTCGGTCGAAACTTGCTAATCTTCAAGTGACGGTCACTGCAGGCTGGAAAAGGCAGAACGACGATGCAATATGAAACGTGATATGGGGTACACGAAGGCGCAACCAGGGTCGGCGTTTTGTCTCCATTTTTCCAGAGGATGTTGTATGAAGGGCCATGAATGCAACGTGAGTTGGGCGATAGTGCTGAAGGACTTGATTGTGCTGGCGGTGGATTTTGCTGTTAACATGGATTGGTTTTGAACGGATACATAGCAATGGCATCGCGCACCATTGCCTGAAGACCGAGAAGATCAAGCTCATGACTGCTTTGGAAGGGAACGCTTCAGGTAAGGAACGCAACCGTGTTCGAGGTCACGTCATTCATTTGACGGCCGTTACTGATGGAACCAATCATCTGAACAGCAATGATCGCGAGGATATGGGTGGTGGTAAGTTTCTAGAAGTTCGTTTTCGAGCAGAGGACAGTTTGCATAGGTACCATCTTTAAACGATCAGCACCTTCTAGTTGGATCCTTTGAGCGAGACAACCGAACACTGTATGTTGGAAACATCAAGGCCCCGACATCTGAGATGGAGGTACGGCCAGAAGCGAGGAAGATCCTACGATGCGCACGAGGATGAGAAGACTGACATCGTTCTTTCTGTTCTGTAGGCAGTTGTGCGGCGACATTTCAGCGATTGGGGCGAAATTGAGCACAGTATGTCAAGGCGCTGCTGTATTCTTCTTCAACATGAGAATTTCCTACTTACCGGCCCGCGTCCGCATCTAGTCAATGTCCTGTTCGGCAAAAATGTAGCCTTCGTTCGCTATGTAAGGCGATACAATGCCGAGTTTGCAAGAGAAGCCATGTATGGGCAATCCCTCGACAGCAATGAGGTGAGGACACTGGATCTTGGTTACGCCTCTGAATCGGTTCCTGATGGACACATCATTGCAGGTTCTTAATGTGCGCTGGGCTACCGATGACCCCAATCCTCGTGTCATAGCCACCAAGAAGCGCAAAGTAGAAGAACACATTAGCGAGACCATCCAGCAGAAACTGCCCCGCTTGGGGGACAGGGGCACCATCCTCGACTACGAAAACTATTACGCCGATCCAAACACATATGCTTACGGATACGACCCATCTGCCGTCGCCGCGTTGCCACCCCAGATCCCAGCAGCAGCACCGGCGCCATCAAAACCAGAGGGCGTCAGCGACACGATGGCGTTTTTGGCAGACGCGAGTAACGCTACATATGGCGTGGAGGAGCAGCAAACTGGACAAGGGGCGGATGGCAACTATAACGGGTGGACATGGGATGGATACGGGTGGAGGTACACGGGCGGCGGCGAGGGGGCGGCGGCGTATGATCCGAACGGGTACGACCCTGCGGCGTATCAGCAGTGGTATGAGGCACAGGGGTACGCGGCGGGGTATCCAGCTGCTGACGGTACTGCTGCTGGGGATACGACAGCGGAGTCAGGCAATGGGGATGCAAACGACGGCGCATCAACCACGAAACCAGTATCGGCTAGCGCTTTATCGTCATTGGTCGCCGGTTATGCCTCAGACGAAGATGACGAGTCAGATGGAAAGGACAAGGAGTCAGAAGAAAAGGATAAGCCAGCAGACGACGGTTCCGGAAAGTGAGACGAGTTGCGTTGCATTAGGCAATCAATTCGGGAGAATGGCTTTTGCTGTAGACGCGGCTTCAGTACTGGCGCTTGAGTGTGAATACAATGTATACGAATATGAGGAACTTGGTCTCGCTTCTTCTCGATAGATTGTTTACAAAATCCCTCTCTTCTCACCGCTATCTACCGGCCTTTGTCTAGAACGGATATGAACCGCAAATACCCACTGCCACTGGCTGGTTTCGCACGGAGCGAGAATAAAAAACGCTCCCGTTCCCGTTCTCCCCAAAGCCTTGGGCAGATTCAGATGGTTACCCTTCTGATGAGAAAGGCGCAACTGTGAAGGGCAGATACTGTCATTTTAGACTGGGCCGCGGTCGTTTTCCGACAAGAACATCTAGGACTAGGGTGGTACACCATTGCCGTTACCGAGTGGCATCGATGCATTGGCGTGAAACATATGGATTAATGTGAGCCCCAGTTAGCGGATCAAGGGTCAATCATACGAACATCGGACAGATGGTTGTGATGAAAGGTCAAGTTCCATCCTATGCGCACAGATGCCGCTTGCGAGATAACCCCGACTTCATGCGCGGCAAACGATCCTAGTATTATTAGCGTAGCATATGTGAACCGTGGATCGACAAAACATGATGGATACAAGAGAGTATGATACGAGCATTGGATATCCAGCCCATGTTGCCAACCAATGAGATCAGAAAAACCAAAACAAGAGATCAATTTAGATGTACACACTACGCCGCTTCGCATGCTGTCCATTCTTCTATGTAAACCGCCTCGCTCGGAACCCATATTGGATTGTCCACCCACCCGCCGTGTGTTTCGTCATCCTTCCTTAGTCCACCGCGGTCGAGTAAACGTCCGCTACACCGTATATCGCATAATCGCGCAGCTAGCAAAAAGTGCCCCCCCACCCTCCTCCTCGCACCCCCACACTACCTCAAATGCTGCTGCTGCTCCAACACCTGCATCCTCTGTCTTTGCAGCCAGCTCTTTGGCGTCTCAGGCGGTCCTCCAGCCAATCCCCCATTGACCTTCTCCCCATTTTGTTGTCGTGCGTTGTTATGATTGTTGGCGCCGCTGACGGTAAGGCGCGCCGAGGCTTTGATTTGCGAGTCTGTTATTGTGGAGTACCAGGCGCTGGCCATGAGGAACTGAAGGGTGGGGAGGAAAGAATAGGTCAGCACACAATGATCATGAGAGGTGAAATCAATAATGTCCCAGAGCTTCCCATACACAACCGCTCTTACCTGTTCACGCCTCGCCGCGGCGCGGGTATCAGCGAGCTCATGTTTGAGCTTGAGGAGCTCAGCGTCGCGCTCCGACAGGGTGGACTGGAGCGACGCGATGGCTTCGGTAAAGTTGTCGTCTTTGGGCAAAAGCGCGAAATAGTCTTTCAGCGACTTTTCTTGCCGGCGGATGTGCTGATTGAACGAAACGAGATAAGTTGTGAGTTACCAAACTTCGATTTGAGGTTGGAGCACATCCCCGGAGCACACCACAACAAACCCACCTCCTTCGCCTGCTTCAACGCCGCATGCAGCGTATCATTCTTGCTCTGCGCATCCACAGCCTGTTTCGTAATCGCCGCAATCCGCTGCACATTCTCATCCGAACTCTGCCCCCGGGACTCCATCGCCGCCAGATCACTCCTGAGCTCCCCAATGACGCGCTCCTGCTGGGTGACGGCGGATTGGGCGTCGTTGAGCTCGAGCTGGAGACGGTCGCGCTCGTAGGAGAATTTGTTGAGGCGACCGATGGTTTGGCGAAGCTCTTCGGTGAGTTTTTGGATTTGCTTGTGCGCGGCTTGGAGCTCGGTTGTAAGGTGGGAGGGGGTGGTTGGTGTGCTGGGGGAGAAGGGTTGGGAGCGTCTGTCATAAATCGACGAGCATCGGTTAGTGTTGGCGAAATGTGAGGGGAAACCAGCAGAACCCTGCGACATACCCATCGACGTCAGACATAGACCGGATCTGTCTAAGCTCATTCTCCAAACCCAAATTCTTCTCAAACGCGAATCGGTAGTCCTTCTCGTATTTCGCTTTTAGGCGATTGGCATCTTCCAGCATATTTTCCAGGGCGACCACCTTTTCTGCAATAGCTTGCGTAGATGTCTTCTCATTCCGCAACCGCTCCACCTCTCGTTCGAGTTGGGCCACCTTGACGCTGCTCATATCTGATCCCAGCTCGGTGGCGGCGGTGCCTGATATCGGTGGGCCTAAAAAGCATCGAACGTGAGACCTTTGCCTCTCCTCGTCAGTTTGCGATAATGAAGATTACCTCTCAGCTCAGCTTCCCTCAACCGATCCTCCAGATTCTGGATATGCTCATGGTCATTCCTCCTCTCTATCTCATACCGCTCCAATTTCGTCCTTGCTTCCGTGAACTGAAACTCCAGCGTCGAATTCTCCACCTGAAGCGAGCTTATCCTCGACTCCAAGGTGCTAAGCTGGTCTTTCAGAGTATTAACAAGTGGCTTTATCGGCGCCACCTTCCGAAACTCCTCCTCCAATTGCACATTGCGCTGCGCCTGTTGCGCGGCCTGTTCCTCAGCGGCTTTCAGCTGTTTGCGAAGATCCCCAACCTCCTCAAACCGTTTCTTGTATTTGTCGACGATCGCTTCGGACTTTTGTAGCTTATCTGCCATGTGGCGGAACTCGTTCAGAGCGTCTTTGAGGCGCGAGGCCTCCTCGGCGTCGTTTGAGGCTTCCTCGTATTTCCGGGTAAGGTCAGTGATCACTGAATTCTGTTTCTCGAATTGCTGCTCGACCTCGGCGCGCCTGCTTTCCGTTTTCATCAGCTGCGCTTTCAGGTTATCAATCTCTGTTCTCAGAATGAAATCGACCTGCCCCGCCTCGGTCAACTGCGAAAGCGTCGATTCCATCTCTCGCATCCTCTGCTCTAATGCTCCATTCGCCAAGTTGACTTTCTCATTCTCGGCCCGCAACGCATTAAGTTCCTCGGCCATCTCCTTATTCTTGCTCTCCAGTTCCCCTTTCTCGTACATCAAAGCATCGTTGCTGTCGTCCAGATCCGCTCCGACTTCCGACAGCCTGCGTCCAGCACTGGCTGGGTTCGTCAATCGCCCCATGACGTTCTCGATGGCAAACATCAAAGCATGTTGCGACATTTGGTCTAATGCCTGGATCTTCTGGATGTATCGTCCGTTGTTCTCGCTCTGTACGGCGAGGGCTACGACCAGTTGCGCTAGTTTCACCATTTCGGCAACATCCTCGTCTCGTGCAATGTAGGTTAGATTCGGAACGTCGAGTCCGCCTGTGGGTTGGCCGAGAACCTCTTCGTAGTAGCCGATGAGAAGTTTGTACAGTTTCTTCAGTCCGTTAAACTTCATGACCCAGTTGTCGTTGGCGTCAGCGCCTGAGCCGGCACGAGAGGCTTTGAACCATTGCGGATCACTGTTCGAAAAATTAGAGGGTTGCCGCTGCGTAAAAAACCAGACTTTTGCCCGATATATATACATATATAGGGCGAGGGATAACTTACACTTCGGTGAGAACATCATATAAGAGATTTGGATTGCTGAGGTCTTCAGGTGTGTGACACGGTCGCTCCAGCTGCAATGAAGCGACCCATTCCACCACAGCCGTGGCTAGTGTGCTTGTGTCAATTGAAGGGGTCGCCATGGTTCAGGGCCTATCACCGAGCTTCCTTCAGCTTCACTTCCGAAACTGGACAGATGCCCGAGGAAGGATGCAAAAGAGCGAGAGCGGTCTGAACGTGAGGTGCAGAGAGCGCTATCTTTTCGCTTCTGCTGGTTTTTGTCGGGCCTGTGTTGTTGGTGGCTCCGTTGCTCGTTCCGCCTCCGACTCGGCGTTGCGCTGTGCGTAGTTTCACGACCAAGGATATCCCGACCCACGCCGCCGTATGCTTTCTATGTTGCCCAGGCAAGTACGCAATGTATGTATCGGAACGGCAACCACTATCCCAGTATCGTCGTGGGATGCCAAGCTGTGGATACTAGTAGCAAAACAGCACGTTGGAAAAAAGGCTGAAAAAGGAGCGACGACAAACGGCCGTCCGCAGACGCGCGATGACTCAGTCTTGTGACGCTCCGACGCTCTCCTTTCGCAACTGTCATTCGAGCAAACGGCCATATATCGATATTATTCTCGGAGCAATTGTCTACAGGATCAAGGCAGGACACTCCCTTTGTAGTCGTCCCAGCTCTAATGGCTTCTATATGTCTGTACTCTATGCTACTTGAAAGGGGGACTGGCGCATGAGGCGCATCGTACGCCAGAGGTCTAGAGCTACGCCGCCTGCGACGCAGAGCTGTGGAGTTTCACCATAGAGGCGGGAGGTATGTATGCTTCCCACTCACCGCACCACCTTAACCATTCCCGCAACACTCGGCACCCCCTGCCCACTAATCGCAAACAAATAATAATACCCGCCCGTCACAAACGGCAAATCCCCCCTATAAATCTGGGCGACATCCCCATTCACCGCATCGCGTTTCGTCACCTGCAGCGGCACGCGCAGCTGGTCGTTGGTGACGGAGTGCGTTGCCGAGGAGAGCCGGAGGAGCTCATAGGTGCAGCCGTTGCCGCAGCTGGTGGCGAGGATTGTGAGGGGGGATTGGAAGGGGAGGAGGACGGCGTTGTAGGGGGCGGGTGTGCCCGTGCTGAGTTTGGTGATGACGGGGCGGGGGAGGCCGGTTGTTAGGTTGGGTGGGGTGTAAATCTGTTATAGGATCAAGGCAGATGGTGGGTTAGTCTTCAAGAGTTGCGCAGAGTGGCCTTGGCACCAAGGTAGATGTAGACGAATGGACGATTACCTCCGAATCAAAATGAACGGCATCCGTACAGGGAGCCTTCCCAGGCGTCGAGCACTTATTTGCCTTCGCACCCCCACCTCCAACAAGAACAGTCCCATCCTTAGTCAACAACGCAATCGAATGGTACGTCCGCGCCTTCTGCATAGCAGGCAGCACCGTAAACACGCCACTACCCGGGTCATACAACTCGGGCGTCAGAACTCCATTCGTGTCCTCAAAGATATGAATGTTGGTCTGTCCCCCAACGACAAAGATCTTCCCGCCCGGCAGGACGATCGAATGGCAGAACGTTCGGGCATTGTGCATGTCCGCATTCTGACGGACTTGGACAGCTCCTCCTGTGGGGAGGGTATCGAAGCGGATCGTGTACGTAGCTTTGGAGGCGGCGAGCCCGACGCTGCTCTGGCTGTTACCGTAAGCGGTCGCGCCGCCCGTTTTAAAGACGCGGCCGGGGGAGTACTGTACAAAGCCGCCGTTAATGGCGTAGGAGTCGGTGCCGCGGGGGCCGAGGGAGGTGAGGGTGCCTTTGGAGGTGTTGATGTTGTGCATTGTTTTGACGGGGCCGAGGTGGAGGACCATGTCGTCGCCGGCGGCGCTTTTGTACGAGACCTGAAAGATGGTGAGCAAGGAATGGACATATGTAAGTCAACTGATGTGGTGAGTGCAAGAGGCCAAGAAAAAGTAGATGACTTACGAGCCAAGCATGGTTATCACTCCTATAAATGCCCTCCGGGTCCGGGCTAGGCGAGTCCTCCATCCCACCAATAATATTCCCAGATTTCGGGTTCGAGATGGCCCACGATCCCAAACCATTCACATCAGGCGTATACAGCTCCCCATCCCTCCCCCCAAACCCATATTTCCCATACTTCTTCACGAACGAACCCCCAATCGTAAACACCTTGTTGTTCGTCGTCAACACATTCGCCTGGTACCCCCTCGGCACATTCATCGACGCGACGGGTCCAAAGGTCTTCTTTGCAGGATCATACATAATCGCCGAAACGGGTCCGCTGCCGCCGTTCACGAGGATACGGCCGTCGGGCATATTTGTCGTGCCGGGGCAGAACATCTCGGAGGTGGTCGCGCCCTGCAGGGGGATGGGTTTGCGGTTGAGGAGCTGGTCGGTGGAGACCACGACGTAGTAGGTCCAGTTGCCGCCGCCGTTGGTGAAGAGCCAGCCGCCGGGGGAGTTTCCGGAGAAGAGGAGGATTTCGCCGGTTGGGCTGATGCCGCCGGAGATGGGAGAGAGAGGGAGTGGGAGGAGGGGGGACCATTGGCCGAGGGGGGTGGCGGCGTCTGCTCTTGGTGTGACCTGATCAAGCAACAAAGCCGGAGATGAGTGAGATGTCAGTGGGGATGCAGGCTACTGATGTGCATCAGAGACCGGCCGGCGGGATGATAGCTTACCGGCGTCGTAGCACCGAGCCCAGCGCAACCAAACAACGCAATAAACGCGGACGCGATCCTCATCGTGGGAATATCTCGAATGTTACGTTGCGGAAAGAATGTGCGAGTCGTTCACAACCTTCTTCGGAAAGAGGACACTCATCCCCTCGACAGCTTTTTATACAAGCCCCCTCACCCTCCTGTTCGTCCCGCATGAACCCGATGTGGATTGATGAAGGGGTACATCTGTCGGACGGCGGGAATAGCCACCCCGCAACAAACTAACCATACTGTCCTCAAAATTGCTCTCCTACGCATGCCGTTTCAGCTTTTCGTCTTCTCTCCTTTCCTTGGTCTCCCACGGCCGACACGATCACAGAAATGTTCCCAATCAACTTTCTATCAGAAAATGTGTTTGTGCAAGGAGCTGAGGATGTATTCCAGTCAACTTGGGCAAGAGGCATGGGTGGCATAGCGATACCGGCAGAGGTGATCGTCCAGACTTTCAACTCCGATTTCCGAATAAACCAGTGACCGGCGCACGCAATGTATAGCTACTATATAGCAGGGGTCTAAACAAAAATTTGTGTGGACATGAGATCGCCGAACCAACAATTCTTCTGACGATGTTGACCATACCGCTATCTCCCGATGCAGCCACAATTGACGGGCAAATTTGATATGCCGGGGCCCGAGGGTTCCGGTACGAGCGCATAGCACATGATATAGATAATAGCAGAGCAGTCCAGCCCGGGACCTGGGCGATGGAAGGTTCAACGGAAACAAAGCGGTGCTACGTACGTATTATTTTGGGCGACAATACAGTAATTTGTGACTTTCGACACTGGAACGACACGCGGGGGGTCCCAATCCATCATCCATGCCCCCGCCTTCCTCCCCTGGGAAAAAGAGGCCACCGCAATTGGGAACGTGGAAGTGCACCCAATCAAGTCAAAGCGAGAGAGAAAGAGAACGAACCACGCTGTAGCTTCAGAAACCCCTCTCGGCACAGCTCCTCCCTCGTAGACCACTTGTACTCACCGTCGCCATCCACATTTTCGATCGCTCTAAATGGGGAGTTCAGCACGAGATCCAGCTAGATCAGGCACCCACCGAAGCCATCGGCAGCGCGATCAAGACCCGCCGCCAGCCGCCGCCGACAGGTTCAGAGACGTCTCCAGCGAGTCGCCCCGCGAGTCTCACCGCCACTACCAGAAGGATCAGCATGACCGAGAACAGCCTGCGCGTTCGCGATCCCGTGGGAGTATTTGGGACCGCCTCGGTGAGAAATTGGGCCGTGAAAGCTACGACGACGACAATAGCAGAGGAAGAACGGCACAATACTATCGACCACCAAGGGTACTTTTGACGCCTCCGCTGTACATCACTTTTACGAGATATGGGAGCATTTTCTCACTATTGCTGATTGATTCCTCAGGATGCTGACAGAGATCCACACGAAAGTGGCCATTCTAACAGAAGTGGGGGCAGGGGAATGCGAGGTAATATATCACAGATCCTATGATCGATGGGTGTTGGCAAGCGCCTATTAGTTTCTACCACTGCAGAGGCAACTTCTCAACGAAATGGCGGCTTCAAGACTGCGGGCCGTTTTCGTATCGACGATGATGACCTTCAATCTCGTGATGACGATCTGCGTTTGAAGGGACGCAACACCAGGTTTGTAGTCCCATCCCAGCGACAAGCTCCGAACTCATGAGAATAGACATTAAAATCCTTCCCATAATCCTATAGAGGATCACGGACCGAACGAGGTGGGGACCGCCGTAGCCTTGAGGAAGGCGAGACTGAAGAAAACCTTCCTCCGCCCTGGGAACTTTACACGTCGCAAACATCTGGCGAAGAATACTATTACAACACTGAAACTCGTGAAACCAGCTGGGAGAAGCCGGTCCGAAGAACCCTATCAAGGACCCCAGAGAGATCTACGGGCTGCGCTGACTCCATGAGTATCAGAAGGCGAATGAGTCCACAAGAAGACAGACGGGACCACGACAGATCACATGGCCGCGACAGGAAGGGGCATAGGGAGCCGGAAGAACCGTCTTTTGAGCGACGGAGCAGCGCATGTGAGAAGCGCTATGATGAGCCGGCAGATGACTTGCCGGTAGTCCGGCTTGACCCTCGGGGGAGAGGGGACGCCGACTTGGATCGTGATGTCGTTACATCAATGCAGGTTGATATGCACCCTTCCCGACGAAACAGAGACCATTACGCCCCGAGCGTTGAACAGGACTTGGATCCTCGCAACAGACGTGGAGGTACATATGGTGGTACTCATTTGTGAATCGGAAGAGGCGCTTACAAGAGGACTTTAGATTTCGACCATGGGCGTAGCCAAGACAGACCTAGGGATCGAGACCACAACCACGACCGTGAAAGAGACCGTGGTCGGGACCGAGATCGTAACCCTGAGGGTGATAGGGGCAACCCCAACATTCAACAATTCCGCCCCCCGCTCCCACCGCCCCCCGAGCGCTGCCGCCGGTCTTGCAGTCGGGATGGCGGGGGCAACAAACGGCGCAAAGTAGACCGGGATGGCGAGTATGAAGCTGAGCGGGGCGGTACAGCTACCATGATTACGCTGGGTGTGAAGAATAGCCAGCACGACATCGAGGCAGCCAAGATCGAGGGAACTCTCAAGGCTGGAGGTTGGGATCAAGTGCCCGAGACAAACGTGGATCACTGGATGGATATCGATATGGTGAAAGAGGCGCCTCCGGCTCCTGTTGAGGTCAAGGTCGCGGAGGAACAGCAAGTTCCGGCGTCCATTGCTACACCTCTGGACAAACAGGAACCGGAAAAGCAAGACGCTCAGTCTATCGTTGAGCAGCGCCAGCCCGTAGATGCGCCGCCCCAGGCCCCTGAACTGGCGAAACAGCAACAGGAAGCTGTTCCCGCTCCACCGGACCAGCAAGCTCAACCCGAACGCAAGTCCGAAGTCGCGACGGTCAAACCCGCCGCTGACGTGACCACACCCGCCGCCCAAACCCAACCACCCCCCAGCCCACCCCAACCAGACCTCTCAACCCTCCAACGCGCACAAATGATCCAACGCATCCTCGCCAAGCTTCCCGAAAACGTCCTCGACGCCGCCACCCTTAGAGACCTGCTCGCACCCGAGAACGCGGACGCGTGCGCAACGGACAACGTCGACATGTGGGTCGGCGAAGATGGATTCGTACGAGTCGGCAAACGCGTCGGTGGCGCTGCGGAGGCTGCTGCTGCTTCTGATGAGGGATCTGCGTGAGAAAAACACCCCAATGAACATTTCTTGGAAGATTTTTGGCACAACCGGTCTTCTAAACACACATGAAGCGTTGATGGTCTGATCATACGGGGAGAACACTGCGTATCTTGAACTCTCGCGTTGGTACCCGTACCCGTAAGCACTCCTTCGAACCCTCACCCCTCTCCATCATCGATGCTATTGCTTTGTTTTCGTTTGTTTGCAAATGGGTCTATTCTGTAGCTTAGGTTACCTGTGCTTCCCTTGGAAAGATGAGCTCTGGAGCGGATGGGATGGGAAATGTGTATACCGTGAGGCAGGAACAGTAATTTCTGGTATCGGGTACCCCCCCTTCTTTGTAGTGTGTTTTTGTTGGCGTATGTAGCCCCAATGCCCATGGCTTTGCTCAATACACAAGGTAACATTCCTATCAATCCCGCTTCGCCTTCCATTGACGGTGGCGTCAATTACGTTGCATTCGCCGAGGGGCTGACCGGCATAGGACCAGCCAGCAATCCCAGCTTGCTGCTTCCCGTCCTCATCGATAGCATCCGCCCAGACTCCCTCGATGGTGCGGATGGATCGTGTGATGCTATCTGATCCGTCGTAATAAGATTCTGCTCAGATCTGTTTTGTGTATCCATTTTATATTACGCCTCACCGCAAACCGGACCAAATAAAAAAAAACCAAGACAAAAAAAGCCATCAACGAAGAGGGACAGACGGGGGTAGGTAAGGGGGATTGGTTCGGATTAGGACGGGTGATTAATGCTCCCACCACTATCGAGAGGTGCGTTCAGCGAACGACGGTTCCGGGTTGTGAGATAGGTACAGGGGTTTTTCCAGTCTTGAGAGTAAGAGCATCTACCCTCTCTCCCCAGACAGTGAAAAGGGGACCGAATGGTGAGGGAGCTGATCCTTCCGTATTGTTTTCCCAGGGATATATTATCTACAAGTCTTCGTCCTCCTCGGCGGGCAGGGGTTGGACAAGCGCCTCGGTGAGCTGGCGCTCGTACTCGGCTGCTTGTGCGGGGTCAAGGTGGACCTCCGGGGGGGCCAGTGCCGGGGCGGCGACGAACTCGAGGTTGGCGTTACTGCCAAGGAATTTGGGTCAGATGAACGGTTCTTTCCACTTTCAAATCAAGAAGTTTCTCTGTCAAAGATACATACGCAATAAGCTTACGCGCCAACCAGAGGAAAGGCTTCTCGAAGTTGTAGTTGGATTTTGCGGAGATGTCGTAGTACTGAAGGTTCTTCTTCCTGTGGAAGGTGATTGCCTTGGCCTTCACCTTACGCTCCTTGATGTCAACCTTGTTTCCGCACAGAACAATTGGGATGTTCTCGCACACCCGGACAAGGTCACGGTGCCAGTTGGGGACGTTCTTATATGTGATACGAGACGTCACGTCGAACATGATGATGGCGCATTGTCCCTGGATGTAGTAACCGTCACGGAGACCACCAAACTTTTCTTGCCCAGCGGTGTCCCATGTGTTGAAGCAGATTTGACCGAAGTTGGTGTGGAAAGTCAAGGGGTGGACTTCGACTCCGAGGGTGGCTGTGATAGTTTCGAGATGGGAAGATCAGATGTCCGCCTCTGCAATTCGAATTCTAGGCTCCTCCTGCGCTAATCTGTCTGGCAACTCCGTCGTCTACCGGGAAATGCGGGGAATGTCGATTCATCGTCGAAATACTTCGAGAATTCCCCGCATACCCCCTCCATTGCCCTAGAATATTCCCACGAGCACCCCTCCATCAGTCCCATCGTTCAGAAGTACTCACCAATGTACTTCTTCTCGAACTCTCCAGTCAAGTGACGCTTCACGAAGGTGGTCTTTCCTGTTCCACCATCACCAACTAATATCGAGCAAATAACATTCGTTTTAGCGATCGTTCCTGCGCAAGCGTTCGCGCCAAGTTGAAATCCACGTTCGAGGATGGCGTCGTATCCTTACCAAGAACGAGCTTGAAGGTGGGCATTTGCGAGCCGTCGGCCATTTTTGCTATAGTCTACAAGATGCCGAGCGAGGTTAGCGGTGGTGCACGATCGACATTCCAAGATCTTATGCCATTTCGGACGCGGATTTCCCACGGCTCATCCATAGGTGGTCCAGAGGGTAATCGATGCCGCTCCTTTTCCGCCGGGCCGGCGGCCGAGAACTTCTCCACTTACGTTGTGTGAGGATCAGATGGATGGATGGATGGATGGATGCTGTTCTCTGCTGTGCGTTGCAGGATGCGTTCGTTGTTCGACGGTGGATGGATGGATGGATGGATTGTAGTGGGAATGTCGCTTCCCCTCAGCCTGTTAGGCCTTTGCACAGCCACCCACTGTCAGTCGAGCGCTTCTCGCGTTTTCCCTCTGTCTCCGTTTCTGTCTTTTCCCAACGGACACCCTATTCAAACTGCCATATAGCTGCATCAGTCGGACTCGCAAACTTTCTTCGGGATCTCAAGTCCCTCGTAGTGAACCTCCCCACCACGACCTTGTGCTTTGCCGTCTTGGAGTCATGTCCGTCGCCAACCTGGCACTGAGGCTGCTGCAACGCCTACCCGCAGGCCACCTGAGCCTTTCGGCGGAACAGGGTGAACAGCTAGTCACCAGGCTTCTGGGAGCTCGATGCTGCCCTCGGTGCGTTTTCCGTTACTTGGGAGTTCGCGACAGAACGACGCATGTCAATTTGCTGGACTTGACAAAGGAGTGGACCTCTGCGAAACGATCCTCGGAGTCTGCGGTTTTCCCCAGTGTGCAAGCGAGGCATCTTGCAGAGCCAAAGTCAGAACTGAATACTGCGTCGCTGGGAAAGCCCGACAAAGTGCCTGAGACTACAAGCGAGACGCCCGAGGGGAATGACGCAGGGCACCAAGCGAAGAAGGCGAAGGTGGAAAAGGAGGATGGGACGGTCCTGCCAGGTACGAACATACCTGCTGAACTATTCACACTACTCGCTCGGTGGCTGAAACATCGCTTTCCCCAGTAAACACACGGACGGACCAGGAATTTGCTGACGAGCCTTCCTTTGCAGAGGAAGCGGCAGTTGCACCGGAACCTACGCCATCTCAGATCTGCTCGGCTTGTCTAGGGCTCCTGCATCATGACCACCAGGCCGTAGCTCAGAAAGCCTACGATATGCAAAGAAACGAGAACTATGAACTATCGGCTACCAACCAAACGTTTGTGCTGAGCATGCGACTCCCAACACAACTCGCGATACGACAGAAATCGTATGTGCTTTACGTGAGACATCTTGAACAGGAACTTGGAACGTCGGACGTGATCTTCCCGGATGTGGAGGTGAAGGAGGTTCTAAGGATGCTTCTAGCGAATGCGTACAGCCAGCTATCGGGGTTAATGTTCGATCAAGTGAGCCCGTTCAGCGTCATCGTACATTTGGAGCATAAGGAGACGGCCCAGGAGTACAAGTTCTTGACCAAGATACCGGAAGCAGGACTGAAAGTCAAGACAACACGGCAGAAGGTGAGTTTTTCATATAGCTGGGAGAGATGATGGGATTATTGACAGCGTGAACATCGGCCCCATATAGGGCCAAATCGTCGTTCATGGTATCTCATTCGAGAAGATCATCAAAGCTGTCGAAGACCTCACTTATGAGCATTTCGCAAGGTAGCTCAATCTCACGATTTCCGTCGACGCATAATAAGCGGCCGTATTCAACCCAATTTGTTTGTAGCGCGTCCATGTGCCCTCCACCAGCGGTCAAGACTCTGCCAGTTGTCGTGGGCACCGAACTCAACCACTCGCAAATCTATGTCGCTGGTGAGTACTTTCCCATCGCCACCCAGACGCATCGGCCCAAACTGAGACTCCTTACCCGACGGCAGGCCGATATCTGAAATTGCGTCGTCACATCTCCAACTCCCCTTGGGTCATCAAAGGCGAACGTCTAGCAGAGCATTCCGTGGAAGAGTTTGTCGCCGAGAAAGTGGATGAGTTCTTCAGGACGGACGGGCATAAGTTCTACTCGTCCGGCCGGGAAGATTCCGACGTGCTCATGTTGGGGAAGGGCAGGCCGTACTATCTGGAACTGTTGAACCCGAGACGCATTGACGCTACTAAGGAGGAGATGAAAGCGTTGGAGGACGCTATAAACGAGGCTGCGAAGGGATTGGTGGGGGCACGGCATATGCAGATTGTCACCAAGTAGGTCGATGGGATAGTACCGGAAGGAAGAGTGTGATCTAATTGGTTACCTTTTCAGGGAGGATACCAAGGAGTTGAAGGATGCTGCGAACACAAAGTCCAAGAGTTACTCGTAAGTCGCCCATACCGTGCAATCCGTAGCATAATGGATCGAAGGATGTCTCACAACATCCTCCCATTGCGATAACAGGACGCTTGTGAAGCTCGCGTCCCCCGTCACCATCGAACAACTGCAAGAGCTGTCCAAAACAACAAACCTGGAAGTCAAACAGCAAAACCCGACACGTGTACCACGGTATGTAATCCGCACACCTTCTTCCCTTTGCTCGCAACTAAACATCATTTTATGCGGCAGCCGGGCCGACCTCCTCCGCGACAAGCTCATCGAAACCCTCCACGTCTACCCCGCCTCCTCCGCCGACGGACCCCTCTCCGATACACCCACCACGACAGACGAAGTGCGCGTGGACCTGCGTACCAGCGCGGGTACCTACGTCAAGGAATTCATGCATGGCGATAACGGACGGACGAACCCGAGCTTGAAGGATTTGTTGGGCGTGGAGTGGGCGAAGGTGCTGGAGTTGGATGTTTTGGAGGTGCATTTGGATTGGCCGAGGGATGAGTAGGCGGACGTGGACTCGAATGACAATGCGCATGAGGGCTAGGGAAAGGTTCACGCAAGTCTCTACCCATCAACTGTCGATGGTAGATAGAGGCCTGCCATGATTTGTGACGGAGAAACAGGGATTCCGGGGCGCCTGAGAAACGGCTGGAGTGGGGACGTGATGTAGAAGTACTGTAAGTAGAGTTGCCGGGGGTTGTGTGGTTAGACCGCAGCGATAGATTAAATTAGATGGTGCCGACAAGGATCCATGCGCATGTCAGCAAATGTACATATCCTATCAGCGCAAAACTGCCCTATCGCTTCCTGTGCCGTAAATACTGAAGGCGGTCTAGGCTAATCTGTCCAAAGGCTAGCACTGAACCGTGGTCTCAAACGGGTATTCCCTGAGTTCCCATCGCTGATTCCCCAGATCACGGCTGATACCTCAATCTCGCCTGCACAAACACCCTCTCCATATGCAGCTCTCGTTTCCTATTCACAACGGTCTTGACGACATACGTGTTCTCGATGGGCACAAACCCGTTCGCGCAAAACAGGCGGTCGAGGTCTGCGGTGGAGAAGAAATAGGAGAGCGTGCCGTCGTGTCGCGCGTAGAGACGGTCGCTGAGCTTGGAGGTGGGTTTGAAGCGGAGTTGGGCGGCGTCGTATATGCCTGGATGTGGGGTTAGTGAAGAGGCCTATGAGTCGAGCATGGTTGATTTGGGTGGGATCTGCTAAACACTTACCATAGTCGCGGAACAAGACAATGCCACCCGGCTTCAGCACTGATTTCAGGTTCTCCACCGCCGGGGGCATTTGACTGCGGATGGTGGAATGACAATGCGTCAGGTTTCATCAATTCACACGCCCACATGCGCCTTCACCTACGACACATGTCCAATACTGCACTCACTCGGGCGGGATAGCGCTAAAACAAAACAAAGCTGACACCAGGTCCAGTGAATGTGGCGGAACATTGTCAGTCAGTGGCTGGGAGGTGATGTCGCAGACGAAGGCTTTGCATCTTTGCGTGTCGTATTTCGCATCCGCCTAGGAGAGAACAAGAAGGTCATGAGCAATCTGGTAGAGAACCACATGAGGGGTCGTGCGGTTGGCATACCTTGACAAAGTCTACGGCGCGCTTGGAGAGGTCGCATCCGTAGATGAACAGGTCAGAGTTGGAGTCGAGGGTGGGGAAGATGAAGTTTCCAACGCCGCAGCCTTTGAATAACGAAGCACAACCACACTGAGCACTCCGCAATGTCCACCCCGGCCGATAGATTAGGTGTCCTTACCTATTTCTGATTACAAGAAGAGGAGCAGGCAGGAACCAAAGGAGCACACTGTCAACTACCGACCGCGAGCCTCCATGCATAGCGTAGCCGATACGTACCAAGCAATGTCTACTATGTCAGGAGGAAACATTACAGTAAGTAAGCGACGAGTGCACCTTTTCTCAGGCGATCCGCAGATGCTTGCATCACATCATATTCCCTTCACTCCACAGCAATTGACGGAAGCGATGCGTTCCATCACGAATCCTCTACCTACCTTTGATGCAGGCGCTATGCCTGCCACCGGCCTCAGCTCGGGAAACTCCCGCTCCACCCAATGTCTGTCTTTGAAGAAGTTTGTCGTATTCCGCTTGTAGAACCTATTGATGCCAGCCGGAAACCCTCAATGAACCAATCTGTGGATTTGCCGTAGGTCTCGCTTTCCCAAGCCGCCCGTCCCATCACGCCCCGGCTTTTGATCTTTACAATACGCCCCTCGGCTAGCTGATCCGGTTCACCAAGCCGCGTCTTCTCTCGCACAGTTTGCCCAAGCCCGCCATTGCATTCCCTATCCCATCCCCCCCCTTTCCCCCTTATACTCACAAATCCCAATTCCGCGCCGTCTCCTTCTTCAACTTCCCCGCCAAAAACTCGCTCGCAGCACCCTCCGTCCGCGCCAGTATCGCCTCGCAGACGCGGATCTTCTCCTCTGAGAACTCGGTCATTTTGTCGTTGGTGAGCTCGTCATTCTCATCGGTGTCGGTTACAGGCGTTTGCGTGCCTGAGGGTGGTGTGTTGGTGTCGGAGGGTGTTGGTGGGTCGGTGGAGGTTGACGCCATGGCTGATATGGAAGCTGGTCAATAGAAACAATCGAGTGGGTTGTTGGCTGTCTATAGGCCCTTCGGTGCGAGAAATGGCAAAAGGATACTACTTGAAATTAGAAAACCAGCACATTCGCACTTTCAGCAGACAGTTCCCCATCGAGCGCACAACCACATATACCAAGCGACAGTCTCTGCGAGCCCATTTGTACCAGCAACACAGGCAAACTTCCAGTGCAAGCCAATTCGTCCCCAAATTTCGAAAATCTTTAGAGGTTTGTGTTGAGAGGAGCCAAAAGTCGTGCCATCGGGACGTCAACTTCCAGGCCATAACGGCGAGTCAAGGGAGGGTTAGCCGCAGTCGTCAACCGTCAACGAAATCAGAACATCAAGACGGCGCACACTACTCATACAGTTCAAGGTCCCTCGTTGTTGTTTGGCACCATGGCGCTTAGCCGCTTCCCAGGTAGGACCTGTGAAGATTGTGGCGGAGATGACCTCTGGCTCTCGAGCTTACTCAACGTGACTTTTCGCACCAGGCTCCCTCCTCTCAATACCCCGAGCCCAGGCCCAACGGCGGCTCCGATCGCACTGGGGCACCGTCGGGTCCATACCATCGCCAGGCGGCGACAGCAATGGTGACTCGAGCAGCAGACCGTATTCGGTGACGCACCAGTTCGATACGTATAGGCTTGTGCAGAAGTTGGAGGGGGATGGGTTTAGTAGGGAGAGTGCGGAGGCGGTTATGGCGAGCCTGTCGGAGGTTTTGGCTGAGAGGTGAGGATTGGGGCCGTTTGAATGGGAATGTCAGGAAGCTAAAACGACGTGCACCTGGTTAACGCTCGTCCTCCCATCGCTAGTATCAACAACATCAGCCGAACATCAGTAACCAAATCCGACTTTGAAAAAGCCATCTACACCAACAAAGTCGATTTCGCCCATGTCCGAAACGAGATTCAGATGCTCGAAAAGAACGATTTCGGGATGTTGCGGTCCGACATTGGGCGGCTGAACGCCGAGGTGGAGAAGTTTCGCACGCGGATGGTCGAAGACCTTCGCCGCGTGCAGTCGAATGTGAGGCTGGAGCTGAGTTTGGAGAAGGGGCGGATTCGCGATGAGCAGTCTGCGCAGGAGTTGAGGATCAAAGAGGCGGACTCGAAGATTGATTCGGAGGTGTCGGCTTTGAGGACGCAGATGGAGACGATTCAGTGGGATTTGTTCAAGACGCTGTTCCGTGAGTTGTTGGGTGTCGTTACGGTCGTTCGTGCGGTTAGTCAATGCCTTCTTCTTGAATTATTTAGCATTATTGTCCGCGGCTGGTGCTCTGATATTCAGTACGTATTGTCTACTGGTGACGCCCCATCATTCTCTCGAGATGGAATATATGTAATGACTTTCTCCTCATTTTCTAGGTTACCTCCGCTTTGTGAAATGAGCCAATTCGGCCGAGCAATCACTTCTCAGCCAATGTGGGAGTCCCCAAGAAGGATCTTTACCCCTCTCCTCGGATCCAAGTTCCTCTACACTACCTCATCCGACACCCAGGTTGCCCCGACTCCCAACGCCTCTAGTCGGGACGGATGGATTTTTCTCATTCGCATGTTCGCGCGGTATCCAACTTCTCTGCCTCAGTCGATGGTATCATTGTAGATAGAGACCAAAGCAGTTGGCGACCCCTTACGAATGGGGTCTAGGGTTTCAATACACATAGAGAACAGAAAACCGTCTTGAGGGATTTTCTGCATCGCGTGTTCACAAGACGGTTGGTACCTTTGTCGATAGGAGATGGTGCGTTTGCCACATGGCAGAACCTCCGGCCTCTGAATTTAGAGCAGCCAAATCTCTCCCTTAATCCACGTATCTCGTTCTGATGGCGTTTGCAAGGATCGCAACGTGTAGAGGGGTTGGGGGGTGGGTCTACGTGTCTGATTGTAACGCGTTGGGATTTGCCGCGGGCTGGGGGCGTGAGGTCATCGTGAGGCCCCTGTCGCTCAGCGCTGCGATTTCGAATTCCGCCGTGGGATTCGATGGAGGAGTTCCACCGCCAACCAGCCGCTTCCGCAATGGGTCCCCTACCGCCGACTCACTCCCACGTATATAACCGAGCAACATGGACCACCAGCCGTCGCTCCTCACTCAGCCCGTCGTCCTTTCCTCGCCATTCCCACAGTTCCCCAAATAAACTCGCAACCGTGTCGTCGCCCAAAGCAGCCTCCCGCGTTGTCGTAAGTGCATCCCGACGCAACCCCACAACCACCGCTCGCGATATCCTGCGTCGAAGGCCCAGCCTCCCACTCCGCTCAGCTCTTCCCAAAGGCGCAGACCCACGCATAGCAGAAAACCCCTCCACAGCCCCTCCACCCACCCGCGTCCCATTCTTCAGTCCGCAACGTCTAGGCTTCCTCCGACGACGACTTTCACGGCGTTTGAAAATGGCAGACGTCCCGTTCGTCCAACCGGCCGCTGCGGAGACCTCGCGCAACTGGTCGCTGTTCACATGGACCCCGACCTCAGTGACGCTAGCGCAGGCCGCGGAGAACAGGCTGTTGTCGCGGTTCCAGTACTTTAAGCCGACGGTGCCGGGGGCCGGCGCGGCGTCACCTGCAGAAGCAACTGCAGCGTCAGCGGAATCGCATTCAGTAAAGAATGCAGGCGATACAGGGTCGTTCCCGGACGTCGCATCAGCAGAGCATCACTCTCCCGCCTCATCATCGCCAAATCACCACGAGCGTGTCATCGCTCGGGTCGGGTTAGTAGCGCTAGACCAGCCGGGGCAGATGATCAACACGTTTGTGATTGATCGGACGGATGAGTCGTTGAAGGAAACCTCTCGGCCTGGTATTCTGCGGAGGGAGATGAGCCATGGGTCTGGGAATGAGGAGATGGTGCATCTGGAGCAGGATGTTGCGCCCGTTGAGGAGGTAGGACGGACGGGGCCGAAGAAGAAGGTGTTGGTTATGGCGCATGGGTATGGTGCGGGGTTGGGGTTCTTCTACAGGGTGAGTCCACTAGACGCTTGGCAGATTCAACGCCGTGTGTATATACTGATTTCTCCCCGTTTCGCAGAACTTCGCAGGTCTAAGCCAAGTCCCCGGCTGGCGCATCTACGCCATCGACTGGCTCGGGATGGCCAACAGCTCCCGCCCGCCCTTCCCCAAACTCCCCCGCAACGCAACCGACGAGCAAATCGTTGCCGACGCCGAAACCTTCTTCATCGACTCCCTCGAGCAATGGCGCAAAGCCAACTCCATTGACCAGATGACGCTCATGGGTCATTCGTTAGGTGGATACCTGTCCACGGCGTATGCGCTGAAGTACCCGCAGTATGTGGAGAAGCTGATACTGGTCTCGCCGGCGGGAGTGGGGCAGCGGCCGGAGGTGGATATTCGCTCAAGGAGAGGGTTGTTGCCGAAGCTGTTCACGGCGATGTGGACGTGGAACCTTACCCCTATGACGGTCATCCGGAGCGCTGGGCCGTGGGGACCCGGTCTCGTCAAGGGTTACACCGACAGGAGGTGGGTAGCTTCGCGAATCCATCACCATTCTTGGTCGATTTATGGTACTAAAACAACCCTCAACGATCAGGTTCTCCTACCTAGACGAAACAGACGCAAAAGATTTCCGCGACTACATCTTCCACATCTCCGCGCAACCCGGCAGCGGCGAATTCGCCCTCTCCCGCCTCCTCCTCCCCGGCGCTTACGCACGTATACCCCTGCACGACCGGCTGGCCAAGCTCAAGATGCCTACCGTGTTCTTATGTACGTCAGCCACTCCTCTCTTCGGTTCATCTCATTGATTGTCCCTTCATCCAGATTGGACTAACTACTCTTTATGATTTGATTAGACGGGTCACACGACTGGATGGACTACCGCTTTGCCGTTGCCGCCGCGGAACACATGAAGGTGCCCACGCGTATCGCGCGCATCGCTGGCGCGGGGCACCATTTGTACCTTGATAACGCTGTTGGGTTCAATAACGCGATGATTGCGGAGATGAGGGGGAGGAAGAAGGGGGTGAGGGTGCCGGATGTAGAGTATGTTTTGGAACAGTGAGGTGTGGTGGTAGAGGACCGGTTGACTCGACTTTGTGTATGGCTTTCTGAGCCCTTCCGATAGATCGGCACCCTAGCTTAGAGCACGGCTTCACGTTCGGGACACGTTTCCCAGCTTTTGGATATATATATACCATTTTCCGCTCCAAATCTGTCTTTCGTCTTGCATTATGTATTACAAGGTCGTGCAATAATCAAGTTATCATGTTACATACCCTCCTCTGAGATGCCGTCCCCGGCACCTCTCGAATCACCCTTCAGACCGACTAGAAGCCCCACTCCCCTCCCTCCCATGCCCCCACCGTCCAAACTCCTCATCCGTCCCGTCACTCCCCAAATCCCACAACCCCATCTCCCCCCCTTCCTCCTCCTCCTCCTCGGGCGACCGCACGCGTATCACCGGCGGGATGATCGTCGACTGAGGTCTTGACAGCGATCCGTGATGTGTCCGGGTGTGCGCGGACGCAGAAGGATCATGTCTGTTTTCGAATATCCGTATCCGGCCACTCATGTCAGCGGCGGCGATGACGGTGTTTTCGGTTGAGTAGTCGAGGAAATCTGCGATAGCCGCTGCGCGGGCATTGGGGTGTTGGTGTTGATGTTGCGGTGGGGGCGAAGATGGTGTGGGTGTCGTATCCGGATGGGATGATGCAGGTGAGAGTGTATCAACCACACCGTAGACGATGTCCCGTGTAGCCTTCGGTGCAAACATAGCGCACGTGACGGCCTCGGTACCCGCAGGGAACCGTTCCCAGGATGCCGAGCGGCCGATATCTGTTTGCCAGTGCATGAGGCCTGCGAGACGGCCTGAGGGGTGGGGTGGGTCTGTTGGCGTGGGTGCTGTTGTCGTGCTTGTGGTCGGTGTGTTGCTGCTGTTACTGTGTTGTGAATGACTGTTTGTTTGACCGGTTGGGAGGTAGGGCCACGCCGCGGGGGGGAGGAGGTTCCACAAGTATACGTTCCGGTCCTCTGACCCGGCGATGATGAACCGGCCATCGTCTGAGAAGGCAGCCTTGATCTGCGACGCGCGGCATTCGAAGCCTTTGTATTTCCGCCGAAGACTCTTGTCGCGGACGTGGTAGAGCCGGATGCGGGAGTCGTTGGATGTTACAAGGAGCCCCTCTTCGCCGCCCCAGGGGTGCGGGCAAGGTTCGATTCCCGTGATCTTCTTTTTCGAATTTCTGTCCTTTGAGGACTTGACTTCGATCTGGGTGTTGTATTTCAATCCATCCGTTTCGTAGAAGATACAGTCCCCCGTGGATGTGCCAGCCGCACAAAGTGTGCCATCTCGCGTGAACGACACAGCAGTTATAAACGTCCTATTCGGCGTCTCGTTCCATGCCATGACACGTTTCTCCTCCAACGACCAGATCCTGATCCGCGTATCCAGCGATCCGGATAACACGTACCGGTCATCAGTGGGATGGAACCGGACGCTAGTGACGCACCCATCGTGCATGAGGCAGCACAGACATTCCTCTCGGTCGATATGCCATATGCGCACGGTCTTGTCCATGGAGGCAGTGGCGAGGAACCCGTTGCGCGACCATGCGATGTCGAGGATGGCGGCCGTGTGACCTTTGTAGACGCGGCGAGGCCGTTCTTCGAAGATGCGACGTGGGGCGGTGGGCGTTGGGTTAAGAGTTGCGGAGTGGGTGAATGTGGTTCGAAGACTGGAGTTGTGTGTGTCTTCGTCGAGAGAGGAGTCGAGGTCGGCGCCTGTTCCGGCGGTGGAGGCTGTGGCTGGGGCGTGATGGCGAGAAGATCTTGCTGCGGTTAGGATCCAAACACGCAGGAGACCGTCTTCGCCAGCTGCGGCGAGGTATTTGCCGCAATCGCTGAAGCGTAATGCCCAGACTGGCCCTTTGATCTCTGCATCTACATCTACCGCTGAAAAGATGGCGCGGTTTCCCGATGCATCGTCGTCCATGAGTGTCATGGTATCGCCTCCCAACACCTCCACCCGCGTGAGCTGCTCAAACTCCTTCTTCGGCTTCCTATTCGCCTTCACTTTCACAGGCTGTCTGGCATGTTTGTTCTTCTCCGACTCGAGATCATCCAGCGACATGAAATCGAAATCCATCAACGACAGCGCGCTATCCAACTGTCCGCCATCTGCCTTCTTATCTTTCTTGAACCTTTGAAAGAATGACTTCTTGCTCTTTGTTTTCCCAGGCGCCAACGTCCGGTCGACTCCAGTGCTATGTGCCGTATGCATGCTCTTCCTTGCATGTTTCCCAGCCCCAGAATCCCCAGCATCAGCCTCATCCTCTGACGACGGATCGGGTGTTGCGAATGGCGAGGATCCGCTACCGCCGCCACCGCTACTGCCATCCAGGTGAGCTGCCAGTGGATCCATCCCACGCGTTTTGCTCGTCTGTCGGCGATCTTTCGAGAGCGCCATGGAATGCGACGACTCGGACCGTGCTCGGGTCACGGAGATTTCGGGAACGGACGGTGTTGCATTTGTGAACTCGTCGCCATATCGGTCATCCAACTGCCGCTGTGATGATGCTGATCTCCCGCGAAGAGGTGATGAGGGCCTGAAAGAAACGTGTGAGCGTTACTGCAACCGCGACTACCTAATCTCCATTGCGAGCCCGCCTCACGTACCTACCCGGTCACCTCATTTTGCTGCTGCTGCTGCGTGTCACCTGAAACACTTTGACTTCCCGCCAAAGCGTTTGATGTTTCATTGGCGGTGGAGGGAGTGGGAGGTAGGAGCGGTGGGGGGAGGTTGCGAGTGCTATTTGAGCGAGGCAGCCGGGGGGAGAGATTTTGCTTTCCACTCATCTCAGAGGAAAGAGTACAGTATCAGGGAGGGTATGTATGTGTAGCAGCAGTATGTGACCATGCACGTAGCAGTCAGCGTGTGCCGCTGATGCTTCCCGCCGGTCACAATGGGAAAGCCTCAGTTGGAACTTGGAGGTCGACATGACGCGCGCGACTCCGCTTTCATCGATCCATCACCCGTGTCATTCTGTATCTATCATACACATGCATACTGGACATGTACATACTGAACGTACGTAGTTTACAGACTGTGCGCTTGCTAGGAGGAGGTACGAGAGAAAGTGCTGAGAAGCCCCATGCACGGCGGATTGCCGTTTCGACGCCTGGATGCCTGTCCTGTACAGGACCATTCCAGCGGTTGGATTCTTAAACAGGAAGCGTTGCACTTGTGTGAGTTGTCGCGCATATCAATGGGCCTTTTCAAAAGCATCAGGATTCTTGTTTTGCTCATCCCCGCGTGCTCTCCGTGCGCAACAAACCCTACAGTACTGTACGATCCCGAGGGCGGTCGCCGCAGACCTGGTGCATGCAGCTGATACTAGAAAGCGGAGGGCCCTGGAGTTTGCTGCTGCGACCTCTGTATGAGCTGTGCGAGAGAGGGACGCCACGCTGTCATATGTACAGTCATAACGGGAAAGCCACTATCGGAGATTTCCCCCCTCGCCCCCCGTTCTATTTGTGCCATGTGCTGTCAGATGCACTCAGACGAAACTGCAGAAACAAGGCGCTTCAGCAGCCCGTGGGAACATCGACTTAGAACACAATCCAATCCAACTTCTTGAACCAGCAGCTGCCCCCCCATACACTAGGCCATATCTTCCTCCCGTCTCGCCCAGGCCTCCCTTCCGCCGTAGACCTCTCTCGTCCTTTGGTGGTCCGGCGTTCTTTTTTACACCCCGTTGACAGGGAGCTCACATCTGCCGTCTTCTGTCAACGTTGCACAGCCCCGCTCAACCTCACTTTTCTTGCCGCCCCGCCGACCATATACTCGGCCCTCACGGTGCACGGAATCAACGTACACATTCCCGTCGTGACTTTGGGTTTGAGCTTAAATTCGTCCAACCGTGGGTCTGCGGTGGCTTGAGACGACAATAACACAGGTATTGTTCGACTTCCCCACCCCAAAGCTCGTGCAAAAGCGGTGGAGCAAACTCAACTCTAATATTTTGTTGGTGTTCCGAACGAAAAGTACAATACAGCACAAAGTACAAAAGGTCGGATTCCCATTCCTCGTACGGTGCTTGCTGACTTGAGCAAGTTTCCAGCCGTCCCAGATACTTTCCCCCATTCCCAGCAACTCCAGCGTATATCAAAAATAGCTTACTGTGCTCGCAGACAACGAGAACCGGCCCGGCAACACTGGGACCCCACCGTCTGAGTCTCAATTCGGCACTCTCTGGTACTGTTGGAACTCTTTACCCAACTCCATATGCACTTCCTGTCGCTGACGAAGCCAGTTCCCAACTATAGAGATTACGAACGAAGAAGGCTGCGGAATTTCCGGTGGATTGGGTCCATTGACGGATAAGGAAGTTGCATCATCGACTTCGAATTATCGGATATCGTTAAGCGAAAAAGGGGATTCTAGATTCTCGACTCGACAAATCATAGGGATAAAAACGACGGCGTCTGGTTGGCTGGCTCGCAACAACCTTATTGCGCAGGAACCCAAATTCACTAACAGCTGTGTTTTTGGAGGGGAAAAAGGGGGGCGTTATCGTGTTGGAAACTAGGGGTTGACGGAAAAGCATTCACGAGCCCAGAGGGACGCATCTTGGAAACGGCGTATTAGACACCATTGACAGGGCCAAAGCTTCGAGAACAAAGGCGGTGGCATTACGCATAACTTCTACGCACACGACACAGAACACCCCCCGATTATTCCAATTCGAGCGCTCTCGACTGACGTCTGACGGCGAACGCTCTTATTGTAAGACAAGCGCGTTCTAAAAAGCACGACTTCGACAGCGGGCGCTGGCGGGCCAGCGATAACAGGAAACGTTCCAGAAGAGAGGCTCACGACAGAGGATCCCGAGTCAGGGCTCATCCGAACAATACTACGGGTGTCTACGGCAATTTCGAATCCTCTCGGTGTCATCGAGAAAAAAGAGGTCTTGGCATCACGCAACTACTGCCTGTTCAGCGAGGCGCTCGTTCACGGACCCGATCCAGTTCTTGCGCACCGTCTCTCTACCTATCCTGGAGGTGCATGGGCTGAGCAAACCAGCAATTCTCCGGGGTACTGCACAACGATTTGGCCAAATCAGCCCCAACATCGTATTCATCGAGTGACGTACGGCTGTACAGCATAGCAACGAGAGGAAAAAAACTGGGCGATTGCGCAATCTTTGTTGGTGCAGTGAAGGGGCGCACCTCGAAAGGGAGGCGTTTTCCAAATTTCCTCTCTCGCGACGGCATAGCGCCCTCGGCCCCCTCTAGGAGTATAAAGAGCACTCCCGACCGGCATCCCCCGGGGTTGTTTTTCTCTCTATTCTTGATATTCCCGCATATCGAGAGTATAGCTATTGCAGCACTTCGACCTCGTCTACTTCCACCTCACGACACTCGCCTACTTCCACCTCACGACACTCGCCTGCTTCCACCTCACGACACTCGCCTACTTCCACCTCACGACACTCGCCTACTTCCACCTCACGACACTCGCCTACTTCCACGACAAATATCACCAAAATGCGTCGTTATTTGAAAAATTTGAACAACGATTTTAGGGCCGAGAAGCCCGCTGCCAAGCAGCCTAGCAAATTCTGTGCGAGCAAAGGTAAGCAGTCAATCATCCAATCCTCGTCTTACCCGCTACCCATCGCGCTATCGCTCCTTGTCTGACTTTAGCATCAACTCACACATCTTTCTTGTTCCCTTTTCTCAACAGATGTGCAAGGAGCTCCGAGCGCCGTCAAGCTTGGTGGCACAAGGAAAAAGTTTTCTTCTTTGCGGGCCACCACGCCCAAGGACGCCCCCTCTCCTGCTCCCTCGGCCGATCCCGCGCCGGTCGTCGCCAGCGAGGCGGAAGACCATGAAAACCGCCCCGTTGTGCGCGCCGCCTCCCCTGTCAAAGACGCAGCCAAGGAATCGGTGACGGAGCCCGCCGCGTCGATCAGACAGTCGCCGGACTTTCTGGACGACACGCCCATGGACTTCGCCGTCGTGCCGGTGTTTGAGCCCGGGGTCAATGGTCTCCGTCTGGAGGACCGCAAGGTCGCCAGCGCGCCGCCTGCCCGGAACAACGCTTTTGCAAAGACCACTCCTATTGATAAAGATCTGGAAGCTTGGCGTTCGGCCTTTGTCCCACCCCAACAAGTACAAAGTCTTCGCGGTGGGTCGGGGGGCAAGTCGCAGACTGGAGCGGCTATCAGCCGCCCTTCTCCCGGCCCTCCCAGCTTTCAGGATGCCCGAATCAAGCAGATTCGAGAAAAAATGCTACGATTCGTAGACAAGCGGGCCGAAGAGATAGCGAAGATCTCCGCTGAAGATTTGGCGCGTCGCCATGCGGAGGTTGCGGCCGAAAAGGCCGCTAAGCTGGTCAGCGCCGCGGTTCCCGTCGCCCCCGTTGTCTCAGCCATCCTGGTTCCGACCTCGCGACCCGTTGCGCCGTCTACTGCGGTTCCTAAGCCAAGCCCAATAGCAGCACCACCTTGCCAAGCCCCGCCGGCACCGCGGGCAATTTTAAAATCAGCCCAGCAGAGCTCGTCGGTCGTGCCGACTCGAGCGGGATCATCGAAGGCCTGCCCAGCTGTTCCGGCCGCACGACGTTCCGGAAACCCGCCCGACCGCGCCACGGGAGTCCAAGTCTCGTATTCGATCACCTCGAAGGAGATGCCGCAGCCCATCATCACGGCAAATCCCATCCTTTTAACGGAGATAGCACCGGTGGTCCCCTCTGTGCAGGAGACCGGAATGGTTGCTCTGGAGAGCATCGGTAGGTTGGCCGCCGACGTCGAGCGTGCCCAACAGACAAAGAGGAAGGTTGAAGAGGCCCTCGCCTTACTCCTGAAGGCACAGGCCGAACACGACCATGCGCAGGCATTGGTCGTCGAGTCCCAGCAACAAGTCGCCACGTCACTCGCATCCGTTCGGAAAGCGAAGGACGAACAACAAGATCTTCAAAACCGCAAGCAAGCCGCGGAGAAGAAGGCACGCCACAACTGGGTCCTGCCGGGGGACAGACCAGTCGTGCCCAACTCCGTAGATCCCTACACAAGATACATGTACCCGGGCTGGTACGGACCCAGCGGGTACCAAGGACACCCCTCCAATTTCAAGCCCAATTACCGACCTCGGGGGACCAACGGGCGTACCGGTGGGTACCGTTCAGCGACCCCACGGGTGGCACCGGCTGCCCCTTAAGCTTCACAACTCCATCACCATCATCGTCACTCCCTTCCGAGATATCCGTCAATACCATGATAACAAACAACCTCGGCACTCCCTACGGGGCATATACCACTGTAGTCAAGTTAGAAAACTCATCCTTAGTCTCGTGTCGGCCTGCCTTCTGCATTTGTTTCTGCGCTTTCATTACTTTTTTCTGAAAAAGTTACCTGAATAGAAATTGGAAACGACCGGCCCTATCCATCTGCACTTACTTGATGGTTGGGTCGTGTCGGCTTCGTTGTTCTCTCTTGTCAAGTCACTTTTGCGCTCCTCTGTTGTCTTTTGGTTGTTGAGTTGTCGTCGTCGTTGTTGTCTTGTATTTCTGGTCCTTGCATTTGTTGATGCGGCCTCGTGCGTGAACCTACCATATTTCGTCGTCTGCACGTCCGCCGTGTGCTTTATTCTTCGCTTCTATCGAATGAGAACGATCGCACACGACGTTTTGTTCGATTTCTTTATCTTCTCTCGTCTTCGCTATTTCGTTTTTTTGGTTTTTCTTATGATGCGGCCTCGGTCCGCCTTTACCGGTTTTCCGTGCGGTTTTTTTCAATGACTATGGACGACAGCCTTGTCTCGGGCGTTGTTTCATCATTTATGTGGCTTTTGGCATCTTGCTCAAGGACGTGCAGATTATGCGGGGATATGGTCTCTTGCAGCCACCAGGGATCCTTCCGCGGCCATTGAGCGAACCGCTTTGTTCGTGTATGGATAATGTGAGCGTGTGGAGACAAAAACAGTGATCCCTGACGTCTACGTGCGCTTATCCAAAATCCAAACTACATCGGCTTGGACCATCGCTTATCGCTTAATGATACGGCGCACAGATGGATTTACGGAGGATTGGAACCGTCGACAGGAACGACAGATCAATTCGCACAGCAGATGGTCTACATTACAAGAGGGGTTTGTGCAAAATAAACGGCGGTCTTCAGGGTAGTTCGGCTCCAACTTCATGTGCTGGAATCATCCGCCGCTGAATGTCCCCCAACGACACCCTCCCTGCTTCCCATCCCATATTAGTCTGTCGCCACAATGCGACGAGAAATCGAGCCCCACAACCGGCCTTGTCCCCTTCCGCCAATCCACAGTCCGCCTGACCCGAAGTCGCTATGGAGGCCCTTTCATGTGTAGTCGCGGGAGGGAGGATTTCCTCAACTTTGTGCGACTTCTATAAACGTCACATCCCTCCTTACTCGGAGAGGAACCCGGGAAAGTGTCGTTAGCAGGTGGCACCCCACTGGCCAATATGCCGAGCGTGGCGAAGGGCATGGTGGTGGGTATCGTGTCGATTGCGGGGACGATGACCTTGGGATGCTGGAGTTGGGTGGTTGCGAGCGAAGCCGATGTAAAGTATGCAGACCATAACGAGTCTTCGAGGTCAACGTAGAACAGCGGACCGAGACGACAATACGACAGGTTCGGAGAATCGTACTCCAAAAAAGGGGCGGGGCGACTGACCCTCTCCGTTCATGACACCTATCCCAACGCAAGGCAACGTTCCCAATGTTCGAGTCCCTTTCTTTTCATGATCGTTTAGACCATAACCACACAAGAAAGCACAACACAAGGATGACGCCGACGATCGTCCATGTGTTTTTCCCGTGCTTGGTGTTGATCATCAGTTTGAGCCGGCGCATGCTGCCGCTGAGCTGGTCTTTCGCATTATCGAAGTTCATGCCCTATGTGAGATGTAAGAGATGTACGTCGATACGATGAGGTCAATATGCACTGTTTGGATGCCAGCGGGTTCTTGGCAGCCTACCATCTTGCTCAACAATCTGAAATACAAACTGATGTCAGTTTCAAGTGAAGATGTTGGTCCAACGCCCAACAACCTCTACTCACTCGTTCTGCGTATTCACATCATCATGCATATCTATCGTAACCTGCAGATGATCATTGGTGTCAACACTCCATGCCCATATCAGACCATAGCCTTTGCGGTGAATGGTGGAAAGCGGCCAAGCGCTTCTCTATCGCCGCCGCCCAACGTCCAGCAGTCAACCTCTCCCCATTCTCCAAAAACCAGCCCCGCATAGAATTCCCGACATTACATTCTTCAAAGCCGAGATCTTCCCATGCAGCGAGTGCAACGCATCATCATTCTGCCGCTCCAGCAGCCGCTCGTTGAACTCTTCGTGTCCGCGACTGCTGCTTCCCCAGCCGTTGTTGGTGTTGTTTGACCAGCTAAAGGAAGGATGGGAAAGTGAGTGATATTGTTGCATAACTGGAGATCTGGTTGCATTGTCCCTGGCGCGGCGAAACTTTACCCTGAGGACATTATGGACCTCTAAAATAGTTTCGGGTGTAGGGTATTAGTCGTGGGAACAGAATGCAATAGCCTTGGTCGTTTGTTTTGTAAGGCGAGTGCAGTTCTTGAGCCGCTCGCCAACGCGTGAAGTCATGGCGGCCGTGGAGTCGTTGACGTGTTCACTCTCCCCTCTTGGCTTTGCGCCCCCCAAGACCAGTTTTCTCGCCTCAGGTGAAAACACTATCTTCATATGATTCCCCCTATGCAAGCTATGTACACAAACGTTCGGAAAGGCGCCAGGCTCGACAACGATGGCTTCGGCGGTGTACATAATACTGCCTAGGGACGACTAGACGCCGTGTTTGCTATGCTAAAGGCTTTTCCCAAAAAAAGATGCCCAAAATGAAAAGATGCGCCGTTTTACGTTTAGTAGACAGTTGCAGATGAATTTCGCACCTCCGTGAGCTCATCTCCGCCAGATAGTGGAGGTAGGGGGTTGATATCTGCGCAAATTATTGGTTGCGTTGCTGATATGTACCGTACAGCATGCCACAATGTGATTCATCACTGATCACTCGTCACGAGCGCCGGAGTGGTCGAGAGACATGAGAAACTCGGCCAGACGATCGGGTGGGTATTCCGCCCCGCGGACTTTCACTGTGTAGCATGCTGTAGTTGGGTGGGACGCGGTCATGTTGAGTGGCCGATGGATTTATGTGTAGCATGAGTTTCGAAAAGACATACCATTTTCCACTTTGCGGAGACTGGCAACCATGGCAGGGACCTTTTTGCGGGCTGGTGAGAAGTCGGCTGAGATCGCCTCGTACTCTGGTGAGCGGCGAAACAAGGAGCATGAGAATGTGATGGAAGGAGCATGAAGGGCAGTCAGATTTGAACACGGGTCGTAAGTGTCGCATTTCACGCCCCAAGTCGATGTCCCCTAAGATTCTCACCGGCCGCAAAGTTCCTCATAAACGTGCAAATTGTCTGAGCACCCACATGGTCGCCTCTCGTGATCAAATTGATGCAATGCCGCATCAACTCGCCCGTCAGATCCCCCAAACCCATCACATAGTCTTCATTTGTGACCAGAACCCTCTTCTCCTTGTCACCGATCGTCTCCGTCGCTGCACCACCTTCCACATTCGCATCGCCCTGCCCAATCCCAACGCACTCCTGCACCTCTTCCTTTGTGACGAGTCTCCCCTTCTCGAGAAACCAGAGGAACGAGACGGCTTCGATGAACTCTTCGAGGCCGGGTTGGATTGCGCGGTGGTGTTTCCAGAAGTCCGGACCGTGGAGATCGGGAAGGACTATGGCGAAAAGATGTTGGAGGTCGGCTAGCTTGGCGTGGGCTTCGGTGAAGAGGGATGCTGTGTCTGCGGTTGTTGTTATTCTATGGTAGGTCACAGAGAAGCGGCCGTGATGAGATAGAGGAAATGATGAAGTGGGGAGCATCTTCCGGAAAAGATTACCGATGGAGTAAGAAAATCATTCGCTTGCTTCCGATCGTGATGTCCCTCGAAGTCTTAATGATTCGTTCCCTCCTATCGTACTGGATGCACGAGCAAAACGGTATCATTAGCTTCCTTCACCCCTTCCGCCCACTGTAATCATTCGCCAACCGGAGCCATCTAGAACCTGGCGTGCCCACCTACCATATCATCCAAAATCCCCGTAACGTTCTCAAAAAGCGCCGCAATCTGCGGGTCCGCCCCAGCCTTCATCGTGCGTTTGAGAACAGGACGCCCCGCATTATGTCCGGAGTGACCATGCCCACCACGTCCGCCTCCTCCTCGCCCCCGTCCTCCACGTGAAGAATATGGTTGTCGGTCGGGGTTGCTGGTGGAAGACGTGGTTGACTCAACGGGATGGTCATCTTCGAGTTTGAGTTTCTTTGCTGGTGAAAATGTGAATGGTGACGGTCTGTAAGTCAAAATGCCGTCGACTCCAGTCTGCAACCAAATCGCATACGTTGGACGTCGGCGGTTTCTGAAGGCGAGGCGGGCGATGTCGGGGTCTCCCTCTTTAGGCCTGCGGTGACGGGTGACGACGCTTTCATTGCGGCGATAAGACCTGCTTTGCTGAAGATAGTGGATAGCGTGTGGTGGTGTCTCGGTGCGAACTTTCAGTTCAATCCTGGAAAATGAGGATGGGCAGACTCGGAGGTGCGGCGACATCAAACGCTCTCGAAAAGACAGCAGCAAAGAAACCGACACACACACCCCCGATAAGGAAAACTCCAGCTATGGGCAGCCAGACCTCCAAAACAGTCCGCCGCTTCCCAACACGGCCTCCCACGGCCGCCGGAACTCCGTTGGCAACCGGACCCGCCCACATCCACCCGACGCCGACATCAGCTTCAGCACATCCCACAACAGCAGGAGCAGTGCCTCTGCAGGATGCCTTGCATCCTGGAGGTGTGGCACCGCAGGCCCAGCAGGCCCAGGAGTCTGATGGAAACGGGACCCCTGTGGAAGACCCAAGGGAAGAACATAAACGGCTCCTGGAACACTACCAGAAGATGGCCTTCGATCTGAGCTCAGTTCCCAAACGGGAGTTCCGCAAAGACAACGAAATGCTCACCATCCTCAACAAACGGCAGCTCAATGCCCAGCAGGACAGCGCTTCCCATGCGTCACTCTACGAAACCCGCGAAATCAATCCCACCATGCCGTCAACAACCCCGGAACCTACCGGCCGTCTCCCAACCTCCACCCTCACCATGCTCCTCAGGATGCGTCGAACAGTGCACCCCGCAGAACTCTCCAATGCAGCCCTCGCCCGCCAATTTGGATTGAAGGAGGAAACGTTGGAGGTGCTGTTGAAGCATGTGAATACCCCCGAGGTGGTGTTTGGCGGAGGTGGACCGGGCGGTGCGGGAGGTGTGAGTGGGGGTAGTGAGCGGTTGGATGCGATTTGGGTGGAGGATTTGGATGGATTTAGGAGGGGGGAGGCGAAGGGGAGGGATGATGTAGGCGGTGGAGAGGGGAGATAATCAGGGCGTTGCGAAAGGCAACACCGCACATCTCGATACTGGAAATACCACCGACCCAGCACAGATACCACGGTTTCCTCCCTTCCCGACTGTTCCCGGTGGGCATATCTCATTTGACCTCTGGGTGGGACTCGACTCGCAGGAACCAGGCAAGACTGTCTGTGATCCCACCAGCCATCATCGCCCGTCTCCCTGGTTATTGGCCCGAGTGGGGTCTGATATGTTTTCCAGGGTCCACGTCCGGACGCCGTAGATGTAGCTAGTAAAGAGGGAGGACGGGAGGAGCTTAGCTGTAGCTGGGAGGACGGAAGATGAGGAAGATTGTCGACCTGGGTCAATTTTCGTCTGGTCAATACTTGGGCTTTCCAACAAACATGTACGTAGATATATAGAGAATGCTCATTCTTTTTCAAAGAAAAAAAAACATCCTCGTGCATCTCATCGTTTTTAGGCGTGAGTAGGAAAGCTCAGAATCCCACAACTAGATAGTTCAGTCTAGCGATATACTGTAGGTCGGTTAACGATGGAGCACAATCATGCATGCGTACATATCATTCCCCCGTCGCAAACAAGTACGATTCACGACAGAGACTCGCGCTAAACCGCATATTATTCAGGCCGGATACATCCATGAATTGTACAGTAGTACACTCGGAAAGAGTATTTATTCACATTCCTTTGATGCCTTCCAAGTGCTCAAATCCATTCTACTGTACTAAAGGTGCGCCAAACGAGGCTACAATGGTCTGGGCCCATCGCGTCCATGAATATCCATCCGGGTTCCAATATCCCATCCACCCGCCCTTGATATCCAACCCAAACCCTCCCATCATGCGACACGATGAGGATCGCCGACGAGCTACATGCTGTGGTATATGGTCGCCTTATATGGTCGCTTTGATCACCGGGGAGTTTTGCTTCTGTCGAAAATATCAAGATTATTACTTCGCATCGGTAATGGCTTCGTTGCCGACGCTGAGATCGAATGTGTTGCTAGTACTACCAAAGAACCAGAGCCAAAGGGCGAATGCCCAAGGGCAAGTGGCCAAAGATGAGCCAAAGGGCATGTTTTGCCAAAGGCAAGTGAGCCAAGGGCAAGTGAGCCAAAGGACCAGTTTGCCAAAGGGTTAGTTGGTGGGTACCATAGGGCCAGGACCACAGGGGCGAGTTAGTGAGGTAGGGCCAGTTTCCATAGGGCCAGTGCCAAAGGGCGTTGTTGAAGACAAGTCAGTCTCGTCCTTCTCGGAAGCGTCGCTCGTACTTGACGAGACTGGTCAGATCATAGCGTCTCGTCTGCGTGAATCCGTCGACGAGTCCTTCTGCAGCAAACTGCCAGTGCGCTTCAGAGTTCAATATCCGAAGTGTGCCTGCGAGAAATGAGTTCGATGAGCGAACGACGCAATGCATACGTTGCCCAGCGGGAGGATGAGAAGAGACATCCCGGCTAACTTGAACTGAAAGCCTATCACGAGCTGGGCGGATGCTCTTCCGATATGATTGAGACACTGATGAGATTGGCGTGCGTCGAAAGTGAAGAGAAGTAGATCCCGTTCGCGTTGAAGGGAAGGGGAGTGCCCGGAGAGGAACGAGTCGAACGCGCTGCTCTCAAAGAGCCCCGCTACTCCTCCGCCGCACCCTTAACTCCTCGTTGATCCTCCAAATCTGCGTTCTCGTCCTCGCTTTCAAGGATGCAAGTAGCAACCTGCTGTGGGTTTTGAGACTGGGAGTCCTCGCATCTGAGAGAGTGACGTGATACGCGTGTTTCTCCGCCAGAAGCTGGGCCAGAAGTCTTACAGCTGGAACATGCACTGTAACCCCATTCCCCATTGCAGCCATCCACTATTGGATGCCAGAGCAAGATCGATACTAAAGCTACGCTACGTTCCCTTTGACCACAACTCACTCGCACCGTTCCACTTCCCAGCGCAACCTGCCTTCCAGAGCCTGCGTAAGAATACGACACTATGCCCCGCCCAAAAGCCCCACCAAAACCCAAAGCAAAACAGTTCGACTACTCTCTCCCTTACGCAACACTCAACCTCCGCAAGACCCCCAATCTTTACACTATCGGCAAAGGCGAACAAGGCGTCTTCGTTTGCGAGCCCTACAGATCCGAACTCTCTCCCCTCTGGCGCTTCAAAACCCCCGACATCGCAACCACATCCTCGCAACAACTGTACGCCAAATTCCTCGCCTACAAAGCCGCGGACGATTTTGTGGGCATGGATATGGCAAGAAAATTCATACAGATGGGCGTCACGCGTGCGAGGCGGTATGCAAACCATAAAGGAGGGAGGAAATATGTCAAGACGGGCGATGGGGAGAAGACGGAGCTGCCGAGGGATGAGGTGGAGGATCCGGTGAAGGCAGAGTCGGCGAGGATATTTGGGGTGGTATTGAAGGATGTGAGGGAGGATGAGGATTATGTGAGGATGGCGGTGAGGCATAAGGAGTTGTATGAGAACTCAACATCGACATCTGAGGATGTGAAAGAGGAGACGCCAGGACCATCGGCGTCGCTTTCCGATGATGGGGGTGCCATATCAGGAGCTAAACGCAAAAGCAAGTCACAACTGGCGGGTGCGAAGCGCAAACGACGGGCATCATAGTGGAAAGGTCGGATGCAGTCGTTGAGAAGGATGGGCAGGATGTGTTTTTCGTGGACAGGAACAACATCGATAAACTTGTTGACATCGTTTCTTGAAGTCAAATTGCTTCTGGTGCGCCTCAGGGTGCGCCTTATCGCGATACGCCAGTCATGTAAGGCAGAAACTAACGGTGTATGGGGCCGTGTTCACCACATCTTACCGCAGTTTGTAGTTTATGGTGGACGATAGTGTACGGCAACCGAAAACAGCAGCATGTTTCTCTCCTGAGTCCTGTAGCGAGCCTTTCGCTTGGCTATCTTCGTCCCCTGGTCGGATATGGTCTTATCTTTGTCCCTCCAACTCTGACGGTCACGTTGGATTGGACTCCGCGCTTTCCTCGTCAGAATCGCAGAGCGCTTGCTTGGCGAGTGGGCTGTCCACGAGTCCTTGGGGAGGTCGGCAGGCGCTTGACCTTTGGCTGACTCGGTGTTATAGTGGCAAAAGGTGGGTTGAGTAGGTGCTGTTGGTTTCGCTGGTGCTGCAATGCGTGGGAAGAATCGGCGTTGGCCGAAGGGTTCAAACGTCGCATGTCAAACTCAGACGTGGCAGCCTCCCTCTTTGCTTCTCTTTGCTTGTCCCCAAAGTCCCAATCTTGTGCAGGCCCACTTCGCACTTTTCCACAACGTCGCTCTGCAAACACACAGGCAGCTCATTGTCATATTTAAGTTTCGTCCCTCTCTTCCACTCCAGTGCACTCGGCACTTCCTTTTCACCCCAGCAAGGCGCACCAACTGAGAATGCCTGCCATTACACTCGCGCAACTCGCAGCGCTGCAGAAAAACAGAGACAAGATCAGAAATATCTGTATCCTCGCACACGTTGACCATGGTGAGTTTCTACCTCTTTTACCGAACGGCCATTGTATTCAGAAGCTTGTAGCTGAGTGCCACTCATTCGTAATTTCATCCACAGGTAAAACGACACTCTCCGATAGTTTGTTGGCCTCAAATGGAATCATCAGCGCAAAGCTTTCAGGAAAGGTCCGCTACTTGGACTCCCGCGAAGACGAGCAACAGCGAGGCATCACCATGAAGTCGTCGGGAATATCCCTCTTTTTCCAAATCTTGCGTCGGTCAAATGACACCCAGCAACAACAGGACCTCCCCGCCGCAAAGAGCACATCCTCGATATCCAGTACCCCGGCATTACAAAAAGACGACTATCTGATCAACCTAATCGATTCACCGGGACATGTCGACTTTTCATCGGAAGTATCCACCGCATCACGCTTATGCGACGGAGGGCTGGTTCTCGTGGACGCAGTAGAGGGGGTATGCACGCAAACACATACCGTGCTGCGACAGGCATGGACAGAGAACGTGCGGCCCATCCTCGTCCTAAACAAGATTGACCGTCTCATCACCGAACTGAAACTTTCACCATCCGAAGCGTATACGCATCTCAACAAGATCCTCGAACAGGTCAATGCGATCATGGGGACTTTTTACTCCGAAGATGTCATGAAGGAGGATGCGGCGCGGTATGAGGAGTATGCAAAGAAGCGGGCACAGGAGGCTGGCGCTGCTGATGGGGCGAACGGCACAGCGGATGAAGACAGCGCGGAGTGGCAGCTCGAACACCATGACGATTCCATGCTGTACTTTTCGCCCGACGCCGGGAACGTGATTTTCGCCAGCGCGATCGACGGGTGGGCGTTCCGGATAGAGCAGTTTGCACAAATCTACAGCGCGAAACTCGGTATTAAGGAGCAGCTGTTGCGGAAATGTTTATGGGGCGATTACTTCCTCGACCCAAAAACGAGACGGGTGGTTGGCCACAAGGGCGTGAAAGGGCGAGCGCTGAAGCCGATGTTTGTGCAGTTCATCCTCGAAAACATCTGGACGCTCTATACCACTGTCTTGGAAACGAACGACAGGGCGAAAGTGGAGAAGATTGTGAATGCTCTAAACGTCAAGCTGTTACCGAGAGATCTAAAATCTAAAGACAGCCGCGCCTTATTACAGACGATCATGGGACAGTGGCTACCGCTCTCCTCTTCAGTGCTGCTCACAGTCGTAGAGCAGCTCCCGTCACCCGCCACCGCCCAAAAGGAACGGATCCCGAAAATTCTCTTTTCGAAACGCAAAAAGGACGACACCAGTCCGCTGTCCGCATCCCTCAAAGAGCTTGAAAAGCCCCTCATCGAATGCGACGCATCCGACTCGGCTCCCGTAGTCGCGTACGTGAGTAAAATGTTCAGCGTGTCACCCGACATGCTCCCCTCCAGCAAACGCGCGCCATTGACCGCGGAGGAGATGCGCGAACGGAGGAGACTGGCGTTGGAGAAACAGGCGGTTTTGGCCGCCGCGGCTTATGCGAAATCGGGCGAGGTGCCTGCACCAGCCTCCGCCGCTCCGGCTGTGCCCGAACATGTGGATTTGGATGAGGCGAGGAAAGCTGCGGGTGTTGAGTCTGGACCCGCGGTGTTGGACACCTCTGGCACGGATGACGCTTCAACACCAATCTCTTCGCAAGAAGAAGCCCCAGAAGGCGAACAACTAATCGGCTTCGCGCGCATCTACTCCGGCACAATCCGCGTCGGCCAAAAAATCCACGTTCTAGGTCCCAAATACAACCCCGCCGACCCCACCCGCCACCGCACCGAAATCACCGTCCAAAACCTCTACCTCATGATGGGCCGCGAACTTCAACCCCTCACCTCCGTCCCTGCCGGCAACGTCTTCGGCATCGGCGGCCTCGCCTCCCACGTCCTCAAAACCGGCACACTCAGCTCCGTCATCACCTGCCCTTCTTTCGGCGGCGTCAAAGCTGAAGCGGCCCCGATCGTCCGCGTCGCGCTGGAACCCGTCAACCCGAACCAGATGGACCAGCTTGTGGAGGGGTTGAGGATGTTGAACCAGGCGGACCCGTGCGTGGAGGTGTATCTGCAGGAGACGGGCGAGCATGTGATCGTGTGTGCGGGCGAGCTGCATCTGGAGCGGTGTTTGAAGGATTTGAGGGAACGGTTCGCGAGGTGTGAGATTCAGGTTTCGCCGCCTATCGTACCATTCCGTGAGACAATTTCAGGATTACCCGCGCTGAACCCTACGCAGCAGCAGCAGCATGTCAATCCTGCCTCCGTGACGACAAGCGGAGATGCAGAAGCGGGAGCAGATATGGTTGACGAACACACCGCAGCAGCACAAGCAGCAGACGACGCAACAGCAAAAGCCAACCTCCCCCTCGGCACAATCATCCTCTCCACCCCGAACAAACTCGCCACCCTCCGCGTGCGCGCCGTACCCTTACCATCCCACGTAACAGCCTACCTCGAAAACAACGCGAAAACCATCCGGAGCATCGTTGAAGGAACCGACGACGACGACGACGATGATGACGATGCCCAATCATCCTCCTCCTCCTCGTCTCCCATAACAACAACTGCAGCAAAACCCAAATCCCGCGGCGAAACCTTCCTCACCGGCCTCCAATCCGCCTTCGACGACGCCATCAAAGAGGGCGAGGTCAAAGACCCGCAGGTGTGGACGGGCGTCGTGGAGCGGATCTGGGCGCTGGGACCCAAGCGGGTGGGACCGAATTTGTTTGTGAATGATGTTAAGGGGTATGAGAGGGCGGGGTGGCTGGAGAGTTGTAAGGGGGCGAGGAATGCGAGGGGACGGGGAAAGGCGGGGAGGATGGGTGGCGAGGAGGAGGATGTGGGGGACGAGAACGGAGTTGAGTCAACGCAAGACGACGCGGAGGACAGGGAAGAGACGTCCACGAGGGATACTTCACGACTTAACATCAAAGCCTACGAATCCTCCCTTCACACCGCCTTCCAACTGGCCACCTTCCAAGGGCCGCTCTGCGCCGAACCCATGCAAGGCCTCTGTTTCTTCCTCGAATCCCTTACGTTCCCCGCACCACCCACACCCCCAACCCCGCAACAGCTCACGTTATTGTCGGGAAACCTCATCTCGACTCTGAGGGAAGCCCTCCGTCTCGCGTTTTTGAGCTACTCCCCAAGATTGATGCTCGCGACATATACATGCGACCTGCAAACGCCGTCAGACACGCTCGGCAAAGTCTACGCGGTCCTCGCTCGCCGTCGCGGGCGGATCCTCGCTGAAGAGATGCGCGAAGGCACCCCCTTCTTCAACGTCGTCGCGACCCTCCCCGTCGTCGAATCGTTCGGGTTTGCGGATGAGTTGAGGAAACGCACGAGTGGGGCTGCGTCCCCGATGTTGGTTTTTGGAGGGTTTGAGGTTTTGGATGTGGATCCGGATTGGGTGCCGAGTACGGAGGAGGAGTTGGAGGATCTGGGGGAGAAGAGTGATCGGGAGAACTTGGCGAGGCGGTATGTGGATTTTGTGAGGGGGAGGAAGGTAGGTTTTTGCGTGTGCTTGCATTGGGATGTTTTGTTTGCTGATATGCCGCATTGGGATGTTTTGTTTGCTGATATGCCGCATATGATCTGTTTGCTGACCATGCGCTTTCTTTACAGGGAATGTTGGTCGCCAAGAAGATTGTGGAGGACGCGGAGAAGCAGCGCACGCTGAAACAGAAATAGACATTGCACGCACGCGAATCAGGGAGGTTACACATACACCACTGCACGACACACACACACAGCATAGCAGACCTATGTAAAAACACCAAACCTAGAATAGACCCTGTACACGCCACGTATCAATAGATTTCTAGCCTCTCCACCTTACGAACTGAGATTATCATACACCATCCAGCCCAGCACACTCCGCCCCTTCTCTCTCCTCCTACACAACGTAAACCAGCACGGATACCCATCCTCTTCCTCTTCCTCCTCTTCCTCCTCTTCCTCCCAGTACTCCAAAATTTGATCAGGCTTCTCCACATGAATCAGCTCCACGACATCCGCATCCTTCAGCGCCTGATACACATCCTTGTAAAGTGAAATCGCGTGCACATCGGTGCACAGCGCCGGAGGCTTGTTGACGCTTGTGTCGTAGCACCAAATGCGCTTGTTTCGGATGAACGCCTTCGTGATCTGTTCATCCCAAACGGGGATTCGCCAAAGAGTGTAGCGCTCACAGAGGTGTTCTGATACCCTCAGACGAGACAGGAGCGTTTTGAGGAGCGGTTGAGTGGTTGAGGTTGTTACGGAGTCTAACTCAGGCACGGGGGCGAGAAGCAAAGGGCAGATCATGGCCCCTTCCTCACGGAGCAGGAAACAGAATTTCCGCGCATCGCGCGCGTACCGCTCGCGGTATGATTTGATAACGTTAAGGGCTCTGAACGGCTCCGTGAGCAAATTGACGTCCGCAGTGAGTTGCTTCCACTGCGATTCGTTCTTTGCCGTGTTTGGATGAGTGGCTCGGGAGCCAGTAGTCTCCACCATTTCCCTCAGCTCCGATTGCATCAATCCCAGCCAGCCAAACTCATCCTTCAAAGCGGCCACCTCCAGCTCTTCCCAGAACAGGTACGCATCCCCATCCAGACCCTGGCCCGTCCCCCACCGTTTGTTGTTGAATCCATCGCGCGGGGGCAGGCCTTGCGGGTTGTGTGTGAAGTTATGTTTGATGAGGCAGCGTTCGCGGGTGGAGAGGGTTGTAGACCAGCGTTTGTTGACGAGGAGGCAGGCGAGCAGCGATGGGGGGTGGGTGAAGGCGGGGTGGAGGAGGATGCGGGTGAGGAGTTCTGGTGGGGGGAAGTTTGGGGGTGATGGACGGGGTGAGGTTGGCGCGGTCGTTAAAGACATGACGTGGGAAAGTTGCGAGGACTCGCCGAGACTGATAATGACTGTAGTGCAAGCCCAAGCCGCCCGCCTACGCTTACAGTAGCGATCGACGAGGAGGATAGCTGTTGCTTGAACGGCACTCGGTTGCAAGCTGCGAGAGACCAGAGACCATCGAGAGCTGGATGCTGAGCTGGATGCTGAGCTGGATGGAAACTTGTCAGTGAGGGTGTGAATGGGCGTGGTGGCTGTGCACTCCATCTGCTGCTGAGCCGAACGCGTCGACGGAGAAAAGACCGCGGGCCAGAGGAGATTCGAACCCCGCACCCGCTGTGATTGATACTTACCCATGTTCTCAACAGCATGCGGTGTGAGTAACCGCTGCGTAATCGCGCGCGCGCCCATGACGTACCGACGAACTTACTCCCTCCCTCTCGCCCTCGCATCTCTTTTTCCCCCCTGCAACCTGCAACTTCCACAAACAATCGTCGCAATCAACTCGCAACTCATCCTCCCTCTATCACTACCAGCCACTCACCTCCAGTCATACCAACATGTTCAAACAAACCTACCTCCTCCGCTCCCGCCTCCAAGCTTCCCGCTCCACCATCGGCATTCACCACCACCACCAACAACTTCGCTTCAGTTCGCGCTTGTCCGCGACCGAATTGCGTGATAAGTTGAAGAGCGCGAGTACCGCGAACGCAAACGTTGAGCTCAATATTGTTACAAAGTCGGAACAGACTCAGAGTGGCCTCAACGAGATTTATACGATCAAGGGTGGGTAATTTTGAAGGGGGGAGAAATTCGGGAGGATGACGATGGGAGGGTGGGTGGCTGAGCGACAGCGAAGGGTTGCTTGAGCATCCTAGCGACAACGAGGAGGATGCTTGAGTTTCCGAGCGGAGCGAGGAGAATGGTTGAGGGCTGGGCCGTAGGAATGCTTGAGGGTTTCCGAGCGATAGCGAGGAGAGTGCTTGAGGGCTGGGCCTGGATTACGAATCACACACCAACCCTACATCCTCGTTGCGAGCGGAGCGAGCAGGGGTATCATTTTAACCATCCAGCCATCCAACCACCGTTACTCGTGTTCTCATCCACCGTTGCCTCCGTCAATAGGATCCGACCTACAAAAAGCACTCGCAGCAAAGACAAGCAGCAACGCCGACGCAGCAGCAATAGAGGACACGCGCTTCCAATACGCGCCTGGCCGCGTGGACGTTTATATCAACAGCTCGCGGACGTCGGGGTTGGTTGCGGAGTTGAGGAAATATGCCAAGGTTGATAAGTCGAGGTGGGTTCTGCGATGAGCGATGTGTCCGTATGATGGAGGCGTGGGGCTAATAATGTTCGTTCGATGAATCATAGCGGCAAGGAATCGCTGGAGAAAGAGTTCACGGACGAGTACGGGGCAGGGAACAAAGAGATGAGCAAAGGGACAAACACGTCACAGCCAACAAACTTGTGATGAACGCGTGGGGACCCAACACATAGTTAGTGAGAATTTGATGAGATGAACTCCAGGCTTTTCTCGCGCTCACTGGGATACCGGATCACTCTCGATTTATTCTCCTTTTTGAATCACAAAACCCTTCATCTTCTCTTTTCACCTACATATTCTTTAAATTACATTGGTTTTGCTATATCATAACCTGAACCCTAGCGCCAATGCCCATATGCTGAACGCCCCTACTGTACAATACGTACACCCGCTATCCAATTCATAATCTCACTACCTTATACCTTATGCCCTACCCTATCTCCCTATCCATTCACGGTTTGCCTCGCCCTACTGACCCCCCCTCTGCCCCTGCTCCCCCTGCTGCCCCTGTTGACCATACTGGTGGTGCCCCTGCCCCGCTCCTCCCTGCTGCTGCTGCTGCTGCTGTGCTGGCTGCTGAGGAAACCCTTGCCCCACCATATTCCCCATCCCCGCACCCCCCTGCATCGCCCTCTGCATCAACCCCATCATACCCGCCAGATCAAACCCTTGCTGCGTATTGAAGCCACCTTGCTGATTCCCATACATATTCGCAAACGGCTGTGGTTGTTGTTGTTGGCCGCCGTGTTGCGTGGGTTGTTGATGACCACCGTATCCACCACGCATTTGAGCCTGTTGTTGTTGTTGTTGGAGGAGATTGAGAGCCGCCATGGCGACTTGGGCGGGGTTGTAGCCTGCCTGCGCTCCGAAGGGCATTTGCTGTTGTTGCTGGCCAGCGAAATTCGCTTGTGGGTAAGACGGGGCCTGCCCTTGTCGGTGTTGTTGCGGCCGTTGCATGTACCCCTGCATCCCATACGGCTGTTGCTGCTGTTGATACGGTTGCCTATTCTGCTGCTGCTGCTGTTGTTGTGGGTATCCCTGTCCCTGCTGCTGTTGTTGTCTGTAGCCACCCCTCGACGGTGCACCTCCATCCCCACGCCCGCGGTTCCACGTCCCGCCGCGTCCACCCCGTCCGCCCAAATTCCCAGCAGCATACCCACTGTGCTGCTGCTGCTGCTGCTGTCCACTCCCGCTCTCCCTTCCCCCGTCCCTATGCACACCACCCGCATCCCCCCTCCCGCGTCCCCGTCCCCTGCCCCCCACCGGCCTGACATTCAGTATGTACTCCGCGCTATCACTAATCTCCGGCGGCACATCCGGTTGGGTCTCCTCCCCTTCCTCACCCCCCACAGCATCCCCCCTCTTCCTCTTCCTCCCCTGTTTCACCTGCCGCCTATGCTCCATCTCCATCTCATCATCCGAAAACTCCATCTCATCCTCCGCAACCTCCTCATCATATATATTACTCGCATCACTCCCCTTCATACTCTTCAACACCCTCGTAAACACCACCTTTTGTAACCCGGGGAGTTTGGGCACGAAGATGTCGGTGCCGATGGGGATGTTAAGGGCCGCGATGTCCGCCGGGGTGTTGAAACGCACGGAGTAGAACGGGCGTGCGACGGGACCGAAAGTATCAAAGATCTTGCCGATCGGCTGTCTTGTCGCTGTCACCAGCACCGTTTCGACATCCAACGCCGTTTCCGGGTCCGCGTTGACGGGCGCCTGTATGATCAATAAATCGTTGACGATCGAATGTATCTGCCCGATGACGGCCAACGTGGCTGCTTCGGGGATGGGCTCGGTGATGGGTTCCACGGGGGGCAGTTTGGCGACTTCGTTCTTTGTGCGCAGGGTGGAGGGATTGTCGGCGGGGTCTTCCGGGTGGGCGTCCATGGATTGGAGCAGCTTTTCGCGCTCGGCGGGGGTGAGGGTGGGGCCGGCGTCCGACTCGTCGTCCGAGGAGTCGCTGAATTCGAAATCGCTGTCAGGTTTGTCGCTTTCGGCTTCTGTGTCGGATTTGTGGTCGTTTGAGGCTGGGGTTTCCTGCACCTCTGTGGGAGTTGATGATGGTTGTGCTCCCGTCTCTGGTTCCGCCTTGACCTTCTCCTCCACAGCTTCCTCAATGACCACACCTTCCATAGGCTGCACTGACTCAGTCTTGATCTCTCGCTCAACCACCGTTGTCGTCGTTTCCACAATCACTGGAACTGTGTCCGCCCCTAAACCAAATTGCGCCGCCTCGAGCTTGACCTCCTCCATCGTCATCGTCGTTGTCCCGTCCGATACATCCATCACCACCGGAGTCACTACATCCAGCACTTCCTGTCCCTGAACCAGTACAGAAGTCGCAACCGTTGCCGGGACGTCTTCCAGTCCCTCCAAACCGGTGCCCACAAATCCATTCTCCTCCACCACCTCTCCGACCTCCACCACCTCTCCAACCACCACCTCCTCTCTCTCATCATCACTGATATCCTCAACCCCCTCATTGCCTCCATTCCCAGCATTCACTCCCGCTCCATCCTCCATACCCATAAACGGCAACGCCTCATTATACGCCTCAACATCATGATAATCCGCGTTGATATTCTCCACGGAGGGGCGGGTATCTACCGCGAAGAGAGAAGAGAGGAGTGTGTCTTCTGTGTCGGGCTGTTTGGACTCGAATTCGGGTGCTGGGTTGGGTAAGGCGGCCTCTTCCGCGGGGACTATGTTTGAGAGGATCTGGTTGAACCAGTCGGGGACAGCTGCTTCTTCACCCATGTTTTGGGTGAGGAGTGGAAGTGTAAGCGTTGTTGGAGTTGCGTATGAGTTGGGTGCAGGCCCGTACTGCGAGCTGTTTCTGAAAGGGAAGGAAAACGAGAAACTGCGAATTTCTGAGACCGGGTCTTTTGCAATGCGCGACTTTACGTCAGCAGCATGACGCTATTTCGACACTTTGTTTGGAGCAGATATACTGTACGTACAGTTGCCTAACTGCATATGGAGGCCACCTCGTTCAGAAACATTTTTGAACATCGTCATGCTTCAACTCCTAAGCAAAAGGCTCAAGCCCATTCGATATACATGACACCGTACAAAATAAAAAAGCACATCTATATACATACACAGGGGTTTGGGTGCGATCCAAAAGAGCTCATTCCACGACATACGGTAAACATTCGGCAGACATAAAGGAGACGGTTGTCTCCATCAGTAGGAGGAGATATCACAAGGGACGGCCAACTCCCAATGAGCTGTACGCGAACCCTCATGAGAGCGGTCATCTTCTATCGGAGCGTCGTAGTCGCATCTTCTTCGTTTTCTTTTGTCTTTCTCTCTCACTGCCCCTCAGTCTTCTTTTGACCAGCATGTTGCTTGACAAATTTCAATCGCCCAGCGATCCCCGCTATCACGTCCGGGTCTTCACCGACTACATTTCTCGGCGCAGCAGTAGCTGTGCCACTAACGGACTCTGCTGGTGAAAACCCAGGCTCGCCATTTCCTTGATTTGACGACACCGCATGATTGCCGAAAGCGGGTGAGTAAGCTTGTGCCGATGTTGTGGCATTGGCGTTGGCGAGTAGCGGCGAGTCCACTTGTGACATGGGGGAAAAGGTGAAGACGCCACTCCTGGTATCAGGGTGCTTCGCATGCGCGGGCGTTGCCATCATATGGGCTGGCCACGCTTGATGGTGCGGTGGTGGTGGCGCCCACGGCGGATTGAACTGGAGTGGTGGTGCCGCACTAAATCCTCCTCCTCCTAAAACTGCATTAGCGGGAATCCCTGCCATTCCCCCCATAGAGCCGGGAACAACTGGTGCGGGAAGCATAGAATGGCTACCTAGTGCGCTACCTTGCACTCCACCTGTATTCGTTAGAGGCGCGGAAGGGCCATTCGGGTTTCCAGCCGGTTGGAAAGTGGGTCGTCCTCCTATTGACGCGGTTGGCATGGTTGGGACATCAGTCGGTGGTGACGAAGCGCCGGACATTGGCGGTTGTCCCGGTTGCTGAGCTGTGCTTGACGTTGAACCCGAAAAAAGGTGTCCGTACATTTGATCCCATTGCTGCCGCGCTCGCTCCTCCGCTTGCCGCGCGACCGTACGGATGTGTTCTTGATGAAGGGTGGCCAAGAACGTTTGGCGGCTTTCCAGTGGTACCACGTTCAACAGCTGCTGGAGGCCGGCGGGATCAAGACCAAGTGGCATTGACTGACTATGATGGACAGGAGCTCCGAAATGACCGAAAGGCACAAGTGGGTGATTGACCATCGGCGGATATGGCACACGCGGAGCATCTACCGTGGTGGCAAATCGAACGACGGCTTGATTGTTCTCCTCTGCAGAGCCCATCTCTTGCTTGGCCGGAGTCTGAACAGCATGAGTAAGTGGCGTGCTGGGGTTGCTTTCGTTCTTCACCGCAGGTTCATCTACAATTCAGGCAATACAGGGATTTGAAAAATTGAGAGGCTTCCGCGCCCACGTACGACACACCCACCAACGGCTTGAACAACTGACGCTCACCTTGCGCATCAGGTTTGCCAGTGACGATCCTTTCTGGCGACGACGCGGCAGAATGTAGCTTCGAAGACGGCCCAGGAGCATTGGTCCGAAGAGACGATTGAAACGCAGGCTTCTTACCCGCCGAGTTTGAGCTCACCTTGAGAACTGCGCGAGAGATCATGGGCGAATGAGTAGGGGAATGCTCAGCCGAATCCTGACCCTTCGCAGAGGCGTTGCTGGAATCCGGTATTTCCCCGTCCTCCAAGTCATCTCTCAGCTTGTATCGCCTCGGCGCGTTGACACGTTGGAGAATCGCGTTGAGCTCGGCGTCAACTTGCGAAGCGTTAGCCCCGGAATCTTTCGCGTCCTTAGAAGGAGACGTGACAGGCGTCCCGCTTTTCGACGCTTTCTTAACCAACAGCTTTTGCCTGAGCTCTAAGGCGAGTCGTTCAGGTTCTGCCATTGTTCGGGACTGAGCGGGTGCCGGAACGGGTGCCAATGCGGGTGAGGCCGACTGGGACTTTGTCGATTGTCGCAGTAGGTTCGCTCTCATCCTCTCAGCTTCTTTGCGAGCCTGGTCGTGCGGTGGCTTCCGAGCAGCGTCCGCGTCTCGATTCCTGCGGAGAGCTTCTTGCAACTCTAGCTTCTTGATTTCATCTTGCTCCCGCTTACGTGCGGCTGCTTCAGCCTTTTCGCGCTCGATTCTGGTCGCTTCTTCTCGCTTCTGAGCTTCTCGAGCTTCCCCTTCGCGTCTTCGTGCCTCCTCCTCTTGCACACGTTGTTGATCGGCCTTCACCCTCCTCCGCGTCTCCTCCTCCTGCGCTTTCTTCATCGCAGCATCAGGGCGCGCCTTTCGCTCGGCTTCTTCGCGTGCCAGACGCTTTGCCTCCTCTGCTTCCTGACGTTCCCGTAGCTCACGAGCTTGGCACTCTGCCTCTTCGCGAGCAAGCTTTTCCCTTTCCTTGCGCTCTCCTTCCTCCCGCTCCTGCTTTTGGAGCTCCAGCTTCTGCTGCTCCTCCCGCCATTTGCGTTCCGCTTCTTCACGAGCGAGCTTTTCCCTTTCCTTACGCTCTTTTTCTTCGCGCTCTTGCCTCCGGAGCTCAGCTTCTTGTTTCTGTTGCTGCTCCCGCAATTTGCGTTCTGTTTCTTGGCGTAGGGCTTCCTGTGCTTTCTGCGCTTTGCGGATTGCTTCTTCTGCCAGCAGGCGCGCCTCGCGTTCTCTCATTTCCGCTTCCTCCCGCAGTTTGCATTCGGCCTCTTCGCGCTGACGCAGTTCCTGCGCTTTTCGTTCCGCCTCTTCGCGCTCTTTCAAGGCAGCCTCTTCCTTCAATTTCTGCTCCCGCAGTTTGCGTTCGGACTCTTCACGCTGACGAGTATCCCTCTCGATCCGTTCCGCCTCCTTCCGCGCAGCTTCCTCCTTCTCCTTCTTCAGCCGAGCTTGACGCTCTTCTTCCTCGCGTTGAATCTTTGCCTGCTCTTCACGACGCTGCCTTTCGAGGGCCTCCTCGCGCTGCTTGTTGACAATCGCCAACCGCCGCTTGAGTTCAGCCTCTTCTTTTTTGCGCTCCTCTTCTTGTCGTTTCTTTCGCGCTTCTTCTCGCTTCCGCTGCTCTTCCTTCTCGGCTTCGGCGCGTCTGCGTGCTTCTTCTTCGCGCTCGAGAGCTTCTTTGGCCTCACGTTCTTTACGTTCCGCAATCTCACGCTTTTGACGTTCGAGCAACTCGCGAATCTTCCGGGCTTCGTCTTCTTGCTGCTTCCGGCGTTCGTCAGCCGCTTTCCGAACTTCCTCGGCTTGGCGCTCCCGTTGCTGGGCTTCAGTTGCTTTGCGGGTAGCTTCGGCCCTCAAAGCATGCTCCTTAGCCTCCTGCACTGATCGAGCCAAATCTTTCACGTTCAACCCTGGCGTTGCTGTCTTGTCGACCTTGAGTTGTTCCGGTGCAATCGACCCAGCGCCTGAAGGCTTCCTGTCCCCTGATTGCTCCGATCTTTGTTGGAACGTATTGAGCGAAACAATTCTTTGAAGGGCGGTGCTAACCTCGCTTTGCCACTTCGGTACATTGTAAGTGATTGGTGCTGCGTGCGGGGCGCCGTTCCCCGTCGTAGATCGGGACGGGCTGGGCTCATCATCATCAATAACGATTGGCTCCGAGATCTTCATCGGGGATGCTGGTAGACCAGCCGAGGCGATAGACTCTCGTTTCTTCCGATTTTGAGTCACGCTGGCGCTCAGCGATTGATAAATATTAGCCGTCTTTGCGCTGGACTGACGACGTCCATCAATTACTGGGGTGTAGGGTGATATACTCTCAGCTATGTGTGAGCGGGGAATGCTTGAGCCGTCCTCGTCTGGGATAACGAAAGGCTGAGCGATCAGCTGAGGCGTCTTGGTTGTGATCCGGGATGGCACTGGAGTCGATGACGAGGGTACCGCGCTGGCCTTCGCTGCAGCAGCTTGGGTTTCAATGAGCCCTTTCTTCATCTCGGCTGTAGCGGCTTGCTCTGTCATCACTTTCTTCTCTAATATAGCGGCTGAGGCTTTCATAACCCGTTGCTTCTCAGCTGCAGCGGCTTCCGCTTCCATCGCCCCTTTCCTTTGAGCTGCGGCGTGTGCTTCCATAGCCCGTTTCCTTTCTACGGCAGCAGCAGCTTCGGCATCCATGGCCCGTTTCCTGTAATCTAGAGCGGCTTCAGCTTCCATGGCTCGTTTCCTTTCGGCGTCCCGAGCTATAGATGCTCTGACTTCGGCCTCGCGTTTCTTCTGGGACGCAGCTTGCTCGGCTCGTCTAACCGCATCTGGAGACGAAGACGATGTCTGTACGGCATGCGATGGTGACGGTGCTTGAGAAGACGACACCGACATGGGTTGCGAAGTTGTCCCAGGCTGCGCAGAAACTGGTTGCGAGGGGCGCCCGACAGCTGATTGCACCACAGGCTGGGACGGTGGTGGCAAGACCGGAGCGCGAACTGGCAACGGGGTACCTTGCAGCGCGGATCGTTGAGAAGATCGCAGGCTGATCTTGATGGGGCCACGTGATACATAGCCAACTTCATCGTCATCGTCATCTCCCATCATCTCGGTATTCACCGGTTGGAAGCTTTGAGGTCTGAGGACAGACCGTTCTCCGTCGTCAACCTTGCGCTTTTTGGTGGCGTCTCGCCCTTCGGGATCTTGGGGGCTCCTCAAAGCTTCACTTGAGGTCACCGCCCCAGAGGGTGCAGTAACCATCGCGTCCACGTCCACCGGGGTTGGCGTCGCAGTGGTCTTGCGTTTGACACCTTGCTTTAGTGAATCGAAACCTTGCTTTCGTTGCTCAAGTTCCTGTTGCTTGATTCGTAGCTCCGCCTCATGACGCTCGATCTCCTGTTCCGCTCTCTGCCAGTCGGCTTCAGCGTCCTCAAGGGCTTGCTGCGCTTCCCGATTACGACGCTCAACCACGCGCAATCGTTCAAGCTCCTGGGCCGCGGCTCTGGCTTCTTCCCTAGCTTGCTTTACACGTTCGCGAGATTCTCGACGAGCCTCTTGTTCTTTCTTGGCTTGCTCCAGCTCCGCCTCGATCCTTCTCTGTTCGGCAGCAAGCTCCTCGCTTTCGGTCGTCCTTATTGCTCTACTCGTCTTCACAGGTGACATGGATCTGAGCCCCTGACTTCCGGTAGAAGCCGGCGGGATCACAGGAGCCGGTTTAGAATGCATCATAGAGCTCGACACCTCCATGGTGCTCGACACGTTGCCGATCACAGAGGGTGTAGACGACGATGTCTTGGTGAAAGCGGGATCCGCTTCCCGCGCGGGGGATGTGTCCATCGATCTCACTCCCGGACTCCCCGCCATTGGACGGCCAGGGAGAGGTCTTGGTAGCTGCGGAGGAGGGGGCAGGGCGCGAGAAACTTGCGAGCTTCGGACCGGCTGAACTGTAACTTCAAAAGCCCTCCCATGCGGCGGCGGGGGTCGATTCGGGGATATGTGTCTTACTGCAGGACCTTCAGAACCTTCCGAATGGCTTGATGGCGCGATAGACTGTGAAGACCTATCCAGTGATGCGACCGCCATGCTTGTCCTGGGTGCGTCCGCATGGGGAAGACGTGAAACTGAAATCCCAGGAGATCCAGGGGCTTGAGTAGGAGGCGCTCGAAGATCGTGAGACTTGTCTGTGGGAGGTTGACTTGCGGAAGAACCGGCATGGGTAGGTGCCGACCTGAAGCTCGTAGACCCATTGATGCCATTGCTTGAACCTGCCGAGGCAGCCCTCGCCTCGGACGCCGCGGCCACAAGCGAGTGAAGGCTTTGTTCAGGAGTCGGTCTTTGAATGTCACGTGATGGGACGGCGGCGCCGGAGGCCGTCGCTGTTCCGGGAATAGACCGTCTGGCAGCAGCCGATGCGTTGTTCCCCTTTTCCACCCCGTTCGCCGTGCCATTGACTAAGCTATTGCCCATCTTTGCATTGTGCGAAGTCAGCGGAGGTCTGCTTACCCCTCCCAAACTATTCCTGCCAACGTGTGCCATCAGTCCTCCGTCCACTCCGTGTATGAGAGATAGGACGCACCTAGCTTGACAGAGTGTATGCCAAATTTCCTCGTCAGACTGGCCTTGTGATCGCAGGACGTCGATGATAATACGAGCGTCCCGTTTGTGCTGATCGACAACTTCGTGATCGATAAGGTGATTCAAAAGAGCACTGTAGTCGGCTACGCCGGAGCTTGCTGAGACCGCATGGCCTTTTGAGCAAAGGAAGGGACCGACGTGGGAGAGAAGAGAAGTCAACGACAGGAATCACCTTTCGCTTCGACAGCTGACAGTCCAATTTGACGCATAGCTGAGCGTAGTTATAGTTTCCCCCAAACACCCTTCGACAGCTGGCCCAAAAAGTTGCGACAGACAAGGTACTGCAGTTCGGCTGAAAGCTGTATATATGCGCTAGACATGCGCAAGTACCTCCTGCCTAACAGCACAATACCAGTACGAGGCGATCAGACTTTCTGAGCCACTCACCGTTAACGGCTGGGGGGTTTGTCATGTCAGACGGCCGGAGTATGCGACCGCAAAGGGGGGGGCAAGGGCGACTTGGTAGCAGGGCCTTGATCTTGGGGTCAAAGGAATGTGACTGTCCAAGGGTAAAATTGCGTCGTCGTCGTCGTTCCGCCCAAACGCTGGAGGACTGTCTGAATTCCCCACTCAGGACGGGGTCTTTTTCCCTTCCTCTTCAGCCTGTCAAGCAGCGCGTCCTGGAGTCTGGAACAAGTTTTCCCACGCTGAGTTGAAGTTGAACGTTGGACAGTGCTCCTAAAGACGACTCGATATCCCGCAACACCGACTCCACCATGAGGCTCTACAGACCACTGCTCCAGGCCGTCAAGCTGAAGGAGGTACGTATCAGGACGGTTGCTACGCCCCGCAGGCTGCGACCGCGATTGAGACTTGGAGCACATTGGGTCCCCGAGACGTCTGGGGTGGGAGAACACGGCAGTGAATGGGCTCCAAGCACGTCTTTGCCCTGCCATCGACTTGTGATGTGCTTGCAAGTCCGTGGTCACAACGCTTTCTATGATATCTCTTGCTAATTGTGCATTCCCTACATCCAGACAACCGGCCTTTACGGTCTAGCCGTTCACCCCAACCCTAGACCGCACCTCATCTCTCTCTACCAACGTCTCCTCCACTCCCTCGAGCGCGTTCCCGCCTCTGCAGCATATCGTCAGTCCGCGGAAGCCCTCGCTCGCCATCGTCTCGAAGTTGTAGAGAAGAATGAGGACACGGCAGCGATCGAGAAGCAGCTGGATGCAGGCCAGATTGAGGAGCTGATTGTGGCGGCGGAACACGAGTTGAGGCTGTTGCCTGAGATGTTCAAGTACAAGGTATGGGCGGTCGGCTGGAGCTTTTGTTCAGAGTGAAGCTTTGATCTTGACGTCCCTTTCTCCTGCAATCTTAGGTATGGGAGCCTTTAGAGGAGCCTGCGCCAGAGGGACAGTGGGAATACTTCGGCAACAAGGGGCGATCGCAATAGGCGGCTCTTCCCTGTTCAAGAAATTGATGATACGACGGCAGTGCATGCGGAAACAGCCACCTGCTCTTCAATGGTCGTGTGAAAGGGAGGCAAGCATTTCCCAGCTCCCAACTACAAATTCGCTAGAAGGCCATAGCTGTCTAGTAAACGAGATACCATATTCCACCACTTGATCAATCAATAAGACTTACCTAGGAACATTTTCTGGTCGCTCATGGGAATGTGGGATGATCCTGGCACGGTTGAACAGGGGGGACAAGACCGGGCCGGAATCCTTGCCATAGGTTCTCCATTCAAGAATCAACAGATCTGTATTTCACTCCACATCTGACCTCAACGTACGCCGCAAAAATGTTCTACATAATCTAGCGTATCGACTTTCAAGCCATGATTGATGGCCAGTATTCCTAAGGCCCTGCATCTGGGACTACGCTTTTTCCTATCTCCATTAAGCCTCGTTCGTCGACTCGGTTGCTCGACTCTTCTCATATCCATAATCCTCTGCTTCTGACTCCTCGAACTGTGGTGGCCGAGGCTCAGCTTCCATTTGATGTTCGTCGTCTTCTAATTGGGCCTGTTGCAGGATCTTTCAAAAAGGTCCGAAGTTCAGTCAAACAAGCGCCAATGCAAGAAAAAAAAAAGTTGAAATTAGCACGCCGGGTTTCCTACCTTCTCCAGCGTAGTGGTGCCATCTACCTCCACATGCCGTACGTCCGACTCTCGCCGATTCCCATTCTTCTGCGCCTCACTTTCCGACGCTGACGGCGGGCTCATATCGCTCATCCTTTCGCGAAACTCCTGGGCGGTGGATATGTATTTCCACGCCTTCTCTCGAGCTTCGTTCCAATCCCGCGGCGCATTGGTGAGCATGGTCTGATGAACAGGTTTCAATGATGTAGCATTGTCGGCGGCGGCGGTTGAAGATGCGCCGTCATCATGGACAATGATAACCTCCGCTGTTTCCGCTTGCGAGGCCTCTGCAGCTGCGTCCAGCGCATCAATTACCTCGAACAGTTCCAACCGCATCGCATGGGCTTGTTGACTTGTGTGGAACAGCTTCACAGTGGGTATATGATGTTGCTTTATCGTAATTGGCGCCCCATGCCATTTCGGTGGTAATGTGGGTGGGAACACGATATTGAGAAGGGCTAGTGCGTGCATTGCTGGAAACTCGCTTGGTGATTGTGCCTCCTCATCTGCCCCGGGCGACGTCTTACAAAACGCAGCCCAACTCGCCGCCAAGAACCGGAGAACACACGCCTTCCTCAACGCCAAAACAACAGTCTCGTACGTCTTCTCCAACCCGCTACTTTCCGCTTTCAACGACTCCCTTACAACCTTCGCAAACTCCTCATCGTCTTCACTCTCATACCGCCCGGCCTGGTTCGCCAACAACGATTTCAAACTCTCCCGCCGCACAAGTTCAAGGCTACACAGCGCCATCGTCAGCAACTGCACCGCCGTCCCCATCGCTTCCGCATCAGTTGCCAGTGTATCCGCCAACAGCACCAGCTGCGTCCGCACGTCCAGAAGAGCGGGTGTGAGCGAATCGTGCGTAAACTCGCCATTATCAGGTTCTGCGGCCTCCTCGGCCCATTCGGGGCCGGCGAGCGGGAGGAGGTCGCCGGCTAGCCGTGCGTACAATTTGAGTGACCGGGTTGGGACGGTGGGGCCCATGCGGTGGGCGAGGTGTTGGAGGACCCAGCCGGATATTGTCGCGACGCGGGCTTTTACGGTTGCGGCGGGGATGGAAGGGAGGAATGATAGTCTGGGCTTTTTCGACGCTGCTGAGGAGGTCTCCATGTCCACTACTACGTCCTCGTCGTCCGACGGTTCCGGCCGTCCGGTATTCTGCTCCTCGATAAGAGACTCGTCGTCGGACGGGTCGGGTCCTCGTTCCTTAGCAGTGCTCCCCTCCTCAACCAGATCCACGTCCTGAAGGGAAGGGCCCGGTCCTCCTTCTTCTGAAATATTTTGCTCCTCAACTGCATGCTCGTCGTCGGACGGTGGAGGTGCTCGTTTCTTCGAGGTTCGGGGCCGCTTGACGCCGCGGGATGGGTGCTCGTTTGCCATACTCCGACTGGAACTCGAGTTTCGGGTACTGCCGTGCTCCTCTGCACGTACTGTCGTCAGCATTGGCTTGCTTCTGGGTGTGGGACGTGTTCTCAAGAGGCGTGTGATCAACAAGTGCGCAATGGAGTGACCCTGTTCTGCAACTTGCAAGTCGAGAAGGAAGATGCATATGCAACTGCGCTTGCCGTAATCCGAGCGGACCTATTTGCCAGCGCGTCGGTCCATGTCCACGTCCGAATATACATACACAACCTGTCAGTTGGGACTACCTACCACCCACACAACCGATATATGGACTCTATCCTGCCGGTCAACTTTATGCATAGCACTTTCACGCAGGCATTCCATCAAACGAGCGTGCCATGGAAGGAAAAAAATCTTCCCTTCTCCCACTAGCGTAGAGATCAGAACTTTTGAAGTAAAGCCGCAAAATGCCTCGCTCGAAGGAAAGGAAACATTTCAGTCTTGTTCATCCAGGATACACGTCCTTGCTGTTCCTATAATTCCTCAAAAGCCGGTCGCCAGTTCCGAGATTTGTCAAGCATTCACGCAGACCTGCACGTAGTGGTGCCTTCAGATGATGAAACATGAAGCCGACCAAAAGCGTATCGGGGATAAGTCCGCAGCCTTAGAAAATGGTGGCAGGCGGCGGATATGCAAATTGTGCGCCACAGAGAGGGTGGTGGGATAGCGTTCGAGGGTGTGGGTGTCCTGCTCGCTGAACAAACAGGGGAACCTGCCACCAGCGGCGACCCAGTTTGCATGTGCAGGCCTGTTGGCGACTTAGCCTGGGTCTTGCAGATTCCCAAGCTCCCATTCCGGCCCACCCTCGGTCGGGGACGATAGCCGATAGCGACGATAGGGCGGCATGGGGCCGACACTTGAATTCCAACCTGCTTACCTAATCGAAGCCACGTCACGTCGGGGATCGCGTCGCTGTCAGTTTTGAATGGAGCATCGGTTTGCGCTATGCATGTGCAGTCTGCCGGAAGAAGCTTTTATCCCGCTCTGTCCCGGCAAAGTTGTTCGGCATCGGAATTTTTTCAACAGAGATCTTGTAAGTGCATTTTTGAAGGTTTGAGGGGAGCCGATGGGCCCATGAAGTACGAGCTTACTGACACTCCCCACAGGTTGCATCCACTCCGATCGACCAAAGTAATCGAAAATATCCCCCAGCCATGATCCAACCCTCACACTCCCTCGTCAAATACGACAACCCAGTCTTAGTATCCCGCACAGATGGCGCCATACCCGGAAAGTCGAATCTCAAATCGGGTGCTGGCGGTGGGATCTCGGATATTGGCGGAGGGAAGAAATTGGCTGCTGGGCCACCTGGTGGCAAGAACAAGTTGCCGCCGGTGGATGACAAGCGGCCCAAGACGCCGAGTCAGACTGAGGATATTTTGAACTCTATTCTACCGCCGAGGTGAGTTTGTGGGATGTTGGGTTGGCTCATTTGTTGAGACTGCCTGTCGTCGTGGGCATTTTGCTGATGCATCAATTACGAACATAGAGAATGGGACGAATCAGGCCAGCTGTGGGTGCAGAAAGTGTCCAGCACACCAGCCACCCGTCTGGACGTCATCAACTTGCAAGAACAACTAGACCACATGCTGCAAAAGCGTCAAGCGCGCGAGACCGGAATCGATCCCGTCAGGCGAGAACTGTACAGTCAATGTTTCGGTTCGTCTCAAACCAAGTGTCATTCTATCGGGACTACCCCATGCGCACCGCATGCTTATGGCCCTCCATGATTCTTAGATGAGCTTATCCGCCAAGTCACCATCAGCTGCCAAGAGCGCGGCCTCCTCCTCCTGCGCGTGCGCGACGAGATCCGCATGTCCATCGCGGCCTACCAAACGCTCTACGAGAGCAGTGTCGCGTTTGGAATGCGCAAGGCGCTGCAGGCGGAGCAAGGGAAGGCGGATATGGAGAATCGGGTACGTCCAAAGTGGCTGGTCCAATCGCCGTAGAAGCTGCATATGGTGGGCTGACGTCTGTGTGGCCCTCTGATTTAGATCAAAGAGCTGGAAGACGAGAGACGCCAACTAGACCAAAGCGTGCTCGAACTCAAAGCGAAATGCGAAGCCATTGAGAAGCGGGAGAGCGAGCGGAGAGCGATGGAGGAGCGAAAACACGCGGAGGAGATTGCGTTCTTGAAGAAGACGAATGTTCAGTTGAAGGTACAGTCCGATGTGATTTCATCTTGTTCGAGTTCCGTTCCTGATCGCATCCCTCGTTCTTAGACACAACTGGAAGGAATCCTCAGCCCACAAAAGAAATGAGCAGAAGCAACCGCTCAAATGCGTCCATTGGCATGCTTGCTCTCCATAATCTCGCACCCGCACCCTCAAACACGACCACGCGCGGCCTCGTAGCAAATACCCCGAACTTTGGCAACCATCATTCGCGACAGAAATATCCTGTGTCAGAGGTGCTTTCCACAAGGAAAGCGATTGGAAATATATGTACGATATCCCCCACGTATGTGGTTTCTAATAACCATGTGTGCCATTACGTTCGAGCCGTTATAGCCCCTATCCATGGGCTACTTACGCATGCTTATTACGCCGAAGTACCATTTGCTTGCCGGGGACTATGATTATGCTATTTACAGTGAGAAATTCAGGTGGGGGGGAGTGAATGAATACCTAATCAGCGGTGTCGGTTGGTGACGTGCATAGGTCAATCGCATGTGACGGTATAAGAATACGATGCGAAGTTTCATTTCCGCTTCTTCCTGGCAGCAGGCGTCGCTCGGCCCGGCGTACTACTCGTCTTCTTCGATGTGGATTTGTCCTCCAACTCCAGGATATGACTAAAACAGAAAGCACGGTTCATGTTCAGGTCAAGAATATCATACGAAACGATATCAAAGCCAACGAAGTACCTCTGATAGTCGACCTCCATCCTCAACAACCCAGTCAACACAAACTCATTCGAGTGCACGATCCATCCCGCGTCTATCAACGAAGCGAGTTCCTTTGCGTCGGCCTGATGCCCAATGACCACAAAGTCATCTACGGGGGTTTTTGGTGGTGGCGACTTGCTCCACTATCGAGGATGTAAGAGACATAGTCCGAGACCACAAAATAACAAAGTATCGGATTACCTTTGCACCAGCAGCCTCCAGAATGTCCTTCAATTCCTCCGGTCGTGGCATTACAGACGATGTCGCGTAGAAGGTCAATCCGGCGAAAATTGGCGGTTGAGTATGATCCTGGGCTCGTTTGCACGATTTCGCCAGCGTGAATCCGTACTGCTTTTCGGTCTTCGGATCCTTCAACAGGTACTTCTTTTCATCTGGTGGACAATTGTTAGTCCGCACTGATACTCTGCCCACAGCTGACTCGTATGACTACGTAAGACGTACCGACGAATTTCCCGGCTTTCTTGCTATCGTCCAGCCACTTCACGTTGACGATGATCTTGCCAGCTGATAGAGCACAAAGGAACTTCATTGTGCGGCGGATGCGGTCTGTCACGAGGTGTGTGCATTTGTGCCAGTCGCTGACGCTCTCGCCACCCAGACTTGTGACAATCTGATCCCGCAAACAGCATCAGGGATGACGGGTACATTTGAAATTTGTCGAAGATCACTTCCTCGTCGGATAGAAACAATACCTTATCCATAGGCGAATGATCAGTAAATCCTGTAAACATGATCTTGAACCCGTCGGTCGTTTTCTCTCCTTGAACAATGACCTGCGATGATACATCACGCTGTGAGCTGCCCTTCCCACTTGACTTTGCGCTGGCGCCCGTTTCTTCGGGAGTCATGGTGGGTGAGATTATCTCGGCGGATGGTGGTGGAACCGACTGCGATTGCGATGGTTCCACCCCCTTCCTCGACCTGTACAGATAGTTGTCTATGAGATGAACGAGAGTCGAGAGAACTCGACGTTCAGCTACTCACCGACTGCCTTTCCGTGTAGAAGCCGGAGTAGGCTCCTCCACCACAGAACCGGTTTCAACGTCCGACGCCTTTGCCTCAGTCTTAGTTGGCTTAGCTTTGGGTTTAGCAACCTTCCCTCGCCCCTTTGGCTTTGGTACTGCCTCTTCTTCTTGCACGAATGTTGGACCCTTCATTTCAGGGTTGGTTAACGGATCGTTACTTGGTGGGAATTGAGTGCTTTCCACTTCCATTGACACTGGAGGAGTTTCTGTTTTGGCCTTCTTTCCCCGTTTGGTGGCCTTCTGAGTTACCGAGGATGTCACTTCTGGTACGTCGTCTGAAGTCGCCTCGACGGCTGTGGATGGGGTCATGCTCGGTAGCACTTGTGTACTTTCCTCACTTATTGACGCCGCGGGGGTTACTGTTTTGGCCTTCTTTCCGCGCATAGTCACCTTCTCTGGCACCTTGGGTGGCACTACGGCTGCAGTGGCCTCCACATCCATTGAAGAGCCATTCTTTGGTGGCACCGTCTCAGCCCTCCCTTCTACTGGTTCTGGCGGGGTTTCTATTTTGAGCCTTTTCCCGCGTCTAGGCGCCTTTGTTTCTGCTACCTGCGACACAGTTTCTGGCACTATCCCTTCTGTGACGATTACAGATGGACTTGTGCTTGGAACCGGGTCGACATTCTTCTTCCCCCGTCGGACAGCTGAAGCAGGCCTCTTTTTCGGTTCCGGTATTGGTTCTGGCAGGTCAGCTTTGCTATCGATTTCCATGTCTGTGGTCCCTTGATCGTCCCCGAAGGCACCGGGCTTGTCTTTCGTGCTTTCCGCACGAGAAGACCTGCTCGACGAAACCTTGACCTTCTCTTCTGCCGCACTCTGCTTCTCAGAGGCACTGCTTATTGCGTTCAGACCAACAACTGGTGCAATGCTGTTTCTTTCTTCGAAGAGCCCCGCCTGGGAATCCATAGGGAGCGATTGTGGCTTCACCTCTGCAGCAGCAGGCAGACTTTTTGTAGAGGCCACACGTTCCGATTCCGTATCTTCTTCGTCAGCTATCCGGTTTCTCCGCCGTCGGACAGGGTATTTGGAGACTGGTACAACGCTCAAATCTTCGGTGTCCGTCGGTTGTAGGGACGGAGGCAGCGGCACAGGTACAGCGGTCTGTATGGGATCGACATGGTCGATTTCCATCGGCACCACATCCAATTGAGAGGGTTTTATGCTCTTTGCGGCGGCGGGTGTCCTTATCCCAGCAATCGTTTCTAAGCGCGGTTTCTTCACCGGCGATGCCTCGACTATCGAGTCGTCAGCATCGAACAACCGCTTTCTGTTGTCGTCCTCTTCCGCAACCATCGACTTTGCAACCATGTTGGTGGCATCTTTATCGGCATGACCGTCGCCCTGGGTAGTCTCTGCAAACGTAACGTTGTTTCGTTCCGCAAATCCGTTTTTCGCTTCCTCAGGGCTTCGTACGCTCCTCAAGGAAATGTTGGGTATAGAGGGTGCGGCATCATCTTCGATTTCCGTTTCGTCTCCGCTATCATCCGCATTCGTAGGATCGGTAGCCTCAAGCAAAAGCTGTGGGCTTGCATCTAGTTGTTCAGAATCTGTGTAGTCTCCCGCCTCATTCCCAGCGGACGTCTCGCCGCCTTGTCCCCCGGGCAAATCGCGATTGCCATCCTATGGTAGCAGAATCAGTTTCCTTGATGAAAGCAATGCAAACCGAAAGAGGTGATTTACCTTATCGTCCTCGTCATTATCCAGATCAGCAACATTGAAAGGGATTTCGAAGGTTTCCGCTATCTCCATCCCGATGGGTTGTGTGTGGGGAACCGTCAATGACATGACTTGTGTTGCTTGAGCGGCAGAACCCGGGGCAGAAGCCTGAACGGATGGAGTGCCGGAATGACGGGAACCCGAAGATGTTACATGCGCGGTAGAACGCTGCGGAGTCTCATTTGGCTCTGAGATGAATAATTGCATCGGATTTCTCCGCGGAGCTTCTGATGCGAGGGTGGCAGGACCGATGGGTGCAACCGGTACTTCATTGACACCGGCTGAGACCGGTGCATCATCAGGGTTAGATGCGGTGAGAATATCATCGTCGTCACCGGCGTTCGGTGCAAGCGGTACATCTTCAGGTTTAACCGCGATCGATACATCACCGGCCTCGAGTTCCACCCGTACATCTTCGGCTTTCGCTGCCAGCGGGACATCATCGGCGTCGGACGCAGCTGGGACAACATCGTACAACTCTCCAGCTTTTTGGGCTTTGATCATCTCATAGCGACATTTGACCATGGCGAAGGAGATGATTTGATTATGCACAATCTGGTAGAGCCGAAATGGGCATAGTCTGTACTTGTGTTCGCCGAATGCCGTCCCATTGGTCGAGTTCAGATCTTCGACGAAGTGTTCCACAGCATCTTCAGACACATCTACCAGGAAGCGAGACTGAATAAAGGTCTGGTCCACATTGCGAACAACCGGCGGGGCATACCGCAAATCGGCACTCACCAATAAAGGCGTGGGTGCCACTTACGCCTGGAACATTGATGCAGATGTCAGAGTCCTCCGAGAATCCTACTACGTTGAGTCCTGTCGTGACTTCGTATCGGTCTTGTTGAGAGCTCGGCCTCCCGTTCGGCGTTAGTACACGTAAATGTCCAATCTATACCATATATAACATCAAAATCAAGCGCATCTAACATCCTACAAACGGCACACAGTGGGCCACATCTCTTACCACTTGCTTCTTCTCCAAGTCCGACTCATACCGAAGCTGCATATACTGATCTTTCCGCGCAAAAGCTTCTCGTTCTCGTCTCGTCATTCGCGGGTGTTCATAGTCAGCTTCCGTCGCCTCTTCGACGTCCTCCTCTCCGTCGGCTTCATCTTCTGTCTCGTCGCTGTCCGGGTTCTCCCCATTCCCGGTGAAGCGTTGAGTTGTCGGGATAGTAGCTGTAGCGCCTATGCGTGGGGGAGGCGGGGGACTCCCAGGAGCTGATTCCACGTCCGAACTTGTCGCGTCGACGATTCTGCGCGTCGAGCCCATTACGCTCTCCGTTTCGAAGTGCGCCGTTAGCAGAGTCTCAAAATCAGCGTACAGATGTATAGGCAGGACGGCCACCGTCGCGGGAGGTATACCGAGTGGTGCCCAGTTAGCGGTGACGGTCGACAAGCTCCAGACCTCCGGAAAACGTAAAGTGGGAAAGTCGAGTCTCGCAATGTTCAAATTCAGCGACTGGAAGTCCAGTCCAGTCTCTCCGCAAGCAACATGGAAAAGTACCATGATCAATTAATGCGAATTAAACCGTGTTTCGCGAGCACGTGTCCTCGCGGAATCGCCCTCGCAGAAATCCACCCCATGTGGGAACTTCTCGGCAATGAACCCACAGGGACAACCCGATCCCGCAACAAACCACTCAACGGAGAGGAAGCTCATACAATGGCAGCACCAGCAACCAACGTATCGTCACTCTTACGGCGGTGTTTTTCAACCACAGTCAGGACATGTCACTCTTCTGCAGCTGCGAGCTCTCGACCAGCTCTTTCGACGCGGACAGGCGCTGCGATTCACAGGCCCTCGCTAGCACACGGACTAGCACCGCAGCGAGGGCTCCAAGACTTTTTTGATAACGAGAAAGGATGGACATGGAACGAGAAGGACTACCCGACAGGTGCGCCGACTAGCTGAGAGAAATATGCTTCCGTGCGAGCTATTGGACGTGGGTGGTTGCTGACTTTGGCAATGAACTTGCTTATTCAGGACGAGCGTGGAAAGCAGCTGATCTACGGATAAAGAGTTTCGAAGACCTCCACAAGCTGTGGTGGGTGTGCATCAAGGAGCAAAACAAACTGTACTCACAGCAAGTAGAGGCCAGGCGTTTTGACCTGATGTTCCCGTACTCTGACCGCTTCAAGCAGGTATGAGCTGGATCCGTTCGAGCTTTGTCTCAGGCTTATTTGATGTCCGAGGGGGGCTACCAGAATGATGAAGGAGGCAAAAGGAAAAAAGGAACCCAAAACTGTACCTGTAATTCACCAACACCCATTTTGTCCTTGAAGGTGAAGAGCACAATGAAAGCGATCAAGGTGGTCCTGTGGGAACGACGCATCGCATGGATGCAAGCACAATATATAACAGCACGCAGCGCAAAGCTCGCATTCCTTCGCAACCTAAAGACCTACACGGAGGAGGAAATTCAGGAACAGCTTGAGGCGGAGTTCCCTGCATCTCCTGAACAAATCGGGCGTAAGCGTGGGAAGATCCTGGATGAGGAGAGGAAACAAAGGAGTGGCGGGACGACGAAGGGAAGAGTGAAGGGGAAGAAGAGGATGTCATCGTGGACGATTGTATGAGAAGAAGCGTCACTTCGACGCATCGACGGAAACCTACGAGTGGCTGCCGACATGGAAAAACACATAGATTTAGCAATATAGGGGGACCTGTACGGCGCTACAAGCAGCGATCCTCACATTTGATAGTAGACCTCACTAAGCATAACAACGGGCTCAGGAAAGATGCGGAGTCAGCAGCTGTGTTTATGTCCTGTTTATGTTCTGGTGAATGTCCATATTTCGAGGAGGCGCGCGCAATGTTGCTCGCACCAGTGAACCAATCTGAAAGCCAAACTCTCCAAAGGTTGAACTGCTGTGCACATCGTCCCCCATCCACCAGAAAGGAAGACTATCAAAAAAAGGCACTATTCACTTCGGACGCTAAGCGCTTTGAGCCCACATAAACACCTCAACAGTAGCAAAATGCCTTTCGGCTATTCACGTAAGTCCTCAACTTTGACATATATGCCACATGTGTCAAATCTCATGAGTAGTGCTCTCGGCGACAGCGAGCGAATTCCTCAACACCGTGGGTGCCTTCTCCGGCTTCACGGGCGTAGCCCTTGGAGCATTCGGCGCTCATGGCCTCCAACGCAAACTCTCCGTCGTCCCCGTGGTCGACGCCGCTCAACGCATGGCAAATTGGAGGACGGCAGCCACCTATCATCTCGTGCATACCTTGGCTATGCTGTACGTCTCCCAACGCGTGTTAACTCGAAACGGTGGCGCCAACGTCCCTCCGAACGCTCTCAGCAGCAGGACATCGTCGCCGGTTGCCGGATACTTGTTTGGAGTCGGAAACCTGCTCTTTAGTGGGTCTATATATCTGCTCGTGTTGGATACGCAGAGGAAGTATTCACGATTGCTGGGCCCGGTCACTCCGTTAGGCGGGCTGTTCTACCTAGCCGGGTGGGTGGCTATGCTCTGGTGTTGAGCTGAGATGACTTGGACGTGGCAGCAGCGAAGTTGGACGAGGAGGAGGCGTACAGCAGTTGATCGCGAGCCAGGGGGGTTCAGATGGGTATCATTGAGGCGACATAGCTATCACCGACCGTTTGCAGAACCATCAGCAAACAAACGCTGACGAAATGAGAAATATACCGAAGAGAGGCCGAAGACCGAAAAACGCCCTTTGCTCGCACATATTCACGCCTCCGCGTCAGCTTCCGGCCAATTGAAAGTGACAGCACGCGTACGCAACCACTCGCTCAGTTCATCCGCACTGTTCAGATGCTCTGTATGCGAAGTGATGCCCAGAGCCTGGCGGATCATGTCACGGGTAGCTATCGATGGATCCTCCCTATAAAGATTGGTGTCAGGATATACACAATGTTGGATGTACCTTACGCGTTGGTGGGTCGGGCCCACGTTGTACTGTACCTCAAGAGTAAAATCGAAAACGTGGCAGCTGCTGTTGGCCCCTGGCGTTCTTTGACTTGTCGGACGAGCCCACTGAAGTATTGTTGTGAATTGTTAATAAGGTTTGTTGGACCGCCGTTCATCAGACCCTGAGGTGGTATATTTTGAAGCGGATTGCCGAGAGTGACTTGAAGCAGGCGCACAGCCGGGTAGAATTGACCCAGTGTCAGGAGGCAATCAACTATCTGAGGAGGGAGTATCATATTCTCGTCATTATCGATGGGGCTGTGCGCAAGGGTGGAAAGCACCCACCTTATCGAGCACGTTCGCTCGACTGTAGATGGACAGCGCAAACGAGACGCTGTGGGATCGAAATCGATCACCTAACTCCTCAGTGCATTCGAACTTGAAGGAGTGTACATCCCACAGTGAGCGTTGCATTCAACCAGACCGCATCAGACGCGGACGTTCATCCTGATAGATTCAGCACGTACCCGCTCGTCAACAAGACACTGCCAAAATCCATCAAAACTCTCATCCTCAATAGCTACATCAGCTGCATGTAAAAAAATGCGAGTCAGCGCTAACTTCTATTCTTTCGCAATGTTCCGAACGTGCGAGCCAGGCCAATGCTACATACCTAGTCTCAAAGCCTCATACGCCGTCATCTCCCCATCGCCCAAAATCACCGTCTCCAGGTAATGCCTCACAGGTACCAGCGCCAGACTCTCCCCTTCATCCAGGACCTCGAACCGCTCATCAGGTAATCCGCAAACATCCGCAAACATCCGTCGCAGGAATGACGCCGGGACACCGTGAATCGTCTCATTCATCGAATGTGGCCATGCCCGCCACCTACTGGGGTGTCCCACCTGTCCCGGTCGCCCGTGCGGCCGTCGCGGAACAATCGCCTGTCGGTCCGCAGCCGCTCCAACATTCCATTCCTCTCCGCTTGTCGAATCCTCCTCCTGTGGTCGCTTCCCCTTCTCCCTACTCTTCATCTCCCTCCCCACACATATTGCCGCACACCGAAAAAACCACGTCATAAACCTCTCACTCCTCACCGGGTGCGCCGCGTCCTCCTTCGCAATCACGTCAGCGGCCTCGCGCCAACATCCTCGTGAAAGCAGCGCGCGGACGGTGCGGAAGGTGAGCGAGTGCGAGGCCCGTTCGGATAAAGTGTCGTGTAAATGAACGTGTAGCGCGTGCAGCAGAGTGGTGTCGCTCTCCGAGGGCGAATCCATGTCCCAGTTGGCTGTCCAGGCGAGATCGCGGTGCTTGGGGTAGCTGCTCTTCAAAGTGTCACTGAGGTGAAGGAGGGGGATGCTGAGGTCTGGTTGGTCGGCGATGAGACCTGTTTGCGGGTGGAGTGGACAGGGATGCGACTTTTTGGCTTCCTAGTTCGAAGATGCAGATGGGAAACAAACGTACCTATGGGTAATCCTAGACAGTTGACGCTCTGTAACACGGTGTAGTAGAGGTTGTCGCCAGGCTGCTTCTGCACTCTGCCATGCAGTCGTATGTGTAGGTAGCATCCGGCGACAAGCTGCGGAGCTATCTCGAATGTCTGCGGGACTAAGGTCGTGGCGTTAGAATTGAATACATATCAGAGCAAATATTTGAGCTTACCCATCCGGGGTCTTACCATTTTCATTCTGCATTGCGAACATATCCGAGCTGTAGTGCATCTTCTCCGGTTCAGGGTGAAATCCGACATGGAAGCTGATGGACCGGGGTGCGTACACCGGCATCCTGCAAACCCCGATGATGAGGATACAGACGCTGAAACTCAACGACATCGGTCCAACTCACCCCCTTTGATACCTCGCCTTATATGGCGTAACAACCACCTTCGTCACAACACAAACCATCTGCCGCATCCTATACGTCAACCACTCGCCCGCCTCCGCATCTGCTGTCCCCTTCGACGACCAAAAGGACCGCGCGGACTCCTCGAGCGTCTGGTCGATCGACTGCCGGTCGTCGTCCTCCGATGAAGCCGCGATGCCGGCCGCAAGCAGCGACATGGGGTTGCTGTGCGCGCGGCGGGTCGCGTGGCCGAGAGCGATGAAGAAGGGCTTCGGGTGTGGGATCAGAGAGGTGAAGTGGATGGAATGCGGGCGGGTGACTGTTGATCTTATAGTGCTTAGGTCTTCGGGCCACCGCTGCTTGGTGTCCCGTGTGGGAGATGTGGGCGATGGGTAGGGATTGGCAAGACCGCGCTCGTCGCTCGGCGGTGTCGAGGCCCTCATAACCTGTGCTAAACTACTCTCCATCCCAATCCCTGGATATACGATAGCGTGCGGCCTCAATCTTTCATACACCGTTTTCTCCTCCCCGCCCAATGATGGGTGCAAGCTATCATCTTCATCGAACGAGGTTCCGGCAGACAGCAGCTCGTGCAACGAATCAATCACGTCGGGAGAGTCCTGCGCTCCATCGTCGTCCTCGATGAAGATCCCTTTTCCGTTAATGAACGTGGGCTCCAAAATGCGTTGCCGCCAGATGATATCTGCCTCTGAACTAGTGTAGAGTGTACAGAGCACCATAAGCACTCTCGGTTTGCGGTTGCGGACACCATAATCAGTTCGTAGGGACTTACAGTTCATGCCATTTACGACACACACGGGTCGTTTGACATAGTGAGACTACGTCAACGAATGAAAGGACTCTGAGAGCCAGCTCCACTGGCAAATATAGGAATGGATTCATTGCCGTGGAGTTTCTGCTGGGTGTGCGGATGTTGTTAAGAGTCTGCGTCAAGGCACAAAGCCTTCAAAAAAACACGAATCACGATGAGGGGCAGATAATCGTTCTCATCGGACTTTCCCCCCGTCAATATGGTCGGCCTTTAGTATAGACTTTTGAACTTTTGTCCGACAAGTAAAGTAAGTCCGCTTCATGAACACTCAATGTGGAAAACAAGCTCAAACCGAACATTCGACGCACATGGTGAAGCACGCAACTCCACACGACCATGCTATGGCGTGGGCGACTCTTTATCGGAAACAGAAGGAGATTCCTGTCCGGCGGTGTGAAATCTGTGAGTCAACCAACACCTTGTCTCCTGTCGTTGTTTTCGTCATTACGTCGTCAAAGCCACAGGAAAACGACAGCGCGTCCTAATCCAGGGACCAGAACACCCGCCAGAATGTCAGGCTCGCATGCACGCGGGAAATATTTGAGGATGATCGAAATTCTGTTCATTCATTATTCATTGCTATTTACAATGGCCGCCAGCAACCAAAATCGGAGGGGAAAGGAATGCACCCCGTCAGGAGTCCAAAATGTAGATGTGTATAACGCCTATGACTCTCATGCGAATGCCGGAAAGTGATCATGAATGCCGGAAAAGTGATCAAAAGCTCGGGTATCCAGAGAGCCTGAGTATCTGGAGATACCAAAGTTCTCAATGTATGTGTCGATCGTCCAGGATGAGTGAGTGGTGTGATAATCGGTATCGAATGCCATTGTCAAAAGTCCCGATCGTCATGTCAACTCTACCGGCTTCATTGGAAGCGGGTATAAGCTTTAGCGAGGTCATAGAGAAGCTGTGCTTGGTGAGTATTTCGGTTAACATACTCGAATGCGACCGTCCTGTGTACAAAGGTCAAAAGGAGGTATCAGGAAGGGACAGCTTCGTCAAGATATTGAGTGCCTCAGACCAAGAAAGCCCAGCACTCAACGAGGCCCAAAGCTGACAATGTCGCAAATTGCACTGTCGCGAATCGTCCGGAAATCCACGCCGCTTACATGCGCCAAAGCCCGGCAGTCTTGGGATACATTGCAAGAAGCCTATAGAGAATTTGCAGGCAAGATGATAGTCGCGTGCCTTCCGGTAACACTTTCATTGCGGCTTTCGCGGTGCTGATAAAAGGGCGATGGTGCGGATGAGTTCAACGACTTCTCGGATGTCTAAAATGTTACGAAAGTACTCACAAAGGATGTAGACCCAAAGGCAATTGACCTCGCGCTACTTGATCCAGCACCTGTGTCTGTTTGGCCGTGGATAGGGAATCGAAATATATCCGGAATGAAGATTCCGCAATGGTCGGATCCTGAGACAGAAGGACGATCGTTATCAGCCAGCTCACATGTCCAGAAACGGTGGGAAGTGAAGCCTTGATCACACGTACTGTCAAAGGTACGGGCTTAACGTAGTCGACCATTTCCCCGCTCGCAATGCCGGGATGCGAAATCATGTTGATCCTCATATCCCGTAGAGCGCGGATGATGACAGCCATTGCCGCTTTGGCGGATTTATCTTCCTCCAAGGTTGTCTCGCTTTCCGGATGTAAAGGCTCTGAGGGGTCCTTTGCAAGGAAGTACCGCACATATCTGACAAGTAGCCCATCGTTAGCAACGCTAAGAACCGATGACATATCTCACCAAGAACATACTCAGTCCATAAAACCCTCCTTCCATCGGGATCCGAGACAGCCTCAAACGCATGTTCGAGGGTGTTGAGAATATCATTTGGCGCATCATCCTCGGCAATGCGAAAGCTCTGCAGCAACAAGTATTGCAGCCATAGATATGGATTGGACATCAGGTCGGTCCGGACTGACATATGTTTCAGTTCCGGGGTGCTTCGAAGCCCTGGAATGTTCAGCGCGAGGGCCTTTCGATATAGCAGCAAAGCTTCGTCGACGATTCGTCCAGTTTCTGTTGCTCCCATATCACCAACCTGCGGATCCTCCAGTGAGTCATGGCGGAAAGCTGAGTGTAGTACGAGCCGCAAACTTACGGGTTTCAAGCCGGTAAACATTGCGCGTATGCAGTTGACCAAGCTCTGTATCGCTCGTGTGGTGTCATTTGCTTGTAAAAGCACTTTGATATGTCTATTCCACACCGGAAGGCCCTCAGGTTTATCCTGCGAGAAAGTGACGCCCGGGAACGAGGACAACTCTCCGCTACCAGTCGTCTGATCATTCAATCGGTAAATGTAAGGCATGCGCCACGTTACAGTCGCAAATGATCATTCGCTTCCCATGTGCTGACAGCAGTCCTCAAATGATTCACGCAGTTATGACAACCTACCTCTAGAAGATGAACAACCTGATTTTGAAAATTATCCTGGTCACGGTGCTGCATGCGATGGAATTCAGAGATCCGGAGCCTTTCATCTCTCGATCTCTTTTCCACAATCCTCATGTAGTTGAAGTAGTTGCGCAGCAACGCGAAATATGATGTATCCTCCCTTCGCCACCAGGCGATGATCCTCTCGAACACTATGCGAAGTGTGTCCTGCAAGTTCTCACTCCCCCAAGTTGGGGTAACATGAGCCTCCCATTGGATTTCCCAGAAGTCACGCCGAGTAAGGTGGTTGTATGGGTAGGTGTGGAAAATTCCCTCCGGTAAGTGGTTGAAATGTTCGCAATGAATGTAGAATAACCACCCCAGGTGAAGGTCCATGGATTCGAGATGCTTGAAGGCGATGGTGTTCTTCAGTACTGGTATGTTGCTCCGTACCGGATGGCCAGAAGCCGCTGAATCTTGATTGGAAGCCTCAAACATTCCAGAGACGCTTTCCGCGGTCAGAAAGGCCCACATCCAGCGTTTTGCCGCATCAGGGTTTCCGTCCTCCATGTACAAATTTGAAAGCTGTACAAATGCGTCGAAAAGGGCGGCCTTGCTGACAGGTGACGACACCCTTCCATCCGCCAAGAAAGTCGTAATCATCCGTTTCAAGACAGATTCTTTTTCGATGATGTCCGTCTCCCAGAGAAACCACATCCACCACAATGTAACAGCATCCGGTAGAAATTCTATGGCTTGCGCGAAGCTTTCCCGAACGTCTTTCCCTTCGCCTCTCCTAGTGAACAATTCCATGTAAAATGTCCAAAGCCCTTCAGACGTCCGATTGGCTTGCAACCCACGGGAGAGGACATGCATTGCTTTATTGAAGTTTGAAGATGGAGTTTCCAGCTTTTCTAGGTTCATCTTCGTCGGAATCATTCCCGCAGCATATTTGATCCAATTCTCGACATTTGTGGGGTCACTGGAAACCAATGATTCGAATTCGTCTTCCGTGAGGGGTGCATCGAAGTATCGCCCGTGTTTCACCTGTTCGCCATCCATTGCTTTCTGCAAGCCATTTATGAGTATTGGCACTTTGGGTGGCAAACGGGGTTTTCCGTCAGTCTTCGGTGCAGCTGAAGACAAATGATCCTTTCGTCCTGGCGATGCATCGGGAATGGAGTCGTTCGGGGACTTTTCGGTTTCCGCGGAAGTTCCGTCATTCAGCATCTGCTTCAAATCGCGTTTCCTTCCAATCGACATGGATACAATGTCGTTGTCCCGCTTTTGCTGCTGTTGCTGTATGATCGTTTTAGCCAACTTGTCCAGAGCTCGGCCCTTGGATGCGAATGCATGCACGCGGTCCTTAAGTTCCCGAATCGTTTCTTGTGGTAGATCAGAGGCATTGTACGATAACAAATCCAGCATGACCTCATCCTCTGAGAATTTTATGCATTGATATGTGTCGAGCGACAATCTGAACCCCGGCACCATTGGCCTAGCAACGTAAACAGGATTCCCGGCTTTCTCACTACTCACCACTCATTTTGATATCGCGAAAGTGCTGACCCTGGCATTTCTTATCGTGACACACGCCGCCCTCAGATTCGAACTGACAAATATTCCGAAGAGGGTCGACTTTGTTGCTCCAAGTTAGGGATTTTATATCCTTGTCGTACTCCTTCGCAAAGCGGAATGATCTGAATTGCGACATTGTGCTGCTGTATGGCGCAAGACGCTTCTTGCCTTGCGCGGGCGGATGCGCCTTTCATCGACATGAGTCATAAATGTCAGTCCAGGTCGATTTTGCTGTGAGCCCTCGCAAAATTGCACTCACGTCGTCATTCTGAGACTCTTCCGCGGAGGGTGCGTTCCAACGGCCATTAACAGGAACCCCGGCAGTATACGCGTCGGACATCAGGGCGACTTCATCTTCCCTACGGAGATGCCCGTTCAGATTCATCATACGGCGTACCGTCGGCTTTCTTTCCCCTAGGAGATCCTGGCAAAGTCTGTCCTTTCCACCTTTGATGTTCTCCAAGGTGGCTTCACCGTTAAGTACGGATTTTCCTTCAGAGGACACATTAATTTGTGGGATGACCGATCGCAAGAATGCGCGGAACTCCGGCTTGAACTGCGGGTGGAACGCAGGGTCCTTGAACTGCTTTAACGAGTTGTCCGATTTGATTGACCCGCTGTCTGAGTTAGGCTCTTCCATGACGCCCGCCTGTGTGGGCGCAGGAGATACAAGCTTTCCAGCAGGTTGAGGATTCATGATCCTCGTCAGGGTGCTTTTTTGAGCAAAAAGAGCTGGCTGCCCGTCAGATATCTGTTTTCCCTTGGACTCTATGTCACGCTTCAGAGTCGAAATCTTCTCGGATAAGGCACGCTCGTTCTCCAGAGACAATGCAATCACTGCCTCGTCGCTTTTGATCTTTTTCATAATCTCGGCCATCTCCTTGCGACGATTCAAGATACCCCGTTCGAGATCTCCGCGTTGCTTTTGTTGTTCATATATGTCGGCCAAGTACTTCTTTATGTCATGCTCGGCGGCACTCATGTCTGCCCGTATCTTGGCGAACTCGGCTTCTTTAGTTGCGATGAGCTCTTCAAATTTCTTTGCCATTGCAAGTTTCCTTTCGTAAGCCTGCCTCGCTTGAGCAACCACTTCGGCCGCCCTCTCCGTTTCTTGAGCCAATGCAGTTACAGCAGTATCATCCTTCGAGATCGGTAGCTGCTTTGTAGTACTACTGAGAAGCTTCCGAGGTTTGTCCAGTTCGTTGGGAGAGAGGGATTTGCCCCGCGAAGGCGGGGGTAATGTCGCCGTATGGTTAAGTGAGGTGTTTGTTGGTGGAGCCTGCGACATCGTCGGGAGAACTTCGGGCGTGCTGCTACCAGCTGCCTTCCCGGCGGCCGTTTTACGCCGCTTAGCTGCTAGTTGAACAATCTTCGCCTCCAGCTCTTTCCTCTGTATCGCTAATTCCAGCATCCGTCTCTTCACGCTTTCCGAAAGCTTAGTCCCGCTCCCAGTTGCCGCTGGTGCCAGCACTGGTGCAGACGTAGTGCCATTTGTCTTCGGCTTGGTGACGCTGTCGTCATCTTCTTCATCATCGCTTCCCGAGTCACTCAGCTCTATCACAAGATTGAGAGGTCGTTCCTTGATGAAAAACGGACGGCTGGATCCAGAGTATCCTGTGCCTATCAAGTCGGACGCCAGCGGCCGGCCACGTGAGCTTCCCGCTGCAACGGCAAAGGCGTGAGTCGTAATCGACAGCACCGATGAGGCAACATACGCACCTCGGAGTGTTTCCCAGGTACCGTCCACAATCTGAAAAACATTCTCCTCTTCATCAATAGACATGTCCATCTCTGAATTATGTGAGTCATCTTCCTTTGGCTCAGCAGTTCCACCGCGGGCAGGTTCCGGAAAACCGTGCGATTTGGCGGGTGAACTTGACATTGAAGGCTCTTCGAACCTTTCCAGCGTTTCAATCGAAGTGACATCCGCAAGCTCCATTTCCCCTTCCACCAGTTCCGACACGCCACTTAGTGGTAGCGGCGTTTCTGCTAGTGATCCGTCGTCACCGTTCTCGTCCTCAGTAATCGGTGACATAGACATCTCGCGAACGCCAGATGAAGGCGTCTCGGTAATATCCATGTCTACGACCATATTGCTGTCGTCAATATCCTCTATCTGTACACGTAACGTCGGTTTGCTCGAGACATTTAGTGAAGCACTCTCAATGCATGATTCCGCTTCTGGATGGTAGCCATTGAGTTGCAAGGCGGGGACCTCCTCCTTTGGAGTTATGAGTGATTCGTCGTGGGTGGGTGCGGCTCCCACGGCAAGTTCCGCTTCAACCTTGTCCGAATCGGAGACTGACGAAGCTTTTGGCGAGCTCAACCCATTGGCGTCAACGGAAGTAAAAGGTAATTTGACATCCAAGACGTCTCCAATAAATGTTAATATCACACTGAGCTCCAGTCCCAACATCTCCAACTGCTCCAATGACAATCCTCTGTTCAGCAGGAGTAGGAGCTCTTTTCGCAAATCGATCCATGTATCTTTATTGTTGGCTACGACTATTACAGTAAAATAGTCAGCAGATAGGCTTGCGTCTTGGAGAGGTGTTTTCGAGGCACACTTACAGTCGATCTGGTCTTTTGGCGGTACGTGAGCCACGACGCTCACTTGTGCCAAATCAGGCTGCTGCCGAAGCCATTCTAGAGCCGGGTTACCGGAATGGCGTGCGAAATCTTGCATCTTCGCGACGGTTAGCTGCTCGACGAAGCAGTCCCGCTTCCTGTGCAGATAAGCGAAGACCAGTGTCTCTGTACACAAATTTGAGGAATAGTAGTTATTCGGCTTGCTTCCGCCCCAACGAAGTCTGTATGTTCGTTATGTACAGCGTCCTAGAGGGTTGTGGGGGTTGCCAGTAGCTAGGGGTTGAACTCTGGGTTGAACTCGAAAGTTTGATGGCTTGAGCGTGCTGCAATCTCGTCCCTACAGTAGGCTGCCAGATATCAGGTTACGACGGGTTGTTGAGCCTCCCTGTGCAACCCCAGAAGTCACCGGCCAGCTGTCAGTCCTGCCCTGGGCTAGCGGACGTGCTGAAAGGATTTGCATGGGGGTCGGCAACTTGAGCCGGTGGCTATGCTCGGAATGATGTGTCCTTGGGGCGTCGTAACCTGATATCTGGCAGCCTACTGTAAGAGCCGTTTTTTTGGCGACGCAGCCTCTCTCAGAGCCTCTCTCGTCAACCGCTGAACATACGCTGACTTTCATTGGCTCCTACTCCAGACGTCTTTCGTCACCCCGCCACCACTTTCGACCCACTACGTTACACCGATCTCTCGCTCTCGAAAATGACTCTGTGGCGTTTCATTGCCCTTCTGGACTCTCTCCTGCCGCCCATTGTGACGAGCTGAAGAAATCTCGCCCATCTATTCGGATTCTATTGGAAACACTCGACCACTCCGGCTTTACAACACAGATTGACAAAGAGCTTCGGGATCTTGTGCAGAACGCCGGAATGGATGCATGTACTGTAAGTCTTGTAAGATTGACCTCTCCGTAGAGCGTCCGTTACTGCCCCACGCGAGGCACGCGAGGTCCAATCGTCCGTTGTGGACAAGCACCGTCTCAGCATCTCGAAGTTGCGGACACCGGGACACTGCAGAGGGCAAGCCTAGAAGACAGAGGCCAACCGCCCCTCTACTCCCGTCCCAGCGTCTGTGGTCCATCCTCGTTAGCCACTCATAGTGTCGTGTTCCAGTGCACCTGCCATGACCGTCTGCCCGAGCGCAACGGGCAGCCCTGCCGAGGAAGGCCCTCTCGGCAGCAACGGTGAGCTAGACATTCGTCGCATTACCATCATGGGCCCTTGTGGGTCCGGTAAGTCAACCCTAGCGGCAAGGCTAGCCTCGGCGCTGGAGGTGCCTGTCCTTCACCTCGACTCCGTGAACTTCAAGCCCTACTGGGTCCAGCGCACACCCGCCGAGTTTCAAGCCCGTCTCGCCAGCGTGCTTCCTTCCACCTCCTCCTCCTCCACCGGCTCCGGACCCCGCTGGGTGATTGATGGCAACTACACTAGCCAGCGCGCCGGATTCTGGCCGCAAACCACCCTCTTCATTTACGTCGATCTGCCGCTACCACTCGTCTCCTGGCGTCTGCTGAAGCGAACAGTATATCGTCTGTGGTCTGGGGAGGCAGCGTTCGGCGTAGAAGGCTGTGTTGAGTCGTTTGGGATGACATTTGCTAGCAAGGGCAGCATCTTGCTGTATTTCGTGCAGGCCTACTTACTAGGGGCAGGAAAACGCGAGAGGGATATGAAGATGGTGGCGGATGAGGTAGGGGCACGGAGGAGTCGAGGAGATGTTGATGTCAAGTCCAACACCCACTCTGCCACCACGAGGTTCCTGATGCTCAAGTCGACCGCGGACGTGGAAAACTGTTTCCAGGTCATCACCGAGGCGTCCAAGAAGCGCATTTGAGAGATGCAGAACAATGTACGCAGACGGACGTCGTGCTGTGAACGAAAGCAAACTGGGGACAGACAAATATCATTATGGAGGGGGCAATTCCCTTCATATTGTAGTTACACCCTTCTCTCTGTACCTACTTCGTTGATCTTTACATGAACAGACTTTCGGTCATATCAGAGAAACCGAAATCACGGAGAACCATTAGAAACGAGAAGGAGACACATGAGGTCTCAATATCAAGCTACGCAAACGCTGCTTTGTTTTCGTTGATGATTCCTTGTATCGCAACTTGAAACTCGGATGTGATGCCGCTCAACCTCAGGTCCAGCTGCGTCACATACTAAACGAAGATGGAAGAGTATTCAGCACGACCGAGCACAATGACCACATTCCCCATTTCCCCAACGTACCTTGTTCTGACTAACGGCATCAAACAACGCTCTCCCGGCCGCATCCTCAATCCCTCCATGCGTATCACCCATCGCTTTCGCATTTGGCTGCGCCTGCGCCTGCGTTTGCCTCGCCGGCTCCACCCCCACCAATCTAGTCCCATCCTTCGAATGGTCCGCATTCCCTAATCGATTACAGCTCAAATCCAGCGACACCAGCGACCGGATATTGTTCTTCAACGCCGTACACACGGGCCCGACGGTAGCAGGGCCCATTTGATTACAACTCAGATCGAGATGTTGCAGCGTCTTGTTGTCTTTCAGTGCGGTGAACAGCGCGGCACTTCCCTTGTCGCCGAAGAAATTCATGCGCAGGGCGAGGGATATTAGCGAGCTGTTCCGGGTTAGGGCGTTGGCGAGGTAGGCGCCGCCTTGGTTTTTGATGTGGTTGTTGCAGAGGCTGAGGCGGGTGAGACGGCATTTGGGTTTGACGAGGACGGTCGCGAGGGCTTGGGCGCCGGTGTCGCCGATGATGTTGTGAGATAGGTCTGTTTGCGATGAATGGAATTCGACGTGATCCTTTCTATAAATAATGCGATACTTGAGAACGTACCTAGAGATTGCAGCGTCTTGTTGTCCACCAGGGCCGCGGCTAAAACTTGGCATCGGTCGTTGTCTATGCCGCTTGCAGTGACTTTGAGATCTCGTAATAGCTTTGAGAGCTTCATCCCTTCTGTCAATGAGACGCAGTCGTTAAGCGTCATGCCAAAGTACTCCCACTCGAACTCTATTCCGCAATCCCGTACGCTACGAAGGTGAATACTGCGTCAGCCCTTCCAAGGCATCAAGCAAGAATGAGTGGTCCACCTACCTGAACGCCAACTCGATGTCCTCCAAATGTTTCAACTTGGCAAAGACAACAGCTAGGTTCATATGATCCTGTGGAACCGCGCTCGGATCCCTCACAGCCTTCTGCAAAGATCCCAGCCCTCCCTTCGTCGCGCCAACCGGCCCATCGCCCTTCTTCACCGGGTACGCAGTCGGACACAACTGCTTCAACTTGAGCTTATGCACATAAGCCGCCGCCAAGTCCAGCTGGGCAAGCACCTCCGCTTCCTTCTCGCTGCCGGGCTGGGGAATATACTCCTCGAGGAGTTTTTGGATGTGCGATTCGAAGAACAGCCGCCGCCAGGAGTTGCCGTGGTCGCGCAGGTTGCAAATCTTGAAGGCTGCGGTGGATTTGCGTTGCCAATAGGCTTCGTCGGGGACTAAGGGCGCTGTGATGCTGAGGGGAAGGTGCACGGAGATGCCAGAAATGACTCTGTCGCGGTACTTGCCGGGGATGCGGGAGAGTATGGGCTGCTCTGGAGGAGGGAGGTCGGAAGTGAGTGGGCCACCCCTTCATTTGTAGTGTAATGTGAGGTACACCTACCTTCGAATCTAGCAACCAATACATCGACGCATAGATCCCGCAGTTTCTTCACCGGGGACAGATTCCACTCCCTGTTCTCGGCTAGCACGCGCCTCTGCGCCTCTTTGCTCTCGGCCTTCTGCGTGTAGCTGGGCTTGGTTGGCTCATACGTCCCCGCTGGCGCGACACCCGTAGTTGTTGGATTGGTTGATGGTGCTTGACCGCCGCCATTGGCAGCTAGCACTGCGTCTGCACCTCCAGCATTAGGTGCTCCTGCAGGTTTCCCTCCAGCTTTAATGTCATCCACTCCAGCCGTGACTACGACGGCCGTCCCTGGTAGCAACGTCGCTGCTGTTGCTGGTGATTCAGCCATGAGGTGCAGCCGCGGGGATTGCCAAAGGTTGCAGCTCTGCTTTTGCCAAACGGAAGAAGTTAGATGGGCATGTTCGTCACTGTTTTGCTTGTTTTCTTAGTGTATGATGGTTCACCTGTGTCGTTTCACCACCCGGTTGATGGAACTCTCCGTCTCCATGGATGTGAAAGCAAGATGCAGAATGACAGGATCAGCGCAAGGGCGGAAAGGAGCGAAAACGCGCGGTCGATTTTTTCGCAGGAGTTCCTTCTGCTCCTTATGCCAATTCCCAACAGACGGTGGAAAAGATTGCGTCAACAGGTCTACTATCTTAATTTATAATACCTCAGCCAGAGTCTGAGTGCAACGACGCAAGGCTAGCAAATCATACTTCAAAGCGAAGTCAATTCAACGACGTCTCCGACATGAAGGGCAAGTCCGCCAAACATCGGCACCATGAGAGGGGCCACCGCAGTGGTGCAGGGAACCAAGACGACCTCGCCTTTGGCCGTCGAAGTGAAGGGTGAGGGGGGAACGCAGTTGGCTCAGAACTGCTTCGAATGCCAAACGAAAATTGATGGCTCCGCCATGTTGTTCACAGGGACGCCCCCACCGCGGACAGTGAAGACTCCACCGCCACCCCCCGCGTCCCCGTCCCCGTCGCAATGTGGGATTTCGACCACTGCGACCCCAAACGCTGCAGCGGACGCAAACTAGCCCGTCTGCAAATGATCAAAACGCTTCGCATCGGGCAAAAGTTCAAGGGAATCGTCATGTCACCCAAGGGCACGCAGTCGGTGTCACCGGCGGATCGGCATATTGTGGAACTGCACGGGGCGTGTGTGGTGGATTGCTCGTGGGCGAGGGTGGATGAGGTGCCGTTCGAGAAGATCAGGAGTCCGCATGAGCGGTTGCGTAAGTGGTTTGCCTTTTTGGAAGTGGTTTCAGGGTGGATTTGAGCACTCACATCTTACGCTTGGGATGCAGTACCGTATCTCATTGCAGCGAATCCCGTGAATTACGGCAAACCCTTCAAGCTGAACTGTGTCGAGGCACTGGCTGCATGCTTCTACATCGTCGGGCTAGAAGAATACGGCCACATCCTCCTCTCAAAGTTCAAATGGGGCAGCGCTTTCTGGAATCTCAACGAGTAAACTCAACTGTGACATCCCACATGCATCACCGAAGAACTCTCACACACTTTACTTTCAAATAAAACAGAGCTCTTTTCAAGAAATACCAACAATGCACAACGTCCACCGATGTCGTCGACTGCCAAAACGCATACATCGCCGAGATCGATAAGGAGTACCGTGACCGCCGCGGGATCAAATCGCACGTTCGGCATGTCGGCGATGACCAGAATGACGAGGAGGAGGAGGAGGAAGATGAAGAGGCTGACAGTGATGATTTGTTGGAAGAGAACCCGAATCATGCTGGGTGGGGACAGGGGCAGAATGATGATGAGGAGGATGAGAGTGAGGAGGATGGTGAGGAGGAGGGTGGCGCTGAAGAGGAAGAAGACGAAAACGATGAAGAGGACGAGGAGGATGAAGAACCTATTTTCGATAAATTGGGGAACACAATCCCACGAAAGGCTGGCAGAACGCAGGCGTTTCCAGTGAGCGATATAGATGATGACGAGGATAGTGAGCCGGAGTTAGTTGATAAGTTTGGAAATTCGATCCCTCGGACGGCTAGGAAGAAGGAGGGTTTGGCGGATGGTGTTTCGAAGTTGAGCATATAGATGCGTGCCGTACGCAGATTTTGTTTTATAGTTTAGGGAGAAGTGTGATATAGTTCTGATGCACGTAGGTTAAAGTGTTCCGTCCGGAAACGAGGTTGTGATAGGAGAATGCAAGGGATTGCAAGAAGCGGTCTATGTACAATAAGTTAAAAAGGGGCATGAGAGGTGATTCAAAAACGAAGCCGAAATCCCTACGCCCGCAAACGTCTATGGTCTACTACAGAGATGAACTCTAGACAACGGAACTTCACGGACATCTACTTCTTGTTCTTCTTCTTCTGCTTTGCTACTTGCTCCCCACCACTCGCGTCAACCACCTCGGCTTCCGCTTTCCGCTTCTTCGTCTTCTGTTTCGGTGCTGGTTCCGCCGTTGATTCTGTTGTCGTTGAGGGGTCGGTGGAGCAGGATGATTTCTTCTTTTCCTTCTTGTCCTTTTTCGACTTCTTTGCTGGTGCATGTATTGCGACCTCAACCTCGCCCTCAACCGAGGCTTCCACCCTCTTCTCCTTTCTCTCCTTCTTCTCCTTCTTCTCCCGCTTCTTCTTGTCCTTTTTCGACTCGGATACTACGCTGGAAGTGTCTGCTAAGGATGGTGATGGTGATGCGCGTTCCTCCTCCGTAGTCGCGGAGGACTTTTTGCCAGACTTGTCCTTCTTTTGCTTATTCGCCTTTTTCTTCCTTGGTGATGGTTCAGCCTCCTCCACCTCAGGAGAGGAAGTTTCGTCTCTGTCTTTCCGCTTCTTCTCTTTCCTTTCCTTCTTCGCCTTTTTCTCGGCCCTCTTTTCGCTTTCCCCTCCCTCTGTACTACTCTTTAGCAGCGTTTCGGTGAAACTCACATCCACTTTCTTCACAAAGGCACTGAGCCCCTGCGACGACGTCAACAATGTAGTGGTAGTCATTGTGGTGTTTTCGGATGCGCCAAGCCCCAACCCTCCCAAAACCGGTGGAGCGTCATAATCGTCCAGATCTTCCTCCACCCTGCTAACCGGTTGTGCAGCAGTGCCTGCTGTAAGATTTGACAGGCCCATCGCAGCCATCTTCTGCGCAAAGTAGTCGTGGACGGTTTTACCGGCAACGGAGAGTAATGGGTCCGCCTGAAGTGGGGTGTTGTAACCCGAGTTTGCGGCGGTGACAGAAGTGGTGGTTGTCTCGCTGACGGCGGTGGATGGAGACGCGGTTTCGGTGGGTTTGACGCCGAGAATCATGCTGAGATCTTTTGCGTCGTAGTTGCTGACGAGTTTATTGCGGAGGAACTTCTTGCGGTGATAGAGCCGTCCGTGGGCCACCGTCGTCCTGGGTTGTTCCTCCACTTCCGTCTCCTCCACCTTCCTCACTTCTGCAACCTCGGTTGTTTCCTCAGCACCGTCGTTTAGCCCTTTGAGCAGAGCGTCGAAAGCACTGTTATTGTCAAGCCAATTGTCCACTGTCCGTCTGTCGGCGCCGATACCGAGGTTGTTTTCCTTCAAACGCACTTTGACGTGGTCGGTATGACCGTCTTCGTTGGCACCGAGACCTTTGCCTTCCGTCCACCCCATCTTCTCCATCATTTTGTGACCGAATTTGTTTTTGTCTAGGAGTAGGATTGCGAGTTAGCTTTTGACGAAACACATTTTGCTTTCCACATGGTGCGAAAAGCGAAGTACTTCTGCCGGGTAGCATACCATCTTTCCAGCCCTTGTTCTGCGGGTCCAGCCCGATACGTTGCTTATTCCTGGGGCCTGCGAGACCCATTATCGCTCTATTACTCAGTGGTGCTGGTACCGCAAGTTTTTGGGTTGAGGCGAAGGAGCACAGAAGAGGAGTATTGAGGATCGAGGGGAAGGAAGCGGAGAAGCGAGCCTGCGCCACACGCCGCACTCGCGAAGAAGTCTGTGCTGGGCGTGTTCTGCAGTTCCTTTCCCGTGACATAACCAGCCGGCCGATCACGAAGGCTGATCCCGCAGCTGCGTTCCCTCTGCGCATTGCGCCCGTTTCAGTCCTTCTTGCTGCGACATTCAGCTCTAACAACGCAGTCTCGCTTCTCACTGCACAACGTTTTGTTCCCTATCATAAGGTATGTCCTCGCTGTATGTGTACTTGGGGCCGGCCTTGGAAGATTACCGCCGAAGGCAGGCAGGCCCCCAGAGGCCCCCAAGTCTTTTTGGACAGCGCGCTTGCCCCAAAAGGAATGGCTCTATGGTCCCTCTGGCTTCAACGCCTTCCTTTCTCACTGTTTCCTGGCTCGTCCTTATCACTCAGTTCCAGTGTTCCTGGTGTAGTAACCAAAGCGCTCTCCCAGGACTAGTCTTGTTTACCTGCCCAATATTCAGTTGCGACCGGTCCTCGCGTCTCGTGCGCACGTTGTTTGGAGAGTTTGCCTCGGCCTTGTTGCGCGTTGAACCCCACCCGCACAAGCCGCAATTCTTATCCGTTCCGCAGAATACCCTGCACCTCCACCAATCTTGACAGTTGCAGAGTCTGTTATCCCCACCACCAGACCCCTTTCCCTTTGGCCATCCCGCAACGGGAAAGGACAGAACGAACCCCGGACTTCAACACGACAGCACGCCCGTAATTTTCGCGTCTCGGAAAGCCTATAAGAACGACCATATACCCACACTCGCGGAACACCTAGCGCCGTCTCCCTCACAATGGAGCCCATGGACCTCACCCTCCCCTTCGGCCCTGAGAATGAGCGTTCCCGTACCTGGAAGCTAGACGAAAACAAACGCGAACAAGCCCGCTCGCTCGCCAGCCGTCTCGGCATCAGCTACGGCCCCGGCGGCTTGGTCTCCTCTCCCGCCAGGAACCGCCCCAATCACACCACCCACCCTGAAGAATACCGCATGGCCGTCGAAGCGCTCCGCAACGCCGGTGGCCGTGACGCTGTCAACCCGGACGACATCACCGCGCGCAAAATGGCCTGCACCCAAGGCAGCCCAGAAAGCACGTTCCTCAACATCCTCGCCGAGCTCGCCGGGTTCTTGATATTCGACCTGCCTGACGGTCAGGGCGGGTTCGTGATTATCGACCCGAAGCATGAACGGACGACCGCGTGGCATCCGCAGAGGAGTACGAGGGAAGCGGCTTGCGTGTGCGGGAGCCTGGTACTACGAGAGTCGAAAAGGAAGGGGTTGAAGGATGTCGATGGTCTGGCGGACGCGTTGAACTCCATGGCGATCGATCAGGAGACCGGCCTGATGAAGAATTTGGAGGCCGCTTTTGGACATATCGATCTTGGTGTAAATGACAAGGTTCGTTTGTCAGATGCGTTAATTGCTTGTTGTATTCGCAGCCTCGTTCTGACTCTCTTATCCTCCTCCTTCCACCTCCAGCCACCACAACCCGACGAAGTAGAAGTAATAAACCTCACCCAAGTCGACCTCCCCTCCCTCTCGTCCACCCCACAGTGGCTCTCCTTCCCCCACATCGCCGGCGCCGCCGATTCCGCGGAACCCGAATCGGAATCTTGGAACCTCCATCCTCACCACAATCTCCGCCAACAGCAGCAGCAGCAGCGCGGCAGGGGAGATATGGATGATGATGACATGGACGATTATGAGGACTCTTTGTAAATGCGTATTGCATGGGGATACGGGGAGCTGGGGAGAGAATATTGCGATTGGGGAAGTTCCTGTCTTGTGGCGGCGGATATGAGTCGGGGGGCGCAAAAACAGAATCGGGAAAAGGTGTTAGGGAGTCATTATGCCAGCGCACATCGTATGTGTCTTTTCTTTTTGCCGTCGTCTTAGCATGCGTTGGGGGCTGCAAAACAAATCAGAGTTTTGCGTCCTACCCCGACAGCTTGATATTTTGGATATAACAAAATGAGAAAAAGTTCAGGTTTGCGAGGACCAAATTCTGCAGTGTGACTGTCCATCCAAGGCCTCTGTAAGGTTCACTAGCCAGCCGTTCATTCCAGAGAAAATTTCATCTAATGTACATGATAATGAATATTGAACACGAGTGCAAGAAAATACAAATAAAAAAGAGGCCCACCGGAGTGGGGGAGAGGTTGTTGCTACCCTACTAGGCTAGAATACATCTATGTGGCAGTTTGATGGAAGGTACGGGAGGGAGCTGTCCGACCAATGACAGCCTTAATTGAGGGCGGTAGCGGTGTAGGGATGTGCGAAGGCTGGAATTGATGAGGATTCTCCCGCCTGGCTGTGGGTTGCAGTGCAGAGCGGTCATCCAGCAGTGGTTACGATTACTGGCCATGATCCCCAGCGCTCGGTACTCAACAAGGAAAGCGGTCCGCACGAAGAGCAAGATTGTCCGTCTACTCCTTCAAGAACTTGGACACATTCTCCAACCAAGCCTGGTACTCCCGCTGCTCCTTGTACTGCACATACTCCGGAATGAACGTGGCCAGCTGGTCCTTGATCCCACGCTCCTCGAGGTACGCGTGGAACTGGTCCTGCACGCCTTCGTCGAGATCGCCAAAGATGGGGCCGGCGTAGTTGCTGCGACGGAGCCAGTCGCCTTGTGCGGTCTCGTCGTGGGCGAGCTGGGTGGAGGGGAGGAAGGAGGCTTCTTCGATGAAGAAGGCGCCGTCGGTGATGGAGGCGGTAATATCGAGGGCGCCGGCGGAGGGGTTGGAGGGCTAGTGGGGTTGATATAGGTAGGTTAGGTTGTGTTTGACAGAGGTAGGAGGTTGGAGATGCTGACTGAGAGTTTGATTTACCTTCTCGATGATGATAGAGACAGTGACGGGCAGACTGCGGTCCGCGTCCTCTTCTGCTCCTTCTTCGGGTAGGTCCAGCTCGTCAGCCTCTACGAGCGCATCTGTGTTGAAAAGAATTGTGATTCTAATGATGCGATGGAGAGAGATCGAAAGTCAGTCGTCCGTCGATTGCATGATCTTGACCGGTCGTGTCATGTGTCTGCCACAACGACATGATTACCCAGGCGCACAAACGCAAGACCCGATCTTTCCGTCCCGTCCCCGAGCAGCAGAGTCCCCTACTTACTTCTCATCGTTGAAAGTCCGCACAAGCTTGATCTCCTTGCTGCCGGCAACATCCTTGACAGCCCATTCCTTGTTGTTCTGCTTAAACTCCTGCAAGAACTCCGGGGCGGCTGCGTCCTCAGGGTTCTCCGTCTTCTCGTGCTCGAGCTCCCTGTTCAGAATTTTGCTGAGGGACTGGGCTTCAGGGCTGGTTGCCGCGAAGGCGGAAGGCGTGGAGGAGAATGGGCGCAGGGAGGCCGAGACGACGGCGGGGCGGACAAGGGCGGCTGCTGCGACTGAGCGGGCGAGGAGGGGGCGGGTGAGGGCGGCGGCGGAGACCGTGCGGGTGATGGCGCGGAAGAGCATGGTGAATGTTGCTGTTGGTTGTGGGAGATCTGCGACGGTTTGGTGAGGGACTGGGGGTAGGAAAATGTCAACAAGTTGGGACCTTCTTTGCCAGCGAACTTCCGAGATGCAACGAAGGCTTTTTTCGCGAGAGACTCCAGCGAGACCGGAGAGCGCGTCCGAAAACGGGGTTTGTTCGAACGGGTATTAATCCATTCCATTCCTTCTCCGGCTTTCGCTGCAACTCCGTAGTGATCTCTGGTCTTCTTACCCCCCGACATTGACTCCCAAAAAAACCCCTACAAAAGCAAGCCTCCTCAAACCAAGAAGTCTGGTCGTCAGGAACTTCCACTTCCGTCCTCCTGGAATAGAGCTACCGATCTCCAATAAAACCGTTTTTCTAAGACTGCTTTCACACTCGAGGAGTTTCGGGGCTACAACCAACAAACTGCACGAAAACTCAAGAACCAAGTACGAGTCATGTCTGGACGAGGAACCATTAGCTCGTCGGAACTCTTGCAATGGGGAACGGCCCACATGACACCAGGTTCCGAGCCGCCCGCAGCTCCTAGAGAGCCGATAGTACGTGAGAGAACGAAGCTTCTTCCACTCAGTACTTCCATGCCCAAAGAACAACCACTCACCTTTACTCCGCTCTTAGGACCCGAAATGGTTGGAAGTGATCATGGGAAAGGAGGACGCCGCTCGCATGAAGGATTGCATGGAGATTATACAAGCCACCGACAAAAGTTTGGACGAGAAGGAGGGGGCTTTTGATGAACTGGAGATGTTGGTGGAATCTTTAGATAACGCTAACGGTGAGCAGGGAACTTGGGATGGGGTATGTCGTTTTCGGGGGCGCGGGATCGGGTTGAAATCGAAACTAATCACTGGCGATGTTCTTGCACCGAAATCAGATCTGAGACCATTGAAGCTCTGGCAACCACTCATTGACATTGCCACTACAAGCGACGAGGCTAAGTTGAGGATGTACGCAGCCTGGGTAATGGGCACGGCTGTACAGAACAACAAGAAGGCCCAGGATGATGTAAGTTCAATGTGACCCACACTTTCTCTCTTATCGCGTACATGACTGACTCCTTTTTCCATGTAGTTCCTTGCCGCTGGTGGTTTGGAGCACATGTTGCTGTTGGTATCGTCGTTCCCAGACTCGTCTGTGCGCGACAAGGCATTCTACTGCGTGACAAGTGAGTATGACCTTCAATCGTCGTGGCCTGCAGCGATCAATACCGGGTCGTGTAGACTTACCCTCCGGACTCTCTCCCTCCTAGGCGCCGTCCGCAACAATCCCCAAGCCCTCGAAACCTTCATGGAGAAGAACGGCATCGCCTCCATTGTGACCGTCGGTCTGGACGGTGATACGCGGTTACTGAAGCGCGCCATGTTCTTCATCCGCTCGCTGGTCGAAGATGAGAACCCCGCTGAAGCGACCCGCGCCGCCCAGGCCGCCAAGGACAACGGCGTACCCGATATGGCTGCCGACCTTATCCTAGCGGATATTAGCGATATGGACCTTGTTGAGAAGGTACGTTTGTCTAACTCGATCCCTTTCCTTGTCGGCCCGAGGTTCTTCATGCTAACAACCCCTCTCCCTCGATTGTCGCAGTGTTTACAACTCCTGACCGCCTTTGCAAAGTCCCATCCCAAGGTCATCACCGCTGACCTCCGCACCAAGCTCACCGCACAAGTCCTACCCGCTCTGGAAGCACACGCGAAATCGGATACCTCCGAAGAACCTTTATGGAAGGAGTACCGCGATGAATTGCAGCGGAGCTTGTAAGATATTCGAAACCACGCATACTGTATCTATCTCAATTATGATGTGAATATATTTATCGTATTTTTTGGACGGGGTTCTAACGGTTGAATGAAGCTTGACTTTCTTTCGCACGATGAGGGCTGTCCCGTGAGACGGGGTAGTTTCTGCACTTGGTCTGATCCGATGCAAAAGGTGAAACACACGCAGAACGGATAGGGCATATGAATATGAAGATTCGTAAAGCTATGCCGTAGACCAGAATTGAGGCATTGTGAAGGCATCATCGGGACAGGGACCAAAACCAATCTGTTTATGTACGAAGTATGGGTACATGCTGCAAACGTGGGGAGGACAAAAAATATATACAAGAAAAAAGGGCAGACAACGACGGTTCGCAAGCCAGGTAAAGGAAAGGCGAATCCCCTTTGCAGACGCTTCTCTAAAATTATATACTTGGCGACAAGATCAGAGCAAACGAGCGTTACGTTGGGTGAGGAGTCAGGGTATCAGATACCACAATCGGGCCCACGTCAGGGTTGCGCGACGGTTCGGTATGAGTATGGGTATCCGGAGCCGCCGGCGCGCCGTGCGCCGCGGAGGGGTGCTCGTGTTTGTCTCCATGTCCAGCCATGCCGCTCTGGTCCCTCAACCCTTCTTTCCCAAACACTCGGCCGACATGCCCCGCGCCTTGCGGGTCGTCGATGGAGGATGGGGATCCAGTAACGCTTTGTGCCTTCGGGGACGTATTTGCCGTGGTGTTACCTGCCATGCTAGGGAAGTAACTGTCGGTGACGCCGCTGCCGGCGCTCGTAGATGACCCAGGAGAGCTTTCGTCCAGACCGCTGCGCGCCGCCCACGACGGGCCGTGCTCGGACTGCGGGCTGCGAGCCGGGATGAACACGGGCTGGGAGGCTTCGTAGGCTTCGAATCCGCTGAATCCTGTGCTGGTGCGGTTGCCGCCGGTTGAAGGTGCCCCGCCTGAGGATCGTGTCTGCGTGCTTGGATGCCCGCCGGATCGGTGTGTCCAGGCGCTCTCCCCGTTGGCACTGGCGGTGCGTGCTCGTGCGTTTTCGGCGGCTTCCTTGTGCTCGTCCATGATCGCATTGACGAGCGTTAGGTCCGTGTCATCGACGTCCTTAACCCAGGAGTGCTCGAGAAGCTCCTTGGCCGAGGGTCGCTGCGACGCGGGCCTCGTAAAGCACTTTGTCAAGAAATCAATCCCCTCCTCGCTCAGCTCGTGAGGCTCGGGCAATGGGGGCATCTTGTTCGCAATTCCGATATGGTACATGACAGCCCACTCGTTGTCCAGCCCGCTCCACGGTTTGCGTCCCGTGACCATTTCCAGCACACAACATCCCATGGACCAGATGTCCTGAGCCCCATGTCGTCCCAGGCTTTCGCCTGTGATGACTTCCGGAGCGATGTAATGCGGAGTGCCGACCAGAGTGTTGGCTTCGCCGTTCACGACGACGGTTTTTTGCGTTTTGTAGATTTTGGAAGCGCCAAAATCAACGTACTTTATCTGACCCTCTTGGCCGAGAAGTGTATTTGCAGGTTTGATATCTCTGAGGAATCAAACGAAAAGATGAGTCTGGTTGCGTTCGTAGGGCCGCATGCAAACGAGCGAAAACCCACCTGTGCACTATCCCCTTGTTGTGCAGGTATTCAACACCTCTTAACAGCTGCTTCGCATAAACTTTCGTCGCTCGTTCATCGTTGAACCGACCTCCGTGGTCAATCAACTGCGCAATCGACTGCGGGCAGTATTCCATGAATATGTACAGTTTGTCGCGATGCACCTCGACGCCATAGTACTCAATGATGTTGGGATGATGCAATAACTGTAACACATTCATCTCGTCCTTGATGGCGCGTTGCACAGTCTCGAGGGACGTAACGTCGGTGAACCGAATCTCCTTGACGGCCATAAGATCCGCCGTCTCGAGATTGATAGCCATGTAAACGGAACCGAATGAACCACCGCCGAGGAATTTGCCCTGCTGCCATCTGAACGAGATCGAACTGGAAGTCGACGCTAAATAGCTCAGGTTCCTGTCGACGATGTTGCTGCTGTCGAGGACTTTGCCGATCATCCTGTTTGTCAATTGACGCATTTCACGGTCCTCTTCGAGTTTCTCGATGGCGGACATCCATGCGCCTTGTTTTCGCTGCATGTAGGTGTCGCCACGATGACCCCCTGACGGCATCTTGGTGGGCACAGCAGGCAAAGGTAGGTCGTGGCTCATTGGAGGCGTCTTCGTGATAGTTGGGATCGCTCCTTTTAGCGGCGAGGAGGAAGCCGACGATGCGGTCGACGGTGGATTTGTTGTCGAGCTGGGAGTTTGCAGCTGCGATTTCGGGGACGCCTTGCCGCCGTTGGTGTTTTCGTCAGTCTTCTTCCGTTGTGGGGGAGGTTTAGATGCCGTTACTGCTTCTGATTTCGGACTCGTTATCGAGATTTTCGGCTTGTCCCCGTCAGAGCCCTCTCCTCCCGCATTGGACTCCCGATCGCTATCCCCGTCATTTTCGATCTTCAAAGCGGAGACTTCTGCCCGGTTGAGATCCATCGGGGAGCGATTAACAGCAGCGCCTGCAAGGTTCATGTCTGAGCCCTTACTGGAATCAGCAGACTTTGGTGCAGCTTCCGGTGGGTGGGGCGAGGATAGTTTCGATGCGCTACGGGCGGCGTTTGCGACAAGGGCATTTACGGCCTCCTCCGGGGTTGTGGCGGTCACGCCGGCAATGCTGATACTCCCGCCTTGCTCGAAACCCTTAATGAGGACGCGCATACATCTTCCAACTCCACGCTTCAATTCCTCAAACTCGTCATCTGCAAGGAGATAAATCGTAGTACCGCTGGTGGCATTCATAGCGAAATACAAGGCCCGCAGGTTCCACTTGAAAGTCTTGTGCTGAACGCTAGCAGCTGGTAGCGAGCAGTTCGCAGCACAAAAGTCGACCCAATCCACTGAGAGTTTGACCAAATTCTTCATCATGAAGTCGTACTTCTTGCGATTGCCAACGTATTTTAGCGCTTTCAGCCCGAATCCAGAAGCAAACGTGAACATGTCTTCAATGAGGTCCGCAGCCGTATGAACGCCCTCTGCCGTTGCATTCGCGTCGTTGCTGACATTGAGACTCGACGTCGAAGTGCGTTCCGTCGCCAGAGGTCCGTTGATGGCCGGACTTCCACCGCCCGCGGTCACCCGGTTGATGGCATCCCGGACGGTTTTGACACTGCTGATAATCCCTTCCGTCAATGTCACCAGTGCGCCCTTGGTATTCTTCAACGCATCGTGTACGCTTTGAACGTGCGCACGACGCAATTTGACGGCCTTCACTTTGCAGTTGATGTTTTCTTCGAACAGCGTCTTGCAAACATCAAGATGCTCTAACGTGTCGGCGACTAATCGGAACCGATCCGACTTCAGGGATATCGGTCGGATCTGCTTGCCAATGCGGACGTGCATCGAGCGTCCCTGCCAATTCATCCCCGATGATCCTCTGACACGATCGCTAACGGGCAATATTATGATGTACCCTTTGCCGATGGACGAAGGGAACGGTTCATATCGGGCGAAGCATCCTCTGAGCAATCTGGACACGCATTCTGGTCGATTGTGCAACGAGGGCGATGCCAGAATGTACAGGCCTTGATTGGCGTATGCGTCTGTTCGCACTAGCGAGTATCCGGCATGTAGGAAGTTGCGCAGGAGGACTGGCGATGGCACGTCCGAGGTATATTCGGCAGCATTCTCGAATTCTCGGACAAGCATCCTGGGAGTGACGTTAGTAAACGCGGACCAGCCTCAGCAGACGCACGTGATATCCACTCACTTTTGGAATTGGAGCAACTTGCCAGCGCGACTTTTCACGTTGTCCCACATTCTCGCATACCACTTCACAAGACCACTACCGCCCATCGCAAAGTTCCCATCCGCTACGCAAGGGTCCCCAAGCCCGTCCATTCCCTTCTGCAGGTAATTCAAGACTTTCCTCAGGAGTTCCGCCTCGAGTTGACAGAATTGTACGGCGGTCTCCACGTCTCCGCCCTGAATGAAGAAGCAGAGATTGGACATGAAGTTCCACTCATTCTCCAACATCTCCGCCTCCTTAAAGAATGAGGTGTCCGTCGTCGACTTTAGTCGCCAGTTGAGGAGTGTGAAGTAGCATTTTAGGGATTTCAACAGAATCACATCGTATGACGGACTCAAACTGTTGGCTAAACTCCAACCGTCGGCACGGGTGTCCAAGTCCTCACATTCGTGCTTGATCCTAACCGCCAACTGCAAGCTGACTCCGAAAGACTCTATGAGATCGTCCAGCACAGTTCCACTGTGCTTTGTGGCTGTCTGACTATGCGTCTCCACCTGCACTTTCAGAATTTCCTCCATCAAGTTGGAAGGGAAAGAAGCCAGTTGTTGTAGCTCGTTGATGTATGTCGGCAGCTGCATCTTTTTGAAGACGAGCGCGTTTTCAATCATCCCAGCTTTCGATTTCGCTAGCAGACCGCGTAAGAAAGCCATGATCTGAATCTCGAACGTTTTCTTTATTCCGTCTTTCAGAATCCGCTCGATGAAGGTCGTTTCGATACGCTTATCAGGGGAAAGAGGATGCTGAGATCGGGAGATCAGCAGATCCTCACTTCCCGCCCAATTCTTGAGAACTTTCAGCTGAGATCGGAGCGAGTTGCTGATGGTCAACCAGGAGTTTAGAGCTTCCATCTTATGTTGAAACGGCGAGCCAGCATACAGGGGCTTATCCAAGATCAGGGCGTTCCGCGACGGGTACAGCGACTCGATCTTATCAACCTTCGTCAAGATGTCGACGACCTGATCGTACGGTGACTTGGGAGAATCCTTCTGCACCTCAAACTTCAGCACCTCGTCGAGAACAGCCTCAGCGTCGACTCGTCTTTCATCAATCCTCTGCCTTTCTTCAGGTACTGATCGTCCCCGAAGGTATGCCCTGATCCCTAACCAGGTCTGATATCGCTGATCTAATTGTTGCTTTTGCGTCAATGTTCCGCTAATCCGGCGCTGTTCTGACCGAATGACTTCCCCCTGCAGCACGGATGCTAGCATCGTTTGCCACTGAGATCTTTCCCTGTTCACGGGCGATGAGGGCACATCCAGCATGTGTTCAGCTCTGAAGGTATCACTGTCTCGCCTCGAGAGCTGTGGCGTATTGCGTCGATCGAGATTCGGACGTTGGGACAGATTTGGCCGTGGCGGTACGGGTGGCGCGACACGTTGCGTAGAGTTGTTCGAAGCGATCTTGCTTGACCGTCGGTTAGCGGTGGGAACACCTCGATCAGCTTTGGTTGGCGTTGAAGGCGGTGCTGCGTCAGCTTCTTCCAGAGCCGCCTGATCTTCCTCGCTCGATAAGGATTCTCCCCGAAAGCTCTCTTTTGGTTCCAGACCGAACCCCTTTGCCATCTCCAGAACTTGCGACTTTTTCAGCGCGGGTCGTGGCATCTGGTCTACGTTGGTAGTCTCATTACTGCTGGAATCACTTCCAGAGAGTGAACTGACTTTCTTGGCAGGAGCGACCGTGGATAATCCGGTGGGAAACTTAAGAACCTTATTGGGACGTGGGGAAGCGTAAACGTAGACTGTCCCAGACGAAGACTGCTCGTGAAGAGAGGGCCGCTGCAGGACAGGCGAAGAAGTCATCGGCGCGTCACTTTTGGCTGACGGGCTTTGCCCATGTGCAGGCTTGGCACCCGGTTCCGCCGTGTTCGTTGTATCATGGACTCCCGACGGACGTCGGGACAAGACGATATCCTCCCCATCATCCTGATTGGCGCTCGCAGCTACGGAAGACGGATGATACGTGTTGAATCGCTTCATGGACGGACGGGCGGCGGTACGGATGTCGGGCCGTGTCCGCCTTTTCAAAGGTCGATCAACTTCCATTTCCGCCGCAGCCGGTTCGCTCGCGGCCCGCCTGATGTTAGGTCTATCTTTCGGAATCACGTACTGCCCGTTCTCATCCAAACTGCAGTGACAACAATATTGACACACATTCTGCACTGCGAAACTGAACACTTGAAATGCGAGATACATACCGTACTACTTCGAAGCCGGACGGCTCAAGCATCTGCTTCGTGAAAATGCACTGCCAGATATACGAGTCAATCAAAACAGGAAGCCCCCTGACCAAAGCATTCTCTATGAGTTCAGATATCAATGCGTTCTCGCTGCTTTGAAGGTTGTGTATTATCGAGGTCATATCGGTCGAGTGGCTGACGAGGAGATGTGTCGTCTGGCGTAACACCGACATCAATCAATTAGCCGAAAGGAAGAGCGCCGCGATTGAAACAATGACTCACCTTCTCGGTCGAAGCATTAAGCTCAACTTGACCGCCATATGCGCGTATGGTATCGACGAGATCACTCATTTGCGCCGACGACGGGAATGCCAAACAAAAGCATTTGCCTTTGAAGAGCGAAGCAGACACGATGGTTGAGGGACGACGATGGTACTGAGTTGGGTTGTCTATCGACGCATATTCGCCCCGATGAGACGAGCGGCCCTGGTCGGTGGGAGATCGGGATCGGCTTTTAGGCGACGCGGACCTTGGCACTCGAGTCTTGTCCGCAAAGGCTGGCCTCCTCGCAGACATTTTCGGTAGTGCTTGCTTTACGTCCTAACCTCCTACAGTAGCTGCAAAGGGATGGTGCTCAACTCGTTGTGGAAGTGTTGCCACGGGTATGCCAGATACGTCCGTTGCCAGACAGATGGCGTAGGGAGTGATTACGCAGCGAGGACACTCAGCATGCCAAGGTTGCGATAAGTTGGGAAGCCTGACTGGGACGCTGCGAGGTAGGACACCAGTTGAAGTATATCTTTTGGCGGAAGGGTCTGTAAAGGCGAAAAGGCAGCTTGGAGTGCACGACAGTCAATCGGGGCCGCAGGTGAGAGTTGTGTTGTGGTGGTGGTGGTGGGAAAAGCCGACAGAATCCTCGGCCAAGAGCAGTGGCATCTGTGGCATGGTGTCCCCCTTCCCGAACGCAGACCAGACAACAACCCCCAGGCCCAGAGATCTGGCGGGTGGTTGAAACGATCGCCTGGGACATAAAGAATCGCGATTCTCATGGTAGAAAAGCAAAATGATAAACACATCTCACGTGACAGGCAATCCAGCGCACGTGCACGGCAATTGAATTACATGTAGCCTTTCGCCGTCGAGACCACCACCAACACTGGAATCGCAGTTCACATCCACCAAACACATATATCCTCGAGCTCTGTGCACCATGACCCTCACAACACCGTTACCGACCGTCATCTCTCGCTCCGCCGGGGAGCAGCGCAGGAGGGTGCTGCAGCTCTACCGCGACGCGCTCAGGGCAGCACCAGATATTCTCGAAATGTACAGGATGCCGTACGGACTCTGGCAGGTGGGCAACACTGCGCAGTTGTAGATGGGGAACCTGGAGGGAGGGGACAATTGGGGGTTTCGGTCTGAGTACAAGACCTGGCGGCTGCATCGAGGTTTGAGATGGCGTAGTCTGGGAATCTTGGGTGGCCCCTTGCGATTTCGACAAAGTTGGGCACGGCGTCGAGAAGCGATGAGAGTCTGTGACGCTCAAAGCAAGAGTTTTGAGGCGGGTACAGGAAAACCTTTCGAGAATAAGATTGCCCATCTTGTTCGTCTCGGTGTTGGGAGTTGGCAAGACTACCCACTTATTGTGACGAGGAAGAACGGCTAGCAAGTCGCTTCGCAGGAATCGTTTAACCCTTCTTATGAATCGCATAATAATCCTTCATTCTTGTCGCACAGTTCCGAAATCGCATCCGCGCCGAATTCGCCAAAAACCTCACCGTAACTGACCACCAGGTCATCGACGTCCTTATCTTCAAAGGCCGCAACGAGCTGACGGAAACCACCGAGCAATGGAAACAAGACGACCACGTGCAGCGCTTCTTCCCGAAGGACACCTACGCCCAGCCCGAGAGGCAGGTCAGACCTGGCGAAGACGATCTGGGACGACGGGCAGATGGGCGGGGCGTGTCGGAGTTTTTGGCCAATTTCTATGAGGGACATTCGGCGGGTCTGAGGGGGAACGATTATGCTTAGGTGGTTTGTGGGACCTGCCTGGAGGGTTCGGAGGTGTCGACTGTCTGGCCCGCCGGGCGCTCGCTCTGCCGGACCCGGCCGTAGCGGACCAGCGCATCGGAGGGCGCTATGTTTGGATTCAGACCCATGGGATGTTTTATTTTCTTTTTTGCACATACCCCTGCATCGAACATGCAATGCGATTTTCCTCTCTTGCGGGAATACCAAATTGAGTTGTGCACGCAGATCGGATTGAGTGTGGAACATTTGGGAAGAACAGTGCATCATTTGGATAGGATGGCCTTTGGTGGTGGGATGGGATCAAGGCCCGGGCACATCAACACAAGCCTAGGAGCAACCCTGATGAACTAAAACAAAATCTGATTACACAACAACTCTAATCAGTAAGTACGACCTACACAAAAGTAGCACTATGCAACTGCATGCGATCGATAGCGCGTAGGTGGGAATCCAAAACATATGTACAGCAAATGAATCCTACGCCTAGGCTGCTTCAAACTCACCCCTGAACCTCACTCCCCCTTTTGACAACCTCCTTCACCAAATGCCACCCATCCCCCTCCCCACCATCCTCGACCTCGTCTTCCCCATCCTCACCCGCGCTCCAAGGCCACTCCGCTGCATACTCATCGTCAGGTACTTCCAGCAGAGGTGAGAACAGCGCTGTGTCCAGGTAGTCTGTCATATCCGCCGCGCCGTCCAGATCGTCGTCATCCGGCGACGCGGGTGATGTTGATGTTGGGGTCAGGATGTGTTGTAGGATAAGCGTGGTCAAGCGATCTGTAGGCGCTGCTGGATTTTGTTGCTGCTGTTGTCGGCTTTCTGCGAGTGGCGCGGCGGCGGTTGTTGACCGTCGTGGGGATGGTGGTGGCAGCGGAGCGGCGCGAGAAGGACCGCGGGTGGGTGATGCGACGGGTGACCTGGTGGTCAGACTCGCTGTGGAGGCGGAGATGGAGACGGTAGATGTCCTACGGGAGGGAGAGGTTGCCCTTGAAGGATCCGTGGTTGTAGTTGGACTTTGGCCTTCCTGAGGTGCTCCAGGACCAGCGACGTTCGTGTCGCCGGAGAGCTGCGCAACCGCTGCGCGTTGCAGTTTTGCCAGTGCAGCAACGGCATGTTTCCGGCGATGCAAAACACAGTGCAACTGGACGGTCTTGCTGAACGGCAGTGGAAACTGCGTGAGAGGTCGGCGATGTGGGTGCGGGACTGATGATGAGTGTGACGAAGAGGGAGATGGTTGGGACGATCGGTGGGTTGAGGAACAGGGGGTCTCTACACTGCCCTGGATGTTGGACATGCTAGATTTCGCTTCAAGGGAGTGCTCGCTCAGGATCGATAGAGGAAGTGAACCGTCTCTGAAATGAACATTTGTGTAAGCCAAGGGTACTTATGGTCGCGAGCCTTAGCGACCCGACCAATAAACTGGAGTGGGCTCCGTACCTTCCCAGGTTCATCGCCTGACAGCACAGAGCAATGTTTTCCAAGGTATTCGTCACGTTCAGCAGAGGGATATCAACACCTTGCGTATAGCATAGGTATGCGATGTTATAGTTCAACATGGCGAGACCAATGGTAAAGTGCTCCGCATTGGAATCAGTGAGGTACAAAGGCATTCGCGTAATCTCGATGGCAAAGGCAGAGTTCCTATACGCGCAGGACTTGGTGCCCTTATTGACTACCTTGAAAGGAAAGTCGATGTCAAGATATTTGCCGAGGACGGCGCACATATGGATAATGTGGCCTATAGCGGCGTTGAACCGTTCTCGAGGACAATTCAGCGCGTAGCCAAAAACCGGCGATGGGACATTCACAATCCGATACTCGATTGGATCCGCATGAGCGGGCCCGGTCGGACTGATAGCAGTGACAGTTTGGCGTGCCCCGACGTGCGCTGAAGCTCCTGACGGTATGCACGCCCCCACAGATCCCAAAGCTGGCGGCTTCGAAAGCCGCCGCTGGACTTTCCTCAATCTGAATATCGACAGAAGCTCTCTTATCAGCAGTCTTCTCGACTGCATCAACACATCAGCGGTTTGCAGGTATGACTTCTGGGCGTCATTTCTCTCGCGAACGGCTCTTTCAATTCCTCGCATTCGTTCCGACTCGACCATCTGTCTCGATTCCGTGTACTCTCGGCGACGCGTAGCCATTAAGGCCTTTGCAGCGCTCAGTTCGTCCTTTGCGAGTTGCACACGGCGCCGAGAGTCGGATATGTCATCCTGGAGTGAACTGAGCCGTACTTTCAAACTGGCCATTTCGACGGAGCGCGATATTCCCGTCGGCGGGCGCGCCGGCTCGAGGACGGCGGTAATCTGCTGGGCGAGGGATTTGCATTCTGCGGACGTTGCCGTTTGTACCCCTCTGTGAGCATGGAGTCTGAAGGACGAGCGTCAGCGGTTAAGGGAGGAATTCTTACGTCCTTTCAAAATCGCATTCACTAGCCAGACCTTTCTTCCTCACAACCCACCTATCGGAAAGGCAGCGGGTACACCAGAATCGCTTGTGGGACGACCCACATACTGGGCATTCCATACCGGTCACCAACAGACAATCCCGTCGTCGGACGCCCCGAAGGAGTTGTAAGTGAGGCCCCGTTCCCGATCACAAAGCGTTCACTCACACCTCAAATGCACCGGGAACTATCGTGGGGAGCGTCCTGCGAGTGTGAGTGCGAGGTTTGGCTGGAGGATCTCTCTTTCGGAGCCTGGCTTGGACCGTTGGACGAAAAGATGATGTTCGTAAGTCGCTGGACTAGGAAGCCTGCGTCCTGTCTAATTCGTGCTCTGGAGTATGCCCAAGTGCTTGTGGCTGGTGAAGGCTTTTTGTGGGGAAGGGGAAGCCCGGTTCCAGTCTGGGTTCCAGTCGTCCAGAGCAGCGTCCAGAGGTTCCCAACGGGTTGCGAGGTTTTCGTTGTCATCACTTTTGGCCTGCCCCTCTCCGGGTCTCTCGGACAGAACGGTGACAGCGCTAAAATATACCAACTTCACTCGTTTTTTTTGTTCAGCGTTCTCGGATCACTCGTCCGTATGCGCTGGTAACTGCGAAAAGTCTCTGACAGTCTTTGTCGGTGCTCGCTCATGTCCGTCTGCCACGGGTTGTTGAGCAAAAAGTGGTGACAACACTGCAACGGCGCTTCTCTGTGAAAACTCCAAACGCCATCTTCAACACGATCCAAGTCGAGTGCCAGTTTTTTCGCACTGGACAAGAGAAATACAGGCACAATACCAGGAGGACCCAACACCTTCACATTTTCGGGCGGGTCGGCGGAACTAAGGCGACTGAAAGCGTGTTGGAAAGATAGTTTTTGATACTCCTTCGTGTAGAAAGGCGGGCGCTGGAAAGGGGAGCACAAGGACGGCGCTGCAACCGGGGTTCCTCCGCTTCCCAAAAATGAACAACGATCCACGGGCAACCAAAATACGTATGTTGAGGCGCTTCGCTGTTCAATCAGCACAATTGTGGGACCGGTGCATTTTCGTTCTCATGTTCTCCCACGGCAGACGACTTCGTCGCTCACGACGCGCAGGCAACATGTCTGAGAATAGGGGCAAAGTCCGGCAGAGTAATGGTGACGGGTGGAGAGGACCGCAAAGTCAACTTATGGGCGGTGGGGAAGACGTCTCCGATATTGGTATGATACCTGCCGGAAGGTTCGGGGACGGACGGACAACGCGGGATTGAGGGCTTACCGTTCTCATTCACCAAAGAGCCTTGGAGGACATGCCAGCTCAATCGAATGCGTAACACTGGATTGGCCTGAGGAGATCGTGGTGGCGGGATCATCGTCGGGGACACTCAAACTATGGGATCTGGAGCATGCGAAAGGTGAGCGTCTTGGCCGCGACAGACCTCCTTCAGCAGTTCACCACTCATCGCGTCGCGGCAGTCATTCGAACGCTCGCTGGACATAAATCTGGCGCACGGTGTGTTGAATTTCACCCGTTTGGAGAGTTTTTCGCGTCGGGATCGGTGGATTCCTCGGTGAAGATCTGGGATATCAAGAGGAAGGGTTGCATACAGACCTATCAGGGGCATCATGATGGAGTGACGGTGCTGCGGATCACTCCAGACGGAAGGTGGATAGCGACTGGTGGTGGGGATGGCGTTGTGAAGGTATGCTCTTACATATCTTTCAATCATCGTGGAACGACTGGCTAACGAGCAGATAGATCCGCGATATGACGGCAGGAAAGCTGCTTCACTCCTTTTCTGACCACACAGGGGCAATAACAGCGCTCGCTTTCAACCCATCTGAGTTTCTGATAGTCACTGCTGGGGAGGACAACGTCCTGCGCTTCTATGATCTGCAGACGTTCGAATGCATATCGAAAACACCACCAATATCTGGTCGAGTGCAGGTTTTGCAATTCGATCCGGATGGCCATGAGCTCTTTGTTGGTAGCACCGACTCCCTGCAGGTGAGTCGGTATGAGAATAGTGATTGCCACCACCTTGGACTGACCGGAACTTGCATGCAGATATGGACGTGGGAACCAGCAGTATGCCATGACGTGATACCAGTGAGCTGGCCCAATATTAGTGACATGCGGATCATGATGGAGGACGGCAAAGTCCTTGCTGGTGCTCTAGATCACAACTTTCTGAGCATGTGGGGAGTGGATATAACGGTGAGCGGATACCGTCCAGCATGCTATCCAAAACTACCTGATGCTGAACCGATTCACACGACGGGCAGCCTCATTTGAGCCCCACGGATAAAGGGCCTCCGACGACTAAGCCTCCCGATATTTCGAACAGGACAACAGCCCAGTTCCAGAATTACGGGGATGTTGACATTGGTGAGACAAGCTTGTCGCTATTGAGAATGTCGTATGCCTGTCTAAAACCTTCCCATTCGCAAAGCGCGCCTGCATATTGCTGATGATAGCGGGTCATCGACGCCACGTGCTTCCGCTACAAATGTGTATGAGGGGACTACGATCAGATCCGGTACGTACGCGGCCAATTTCTGTCAAATCGCGCATGTACGTCCTTATCAGCGGTTGGATGAAACAGGGCAACCATTCGACTCAGATCGACGAGAGCCTTCAGCATCTCGATCAAATGGTGGGTCTTCAGTCATTTTTACGAATGTTTCGATATGGACGTAACCAGCGTCTCTCTAGCTCAAGCAGGCAATACCCCATTCCGCCTTGGCAGCGCCAGCAGATCCACTTCCTCCCTAATAGATGCTGATCAAGGGTTACGCCGCTCAGCATCTGGCAATTTCGATCGCGGTGACGAGGAGAATCGCCTGCGATACTCCCTTGGTTCGAACAGCCGCGCCGGAACACCATTACGCGGATCTACGGCGAGCGCCGGAAATGTGGTTGGCGAACATCCTTCGCCATTCTTGCCGCACGGCCAGCGGTCGAGCACTGCTACGAATCCCTTTGTGCCCGCTGGAACAGGCGAGCGGCCACTAAACCTTGATGTTGCCAAGTTCATTCAGGTGCGTAGTGCTTGATTGGCGCATGGTGTACAATGGTAATTATAAACCGCTCATTCGGTTTGCGTCTCCTCATGCAGAATGCACAACGGCGCCTGCAGCCCCTGCCTCTCTCCCCATCATCCCCAGGCTCTCCACCTTCCACCTCCGATAATGACATTATTGACTCTCTCCTCTTCCGCCACGCCTCCGTCGGTTCTATCCTCAACAATCGTCTCACATCGATCCGCATAGTCCGCAGCGCATGGGACGAATCCAACATTCGACCAACGATCGAGTCCCTTGTTACCCTGAAGGATGCCAGTGTGCTTGTGGATGTGTTAAGGATCATCAACCTGAAACCAAAATTGCTCACGATGGAGGCCGCTTTGATGCTGTTGCCACTGGTGCATGAGCTATTCTTTGAAGTCTATGAGGAGTGAGTTTCTGAATGATAATGCACACGATGACTCTCTTGAGTCGCAGTTCCCTAACCCATTTGCGATTTATTGCAGCTATATCGTGACAGCATGCAATACCGTCCGGACACTTGTCAAGTCCTTTGGACCTGTCATACTTGCCACATTGGACGCAAATTACATCTCATCGCCGGGAGTGGACATTAGCCGGGAAGATCGGTATGCGGGCTCGGATGCATCTCGATGATTTGGGCGGGGCGCGACATGTTCTAACACACTGTCATGGATAGTGTATCACGCTGCAGGTCATGTAGGGAACGACTCATCGAGATCGCTACAACCTTAGAAGAATTGAAACGGTCGGCGGGGCCTGTCGGCGGCATCATTCGCGAAACGCTTCGTGATTTAGCGAGCCTTGACCCCACGTCAAGTTAACGCATCTAAGCTTTCCATCCTTGAAGACATTCCCCCCTTGAACTGTTATGTAATTGATTGCACACCACCTGCCACGATCTGATAGCATCCTGTATATACCTTAGCCCGTCCACAGGGCTTGCACACTGTTTCTTCGGCGGGACAGATTCGTCTGCGCGACGAGTCTCATAGCATGATAGGTTGGCAAAGCACATGACAATCATCGCACTTATGTAATAGATAACGTGAGACCCAAAAAATATCCGAGACCAATAAGTGTGAAGCGGGGAGCCATTGAATTCGCTGGAGGATGTTCAGGTGGACCCGGACGACGCATTTCTCAGCGCCACTAGATGCGGGAACTCGGAGGAGATTAGGTCCATTACGCTGTCTACGCGTTGGTCATACCAATCCCCAGTCTGTATAACAACAAATGTGAACGACGCATGTCAGACAGGGCTTGGCAACAATAGAAAATGCCCCTCGAACAACGCTTGATGTGACTCACCTTCAAAGCAGCCTTGACGACGGCTCCGCCACCCCCAGGAGTCGCCGACGCGCCTTGTCCTGAAAAGAACGTTCGCAACCCTTTCTCGCAAACTCGGTTCGCCGCCTCGCTGGCTCTATCCGATACCAACGGCTCACAGATGCGAAGGAAAAAGTTGATGTCCAAGATAAGCTGTTGCACGCCGTGGAAACCAAAGCGTCGTGGAGTGTTGCGGGGTGTTACCCATGACTGAGCTGCATGGCAAGAAGGAGAGGTCCGTAAGTCAGCGCAGGTCGACACGGACGGAGGAGAAGCCCATTATGCGGTCTGAAACCTTACGTTCGTCCATAGCGGTGAAAATGAGGTCGATGACTCGACTGAGCATGGCGATGCGCGGGAGGGTTGGCGATAAGGCTCCCAGGATCTTATTCAGCTCCTCAACAAGCTGTGGGCCACACAAAATGTTTTGGCTATGAGTGCCCAACGTTTTCAGACTCGAGATTATCCTCGGGTCGTGCATACCCGCATCATGTTATCTGACGGCTTTGCGGAATCCAGGATCCCGCCGTTCTGTAAGACAAAGATGAGTGTCCATCCAGGAACTATCGGTCGAACGGAGTGACCTTACACTTGTGTAATCGATAGTCGGAAAGTTCCATAACTCCTTTGTGAGCCGCTCATGTGTGATGTCAATAAAGAGTGTATGGTGGAGATCAGTCACGCGGTCTATGCAGCGGCGTTAGAAGGTGTGCAAATGAACGATGGACGACGAAACATTACAACTCAAACACATACGCTTCAAGGCGACCCCCATGTCCTCCATCTCCGGAATCGCCCTATCAAAACGGCGCTGCGTGACGATGTGTCAATCGCCCAAGAACTCTTCTCGCATATGCTCAGCGCAGAGAGAACACTTACCGCCAGCTGCCCAGCGACTTTTGGCAGCAAATCGTCGACAATGAAGACGGAGTTGACCATCATTACGCTCCGCTGTCAGAAGGAGAACACACATTAAGAGGCGCAAGGGATGTACATTAAACCAATCGCGCCTTACCTGACCGTACGTCCAGTTTCGATTTGTCTCACCGAACGATCTTATAAGCTTCTCAACGTACGCCGAAAAGAAATCCGTCAAGCAAGTGACAATCTTGTTGTACAACTACGAAACGGAGTATGAACGGGAACATATGAGTGAAGTCTGTTGACATACGGGAACGAATCTTATTACCGATATGGACATCAAAACCGAGACATCCGAGCCAAAGTCCATCAGGATAGAGTACAGTTCATAGACAGATTGCGAAACCTTTGCCGTGATATCGGCTAGAGAATAGCGCGCAATGATTGAGACTGAATTCCGCAACGCCTTGACCTCCTTCAATACAACGTACCAAACTCATCCTCTTTGCCAATCAACCAATTCGCATCCACAACGACGAATTTGTCCTTTTCCAGAGATACAACAATATTGGCAACGCAGCTGGCCGAATGCTCCTCAATGGACCTGACGATATCGTCATGCAGGGCATCAGTGATCATCGGTGCAATGTGCAGGCCCACTTCTTTTAACTAGGTTGCGCAACAAGCAACAGTAAACATAGCAGCACAGAGGACCGCTTCACGGTGGGACGATGCTCACCGGTTTGCAGTGCTCTAGTGTATGCTGAAGACAGTCGGCAATAACCGAAAAAGACGGATGGCAGTCGAAAACTTGTCTACGGAAAATCTGGGTGAAGTTCTCGAGCTCTATTGCCACCCACTTCATGAAGCCTGGGAGAAGTGTGTAACGCATCATAGAATCGTCGGGGGGTTACATGTTGAAATACACCGTACCTGAAGCCATCGTCGTATCTCGGAATGATCCCCCATACCAGTCGCACGTATTCCTCGTCAGTCTGAACACTACCTGGGCCAGGTCTGATATGTATATCGACACATCGCCCCCAAACCTGACCAAGCGAATCCGATGACGAATAATGGCAGTGCGAGACGTCAGGAAAAAGTCTCGGGCCTGGGGAGAACGAGCACTTCAGGACCTTGACCGCGATAAGTAGGCAACGACTTCCAATGTTACGTCCTACCTGATCCCCCATTCCAAGCCGCAGAAGTTTGTCGATGTTTGCCTGTACTTGTGATTTCGTAGCGACTGGGTTCGCAAAATCCATGCTAACAAGTTGAGCCAGCTTGTTTGTCCGCTCCTCCAAGCTGGCTTTGATTTGTGCCACACGTGGTGTCTCCGCACTGGACTTGGACAAGGTTCGCCTCGCATCTTCAATCAAACCGACTGCCACGTCAAAGTCCCGGTGTGCAACCAAGACATCCAACTCGTCGCTGAGTTCCATTAACCACTTTACTTCGGCGTTGCTCAAGTCGTCTCTCAATGCCCTACGCGCCCTTTCCTCCCGATCTGTTTCCCTTTGAGTTGGGCTAACCACCTCCTCCAAAGGCGTCGCGCTTGGCTGTTTGTTTTTGGCGTTCTCCAGGGCCGCCCGCTTCTGCAGCATGAGCTCATCAGTGTATCTCTTGAAGGCGGTCAGGAAAGATCTCTTCTCTTCCAATGTATCTGAGCGATAAATGAAAGTGTCCGGATGCCGTAAGATCTTGAAAGCGTTGCTGACTTCCGTGGAATCTTTGACGTCAATAATTGCGACATCGCCCAAACTCCAACATTTGTCTAAAACCATCTTGTTTTTGCCGCTGATAATACCACGCTTCTTGGTTGTGACGACGAGCGTATCACTGAGGATGTAGAAGTACACGCTCTGTAGTACTTTATTCATATTGGACGGATTCGATTCTCCAAAGCGAGATGTGGAACCGTCGCGGACGAGATATCGCAATGGCGACGGCGGGAGGATCTTCGAGAGCCCTTCGATGGTATCATACAAAGTCGACAGCTGTGAAATCCTGTTCTGAGTCTCGGATTGTGCTGCTAATGTCGATGAAGGAGTGGCAGTTCTAGTATTGAGGTCCTGATCCTGCGATGTTTCTGTCGTCTCTGGCGGATCACGGAGTCAGTCAAGCGTCTGTTTTGTACTAACTCATCTCGCTTTTGAAAGCTCACTCTCGACTGTGGATGGCTCTTCGGTCCGAATAGTCTTCAGCAACGCTTGATTGACGTCCGTGAAGTCGGCCAGCAATCCTCGGAGAGACCACATGTCGGTCTCCAATCTGGAAATTTCCTTCGAGATGAGGACAAACTCGGAATAGTTCTTGTAGACATTGCGCTGCAAATCTGCGGCGGCTGCATCTCCGGCGTCCACAAGTGCTTGGTGGAAGCTTCTGACACCTTCCTCCGAACTCTGAGTCAAGATGCTATGCACATCTTCTAACACGGGGACGATGCAAAAGTCGGCTTGTCAGTTCCAGGCTCCGCGACAATGACCCACCTTCGACACCCCGTACGTACATTGTTCAGCCTTGAAGCTTTCATCGGAGAACTTCACAATATCCAAGCTCATTTTGCGTCCTACAGTGGTACAGTTTGCTCTGTAAAGCTGCAACATCGATCTCGAGGACAAAAGACATGAGTTTCAACTTCGAGGTTGGGCACAACGCGCAGTCCGACGCGTTGACGAAAACTGGTGACGTACTGTACTGTATGTATGTACCTATCGGGTCAGTGACGCCAGTAACGCGTTCACGTTACTGAGAACTAGACCAGTAACGCGAGTCACGTGACCCCCCTATGTATCTTGGGAAATGACTATGTACGGCACTAATAGAAAACGGAAATGCCCTCAATGGGGCATTTCTGCCATACATGGGTACAATGGAAATGATTAGTTATGCGTGTGACCATAGGCCGGGTGACGGCATTCGTTCGTACAGCTGAGGGTTACTGCGTTTTCAGGCGAGAAGTCCAAGGCAACGTTGAAAATTGGCATAATTCTCAGCTTGGACACACTGGACAGCAACGACATGGCTGCGACCCCTACAGCAACCACAGAGGCCGCCGCTGCAGCTGGTCTGGACGATGGTGACGCCCCAAGGGACGACGATAGCATAGTGGAGGACTTGGAAGACGTGCAGGATGCGGAAGTTCACCAGTGCACCATTAAACAAATGAAAAAGAACCAACGAGCAAGGCCGGTTGAGACTAACAACACATATGGCCACCGTGCAAGGTCGTATCTGGCATGGTGCAACACCAACAGGCGCTCGCAAAAGCTCACGCCAGGCAAAGTTCTTCTGTGGCTCAACGAATATGTCAAGCCCCGGGGGGCATTGAACAATAGAGGACAGCCCTACGATCCTCCAAAGCCCATGTCACGGGCTACGTTGGACCAGTACGTCAAGGCCGTGACGGACTTGACCCATTCCCAGCAAGCATTGGGCGAGAACATCAAACCCAATTATCCTCGAACGACCACAATAAAGGAGATGCTGAAAACTCAGAGTAGGGATCAGTATAACAACGATTATAAAGCTTTGAAAGATTGAGGGATCGGGAGTACGGGTGATTCTTACGACAACAAGGACAGGTTGAATCTAGCAAAGCATTGGTGGACGCAGGTGCGTGAATGGTTGATCGTTGGGAAGCTGAGGATTAGTGCATTTTTCGACGTCTCTGGCGTGCGCGCGTCGAAAAACCGCATAAACCTCAGCTTGGCCTCTTCTAATTCAGGATTCCTATTTTGCAGCAAAGTCCAGAGTCCGGGCTCCGGAACTACATGTCCTTTTTGATCCAACACGCCACCCTTCAGCGAAACCAAATCATGCGCGGTTTACAACTCTCCCGTTTCGCCTTTCTGCCGTTGAACGGTAATGAGGGACCCATGCCAGCATGGGGTGTCGGGGATATCTCATCTTCACTTGTATTTCATATTATATCTCTTTACTTCTCCTTGATCCGAGACCCGGGCTGGCCACCCGAGCTCTCGGTAATACATTACATAAGGCGCCAAGCCTCAATGAAGCCACGCAAGCCCCACTGGCAGCCCATATATAAAGCCGTCAGTCGAGCGGCCGCTGCAAAGAGCTTCTTACTTTTTTCTTCACTACAAGCCACTGCTCTCAGCCCTCTCAGAAAGGCCCAATATCGTCTACGTTTCCTCTGACGTTACATGGTAGCACCACCTACCGCTAGCATCACCAAGACATTCCTCGTCAACGTCACCCCTCTACCGGACGTCGCCCTTACACTCGTCCACAAGCAAGAATGGACGGATAGACTCAAGCTATCATTGCGGCTGTCGCAGCTGCTTTCGCTAATCGGGAGCGTGCTTTTACTCAAGAAACCCAACGAGCCGAACGTTTCAGACTTCTTATGGACGCTCGCAAGAACAAGCTTGTCGAATACGATGGCGCCAAAGCTGCCAAAAAGATCAAAGAGTTTGTTACGTCTCACCACAACTTTCTCGACTCTCTTATTGTCCCGGCTGTACAGGCTGGATCACACGGGACTGGAGCTGCCAATGCCATACCCTTTACTATGGCAGAGTATGCCCCTACACTCACTACCTACCTCAAGGGTACTGCTCTCGAGTGGTACAATACGACTTACGCTGCTGGACCTCCCGCAAATTGGGCAGCTTTCGAAACGGCTCTTGTCGCTCACTTCTATCCTCGCAACTTGCGTAATACTATTGAGCTCAAGCTCTCCGGTCTCAAGCTTGGTGACTCTCTTGAAAAATATATCAAGGAGTTGCAAGACACCAATAATGAGCTCAAAGCCGCTCATCGTCTCGATAACACTCAAGGCACCATTCCCCTTATCGATTAGATTCGATACTTCAAGGCCGGTCTTCTCAAGAATACGGTAATCGGTCATTATCTCGCTGAAGCCGTTACGAACTTCGAATTCTCGGGCACTACCAATATCAACACCCCTATCACTCTCGATCAAGCTATCACTGCAGCTCGTCGTGCTCATGTGGCTCACGGGGTCACTGACGGCAACCAAGCCAATACGCCTCGTCCGATTGCCTCGGCATCGAGTGCTTGTGGCGGCCGTGGAGCCAGCCGCGGTTGAGGTAGTCGTGGCGGTGGTCGTGGCGGACGATTCGCCCCTTACACCAATCCTCGAATTACGGAATTTGAGCAAGACTTAGATGATATGACCTTTGGGCTCAATGCCCTTGGTACGTCATACTATCCCCCTGGAGTGAGTCGTCTCACTTCAGGTCCAGTTCCCTACCAACGTCAACAGCCCTTTCATTGACGTGGACAATGGCAAACTACTCACGTTCCTTGTCAACGTCCAACGACTCCTTGTCCTTTTTGTAACAAAATGGGACATTGGAGAGTTGAATGCTGGTCAAATCCCGAAACTCGACAGCAAGGCTCGCAAACCCAGAACCGACGCGGTGGTTTTCGACAGCGCGGTCGTGGCGCTCAAACTCTGCAGCGCAGTCGCCAACCTAATCAACAACAAGGTTCAGCCAATCAGGTTGATGCTGGGTCACGCATTACGGAAATTCTCGATGACGCCGTCAACTCTGTGAATACTACGAATACGACTAGAAATCAATCTTCGAGTTTTTTCCAAGGTTGATAGAGCCCCTCGGTAGCTCTGCTCGGCCTACAACATACGATCCTACCGATAAACCTGCCTTCGAACAATTGTCTGCTGGACTCTGGGTCTCTCATTATCGCATCGGAAACAAGTTTGCTCGTGTTCTTTTCGATAGCGGCGCAACTGGGTTATTCCTCGACATGACATTCGTCGAAAAGCACAAGTTTCCCAAGAAACGTATCGAACCAAAGCAGATATGGCTGGCCGACAAAGAATCCTACATGATTCTCGACACGGTCGTTTCGGAAAGGTTAGATCTATCGGATCTCGAATCTCAGTCGCTTTTCTTAGTTGGACAACTTCCTTGGCTAGTCAGTAATCTGGCTTATGACGCTATTATTGGAATACCTTTCTGGCGTTTCTTTAATTACACTGAACAATTCTCGATGAGTACCTTACCTATCCTTCGCTGGACCAATTACAGCCCTATACCAAACGCACCGCAGTCTGTCACCATTAAGTGCGAAAGAACTTCAAGAAACTGGGAAGACGTCGAATACATCCCGAAACACAACAACCCTTACTTTGATGTGCAACGAGATCCGGACTATGACAAAAGACCTGTTCGACCTGTTCGGATCATTAAGCCTGTGGATACTCGTCCTCTACAAGCCGCACCTCATTATGTATCTCAATTTGCTCAAGCCAATGCCCTTCGTAATCCTCAAGTCATAGAAATGACTTCCAAGCGATTCAATAAGGCTTGGCAATGGAACAAGTTTGAAAAAGACACGGTCTGTCGCCTCGCTCTCAACGAAATACCGGACGCTCCTCAAGACCTTAAAGGAAATCCAGGACATCTCAAAGAGATCCTAAATAAATACGTCAATATGCTCTTCAAGGAACCGGAAGGTCTACCCCCTGATCGCGGAGAAGATAATTTCAAGATCGAACTCACTGAAGGTGCTGAACCCGTTTGGCAACCTCTTCGGCACATGAACAAAGAAGAACTCGCTGAACTCAAGAAACAAATCACCTTGATGCTCGAAAAAGGATGGATACAACAGTCCTCAAGTCCCTGGGGAGCGAGTGTTGTCTTTGCGAAAAAGAAAGATGGCGGATTACGCATCTGTTGGGACTACCGAGGTCTCAACGCCGTCACCAAGAAGATCGCACTCCTTTACCCAATATTCGTGAGATGAGGGATCGGATTCAAGGTTGTAAATGGTTTACGCTTATCGATATTTGAGAAGCATACCATCGTCTTCTTGTACGAGAACAAGATCGAGAAAAAAAGGCAATACAAACTTGCTTTGGACATTTTGAGTATGTGGTAATGCCGTTTGGGCTTACCAACGCACCTGCTGCATTTCAACGTCTTATGAATAAGATCTTCCATAAAGATTACGATGAATTCCTCGCTACCTACCTGGACAACATTTTCATTTTCTCGAAGACTTTAGCTGAACATTGGGAACACGTCGATCGTATCCTGAAGAAACTTGAAGAACATGCCCTTTTCATCAAGCCTTCAAAGTGCGTATGGGCTAAAGAAGAACTCGAATGGTGTGCACATACTGTCGGAAGACATGGTGTTCGCATCGCGCCCTCGAAAATCCAAGCTATCAAGGATTGGGCCACTCCAAACTCAACAAAAGGAGTTCAAAGCTTTCTCGGGTTCACAAAGTCCTTCCTTGACTTTGTACAAGGTTATTCGGACATCGCTCTGCCCCTATCAAGTATTCAATCTTCAAAAGTCAAATTTCGATGGGGTCCTGAGGAGCAAGAGGCATTTCAAAAGTTGAAACAAGCGTTGATCAATGCGCCTACGCTAGCAACCATCGACGAAACCAAGTCGATTTACGTCTATACGGATTCATCAGGCTACGCTATCGCTGGCTGGATTGGACAGCCTTCTGGCGATGAAACGATCCCTACAAATCTGCCTACTCTCGTCGGACAATGTAAGAAGTTACCTCGGCTCCGGCCTGTGGTCTTCTTTTCAAGAAAGATGAAGGACGCAGAAACTCGATATCCTACGCACAAACAGGAGCTTTTAGCTCTTGACAAGATGTTGGTCGCCAATCGACCATATCTCATCGGTCGTTACTTCCGATGTTTTAGCGATCACA